GGAATGTCCTCTCGTCGTTGACGTAGAATGACTTAAAAACCTGTATCTACATCCCTTAGGAGACGGTCGGTACCTACGTTACAGTAGTCGATATTCATTAGTGTTGAAAACATATTTTACCGAGGCAGAGGCGGAGTCCGTGAAGAAGGCCAAGGGCAAGAAGAAGGCGCATGCTAGACCAGCGAAAGATGCAAAGAGGAAATCCAAGGTAGAAACGAAGACCAGACCTAACCTAATGAGAAATAGTCGAGAAGAAAGCTCGGGCGAAGAAGATTTATGAGGAAGGCAGCAAAGAACGCAAACACAAGAAAGAAGATACCTCGGGCGAAATGGAGTACTCCTGCCGAGTGGAACTGACTATGACTCTAGGAAGGATAAGAAACCTAATCCCGATAAATGACATATCCCAAAGAACACGACTATTATACTCAAGTATTTATGCAGAAATAATTATTCTTCCAACTCTATTCGTCAACTACTGTGGGATGACCTGCACAATTAAGCCGTTTGATGAATTCGAAAGTCTTCATGAAAAGAACGATACTTCTGGATCCAGATGGTTGCATTAGAGGAAGGCAAAAGAACGGAAGCTTGTTCTTATTCAATATAATACTAGAAAACATAAGAGAATGTACAAAGTTGTCAACCGATTGGCTAATTATCAGACCGCTGATCTGTAAATGAGACCAAACAGGAACGGAACCTTATAATGGGATTTAAATCTCTCAAAGTCATAACAGGGATTTGAGGCTTGCCTAACTGTTCAATGCCATAACACTAATCACTAACTAAACTATGTTAGTTATATTCACCGGCTTGGTGACAGTAATTCCAGCGAATTTGATCACTAAACTTGCTAGACCCGCCTTCAGGAAAGCTTTATGAATCATCAGAAAAGTATCCCGACTTAAACCAATCAACTCGAAGTCTCCTTTAATAGAACCTATCGAGAATCCTCTAATCTAGTGACCTAGGAAAAGTCGAACTAAGGCCCGTTGATACTCGCGAATTTGATTACCCGAACAATACGACGTGATTAAATCATCGCTAACAGAACTCCCTCTAAAAGGCTCGTAATGTATCCGACCGGGGAATGATGTCTTTATAGGAGGCGTGCGTAGAGTGGAAATAATTTGCTAACGCTAATCCACGGTTTCTCGTAAAGTATCTGGTGATTTATATGGAAACAAGGCGGCGAATTCGAGTAGGTATGATGACTACACGGTACGTGTTCGTATATCATCAAGCAACTCACTTTGTATAGCTGCAAATAGGGACCTATAGTGGAAAAGCCTCGTGTAAAAGGTTGGAGTGTTAACCTGAAAGACAACTTGCTCGAGTACTTTCAGTTTGCCCTTTTTACTAATATCAGAAGAGTATAGTGTTTGTTTGTGGCTATGTTGTTAATATAACAGGTTAACCCTGACTCTCTTATAGTACTCTCCTGATATAACATATTTCATACTTCGTATATAAGATTGCCTCTTGACTATAGTAGATAGAATTATAGAGAAGTATTTTTTAAAAGTCCTACTATTAAATCAATATTTTTCTTATAAGATATGATTTTATCACTAACCTCTCTGAAATCCGTGCCGATTTTGATATAGCAGTCGTGGTAGGTTCTGGCCTTTTCTGAATATTCAGTTCTCTAAGACTATATATTAAATATATCTTTGCGGCCTTAGAAAGAATTCGAAACACTACTACAGCGTATATAGGAACCTACCACTATCTCGCTAGGAACGCTACGGAAACGCCAAGACTAGCAGTTTCGGCATCGAGCAGTAGGCTGGTTATACTTACCATACTATATATAATAGTTTTATCTCCCTCTTTCAGGGTAACCAGGATTTTGAGGCTATATAATAGGGTACGGTATAGGTCCGAAGACTCTATTATATAATTAGCCTTATTTAGAGTGAATAGTGAGATTTGAAGGTCTTTATCGAACTTTCCTTTAAAGGAATAGGGGCTAGGTTTCGCACCGCTTTCTTAGCAATTTCGGGTAAGCCATAACCTGCGCTTACTATACGACGTTTGAAGCTGTACGATCATTACACTAAGCTCTTTTTTATTATCGTAAAGATACTAGAACGAAAGTAGATTGTTTAGCTGCTAAGTAACACTCGGAGGCGTTAAAAGGTAAGTATAGGGCTACTCGATAGGGTTCTCCCTCTATTATGTATTAGTTTCGACTTCTGTAGTTGATCGCTTAGAACTTACCTGTGATTCGAGAAATTGATCTAATTTCTACCGTATTAATAAGCTAGGGCTACTATTAAAAGCATAATCCTCAGGCCTAATACTGAACCACGATCTTTTAAAGGGTCGTAAGGACCCAGGGCGTATACGTGGCTCAACCGTGATTAAAGGACTGTAATATACACTAAGGCTAACAGGATATCCTACGTAAAGATAGGAATAGTAGTAATTATCCTTAAAACCGGACTAACGTAAGTGACGAAGGTTGCACGCAAACGTTATAACTCGACTATACCTAATCTTATCAAGTTGATGGTTGCTATTGTTCTATAGAAGAGGGGCATTTTTGCGTAAGTAATCGTGCGAATAATTTCTCTGCCCTACGACGGGCAAGTTAAAACCGCTATTCCTCAGCAATATTTTGGATTGAGGGCGAGGGTCTCGCATATATGCGTCCTGTAGTGACTGGAGATACTCATTTTGGGTCTAGCAGAAGGCAAAAAGAAGAAATATAAGAACTAAAACGAGGTAGGTTGTGGGCGATAGCTCCGGCACTTTTGTGCAACCAAAAACTAATATAGTCTCTATCAATACTAGTCTCACTCCCCTCTCTATCCCTAGGCGGAGCAGGAGAGAGGCGATCAGGGAATAAACAATATACTTAATTGTCATGTCCACGTGTCTAATCGATATATCACGGCCATTAAAAAACGATAGGCATATACAGTAGTTTATAAAAGAAGGCAAAGCAACTTGCACCCGGTAAAGGCGTAACGATTTATCTCGCAATACCAGGATACCTGAAATAATCACTTGATCTACTAGCCACTTAACTATCCTAACCTAGAATTGCCGGCCATTCATTAACAAGGTCTCCGCATTTTTATCCGATGAAATTGAATTTGCTTAACGTGAAATTATCCAGAGAATCGATATAATTGGACAATTGACCGGATATGTACTAGGGCCTGTTACAGTTTACCGGCCTGCAATTATAACCAAATCAGCGAGATTAGTCGGCCATGTCGAAAATTGCCTTGCCACATAGTAAATTTCCGGTATAATCCAAATCATTAGCCAACTAAGGAACTCTATAGTACGGAAGGCCGATTTAGTAGAACAACATCCGTCACATGCTCATGTTCTACGGTATTTTGGTTGAACGCAATCATTCTTGGGAGAACTTCCGACGCGCATTTAGGCCGTAAATCCAAAGGGCTGTCAGAGACAGATCTTTGGACTCATATTGGAATAATCTCCTTTTTGGTTCTCCTTTTTGGTTCCTCTGATTCAATCAAGTTCAAGGCAAAAGTTTGTGTGCCATCGATACGGATTGACGCAAATAAAATATCTCTCCTACCCAGAGCAAGACTTGATGAGTAGCCCAGCCCAGTCGACCATACTTTACTGGCACTAAAGACGTTTGAATGCTTACATCTGGCAATTTGCTCCAAGAAATAGATTGGATGCAATGTCGAACGTTATTGCCTTCTATTTCGACAAATTCGGCGATACTACTTCAAACCCTGATTACATGCAATCAAGGCTTCCATTTAGTGCTAGTTGGAGATAATTCTCAAAGTCGTCGTGTGCTTCCTAAATCCCTTACCTTCCTGAAAATCAAGCTGCTCGGGCATATAATATTTTCCTACAATTCCGCTGGGATGAACTGTTCATATTAAATAATTGCTGTCGGTTCCTTGATAACCAGTTTCCGATAACGACGATAGTATCGCATGCGATATTCCAACGTAGCCAGGATTTATTGTAAGTACAGTAGTTTTCGAATTCAGTTTGACCTCTCCCTCTTGCGACTTGATTCTCGGAAAATGAATCCGAAATACGCTAATCCTGTTTGGCGTCACCGCTCTATTAGTTAGGCAGAAAAGTGGTCGAAATGACAATACTAATCCCAGAACGTAAGGAATAAGAAGTGTTGCAGGCAGTTACTGACTGTAGACAACCGGCAGTTACGGGAGGTACAGCAAATAAGCGAAGCGGAGTTGATTCGATCCCGAGTTAAAGCCTCTCTCCTCTATACGGACGAAATTGCGGAGGCAGAGGATCAGATTGCACCGGCTGCTGAGGTTTCAGCAGTATTTAATGGTTAGTTAACTAACGCATATTGCGTATGCAGGCTATTACATCACGTGACTAATCTGAAACACGCAAGGCGATCCCACGACCTACTAGGGTGTTGTCTGCCTTCCTGGTGGACTAGGCAAGTAGTCGAAGCCACGGTAGCCGGTAAATATTGTCTTCTTGATTATAAAATTATCGGTTGGCATTGTTACGAATGGAACGATCCAGGACGGTAGGATTGGAACAGTGGATGATGAGTTTGCATGTTTTGATGTCAAGACTGGTAATGGGAGTAAACAGGGCTGGATTAGGATGATTGGTTTTATCAACAACTTACCCACCAGATATATCTCTCCTTCCCTCTTTCTTCAGTCTTGTTACCTTCGTTGGAATGCAAATATGGTCTCTGAACTGTGCTTTTGGCTCGTAACAAGCGCATGGAAATGTATTGTAGTGGGCCTGTTATTTGTCGCCGTATATTACGATGCTATAGTTCACGAGATGAGAAGCGCCGATTCGTGTTCTGGCACGTATAGAGAAAACGTTCAGGCTTCATGCAGCTGCTTTGGGACAGCTCATCACCCTTATTATATCGATAGTGTTCTGGCAATAGTCTAGCGAGTGATAGGATGATAACCATACTTACTCATACCCAGGGAGGTTATCAAGCAAAATATGCGTCTCATAAAATAAACTATAATTCAGTCCAGCTTCTAACCAAAAATTCCTACCCAAGGTGGATTGACCGTGCCCATACTATCAAAAATGTAGGCATAGCCAAACCCAGTCAGAGTAAAGTTGAAAACAAAAAGTATCAGGTACCTTTGCTCCTCACTGTCCTTCGGAATACCGAAGAGGCGTCCAAACTTGGTCTCACTCAGCCATCTGAGCAGAACTAGTAGAAGCCTTAAAACCACATCAAGAAGTAGCGTGAGTGAAACGACCAAAGCCACTATAATGAGAATGAATAAAAAGCTCGCGAGCAATATCACACTAATCGGGTGATCTGCAAAAACCCTGCCCACGAATATATGTCCATTGGATACTCCTCCCACGAATATATGTACGCCAAGCATTAACCTGTAGGCGTCGAAGATTGTCGGGTAAGATAGTCTAACCCTCAACCCCTTCCAGAAGGGCCTTCCTGATCCGATGGGGACCATCACTAGGGTGAGTCCCATAATATAGGAAATGGACAACTTATCAATGAGGTCCCATTTGTCCCGATACTGCCACACGTCTTCTTCTCCAGAGATAGAGAGTAAAATAAACAGCAGTATCCTAATCGGCACGAACCAAATGATCGCTGCTTGCACATAGTGACACGACTGCTTTACAAACTCAAACTCCGGGTGGTGTATATATGGGGGTGACCGAGCAGCATGCATGGCATGATAATTTCGATATATTGCCTCCGCTGTGGTATTCAAACCCTCTCCAAACACCAGGGAAAGAAAGTACATCATGGCCAGAGTTTGTGTCAAGGGAATGCCACGCATTGCCATGAGTTTTATTGTCTGACATGGGATACTCCCTAGAAGTATCAGGATCCAGCGACCGAGAGCGGCCTTCTCAACCTCCTTGGGTGCCTTGGACCAGTCCTCATCTCGATAGCGGTAAGCAAGTTCTTCCTTGAGATGTCGCCAGGATCGCTCCGGGACCCGAAAGTAGGCAGTCATCACCCGGATCAAAAAATAAAGTATATCGCCCACGCAGAGAATTGGTGAAGACCGAAGCCAGAACCGGTATTTGGGTGGCATATTGAAGACTCGTCCGACCGGCTGCGTCATTGTCCCCAGAGCCAGCGGGATAACAGCCCAGAATGCGACCTGCCATTTCACCTCATCAGGACTTGACAACGACAAATCTGGGTAAAACAGCGTATCAGTCAGACTAGATTTCACTGATAAAGACGATAGATCCCGTCTACTCACTGGCTGCCTTTAGACCGGAGCCCATTATTAATAATGAATCGTGCAGAAATGAATAAATTTTGAGTCTGAAGTGAGTTCCTGAAAACCCGAGATCGATTGAAGAATAGCCAAATCATCTCACTGTTAATGTGAGGAAGTGAGAAAAGAGCCCAAGCAGCCAGGGCCATTGTGAAACTCGTTGGCGCTGGCGAGGCTGACATGCGGGGCTCGGCGGGGGCTCCTTGAAAAAGCACAAAAAAAACTTGACTAGGGGTATCGTATTCCCTCGTCCACCCACGATTAGCGCCATTACTAGCGTACTGTAGCAACGGGTTATTATTGACCAGTCAATGTAAAGCCTCGGTGATCAGAATCAGTGTACTATGCGCAGTAGAAAATTCGCATTTTTGACCGTGGACTTTCATCCGAGTTTCTATGAGCTGGAACAATCTCGGCCCTGTCCATTCACCATGTTGGAGTGGGACACAGCCCAAACTCGCGGCTTTGGGCATGAGGACAAGCCCATAGTGTTTATCCACACAGGATCTTCCGCGAGAGCGTGACGTCTATATCACAAATTCTCCTCCATCTACAATTAGAAAGTGGGAAGGATAATTATTGCCTTAATAATTCTGGAAGCGAGGGAGACGAGGGACTATGTGTCTGGACTATGTGTCTGGACTATGTGTCTGGACTATGTGTCTGGACTGTGTCTGCTAATTTCAAGTAAAATACACCACCTATGGTACTGAAGAAGTATTGCAAAATACATGGACTATCATAGAAGGCGGTCTAGATAAAAGTGCTTAAAATAATAATCAATTAGAACTAGCATATATGGGGATTTTTTTTCCGGGAATCAAGTCTAAAGAGTGTGAGGTCAAACTGAGTTCGAAAACTACTGTATAACAATAAATAGACCTAGATCCAAGTACTTTGGTAGTCAGTCACGAGCTAGACAGGCTACCCATCTAGATTCTGGGCTGGGCACAATCAGAAGCAGCGGAACCTGATCCTGTGAAATAACAAAGAACTGACCGCGCAATGTGTAACGGCTAACAGAAGATCACCGACTTCCTAGACACAATTTAACAATTGACTCGGGCGTGACAACTTGCAATCATGCACTTCTCAGCCCAAGTAAAATCCTTCATTACAGACGGCTTATTCTAACAGATGAAATATTAGCCGGTTCCTTTGCAGAGAACTTGGGTTTAGCCCTTCGGAAATGGGCTTTGTAGGACTATAATATCACATTCTAGGTACACTCATGCTGAGCACATCAATCCAGCGCGTCACCACTAGGTAAGAGGAAAGGTTACAGATCAAAAATGAGGAAGAAAACAACCTGGCACGATCTTGCATAGAGAGGTGCACACCACTCTCTTCGAAGCGTTTAGGGCTATTCCTTATACCAAGATATCGACTTCCTCGGATCAGTTGGCAACATTTCTGATAGGAAGGGTTGAGCAGTGGCTGCAATTCTGGCAGTAGGTATCGCGCTGGTTATAGAGGAGCAACTGCCTAAGCTGTCGGCATGCGGGAAACGGTAAGCCACGCACCTAAACAAGCCATAGGAGGAGCAAGTCTGTAATAGAAAGAGAGAAATTGAAAAAGAAAAAATCTTTCTAAGGGAAACACCATATATAGCGGGCAGGGCGTTGGGGCTTATAAATTTGAAGACAAGTAGGCATGAGACAGACACAGCGATGAAACACACTGAGATACACGAATTCTAATAGGCGCCTAGTGGGCTTAGAGGACATAAAATTTACAGCAGAAGAAATTGAATGAAAGCATGGAGGTATGCAAAAGTTAAATGCACAATAAGGGTACAGAGGGTGGCAGAATGGCAGACAAAGAGGAGCACGGCGCAATATACAATGAACCCTGCGAAGCGTGCCAAGTAGATGGATGGAGCAGGAAAGCAAAGAGCAAGCCAACGCAAGAAGAGATGAACGCGATCTGGTATCCATATAAGCATCAATAAGTGAATGACTTGACAGTAGAACGGAGCTTGCCTTTCTCGCTATTTTTGAAATTGCGTCAAAGTTTAGGGCCCCCACGATATGTCAGAGCGGTATCTATTTGTATGCCTAGTCCTTTAGCTCAGGAAAGTATGTATCTACCCAAAACTAGAGCGAGCTGTGGGGATAAGAAAAGAAATTCTATCCACTTCTTGGGTTTGCATATTGCTGGAGCAAAGGTCAGCAAAATCTATTCTGTTTACCGATACGATCGGATAAAGACGTATATTGGAGCAGCTTTGAGTCAAAACTGTCCTACGTAGAGTAGACTATATAGAGTCGCACTAACTAACCTCCGCTTCTTTGCGAGGCTCAACAGTAACTGCCTGTTTCTGAATAACGGGTCGAGCGACTTTAATAACCAGATTGATTGCGCTACAATCCTGTTAGCTTTAGTAATACTTATCTAGCACAACTAGATTAGACTTACTACTCTATCGAAAAGAGCACGGATATATAACCACTCCCTGAATTAGGGCCTAATAGATAGAATATATTAGGAAATTCGTTCACCGCCACGGTCTTATATGCCCTAACTCCTCCTGTATTATTCTAGTGTTGCTATAATGACTTTCCCCGCCGACTAATCACCGAATTCGCTTTCTATTATGTAAATTAAAAGCTAGTTGCTAATATCTAAGTGCTCGCTCTTCTATTAGTATGCCCTTAGTCTTTCTCAAATTGTCAACTCACGATAAGGTCTATTTTGTACTCTTCCGATAAGGTCAGGATTACATTTGGTTTAACACGACGGATCCGATAGTTAACGATGCGTATTTTAGGGTTATAAAGGGAGCGAATGTACTAGTCATCGAGGCTTCTTCTCTACTGAAATAATTAGAATACGTTCAATCTTTCTGAAAATCTTTACTTACTCTGCAAGCGAATTCATATTTCGGTATAAGAAAATTCCAATATCGCTCTTGCGAGAATATTAGTATAATTAAGGGAAATTTTATTATTATACCAGAAATTACCGGGAGCATTGTTAGTAATATATTTTCGGCTTTTGTAGAGACTTTTCTTTCTACTCCTTTTGCCGTGATTGTCGTTGTAAAACTAACCGAGTGCTGTCTTAAATATCCAAAACGTGATCCACCGCAAGAGAACCAGCAAAAAAGGGACGTATACTAAGACCCTTTAGACCCTCTCCCTAAAACGATAATTTCCTAGTATTATAGGTATATAGTATTGCGGTATCTATTAAACGCCAAAAGGCCGGCAAAGTTAGTCCCCGGTATTGAAAATAGAATAGGAATAATGGTGTATACGTGCTCGAATAAAATAAGTTAAGGTTTGTACGTTATCAAGTATAGCAGGGACTACCTAGGATCTAGAGCCTAGAGTAAGTTAGCGTCTTCTACCCCGGTCACCTAGTATATCGTTGAAAATAAATATCCGTTGCCTATTACAGCTATATTTAATCCTCGAAGGTCGTATTCTTTGTCCTATCTAGCGGTGTGAACGACAGAGCTAGTAAAGTCCTTAAGTCCGGGGATATCTAGGAACTTTGGGTTTATATAGCCTCCAACAGCCGATACTAGCACCTTGGTTTCGTGCGGAAACTATCGCTATATATCCAAATTATAGAGCTGCACAAGCCAGGTACTAGAAATTTCTATCCACTTAGCGCCTCTCTACTCAATTCGAAGCCGGGTACGCTAATAAATACTATATACGAGAGCGAGACGGTGTATATAAGCTAGTATCTCTTTTTAAGGTAGAAAGAGTTTAGAGAACTTCGGATTCGGAAACTATAAGAGCGAGTATAGTACTCTAGGGATATCGATACCACATCCAGGATCTAGCGGATCTTAGTAGGTATTCATAAAAAAGAAGGTAATAGGTCGTGAGGCGAAGGAAAATCAAGAAGGAAAGGATAATAACGGGAAAATATTACATTTGTTAGCTGCCCATGCTCCTCCTAGCTTAGCCGCTCGGTCATAGATAATATAGTCGGTAAATTTCAATTTTCGTTAAAGCTAGTACGCTATACTAATACCTAATAAACCTGCTCCGATACTAACGACATCACTATACAATCTTCCTTATTGTTCTATAGCTTAATAACTATGTAATATCCCGCATATTTCAGAAAGAAGCCTGATATAAATAATGCTGTAGCAGAAACTAAATAACGTTAGCGCCTTCTTCTAGATTTAGTTAAGATATGATTTGAACGTTTAGGTTTTCAATTCACCATTGACAGCACTCTAATTGACCCTCGAATGAATGTGATTTTATAGCTAGTTTCACCACCATTATCCAAAAAAATATCTGCTCCTGGGATCGTCAGCCTTGCCTTCTGATGTTCTCAGACATTGATTAGTCAAATCCACTAGCTATCAGATCTTCTATAGTACGTATACTAAGTCTACGACAAATCTCCTTATCTCACCAAATTCTTAAATAACCAACACATCCGCACCTTGCTCAATTTTCATCCAAACTACGGATTGACGTTTTCCTCAATCGACAACCAAGAATCGTATTCGCGATGCCTCCACAAAGAACAACCCGGAACCGAAATCATATTAATTAATCTATCCTACCGTATACTTCCTGTCAGTGTCCAGGGCGAATAGAGATTTTGATCATGATAGCTAATTATTGACATGCTTTAGGTTATTACATTCACTCCGGAAACATTAATGGGATCGTATCAAAAATCCATGAAGAATTTGCCGCAGTGCAAAACGAAAGCTATCAAAGAGAACTCAAACTGAGGTCTTACGAAGATCACAAACATAGGTGTTATAAGCATATTGAGGACTTGATGAGCCAGATTGAGGCCCTAAAGCAAGAAAATTGGAAGCTGGAGAAGGAATTTAAAAGGATGGAAATCCAGTTAGAAAATGAAAGAAGAAAGAAAGGGGACATACTATAGCAGGGCCAGAGTGAAGTAGGCTGTAAATATTCACTGTGGGATCTGCCATACAGTGTTGGGGTGTGTATATGTTTGCGTGTGCGTCTGTGTAGAATTTATCTTGAAACCCTGTCGAAATTGGTCTACTACTGTATATTGCACCAAAGCACAAATCCATACCTAGACTAGAGGTCTGTAATCTATGATGCAGTCACCATAATGGTGCGCAGTCTGTCATAAGCAAATAAATCCATGAATTTATATTGACCGTGTACCATTTATTAGACGACCTAAAAGTCTGTTCTAGGCCTATCGTGGCCTATGGCCATTCTCTGAGACGCAGGGCAAGATATCATAGCTAAGTTTAGAAAAAGGAAACGGAGGCAAGTGGAAATATAATCGTCCATTTCCAGTATGTATGTATGTATGTATCTATGTGTCAATCATTTACTGCCGTGTTCGAAATCAGATTCCCCTTCGCCCACTTAGAAAATAATTCTCCAACCCTATTCTCAAACCCACTTTTCTATATTCGGATCAGCTGCATATCGTCGCTTGTAAATAATATACTGTCACAATTCATTAGTGTTCAAAATATCTTACTTAGGTCCACGGGCAAAAAAGATAGGTAAGGTAGGTTTCATGTTCCAAGCATTACGAAGGGCAGCTGTATTGTTTGCAAATTTCCATGTGCGCACAGGTTCCTGGGAGCCGAAGGAGTAGATAAACTGCAGGAAGGGCTTGAGCGTAGAAGTTAGCTTCTTCTGGTTAGGTGAAAGCCTGTGACTTGTTGGCTAGAGAACTGTACTACATTGATCTTTGAAATAGGATGGTTTTTAGCCTACTGGCGTATGTGTCTCCACCTTTTCTCGAGATATTTAAACAGCCTATTCAATTCCCTTACAAGTTCAAAATTTCATGAACTCACCCTCCAAACCACTCTGCCTAAACATCACTTTTGCCGTTGGCGCAAATTTTTAATGGTACAAACTCGCCAACAAACTCGTCTTAGGACGCAGCCTAACAATAAAAAGACGTACGGCAACGCTCGAGTACAACAATCTCGCCGAACCCCAACACGCAAGACTATGGGACCTCAAAAAAAACCTGAGTTGACTTGTAAAATTCTCGGTCTTTTGGGTAAAGATGCACCCGCAGAAGATTTCATAAAGCTCCTCGCCGGAAGCGAAGCTAAGTTGGATTTCATTCCGCCTCTTATGTTTAACAACATATACGTCAAAGATGCCTTTAATTATGCAGTTCTGAAGAGGAGGCTAGATATTTTACCGTTGATGCTTGGAAGGCAAGAGTTAAAAAATTAGAACATTCTTCATTTGGCTATAGTGTATAACAGCTTGGAGATAGTCAAAAACCTTAAGAATGAGATCCCTGAGCTTAGTTGCGTTGTTGATCAAAGTGGAAGAACTCCCCTCTATCTGGCCTTTACTAAAATGCGACGCTCTAGTTACTCAGTTTCTGCTGGAAAAGGGCTGCTAGAAGAATTATGATAGGGCCGATCGAGACTGTCTCGGCCACCTAGCCGTGGAGGCAATTGCTTTCGATTGGAGAAAGTCAGGAATGTGCGAATGGGCTCAGTTAGTCGCATAGCTTTATGAACAAGGAAGAATAGTAATTGGTACCCGAGATTGGAAAGGCGACACCGCCATTGACCTCGCCCAAGAATGGAACATTCATGATATCAGAGTGAAATCCGTCTTGATAGGTTGGAAATGACACCTATCACCCATCTCCCTTCTCCGCTTAAGCATGGTATTTTGAAATAGCTGAGGATATGCCATACTGCCTTTCGAAATCAAATACTCCCGCCTCCCCTCAGAAAGTAATTATCCAATGGTAACATGCGCTAGTCTATATTCAGGTCACTGTTGCCACGGATCGCGGCTTATAAATTACACTGTACAGTCACCCATAATTATGTTTCGAATACCACGGGCATAAAGACAGGTGGGGGAGGTACTGTACTGTATCCCAAATGATTACGAACAGTTACTATATTATTTACAAGCCACGATCTGTAGCTAATCTGAATAAACTAGCGCTTCTTAGGATAGGGTTGGAGAATGATTTTCTGAGTGGACGAAGGGGAATCTGACTTCGAAAATGGCAGTACCCTGACCCTTCACCGAAGTTGAGATCCTAGATTGAGGCACAAGTGTGATAATCATGCTCTAAATATGCTAGTAAGCACAGCCTTTTGTAGTCACAGTAGCTTCCTTCTATCTAGAGCGGTATTTGTCGTAGCTTACTAGGTTGCCACCATAACATCTATATATCACCTAATGGGAAGCTGATTATCGATGGAAAATGCCAGTGCCCTAATGGGCAGGAAGAGGCTGTAGATGGCACCTGCAAGCCTGCAAAGTGTGACTCTGGGTTGTCGACTGGTATGTTGGAGTTCTCGACCCTCTTTTTCTCTTTTCATACTGCCTTTACAGTAAAGCGACTGATAATATACAGGCAGATGCTACTTCTTCAAAGGACGATCGGATAATTATTTAACATTCAGCGCTAACCAATATTCCGAAACTGGACTGAGCAAGTATATCAGACCCGCCAAGCTCCAATTCTGCAGAGACGAAAAATGCACTCCTCACCTGCCCGTTAACCCAAGCACTGAGGTCTACATCAAAGACCTCCACGGCACGCTACCAGACGCATCCGATGCCGGGCAGTGGCTCGACAACAAGCAGAACGGCGGACACATTGGCAAGACGCCCGACTTTGCCAAGGCCGGAAACTTCTCCATCACCAAGTGGCCCTGCGGGAAGCACTGTCTTACCGGCTTCACCGATGGCCTTACGCAGGCTTGTCCAGATGTCAGTCCTGGAATCAGCTTCGATACCCGTGCAAAAGACTCATGCATTGAGTTCGAGCTTCTGGGAGTGCCTTGTAACCTTAGCCTGACGATGTGAATAACTGCATCTGGAAGAGCGGCGATGAGTGCTGTGATAAGATTGATTGTTGCGGGAGGACTAATTGCGCCACCAAGCCCAAGCGCCAGGATACTGAATGATGTTCTCTCGGGTATAGGGGATGACAAAGAAGTTGCTCCACTGGTTTGAAGTCAAGCGTGTGTTACGCTTTGGCCATCCTGAAGTCCGTCTATTTCTTTTCATTTCCCAAATAGTTGTTCCGTTGAGGTGGCGACGAGGAGTGTGTCTTTCTGTCGCACTTGAAAAGTCTTTCGAGTTTCACGAGAATCTGGCTGCCATTGCGAACCTCTCCTTCTCGGTTGTTCAAGAAAGGAAGTCGATATGGCAAGTGGCAACCACAGGGTGAAGCGCGTCTCATATCAAGCCCATCATTCCTCACCCTAGTCAGTCTCTTGCTCCTAATCAAGGAAATTCAAACATGGGTAGTCCGTTCAATCAAACCTCTGCTGTTCTTGCCATTTCCAGATATATTTGGATGACAAAGATTGTTCCCTGCCAAACCAGGGATATCATCACATGCTAAATATATAAATTTTTATTGGTGACCTCTCACAGTCAAAAGGAACGAGAAGAGTATAGTTTGGCCGTAACGGGTCACCTGTCGCTGCGGTCTTAGACCGTAGCGTCAGATATGCCCCGTCCGCGCTCCCTTGTAGGGAGGCAAAGTGTCTGTATTGTACTGGTATCTATATATAGAGAGAAGGTGGGAGGGACAAAATCAAGCCTTGACTGCGTGAGGAATGTCAAGCTACCTCCGGAGGCAAGCAGCTAACTCTCGTGAGGCAGTTGTAGTCCTCAATAAGGACTCCTCGGTAATGTCGATGTAGATATCACGTGACGGCGTTGGGCATTGAGAGGAGTCGGAACTTGGGCTAGTGGGCCATGGCGGGTGCACCAATAGAAATCACAATGAGTGTGAATTCTGTTGTCGGTCCTGAAGTCTGCGACGATCTAGCCCTCCAGCTCGGGGGAAAGGTGGGCTGTCAAGGTATCGGCGGTGCCTACACAGCGGGCTTGGGAGAGAACTTCCTCCCTCAAAATACAGCGCCGCAAGATATTCAAGCTGCCGTGGACGTGTTCAACGAATGCAACACTAAATGTCCCAACGCGAAGATTGACGCTGGTGGGTATAGGTACGTCAACACCGATCATCTTCAATAAGTTAGTAGCTAACAACCTTCTGGTCAGGGAAGTGCTGTCATTGACAATGCAATTCAAAATTTGTCATCAGAAGTGAGAGATAAAGTCAAGGCAGTGGTTATTTTGGGTATACTCGAAATCTCCAGGATGCAGGCAGGATCCCGGGGTACCCGAAGGACCAAACCAAGGTCTATTGCGCGATGGGCGATTCGGTCTGCGATGGAACTTTGTTCATTACTGCGGCGCATTTGACATATGGCGCAAATTCCGGAGACTGCAAGTTTCCTTGCATCTCACGTGAAATGATGAATATTTGACGATGGAGATGCCTTTAGTGTCATGGGATTGACTCGTTACGAACCAATCTTGACGTCTTTCTCCCTCATTACCCTGGACAGCTTAGTGGCCTGGTGGGACGCACATTAGTCACTTACAAGCTAGATGATGGCGGGTTTGCCCTATAAGTTTGGTTTATTCTATTTGATCTTCAGACGTTCTTTTGGAGGTCTGATAGGTTTGATCGGTTCTCGTTAAATATAGTACAAGTATAGAGGCTACGTTTTTGATCATCGGATGTTGTTGCAATACCTGCTCACCATTGTATAGAGTGTTTCTAAAACTGCTAAACAGGTAGCATTAAGAAGTGGCAGGATCTAGTTGCGAATTCCCACTATCAGTTAGAAGACTCTTTACGTATGCAAAGAACCCCTCTTCGAAGCTAGGTAGTTTACGCTATCTAGTATACCTCCAAGATATTCACTAATGTCCGTCAGTTCTTTGTATTGTCGCCGAAGCCTTGAATTCTTCTTGAGGCCTACGATGTATTAGTAGTTTAGTTGGCCATGCTTGAATGGTTGTTTATTCATTGGTTGTGATTGGATACGGCAAGTCGGCTAAACCCAACAAAGTAACTTTTGGGAGAGAATGACATGGAAAGTGGAGCATAACTCCTCCTCTTGCTTGAACTGCCAATGATAATTAAGAGAAGAGTTCGCCTGGGCATATCTCCCACTCTGTCTTGACGTTCTTATCCCGATCATGGATGAGAAACTTCACGGTGCTCACTGGCTACCCCACAATCCCGACATCGGATGAAGGATCTCTAACCTTCAGTTTCACAACGAATTTCCTCCCCTCATGTTCAACGGTGATCTTCAACAACTATCGGTTTTGAAATTGACCTACTGCCTCCTGTCTCAGCCAAGGGGTTTGCTGTTGATCCAGAATCGAACCAAGAGAGATGAAAACCGAGCTCTTTGACTTGGTTAGCATGTCAAGATGGCCCTTGATCATTCAGTCAACAGATGTTTTTCGGGTGCAACCAGTATCGTTGCTCTTCTGGGCTTCGATAATACCGGGATTTATCCTCGGGTTGTGTCTATACCAAGCTTATAGACATTCCACAAAGCCTCCAGTATCTAGTCAGGCCATCGCCCCGACCTTTGCTAAAATTGAACCTATCAAGGACTTCAACTTGAACTTCACTAAGCCGCCAGTCTTTCGGCCGTTCAAGCCAAAGTATCATTTGACAATGGGTATGTCTCCATGTGCAGATGCCTCGTAACAGAAAATAGCTGATTTTTTCATCTCGGACTTCCAGGAATTGAGACAGTAGACCGCAACGATCTGTTGTTGTTCGACCAGACATATTCGGAGCGACTAAGTCTCCGAGAGTCCCTTCTCCGACAACATTTTGATGATATCGTGGGAATCACGAATGAATCGGACGGAAGGGTTCGGCTTGCAGTGCAAGAGCTATACGATTACTTGTTTGAGACTTATCTTCCCGTGCGCTATCCGTCCATCTTCAAGGCCTGCGAGGACAAACATAGCTCAGGCGCTATGCTACAGAACTTGGTCACACGGCAAACTCTGCCGATGACCATGACAGATTCAACTCCTCTGCATGTCGCCTTGAAAGCTATCGCGCAGAACGTCGACGAAGATTTTTTCATTCTCCTACCTCGGAAGCAAGGCGACAGCAATGAAGATTTTTATGTTCTGGAAGCGTATGCTGCATGCTTCCCATCCGGATTCCAGCCGAAGGACAAAGTCGGCAAGAAGCTAGCGGATATTCATGGCCCGGTGCCTGGGTATAAGGAAAAATTGCAGAAAAGCATGGACAGATTCTTTGCTCGGCTTGAACCCGGTCGCTACGTGAAACGTGTCAATTGGGGTCTTACTGTAGACGAGGAGCTTTACTCCAATTTCGATAAGAGTGCGCCAGCATTCGAAGGAAAATTGAAGAAGCTATCCTTGGAAGACCTGGATCTGAATAAGGTATGTCGATATTCTGTTTTATGTGTCGGTATTGTGACTAAGACCTGAGATCTGTCTAGACATTCCTGCGCTGTGAGCGCCAAACTCTCCACCGTCTCCCAGGCTCCGGAGCCATTGTCTTTGGTTTTCACACTTATCTCTACCCAGTTCAGGATATCAAAGCTGAGGGCAGTGGCGAAGATCTTGCTCGTGCTATAGATGGGCTTGAGAATGGAAGTGTTCGTGAGATGTTCACGTACAAGAACGGGGAGAAATGGGCGGATGCTGTGAGAGAGTATCTACGAAGTTAGCTAAAGCCATGACATACTACATGATACTGCATCACCGTAGTATCATACAGGCTTTTTAAGCTTCCTGCTCTTTTTTAGCACATCCAGCATGAAGAGACTTGTAAAATGATGGAAGAAGAGAAGGAAATAGAGTTCAGCTTGGGGCCTTATCATCTCCCTCTCATTGGCTACGGAGTGCTCCACACTTCCCAAGTTCCTTTTTGCGGGGTCGGCAAAAGGAGAATTTCACGTCGAGACACAAAAAGACCGACCACCGACCATCCAAATCAGAAACAGATTCGGGATTGAGGTGTCTCAATCCCCCCGTTGATCGTGTATCCGAGTATAAGGCCATGTCTTGCCATATCCGGTTCCAGCCATAGCTCTAGGTCCCCGGGTTGAACACCAAAATGCTGAACGTTCGAATATCCTCTTTGCCCCCAGATCGGCAGACTGCTGCCAAAGGTTGGTTCATCATGGATATTCCTTGGTCAACACCCTGTCTGACCTGCTTAGATTGCCGGAGATGCATAAAGCGCCGCATCAAATGTGATCGGACTACTCCGCGATGCCAGAAATGCACTATTCGCGAGTTCCAATGCCCAGGGTACGATGCGATCCAGCTCAAATGGGGCCTCGGTGTCACTAGGATACAGAAACCGTCTGAGAAATCATCAGCGACCCAGTCTAGCGACAAACCCAAGGACGCGGATAGATCTAGGAGTTCTGCTCTTGTTCCCCGATCAAGGGTTTCTCCTGGGCGAGATATTGAACATCACGTCCCCTGGATCGACCAGATCAACTCTCCAAGATCCGTCGAGAGCACGCCATCGCCCACAAATGATAGATCTCTGGTCGACAGCTACACATCAACTATTCTATCTCGCAATCTTTTCACCCACTTCAACATCAAAGTCGCACCCCGGCTGACATGGGTTGACCGGCCTGACCATCCATGGCGCAAAGTTATCGCCCCTCTAGCACAGCGTTCAGGATGTCTCGGTCTCTCCATCCTCAGCGTTGCAGCAGCACATCTATCATTCACATCATCAGATATCCCGTCTACAACAGCCACAACCCAAAGCATTAACCATCGTCTCCGCGATGCAAGTCTCCACCGACTCAACCAAAAAATCAACACCGAGCTAGCAAATGCCCATTCAACAACCGACCATCTCTCTCGAGACTCCACCTTGATCGAAATCCTAGCCACAACACTCGTGCTCTGCTACGGCGAGATGCTCATCCCCCACTCAACAGACTGGAACCTGCATCTGCACGCCTGCCGCGTTCTCATCGAGCGCTACACCTGGCGCAACAGACACAACGAGCGGCCCAACGCCGCAATCGACTTTATAATCCGCGAAGTAGCCGACATCGAAGTCTTCCGCAACATCGGCGCCTTCTCCATCGAACAACCCTTCATAGCAGACACCGTGCACCACAGATCAATACAATTAGACGACTACTTCCACACGTTTACAGGGGTCTTTCGCGAAATAACCGCCGAAGAAAGACGCAGATATACCCTTTCCCAAACAGCCCAAGAAGAACTAGCAAAAGGAGGGAAAGCAGACCAATCACACTCACAAGCTCCACCTCTACCCATCGACATGGCCTCCTGGCGAGCCAAGGTCGATCTAGCACACACCCGCGCCTCGGCCGATACAACCCGACTAATCACAACGCACGGCGCCAACACGCAGAAATGGATGGACTCGATCGTCCGGGCCGTCTACCACGCTAGCTTGATCTACGCCTACCAATGCCTCGCCCCGATACCCGAAGCTACCGCCGAAATCGGAACATCCATGCCCATTCTCCTAGCGGAAATAGACTTCCTAACCGCCGGCCCGGTGCATAGCTTCTCGCACGACATTTTCGTGCCGCTCTTCATTGCTGGGACGGAGTGCTGGGGGGATCCGGGGAGACAGGGGGCTGTAGAGGGGCGGTTTAGGGAGTTGTTGTCGGCGATGGGGATTTGGTGTAATTTTTCTGCGTTGAGGTTTTTGAAGGCGTTTTGGGGCGCGAGGGGGTATCATCGGGTCGGGGGTGGATTCCTTATGCCAGGGAGAATGAGGGGGATAATGGGCCTTTTCTTGTGTTTTAGATTTGGATTACTGTATGGAGGAGGAGGATTTGTATAGTAAGTAGGTTGACTACAGCATTCTGTGGAAGAGGAGCAATACATTTAACCGGGGCTACACATTTACCCTGAGATAAACGACCATGACCATGACTATAACCATGGGATCGTGAAGAATCTGACACGACGCTGTACTTATTCTGCATGGCGTTTTTTAATCGGTATGCGCGGGACTTCCTTTCGTGCATATACTTGAACTGCATTATCATTAGCATTATCAATATCAAAACATCGATGGGACTTTTGTCCAATTCACCGACTCTTCGGGTACATTTCGGTACATCCAGCGTTGGGGCGAAACGGTTGTCAGCTCTGCTCGGAGTCGCCGTTGCGAGTAAAAATGAGTATACGAGTGAGACCTATAAGTAGATGTAGTCCCCGGCGAGACAAATGCAATGACACCCAGTCAGTGCGAAAGTCAGAATTTCCGCCGTCGTATAGGCTGTAGAGGGAAGGTCAGACTGACAGCGTTGCTCAACCCTGGAAGTAAGTATCTGGATTAGAAATCCAAACACTCTAATTCTCGACCTCGCATCGTGGTATACTCTTATCTGGTTACATTCTGCGATGATTCTGTTTGACATCTTACTATACTCGTATGTTTAACATCTTATTGTACCCGTCCAGTGAAGTCCCATCCAAAACCGAAAGACAGAGTAACCTTCATTAGTACCCCAATGTATACAATGTATAATCGAATAATGTAACTACAGTATCTTGTAACCCCCACTCCCACAATCTCCCCAACCAAAACCCCCAAATCTCACCGTTGCATATCCTGCAGGGCCGTCCGTCAGACGCGAGTCACACTGCCCCTCCTCCCCATCCGGCGTCCAGACTCCAGACTCCACGCCCCCAAACCTGAAGGAGGCTTCAAACCCAGTCGTCATCCCCGATAAGCGACTCCCACGTAGTATCTACACGAGGTGACCAGGGCAGGGAAGGCAAAACGGGGCAGGCTAGACAGGGCTGAAGGTGCAAGGTGTGTCAGGCTGCCAGGATAAATAGGTACGGACGTAGTACGAGGGTTTGTTCCATTTTTATCGCGGGACAAGGATGTGTGCTGTGTTGTATACGGGCGCGGTCCGGGGATTCCCATGGACATACATGCGCGGTCAAGGAGGATAGTACGGAGTACATTCTACAGTTACATCTACAGATCTTCCACACTAACAAAAGGTATTATTATTTCGAGACGAGATTGTTTAGATTTCAAAATCTAGAACTAGAGCTAGAGCTAGACGACCTAACAAGAATCCCGATCGACAAAAAAAAAGATACCACTGCCCAACGGGTGTACCCCAAGTGCCTCACGCGGGGCCACCTCACCGACACTCGCGGATCGTGGATCGCGAGTCGCGGGACGAACGGTGTAGGGTGAGTGTTCTGGACAGGAAACGTGAAAAGTGACAGGGTGGGGTGTGGCGTGCGCAGGGCTTGGAAAATCACAGATAGCGCAGTGCGCGGGAGCGGGTAAAATCGAAATTTGAGGCGCGGGATATCGGGGACAGCGAAAATAACTACGAACAGTACAGAGGACTTGGAACACATTATTGGAAATAAGAAAAATCCAGGTATGCATGACAGGCAAAGAAGTAGCTAACTAGTTGGGTATCTAAGGCTAGAAATGGGACATGATAACGCTCAAACGGGGCAGACAGGAAAAGAATCATGGAGGGGAATCAAGTATGAGAAACAAAAAGAGGAAAAGCAGGCTAGAAAATGGTAAAATAAACACCAGGACCATTTCGGGGATGCAAATAGAGTCAGACGACCAGGGAAATGGAAAAGCAAATCATCATCAGCAAAGGGAAAAACAAGATCAAGCGCTGCAACATGCGAGAACGTGTCGGAGGGAATCGACGGGATGACGAAAAAAGGATTAAGTATGAGTCAAAGGGAGGGGCCAAGGACAACCAGCGGTGAAAGAACAGGAAAGTCAAGAGGCCCAGAGAAGGAGGATTTCTGGAAGCGCCGACAGCGTTGGGAAATTAGGTAAGCGCGGGGAGATCCCCGGGCTCTTGCGATAAGGCCCGATCTGGCGTGACTTGACATTTGGCTTTGGGCACTGGCACTGGGCACTCCCTGGAGGACTGTCTCGTTGGCCTTGTTGCAGAAATGAGGCGCACACTCCATGCGATCGGCACTGCTGACGGATCTCGCAGCTGCCTGGACCCCGTCATCTGATTCGGTAGGGGCCCGCGGAGTATCACGGGTGGACGATAAACAACTCGGAGCCCGATGGGGATGGGGCCTGTCTCCAGGCTCCGCAGAGGGGTCAGAGGGGTGGGGGTGATGGGGATTGCTGGTTGTTTGGCAGGTGAAGCGAAGGAAAGGAAAAAAAATTATGTTTGAAGACAGGAGACTATTGCGCAAGCGCAATAGTCAAAGAAGCGAAGTCGTAAACTCGGAGAGCGCCCGCGCCACACCGAAATAGTACATCGGTGCGCGTTCACACTTAGTGCGCGGCAATCGATACTTTGGCCGATGACGAGTGGGCGCGTCGCTTGGGAGTTGGGACGACTCGACGCTTCTTGCGCTTGGAGCTGGTCGTGTCGCGATCGTGCATGGCCAGCTTGGTCTGTCGGAGGGCCTGGGTTGCTCGGGCGTGGGCCTCGACCTTGGCCAGGAAGCGAAGGCGATCTTCTTCCTCGGCGACGGCGCGCATGCGTGCCAACTGTTGCTCCATGGTTAAGGAAGAGACCATCTCGTGGGTCTTGGTAGCATCCTCATCTAGCTCGGGGGCTCGGCACCGGCGTTCTCGGGCATCCACAGCAGGTCTTCGTCGGAGAGATAGGCGTTGGTGCAGGAGTCGTGACAGTCGCCCGTTGATAGAGACTGTCGGTTAGGCCAGGAGGGGAAGGCACACGCAGCGCCCATACCATACTCGCTGGAGAATGAAGACTTGCGCGGGTGGATGTCGAGTAAAGAGTCGGTTGGCGTGGGCGGAGGAGCGGATGGGTTGGAGAGAGGCGAGCACTCGAAGGAGCTCCCACTCCAGGAGAAGCTCACTTGTGCTGGATCAGTGCTGGCCACGGGAGCCAAGGCACTGGACTTGGCCAGCGCCATGTCGCGTATCCGCGACTGAATAGGGATCATTGTGATGGGTGATGGTGAGAAGTATGTCGAGGAGATGTTGTATGGAGAGTGTGTTGGAGAGTGTTGGAGAGTGTTGGAGAGTGTTGTAGAGTATGTTGGAGAGAGGATGTTGTGGAGAGAGAGAGGCGAAGGTATAAGAAGGTGGATGGTTGGAAAGAGACGGTGACAGGTAAGAAGGAAGAAAGTGGATGAGTCGAGGGAGTTTATCAGAGAGTCCAGACGATCAAGAGACAAGAGACGGTGTGTGGCATCTCAAGATCAAAGCCGGGGAAATGGCTTCTAGACTGCCGCCGCAACCCTTGCAGTTCCCGACGGAGACCACTGAGACACCCAAAGGAGGAAGGTGAAAAATAAAGAAATTAAATAATTAATTTCTGTATTTTTCTTTTTCCTTTTTCCTTTTTTTTAATTTTTATTTTCTTTTGGGGGGAACTCCCAAAAAGACCCGACAATCAGGCGGGAAGCGGGTTCCGTGCAGTGAGGCGGACGATCCGTCAATCAACGTGAGCGGATCAACAAATCGGACTGGCCCACCAACAAAAAAAAAAAAAAAAAAAGAATATAAAAAATAAGAACAAAATCCCAGAGGGCTGGGATTTATTTGACAGCCGCCCTTAGAAAAAGAGAAGGGGTTCGATGTATCGGTTTCAACCTTTTGTTGCGCGGTGTCCGCGGAGGAGAAGATCGGATAGGATTCAAGTGTCCTCGGTGACAGTCGAGAGAGCAGAGTCGACAAAGTACCAGATGTCAGTGGCGGGTGAGGAATCTCCCAGAAATTCCCACAATCATAATAAACCCATCCAAAATGGGTCCAGGATCTGTTTCCGAGTAATGCTGGAGATCCCTAGGGAAAAAATGTACATCCCTTGCGGCCAAACCCCCCCCAACGATCTGAGATATCTGAGATATCGATGGGTGGAATCGAGGTTCCCCGAAAGGGCGGGATGAGCTGCAGCGGGGGAACTGATCCGCAAGGTAAATCAGATTGTTTTATTTTTCTTGCGGTGAAACCCACAGCGAAAAGGGACCAGAGAGGAATGTACCCCAGCCGCGGTGTAAATGGTCGAATGGATTGGGTTGCTGCCCGGAATTCACCGCTTCGGAAGCGCGTTGCGGGAAGGGCTGCAGGACGGAGGACAGGACGATGGAGTAGTACTCCAGTTTGTGTAGTTTTGAATAGGGCAAAAGTCGGTCGCGAGGTACTGCCCAAACACTGCAATACGGGGGTGGATGCGATAGTCACGGAGTACGGAGAAGACGGTTGGCGGTCAAATAGGCAAAGCAAACACGTCAACACCGTTTCTTGGATGACAGTGTGTGGACGGAGTATGTAGTCAAAGACAATGGTCGAGTGTCGATCAATAGTTCCAGCAAATCTGCAGTAGCGCGTTGATATGTGGAAGAGTCAGTAGGAGTGATAGATGATCACCATTAATGAACCTCGGGCGCGCGCGACGGACAGACGAGGCGCGATCTTTTTAATAATAATGACTCCCCAGGTCTCCGGACGAGCAATACACCTAAAAGCCGAGGGATCTCAACACTCGCCCGCCGGTTCCAAACATTCAGCCAACTCTAACTTCCAAAATGGAGAATCTCCGGACTCTGCCCATCTGAACAAGTTCTTCCGCGGTCCATTTCCTCCCGACACCCCCGGTTCGGATCCAGTTCTCGGGAGCCTGGCTCAGAGCCCGTGGGGGCTTTCATTTGCTTGTGATGCCCAAGAGAGAGTCTTTTCTGATCCCCCTCTGGAAGGCTTTTCGAGAGGCACAAGGCACGCTAGTTCAGACACATTATCCGCTAGAAACAAATGGTTAAAATCATTATTATTGCCTGAAAAGCACAGAATCCAGTATCCAAGACTCCGTAAATTATACCTTCCTATTCTCGACTGCCGCGCCGGAATAGTCAACTATAGACTATGATGGTACTGTAGACACCGTGACGGGAAGAACGAGAACGCCCGGGTCCGTCTCTAGAGAGGAAAATCGGTCAGAATCCGTCAAATCCGACCTTGTGGCCTTCGCAACGGATTCTGATTGGGAGAAACGACCAAAAAGCTCAAAATGATGGCCAACGGTTTCCGCTCCGGACACTTCCCCGTCTTTCTCCACACGGAGCAGCGGAGGGCAATCCTGGAAGAGCGATGAACCGGCCAAACACCCGGCCCCAATAACACCGAGCTATCACGGTCGCATTCTTCCATACTCGAGTAGCATCAGGGGCGTGATCAGCATGAAAGAACCAAGACACCTTCTTTGTTATACATAACATGGACTGGACTCTCCTTCCAATCCCTAAACCCATCAACCACCGACTATCCCTCGACAACTCAAAAATGTGACGCAAAAGCAAGAACAATGAAATAAACCGCCGGAGAACGGGAGAAACACCCTCTCACATTTTTACCTTTTTTTTCCCAGCGGTTAGCGGTTCTCCTAAAGCCGCAAATCATAGCCGGAGGTCCGCCTGGCAAATGGTTCTTTGGAAGTTGGAACTACCCGAGGTCGAACGGGGAGGGGTCAGGGATTGTGGAAGACTGGAAAAGACCGGAACAGGTGGAAGAGTTGCGACCGAGGTTTTTGCGCCAATCATAAGTGCTTTCCTCCATTGGCCGTCCCAATTTACCCGTCCAGCGATGAGGGCTTCTGATTCTTTGTTTTGATGGTCTGGCCACTGGCCAGACTGCTTCGTAGTTGCCCGTCTGGGGGAGTCTAGATCGCGGAGTTTGGACCGAGTCCCTTTGAAAGAGAACACCTCGACTCTAGTCAACGAAGAAGTACATACTCCATACTCTATACAGTACGGAGACTACTGTAACCACTAGTTAGTCAATTATTATTTCATTTTTGGATGGTGGCTTTATTCCTGTGATTCCAAACACATCAGATACAAACCCCCTATCCCTCCTTTCCTCTCCCCCTCCCCTTCGTACTTTCGACCGCTGGTATTTTGGCACTTCCGACACATCTCCCGGAGACTTGCTGCTCGATAAGGCGCAGATGCGCAAGATCATTCCCAGCTTAGCGTTTCCGCCAGCGGCACACCCATTTCTCTTCCCCGGCGCCCCCAAGTGGAGTCGTCCCAGTGCCGCGGGTTCCCCTTAAAAAAGACACTCCCATCAGACCGGGTCGACAGGTCACTCTCATGATCGAGGATCACCAAAATCCAGAGTTATTTCTAATGTTGTTGCTGGCTCTGCACATGCTCGAGTCCCGGGGTCCAGGAAACCCGTCACATTAGACATCAGATGCACCCTGTGCAGATACACTCTATATTTCGTACTTTGCAGCCCGCCGGGGAAACGGGGAAGGGTGCCTTTTACACGCTCTGTCTTGTCTCCAGTCTAGTGTTTTACGGAGTACACCTACATAACCGGAGGGGCTGGCCTGGCCCTTTGGACAGAGGTGACAATTAGAGGTGACGATTCAGACCCAATCAGGAAATTAACACGGGCTGTCATCCTTCATATCCATTTGACATGTTCCTCGGTACCTTTGGGAAATGCAACATAGTTCCTTGCCCACTGATCCATGATCCATCAGCTTGTTCTGGTCCGGCTCCTGGGGACGGGCCGCGGCCGATCGGTCCAACGATCAGCAGCACGTCGTGATCGTGGCCTCCTCGGTCTCCCCCCTTTTCCCAGCGCCTCGGTGTTTCATTAACCTCTTAGCTGTTCCCTGTTACCAATTTGCTGGGTACCTTATGACAGCTAGTGCGGATAGTCAGGAACATACTGTACTCCGTAGTATTCCGTCTATATTAATTGCTTGGTCACTGCCTGACTACGGAGTCCAACACTTGAAATTCTATGGGGTCTCGGGAGGTGGGCGGTTAGACATGAGGGGGCTGAGGGATTGAGGGACGCCTCCGAATGAGGCAGGTCGGGTTTTGATGTTTTGATCAGGCATGGGAGACAAGGAGAAATTTTCATCTCTTCGGCGACCGGAGGAGTCCGACAAAGGAGAGAATCAGGGAGTCCTCGACTCCTGTCTGCGATGTCTCTCTCTTCATCTCACATACTTTGGATGCTGTTTGCCCAGGGGTCCTTGTTTGCATAGTGTATAGCGCTGCAAACATTGGATCTGTAGACTATGATTTGACAAGAATGGAATGGGTAGAGTACAACACATACGGTTTGGGGTTCGGATAGAATTGGACAGGCAAATCACAGTCTCGAATTCCAAACTCACTATTATACACTTGAAATATGGCGGATCATTAGTCCCTCCCGCCCGCTTGATCCTATCAACCTTTCCGGGACTTCCCTGCGTCTGCATCTGCACCTCATATGCAAGATCTCTGAAATCAAATCGGCATAAGCAAGGACGCGTTCCGCCATGATTGTCCCCGCTAGCTTAGAGGACTATCTTCCAAGAGGCAGGAATACTCCGTGCTTTCGAAGCAATCACTAGCTACTGTATAGTAGCTCCTAGCTCCTAGCTATCCCACCTCTGCAAGACCTGTACCCAGTAGGGCCGTGACAGCTCCCGTGTACACGGCCACTGGCAGGATTCCAACATCTCCCCGGGCGCCTCGTTGTCACCGCCACCCGATAGCTCGCAGCCACACATCCACAAGCCCGGACGTGCATTTGCCACAGCTGCACAGTTCTCGATCGAGCACTGCTCTTTCAAAAGGAGGGGATATCAAAGAATACTTCTGTTCTATATAGTCCCCCACTATTTGCAATTATTCAAGGTCAAAGCACAAGCTCTAGAGCTCGACTTGTGTAGCATGTAAAAATAAAGGAGCTTTGATCCCTCCGCACTCTGAAGAGGTAAATTCAAAGACCGAACCATGGAAACCAGCTCGACTCCCCCGTGGGGGAGGGGGCCCAGATCATCTCCGCCTCCGGAATGTGACACGGCCAGCCGCACAGTCATCGCACAAGCGCTCTGTCCCCCTACGCAGTACTCCGTACAGAGTACAGAGTGCAGTAGTACGAGTTCTGAAGAAAGTCCTTTGGACGAGACTGCAGTGTGAGTAACCTTAAGCCCGTCCGGAACTGTATCCGCGGTCCGCACGGGGCTTGCTACGGTCGCGGCCTTCACTGCGTATCCCGAGACGTGTCGCGGGGAAAGCTGGTTTAGGTTTCTCGATTGGATTCAAGGATCGTGATCGTGATCATGATTGTGTTGGCCTGGGCTGGGCTGGGCTGGGCTTGGCTTGGCTGGCGGAGCATACCATCGTCCACAACTCATACATAACACGGGGTACTCGCCACCCCTGACTCATACTAGGGAGAGGAAGGGGATGCGTAGGGGGGGGAGGTATGAGTGTCTATAGGTTAGATGGAACTGTAGCAGTCTGACCTCAGACCTCTTGCTTTCAGCACGTCTGGTCAATAATGCTTGGTCTTGTACGATGTACGAATTTGGTAGGCTTGTCTCTCACATACGATTGGATCGGGCTAGGCCTTTGGTCGCTCTTCCGTTACGACGACTCTTTGCCTGTGTAGTTCATTCGTCTATCGTCGATGAATCAGTCTTGTATATCTCACATATCACGAGCGACCGTAGATTTCAATCTTATAATCAATCTATTTGATACGAGAATCATTATTAACCCAAAAAAATTGCCTTTCTATGGCTTTCACTAACGTTGTTGGCCAGCGAATGCCGCTCGCCATCACGACTGTGTCTGCCACAAACAAACCAAGAAAGTACCCTACCCATGTCTAGCCAGCACCCAAAATTCATCCGCTCCTGTCCATCCCAAAATGAAAGCTAGTCTCAACCCCTCCAATCACATCTTAATTTTGATCAACTGTCTGGTAACCATTACTCCCCGATCGAGCACCTAGCTCGTTTCTCGAACCCTTCGACGCAGCCAATGCATTCGGCATGTATAAGCCCGCCATCTGCCGCGAGCCTGGGTACTATTGCCAATATAGCGGACGATACATCTTCGGCAGGCTTCTTTGATCCCTCCCTCTCAAAATTTGTTTGATCTCTTTATTTGCCAAAGCCACCCCGTCATGACTCAACAGGCCTTGCGGCCTCCTACATCTAACCAAGGTAGCGATAGTCCCGCGACCGCATTTGCATGTGCGTTGTTACTTACGTACATAATGTACAATATCCGGTTTCTGCAAACTGCAGAATACAAACTGGAGACTGCAAATTAGGCGCTGTGGCAGCCAGTGCTTCTGAATTGATTGGTTGCGAATGAGCGGTGGGAGGACCTATAGATGGAGAGTGTTGGAGTTTGGACTGGGGATTGGGGTGATGGGCGTACAGGGTCAGCAATATCCGACTGCACATGAAAATCGTAAGAGACTAGGACGGAACTGTTGGAAGGGGACAGAGATACGTCTTTGTTAGTCGAGCGGTGTGCGAGATCTTAATTTTGGCTTCTCTTTGCTTGGTGAGGAGGCATCGCTTGCTCGTTAGCTTGATAGAATGGAACTGGCGGGAATTTTGTTCCCAACAGTTGGCAATGATTGTTTTTAATGAGGGTCATTCGATTCTATTAATGTACTTCGGGTGACGAGGTCAGTGTGATTAGAAAAGATAATCTTTTGCGAGGCTTATATCCTTGTTTTCTATCAGTACAGTATTTTGTAGGTCACTTGCAGAAGTGAAGATATCTGCTTACATGATCTCTATGCTGATTTACTTTGCTTGTCATACCTACAATACCAAGAACGCTTATACATCGTGCATATCCCATTGTCTCGAGAATACTATCATTCCGAGGATAGGGCAGTCATATACCATTCCACATGAATCACCACGTAGAAGCCTATTGGTTTCAGGCGTTCCCTTAGGCCACCCCCAACCCCCCGGCTCCATTGGCCCTCTATATATATCCGCCTGGCCAGAGGTGTAGAACAAGTGCAGGCTTTGAGCTCGTGTAAAGTGACCAACCTTGGTTATAGTTAGATCCATGTTGGGATCCTCCAGTCGTTGAGTAAATCATGAATATACAGTAAGACAGGCTTAGCATCAGATCTCTACAGCGCTTGCTAAGTCATTGCTCTGGTATACTCTAGCACATCGTCGTTCTCATCAATCTATAAGCAGATAGGAAGGCCGTTCTTGAGTAGAATCGGGTAATATGGGGTTGCTTCTCCTGGAGATCCTTTTGCCCTGTTTAATATTAGTCTTCTATACATCTCCTAGCCCCTCTAGTTCTCGGTCAACAGAGGGATTTTATCAGCCTGTACCAGCAATACTGGAATTCTCACTGACCCAGTGCCCTATCTCAGCCTCATCTATACGAGGTCTCAATCTATTTGCGAAGGTAGAATTCTAGCTGCCTGGTGTATCGCGTCCAGACAAGCTTGATCGCCTGCATGAACTCCTATCTTCGCTCCCCGCACATTCCACAGGCTTGAATAGGGCAAAAAAGCTCACAATTTAACCTTTCTGCACGTCGATCATCCGCAATAAACTATATTCAGCCCCAGAATACGAAGAACACGAACACTGACGATGCAATGAATACTACCTCAACCTCACAGTCTTGCTAAATTGTACCTCAAAATGAAGTATAAAGAACAACACATTCTACGCTGCAGAGAGTCATTCCAATCTCAAGCAAAGCTCAATCAATTCTAACAATCTCCCACTATCTTCATCCACAACCACTTTCTCTCACACTCGAGACATCTCAAACTTCAAAATGAAGGTAACCGGTCCTGCTATCGCCACCCTCATCACTCTCCTCCCCATGGCAAATGCCTGGATCTTCCAAACCTGCGCCGGCCGGGCCGATAGCACCGAGAACCGCGGCTGTAGTCAGGCAGCCTGTGGCACTGGCACCACCATCGACTGGAGCAACCCGACCTGGATCAAGTACTGTGTGCTTCGAATCTACAAGAACAGCGACTGCACTGGCCAGATTGGCATTTCGACTGAGGATTGGCAGCATACTCTTACTCAGCCCATGGCAGCTTGGGATGTTCAGGGCTGTTAGATGGAGAGATTGGCCTGACGGTTGAGGATTGCGTTGACTTCGGGCGCGTTTGCTCGAGGTGGTCGAGGGAGCTGTTTGTTTGCTGATGTCTGACTTGCCTTACTGTCGTTACATATCTTCAAGAATTTATCAATTAAAGCACTCTTTGCTGCAGAAGCCTACCACGGTCACCAAGGAGCAATTGGAATGATAAAGTCAATATGCTTGAGAATTAAGACCTCCTGCCGATAGACTGACTGTATATTCTGACCAGATCGGCCTGAAGCTGTTCTTCCTTTTTTCTTGCTTTTTGTTATATGTAGCATCTCATCGTAGAGCGGTTGATCTATATATAGGTATGCTGGTGGGTACGTCCACCCTTAGCAGAATATATTCCCGCTTTCTGGAAAGTAGATCAATCATCTATGGTATACTGTCGAACCACCATCGCCCGAATTGATCGACTTGGCAAGCGGATCGTATCCACAAAGGATATTCTCGTCATTGGTAACTCCCGAAATCAGAAGCAGACCACACATGAAAATTCCCACTATACCAGCTATTCTAAGCTGTGAATATCTTTCAGCACCTCATCTCTCGTTTGTAGAAGGGGGTCGCTTACAGTACATATTCCAGTCTAGGGTAGTCTAGCCTCGACTCTAGCTTGACTCGGCCGCGTAGACTTGAAAACAACCTAGCTCTACTAGGCAAGTCTAGTCACTAGTCACCTTATCTCGTTAAGCGTTCCCTCTGCCGTCGGCAATCCTGGTATGAAACGGCTTGGCTTCGCCGCAGCTGATAACGATATCGTCGTATCTCCTCGCGCCACCCATCTATCTTCAACACCATCCAACTGCCGATGGTCCTACAATCTGCACCTCTCCAGATTCTGGCATCAACAAATTATTACTGTCTCAAACTCAGTGAATACTCAGAATCTTGGACAATCACTTGCGATAAGACATTTTCTGTCCGGGCAAAAGCGGGGTCAAACCTTCCTATCTTGTACTAAACATGCCGACTCCACTTTCAAAAGATCGGCCTGTCTTGTCGTCGGCTTAGCCTTATCTATACACTTCCCCGCGATCATTGCGCTACAGTCAATGCCAGTCGGTCATGGTGAAGAGGGGAATAATTAAAAGAGACCTGCCCGCACAAGGCCTGTGCGATCTGAGATTTCCAAGTATCCCCTCCCGGGTCTGTAAACTTGCCCGAGTATAGTTCATTCGCGCAACATGGAGAAGCTCAAGGCTGAGACTGCCAAGTCTACCTTTGAGAAGACTGATGAGGAGGTAGAAGTGGCCATCGGCAATACTCAGCTTGAGCCGGATTTCGCCGACAATACGAATGAGGAGTATAGCTATGAATCGGATCGGTCACCATTTCCAGAAGGTAAGTGAGAATGAGGATCTTGTTTTACTGTTGTCTGCAATGGGCTTACAATCCTTTAGTCAGGGCTGTCGTCCCCGAGACGGATGACCCCAGCATGCCCGTCAGTACTGTGCGCATGTGGGTGCTGGGCATTGTATTCACCATCCTGGGCTCCGGCATAAACCAGTTCTTCTCCCTGAGATATCCATCGGTCCACATTGTAGCGCTCGTCGCAGAGCTACTCGCATATCCCCTGGGCGTCTTCCTCGCAAAGACACTCCCACTTTCCACCATTAGCCTGGGTCGTCTGGGCTCCTTCACGATTAATCCAGATCGCAAATTCAACATCAAAGAACATGCGCTTATCGTGATCATGAGCAATGTCTCGTTTGGCTTTGCTACTGCCGACGCGACCAACATCATTCAAGCTGCGAGCAAGTCTTTCTATAACTTCCAACTGAAGCCCGGCTTCTACGTGATGATCGTGTTGTGCGCCCAGCTTCTGGGATTCGGAGTGGCTGGACTGTCAGCGCCTTGGCTAGTTGAACCAGCACGGATTATCTGGCCAGGTGTGCTCTCCAACTGTGCTATGCTAGAAACACTTCATTCTCGAGCTAATACAATTGCCAATGGTTGGCGAATCTCCCGTCTGCGCTTCTTTCTTTACGTTATGGGCGGTGCATTCGTCTGGTATTGGTTCCCGGGTCTGATTTTCACCGCGCTCTCATACTTCACCTGGGTCTGCTGGATTGCGCCGAAGAATATCGTCGTCAATCAGCTATTCGGTATGCAAACCGGACTCGGCCTAAGTCCAATTACCTTCGACTGGAGTCAAGTTGCGTATAACACCAATCCGCTACTATCGCCATCATGGGCAGCAATCAACGTCTTCTTCGGTTTCGCGTTCTTCTTCTGGATCATCACCCCGATTCTCTACTACACAAACACCTGGTTCACGGCGTATCTGCCTATGATGACGAGTGATGTGTACGACAATACAGGCGCTGTCTACGACACGTCCCGTGTCGTGGGAGCAGACAATACTCTCAACGTCGCAGCATATCGCAAGTATTCACCCCCATTTCTGGGTGCAACGTTTGCATTCGTTTATGGCCTTTCTTTTGCTTCCATTACCTCCGTACTCTCGCACATTGGCATCTGGCATGCACGCGACCTATGGGCCGCCATGAAAGGTCGCAACAAGCTTGACATCCACGCTCGCCTTATCCGTGCTTCGTACCGCAAGACACCCTGGTACTGGTACGCCACCATCATTGTGATCATCATGGCCATGGCTATTGCCATGGTAGAAATCTACGAGACTAAGCTTCCCGTGTACGGTGTGTTCTTGGGACTAATCATCCCAGCTATTTACATGGTCCCTTGCGGAATCGTCCAGGGTATTACGAACGTTGATGCGAATCAACTCAATGTGCTCGCTGAGTTCATCGGTGGATACATGTTCGAAGGCAAACCGCTCGCAAACATGATCTTCAAGATATTGTCCACGGATGTCGTCGGCCAGGGCGTGTATTTCGCCATGGACATGAAACTCGCGCATTATCTGAAAGTACCCCCGCGGACTACTTTCGTCGCGCAGGGCATTGCGACGATCCTGGGTGCACTCACGCAGGCGGGTGTGACGATCTGGATGTTGGGCAATATCGATGGGATCTGCGAGTCGGACCAAGCGGATGGATTTTCTTGTCCCAATGGCCGGACTGTATACTCGTCGTCCGTGATTTGGGGTCTTGTTGGACCGCGCAGACTCTACTCGGCCGGCGAGATATACTCTCCGCTGCTTCACTTCTTCTGGATCGGAGCCATTGCGCCTTTCGTGACGTGGGCGTTGTATCGCTATACCAGGAAGCGCTTCTGGAAATTGATCAATTGGCCTTTGATTTTTGTAGGCACATACAATGTCCCTCCTGGTACGTTTTTATTCCCGACTTTTTCCATCGCCTTTGACTCACCCGTATTCTATTTAGCAACCGGTATCAATTATTCCAGCTGGGCGTTAGTCAACTTCGTCTTCAATCACATCCTGAAACGTCGCTTCTTCGCCTGGTGGACCAAGTACAATTATATCCTGGCTGCCGCTCTAGATACAGGTCTTGCGCTTAGTGGCATTGTCATTTTCTTCTGCATCTCTTATCCTGGGGCTTCTTTCCCGGATTGGTGGGGGAACAATGTTTACTTGAACACTGCCGATGGCCAGGGTTTGGCATATAAGGCTATGCCGGAGGTAGGATACTTTGGGCCTGCTAATGGAACATGGACCTAATTTCAGTGAAATGATTCTGGGAGCCGGGCATGTGATGCATACACGAACTGCAAATCTTTTGACATTTACATAGTTTTCTACATGCAGGCACGACAAAGTTACAGGGTATCGTGAGCTGACATCGTTGAGTGTAGAGCACGATCGCTCAGTCTCGACTTTGTGACCATCCCCCTAAGACTAAATTGGCTCGGATGATATCTATATCTTATATGACGCAAGTTGAAATTCGAAAGTATACATTCATGTTCTGAAAGTACCATCATATCGGTTAAAAGCCGCAAGTACAAAACGGATATCATCACTCGTAAACCCCATGCTCCAGAAAATCCACCCTGAAAATGCTAAACAAGGACCGAATCCGACAAAACAAGACGAGCCATAAAACAATCCACTTCTTACAGCTCCTCAAAGGCAATGTTGGGGTGCAGCACGTAAAGGATCTTGTCACCCTCAGCATCCTGCTGGGTCGAAGCCTCGGCTTCGAGGCTTGACGTGATGCGCAGAAGCATACCCTCACGGACCATGCGCTTGATAACCTTGGAGCATAGATTGCGTTCGCGAGCCATGTCCTCCTGGGTATCCAGCTCAGCCTCGATTTGCTCCAGGTACCAAATGATAAGATCCTCTTGCTCAACACCCTCACCCTGGTTGATCTCATCCTCCCTGATGCGCTGTACGACAAAGTTGAGAATCTTCGCGTACTTCTCATAGGTGATCTTGGTCTTTTGGCGTTCGGGCTTCTCAACAGGTGCTGCCTCCTCGCCCTCGTCACGCATAGGGCTGTCGCCCTCACGGTCGCGATCGGCCATCTCCTCGTCCTCGTTGGCATTCCGACCCGCAGAGGCAGGGACGTCGTCATCAAACTCAACGTCATCCTTCTCGACAGTCACGATACTCTGCTTCAGGAGGTCGTAGGCCTCATTGACAAACTTGGGAGTAACCTCCTCAACACAGTTCACCTTGGCCACGGCTTCGGACAGCCGGATCAGAGACTCCAGCTGACGAACTGTGATGCGGTATGAACTACGGCCAATACCACCCTGTGCGTCGTTTGCACGGAGCTCCTTGTACCTCTGGACAAGCAGCGTCTTCGCTTCCTCGGTGAAGGTTGGCTTGAATGTCCGCGCGAATTGAATGTAGCGCTGCAGCTGTTCAGTGCTGAACTCCGGCTGGACGGCCTCGTCACGGTTCATGTGCACGTTGATAATGTGATCAGCCAGCTTGCGGTCAACGGCCTCCTTGGGGTCATCACGAATGATAAAGAACACGTCGAAACGACTCATGATGGGTGCACTGAAGTTCAGGTTCTGACGCAGCGTCAACTTCGGGTTGTAACGGCCGCCAATGGGATTGGCCGCGGCGAGGATGGAGGCACGAGCGTTGAGGGTTGTGTGAATGCCAGCTTTGGCGATAGAGATAGTTTGCTGTTCCATTGCTTCGTGAATGGCAACTTGGTCTGCAATGTCCATCTTGTCGAACTCATCGATGGCGCAAATACCACCACCATTCTGGGGAGGCTGTTAGCGATGGTCTCTAATCTGGTAAATTGATATACGTACAGCAAGCATCAGGGCACCGGCTTCGATGGTGAACTCGCCCGTCTCGGCATCTTTCACGACAGAGGCAGTCAAACCGGCGGCAGAAGAAGCCTTTCCACTGGTATAGACAGCACGGGGGTTCAGGGAGCAAATATACCTAGGAAGTTTCGTTAGAAAGTCGGATCCCAGTGGTTCCAATCACACAGGCATCACTCACTTCAAGAACTGACTCTTACTGGTGGATGGATCACCAACGATACACAGGTTGATATCACCACGCAGCTGCAAGCTTTCCTGTTGAGTGGTTTTGCCGACACCGCCAACCAATTGCAACAGCAGACCCTTCTTCACTTGGCGATGACCCCAGATCATGGGGGCAATCGAGTCCACCAATCGACCATAGATGTACTCCGAGTGCACCAGTCGCTTCAGGTCTTCGACCTCGGTAGCGGTCAAACTGTTCAAGAACGCTTCTTGGGCCTTCTCATCATTCATATCCGGGTCCAGATGCTGGTTCAAAGACGCCAGAATGTTATTTGCCTGCCCACTGAGCTGCTGCTCTGGCTTCTGGCCTGGTGTCGTGGTATCGGGGGTGACCATGCAGGCCAGGAAAGCGAGGCGGTAGGTCAGATCACGGACACCGAGCGCCTTCAAGCCAGACACGCCGCCACCTCCAACTTCGCTGCCACGGAAAGAGGTGTTATCCCGAACGGCTTCAGGGCGCACACCAGGAAGACCCAGTTGGCTAACATCAGGAACGACAATAAGAGTACCAGTGAAAATGCAGCGCTCGCCAGCCTTTGCACGGTCAACCATCTCACCGCGCAGGATGATATCCATTGTACGGGGCATGCTACCGGTAGGAATCTCATGAGAAGACTCCTGGAGCTTCACCTTCTGCCAGTCAACAAAGGTACTCTTGCCAATATCCAGACGCCAGCCAAAGCGGTTACCGCAGACTGCGTTGGGGCACTCGGTGGGCTCGGTGTACTTGAAAGTCTGCTCAACATTGGGCACCACTGTTCTGCAGCCCTCGCAAATGAAGGTTCCCAGCGACAACTCGGGTCGAATTTCAGAGGTTCGCGTGACGGTTCCCGAGACGGAGAGCAGCCGACCGATCTGTCTGGTGCGCAACTGGCGCAGTCGAGACACCAGCGGCAGATTGTAGAAGGCAAGCGCAAACAGTTTATCCGTCTGTTGGTGGCGGGTCTTCTCACGGATCTGACGTTCCAGGTCTGGGTTGTCGTTTACGCTGGCATAAGCGGACGCGACCGAGGTACTGGGTTGGGAGGAAGCGCTGGAGGCAAGTCGGTGTGAAACGAAGTATTCCGGCTCGTATTTGGCGACCAAGTTGTGGAGGCCCTTGGTGAGGAATGGGAGGAATCGGTAGTACTGCTCGGCGATGGCATCGGCCAGAATGGGATTGTGCCACTTGGCTAAGTGGTTGAAATCCACGTAGAGGGTGGACAGCTCAAACTTCTTCAAGCCCTTGATCTGGGCAATGTAATATTTGTCGCTCAGCATCTCACCCGACGAGGGTGGTGCTGATGAGGAGGGGTCCATGATGAAAGTCTCCAATAGCTCCTCAAATTCCGCTCGCACTCTTTCTCCAGCCTCATCGACCACGGGGGCAGGCCCTGGGGCGTAGGGATTCCGTAGCCGATTGACAGCGGATGTGCTGGCCCCGACCACTCGGTCATCGGGAAAGGCATTCATATCACTCATGGGACCATTGCTCTCGGAACGTCGAGAACTCGGCAGGTTGTCGGAGCGGATATTGTCACGGGCACCAGACCCTGAGCCACCCAGCTCCGACTGGAGAACGGCATCGACGAGACTAGACATGGTAGGGAGAGCTTCAGGCCAAACAGTTGGCCGTGACAGAGGGATTGAGCTCTCACGGATACCAAGGAGGGAGGTGATAGTGGATGGAAATTGGATTGAGTGATCAGACGAAGATAGCAATGCACCCACACACACACACACACACAAGGAGAGGGGGGACTCTTTTTTCGCAGGGACGCGAACGCGCGAGACGCGTCTCCGGAATATCCGATTATCCGATTATCCGAGGAGGGACGCGTTAAGTGGTTTTCCCCTTAGTCAGCAACCCAAATCACCGGGATTCCGAGGCCAGTTACGCTAGTCCCAAAGAGGCAATAGTAAATTACGTCATCCGGAAAGCCCGCAGCAGCCACAGCACACTAAACCGAGTCGGGGCATTAGTCTCCCCTCATCCTTTTCTGCAGGTGACTCTTGACTCGCCGTCGCAGGCAGTGGACACCTGTCGAATGTGGCCAAAGGTGGTCGCAAACTTGGCCAAAGGTGGGCAAAGGTGGGCAAAAAGGTTCAGCGCTGAGCCCGTCACAAACGCCCCCAAAAGGTTTTTTTTCGGTTTTCTTTGCGAGTGAACGCCGATTCCCTTCTCTCTTCCTCCCCGGCAGGGCAGGTTCTTTAGGGTTGACTTCCTCATCAACCACTTTCAGCCAGTCACACTCTCGGGATGACTTTTCGTTGACGCCACCTCCCCCTCGCCCTCTCCTTCCCCTCGCCCTCGCCCTCGCTCTTGTACCTTGTTGAGGAAAAAACAATCCAAAATGGTCGCACTGCCACTGTAAAGCCCGATATGGGGCGCTCCACTCTCCTCCGGGGTTTTAACCAATTTCACTAGGCCCTTCAGCCAGTTTGGGTAATACCTTCAACACCCCCCTCCCCCCCAACATGCGCCTTGTTTTCTCGGATGATCTCTACACATCAACTCCTGAATGCCACCCTGCCTTCTTCTGCAGTGCAGAGACTGAGCTGGTCTGGGAGGAAAGCCTTGTCTTCTCGCCAATTCTGATCTCTCCGATCCTTCACACACTCGGGTGAACCGGATACGATCAACCCTAGGATCCGCTGTTTCGCCTTGCATTGCGGGTTGAGTATAATTGTCATCTGCCTAATCAAACGTCACCCTCCCGTCCTATCACCCTTTCTGCGAGCACCAGCATATCAATCCCGGCCCCCCCCCTCGCCCTCTCCGACTGGTCGCCCGCATCAGAGGCCTGCGATGGTTCTGCGCAAATCCCGACACGGAGGCTGGAAGGAATCTTGGTGATTACCTGCACGGTATGCAGCTGTAGTCAGTGTTGAATTGCGTCGAGACCGCCAGTGCCTTCTATCGTGTCATCATGTCGAACAACGGACAACCGCCGGTGGATTCAGCGCGGGCCCCTCCAACCATTGGGTCTTCAACCTCGTCGACACCGGGTGTTCCGGGTACGTGATATCCTCCCCTCCATATCAGATTCTTGAGGCAATCCATATCTCAGTTGGTAATGGTGACTCATATTCGCATCTCTTTTTCTACAGGGCCCTCCAGCAGTAACGATTCAAATTTAAAGTCGCGACGACGCCGACGTGGCGCTGACCCGGAATCTCAATCCAAGAACCAGTCATTCTATTTTGTCGATTCAACCTCGTCCTCGAAGGAAAAGCGGGCACATGTGATGAGACACCATGTCCAGGAGAAAAGGAAGCACCGCAAACTTTCACATGGAAGCTTGCAGCCGGAACAGGCTCCGGGGCCACCAGTCTGGCCAGTCAGGACCGATTCAGGATACGATACGGACACTCCCAAGGAGGCGGCCATGACCGGCGTGCCAGGGCCTGCTACTGAGCAGGAATCATCGGTATGAGAGTTCTCATTCCTCGTTTTCGTCTCATTTGGCTAGCACAAGGCAATCGTGGGCCTTACGGTAGCGATATACTGACAAAATGAGTCCCTCAAGCTCCAGATCCGATTTTCGACTGGGATGCCGTATGCCCGGGAAACGGTACCGTTCAAAATGGAATCACCCGGGACAATGCTCGATACATCGCAAAGGGATCCCTTCTCCGGCTTACACAATGCTCCTACTTCTCAAGATATGGAATTGGAGGCCTACTGGACGACCAAATTGTCCTACTGGTCCGGTCAGAATCCTTACGTGAAAAATCAAATCTTCCAAACGGCCATGGAACATCCTTTTCCTTTTCAAGCTGTGATCCTTGTATACTGTGCGAGATGGAAAGCCCAGCTGTATGGGCACAAAGACTCCGAGGAAGTCCAGCGACACGTCGGACAGGCCAGAAAGAACATCCAAGACGCTACAGCGGGTGTGTTCAAAGTGCACGACGACTATTTAGCCATGGCCTTGGCAGGCATGGCTCTATCGGAGGAGCGATTCGGAAGTCGCCAAGATGCACACGCATACCTTGAGCGTGCCGTTGGGATTATGCGCCCACGTCCTGGTTCGAACCCTCCCGTTGAAGTGCTGGTCCATTACGTGCGGTATATTATACCACCACAATCTCCTACCATAACCCCGGCCAACCAGCGCTGGCTGGTCACATTCCTTCGGGAAGCGCAAGACCTAATGGAAAGGCACAGCGCGCCCGAATACCAACCCCAATCATCCCACCGACGAACTGCATTCCAGATGGAAAGCCCGCTCTTCTCCCTACTCTCCAGCGGACCCCGTCCCTCGCAGGTCCCGCAGGCATCACGGATGTACGTGGTCCGCGATGGGCAGACCCAGGAGGCCAGCCGGACGGCCGCACTTATCTACATCACAGCGGCATTGTGGGACTTTAAAGATTCGATCAGCAAGACTCATCGATTCCTTGCATACCTGACTGCCCTGGTCGAGAAGCACCAGCTCGACCGACATCCTGCCTGCGAGACTCTGCTATGGCTGTTATTGGAGCAATCGTGCGATGCAGACTTGCGGGATCCTGAACGAGCATGGTCAACTGGTGACCTGCTTCTGGCACAGAGGCAGCTGCGGCCAGATCTGCAGTTTCATTTCAATGAGCTTTTAATGTCCTTTTTATCCCTACAGTCGCCGATTCGGGGAATTGGCGTTTTTGAGGCTGAACTCAAAGCATGTCCCGGGGCTATTAGTAGCAGTCCTTCGCATAAATGAAATGACTTTTTGTTATTTTGAGGGATGAATATTTTACCCATGGATTTGACCCGCAACCTCTCTATTCAGATGTGAATATCTACAAGTATCGTTACTAAAGTTATTCTAGGCATTAGATCCATTTGACTGAATGGGCTACGTTTGCCTTGTTCGCGCGTACATATGGAAGAGGCTCTTTTTCTACCGAGTGGTACCTTCAAGTGGAGATAGTCATATTGAATTACAATTCCATAATATTCCTATGTTTGATAGGGACGACCTATGGCGTCTCAACATCGCTGGACAGCCAAGATGGATAAAGCAAGCCCTGGAGGAGATATCTATGTCTTACGTGTGAGGTCTTCCAAATGCAGTTAGTTCCAACCTAACAATTGCGAGATCCATTGTAAAATTTTCTTTCAGTGACTGCTGTCAACTAGTTTGGGGCTCTACAAAATCGTCAGGTCGTGTATACAGGTATGGATGACGAAAATATCCATTGTATATACCGATTTAGCGACCCATGCATGTAAGCGGTCTGACGACGGCGAGTAAGATCGTCTGGGTTATCGTCCAACCTAGGTACTAGCCACATCAAGTCACAATTCATTCAGCTCCACTGAAAGTCGACACCTCACACGATCTACCCTTCGATGCAAACGGGTATTCGTCGCATCAGGCACGATGTTGTACCTCAAAGATCCCGACAACGTGAGTCCGGCTTGGCAGGGCCCGGGAACCTGGACACAGCGAATGTAAGCGTCATCAACCGTGGAGACGATCGCCAAACCTGTCTGATATCAGAAAGGAGAACAGAGAAAATAGATATTGGCAATTCCAATTTTTGTGACTTATCCACTCTCGGCCTTAGTGGGTGGACTGTAAATTGCGGTCGCGAGAACTCGAACTCCTGGGGTGGAGCCGAGAACCAACACGGTGATATTCCCCTGAGGTCACTTTCCACCAGGGGCTGTGTGGTCAGGTACCTCAAGGTACCTGACATTTAGGTCGATGAACGTGCACCACTCTCTATTCCGCCGTGTCTCTCTACAAGAGCTGCTCAAGGGTGAAACTTGAACTACAGTCTAGCGGGACGGCCATGGTTCAATATATTGCTCAGGTGAGCGATCAGCCGTGTTCCATGAACGATGAACCATAGGGGCATCCATGGAATGGCGAGGAGATGAGATCCTATTCAGTGGACGAAAATAGCAAGAAAGATCGCCGATCTCCCTTCGCTGAGTGAGTCTGACGACAGGACTGCGTCGGCGGTTATGTACCTTATTCCTGTGCCCTCGAGCGCGACGAAAATTGCCCCGAGTTAGCTGCGGTACAGTTGTATGAAAAATGAACTCTGATCCGAATACTCCCCATGGAATCACCACGCGAGAGAAGAAATCAACTCATGATGAAAATTGTTCTCGCGCGACCGGCCCATATCTTCCAATTCGACTTGGTTTTCCGATGGCCTAGCCACAACCCATGGATGGCTTGAATAGTGCAGCCACTAGCAGCTGGTAGCCCTGCTAGCGTCGTGGACCCGCCCGATCGATTGGGTCCAGCACAGCGGCGCATGCCCATAGTAACAAGCCTATTTGATCTTAGGGCAGAAATACCCTCGTCTTCAGGAAAGGCCCCCTCGTCGGCGATCCCTTTGGTGCGAGTACATCTTTGTCTTTGGTGATGGTGATCATTCAACGAATGTCTGCAACCATTGAAACTCTCGCCGCTGATGGACGGGAAGTAGTGGGTTGTCTGCTCGCATACTTTCATAGTCTGAAGAAGATCAGCCAGCCTAGAAACCGTGACACGTGTAATCGGGATTGTTGGACTTGCGCGACGCTCGGCAATTATGGACTTGCTTTTGAAAGACCACGCCAATGGCAGCGACAGTATGTCCAACACGCGCTCCGTATCTTGTCCCTTTGTTTTGTTTTGCCGCTTCCTGATACGCAAATGATCCAATGGTGATGCGGTGGCGAAAGATACCCCAGCCCCTGGATTCCGCATTACCAGTTGCTTTCTGAGCTGGTCTGGGGTTCAGACCACACATGCAGGCGCTTGGGTGACCTCACTTTGGTACATTATTGCTGATCCAGTGAGGAGGAGACCCGGGGAGGTATGTTTTGGGGGTTTGATTTTGGCTTTTGGGCGATATGCATCCCTTGCCATTAACCCGAGTGCCATTCGCCATTCAACATTCGTTACCCTCGGCTGAGACACGATGTGTGGCTAGTGTGGCGGTGGTCACTGGTCGGGCGTGTCCGAGCTTCCTTGCTTGAGATGGTAAACAGTACTCCATAGTCCCACTGAAATGCGACATTGTCAATCATTGCTAACATCTATAGCTCGTAGTCAGTTCTGGGAGTCGGAGTAGTTCTCTGGATATCTCATCGAGTCATTGATCCACTGCGAACCAACGGAAATTTGACGATCGCAGACACCACACGCAGAAGAACCAGCACCAGTGCAAATCTGGATCGATCGCTCACTCGCCACCAGCCACCAAGTGGAGCAACAGGGGGCAGCCAAGGATTTAATAAATCAAACAGGGGGCAGCCAAGGATTTAATAAATCAACGAGGCTAATGAGCAGGGGAGCTCTCTGCAAAAGACCACCCCCCCCTGTAAAGCCAAGCGAATGCAGCCAGTCATTGTAGGGAAACCGTAAAAATAGGCGAAGAAAAAGAAAAAAGGTAAAAAAGAGAGCTGGAAATTACGTAGGGCCAAGATCACCGATCACCCACCTCCGATGCCCCTCCCCTTCTAAAGCTTGGCCCTTCTGCCTTTTTTTTCTTTCTCTTGTTTTTGGATCTCTCCTTTTTTCGCCCTTCAACACCTATCTTCGGAGTTCTCTTGTCGACTACACTCCGCGTGCAACACCGTCTCCCTACGCCTGAGACGTCTTCTCGACTTTGAATCGCGCCTTCCAGCGACCTTCACCATGGCGGACCACGCTGGTGCATGGCACCAGCTGTCTGCCCGAGACAGCAGCGTACGCACTCTCTTTACCTCGCCCACCTCCACATGCTTCGACGAAGGAAATGGCATTGAATGTGTTCGCATTGCTAACAATCCCCAATAGGATGACCCGGCGGCAACATCCAGCTCGGCGTCCGCGTTTCTGACTACCTTGATCCCGGCCCTGATTTCCTTTGCAGTCATGGTCGTCCTCTTCATCATCCTGCGCCGTAGCAACCGCAGAATGTATATGCCTCGTACCTATATCGGAAGCTTGAAATCCTGGCAGCGCACCCCGGACACCCCCACCGGTTTGTGGAACTGGATTACCGCTATGTACAAGCTGCCCGACACCTACGTCCTGCAACACCACTCGATGGACGCGTATCTGCTGTTGCGCTTCTTGAAGCTGATCTCGGTCCTGATGCTTGTTGGCTGTATTGTCACTTGGCCCATCCTTTTCCCCGTCAATGCGACTGGCGGCGGGACTGGTCAGCAATTGAACTTGCTCACCATCTCCAATGTACAGGAGAGTCAGTATGGCCGTTACTATGCCCACTGCTTCCTCGCGTGGATCTTTGTTGGTAAGTCTTTTGAATTTGGGTTCCGTTGCCCGGAGCCTTGGGCTTGATTGAGACCAATGGAGGGTAGAACTAGAAGCAGAGGACTAATTGTACTTTTTTGCAGGTATTGTGTTCTTCACCATCACCCGTGAGCACCTGTTCTACATCAACCTGCGCCAGGCGTATCTCTTCTCGCCCGCGTATGCTAGCCGCATCTCGTCGCGAACTGTTCTCTTCACCGCCGTCACTCAGGACTATCTGAGCAAGGAGAAGATCCTCTCCATGTTTGGTCGCGAGAAGGTGAAGAATGTCTGGCTTGCCACTGACACCGCCGAGCTTGAGGACAAGGTTAAGGAGCGTGATGCTGCTGCCATGAAGCTCGAGGCTGCCGAGACCAAGCTTATTGTGAACGCCAACAAGGCTCGCAACAAGCAGTTGAAGAAGGAGGGTGCTCTGGAGAACGGTAGCACTGATGAGGAAGGTGCCGGCCAATTCGATGACGAGTCTGGCTCTGTGGCTGCTCGCTGGGTCCAGGCCAAGGACCGCCCTACTCACCGTCTGAAGTTCCTGATTGGCAAGAAGGTCGACACTATCAACTGGGCTCGCTCCGAGATCGAGCGCCTCAGCCCCGAGATTGAGGAGCTGCAGGCCAAGCACCGTGCTCACGACGTCAAGCTTGTTTCCTCCGTCTTCGTCGAGTTCTTCCAGCAGTCTGATGCTCAGGCTGCGTTCCAGTCCGTTGCTCACAACCTGCCCCTCCACATGTCTCCTCGCTACATCGGTCTTGACCCTACCCAAGTTATCTGGGCTAACCTACGCATCAAGTGGTGGGAGCGCGTAATCCGCCACAGTGCCACTCTCGCCTTTGTCGTTGCCATGATTATCTTCTGGGGTATCCCCACCGCTGCCGTGGGTGCTATTTCCAACATCGATGCCCTGACCGATAAGGTGCACTTCCTCCGCTTCATCCTGGACGTCCCTAGCTGGATCCGTGGTGTCATTACCGGCCTTCTGCCCGTTGTCTTGATGTCTGTTCTGATGGCGCTGGTGCCTATTGTTCTCCGCCTGATGGCAAAGTGGGGAGGTGACCCCAGTCTCGCCGCCGTTGAGATGACCGTCCAGAACTGGTACTTTGCTTTCCAGATCGTGGAGGTCTTCCTGGTCGTCACGCTTGCCTCGGCTGCTACCAGCGTCGTCACCTCCATCATTAACAATCCTCAGTCTGCCGCTAGCCTGCTGGCCGCAAAGATCCCCAACGCCTCGAACTTCTATGTCTCCTACATCGTTCTTCAGGGTCTATCCTTCAGTGCTGGTGCCTTGCTCCAAATTGTCGGTCTGATCCTGGGTAAGATCCTGGGCAAGTTCCTCGACAGCACACCCCGCAAGATGTTCAACCGCTGGTCCAGCCTGGCCGGTCTTGGCTGGGGTACCGTCTACCCTGCCTTCACTCTCTTGGCCGTTATCGGTATCATCTATTCTTGCATTGCTCCTCTGGTTATGGGCTTTGCCACCGTTGGTCTGTATCTCTTCTACTTCGCTTACCGGTACAACCTGCTGTACGTCTCGAACGCCACCATCGACTGCCAGGGTCGCGGCTACACTCGCGCTTTGCAACACCTGACTGTCGGCTGCTACCTGCTCATTGTCTGCCTGATCGGTCTGTTCGCGATGGGCACTGGTGCCAACCGCATGGCTCTGGGCCCTCTCATCCTCATGATCATCTTCCTGGTCTTCACCGTCCTCTATCACATCTCGATGAACAGCGCCATGGAGCCGCTGCTTAACTACCTGCCCAAGAACCTGGAGCACGAGGAGGAAGCTCTTCTCGCCAAGGACCGCAAGCACCTCGGCCACGATGAGTCTTCCGACGGCCTGGCCGGCGCCTCCGTCCCCAAGGCCAAGAACAACGGCGTGTCCAATGTGGACTCTGGTGTCGGTGCCGTTGACCCTGCAGATGCCGAGAAAGGCCTCGCCGACGGTCCCCTGCCCGCTGGACAGGAGAAGCCACCCAACTTCATCATCAAGTGGCTGCGTCCGGACAAGTACCACAACTATGAGACCCTCCGCCGCCTGGTTCCCAGTCCACTGGAAGCCACCACCTATGCCCCCGAGGTCGAGCGCGATGCCTACTGCCACCCTGCCGTCAATTCTCAGGTCCCGCTTCTTTGGATTCCCCGCGACCCTGCTGGCGTCAGCCGACAGGAGGTTGCGCACACATCTCGTGTCATCCCTATCACCAACGAGGATGCCTGGCTCGACGAGAAGGCCAAGATCTCTTGGAACGTCGAGAAGGGCCAGCCGCCCATCTACGAGGAAAAGCCCTCCTACTAAGCTGCTCGCGAGCTCTACTAGCCTCCGTCCCTCCCTCTGTCTGTTGGCAAAAATGTACCCAACCCACTACTACGGTAATAGAGTCCAGATCTAACTCGACCTCCCTCGAGGTCCTTTGATACCCAGTCGGTCCCGTTTTGAGAAGGCGGGTCGACTCTGATCTGGGCTTGTTTGTTTGTTTCATTCGGTCTTTTGGAAGGGGTGATTTGAAACCGCCCCTGTGCAGTGGGATGACGTGTCTTCCTCGTTTCGTTTCCCTTTGATGGATTCGTTTGGAGGACTCGTCTTCCCATCTCCCGTTGTTTGATCTTCCTATTCGTAAGATGCGGCTGATGTTCGCGTCTTGTCACTTATAATGTTTGAGGATATTGCCATGAAAGCTCTGTGCTCTTGATATTACGATTCGTTATGATGTCGAGTATGCAATGGCAAATGTATAATAAATTTTCATATAAATTGTGTCCCTTGTATCACACTGGCGTACCGTCCAAGATAGGTGAAGTAGCTAGCATACATCATGTTAAGAGGATAACTACCTAGTCATCACATTATTGCAAGCGTGTTCACCCTTAAAAGGTTCCTGACTCTTAAGTCGCATGTAGTGGGTGGGTGGGGTTCACGTTTTGCACTCCGTATAAATGGCAAAGAAGAAGTTGGAAATCGAGACCTGCCCTAAGGTTTCCTGAAACTCGACCAAATTCCCGCCGCCCTAGTCCCTTGTCGATTTTCACAACAAGCACAACGTGCTCTCCATTGTTCGCTTTGTCCCATACAGGCTGTCCCGGCGCCTCGACGGATATACCGTCGATTTTCTGGAGCTATAAGCATTAGCTGTTTATGCTCCATGCTGTGCTCCTTATCTTTCGCCTTGCGCATTTCAATTGGGCTGTTGAGGGTGAAGGAAGTTGACATGGAATTGGGCTTCTCCATATCTATGTAGGACGATTTATACACTGGTTAGTGGACAATTCACCCACCCCTACGTCTCCACCACCTTGTACATCATGAATGTTGAGGATTTACTTAGATACATGACATGCGCCTACAACTCAAATAATATCTCATTACGAACTTTCATGGAGAAAGACTACCTCAGGCTGGATTGCTTAGCATGGCAACAGGCCGGGATATTCCAGAGCGTGTATTATCGTGCGGTGTGGTGTACTTTACGAAGTCGTAGATTGCATTGATGTAAAAATGATAACTGGTCGGAGTCTCGCACGAAATACTGAAATGGGCCAACCCTACTAGAGCTAGCTTGCTACTGTGGAAGCCCTTCGAGCCACTGTCATCATGGACAGCCCTTTGTGGCAGCGCGTGATTGGCTGTTTCCTTGGACAGGGTAAGATAATACAGTATATTGATTATTAGCTCAATTCGTCCAGAAGGACGTGCTAATTTTTTTTCCATCGCAAATGGTATCTAGCTGTGTTTCATCGTATGTAAGCGATGTTGATACATCTACGTGTCGAGTAGGGTATAACATTGTTCATTGAAACAAATGTTGGTCCAAACTACTGTACAGTATGACCCTTCGTACTTCCACCGAGGCTCTCATCCCAATACTGTAGCTTATCCCTCTAAACTCACATATCTATATGCATATCCACCTAAAAAGACAAACACAAAGCATGAGCCACAATCCGAGTTCCTCCTCACATCACAGCTTTCTCCCTCTTACTCCGTTATGTCTCTCAGCCCAAGAACTCCCCTTTCTCTTCACCCTCCTGTAGCCCCTCCTTCACTGCTGCAACGTACTTCTTTCTGTCCTCCGTAAAACGCGGCTGGAAGTATCTTCCCGGATTCCTCGAAATGGAAGTTGATTGCGACTCCACTACCCCTGGCCATTCAGCGGTACGAGCGGGTCCCGGGAGGACGGGTCTGCGGGGCTGCGACCGAGTTTAGTTCTGCTCGTTGTTTTGAAACGGACATTACTGACATGATACGGAGGGACAAATGTACATACGGTATGGAAGTGTGGGACGAAGTAATTTTGGGATAAAGCAGAAGAATGAAATCTCTCTTCTGTACAACAAGACATATAAAGAACAGCCTATAGATAGCTATGGGTAACTAGAGCTTCACAGGGTGATTTAATTTCTGGCCAAGCTCCGCCGCGGTCTTCGAGTTCTCCCCAACATGGCTAATGCGCCACCCGCACAGGGACTCTTCATAGTCGCCAGTTCCCTTTCTCTTCGCTGTAATAGGCGAACGAGGAATGAACTCAGCTGGCCTTGTGCTTTGCAAACTCCACCATGAACATATCAAAAGTACCAAATTTGAAGTCCAGACGGGGTCCATCGTGCGGCATGGCGGGCTGCCTTGGAAACGACTTTGCCTTGTATTATTGCAGTGACAGAGTCATTGCCTACAAACACTACTCTGAAGATGTCGAATTGCCTGCGAAGTACTCCGCACCGATGGCAATACTTAATGATCGGCAGTCGTCGTGTCGACGGGTAGATCCCTTCGTCTCTTGAAGTGAATATGCAGTAAGAAATGCACTTCATAGAGTACGAGTACACTGTCTGCGCGCAGATAGCCCGTTGCAATTCCTGACCGTTTGAGCCAGAACTAGCTATCTACTACCTTCTACAACTTGCAATAGCTGCGAACTTGTCGCAAATTTGATATCCCTGGATCAGTTTCACATCTGCTGTAGAAGCCGCAATGTTGCCTCACGAGTGGAGAACTCAAGTGTAACAGAGGCGATGCAACGCCCCCGCAGCATCGATCCTCAAACGAGGCTTGATGCACTCAAGGACAATGCCATTGACAACCTCCCCCTGCGGAAATGTACTCCGCCAATGCACGAGAACGATCTCGGTTGATTTCCTGCACCTTGTGCATACCCTCGACATGATGATCCCGCTGGCCCACCTACAATAGGAGGGGGGTTGGGTACCAACCGTTATTACCAAGAGTTTTTTTTTTTCTTGGACATTGCGGGTGTGCCAACAGTTGGCCCTGGCGCGATACCAACGGCACGTTCCTTGAATCCTTCGCGCGCGGGGGCGAATCGTTGTCTCTGATTTTGAGGAGATATTTAACAGAAAGACTGTGACAACGGTCATGCATGGTAGTGTAAGAACGCGTAGGCCCTGTGTTGGTCTCCTTACCTAGTGTCGGTTACAATAGAGTCAGGAACCAATGATAATCATAGGAATAGATTGAAGTGAACATGTTGTACATAATTATTGCAGAGTTTTCGCTTGGACTCCCCAATAAGGATGTATGCCACACAACACGGTCGTTGCTAGTTGTTTGGCATTATCTGAGGTTGCATCATTGAGTCTCTCTACGATGAGATGAGACTACACAGCGCATCCAGAGAAAAGAAGTCCAAATTGGAATAACTCAATCTGCAGACAGAAATAATAAAAAGATAGATACTGGACAGTCTGGTCAAAGAACGAACCAACTTCCCAAAAGCCTGAATAGCCCAGGCCAGGCCAGGCCGTAAATCAGTAAAGCAAAACAAAATCAAAAACGCCGAGGCCAACGCCACGCTCTCCGGGCATGAACCAATGCAGATGATAGATAGGAAATAGAGTGATGATCGGTAGATTTGCCCAAGAAGCCAAAAACAACAACAAAAAGAAATGGTAGTGATCAAAGAATGACAAATCGGTGTAAATCGAGGCGTAATGCGCGCAAATCGCAGGGCATGAGTGGCACAACAATTGTACAAGAGGCCCCCAAATGAAGGAAATGGTATCTTGAAGAAATTGAATATCGGTGGTATCAAGCAACGTTGTGCTTTTTTTTCTGGCTGGAAATGGCTTCAACACACGCTAAATCGCTGATGGACGGCCGAGAGAAACTTCAAATGGGGTTTCATGATCACTCTACACTCGGATTCGGGAGGACCGGAACGCAGATAGATCAATGGACTCGGCCGATATCGACGAGGCGTCGTCGACTTCGATGGCGCCAGGCGCAGTCGTTGTCGGCTTGCTGGCGGCGATAGCCGCTACGCGAGCGAGTCGTGCGGCGGTCGGGGTCAGCGCCGGTTTCGCGGGCGCTTCCTCTTCGGCTGGTTCAGATTGCGTTTCCGACTGCGCTTCCGACTGCGCATTGGCTTTGGCTTCTTGTTGTTTCTTTTCTTCGCCGAGGCGATTAACTTCGTTTTCGGCCATTTCCAGCAGCATTTTGAACTTCTCCTCCACACCGTCCAGTTCAGTAGCGCAATCACCCGATCGAAGGACCTGATATGCTGCGGTCTCGCAGAGCCCGTGGGCCAGCTCTAGCTGCTTGTCCGCAAAGTCAAAGGGAGACTCTTTTCGAATGCCCGTAGATCCAGTCACACCGACGAGACCACCGCCCGCCCTCGTGCTGCGGACATATGCTAATGCTGATAACGGTGATCCATTTTCTCCTGGCTGGCCACCGCCCACGGAAGTCTTATGCAAGAGACTTGCCCGAAGACCTGTACGAGGCATCATACCCATCTTTCCCCGTCGGATATTGTTCCTGGCGATTCCAATGTCTCGAACAACCTCTTCAAGGGTCTTTTGTGTGTGGCCGTCGTACTCGATGATAACATTGTATCGGGTGCTGACAAAAGCGTACCGCTCACTGGAGTCAATAGATGGGGCCTCATCCGTACCACGCTTACGTCCAGCCGTTTGCGCCAGCACGGGCGCATCATTTTCTAACGTTGTAGTGGTAACCGCTCTAATGGCTTCCGAGGTCGGACCCTGACGTTGTGCGATCGGGACGGGGTCATCGGTGCGGATGGAGCATACGGAGCTATTCCTTCGGCGTCGGGCTTTGTATGTAGCATGTCGTCGGTATGCTGCTGTGTATTCGGCGTGTTTGGCAGAGGTGTGAGCGGCGAGGTCCGAGATGCGAGTGATCCAAGAGGGTAGGTTGGTTTGAAGGTGGGAGAAGGCTCCCAGCGCATCCATGGATGATGCCAAAGCCATACCCTACACTGCCGCGATTCGATGATCCGACAGATTCCGGGATTTATACGAGGAGGTTCCTGAATGACCGCGAGGGTATAAGGCGAAGATAAAAATCGAACAATTATCTAGTATAATGGGAGACGAGTGGGATGTGTGTGGCTGGTTCGTTTCGTCGTTTCGTCGTGAGTCTGGACCCGGTAGTTTGTTATGTTGGCGGGTTGCGAGAGGAAAGAGGACGGGACGTGGTGGTTCAGGATGGGTGCAGCTAGTAAATGCGAGTCCAAGGATTTTCCAAGGGTGTCTGATGGAAATCGAAATCGAGTCGGGATCAAGAGACGGGTGAGGGTCGAGAAGGCAGTTCTGGGAGGGGTTGAGGAAAGAGAAAAGGGCCAAAAAGATGGGGAAGAAGGATCGAGAAAAGAGCGCTGGAGGGGGGGAAAGTCTGGACGGGGAGTGGGCGTATCGTCACGGTTTGGTAACGTACTTTTGTCCTGGAAATGTATGGCTGCGGGCGGTTTCGGTATGGAAACACGGCCGAGGCCTCCCCCAAAAACATGATGTACCGCTCGATTTGGCTGAAGGCAGTTGGTTTGGTGACTCCGGAAGACTAGCGTGACGCAGAGCTACAGCAAGGCTAGTATCCACGGAGCAATAATCATAGGCACGGAGGAATTCAGGATGCTGTTGGTGTATGTGCTACTGTCAATACTACTGTCGGTTGATCCGCTAGACCTATGTTAGTTGGCCTTCTGATGGGGCCGAGTCCACCACTTCCAAACAAGGATATCAAGGCCAACTGCAGTGCTGTTGCTCTACGGGTTGTACGACGGTAGCAGAATGATTGGCCTTGTGGTGAGCAGGGTTCCCTACTCCCAAGGCTCATGATGACCAGAACATATAAACCGCCACAAGGAGCGGTGAGAGGACATTTCATGCAGCTCCCGCACGACGGTCCGTCGATGACACGGTAATGTTGTCAAGTCAACAGTGGATAGAGAGGTAAACACCCGTCTCTTTGTTGTGATGAGGGCGGCTCCCAACCGCGAGCGACCGAGTCATGACACTTCCATAGTGTGATAGTGCGATGGTCCGTCCGCCCACTAGGAAGAAAAAGAAAACAACACAAAACAAAACAAAACAAAACAAAAAGAAACAACATCATAAGGAATCCCATCGGGAGTTAAATTAATTTCGTGTCGTCGTGTCGTGAGATTCTTCCGGATTATCCATTCGACCCACGCCAAAAACGGGTCCTCGCCCAGCAACTTGACAAAAAGTGGGCAGATCGCTGCGACACAAAGATGATTCGGATGTCCAGCAGTAGCGCGGCTGCCGTGCAGTCGTCCACAACCAACGAGGGTTGGGATAATCCTAGGATGGGGCTTGGAAAGGAGCAGAAATCACTCCACGGCAAGCGGGTACCTTTCCCAAGAAGGACATGACACGTAACGGTCGCTTCCCGGTCACTGTCAAGTGTCAATATTTATTGGACCATCGGGGATTCGGGCTTGGCGGAGTCTTGGAGGAGCCCGATCGGTCCCCGCCCCCCCTTCCCTGGTCCCGTTTGGAATTGCTTTGCTTTATTGGCCAGGGTAATGCGGACCGTGCAACAACGGGCTTTTTGCTTGTCATGTACTCCGTACGGATACTTCGTATTGATCCTCGGGTGCCGGACGATCCCTCGACGCGGAAAACGGTGGGTTGGATGACGGGTGGCCCCGTCGCAAAGATCCAAGGTTCTAATTCGTTGATCAGAAGTGATCGAGGGATCCTCTCAAAAGCTCGGGCGGCTGTTTTGGTATCGTAACCGCGATAGCGCGGGGCCCACCCAGGATGCTGTTTTCCTTTTGTGGTGCTGTCACATTCCTTGTCTGTAGGGACCAGAAAAGGAGACGATAGCTCTGTCGAGTACGGAGAACCGAGTCCTGGATGATCAGTCAATCCACAGTGATGGATGTTCCTGTCGTGCCACTTTCCTTGCGAATGGCGCGATATCAGTGCGGAACACAGAACGCGCCCGCAGGGGTGGTTACGATTCAGACTGGATCCCAACATGATTGATATGATCGGAGAACGAGAGAAGCTCTTCACAGTGGAAAAGATGAACCCACAAAGGAACCGCTGGAGAAACCGCAAGATGCAGGCAGGAATAGTCCGCGCAACTCGCACTTGCATTGTCTCCACGTGACGACGGAAGCCCTTAATGGTCGACGTCGAACAACAAGGTAGATAATATTGCTAGTACTCATGAGAAGAGGCACAGTTTCTCCGGGGCGATATGGTATATTGGCACGGAAGGCTCGTACTTTCCGATGAACAATTCACTCTCGACACCATTCAGACTTGGATCTGTCGTCGACAGTCTTGGTCCGGCAGCAATGACAAAAGACCATGAACAAGGATGACCCAAGCTCTGGGCTGGTGTGTGTCTTCCCGGCGAGCTGTGATCTGTGTCAAGACTGAAAAGCATCACTACAATGTCACGATATGGACTGGCTCTTCCCTGACTGGTGGCTGTTTTGAAATCAAGAGCAAACCCCAGCCGTTTCCATACGTTGAGGGTGTTTTAGCAATCAATCTCAGCAGAAAGTGTTGGATCACCAGGGCCTTAGCATCAAAGCTTACAATTCGACTCAATTTCGAAAAATCTTTTGTAGTAAACTATCATCGCAGTCGTGAACTAGGATGCCTTAGAATAGTCCACGGGTACTCTATCTTATCCTGGGTGATGTAAGGACCCAGAAAATGGTAGCGAACTTCTAAATTCCAAGAGCCACATCGTTCCACGCTGGAATCGTTCAATTAGTTTTATATAGGGATGTTTGGAAGCCAGTTTGAGCATTTCGCTTTTCCTCGTAACGGTGCTGATAGTGGTCGTAAACACAGCTGCCTACTATGAATCTAGCTCCATAAGACTCGTAATGCCATCTCTAATCAACAAACCGGAGATACGTCCACTGCTAACCCGCAGGTTAACCAGATCCAATGCTACCAGCTACATGATTCTCGCCTCACGACTCCACAAAAGCTACGGCATCTTATGAAAGGCTAGGGTGGGACCCCGACGAGCTGCAATAGAGATCAAGTTGACCTGAAACTAACCATTAGTCGATCAAAACCTGAAGTGAATTTTGATGACCGCTGACGGAAACTGAAGTCAATAATGACGTTTGATGCGTTTCTTCATAGTGACACCTGCGCATAGATAACCTGAGCACTACTGCACCATATAAAAAGCCAGCATGAGATCAAAAGGACTATGAACTACAGTCGGTCTGGTGGTTTATCCTACATATGGCAGAATCTACTATGAGTCTTGATAATCGGCGGCGGAACGAAATGGATTTGACTATCTAAGGGGACAGGCAGCTCGGGACCAGCCCAGTACTCCCTTCCCCCTCCGCGCCCCCTCTCCTCCGAACCCCCCCCCCTGGTCACTGCCCAGCAGCCCAGCTCCCCACCCACGACTCCACCAGGTCCTTGACGGCCTTCCCAGCCTCCATGACCGCCTTGTGAGCAGCCATAGAGGCCTGGTACTTGGCCTCGAACTCCTCCAACTTCTTTGCCAGGTCCCGGGCAAAGACGGTGTTGACCGCCATGGTGGCGGCTCCCTCTGCGCTGTCAGCAGCAGGGACAGGAGGCGACGGGCGGCGCGGCCCCGAGATCCTCAGCCGCTTCAGGGGGCGCTCGCTGGGGTGATCAGCGGCGTCCCGAAGGGCCACGGCCGAGGATTCGGCGCCGGAGGCCGTGGTGGTACAGTCCTTTGTGTCGATGTTAGTATTGACTCGAGACTTGGGAGGATGGAAGGGTATACTAACCTGGTCACCCTCCAGGACCGGCTCCTCCACCGAGGATCCATACCTCATTGACATGAGGATCTCGGCCGCGGTGTTGACGTCGATCGGGGGATCGACGTTGGCGGCAGGAACGTCGGCGGCTTCGGCGGCGACGGCGGGGGAATTCATGGCCTCGGAGGCCGAAGGGTCGACGCGGTGCCCGCACCGCTTCTTCCTTCTCCGGCACTCCGCGCACGCCGGCTTCTTGTTCTTCACCTCGGCCAGCGAGGCTTTGAAGAAGATTGATATCAGTATGTGGATGAAGGAAGGAAGGGAGATGGAAGATGGGAGAGGTGAGTACTTACTGGTAACTCCCTTCTTAGGGGCCATTCTGAGCAAACGAGTGTTTGGGGTCTCGTTCGGATGGGGGTGTTTCCACGAGGAAGAAAGTGGCAAACGGGGGTTGGGGAGGATGTATTTAAGTCCTTCCCGCAGGGGGTGAAGGCAGACGAGTCCACGATAGGGAGACTCGTTGCCTGGTTGTGAATAGCTTCATGGCCGGTGGTGGACAGGCAGAACAATGGGAACCAGCGGTGCCTGTTCCCAAAACGGAAGTCAATAATCATATCCAGGTTCCCAGGTTTGAAGGCAGCGACAGGAAGAGCAAACATGGAAGGCAGCAAGCCTGCTTTATTGAAAATGGGGATGAATAACATTGTTTCAGCTGGCAGCGATATTGACAATCATGGCCAAATCTCAGTCTCTACCCATTTTCCATCAGGCCCATCCTCGTCTTCCTCGTCCATGAGTAGTGTCCATTTCTGCCTGCGAACATCATCTAAGTCTGAGAGATCTAGTTGCTCGACTTCCTCAGGCAGAATAAGCACAACCCTGAAATTCTCACGAGCAACAGAGTCTTGAAGGTTGATAACCTTCTGGCCCAGCCTTAAGTCTGGATTACTAGGCAGTTCGGACCTAGGCTGGCCAGGAGGTGGATTCCGGAAGGAGCCTGGAAATGTGGTTAGCTTGGGGAAAAGGACAATGGAAATAAAGGCAGGCTGGGGCAAGGCAGGCTGAAAAGAGCCTGATATCAAACTAGCAGGCTACGACAACAAAGGAACAAGGATGTTCAAGGCAAGACCGCAACTTGTTCAGATTGCCTTGGTCAACACCCGTCACCAAAAAGGAGGCAGCGATGAGACATCGAGCGTCAAACAGAACAAAAAGCCAGCCAAAAAGACACACACAACTTACCACGCATGACGGGCGAGTGATTGGCAAAATACTTTGTCACAGCCTTCTCCCACGTCCACTTATCAGCGTCACCACTAAGATCACCGCGGTAATCATCTTGGACCCGGAGAGCCTCGAACAATTCTGGTCGAAGGCCGTACTCCCTTTCTGATTCTGGATTTGGATTACCGATGGAATATGCTTTGCCCTTGATCCTCCACTGCACCATCACCTCTTTCAACCAGAACATAGCCTCGATCACATTGCCCGTCGATTCCAGCTGCTCCAGCTTCTCCATCCGCACATCAGTGGTGAATGCCAACATGTCACTTTCGAAGAGATGCGGATTCCCACCATCCTCTACCTGCTGATCCATATCCTTCTGCCCGCTCGAATGGAGCTCCAGCTCTGGGAAGAAGCCACGGAAGCCGCATGTCCGTACGCGAGGGACCGGGTTGCCATGAGAATCATAGCCGACAGTTGCGATGGTGAACTCGTATCCCTCTGTTTTATTGAGATGAGAGTTGATAAGGTTGCGCCAGGGGGCACGGGTCTTGCTTATGGAAAGGCTCATTGTGGGGGGTGCCAGATCTTGGGCGGGTTGATTATTCGTGGTTTGGGAACGTTGTTGGTAGCAGGTCTTGGGTATGCGGAGGTGAAGAGAGTGAATCAAGCGATTACTTAATCTTCTAGGAAGTACTGATGATGGCATAAGCAAGCAATGACGAGGGCATAGCTTCCAGGTTTGAGCTGTGGACGTTGCAATCGATTTCAACGAAGTGGCCCGCGCATTCGGCGTCCTGGTCAATTTGAGATGGCTTAGAGGATAAAAGACGGCTGGTAGAGATGAAGGAGTGTTAATTGCTCATCAACAGCAGGATTAGGCTTCAATTGTGTCACTTACCCAGAAATTTGTCGGTTGTCGTTGAGTTAAGCGGGTTCCGTGACCAGTGATCGTGACTGTCGGTGACATCAGCCGGCGAGATGGCCCGTGCACCAATCTTATCTAACTTATCGGCTGTCTACCTATGATGGAGGACACAACAAAATTTGGAACATTCAAGGCGCAATTGATGAAATACATGGTTACATCCTGGTACATTGTGGAGTGTGTAGAATCTGAACACAAGTCATCCTTGATACACGATTTCAATCAACAGGTGTGACAGAGCACAGGCACAGAAGACCGATCTACCTACCCCTTTCCATGCCCGCATGTCCTTGACCATGCGGCTTCTCCAAAGCTGCGCGAGGCGAATAGGCCCACGCCAGAGATGGTGCATATACAGACCTGATAGTACCAATCAACTGCAGCAAGCTTTCGCCCACTTGACTAAAACTCGCCACTACTCGATAGCATTCGACTCCTCCCTCCAACACCACGAAATCACGCCGAGTCGCCTAGACTCCAAAGCGCACCCGCTCGGATGGCAAACCATCCAAGCCCAAGTCGAGCCCTATTTTACACAGAACTGGAAGTTCTCCAGCGAAAAGGCGAAACAGGGGTTCCTCGCGGTGGGATTCTCGCAGGCATTTAGTCGGTTCTTTCCACTCACGCTGAACGATCGAGTGGAAGGGACGTGTAAAATGCATTATTTGGCTTTGTTGATTGATGGTAGGCTTTCCTAGAGTGAAGTTAAGATTACGAGGGCTATTCTGACGAAGTTTAGATCAATTGGAGAAGATGAGTTTGTCGGATATGTTGTCGTACCGTGAGCGAATCATACGCATTGCGCACGGTGAAGAATCACCAAACCGGGACATATGTATTGAGTGGATGCTATCAGATACGCTCCAACTCATGCGAGATCTTGATGAAGTCCTCGCTAAGGATCTCATCGAAGGATTCTGCACGTTGCTGCGGGCACAGACGGCGCAGGAACGGCTATCTGTAGCACATTTGGGGCCTTATCTCACAGCTCGCGAGGTAGACGTTGGAAGAACGTGAGTCTCTCAATCCAAATGTTGCTAAATTGAGCCTAGAGTCTTAAACCCAGATATTAGATTCTACGCCGCTCTCATCCGATACGGCGCGAAACTTCATCTCAGTTCATCTGAACTCGCGCAGACGGCTGCGTTGGAAAGCTGCGCGTTCCGATTCATGGGTGTGTTGAATGATATTTACAGCTGGGATCGTGAATGGAAAGTCTACCAGGAGGATTCCTCGGATGGAGCTAGACCTTTCTCGGCCGTTTACATTCTAGCCCAAGAGACCGGGTTGTCATTCACGGCTTGTAAGAGATTGCTTTACTCCTATTGTCGGGAATTAGAGCTCGTTCTCAAGCAATCTGGCGAAGATATCAAGCAAAGAAATGGGGGCACGTTGAGCCCCGATATGGCCAGTTACATCAAAAGTCTGGAGTACTTGATGAACGGGATCGAACACTGGAGCCAATGGACACCGCGCTACAAATGAGAACATCCATTGTGGGCAGAAGAAATTTTAACATTGCCAAGGTATATTCACATAAAAAGGAACAATCTAAACAGAAAATTCTCAAGCTCAACTATCCGTCGACGTAGTGCCGTCTCTTTCCGTCTGCTCGGCCTCCTGCTTCTTATTCGCATTCTGCATGCCAGACGCACCATAAAATGAGATAAACGCCATACCCAGGAATGCGGACACGCACGAAAACACGAGTGCGACAATACCCTTTGTTGTAAACCCAGCGGGTAGCCAGCCAACCTGTTTGTTCTGGCCCGACAGGTCAAGATAGTTCTCCGTGTTACCTGCGGCGTTACCCTCGAACTTGACGCCCGCTGCATTACAGGCGTCGTAGTGGTTCTGTGGGATGGTCAAACTCTCCTGCAATTGCATAGGTGCCTCGACGAAGGTCATTGCCAGTCCTTGCTGCAGATGCCAGTCAATGTGGCAGTGGAACAGCCAGACTCCCGGGTTATCAGCGACAAAGCGCACGACGAAGTAGCCTTGTGGCGGGAGTACCAGGGTGTCGCGGCGAGCTGGGAATTTGGGGAATGCGGTGTGGTTGTTCGGGTCGTAGGTGAGTGGGTCGCCATCAGCGTAGTCGTAGAAGTGACTACCGTAGGAAGGGACGCGCTCGAGCAACTGGAAGTTGTGCCCGTGGATGTGGAATGGGTGCGAGCCTCCATCGCCGTTGTTGAGGACGATTTCAACAACTTGGTTGTGCTCTAGGACCACCGAGTGGGTGAAGTCGCCATAGACTTCGGCGTTAGTGGCGAGATTGCCGGCTGACAAGACTGTGTAGAGGGTAGGCACTTTGGGTTTGGTGTAGGAAATGTTGTTCAGCAGAGCATAGTCAGCGCCGTTGTCGAGGTTCTCCATGAGGACGGTCAGATCGATGACCAGGTCGGGCTCGGGAAGTAATTCCATACGATCGTATGGGACGAGACTCATATCATCGAATGGATCGAGATCAGACGCAGTCTCCACTGTAATGGTGGCCTGTGGGTAATCGGCATTCTTGTTATATTCGAGCCAATTCGTGTGGTTGAGTTGCAGATCCGAGGGAATTTTGTCTAGCAACACGGAGTCTGCCACAGTCACGATGGGGTAATTCTTGTCCGTCGAATTCTTGGCCGTTACAAGAATCGCATATCGCTGTGCAACTGCAATATAGAGGATGCTCGCTTCGGTGGGATCAGTGTATACACCGTCAATCTCGACGATCTTGAACGTGTGATCTTCAATATAGAAATACTGCGCAACGAATGCACCAACGTTGGCTAGTCGCAGCAGGTACGTCTTGCCTGGTTCCACCGAGAGCCTAGTGTCCTGGGTATCGTTGAACAGGAAGGCATTAGGGACAGGCTCAGCACCGGTCGGGTTGGTTTTGTCGATAAATTTGATATCCTCCACCATTTCGTGGTACCAATCACTCATGGTGATAGTATACTCCTCATCATACATATCATTGAAGTAAGAGCTATTGTCGTGCACGATCAATGCCTGGCGATAGCCATCCGGGTAACAGAAATCGGTGTGACAATGATACCAATAGGTTCCATTCTGATTGACCGTGAAATTATAGGTAATTGAGGCGCCTGGCACGACAGGGCACTGGGTCACCATGGACGGGCCGTCCATATCGTTGGTGCCATTCTGAAACATGCCATGGAAATGAATGGACGTGCTGTGAGTCCCGAGGCCATTGTACATATTTACAACGAGCTGGTCACCCTTGTCCACTTCAATCACTGGCAGGGGCCATTGGCCATTGATACCGACGACCTTTCGATCAAGGAGACCATCCGGGTTGGCCGTGACCCAAGTAACATTGAAATCATAGGTAACGGTCTTAGCCTGGACGTACTGGAAAAGACACAGTGCCGCCACGAGGCGCACCAGCAGGCCACCAACTGAAGTCACCATGGCGGTGGAGAATTCAGAACCAGTGTTCGTGGCAACGGGGGAGAGACAGGAGTAGATCGAGTGAGAGGACTGGAAAGGAGGAAAGAAGGGACTAGAAGAGCACCATGAAGCCGGAGCTCAAACCACCTTTCCCACGCCGGTTCCGTGACTAACGCCAAACCCGCTAGGTTTTCGCACAACCGGAAAGACGTGGCCATGATAAGATTATCGATCTTGCCGTGACAGACGCAGAGTTTGGGTGTGGGGCGTCACAGCAAAATCCCTCGATACTCCAAAAAAACAGCGCCAGGAATTGCAAATTCCAAAGCGATTCCGCTCGGGCCCCTTGGATGGCTTGCAAGGTGAGCCAAAGAAAGCTGACGAGGCGGGTCCATCTCACGCTCCCTTTTTTTTTTTTTTTTTTTTTTTTTTCTCGTTCTCTTTCTCTTTCTTTTGCTAGCCAAGCACTGCAGAACCCGCGGGGAAATGCCGAGAAGACCCGAGAAGACCCTGAGGCCTTGGCGAGAGAGCTTAGTGCTCACTGCTCAGACTGCAGAAGGACCTGCTCGGGAGTTCAGTTTTGGGCAAAAAAGCACATTGTTCGGGTCCGGGTGTCTTCGTGTGTGCGTATCTGATTGATTTGATTGATTAGCCGAGGCGGCCGAGACAAATGCGGTGGCTTGCATTCCAGACGGTAATCTGATGCCCTTTGGGGAGTCGATTGGCGGGCGAAGAAAGTGTAGACCGAAAAAAAGAAAGGAAAAAGGAAAAACAACCCTTGGCGGAAGCTGGTGGGGCTGCCAATCAGAGGGCCGGAGTGACCACACCACCAAGCTTTGCTAAGCCCAGCGCTACTAGCGCGCGAATCATGGACAAATTAACGGTTTAGCTTATACCACCTGCTCGGTTAGTGGGATTGCATCCGTTTCGCAAAATACCAGAATTGCAACTACGGGAGAAATCTCAGTTCCCTTTCTTTTTGTGGAAATTGAAATTGGGCCGACAAAACTCTGCCCTGCTCAAGGGGATCCCTCATCGCGTAAACGTATCATTCGCTTTCTATACTTTTCTGGGTATCGAAAATATCCACCGCTAATTCTCTATCACATCATGCATGTAAATATTGGAAAAAAAGAAATTGGGCTGCCATCATCCACTACCTAGACCGACGGGAGTCGTGCAACCGCAGACTCCGCACCCTTCTCCGTCCGCAGCACGCCTGCTTCGAGATTCGCACCGCTCGCATGAGAAGGGCCAGCAGTCATGGGTTCATCCGTATAAGGCTGATCGAACGGGGTGCGGAACACAAAGGCCTTTGCCCGACCCTTGGCCTGAGCAACCTTCTTTGCGGCCGGGTCCAGGTAAGGCAGGGGTCCGTTGCGCTCCCGCCACATCATCAAGCCGTAGCCGACCATCACACAGATCCAGTAGAAGTTGTATGCAAGGACTGAGCCCAATGTGGCCGAGTTGGTCCAGCCGAGCAGAGCGTTGAAGATACCCCAGCCACCACCGCCGCCGATCTGAGGGTTGCAGCAGTTGACATGCCACACGCTCTTGTCGATGTCGTACGATCCCGGGCCGGAGCCGACCTCTGAGGTGTCGCTGCCGACCAGGTGGTTCCAAGTGTTGTTTTCAAAGTACCAGACACCACGAGAGAAGAGACCGGCGGCCACTAGGTAAAGGAAGCAGGTCGAGACGATCAAGAAGATCTGCATAGAGGTCTCTCGTCCACCGCTGGATGAAAAGAGATGTGTTAGGATCGCCACCGATGATAATTGCAAGGAATAAATCGTCTTACCGGTAGATAACATAACCAACGAGAAATCCGGCGAGCAGACCGCAGAAGACGGCGAGAGGGAAGGATGATGCTGGCAGTCCCAAGCCCACACCACCAACGTAGATGACTGCCTCGAGACCCTCACGGAGCACCGTGATGAAGGGCAGTATGAACATCGCATACTTCTCCGTCCAGCGCTTAAATCGACTCTTTCGCGACTCATTCGGGGTGTGCTCGTGCTCCAGAGCCTTTGCAAGCTTAACCCGCCACTTTTCCTGAAGTTTAGAAACCCGCAACAACGCGGCACCCATGATAGTAATAATCAGCGAGGCGAGGATTCCCAGAACGCCTTCCCAGATATCCTCCGTGGCGGAGAAGGTATCTGTTCCAAGACCATAAAAGGCACCGATCATGCCGGCACCAACGGCTAGACAAATCCCCGCGCCTAATCCACATCCAAGCCAGACCTAGTTGTGGGGTTAGCAGGTGCATTCTTCGGGATTTACATATACTGGAGTAATGTAGCAGAAATGACTTACCTGTTTCACTAGCTTTTTATACGTCTTCTTGTCCTCCTCGCCTCCCAGGGTCTGCTTCAAGAAGGCCAATAGGACCGAGATAACCACTGTTGTCTCGATACATTCTCGGAAGAGAATGAAAAAGACTGCACGGTCGCAATTGGGGTTAGTCAACCTCCTCTCCATCTTTTGTCTTCAACATTGCGGACTTCCTACCTGTGACGGCAAACACGGGATTATTACCCATCTTGAAACTGACAGTGTCGTGTCGGGGTGGTCAATTCAAAGTGCACGCGGGAGAAAGTCCAGGTTCAAGACCGCTAAAGGAAAAAGAAGATCAACTGAAAGAAGGGGCGCAACTGATTGATAAGGGCCCGTGTGAGTTTGTTAGTCCCCATCGGACCTGGCAAAGTGAAAATTACTAGCGCGATATGCTAAGGACCATGCCCCGCCCCCGTCCGGTATCTGATCAAAGTCCGAGGATCCCTATGTTTCATTACTCGGTCTCGTGGGCAGCATCTCCACTCCTGCAAACTCAATCGTCCACTGACGGTGTGCACACGCTCGTGTCTGCAGACTGTGTTGGTGCAGTGTGGACTGGAAAGTGGAGGGAGGAGGGGCTAGGAATAAGCAATAATTCGGTGCTTAACCCGCGTGAGATCAAAGTCGCCAAAGGGGGTAATGCGTAGAAGACTAGCAGCAGCAACATTTGACGGTCTACCCGTCGGGGGTCTTACGGAGAATTCCGGAGAATAACGGTATGCGAACCAGAGACTGGCAAAAGGCAAAAAAGAGGAGCAAAATGGCCAAGACCATTCATACCGGCAAGGACGGCAGAAAGAATGATCTATGACTTTGGCCGTTCGAGTCTGTCCAGATGCACATTTGCACGAATGACTTCGGACAATCGATTGAATTCTCGATAGATGGTGCCACCTTTCACCCGTCGTCATGCACAGAAACTGTCATCTTCCGGAGTGGAACCACCCCAAATCACTCTCCTACAGGACGCATGTGCGGGGCAGTTTGAACATTAGAGCTTAGTCTGACTTGGCTCGTGGTGTGTTATTAGCTTTTATGATTATCCACGACGGAACTACTCACTAGTTTCAACTAGGAGATGTCAGATTATCTGATTGATATGATTGATATGATCGATAATGCGCTGACCCGAGGTTTATTCGATGGTTAAGATCCACGGTCTCGCTAGCAAACTCTATTTTCCCTCACACGGGATATTGGGCATTTGAGGAAGGAGCTTTATGCGAGTATGTTGTCGATGACATTTTAGATATTTAGTATACGAACACGAAACTAGATCCGACCTATTTTCGACCTATTTTCGACTTACTCTGGGAAAAAAAAACCACTACTGTAGTGTTATCTGTGAGTTGACAACCATGGGAAAGCAGAATGTGAATATATATCATGCGGTGTCTATAGTCTAATGTGTTGGACCTATGTATGTCACTGACCTTCAGCCAATGTACTCATAGATCGCTGCTCAGCTGCTGCATCATCAACAGCGTGGGATCGATGCTCTTCCCAATAGCACTTCATCGTAAATACCACACTAAGAAGAATGCCCAACCCACCAAGTCCCGTGGCAAAGTACAATGCACCCCGGTAACCCTTCAGCACGTCCTCGGGTGTCCTTCCCCCATTGTTAACATGCACCTCCACCGTCCCTGCAAAGCCCAAACTGAGCGAAATACTATAATTAACAACAGTGGTCACTAGTGACGCTGCAATGCCCTGATGCTTCCGCTCCACCGAGTTCGACAACATCAACGTCGCCGCCGGAAACGACATGTCCATCCCCCACGGGATCACTAGCAGACACACAAAGGTCAAAGCCCAGTAGGTCTGATGCACGGGCGCGATTGCCGTGAAGATGTTACCCAACGTAAATGCCGTCATGGACATTATCATGATCCACCCTGGCCGGAGTCTTGCAATAAGCAAGCCGGTGACAAAACAGGCAAGTATACCAATTGGCGCTGCGGGCACAAACTCCGCCGCTGCCAACAAAGGGCTGGTATATCGATACTCCATCTGGAACCTCCAGAAGTACCAGATCCACGTGCCAAATGCGCCCCATCCACACGCTACACAGCCCAATACAAACGAGACATCCCGGCCGAAAGCGTGGAAAGGAATCAGAGGGTGTTCGGCGAAGCGGAACTCTACCACGAAAAACCCGACGATCAGCAGTAAGCCGATTATCAGCAATACATAGACGTATGGAGTACTCCAGCCCGCAACCGGGGCCTGGTTCCACGCGATATTGACAAGGACCAGCCCGCCGATACCGCAGAACGCGCCAGGTGCATCGAGCGCTTTGAACAGGTTCACCCACGTACTTGTATCGGGTGAGGTATCATGGTGGATGGAGGGAACAACCAACAAACCCAGTCCAGCACAGACGACCGCAACAATAGCCTGCATCCAAAACGTCCATGGCCACCACGCTAATTGTGAGAAGATGGCACTGAAGACTGCGCCCAATACCGCACTATTCGGTGCCACAGCACCAAACAGTGCGAAAATCATGGCCTTCTTTTTGCCAGGCGGGTATGTCGCACCCAGAATGGCCAGTCCATTCGGTAACAACATCGCAGCCCCAATACCCTGCAGGACCCGCGCAAGGATGAACAAGATATGATTCGAATATACGCTGAAACCAGCGACTAGCGACCAGATCGCGAGCCAAATGAAGCCCGATAGGAACATGCGTCGGTAACCGAAGAGATCGCCGCATCGCCCGAATATCAGGATGAATGTGCCGACAGTCAGCGAGTAGCCGGCCAGGAACCAGCTCAGGATGCCAGAGTCGGTGACCCCGAAGCTAGCGCCGAGGATGTCGAGATTTGATAGACAAACGCCGACGTTTGTTTGTGTCATGAACTGCGCCATGCAGACTATTGTGATGAAGAGGGCTTCGCGGCATGGTGAGAATGTCTGCGCGATGGATGGCGCTGATGATGTCCGCTTGAGGGTGGATTTACCCTCCTCCATGACGAGGAGCGTACAGAACGACTTGTACAGATATCGTCAGCTCTACTGGAAGAATGGATTTGATTAGGAGGCTCTGTGGCAGAGCTTGATGAAATTTCACTGCAGAAACTAAAACTCGACATCGTGGACCCTACTGTCTGACAACCGGCACGTCATCAGAACCAGGTGCCGAGCACAAGAAAAAAAGTGGCACCGATAGGAACAATATCCTTTGGTGGGTATCGCCTCCTGGTGCTAAAATTTCTTCCGGCCCGTTAGAGAGAGTGTCGGCTTCGGGATGTGGGTCTGGATTGGGCCGATCCACTGTTGAGGAAGCTGTCGGCGAAGGACTCGGGACGGCGTTTGAGTATTAAGGGGTGTATGTATGTGAGGGTCATCTTCACTAGATTGTGAGACTTGTCGTGGAGTTTAGCTTAAGCAGTTCCTTGGCTTGTATATGGCATTGTTTACCTTGTGTCATTTCCAAGGTTGGTGTACTCTGTCCGAAATCCTGGAAAATCGTGAACATGTGTGTAATGGTCAGATTATGCGATCTCCCCTAGACTTACGGTAACATATACACTCCCGTTATGCTATAAAATCTTAATGTTAGTCAATTTATGTCAAAAAGTCGAAGCAGCTTCAAGTTGAACGTGCCTAAGACAAGATCTCAAAGAAAGAAAAAGAAATGGAGCACCGAGGGCGATTCGAACGCCCGACCCTAGGATCTGCAATCCCATACTCTAAACCAACTGAGCTACCGGTGCTATTTTTAGAAATTTAAGGTTTCTTTTTAATCCTTAAGCCCGATCAATTTTACTTCAATCCGCCTAGGGTCTCCAAGTCCCCGCTTTTAAAGGTCTGGGAAGTCCCAGGATAGGGAATAGTCCAAAATATCATACAATCTCTGTACAAGGCGCTATTCCTACCTGGACTAACAGGCCTCATTAGTCCACTGGCTGTCATGATCTTATACCGAGTCGTGTAGATGTCGCGTGAATTGATCCCAAATAGGGTCGGAGAACACATGGTGAGGTGAGAAGTTACCGGGTCAGAGACGGGATAGGCCCGCCGTCCCTCGAAGATCTCTTCCAGTTTTGATCTACTCTGGCTTGAATCAACCGACGTGTTCAACGGTCGAAGTACCTCTCCCATGTTCCCGGTCCACTGTTTTGGACTGCTGAAATTACTATAGAGTATGAGAAGAATGCTGAATGCAGACATTAGAAAACAGAAAAGAGAAATAGGGACACTCACGTCTGTCCTCTCGATGGCTCGTCGCCAATTTCTGCCCCTAGGATATTGGACTTGTTACACTTGTCACGATAGCCAACTGCGAGTTGAATTCCTACTCATGCGGGGTTTGGGTAATTTTATATCCACATCTTGAATGAACTTCGCAAGAGTAGGTGTTGACTTTTAGAGTTTAAGGTGTAGATTAAAGTCATATTAAGTTCGGAAACACTTTCTAAGCCTAATGTTACGAACAGGCTTAAGGGGGAACCCGTATAATGAGGGTTTCCGAGAAACATGGAGATCTCCTATACCGAGAGCATGGACAGGGGTTTTTCACTCTCTTGTAAACCATTTTATAATAACACTCAAGTCAGGAAGCGATTGAGCCATAGGGTTCCAAGCCCGTTACCGTGTATCTTTACGAAAATGCTGATTGCCTATGTTTGATGTAGATCTATCTGATATCAAATGCTTCCATTTTCAGTTGATACTATATTTCTCTATTGGTTCGCCACAATCATGGAGCATCGATAGCTCAGCGGTAGAGCATGGGATTGCAGCTCCCAGGGTCGGGCGTTCAAATCGCTCTCGGTGCTTATAACTTTTGCATTAATTTTGCATTAATTTTGCATTAATTTTGTTTGAATTATGTAGCATTTTTGTGCGTTATTGCCATGTATCAAGTGCTTTTTTGCCTATTTTTGCGGAAGAAGGTCTCATATAAAGAACTAGCATTCGTTTTATTTATATTATATACGATATAATCTCAATACATGCGTGTATTACACTGTTAGGTCTAATAGAAGCCGTTGCAGTTCGGTGGAGTTCGTGCCGCTACGAGTTCGCTTTTCGGGTAGGGTTTAGCCCCATTTCACATCTACTGTAGTAACTGAACCACCACGTGATCCTGTACGATGACTTGCATGCCATCTTCCTGATGTGAGAAAGAAATAAAAGAAAGCAAAAGCCAAGAGCTAGGCCCTCAACTTCCCTCCATGCGGATATGCATTTTTGCATGAGTTTACTCTATTTAGTTCCAGATATCATGCAAATGATTGCTTCTTCCATAGATCTTACAATATAGCCTGCTTGTAATGGTATACAATCCTGCTGAGCCGCACGAAAGGGGTTGGAGCTTCAAGACTAGGATTCGGAGGGCTTCCTGCTACGCCATGCACCCGGACCCGCTAACCAAACAAGCTAAGAAGCCAAATATTCTGAAACGCTATGTTATGACATGACTCTGACGGATATAGGTAGCGCATATTTCATAATAAGCACCCACGACCCATTTGAACGTCTGACCCTAGGAGCTGCAATTCCATACTCCTTTTCGAAGGTTGTTCTTCCTTATGTTCCCCTGCAAAATTCAAGCTACCAATATAAACGGGAGGATGCAGTACTAAATGTCGAGAGAAGACTGCTCGTCCGCTGACTACCCGAAGGCAGAGCAGAACTCGAAGGTTTCAATGATGATCTGCCTTGGAATGATGCGAGACTAGATGAGGTAGCTCTATAGCAAAGGTCTAAAATGTATGATAATTACCGAAAGTAGCTGGCTATACAATGAGTTATCAAAAAATCACTGTTCCATTTCCCCATGCGGAGAATTATTTCACCAAGTGAATACCTCCTCCGTCAGCCCCGTCTCCACACCCTCCCTGTTGTATCGTACTCTGATCCGCTTTTGCTCATCAAATCGAGGCGACAAAGATCTGACACGAGCGGACAAGGCAATATCAGTGGGATGATAATCTGCGCCCGGTGAAATATTCGCTGCAGTCTCTTCAATCCTTACAATGCGATTGGCGATGCGTCCTGCTAATTCGGAATCCCAAAGTCCCTCGCGCCTTTGACAGTATGAAAGAAGAAAGATGGCCTGGCGGCGCGTGGAAGATTCGCGACAGCGTGTGGCACATACATAAAGGGGCGTCACGATACCAAGCGATAAAGAAAAGGTTGATGATCTTGACTTGGAAAGTTTTGGATAGAGAGGCGGAAGAGATGTTGGCCTACTGGTTGGCAAGGGTGGAGGCTCATCCTGAGATGGTGTACGCGGCGGAGATGAGCGAATGAAAAGAGTAGTTGCCGAGACTCCAAACATTTCGGCAACAAGAGATGTAATTGAGGCAAAGTCGACGGTAAATCTGTCCCAGCTGAGCTCCGAAGGGGGCCAATCTAGACGTATAAAAATGCCAATCGTTGCTCTCCAGACTTTCAGTATTGATACGATTAAGCTATCGTCGGCATTGTACGATTTGGCCTGATCGACCCAACTGTCAAACATAGAGATCCAGACTTTCAAATCTGATAGAATTTGGAAAAATTCAGTTTGAATATATTGAATCTGGGTGACAAATTCGAATGCTTTGTCTCTGGTAGGGTCTTCAAGCATCTCATAAACAGCTTCAAAGCGAGTGAATCGATTGTAGAGAACTTGAAATGAAGCAAGAATCTCCTCAACACTTGAAGGTGGTCGTGATGGCTCAATGGCATAATGTTGAAATGAAGATAGAATGGCTGGACGCAGCTCAGTCGCAAGTATTTCATCACCATGTATCTCCAATATTTGATTCTCTAAAATACCAAAAAGCAGAGTGATGGTCTCTGGTGGTATATATCTGGACATGGAGGATCCACTTGACCATAGAAGTTGTTGTTTGATAATCTTTAGACCAGAGGTTGCATGCCGAAACGCAGACTTGAAGTTACCCTGGAGACACTCAAAGCAGAAAAATAGTATGCAAGCAATGAGGAAGGTATCGTTTGTTTGAGGAGAATGTTGGGGATTGACGGCGACGAGCTGGCGGATTGCTTTATTGTAATGCAGCAATGTGAATTGGATCGCCTCACGAGGAGCCGACAACCCCTGATGATTGAAGACAAAGGTACGATGAAGAGAGCCAATGGCGATGGCAACGGTCTGAATGATGGGCTCATTATAAGTTGCTTGGAGCAAGAAAGCGCCAATTTGGGCACCAAAGCAGTTTTTGGTATGAAGTTGGAAGAATTCTAATGCACGATATTCGACCTCGTGAACTAGTTCAAGGGATTTTGGAACCTGCCACATCCGAGTCGGTTGCAAAATACCGGGGATGTGTTGAATGATTCGAAGTGTATCTCCAGAGGTTGGGCTCCCTGACCCCGTGTGGCCATGCGGATCTGGATACCCGCCGCATGATCGCCCAGTGGAGACGCACTTGAGACAGGCAGGCTTCTCTTCGTCACATTTGACACGACGGATTCTATAGCTGTTGTTAATATACCTGCTCGTGTATATTCACGCGTCGTTCGCGTATCATCGTAACGACGACGTCAAGAACCAGAGCGACTATGGAGGCATACTTGCAGGTGATGCAGCCGGTACGGGATCTACCCTTAGAGACTCTGCGACTAGACCCAGTCATACTGCAAAGTGGGATCTGCCGACAAGACTATGGTCCGCTTCTACAGTAGCGAAAGAAGCCAGCAGAACTCAATTCCAATTTCTTTTGTTGTTGGAATTTCGCCCCCAAAGTGATGGGACACAGCCTCGATGATGACTGGATGCCAGCTGGTCAAACTAGTCCTGTTCCGTTTAGTGCAACCGAGCGTGTCTCAATGAGTGATATGTCTATCTTAGGCTGACGCTAAAGGTGAAGAAGTACAAATGAGGCTAAGGCACCGCCCTTCACCCTCATCTCAGCAGCCCTATAAGTAAATGAACCCATAGACCTGAATTACTCCACCGCCACCTCCAACGGGATGGTGTAGGCGAGATATCCAGTCAGCGGAATACTTAGGGATAGTGCTGAGCGACAAATCTTGTGGGGGCCGAAAGAAAAGGGGGATTTCCGACAACTGGATGTAGCTGATGAGGCTGATAGTTCACTACAGAATATTGAACAGAATGACATAAAATCCGAAAGAAATTCAGATCTTAAGACTACTTTCCACAGCCTTTTCTTTTTCCCTTTCATATAAGCACAATTTCTATTGTCGATGCTATCCAAATCTTTCCTTCTCGGGGCCTGTGGGCTAATTCCGATGAGTTTGGCCCAGGCCGTGCCAAACTCTGTGCCTACCCGGATTGATTTGGATCACCGACTGGCTCCCAATATGAAGCCGAGATCTACCGTGCAAACAATTTCAGAAGCCGATGTGAGTGGTCATCCTCGATCTTATTTTCCTTGGAATCCCCAGACTAATCATCCCGCAGAGTTTCTGGTTTGGAAGTTTTGATGTTGGAGACTCTAAGAACCTGACTCTCCTCATCGATACCGGCTCTTCTGACGTTATCGTCAATCCTGGTCTGTACAAGAGAGGGCCTCAGTCTGTCGATACTCACTCGACGTTCACCAACACCTACGGCACCACAGAAAGCGATGGCTCTGGGACCGGAACAGTATGAACAGATGCAATTCGTCAACGGATTGGAAGAAAGCTAATCACACGGGATCTAACAGGTTACGGGTACACTATACAATGATACCGTCAAGTTTGGTGCTGTCATTGCACATCAAACCATTGGATCTGCACAGCCTGGGGCGGACGGTGAGGTCCTCATACCCGCCGATGGCATTGTGGGCTTTGCTGGCCTCGAGGTATCTTCCTTCCATGGCGCACCACCTTTCTTTCATAGCCTGTGCGATCAGGGGCAAGTGTTCCCCTGCCGATTCGGTATCACGTTAGAGGAAAACGGGAAGGGAAACTTGTTTCTAGGTGCTCTGGATCAGTCAGTATTCAAGGGGGAGCTGAGGACAACCTCTATCATTCAAGAGTGGGCACTTTATGCCGATATAGCTCTCGACGGTAAGATCATCAAGAAAGATGCGTTGGTAGAGCTAGATACAGGAACTGCAACTGTGATCGGGTAAGAATCTATTCCTGACGAGGGAGGTGACTCATACTGAACATCTTTCAGTCCAGTTGATGATGTGATTGCAATTTTCAAGGCTGCATCCATACAATACGTCGTTAAAACTTCCGAGGACTCTGGTACCTCTGTCACTGGATACTTCCCTTGCGACAGACCGCCCACCCTGGGACTCTCGATTCCTTCTCAGAGTAATGTGACCGCTGCTACAAGGCTAAAGTCAAGGCTTGTTAGCCATCAGAGCTCAATCTTCAATATTGCACCGGACCAGTGGATTTCTGCTGATAACGGAAACAATAATTGTACGGCTATCCTCTCTGGAACGGATGCCTTTCCTATTCCCGATTTATGGGTAGTTGGCCAACGTAAGGCTCCTTCCGGCTAGTATCTTAAGTGGACCTGGTATACTAATATTCTATCGTCAGCATTCTTCCACGGGACTTATGTCGATCATAATCTGAATGATCGCACGTTGGGGTTCGCACCCTCGAGATGTACAAACTAAAATTCTGGTTCGTCACCAAGGGTATGCCTGGCATATGTACCGGAGTGGCTTGATAGGCATGTAAAGTTAATTTACATGATATGTGAGTTTAATGATGCTTTCTTTAGGCAAATGTGACAAGACTTTCCAAATATGGAAAATAAATTGCATTTCATGCTTAATGAGTCTCATCATCGAGTAGTGTTGTTTGATTTGAATATCGAATAATGCTTCTCAAATAGAATATCTGAACGCCGTATCCTGCTTATCTGTTAGATCAGTCTTCGGCAACCCATTTTCATCCAAATCAAAGTCTTGGGTCATATCGATAGTGCTAGTGCCATCACATGTATCACGCTGCTTGTTATCCGCCATACACAAGAGACGGTAGATAATGACAGCAACAAATAGCAGACACCATGTCACAATTGAAGTGATGACACCTTCAGTATACCGTGGTTTGTGCGTCCACAGTTGAGGTGATCCAATGCAACCAGCGCAGTACCCGATGAAGAACATGGTATTGACAATGGCTCGTTTAGTATTGCCTTTGACATTGGAAGCACAGATGGAAAGGAGGATTGACATTGTTGCAGTGACACAAGAAGCCTTGAAAACAACAGTCAGTCCAAGAATCCGTAATGACATCGAGTCGAACTTACCAGCCAGGAGGCCACAATAAGGCCCCATCCTGCGCTCGTATCAAGTTTATACAGAAACAAAGTGCCAATAAACGGTGGGAGTATGAGCACCAGGATCACAAGAGTACGCTGACGCGGGAAAAAGAAGACGAAAAGAGTTCCGATCCATAATAAGGCAACCTGAACAGCGCCCGAGGGTGCAGTGTACAGCATAGTGTCCAGCTTGCTATAGCCGATTGACTGAATCATGAGTGATGCAAAGGTCAATACTGGTGATTGCATAGTCACAAGTACGCCGAACCAGAAAACCATCCACGCCTTGGGATCCATGAGTGTTTCTTTTAGTTGTAAAACAGAGAAAGATGTTTTATCACCACCATCACGGTCTTCAGCCATACGGAGGGATAAAATCTCCTTTTCGCGTGTATTCAAGAACCACGCATCTTTCGGTCCGTTAGGCATGAGTATGAAGAAGCCAATACCAGCGGCGACGGTCAATGCACCACAGATGAGAAATAGGACGCGCCAGGGGGCGATAGATAGAGATGTATTTTTGCCAATTCCGTACATCAGCAAGCACCCAATGACTTGAGCTAATCCGTTCATTGTGATCCACAGAGCTGTTCGGACAGTATGCTCCTTTTTGCGGTACCAAATACTGGTGATGGTGACGAAAGCGGGAGAGACAGCTCCTTCGCTGAAGCCTAGTAGAAAGCGAACGGTAGCAAAGCCGGCGAAGTTTTTGGGGGCCGCTAGGCACATGCATACAATTCCCCAGATAATACTATAATTATTAGCAAGTTAGTAGCCGTTGAAGGGTATACGGACGACAAAGGGCATGAACTGTCCTACTCACACCGTGGCACCAACAAACTTGGTGAGTGGCAGCCGACTCATCAAATAAATGAACGGATATTCTGAGACAAGCTGACCAACGTAAAAGATGGAGCTTGACCACGAATATTGCTGGTTGGTCATATTTAGGTCCTGGATGAGGCCGAATACGCCTGCATAGCTCAGGCTTTGTTTGTCGAGATACTGCAAGAAGAAGACAAAACACATCTACCTCGAGGTCGCATTAGCTTCTCTGATTACGCCCTGAAAATGGAGAAGAAGTTGCTCTCACAAATGGTAGAATGACCGTATCGATTTTACGTAAGACTGCCTTTTCTTCCTCTGCAGTATATTGCTCACATATGCCGGTGATCTCCCCATTAAGTCGGTTCTCTTCTTTGTTCATCGAGCCGGAATTTTTGGAGTCTGCCATGGCTGAATGATGTATCAAGGTTGATATGCAGCTCCAAGACAACGTATTGAGCGAGAGCTGTCGATCTGCAGTTTGTCGCTAGCAAGGGTGCTAGGATCGAACAATTCAACCTACTAGTAACCGCTGCTCATGCTCCTGAGAGAGAGGAGAGAGAGAAGAGGGGAAACTTATATACCGGAACAGCACCGAGCGTCCCCAGATTTCTCCCCAGATATCAACGGACTGATCCCCTATCTCCCACGGATTTGGAAGGGATCAACCGATTGTGTTTAGAGATACAACCGGGGGTGCATCGGCCCGATGACATTGAGTCGGTAATGTGACCTGTAACGACCATCTTGCCGATGATTACTGTACTCCACCTTCTGTGCGACCGTATTCCGGCAGCTATCAGACAATTGTGCATCTCAGTATTTTAGAGCCAGAATTCCTGGGCATTTGGAAAATCTACTTTTTGCTCTCATAACCTTTTGTTCGTTGTCTGTTATCATGTCTGACCGCGACCAGGTGCCAGGCTCTGATATCAAGCCATGGGCCCGCCCAGAGGCCCAAGACTATTGTTTCACAAACGCTAACGTTGTCGACGTGCAAGCGGGGAATCTCTTGCAAGGCGCCACTGTCATCACCCGTCAGGGTAAGATTGAATCCGTTGCACTCTCCTCTCCAGACCCCCTTCCGACCGATGTTAAGGTCATTGATTGTGAGGGGCGCTATCTATGCCCCGGTCTCTTCGACGCCCACGTACACCTTTGTGCTGTTCCAGGATTTAAAGATCTATCAAAGGCATTTGGAAATCCAAACGACGTCCACTTGCTTCGACAACCTTACACAGCGGCTCAAATGCTGCATCGAGGCTTCACTAGCATCCGTGACTGTGGCGGTGCTCAGCTCGCCATCAAAGAAGCTATCGAGGATGGTGTCTTCCCTGGGCCCAGGATCTTCATATCCGGTCATGCATTGTCTCAATTCGGAGGACATGGGGATCTTCGCGGTTCCCATGAACCTACTGAATGCTGCGGCGGTACGCATAGCAACAACCATCTAGGCCGACTGTGCAACGGTGTGCCGGACTGTATGGCTGCAGTGCGCGAAGAGATTCGCTGTGGTGCTGATTTTATCAAAATTATGGGCTCGGGGGGTGTTGCTTCTCCTACTGATAAGTTAGAGCACCTTCAGTTCACATCTGCCGAGATTCAGGCGATGGTAGAATGTGCCAACAACGCTGGAACTTTCGTCACGGCCCACGCCTATACAGTGAAAGCTATCAGGCACTGTATTGAGAACGGTGTTAGAGGGATTGAACACGGCAATTTTGTCGATCCACCCACTGCCATGCTAATGGTGGAGAAGGGAGTCTATCTCACGCCCACCCTCATCGCTTATGCTCAAATGGCATCGGAACGCTGGAAGGGATACTTGCCTCCAGAGTCCCAGGCGAAGAATTCTCAAGTCCTGAAATCTGGTCTTGAAGCACTCAAGATTGCTTCTGATGCAGGTGTCACAATGTGCTATGGTTCTGACTTGCTTGGTCCATTGGGCTCTGCTCAGACACAGGAGTTTTCTCTTCGTTCACAAGTGTTGACTCCCCTTGAGGTATTACGAAGTGCGACAATCAACCCAGCGAAGATGATGAGCTGCGAGTCCTTGATTGGGCAGATCAAGGAAGGTTTTCAAGCGGACCTTGTCGTCCTGAGTCAGAATCCTCTCGAAGATGTAACTATCTTTGACAACCCTGATAAGTATGTGCTGGGTGTGATGAAAGATGGTAGAGTCTACAAGAGTCGCTGGAGTGCCCTGCCCGAGGACTGGGAGATTCCGGTACGAGTGAAGTATAACTGAAGAGATGATTCAGGATTATTATACTACATCTGTTCCACTTAAATATCAGGACCTTATACTAGTCAAAAATAGCAGGACAAATCTCGCATAAGATGTACATTAATAATAGTTGGCGAGATATCTAAGGAGGTACTTGAAGAGCGTCTAGAAGAGCAAGTGGATAAAAATCTAGATAGGGTCCTTTAAATTTATTAGTATCACATATACATAGTTCTTTTTCTTCTTGGTCTTCTGCCAATGAATTTCAGATTTTGCATAGCATTCAAAAATTTCGGACTCCGTTGTCGGCGATCACACTCATCGTACATGTAGCATGTGACTATTCTGAAATTTGGCGAGCGACATGAAAAGAAGAAGGAAATTTGGGATTCGTAAAATTATCGATGGCAATGGCAGTTTTGATTGGTAATACATCCGACATTATTACAATTGGTCTGTCAGTCCTGAGAAGTCCAGAGCATCCAACCCAGTGAGACCCATCAATAATGTCTGCTCATTACCATGAATTCCTGAAAATAGATCCTGGTCTGGAGCTTCTAGCCATTGCTGATTTCCCGATACTCTGGCAGGATGCCGTGGCAATGAAGATGCACTCGGAAACATTCCATCATCGATTACTTGCCATGATGACAATGGACTAGTACCGGATTGAGACACCGAACATGTCTGTAATTGTCCTAGATCATCCAGAGTGAGACAGGCTGTATCCTCTTGTTCTTGAACAGTGAGCCACTCAGCCCATTGGTTATAAGCAGCGGTTGAGTTAGAGTCCACATTCCGCTCATGCGCTTCCTTACAGGAGCTAGTGCAATGAAGCTTCGCGGCGGCCTCGTTCGTGATGGAGCGCACAGCTTCGACAAACCTGACACCCATTTGAGCTGTCATATTTCCTGCGGCCATTCTTCTTAAACAATCCAGACCGAACGCTACTCGAGCTTCGTACCCTGAATCCCGATCTAAGATGCCAGTAACTAAAGTCACTATAGTTGCGATACTGCAACCCTGGAAGTCGGTGAAAGAAAAACGCGTGATGTTTTGCGTGTTCGTCAGACTTTCGAATAGCTGCAAGAGTTTCCTGGCAGCTTTTGTGCAGGAATCAGAAAGCCTTCTCACGGTGTCACAAACTCGGGGTGATTGGCGCTCAGGGTGGAGATGCTGCCGAATCCTGGACCGCGCCACGGTCACAAGTGAAACTTTGCCCATAGTAATCCATGAATAATAATAATTCAAGTAGAGGTGGAAGACTGTGCGGTAGCTTGGAGCCTTCGGATCGATACGATCCAGCTTGAAATTGTGAGGCAAAGACCTCTTCCACTCTTTGAGATCAGCCTCCCACTTGCAACAGCGCGAAAGCTGCTCTGCACTCATTTGACCATCTCTAATAGTTATTAGGCTGAGCTCAATTGAAATTGGAATTGGACGCACCCGAGGTCGGCAATTTGATCAAGTATCTTGATTAATTGACTGTAGGCTATTTGGAAGTGAATATTATCATAAGTTTGAAGGCGGTCCAGAGAAGGATATGGAGAAGGAGGTAGAGCTGTAATGATCTCGGCACTGATAGAACGTGGCCTGTTGAGCTTCACTGTAGTACAACTGCCGAAATATTTAGCGACAGGAAGCAAAGAGATCCATGAAGGTTGTGGCTCACCGTTCGAGGGAATAAATTGTCCACCAAAGGCGCCTCCGTATCTCCTTTTCTCGCTCCTCTATTCCCTGATCCTCCAAGTTCAGATGGAGATCAAAAGTTAGCGCTTTACGCAAAGCCATGCCCATATAGACATAAGATGAGCCAATCGCGTTTGCCGGCATGAGATATACACCTAGCACAAACGGCGCTTGGATAGATCTCAAGCAAGATCGATCTAGTATGTCAGGCATGAGAGTCTTGGCATGGCAATGAAATACTCTTCCAAGGTCAGAGCTTTCCCGATTGCGAATAATATCGGATCCTTCCAGTCGTTCTAGCGTTGTCCACTGACTAGCGAGAGCGAATGTAGCCATTGCCAAGCCAATAAAGCTTGGATCAGACCTTAATCCAGAGGTCGGGCTCGTGTAAAATTCATCAATGTCCTTCGTAACTTGAGCTTGATCAAAGTAGAAGAACATGTCTGTTGCGTGCTTTGTGAATACAGAAAGAAGGAAGTCGGCGACAGGGCGTGGAGGAAAAGCATCTATTGCAGCACGAAGTCTTGTCAACTCATAAGAGTGCAATGCTTTGGGTTTTATCATCCGCTTACAGAATGTGAGAGCTAAGCCTTAGTAATGACAAGGGTGATGTACGTACTGCTTGCATGGCGACCATGTCGCGTTCTTCAGGGGCTGCCTGCGAGTCCAGGGAGAACGCTTCGCGAAGCCGCGAAAGAATATTGGGCCACTGAACTCGTCTCGAGTTATCAGCAACGACATGTTTGACAAGGCCTTGTGATAATGCAGACTCTGGTGATAACAGCTCGGGGCTGTCAGCAAAGATGTTGTTCCGAGGGCTGTTTTTGGCATGGCTTGATGAGGCATCTGGTGCGTTCGCCGGAGAACGCAAGCTTTGCAAGTTCTCTTTCAGAGGAGATCTTTCTCTAGATGCAAGTAAGCAAGTGCAAGATAATCAGGATATAGTATGACACCATTTTTACTTCTCGAATCTGCAATCTAGATTTCCAGCAAAGCATCTCTGACATTGTCCGGGGCTCGACTCCACACACTTGCTCTTTCGAGCCTTGCAGCGATCACACCTTTGAAAATGGTAAGCGTAATCTCTGAATATGTTATACTGGATATTTGCATACGCTCGAGCAGCTCGTTTTCGTTTCTCTTCAGCAACCCGACGGCGCCGTCTTCTCCGCGCTGCGGCAGTTGGGTCCATTGCTAGACTGTCGAACCGAAGCCAAGTCCAACAGCAAAATGTCAAATTACCGACATGGAATGTATTAACAAATATTGTCTGTGCTTCTCTAGACCGGCAATGGCTTGCAAAGCAACAAGGGGGCCAGCAACTGTTTGCTGGTTAGACGGTAGCCCGTTGTCGGCAATCTGGCTCGGGTAGTTGCACTCTTATCTAACCCCGCATTTGTAAACAAAGCTCGGAGTCAACCCGAAGACGATAACCAGAGTTAGGATAGACTTTCGAGACATTGGAGCAGCTCCAAGATTTTGATAGTCTTTTGAGATTGATATCACTCGGATCGGGTGCTTTCGAGTCGAATCGGATGTTGACGTTTCATCGCCTGACTCGAATCTTTAGGCGACCGCAACAGACCGACCGAAACATCGGGATTCAGCCTGAGTTGGTCGAATTTGAGAGCTATAAACAAATGCTGTGTAGCCATGCAACATCATCCACGATGGGCCCCAAGACCCCAAAGGCCTTGACCATGGAAATTCTTCAGCGATTGAGTCTTTTGAATATTGGGTATTTCATGTCACTGATAAATGCATAGTATCAGTTATAGGTCTATACCAACGCCAAGCCCTGTACCAAAATCGAACCAGTGTGAAGGTTGAAATTGAGAGTTGATGAAAAATCAAATAATCACCCTACAACACCCTCTCTTCTGAGTTAATCATAAGAACCTTGGCTTCTGCAAAGCTTGGTCTGCTGCGGTACATTCCTCTACTGGGCCCAAAAACCGCTTGTTATTGGAGGCCGAATGCCAAACCGATCTGTACCCTCATTCTCAATTGGGAAATGGGAATACAGCTGCAAGGATCATTGTGATACGGATGCCAGCAAGAGATCCGGATCTTCCCGCTGCTGGCCAGGTCTATCACGTTTCTGCCTAAGAAGGTGCAAGTAGTGCCCTGGATATCAAGGAGCGTGGTAATCTTGCAAGCTTGAGAATGGACGCTGGAACTGTGTATAGAATAGGGGAGAACAATTCAAGTGCACCCTCAGAGAAAAATCTACCTGGGGACCAATAGCAACTCCAGTCATCAATTATATTTCCCGAGGGAGTGTAACTTCTACCTCATACAATTAACTTATCAACTGTCCAGTTTCTGGTGAACGCCTCAGCCAAACCGGCGTAACGCAAACCAGCCAGCTACTTAGTAAACCTTGAATCCACCAGGCATCAAGGTCTGGAAAACACGCTCAGGGTCGTACTTCTCCGCGATTTTAATCAGACGCTGTTGGTTGGTCGCACCATAGCCCGGGAAAATCGACTGGAAGCCAGCGGCATCACCCATGTAGTTGAACGCATCATAAAGACCAGCCTTCTGGGTGGCATTGTTGATAGCATAGGTAGTGTCCTCGACCCACTTGGCGACGACATCGTCATAAGCGGACCCAATCCACTCCACGACCTCGGCATAGCAGAGGTAGACCTTAGTAGAGTCCAGGCCCAGAGCGTTACCGCCACGAGCGTTGGATGCCTGGATCCACTCCGCGCCAATGGGTTGCCAGTCCAGCTGGATGGTGGAGATGTTGGCGGAGGGAATCTGGTTGTATAGCTTGGGGAGCTCGTTGAAGAAAGTAGTGTTAATGATGCTGATGCCCTGGTGGAGCTCCTCGTAGGTTGTTCCCTTGACAGTTCCGGCAACGAACACATCGCTATAGCCAATTGTCAGTTGCATCGCTCAAAAATCAAGGTCACGCGGTAATCTGTCTTACTTGATGTCGCTCACTACCATTGCACCCAATTCAGCCGCGAACTCAGCCACAGTCTTGAAGCCGACAGTGCTGCTAACGGATGGGATGTCGGTGAAAGGCTTGAGGATATCGGGGTAGCTGACGGTGTCGCTGTCATAGAACAGAATCGCCGAGGCCAGAGTTGAGACTCCGGGCACCAGAGCGGGAACGATGTGGCTCTTGGGGTCCGAAATGTTGGAGGCATATTGGGCAATAGCCTAGTAGTTATTAATAACACTTCTAAGATAAGTGAGTTACCCGAAGAGGATACTGACCGCCAGGAACTGGTCCACGTATTGGGCTTCCACAGTGTGGGCACCAGCCCAGACCATGGGCGACTTGATGGTCTCGATGTCGAAACGGGTGACAATGCCGAAGTTGCTGCTACCGCCCTTCAGAGCCCAGAACAGATCCGGGTTGGAGGTCTTGCTTGCGTGCACAACAGTACCATTGGCCAGAACGACCTCATAGTTGATGACAGAGTTGCAAGCGAAGCCGACCTGGTTGCCGTAGAAGTTGACACCACCAGCAAGAAGCAGACCAGGCACACCGACGGGGCCGAGACGACCACCTGGAACACTCAGGTCATAGGCGGCGAGATACTCATAGACCTCACCCCATCTGCAAGAATTATTAGTTCCATGGCTCTTTGCTTGGAGGTACAAAATGCGGGACTTACCGGTAAGCGGGACCTAGCGACAGCACAGACTTGTCCTCGTTCAGTTCCAGGGTTGTGAGATTGGACATAACGACCAAAACACCGTTGTCGATGTTGTTCGAACCCTGCAACTAATTAATTGGCATGCCCATAAGGTCCTATCGACTTTCCAACTTACTCGGATACCCATGTGGCCACCACCCCGAACCGCGAACTTGGCTTCAGCATCGACGAGAGCAGTCATTCCCTCAGCCAATTGGCTGCTGGACTGGGGACGGAATACACAGCCAGGAGACATGAGCTCAGTGTTTGACCAGAAGTTGTTGGTCTCATACTGGTAGACCAGGCTGTCGATGAAAAATAGCGAGTTGCCAACGGGGCCCTTGAGTGCATTGCAACCACTGCTAACAGGCTTGCTATAGCTAGCCGCAGCCGAAGCGAGACCTGCCAGAGGCAGCACAATAGAAGCCACACGCATGGTGAGCTAGACTTGTAGGATGTTGGTCAAGGGAGCAAGTCACTGGAGAAAAAGGTCAACAAATACCCCAGGCATCAGAATAATAATTAACCAACCATGGAGAACACGGGGTGTTACTGGAATTGGCATCTTCGCCTAGAGGTCCTTCGTCAGTCTGTTCCATAAGCCTTCTGAGCCGGCTTAGCTCCGGTGTTCGGGATGGGCTGGGATCGATTGGGATAAGCGGATGACTTACGTCCGTGGAGACTGTCCACTTAGTGCAGAGCATGGTGCAACAAGCGCGGGAAATTGTGATGAACATGGTGTCCGTCGAAGAATCCTTGCCAATATAGTCAATACTGATTCAGACATTTAGACTGCGATCTGCTTACATTATTCATTATTCATTCTTCCTGGTAATTTTCTGCTCTGCACATGGGCCAAATGGTGCAAACTTCGGTAGGTTTCTTTGTTGTCGTAGCTCAAGCTGCTGGCCTGCGATTATTCAGGGGCAACCGGATTTGCCGAGCTGGCTGGATCCACTTTAAGGTTCTCACTGACCAATCTAACGATGGCTTGGTTATATCGGAAAAGACAACCGATCCAGATCAAGAATTAATTGACGCATATGTTGGTCATTATGTATATCATTTATTGATCATCAGGTCTATATCTCAATAGAATCTTGTCCATAAATAAGAGATTATGTGTATAAAACATCAGAGTGCTCACGCTGTTGTAGAGCTGTTTTTCACATCAAATTCGACGGTTCGAATGATGCCATTCGAACCATCTCCATCCTTAGCATGACCGCTAGGATGCGACGCGAGAATATGCTCTTCGCTCCCATTGTCGGGTGCACCTCTGAGTACGGAAAGTGTCGTCGAGTATTGATTGTCTTGATTTGAGAAGTTGACTCGGTCGCTATGAGGGATCGACCCCAGAGGATGTCCGTGCTTGCGAGATCGCGATTGAGAGGAGTATCCATCTCCAGAAGAAGGACCGAGTAGGCGGGGGAAGTATTTGCGGATGAAAGGTCTGATAGCGGTGACGCAGCCGCCGAAAATTCCAAGATTTAGCTCGATGATGCACCACAAGAGTGCGTTAACAGTCGCCCCTGTGGAGATATGGTTTAGCAAATGACATTCCTCGTGTGAATCTGAGTATCGAGAGACAGCTCTTACAGGTGAGGTCTGAGCTTTTCAAGAGAGTGTAAAGACTTCCAAGACGAATGCAGCTGACGATTCCAACGCTATGATTGCTCGTGGTTAGTACTGGCGATAGCATAGCTGGAATGTGCGTCTCGAACTTACAAGCATCCCATGGCCAGAATACTAACAACAGCAATCTTCTGACGAGCAGGCATTTGTAGTCGGCGAATCCAGGGTCTAGCGAATGGTATTTGGTTAGCGACGTGTCCGTCTTAGTGTCTCAAGGATCAACTCACATTGGGATCGATACAGTCGCAAAGTCCGTGAAAATACCCAGTCCTGCATTTGCAAAATAGAACACGGGCCTGTTCACACAGGATCCAGTTGTGATCGTCAAATCCCAGGATTTGGCGATTGGGTTGCAGCTGAAGATATTGGCAAGTATACTAGTGAGACTGTAACCGGCAGCGATGAAGACTATCACCCAGACTGCGATGTGGAAGTTGCGACTTGGGAAAATGCGGAGGTAGAAGATGAGAACGGAGACCTTTGTGAAGCCAGTTGCGGCGCAATAGATTATGGCCGCGATGAGATTCAGCTAGATGAGGGTTGACTGGTTAGCTTGCTACTATGATTGAGCAGTAACTAGATGTTGCGAACCTTGGGGAACATCGGCATGAAGCGAGCCAGTGGAACATCCCACAAGTGCTTTCCCAGCCCCCAATTAAGCACTGCAATGTATTAGCATGTGTGCCTTTTCATAACCACTGGGGCTAACTCGCTTTCTAATGTCACTCCGGTAAGAACGCAAGATAACAGCTGTAAGCGCCATAGCTTTTGTTAGCAAGATTGCAATGGCCGTTAGTCTATAATCATCGTAGAGGCACATACACAAGCGATGATCATCAAGTCTGCCAGGGATCAGAAATCTGTAATTTGAGGCAACAAAGGCTGGGCTCGTACTCACAGTCATCCACGCAAAAGCTCCGCACAACGAACAACCGCGTCCATGTTCGAACTCCCAAAGCAAGTAAAGCTAATGGCAGAAAAATGCAGTTCACTACAATAAATCTCCCGCCGATGTAATCAGGATTGACAAAATTCGATGTCTGGCCAGCTGGCGGCGACATTGCCGGCGTGATAGTATTGGAAGCCATGGCGGCAACTCAATCGGGACGGTGGCCCATCCGTCGGGGGATTTGCACGGGGATGGTGTCTTGGAACAAGGAGAGAGGAAATGGGGCCTTGGAGGTATGTATTGTGGGTATATAAGTGGAAAAGCTTCCCCCAGATCGTCGGGTTTTCCTTTTTGTCTTGTCATGCGGGGACTAGAAACGGAGTTTCTGCATTGCCGAGATGTCAGGTCCGTCAACAAGGTTTGATGGGGACTATAAGAGTTTGTTGTAGTTGTCGGATTTCCACCATTGCTGATCCTTGGAGCACGATGTTTAGGACTTCACGTTCCTGAATTTCTCGATACTACTAACTAGTTACTCCTGTTAATGACTACTACTGGGAAAGTACGGAGTACTGTTAAGTAACTCAACTTCGTGGGGACGCAAATCGGCTCCACATTTGGAACCCAGCAGAAGTTGTGGACCATAAATTTGGGAAGGGTCTGTGTGTACACCATCGATGTTTAGGAATATGGCTTCGAAAATTTCGCCAAATGTGCAGTTGCCCCGGGCGCTCCTTCATCAGACACGGACATGTAACGGATAGACTTTGCATCGGCGAGGGGGCAAAGGGTGGATTACTGCAGGCTCAAAATTGTGTCGCGACAGTCGGTTTGATGCACATGAACAATATGAGATGTGAGACGGATAACGGGGTCAATACTGCTTACAGTAAGTATAGCAGGTCAGCTCTACAGCAGCATTGTTGCTATTTGTTCGAGCTGCGCAGAGAAAAACAGTCTTGTTTTCGACCGCGTATTATTATTGAAAAGCGCCAGACTAACAGGTCCTAAGGCCTGCTGAGCTCAATCGTCTCGCTCGATATGGCAGGGATGCTCGCGCCACGAACTCCAGATGCATCCTTTATTCTGTTTCGAGCATTTCCAGCCCGCGTTCTCCGCTAGGGGAGTTCCGACGAACCCTAAGCTCCACAAACTAGGAGTGCAACCATGACTATCACCCCTGATATTGTTATTTGGGGGCATACTTTCGACGGCTTTTCCCGACTTTCTGCCGAACACCTACTCGACGTTTGTTTCGAGAAATTGCTCGGGCCTCCTAGCAAGTGGGAATTCACGCGGGTCCAATCGAGCTTTGAATTTCGGTTCCTTCTCCGAGCGCGTTTCTTCTTGTTGAACAGACGTCGTGGTGGCTTCCATACATAGACTGCGTATGCTATACGAGCAGTGGAAATTTGCCTTATTTTCCGGGTCGCTTGTTCTACCCCAGTCTGATCGCGTTTACTTTGACTTGTGCTGTGTAAGTGCCATTGGCGAGTTTTCTAACTACCAGTTGTGGTAGGCTGGTAGCCGCGACGGTCCCTTGAGCGCAATCTATGTACAGTGTATTCCGTATGAACCATGCCTTCTAATATCTATTATGGTATGGAGCAGTGCACACTCGTCAAAGCCAGAGATGCGGATGTGGCTGAAGGATTTCGAAAATAAACCGGACATGCCTGGATGGGTCGAATGTGAGCCTGCGATAGACAGTTATTCCCACGAGATTGTGCGCCACTCGGGGGGGGGCTATCTACATCTTAGGTACATCTCTACAGTAACATATGAACTCGATTTAATAATCAATGTCTTAAGTTCTAGCTCGAAGTGATGCTTTCAATTTCATAGGTGAATTTATGCCCTTGTATAGGCAAAAAGGCTATCTAGACTGGAAGTACTGTGCTATATGTTTTCTCAGGGGAAGTTACAAAAGCATCAGTTGACTCTAACCCTCTGGATGTCCCGGTAATTTCGGTAGTGTTTTCCCCGAGCCCTTAATACGTTGATAAACCGCCGTTCTGATCAAGGCCATTCAAAGAGAGTTTCCTTCAAGCCTTTACTAGTCTCAATTTGAAACAACTAACAAGGCAAAGGCCTACTAACGACGTGCAAGTGTGCTGTCTTCATCTCGGAAGGATAGCAAGCAACACAGGCACTACTCGACACAGTTCATCACAAGAGTAAAATGAGCTTTTCTGGTATGGAACTCTAGCTCCATAATGCTAAATCTCGAAGCGTTTGAAACCACATAAGCACCCATGGCAAGCAATGAAAAACAGATTCCCCAAAATGATACACACACAACCCCGCAGGTGGTAAAAGCCAGGTATAATATGAGAATCCCAACGACCGTGACAGAAAAAGAAAAAGAAAGCCGAGCCCGGAGAAGCAGATGAAGACGAAACAAAGCATGATATGTTCAGGGGATATCCCCGCATGATGCAGAGACCTCACATCTGCATCGTCTCATCCCCATCGGCGTCACTAGCGCCGAAGGCTCCGCCAGGTATCCGTCCCTCGTTCAATTCCTTCTCCAGTCGTGTGATCTCTTGCAAGCTCTTCGCATCACGGATCATCTTCTCGACACGCTTTCGCTCGGCATCGGTCAGTTTGACGCGGATAGCCTTTTCGGTTGGGCCGGTGGTGGCAGCAGCGCTGGAGGCATCGAACGCCCGGGACTTGATACCCATGATCTTGGAGGCGAGGGCGGAGGGTTGCTGCACAGTTCCGAACAGTTCCTTGGCCTTTGCACGCTCCACATCCTTCACTTTTTGGTAGTCAAGGAATCGAACCGAGGGTGCTAACCAAATAATCCAGTATCGATAATTCTAGAACACAGGGTTAGGTGATTCGTCTCTTCACAAGCCAGAGCGTTCCAGATAGGAACAGGCCTTACTTACCTCCTTCCGTGTGATAGGGTTCTCCAATAGGACCAGATGTGTGAGTTTATGAAGGGTGCGCAACGATTCAACATCCGCCAGTTCGGACAGGTTATTCGATGTCAACACCAGGGTAGTCAGAGACGGGATTGATGAGCCCAGGTTAGGTTGGATGTGATTAATTCGGTTGCGCGCAAGGAGGAGGGTACGAAGACGAGGGAAGAAAGGAAAGTTCCCGAGGGAAGAGAGGTCGTTGTCCGTGAAATCAATTGCATCTTGATCCTGTACCACGCTTAGCACAAACACCGGAAAAGGAACTACCGACCCAGCAGCAGTCGATCCAGCTCATCAAGCAGAGAAAGCTGATAGCAGATCCCGCAGAAACCATCACTCACCTTGGCAATACCCAAGTTCTCAATTGCGGGGATCTTGTGCCCTACACGCGACGCACAAAGACGATATCAATCCAGCTCTTGTTTCAAGATGTAGTACCTGTTCTTTTCAGGCAGATGGTGTAGCAGTCAAACGCACCTCGGAGATCCAACTCACGGTCTTTGAGCGGATTAATGTATGAGAGGGAATTCTGGATGAGCTCGACGGTCAAGCGCATGGCGGCGGTGGCTGTAGTCGAGATTCGAAGAGCAGGGACCGGTCCAGAGAAGCGATTCTATCGATGTTGCATATGAAGAACGCGAAGAAAATGAGAGATAAGAACGTGCCGAGTTCAAATAAAGCTGCAATGGTTGTGAGAAGACTTGTCGCAGTTTCTCCAGAAAGCACCTCCAGCCGCAGCCCTTTCTGCCGGGCGGTCAAAGATCCGTTAGACGTGCACGTGATAGCTAGGTTACCTTATTTGCATGCTATCTACTGTTCAAGGTGAACTCTGACAGTTGTTTACAGAATTATATATGTTTTGGAGAGAACACTCTTTCAAGTTGAGCAATGTATTAGTCTATATTCATTAAAATATCTGTAGCAGAGTGCTAGTGGTACACTGCCATACATCGAAATCACCCGGATCAGATCGCAAGTACCGAAAGAAGAAAAGTACTCCAGAGCACACACGGTTGAAATATGGGACCAAGAATGAAAAGAACATGCTGCTCACGGCACAGCGATGCCCTGGACGAGAAAAGTTCCCTATAGAGGGTCGAGAAAACAAAGCAAGAAGCGTTGCGCCAGATTAAACACCAGCACTCACGTTCCAATCAGTCAACTCCAGTTGATAATGCGATGCAAACGCAGAGAAAAGACAAGGAACATGTCACAAATCACGAAGCATAATTCAGTTCAAGATGCATCAGTCACGTTAATCATCGGCAAGGGGAGTCATGCTGGGGGATTTTTGATGGTGAGACCGTGTAGGACTGGTAGCTCTTGATCGACGGCCATTAGTGGTAGGACCGAGAGCGATAGGAGCCAAGTGATCTCGGCTTTCCGTCCTAACCACCAAGCCTGCCCGATCCATGGCAATCCCCGAGCCACCGCTGATCCCCAAACCAATGGTGCCAGATGAGGTGTTGTCAAGTGTATATTTCAAGCCGGGCGGGTTGCTGCTGCTACCCCAGCTGGACGCTCGCTTCGGTGGGCGCATGCCAATGGAATCACCCTCGGAGGCCCGGCCGGGATCCGCATCACTGCCGTCGGAGTCGGTCACGCCAAGTTCAAAATCTTGCGCGCCTTCTTCCATGACACGCTCGTAGGCAACACCATTTCGGTTCAGGAATGGCAGCATCGCCCCGAATCCCTTTCGTTTTTTCGGGTGATTAGGATGGGATGGACGGAGCAAATTGTTGATCTTCAGGTAGATGCGTGACCGGCGGCTGCGGCCGCATAGGAAGAAGCCAGCCACTACAATGATGAGGATGAACAACAGAATGCCCGGAATACGGCGGGGGAGTCTCCATCAAACAGCGCGTCATGCCAGTGTTCACTGTGGAATCCCTCGGAATCGGGAAGCAATTCCACGCTGGGGTACTGGAAATCGGGAGGGATCCCAGGAACATTGCTGCCAAATCCAACGGGGAGAGCGGCCTCCTCGACTTGGGCCGGTACTTGCGAAGATGCGTAGAGAACAATCTTGCCCAACGTCCAGCTCACCTCGGTCGAGTCGATCTTGTTTACAGCCTGGAAGGCATCCAAATACCCTTTCTTTTTGGTGTGAGCCAGGACCTCCTTAGTTCCATTATGAAGCGAGCCAGATGTATCTTCAAGACCGACCCGAGGCACTCCGATGCCATCGTGCAACATATTGATGATCCACGATGCCTTGAAGCAAACCTCGTTGGCCTTTTGTTGGTCCACCTTCTTTCCCCACTTGTGTTCCTGGATGCCGTCTTCGATCGACGCCCAATCCTGCGAACAGAAGGTCTTGACACGCTCCTGGTATGTGTTGAAGTCATAGGCCTTGTCCTTGTATCCCATTTCGAAGATCTCATGAGTTGTGTGCCAGTATTCACTGATGCCGATGAAATGATTCACGTCGAAGTCAATAGCCGGGACGTGAATACCATGGAGAAGACACGGGTGATCCGAGCAAGGTGCATCCTTGTCCAGTAGAGGGTAAGTCTGTCGCAGGCACTCGTCGAATCTGCCCGTACCGAGCAGAGAAGGTCCCGCAGCGTTGGTGGGCACAGCATCCTTGCCGTCCAACGTGGTGCGTAACCCCTCTGGCAGACAGGGGTCTGGCAACTCCTGGGCCTCGGGACCCGCTGCGGCCTGCAACGCCTCCACGTACCGACGCCGAGCTTCGTGCACACCAAACTCTAACCACGAGGTGACAAACACTCGATGTTCTTGAACCGAACCGTCAATATTCCGGAGGCGTAGAAGAGTGAGGTCGTTGGCGTGCTTCTCCGTCTCCGTAGCGTTCGGCGCAAATGCAATCTGCGCTGAAGCACCACCCATATCCAAGAATCCATATGTATAATGTCCTTTTCCATGGTCGTGTTTCTCAGGCGCGTCGAAAGCTTCCATCAGATAGTTTGTTGCGATCCATCCATACAGTCCCTCCGTCACGCCCGGGATGACCTGGATATGAACACCACAGTCGGGGAGTAGAAAGTCGGTATTGGCACGAGCATAGCTGCAGATTTGATCAAGGAGAAGCTGTCGCTCAAGGTTTCCAAGCAATCGCATGCCGGCCGTCGCAAGTAGGAAAATCGGGGTATCTCTGGCATCCTCCTGGGGAACAATGCTTTTCGCATGCTCCAGAAGCTCCGCCAGATGCTCAGTTCCGACAGACTCGGGTCGATTGGCAAAAGAAGAAACACCTTTGAGACGAGCACAGAGTCAGTATGTCATGTATCGCTCATTGCTCCAAGCCATCCGCGGCCGGGGCGGATGCTTACCGGGATGGATCTTCTTCACCCATTCCTCCTTGGTTTTGATCTCGGGGAGCGATCTCAAGTCATTTGCGTCGGCCTTCTGGCGAGCCACCGCATTGCGCAACCAACGATAAACGTGTACACGAGTCCCCTATGCGATTGTATATCAGTGGCCGATAACGAGAGGGCGAGAGTCGGGGGTGTCTTGGGAATGAGAAGCGACATACAGACGATCCAGCGTCTAGGACGACGCCATAACGCCCTAAAGGTCCCAATGTTAGTGGCCGGGCGAATTTCTTTGCGATTCGAACTCGAAAGGAGACTGAGGCGAAACGTACACTTGCCCATTTGGACTCGAGACTATCCACAGAGCATGACCAGCTGGCGACCAGATAAGAGCGAATTAGGGGCGACAGGAAGCACGACTTGTCTCTTGGAGTGCGCAGAGTGAGCCCAAAGGCTGGACGATAAAGGCGTAGGTGAACGAGTGACAGGAAGGCGAAGGGTCTTCGAGAGGAGGAAAGTACGGGGGGGTGTGGAAAGACCTGGAGTTGACTGGAGCGATAAGGAGAGACTGTCTCTGGAGAGTCTCAAACCGGCGACGCGACAGCGGGAGGCAAATACAATACGTGACGAGGGGCGAGACCGCCGTGGTTGGTGGTTGGCTTGACCCAGCCCGGTAAATAGGCGGAATTGAGTGGAATGGGTGGGGGCCCAGGGTGTCCGCATGGGGCAAGGTACCATACGGTGACGCTACCTGACCGGGTACGGTAATTTGGACTCTTGGCAGACTCCAGCAGAGACTCTCGAGTCTATTTTTTGTTTTAGCCTTTTTTTTCTCTCTCTTTTCCAAGTCCCAAACTGCGCTTGACGTAGTGTCCCGTCGAAGGAACCCCACTCTACGACTCTGGTGGCACCGGCCACCATTTCGAATGGCTGGGTCTTTTTGATGATGATGATTGTTTCGCTTCACTCTCCAGGGCCAATTCTCGCAGGGCTGCTTCTTTCCTTCCTTCTCTTCGGAATTGGCAAAGGAAGCTCGCGGAAGTCATTTCCATGGATTCGTCACCCCGGAATGCAGTCCCCACGGTGTTACATTTCGTGACATCGATGAGCTCTGGTAACCCTCCTTTGTTCTCGTGTTGATCCCGCTCTTCCACAGGGATGCTGCAACCCGCGCTAAAACCAACCTACTGTAGCAGGGGTTTGGGGGTCACAGTGGTGCGTCAGTATACGTCAGCTAATGCCTTCCCCGGGGCGATGGGGCCGCGAACCCTGCAATGCCCTGGATCCTGATACGTTGAGCCCGCGAGACAGACGCCTTGGCATCCCCATTCCCTCTGGCAACCGCGGGGCCCTCAAGCTGCTCACTCGTCATGTCGGGAGAGACAGAGAGTAAGCAGAAGATCCAGAAGACCCAGAAAGAACAGAAAGAAGAGAAAGAACGCGCGGTCAACTTTGCGTCCAGCATCGGTGCGCAAGTGTTGGCAAATCAGAAGGCCCGAAGATAAGGCCAGGCCGTCACTTACTGATTATGTTTCACTTGCATGATGATTATACTCTGTATGGAGAGTCTATTAGTATTAGTATTAGTATTAGTATTAGTATTATTATTATGATTATTATTATTCTAACGGAATTCAGGGTCTCGGAGCCCAGCGATCTTCGGTCGGCCGCGCAAACCCCCACCTTTTCAGCCTCTCAGTCCATTCGATACAATGCAAAAGCCTTGGAAACGCGCAATTGTCAGGGTTCTTAGAGCTAAGTTACCATTCTGGGATGATGACACAGTACACGGTCCTCGACATTATTGCGACCAGCTGAAATGTGCTTGATTCTCAATTATACTGTTTTGACTTTGATCTAGTTCTTCAGATCCTTGGACCCTGGGGAATTGCCAAGAGACTCATTCACCACGCTCGCATGGGCTGGTGTCGACGCGGAAGACGCAAACAGCTCGTCCAGAAATGCTCGTTCCCCAATCTGCTCGTCGAGGAATTGCGCCCGGTCCAGGCCAATCATCTCGGTCTCCTCGTGAACTCGCAACTGCATCCCGGGAATCCATTTCAAAATATAGAGTAAGATGCAGGACACCGTGAATGCATATGCAGAGATCGCACACACCTCCGCCAATTGTTTCCCAACCTGCATCCCGTTCCCGTCGATGCCACCGGTGGCTTCGGTCGCGCCATCCAAGGCCGCAACCGACTGCGACGCAAAAATGCCCGTCAAAAAGGCCCCGACCATACCACCAATGCCGTGCAGCTTAAACACATCCATCCCCTCGTCGATATGTAACCAATTGTTGATGTCTTGAAGTAACGCGCAGACGATACTGGTAAGGAGCCCAATACACGCTGCAAGCCACACGGAGACAAAGCCGGCAGCTGGGGTAATCCCAACCAATCCAGCAATCGCTCCCTCGCAGGCGCCGACCACGGAGAATTTTCCACGGTTCTTGATCGAGTCCACTAACACCCAGCCAAGGACGCCCGTGCACGCCGCCGTATTGGTGTTGAATGCTGCTAACATAGCTCTGACACTTGCGTTGAGGGCCGAACCTCCCTATCAAACGCAAAAATGGTTAGACCACGTTAATCCACCGACATGAGGTCAAAGCACATCGACTTACGTTGAATCCGAACCATCCAAACCAGATCAACGTTGTCCCAAGGAAGACGAGCGTGGTGTTGTGAGGCTTTCCATGCGATGTCTCATCGACATGCTTTCGCTTCCCCAGAACCAAGGCGTAGGCAAGGGCAGACCAACCCGACGCGATATGAACAGGGCCGCCGCCAGCAAAGTCAAGAGAGGGTAAATTGTACAGCCATCCATTGCTGTTCCACGTCCAGCAGGCCACGGGGCAGTAGACTACGGTGGCCCAGCAGAAGCTGAAGACCAGCGAAGGAAGCATATTCCCTCGTTCAAATGCGCCGCCCACAACGATCATCACCTGAAAGCACCGTCAATAAACAGAACCAGCTGTGCTGTACTCAATATTGGGAAATCAACTTACCGTGCATGCGCAGAACAGAAGTTGGTAGAAGCAGAACACGATCTCTGGCAGAACTGCTGACCCTGGCGACGGAGCTGCCATGACATTTTTCAAGCCGAAATTCTTGAGATTCCCGATGAAGGGACTAGCGTCGCGGGAATATGCTAGAGAATAACCCCAGAATATCCATTGGAAGGTTGTTCTAGGTAGCCTTTCGTGTTAGTAAACGGACCCTCAATCGCAGCTACAACGAGAGCAAACCGGACATACACGGCTACAATCATGAGCGATTGGAAAAGCAACGCCAATGCGGACTTTCGTCGAGCCAGGCCGCTGTAAAGCAGACCAATGCCGGGAATGATCAGCCAGACGATGAATCCACAGAAGACAATGTAGGTATAGTTCCATTCGTAGCCGACGAATTGGGCGTTGACGTCGACCGTCAAGGGGTCGCCACCGCTTGGTTCGGAGGCATTGTACACGGGCTGTGATGTCCAAGTTAATATCTAACCAAGGAGATCTGGTGATGGTACATACAGCATCGGCCATGGCCGGTCCTCAAAGTTCACGATGTCCTAAATAGGCAATGAATGGAAGATAAAGTTTGGGCAAACAATCCCAAAATCTATTGAATAAATCGCTTCACAAGAAAGCCGAAATCGACAATGATCTTTAACACAGGATACGGGCAAGAGTAAGATATACTTAACGCCCAGGATCCTCCTCGCCTCCGTCTAATGATAATTCACAACCTATTACTCAATCCGCTTATCTACACTCATCTAGCCAAGACTCCACACTCGGTTTTCTCGACCTTAAACGAAGGTAGAGAACGTCAATTTAACGATCCTCAACCCAGTCTGTGTCAGACTTTCGAATGGCGAGCTTCATATCGCACGATAAAGGAGAGGCGAGTGTTGATAAGGATGCGATCAGCCCGACCTGGTCAGATAAGGCCGTCCAACCATATCTCCCCATTGTAATCACCCCGGATCCGACAGCCATCTGGGGTTTAGGGTCTTCTTATCGAGGGTGGTCTTATCAGAGGTGGATTTCTTGGCGGCTGGCTTGGTAATGCACATGCTCTGTGGAGGTGAGTCCGTGAGATCTTGGCATAGGAGAGGAAGTGTTGTTGTTGCTGGGTGCCCGTTGCTGTGATGAGTCGCCCGCCGACAGGCTGACAGGGGTATAGACCAATTAGCATTTCATGGACCCCGGAAGAGGGAGTGCGTACCCATGGAACAAACCATGATAGTATACTTAGGTGTACCTAAGGAAGCCTAACAAGACGCGAAATCCAAGCCTGGAATGAGTGTTCCGTCAAGGATATGTATCCGGGCCATCGCGAATCTTCGACATCTTACGTACCTAGTGGATGCTGGTGGGTATCCTGGAGGTAAGGTCGTTTACTAAAGTTCCATCTCAACGACGAGCCTTTCCGAAGTTTCCACAACGATTGAACTTGTTGGCTGTGTAAAATGGGCCCGGGTAGGCGGGGGACATTCTGATGCATAATCTCTATCATTGAAATCGTCAGGAAGTAACCACGGAAACTATGGTGGTATGTATAGTAGAGACGAAGCGAACATGATGAAGCACATCTCCAACTTCGTACTGTAAGAATTATAAAGTATGCAACCCTTTGTAGACGAAGTCCATTCCTGACTTTCGATCCATGTTCATGATGCCGGCAACTTTCCGCACTCGAGTCCACCCAAAAGCGGAGGCGTTCAGGGTTTGATGGCTCAGACCTCGTGGGTTGAGGGGTCCAACCTTGATTAACTACCGACTACGAACAGAACCCTGATTCCGAACTCTTCATGAGCGTCGTTGGGCTTGCTGAACATCATTGACCCCCCGTGCTAGATCTACCACCATCTGGGGCAATGTACCACCACAGAAACATTTCTGGGGATGTGGTACAATCAATTTTCACTAGGAGCTTCCATAATGGCCACAAATTACCGTCATTCTAGGTTTCTTTCGAATGTCCAACTCCAAAAATCTCCATCTTCCCCTCAAACATCTCCGCGTTATTGCCCCTCGACAAATTGCCGACAGCATTGCCGACTACCCCAGATAGCCCCCGATGGGTGGGAACTAGCCGCTTCCCAATGACTTTTCTGCACAGGACCCTATGAGAACAGCCCTTTTTCCATGTGTTCTGCGCACACTACTTGCTAGCGCCGCCTTGCTGGGCTTCCCCTGGACCTAAGCTTCTGCCACAGCTATGGAGGACGTAGTATGAGGGACGCCATCTTGAGCGCAAGGTCCCACAGTGACATCAGAACTGATTTGGTATATATCCCTAAAAGAAGAAAGGCAGAAGTATTATCCAGACTTAATCATGAATTCCACGTTTTTGCCTTCTTGTCTGGCTTCTATCTAGTATATCCTTGGGACCGGCTCCTTTCTTTTCATCGCCAATCTTTACATCAATGCATGACTGTCGGGTAGTTCAAATCGTGGAGAAAAGTCCGGGGCGCATACTCCACAGGCCTCCATCTCCACATTTGAGAATTCGGGTGCGATTCGGACGTCGTCTCCGATGTAAAGTTTCCCTCGAAAGCTTCTGTATCACTCAAGCAACCTTTTGCTTCCACTGGTAGACCCTTTCCAAGGTAATTCCGCACACAGAACCTTAGTATCGGGACCTTCTCCGCTCAACAAGCTATCATTATACGAGCACTGCAGCTATAGCTTGTTTGAGAGATTGACCCTGGGGACATTTTATGTCCACATCAGATCGGCGATATCCGGCTTCGTTTAAGCCCTTGCAACTGCTGACCCCATTTCATTAAAGATAGCTTCAAGTTCCTGGGTCTACCCCCAAAACAGTATTGGTGAATGGTGATCCCTCGCGTGTTGCTCCATCGTAGATTTTCCTTTGCAAAGATGGGATGGACCAAGTCGAGTCTGTTTTCATTATTCAGATAGTCGTTTATACTATTAAGGCTGGCTCAATTTGCCGGCGGACCTCATCATATTCTCACTAGAATTCTTCTCCTGGTCGAGAGATCTTGTCAATTATACTGGAGAGATGTCCATGTACGAACGAAGCTATTTGACCTATGATCAGTAGTAGTCGCAGACTTAAAGTGCCTAATTTGTTTGAGCCAAGCTAGAGTCTGTTCCCACCAATCGCCCTCCAGTGTGGGGATCACTGTCGGATGCTTTCCGCATGAAGGAAAGCCGTATACAGGATCCTGTGCTAGAAAGCTCGGATCTCAGAAGATCATTGAATGCCGAGGGTATGCCTACCTTCCACTAGGGGAGATGATGTGGGGAGACGAGAATCCAGAAATTTAACATGCCTTTTCAATGATTGAAACCTGGGATATAAATTGAGCCAGAGTCGCCCCGACTAGGATACAGTGAAGCAGTTTCAAAGCAAAAGAAGACCAGCATCGGCTGCTCTGACAAAATGAGCCGGTCCATGATGAGTCTTCTTCCTCAGGCACTCGCCTTTTTTGCGGGCTGCCTTAGTGTATCTGCAGCTCAGTCTTCTGCTGAGGACTTATGGCCTCTTCAAACTTATAAAAGCTCGTCGATCCAGACGCCATTCATGAACGTCACGAAGATGGGTCAGACGGAGCCAGGATACCTCTTCTTCACACCCGAGGATATAATTCGCAATGTCGGCCACCCAGCGATATACTCTGACGACGGCCAACTGGTATGGCAAGGACCCAATGGGAGCTACTCGGCTCTTCAGCCACAAATGCTGGATGGTGAACCGGTTATTGCTCTTTGGACAGGGTATGCCGGGGAAGGCTTTGGGTTTGGACATATCAGTATCCTAAACAGTTCCTATGACGAGATCCACCGGGTCACCCTGAACTGCAAGGAACAGAACTTCGTCACTGTCTTCGACCCAATGGAATTCGATTCTTGCATTGATATACATGAAAGCCAGTTTACCGAGAATGGCACTATCATGGTCACTGCAGTCAATGTCACACAAGCTGATCTGAGCTCAGTCGGTGGACCTAAGGATGGTTGGATTCAGGATGGTCTTATCTATGAGATTGACATTAAGACCAACGAGATCGTGTTCCGCTGGAGTGCGCATGAACATCTTTCTGAGGCTCCTTTGAGCGATGTCTATGCTCCGCTTGAGGGTTCTGGTGTTAACAAGACTGATCCTTACGGATATCCTCATCTCAATGCCATTTACAAGTATGGCGATGATTATCTGCTGTCCTCGCGTTTTATGTGCAGTGTGTTCTTCATTGCTCCCAACGGTACCCTCATCTGGCATCTCCATGTAAGTTCTGATTGACTATCCCACAATCCGGACTATCAGCTTCACCAACTAACACGTCCTCTCAGGGCCGAACTGGTGGTGACTTCCACCTCGGTATCGGTACCAGCTTCTGTTACCAGCACGACGTCCGGTTCGAGTCGCAAACCCCTGAACGTGTTACATTGAGCATGCATAACAACGATAATACCGAGTTCACGGGTCACACGGCTCTTACTACCGGTCTTGTTTTGGACGTCGAGCTGCAGGGATCAAAGGAAGTAACCGTCAAGAGCCGCATGTGGGATGCTGATGAGCCGGTGTACGCTGAGTCTCAGGGTAGTTACCAGGTCCTTGGAAATGGACACGTTCTTCAAGATCACGGTGCTACGCCAAAGATCGAGGAGTATGGTGAGAATGGCCGGATCGTGATGCGTGCTCGCTTCGGCTACGACAATACCATGCAGACCTACCGTGCCTACCGGTACCCCTGGGTTGGTCGGCCCTCCACGAAGCCCGATGTGGTTGCTTGCCCATCTAGCAAGAGTGGAAAGACTGCAGTGTATGTGAGCTGGAATGGAGCCACTGATGTACAGTCGTGGAAGGTGTATTCCGGTTCTCAAATGAAGAAAGTTGCCACGCGGAATGGCTTTGAAACCACGATCCTTGTGGATGGCCTGTCACGTAATGATCAGCTTGTCGTGGAGGCTGTGGGTGGAGTCAACGATGGTGCGAGGTCTCAGTCTGTTACTATTGGACAGGGCTGCTGATAACTTTCATAATTGATAAGTATTATGCGATAGTCTGGTGAAGAAACAAATATCCAATGCAACAATAGGCCGAAGCCAAGATGCCGTTCCTCGAATTTGTATTCATGTATGTACAAGTAATTAACCGAAAGACACGACGGAGCAGTGGAGGGGTATAGTGTTGGGAGAAAGTGCACTACCGCAGTCGGTCATGCTGTAGGTCAGAGCAACGCACAGTCGGTGATATAGGGATGTGTAAAGCTTCATATGGAAAGCAGCCGATCTAGAGCTTAGACTCAGTGCCGATCGCCTTGCGACGCATCTGCCGAGAAGATACATCAGCGGGTGTTGGGGCCGCAGCGTTGAGGAAGAGTTCTCGCCCCACGACGTCAGACATGGTCAAAACTCGCGACGAGACTGTGGCACCGTCACGGCGGTTTTTGCTAGATAAGACATTAGCATGGTCCGATAATTGAGTTTATTTCGCTGATTGACTCACCCTTCGCGGCGGGATTGAGCGATCAACTCGGTAAATTCCCATAGACGCCGCCCGCGGGGAGCACCTTTCCAGTATCGGGGTCCCTCTCCGGTGTCCATTCCGGGGCGAGTCTCAAAGATGGCCCAACCCGAGATTCCTTGCTCTTAGACATGAGAATGATTCCCTCTTCCTCAAAGCGCTGATAAGAGTTCTTGAGGGTCTCCTTGTTAACAGCTTCGAAGTACGAGAGATCTCCTTGATGATAGAGAGTTTTGCCAAGCTATATAAGAGGTTAGCAACTGAATATCCCAAACATGTTGTTTGCAAATGAAAACTCGGCAACCTACCAGCTGAGCACTATCTTGGGCCTTCTTGTTGTCTATCCAGATGTTCTGAGGGCCATCCAGAGGAGGAGTGAGGCCTAAAAGTGACACAGCACCGAGCCACGAGGCTTCAATGAAGGGCCAAATCAAGAAACAATAGAAGTCGTAGTTTTCTCGGCCGCACGTTCGCTCGGCGTCGCTCAGCTCTACATACTGAGGAACACCGGAATTATCACGAGTAATACTGATCACATCATCCGCCTCCAGGCTTCGCAATGTCTTTTCCAAATTGGTGATCAAGCCCTCGGGAGGGAAGATAAATTCACCACGGAAGAGCTGCATTTAATTAGTAAGAGAGGCCAAGGGCCCGGTAACTGTTGGAAAGACATACCTGTGAAAGGAAGGAGACTTGAGCTTTTAAAGCTTCAAAGGTGATTCGCTGGTTGGTGGGTCCACCACCTTGCTTGATCTTCGTATACATTGCAACAGAAACCAATGCTTCGGTAATGAAGAGATGAATAAGCATGTTGCGATAGAAAGATAGTTGGAACCGATCAACTGCGTAGTAGGTAGGCTCCACCAATCCTGATATCACACCAACTAGCTTCGGCCCCAGTACATCGAGGGCACGATCGACCACCACTTCTGTGGGTGAGCGGTAGAAGTGGGCAACGCGACCACCTTTAGCTCGTACGCGATCACAAAGCCAGTTCAATCGTCTGACCAATTCAGCCTTGCCAACACCGCGACCACGAAGCGTCAACAGCACAGTTCCGACGAGCGCGGGTGGCATCATCACCGAAACATCATTGATTTCGGACAGGACACGATATCCTAGTGTTCTGAGGATCCGACCACGTTCGGCGTGAGCAAGCTTCAGATCGCTGCCTATGCCTGAAAGGTTGAGCCGGGAGAGCTGTTGGCATAAGAATTCTCGCAGACTCCATGGTTCATGGAATCGAACGTCGACTCTGCCCAGTTTCAAGGACAAAACTGAGGAGGATGACAAGAGGTCTGCAAGATTTTCCTTCTGCTTGGGCTGGCCTAGGAGTTCGCTTATGTAGGATCTAAACAGGGTCAGTGTTGAGCTCAGCCGAAATTGTGCAACGATATCCATACTCTGTCTCAATAACCTTGTCGTACTGCGTACTGACAGGACAAATGATGGTGTCGTTAACGCGACCAGATAGCACACTTTCGACGATAAAGTTCAAGATGCCAAACTTAGGGGAAAGAAGCTTTCCTGTCCGAGATCGGCCGCCTTCAATGAAGCATTCGAAATTGAAGCCTTGTTGAAGAAGGGTGTCAATGTAGGCCTGCACGACGGTATGATAGAGGGGATCATTTCCGAAACTGCGTCGAATCCACATGGCACCTAGAATAGATGTAAGAATAATGTTGCAATACGGACGCGGATTTGTATCGGTACTAACCGGCATGCTGCAAAAATGGGCCCAACAGAGGAATATTGAGGTTGTCGCCGGCGACAACAACTGGAAGACCGATTCCCAGACGGTAACAAATAAGCTGCAGAGAAACATAGTCCACATGGGACTTGTGGCACGGGAGGAACACAATGGACTGCTTGTTCGTTGCAGCAGTCTCAGCTACCGACCGCAGACGCAGAACCTCCTCGCTGGACACATGAATACCCTGGTGGTAGGCTCGAGTCAAGAGCTGGGTGCACATGTAGTATGCGCCTCGAATGAACGTCTTGCTTTCCATCTTGCAGATCATATTGTCCATCATAGTGTCCACCACCTCCCGCAGCCCGCTTTCGAGTTCATGTCGACGTCGCGCTCGCTTCTCGTCCATGTTCGCGCCTTCTTTAATCGTAACTAGGCCTTCCTTCTCCTCTACAGCAAGGCGAGTACTGGCCAGCTCTCTGACTTTGTCCTGCAACATGGGACTAGCGAGAATAGCAGACTTCATCCTCTCACCGAAGCCCGAGTAGAAAATTGGCTGTCCTATCACATCGTCATATGCGCGCCAGCCGGTACCCGACATGTAGAGGCTCACTTCGCGGAGGAACTCGAGGGGTTTGCGCGGAATCGCGCCATGTGGCGCACGAGGTTTCGTTCGGTAATCGTGTCATCTTGAGCATCAGGCCCGCCCGTGAAGCCAGACGGGTGGATAGTCACCTGCTTGCCGACAATTTCCAAGTCCGGGGCCGAGTGCTCGTCGCCGATGGCCGATTTGGGTGGCGCCATGCTGGGTATCAGGTAGGGGTGCAGGGTGGACGTCCTTCCGGGGGTCAAGATCGTTGTTTGGTCATAGATAAGGAGAATAGCTGGGTCATTGAAGAATATGAATTGGAGAAAGAATGGCAAGATCCACCCAGGAGAGGAGATATGAAATGCGGGACAGGGCCATAGCTCCAGAGTCCCAACAAAACAGACGATCGTCCCCGGATGCTCTTGACGGGATCACGGGTTCACACCCCAGACTCTCATAGCCGAGGCGTAAGTCACGTGGCGGGAACGGATAAGTCGTGCATCTCCGCTTTGCCGCGGACGTTGAAGCTAACGACCCCATTCCCGATCATCACCATGTCCCGCTTGGTGAACGGCGTAAAGTCTTTCTCCAGTATGTTCCAGATGCATTGTCCAGGCTTATTCCAAGCTTACCTCGTCTCCTCTATTCCCTAGCTGCGGCCTCCTCGCTACTCGCCGACGCTTCGGCCGCTGCCGCGCGGTCGGTTCGTCAACCGTCCTCGTTTCAGGTCTTCCGTGACGTCCCCGAACTTCGCCAATTGCGTCGGAAATTGATTCAAAATGATCGCACTATGGGGTTCGTGCCCACGATGGGCGCCCTTCATGAAGGTCACCTGTCGTTGATTCGAGAGGCTGCTCGGGAGAACACTGACGTCTTCGTGAGCATCTACGTCAACCCGACTCAATTTGGCGTGAATGAAGACCTTTCGAGCTATCCTCGTACCTGGGATAGCGACGTCGAGAAATTGGAGAAGCTCAATGAAGAGCTAAGTAGCTTGGGTGCTTGCACTGGACAAATTACCGCCATCTTTGCCCCAACCTCCAAGGTCATGTACCCTACATTGCCACCTTCGTCGGAAATCGACGGACACGGCTCGTTCGTTACGATCACACCTCTTGCGAGAAAGCTTGAAGGTGTCTCCCGCCCAGTCTTCTTTCGAGGTGTTACAACGATTTGCATGAAGCTATTCAATGTGACCACTCCCGATCGTGTCTACTTTGGCCAGAAGGATGTCCAACAAACTGTGATCATAAAACGCATGGTTAAGGATTTCCTCATTGATACTGAGGTTCGGATTGTACCAACTACCCGTGAAGCTGATGGATTGGCCTTGAGCTCCCGGAATGTTTACCTTGGGGCTCGCAGACGGGCCGTGGGACTCACCCTCTACCAAGCCCTGAGTGCCGCAGCGGAGGCATACAAGGCAGGCAAAGCCTCTCGAGATGATATCTTGGGGGCTGCCCGCAGTGTTGCCGAGCGTGTACTGTCCGAACAGCAGGCGCTCTCCCCGTCGGAGCGGGCGCTGTACGAGGTTGACTACATCTCCCTCGCGGATCCGGAGAGTTTGGAGGAGCTGGACCTTGTCGATTTCAAGAAGGGGGCTGTGCTGAGCACGGCCTTTAAGATGGCTCCTCTGGAGGAGACTAATCCTGGCGAGGATTGCGGTTTGGGAGATGGAAAGGTCCCCGTACGGTTGATTGACAACATGATCCTCCAGCCCCAGTCTTAACTGGGGGAGTCAACTGCATGATGACATCTGTAAATATACACCTGCTTCTTATTTAGCGTCACAAAGTACACCAAAAATGAATATAGATCAGTTATAACGAGTCGAGTGGTAGAATGACCAGGTCACTCTTGATATGATCTTTCACCAAAACGGTATGTAGGGCATGTCTGTAGGGCTCGGGCCGAAAAAATTCCTGACTGCGGGTCCCTTGGCGGCGGAGGAAAAAAGTCTCGATCGCAAAAGCTCTGTCCTTCAAGCAACCCGAAACAAAGATCTCCAAGTCTTTGTCTTTCTTGAAATTTCACCCGCCTCGCCGGGAATATCTGTCGCCATGGCTGATGATGGCATGCTTTTGAACTTCGCCATCAGCGACTCCGTGATCAAGCCGGAGGCGAAGTTCAAAGGAGGGACATGGCGGGACCGTCTCTCAGCAAAAAAGCGCTCTCAACACCAACCCAAGCCTGGAGATGGCGGCAATAAGAACCACGAATCGAAGAATCCGAATAAAATTGCGATTTCTGGCACGAGGCCAGCAAAGCGACAAAAGACGGAGTTCAACGACTTTGAAGATGGCGGTGATCGCGACCGTCGACCACGATCACAGCAGCAACCGTCGCAGCGAGATCCCCGCCACTTTGTATCGTCTCTGTTCACCAGCAATCCGGAGCCGCAGAATGCCGAAGGACCTCGCAACGACGAGCCGATCGAGGAAGCGAAACCGACCAATGCCCCCCTGATCGATGGGATCGATACGTTCACAAACCTGGGCTTGTCACCTAGTCTGGCTGCGCATTTGCTCACCAAACTCGAACTGAAGGCACCAACAGCGATTCAGAAAGCTTCTATCACACAACTGCTAAAGGAAGAAAGTGATGCGTTTATTCAAGCCGAGACTGGATCGGGCAAGACATTGGCCTATCTTCTGCCACTGGTACAACGGATCATGGCTCTTTCCAAGGCTACCAAGGAGGCTGGCGTCCACCGCGATAGTGGTCTATTTGCAATTGTGCTCGCTCCGACTCGTGAGTTGTGCAAGCAGATCTCTGTCGTGCTGGAAAATCTTCTCCGCTGTGCCACTTGGCTTGTCTGCGGTACCGTCATCGGTGGAGAAAAGAAAAAGTCAGAAAAGGCACGCTTGCGTAAAGGATTGAATATTCTCGTCGCTACCCCTGGTCGCTTGGTGGACCATCTGGATAACACTCAAGTCCTAGATGTTAGCAACGTTCGATGGTTGGTCTTGGACGAAGGTGATCGCCTGATGGACATGGGTTTTGAAGAGGAACTACATGGCATTGTTCAGAAGCTAGATGCGAGACAACGACCCTGCCAGGTCCCCGGTGTGCCGACGAGGAGAACGACAATTCTGTGCTCTGCGACGCTGAAAATGAATGTGCAGCGGCTGGGAGAGATCAGTTTGAAGGATGCCGTGCATATCAAGGCAGACCCCGAAGACGAGGACGAGAAGGCTCGAAATGCGAACAAGGACGAAGAAGAGTCGTTCCGCGTGCCGGCTCAGCTGAAGCAGTCATACGCGGTTGTCGCAGCTAAACTGCGTCTAGTATCATTGACTGCATACCTCAAGCGAACCTTCATTCGCAAGGGCTCTGTGATGAAAGCCATCGTTTTCGTCTCTTGTGCAGACGAGGTCGATTTCCTGTTTGAAGTTTTCTCAAGGAAACACGGCGAAAGAGGACATAAGAAGGATGATGATGGTGACGATGAAAACGAGAGCGAAGAAAACGGTGAAGTGAAAAAGGAGAAAGAGAAGGAACGGGCAGACCTATCACCACACGGCACCATTGCTCCCGGATCTGCATTTTCGAACCCAGCGAACCCAGTCACTCTCCACCGACTCCACGGCTCTCTGCCTCAACATATTCGAACATTCACCCTCAACTCCTTCGCCAACAGCAAAACTGCTTCCGTCATGGTCTGTACTGATGTGGCTGCTCGTGGTTTGGATTTGCCTAACGTCGACTTGGTTATCGAGTATGATCCCGCGTTCAGCGCCGACGACCACACCCATCGTATCGGTCGTACCGCACGTCTAGGACGTGACGGACGAGCTCTGATCTTCCTCCAGCCCGGCTGCGAAGAAAACTACGTCGACATTCTCAAGCGTGGCTACCGCGACGGTGGCAAGGCTCTCACCCGCACGGATGCGACTGAAATTTTGAAGCGCGGCTTCGGCAGAAGCACCGAATCTAGCTCGAAGAACTGGGAAGAAAAGGCCACCGATTGGCAGATGGATGTGGAACGTTGGGCTTTGGAGAATCCGGAATATCTTGAAATGGCACGACGAGCCTTCCAATCCCACGTCCGCGCGTATGCAACTCACATCGCTGCCGAGCGGAGCATGTTCAACATCAAAGAGCTCCATCTGGGCCATCTTGCAAAGAGTTTTGCCCTGCGCGACCGACCCGGAAAGATCAATGTTCCCGGTCTGCGTCCTGGAAAGGAAGAGACGAAGAAGGACTTCAAAGCCGGCCGCGGTTCTGCGCTGGGTAAGAGGAAGGCTGGCGACGATACTACGGGCGGAGCGAACACGGACGAAGCCGCTCGCGAAGCTGCACGCAAGATGAGGGCCAAGATGAAGGAGCATATGAGTGGTGGTGCCAGTGAATTCAACCTGGCTTGATCTTTATATCTATTCTCGCTTTTATTGCGCTGGGCGATGCATCATTATTATTGTACAAGAGCACTAGCATTTATTTCAGTAGATATCCCATAATGAAATCTTGCCATCCTTGGAACCAGCCACGAGCCAGTGGGTTTGTTGTATCTTTTGAAAGCGCTGCTGGTGCACAGCCGCGATTGACCTTGTCGGTGGTTCTTCCTGGGTCGGCTCCTGGCCATCCGAACCATCGGCTTCGACGATTTGAGACGCTGATTGGGAACTTGGAGGATCGACTTCGCCAAAAGCAACAGCGTAGCATCCTTCCTTGTGCCATTTAAGCACAGCAAGTTCTTTCATCGTCTTGCCAGAGTAAACCCTCACCCTACTATCCCAGCCAGCAGTCGTGAAGACCTTGCCGTCGCTCCGAATTCGAAGTCCCTGCTGACCTGAATGTTTTGTATTCACCGTTTTCAATGCTTTGTCTTCTGTATAATTCCCAGAAGGGAGAAATCCCGCAGAAACAGCGCTAGGAATTGGGTGTTTGATGAGCAGGGCATCGGCGGAAGAAGAGATGAAATAATCTTGCGATGGCGATATGTCGAGGGAAAGAACTGGTTGGCTGTGAGGGCGACTGGCGTAGAGCTTGTTCCACTTCCACTGATTTGAGTTGATATTGCTGAGCTCGAAGCTGGCTGGGTTTAGAGGGCCCTTATGCATGAAGACCATGACATGCCCGTCTTCAAAGGCAGAAGCAACGAAGATATCACCTGATGGAGAGATGAAGAGACTGACTGCCATCAGCATGCCAGTTTTGACCGAAGAGTCTGATTTGATCGTGGTAAGGCGACGCTCGGATGGGAGGTGGAAAATATCGATTCCCCCAGAATCAAGCGCATTTGGCACGGCGAAAAGAACATTTTGGCGAGTGGCACTTGGCTGCTCCTCAGTTACTTCTGGGGATGTAGCTCCAGGCATATCAATGAACGTCATAGAAAAGGCACAGAAGTTTAACGCATTCACCGATAAAGAGTGGAGCAGCCATGGCTGCGTCCGTTGTCCCGAGACACTCGACTGGGCAAGATCAACCGGGAGAGTCTTCTCTAGAAAGGCCTCATCTTCTGCTCGAATCTTCCAGACGCAGAGTTTGTGGTCGCGGCCATGCCTATTGGTCACGTTAGCTTAATACCTCGTTATGTCCGGTGGTTTCTCAGATCTTACGTGTAAATCTCTGTCACACCAGTGTTGATTTGAAAGCCTTTCACTTCGAGAACAGCTCCCGCGTGCGCTTTCCACACCGTGACGGGTCGTTTGGTGACCAGATCCCAGATGACCACCCAGCCGTCGGCATCTCCAGATACTAGTCGCAGGTTCTGTGTGAAGACGTGCAGTGCATGGATTGGGGCAGTATGGCCCCGCAAGATGTATATTGGGGTAGCCGGTGACTGCTGAATCTGTCCAGATGTGCTAGCCATATCCGGTGAGGTTTTATGTGGTCTGCAGGAACTGTGGATGGTGTTTGGCAACGTACTTGGAGTAGAAAGTCACGGGTAGATGCCGCACCGCCTTACCCAAACTGCTCATTCACTCCGCTAGGATCAACTTCAATACTCTGATGAACACTAGCCATCCTAGTACATATCCTAATAGGGACGTAAAGAGAAGTTCAAAAGGGCCATACGAAGGTAACCAGACCGACCTTGAGCTGTTCCATATATCGCTAAAAATAAAAAGCGTATGGACTCACGGGGAATTGAACCCCGGACCACTCCCAAGCTCATACTGGAAGCAAACGCTATCCAATGCGAAGGGAGTATCATACCCCTAGACCATAAGCCCAACTTTGATGCCGGATCAAAAGGTTTTTTGAATCATGAATCAGATCAGAAGTGTGGGTCTAGGGTTGTCCACGAATAAATCATGCAGGGCTTGGAGATAACTAACAGCAGGAACAAAACATTGAAGACCAGTTTAAATTTTTTTTTTTTTAGCGAAACAGATCTAACTGACATGAAATATATGTGCAATGAGGCAGTACCAGGAACCCTTCTGCATAATTGGACTTTGCCTAGAGCTGATGGGAATCGAGTGCAAATCCTCTGGCCATTCTGTAGGTTCGGATTGACAAAGAACTCTACGTAAAGAATAAAGCGTAGATTTTACGAGGTCAATAAATTAATAATGACCTAGCCTAGCTTGCATCAGAAGTGGTTGTTTGCATCCTGTCTCGACGAGCCCTCATGGCCTTTACTCGTTACCATTTTGGAATCTGTCGAGCGTGCTCCCAAGTGAAGCATCGTTTACAATCACCTGCCTTTCGTCTGGGTTAAGATCACAATGAATTTGCATTCAATTCACAGAATAGGAGAAATTTATCCCTAACAGAACATCCGCCGATGATAGTTGAATAGAAGTAAGAAGCTGAAAGAAGATGCTGAACGAATATCACAGAGGAATGATACGAAAGTTCCAGTGTCATTGAAATTACGTCCTCGAACACCTCAAATACTTCACGTGCTTTTTAGTGTGTCTGGACAACTTCATCGTTCTTCCCCATTCTGACCGCGATGGCTGTGTACTCATCCAAATCCTCAACTGGCAGACCGAGCAAATCATTATGGACCTTCCGGCGGGACTGGTAGTCACCATCCGCCGTAGGAAAGAACATGCGACTGTAAAGCATTCTTGGAAATGCAGCAAAATTGCCCTTTTCTACAGCTACCCGGCTCTCCTTCCAACGTTGCATTGCAGACTCATGAGTAATGGTCCAGTCGGCGTCAACAGTGCCAGTAACACGCTTGGCACTTTCAAACATATCACGCTGGTTCAGTCTGAAACTTGATACGTAAACAGAACTATTGGCAAACTGTGAGAGTGTAGGCGATGTATCCATTTCATCATCGGGGAGCTCCTTAAGACTGAGGAGATTTGCAATGGCTCGACCACACTGAAGCCAGGTGGTTGTATTCAATAGAACATCGCTCTCGTCGAATTGTATGAACGAGCGATTTTTGAAATCGAAGCCGAATCGATCGGGTCCTCCGCCTAGACTGAATTCGTACCAGAAATTGCACACCAGGAAGATATAAGCTGTGTTTTCAAAGGGTTTGAATTCGGCAATGATGCTGTCTCGATTTCCGCTGAGCATACTATCATCGCATAGCGAGGTATTGGCATCGTCATGGCCAAACCAGTTAGGCAGAACATAAGGAATACCTGCTTTGACTGCAGCGCGCACAAGCTTGTTGATAGTGCCTCTTGGTGCGCTCACTGCCATTGTAATGAGAAGGACCTGCTGGCCCCGTAGCGCTTCAACTAGCGCAGCATCCTCGTCGCCGCTATAGTCAACACGGACGACTTTCACGCCTTCTGGAGGCTGGCTGTTACTGTTTGGGCGCGTAATAGCAGTCACCGAGTGCTTGCCTGTCTTGAGTAAAGCTTCGGTGAGGTGCTTTCCAATTGAACCTCCTGCCTGTATATCACTTAAGCGTGAGTTGTGAATCAGGTGTGGACATTGAGGGAAGACTGACGTACCCCGACAATGGCCACTTTTTCGATTCTGTTCGTAAATCCTTCGGGCTGATTACTTGCATACTTACCTGCCATGATGATTCTTGGAGACAAAGTACTGCGAGATTCTGCAGTGCTGGTCCTTGCAAATCCTGTTATGTGTAGGCGAATTGGAAGTTTGTGTATAAGCGATGCATGTCCCCTAAATAATAAGGGGGGGCAGGGACTATCATCTTTTTATGTCTCTTCAATTAAAATATGGAATACGATGAGTGTTTCCCTAGCCTTGCGACCCTTGTTGTGGATATATCGGGCTTAATAGGTGCAGTCGGTGTTAATTACTAAACTCCGGGCGGCTGGCTAGTGTCCAACATTACTACCAGGCTTAAACTTGTCAAGGCAAACCACACCACCAGAATACTTTCAGACAGGGTATATACATGGTCTAATGAGCCATACTTTAATGTCCGACTAGCGCAGGTGTAGGGTATGGAAGCCGCGCTCCAAATCAGATTGGTCATGCTATCATTCATTTCATATCAGGGTATAAAACGGACACAAAACAAAATTCCACCCAAAGGAGCGAGAGGACATTTAACAGAATGTCGACACCTACCTCGGCATGTGAATCAAATGAGATAAGACCCGTATAAATGATTATCCAAACCATGATGGCGAGGAGCAACATAGTGCTCCTGATACGGATGATTCTCCATGGAAAAGTCACCCACATCCAAAAGTGGGTTCGATAGTCCAGGTGGAAACTCCGGGCCCTTGGGAATTGGCAACGTCGGATCAAGCCCAAAATGATGATTGTGCATCTGGGCGGGGTCCACGGTTTCAGGATGAGAAATATTCCAGCCCCAAATTTGCTTCAGCTCATCCTGGATCGGCTCAGCATGCCAACTTGTATCTTTAACAAGGGCATCGAATATTACAAGGACCTCTTTTTGCGTATCCTCGGTATCCAGGCACTCGGCGGCAATGGCAAGACAACGGATTGATACATTGATGGCACCCTTGTCTTTTGTATTTGCAACAATTCCGCAGATGTCATGGGCGTGGGTTTGTTGCATTTTTCGATGGAATTCGGCTTGCAATGGATGGGCTTTACCCAGCAATAGGCAAGCCGTGTGGTAAAATAGCTGTGAGACAATCGCGATCCGCTTGTGGAGCCTAAATTGAGGATTGGTTAGCTTGGTCAAGGGACGATTAGAAGGTGGGAGATACGAGCTTACCAGATTCTCGAAAATGAGGACCTCGGCTCGGTCTGCCATTGCGGTACATTGCCGAGAGGTTTCAAGGATCTTGGAGCATTCTCAAACCACTGCTGACACAACGAATCATAGTGGCTCCACTCCGTGAATACGTCACTCAATTCATTGGCATAGTTCATAGAACCATTCACCGATTGAAGAGACTGCGCAGCGATACGGAAATTCGCAATCTTGGCACAAATGTAGATAATCCGGTGGAGCCAGAGCTCTTCAGTCTTCCCAAACAGTTGTACCTGATGCTGATGCGCATGCTGATGCATATCCATATCCACTCCCCATGTATCCGGATTCCAGGACAATGTCCATTTATAGTGTAGAGAACTCAGCAATTCCATGCCCACACTGACCCAGAAGGATGCTCCGCCGAGACCAGGCGTTCTGGCCGTCCAACCGCATTCGCGAATCAAAGCCCTGGAACCTGCAATGTGGTTCGCACTCGGTGTTTGCAGCGGAGCCATGATCTCATAAATGCTGAGGACCAATGCAGCTGTTGTGCATAGAACGGAATCACGATTTGGATCTTTCATGGCATTCATCAAATCATGAGTTGCCTCGTCATAGTAATTTGCAGCCTTCGTTCTGTCAAATGACGAGTTGACCAGTGAAAGATGTCGAGCGCCGCATGCTAAGAAGGCCTTGAGTACGAGCGGCTCGTCGATAGCATGCAGTGGTAGGATTTGAGTGAACTAGATATAGGTCAGTTGTATTCCAAGATTTTGTCGAAGGGGTATCTCTGCTCTTACATAACGCATTGAATCTAGTGAGTCCATCCAACATCCTACTTCATCAACGAATACCTGCAACAGATAGACTTGCTCTGGATCACCCAAGGGAGATGGGCTATATTGTTTCATCGCCAGTTTCCGTGCAAAGTTAGATGTTCCATGAGGTAGCAATTCGTCACCTGGCACGAGGTGAGGCTCATGGTGGTGCCAGCAATCTTGTCCACCATGGAAATCCACTGCCGCCGCATGAGAAAGGTCAAAGGCAGAGGGGTCGAATGAATGGGCGACTGATTGAAATAAACTAGCCAACTGGTCATGCCCCATGAGATTGAAAGCATCATGGTGTAATTGTCTTCTTTCTTCGACGGGACTGTCTGGCTGTGGAGGGGGTATCTCTCGAAGCCCCCAACGTACTCGGATGCGATGAACCGAGAGTCATCTCGGAAGGTCACCTTGGCACCACGAGGTCGATCGATAACATGTGGAGGCGCAACAGTTTGAATGTCAATGAAATTGAGGCGAATGCCTCGTCTGCATATCCGATCCGACTTTCGACAATTGAGACAGCGTCCCAAAGCTTCATCGCACTTGAGGTGCCGTTCGCGACAGGTCAGACATCCCGTGCGGACCCGTTTGGCCTTGGTATCTGCGATTTCCGAGGACTTCTTGCGGTTTGCGCTGGATTGGCGGGGTGAATTGCTCTTCTGCTTTGGTGTCGCAGGTTTCGGGGCCGTTTTGGGAGGAGCTTGCGATTGCGACTTCGCTTGCGATCGAGTCGTAAGATTCATTTCGGTCTTTTAAGAGGGATCTCGCCCGTTTTAACGGTCCGATCTCCGTCTTCTTCACTTCTTATCTTAGTCGCCCGGCTTCCGAGCCGATCGAGGGGTTTGGGATACGCGAAATCTCGTTGTCAAGTTTCCTCGAATGGCCATGTTCGTGTACAGCGTGTGGCGTTTCTTGCGATATACCAGAGAGGTATACTCCCAGGCGTCTGAAGAGGCTGAGGCAACGTCCAAAATTCTGCGACCGGGGGAAAGATTGGCTCGCTTTTCGGCGGGCTGGGCGCACAGGCCGACGAGGGGCAGGCAGGAAGATCGGCTGGGATCTGGTGGTTGGCGGTGTGAGAATGTAAGATTCGGACTCCAAAGTATGAAGCTTACCAGCCCATTGCCTCAAAATTCCTGCAGGTTTGCGATTTGACGCCAGTCTGGGGCAGCGATTGTCAAAGAAGTCCAGAGATGGTCAGTGGATCAAAACGCGGAGTTCACGAGGCAAAATGTGGGTCGCCGAACGAACGAACGAAAGAAAGCAAACGCCCGGCGGATTCCATGGATCCTAGTCCTTACTGAACCATCTTATGAAGGTCTATTCCAAGCGCTCCGTTGCTACTAGTCTCTATCTACAGACTGAATTAAAACCCTTGTGTCGATATCCAATTCGACATATAGTTCAATCCTGAGCCCGACTGCCCGCATCGAATGCGGAAAGCATCAGTCAATAGGCTAGGCACATAACTACTCGAAGGTCTATATACGTCTCTAATTTTCAGAAGTCTTACTTCCTAGTCTGGGCAATCGAAGCCGCGAGTGCAGCACTAACATGATAGTGCCCCAAACAGCCGCAGAAAGAAATGTTACACGAAGAGCCAAAGCATATGCTCCGACGACTGTTCCATCATCAGCACCTCATCATGATAACAGGGGGTCAGTATAAAAGTGAACTAACCTTGTCGTTGATGGAACGGATCCAAGTCGGCTATGGCACGGATGGACTTGCGCACGAGACCGATGATTTCTGCTTTGTCCGAGCCCGTCACCTTATTTTCAAGTTCATAGAGCAGGGTATTCTGCAAGATCCAGCTGCTGATCGACACACCCATCACGGAGCCTAGATTGCGCGCGAGACCTAGGGTGGTAGTAGTAACAGCCTGCTCGTCTTGTTCACTGGTGGCCAGGATGGAAACCATCAGGCTTGGGAAGGCGAACCCTTGGCCGAGACTGGAGAACGAGACGCATATCATAGCGAGAGCGTCGGGAGTGGTGATACTCATCAAAGCAGCAGCACACCCTCCGATGACCATGCTGATACCACCAATGATGATGGTTGGTTTCAGGCGTTTCGACCAGGTAATCAGGAATCCAGTACCGACACTAGAAGCAGTCACGGCAATAGCTGCAGCCAGCAGGCGTAGCCCCGAGTCGGTGGGGGTAGCAAGCTTGACGGCCTGGAAATACAATGGAGCATTGAACATCATCGTGTTGACCGAGACTGATCCGAAGAAGTTGCCAAATATAATACTGGCTCGAGGATCCTTGGTCAGTAGTTCCACAGGAAGCACGGCGCGAGGCACATGGCGCTCATATCGCACGAGTATGATAGCCAAGATAACCGCCGCGACCAGTGAGGATATCACCAGGGGATGAGTCCAGGGGAAGATATTTCCTCCTAAGTTCAAACCCATGATCAACGCGGTAACAGCTGAGACCAAGAAGAATGATCCGGTCAAGTCGACATTGCGAATCACTTGTCTAACTGTCATGCGCTCCGACCCAACCAACTTAATTCCAAGCTCTGCTGGAATGGTCACAGCAGAAACAATAAAGTAAACGAAAATGAATGGCAGTTGAATGAGAAATGCACCACGCCAGCCAATTCGGTCACAGAGAAGGCCACCGAAGGTCAGACCAGTACAGCTTCCGATGCCGAGACTCAAGTTGATGTATGACTGGTAGACCCCACGGTACTCGAGACGCACGAGATCACTCGAGATGACTTGGCCCATAGAAAAAACACCACCAGCACCCAATCCACAGAAAGCCCGGGCAGCGATGAAACTGCCGATACTCTGAGCTAGGCCGCACCATGCTGTGGTCACGAAGAACATAAAAATGGAAAACAGGTAAACCGGTTTCCGTCCCAAGGAATCTGAGATGCGCCCGAAAAGGGGCATAAACGCCGTAGATGTGAGAAGAAAGGCGGTTGATAGCCACGATGCTGAATTTGCCGCATGGAAATACGACGTGATCACCGGATAGCTTGACGCCATTAATGTGGAGTCGAAGAACCCGATCACGTAGCCGAGCAAGATGCCAGAAAAGATCACCCAGAACTGCGAGGGGGATACGCCGATGAATTGGGAGGCATAATCTGATTCTTTCTTGAAAGGCAAGTGCCTATCATGAGCAGAGACATTGCTTTTTCTCCGCGAGCCTGCGGAGGGATATCGCTCCAGGCTCGGCTCGATGTCCAGACTCGGTTGCGCCGAACTGACTTGGGTCAAGACTGGAAATGTAATTTCATTCTCGGCTTCGCTACTTGATGAGCCTGTTTCCACATCATTCGCATGGTTTATCACACTGCGATAGGATGTGCTTTGGTAGGTGGGAGATTCTCGCAGAAGCGGAGTTCCCTCAGACAGATCGGGGCCAGACATGTTGCTGGCCTCCTCCGACACCTATAGTCAGGGCAGATTGGCCGGCGGCTGTCTCAGGTCAGCTATGCAGGAGTAGGTAGCTATAGCGAGCCAGAAATCCCCGCAAGGAGGTGATTTGCCGGTTATCGAGTCCCTGCGAACAAAAGCAGAAGAGTGTTGAGTAGAAGAGAAGAGAAAAATGCGGCTGAGGGAGAAATGACTCTTCAACGCTAAAAGTACCGAGTCGACCCCACCATGCAGAATTTCGAGGCCAGAAGAGCAGATCAAGGATCGGCTGTCAGAATTCATGCAGATGCGCAATGATCGATATGCAGACGCATCGACCATGCGGAATATGACTAGGATCTCGGCAATCTGTAAGTGGCAAAAGGTCAAAAAGGTGAGCCGGCAACGACGATAACCTTACAAAGTTTATGTGGATCTCCGCTACGATGCACCGACCTCGGCAGCTTTGGTCTCTTCTATTTATTTTGGTTATATTTGCGACTTGCATTCTCCAGCTAGCGATTTAATCTGCGATCGACTGCATACTCCTGCGTACTGCATGCATCCTTGAAGGGCGCGCTGTACCTCCTATAAGTCAACAAGTAACCCTGCAAGTCTCTAGCCACGCCGCGGAATTATGCGCCCTCCACTGCGGATCGCGGTCTTGGAGTGTGATACCCCGCTCCCCCCATGCCGACGCTCGTTACAAAGGATATGGAGGAGTCTTTGCTGCTCTATTGAAATCTAGTGCGAAGACTCTCGGTCTGCCTGACCGTCTAGATCCGGGAATCGATCTCCAGATCTCGAGATGGGACATTGTGAGCGGGACTGAATACCCGCGGCTGGAGGAGATCGATGCCGTGCTTCTAAGTGGCTCAAGTTCGTTCTCGAGGATCATCAGCAGTTGAAATAGAAAGGAAAGAGGCTAATGCTGGGATATTATAGGGTATAATTCATATGAAGATGTACCATGGATCAACCGTCTCGTGGAATACACCCAGGCCGTTCTGGCCCAAGATCGTGTTCGCTTGCTTGGAATCTGCTTCGGCCACCAGATCGTGGGACGTGCCCTCGGTGCCCAGGTCGGTCGCAACGATCGGGGCTGGGAGATTGCAGTATGTGATGTGGACTTGACAGCCAAAGGAAAAAAGCTATTTGGAATGGACAAGCTTGTAAGTATCTCGATATATCAGGGGCATCCAGCTCATGACATCAAGCTAACTGCTCCCCACAGCGTATCCAGCAAATGCACCAGGACATTGTCTTCGAGTGCCCTCCGCAGGCCACTCTCCTCGGCTCCTCGCCACGCTGCGCTGTCCAGGGCATGTACTCCCCTCGCCGGTTCATCACCGTTCAAGGACATCCCGAGTTCAATGAGGAGATTGAAATTGAAATCATCAAGAACCGAACCGAGGTAGGCTTTTTCAGTGAGAACCAAGCACAGGAGGGTCTAAGCAGGGTTGGAAATGAGCACGATGGTATTTCTATGGGCGCAACCTTCCTCAGGTTCCTGCTGGAAGCTTAATTGCGGGTTGATCAGTTCGTATGGAGGGTGTATATACAGAAGGCGAGTTGCATATAGCTACCAATTACATGTAGAGGATGAAAGCAGGGAAGATACCGGTTCATTGATAGTAAGCTAGTGCTTCTATGCATAGTAGAGCTTCATTATGTGACTTCCCATTGGAGTACAACGGAATATTTCATTCTTGCAGAATAAAAGCGCAAGGAAAATCATGCTAACAGACGTGGTACATACAACTCAATGACCGCATCAGGGCGAGGAGGTACACTACAACCAGTCCGTGGTAATCCCCCTTGTATTATTCTATTCGTAAATTCTTTTTACAAATCTACAAGTGAGAGAAGAGACGGTTGAAGAGAAATCCGGCCACCCTGAGGTGGAACATGGGATCTTTCGAAATTATAAAGCACAAGGTCGTCAACGTGCTTCTATGCACACTGGTGGATAGAACCCTGCGCTGACACCCGCGATGACATCTAGCTAGAATTGAAAACCCCGGCACTTCGCCACGCCATATGCATTCATGAGCCCGTTTGAGGAGTGCACCAGGCACTACCTCCCATGCATACAAACAAAAAACAAACGCCTCCCCAACCTGACCCCCTTGTAGCGTGTGGGTCATGTATGAGCGCATAGAGCAATGAAAAAAGGATCACATATCACAAAATTCACATAAGAACGCCATCGCAATGCAGACTTGAATCGCTGAAAATTTTGAGAGAAATCCATAGCGAAAGCACATGGAGTAGTAAACCGAAAGAGCGGAAGGACACTAGGATACTTGCCCTTCAAGCCGCTCGAGGCTTTGAAAGGCGGCCACTGCGCCGAGGACCTTTAGGTGTGGCTGCCACCGGTTGATTTGGGCTGGCCTTGTCCTCTATCTGGGCGGCTTCGGCCTTTTCGACCTTGTTCGCACTCCCTGCTCCTTTAGCGCCTGGTTCCACATGCAAGTTGAGCGAGACGAACTCATTTTGGTCATCTCGGAAGGAAATCCCAACGCCCAGGGTCAGATTTGAAACCATGCGCTTCTTGTTGCGAGTCCGTCGGGCAGTCGGGGCTTGCCCATCGGACTCATCACTGTCGTCGGCAGAACGCTTGCTACCGACGCTGTACGGGGAGGACTCCCGTGACGCCTGGAGATTGGGCTTGAAATTGGGCCCTGGAATCGACACCTTTTCTGAGGGTACCTCGTCCTTTTCGCCGAGGAGAGCGGCAAATGCTCGGTCGATATCGCCGCGACATTTTTCGAGCATTTTGACGATAGTAATACGATCGTAGCGCCCTCCTAGGCCGTCCTGGATCGTCTTGATGTCCCAGGGCGGAAAGACGTCCACGGCCACGTCGGCGGCCTTGGTTGTAAGATCACTAGGAGATGGCCCGTGATCGGAAACTGAGGTCTCAGTTTCAACTTTCTCAACCTTCTCCGACTCAGAAGATGGGGAGGATGACAAAGGAGGCGTCATCAGTTTGGATTCAGAAGCCTGGTCTTTTGAATCAGGAATGAGAGATTCTTCCTTCTTCGAGTCGGGGGATGGTGAGGAGGTTGAGGGAGGTGTGATAGGCTTGACGTCGAGGGCCTGATCTTCTGAATGAGGAATGAGGGTTTCTTTCATTTCCTCTTTAGCCTCCGAGGAAGCCCGCTCAAGGGCTTGCGGTTGTGCCACAGCAAGCAGGCCCTTGTGGGTGCCGGTTAGTGGTCGCACGGACGAATAGTGCCGGAAGTTCTGTGCCAATTAGTTTAAAGATTCACTGTCAGAAGGAAAGTACCATGAACATACGTGAAACGCAACATGAACCACGTCTCGGGGTTCATCATATGGAGCGTTCACATCTCGGAAAGTCTGAACGCCCTCCAAGGTGTAGACGTTGATATCGACCATGTACACCTGGCAAAAAGCCTGGAGTTGCTCCGAACCTCCCCATTCGCCATTCTTGCGGGTAGTGGCCACCCATTCAGCAAACCGGCGTTCAGTTTCTTCCTCTGATGGCACGGCCAGTTCAGCCGAACGAGTTCCGTAGGCCGATGCAGCTGCCCGCTTCGTGCGGCGACGCTCGCCGCCTTCCACCACGACAAACTGAACGAAGTACTCCTTGTTCTTGGTCATTTGGTCGGCGAGGGCCTGCCGAATCTCATGGCCATGTTCGAAATCTCCGTAAAGTTGGTCGGAAAGGGAGTAATACATGCAGTTTCCTGTGAGATGACGCGTTAGAAATGTTCTAGATTGGGGCTGAACAGCTTGTTCGTGACCGCAGTAAGCTGTGCAAATCAACTTGAATGCTTTCCTTACCATCGCCTTTAGTTGGATATGCAAACAGCCCGCGTTCCTTCAGGCTCGGCATCTGGAGATATTCCTCCCAGTTAGAGGGATCAACACTGTCATCACGATCCATGATTGAATGCGTCCGCTGTGCCAGCAGCGGCGCCTGGAACGATGAGGGTGAACAACGGTTGGGTGCTGTGGAATTGAGGAATTGGTGGCCGTGTGTCGTAAGTATGGGCACGATTCTGCCACCGTGTGTGAGGGTAGACATGATGAAAAAGGAGCCCTGCTCGGGTCGAGTCCGTCATTTAAAAAGGGTGGATGGGAGGACACTGAGGCAGAAGCTGGAGGAGCAAGATAGGCAAAAGAAAACTGAAGTAGTAGGCAACGAACAGCCCGCAGAGTGAAGCAGGCCCTGCGGGTGCGATGGAATAGAAAAAGGAATGGAATTGATTGTCCAGCGATGACTTGCCGAGTTTGGGGCGGTGAGGCCGCTGCCTTGCGATGATTGGGTCACACGTGAGTCCTTGCCTACTATGACATCGCTGACTGGAGCTAAACAAAGAAGGGCTTTGAATCTTTTCAATGGCCCAATTCTTCTTGGTGATAGAATATTTTAGGCAGAGATAGGTTGTGCAGCTTGTCTGACTCCCATATTCACCAGGTACTCACTCAATTGAGCTGATTTGCGGCATCGAGTTGCAGATGTGATTCATTGCATTCTAGGGATATGGTGGACCCCTAGATGGATACCCGCGGGACTTTACGGAGAAGGCGCTCTGCTGAACAAGAGTGACCAGCTGCAATTAAGAGGTATGGAACTTGATATGAAGGTCAGTTTCAATTATGGAAGGAGGAATGTCCATTCCAGCTCCAAGTGTATGCCCTCGCTTCTCCTCATGCTCTAGGTAACCCATCGCAAGGGTCTTGAAAATGCGGAGGCGTACGGAAGTTTGTTTTGAGGCTGTTCTCCTCCGCGTCTCCACCAGGAAAACTTTGGCGCGTTTCTTGTTTCTAATCGCTGCCATTGGCCTGACGCCACACCGCCTCATCGGCCGCCACCCCAAATAGCAGTTGAGATACAATGGCCATACGTCCAAATACTCCGAGTCCTTTAGACTGAAACCGAGGGGACTGAGAAAACGTCTGTACATGGTCCAGATGAGAATTTGGGAAATAGGATAGATGGGTAACTTGCACGGGTCTTATAGAAGATAATACAGTCAATATCGAAATCCATCGAGATTCGACACGGCATATTGGAAGAGGTTCAAAATCACATTTTTCAAGTCGATTGACATGTTGAAACTGCCTAGATGTAGTATTTACTCCATACTTGATCAAGGTACCTAGTACTGCATTCTGAAAAGATCAATCGCCTCAACCAAGTGTTGATGCAGTGTGGTGGTGCTTTACCCCGACGCCCTCCATTTCTCTTATCAAATCGATTGTGGATACAGTAACCGTTGCGGAGACTATTTACTCCTCACCCCGCTCTACTTTGCTCTCGTGTTCACTTCGCTGCTCTTTGAGTCACCTGTATCCCTCCGTGTTCGTTTTAATCGGACATAGTTCTGATTACATTGCAAGATCTGTCTACAATCAAAGGGAGAATTACCAGACAACCATGCCTAACAAGATTGTTGTTCTGGGGTAAGATCCGTCCTTTCATGCTGCCGAGGTACAGCGAGCATCTCCATGTCCGAACCTCGAACTGACATCTCCCAGGGCTGGAGTCTCAGGCCTGACAACGGCCTACTTGCTGTCACAGGATCCTGACAACCAGATCACAGTGCTTGCAAAGCATATGCCAGGCGATTATGACATTGAATATGCTTCCCCATGGGCAGGCGCCAACTACATGCCGTATGGTCAATGCATATCTCCCTGTTGCGCCTATCGACTAAGTTCTATATGCCTTTAGGGTCGGGAAGCAAGGAAGCAATCACCACGCATGGGAACGAGATACCTGGCCAGCACTCAAGGAGATCACTGAGAAATACCCCGAGGCCGGCATCCACTTCCTTGGTATGACCCCCAACACCATAGAGATCAATGAACATGCCCTTATCATTTCCTCAGATGCTATTATCTATAACCGAAAGAAAGACCAGGAATCGGCCACTGGCAAGTGGTTCTCGGAATTGGTGCAGCCGAACCCCTGGTACAAGGATGTGGTACCGGATGTATGCTCAATCCCAGATCCCAGATGTCTTCCATGAGCCACCAAACTGACAAAACCCATCAGTTCAGAGACATTCCGGAGAGCCAACTAGCATCTGAAATTGACAACGGCCAAATCTTCACTTCTGTCTGCATCAACACTGCGGTCTATCTCCCATGGCTAGTTGGCCAGTGCACCAAGAACGGCGCAGTCTTCAAACGAGCCGTTTTCAAGCACATCGCCGACGCCGCAGATGCGCACCACTCGGGTCAAAAGGCGGATGTCATCGTGAACTGCACGGGTCTCTCGTCCAAGTTCCTGGGTGGCGTTCTCGATGAGAACCTTCTTCCCGCCCGGGGCCAGATTGTCGTTGTTCGCAATGACCCGGGCCCCATGATCGGTCTGTCCGGAACAGACGATGGCGAAGATGAGGCATTGTACATCATGACACGTGCCGCAGGTAAGATCGATCCTCGGAACCTTGGCAAGTCACTTGTAGCTGCTCACACTATCTAGGCGGTGGCACCATTCTTGGTGGCTCTTACCAAAAGCACAACTGGGACCCTCTACCCGACCCAAACCTCGCTAACCGAATTATGAAACGCGCGATTGCGATTGCGCCGCAGCTCGTCAAGGAGGGTCAAGGAATCGAGGGTCTGGATATTATTCGCCATGGTGTTGGCCTGCGACCTCTGCGAGAGGGTGGCCCTCGCGTTGAGAAGGATGAGGTAGCTGGAGTCAAGATCGTTCATAACTACGGTCATGGCGGGTTTGGATATCAGGCTTCATTTGGATGTGCGGGAACTGCCGTTTCCTTGGTTAAGCAGGTGCTGCAGAACAAGACTCGGGCTAAGCTTTGAGCGACCTTGACGGTCATTACATCCGCCAGAACAATGCATCTACATGAAATCCATGTCTAGATAGATTGGTATGCTACTTTTCACGTTTTAGACAATGTCAAAAACCGAGATCCTTGGTTGTAGGGATTTGGAAGAGTGACGTCAATATGACCAGAGGCGAATATAGTCTTCTAGCACCATATCAATCTTGATGATCCCTGCAGCAACTGAATTCTCACGCAACATCCTGCACGTTACTAAGGTACTCAGAACACAATGCCTGAATATCGTCAACAGAATTTCGACGACGAGATCGAGATGGTTACCAATTCCTACGGTAGCCTACCACTATCTCACACTCCGATGGCTGAGGATTTAAGGACAAAGCCAACCCCAGATACCGTGCTCGCCATGGTAATAGACGCCCTGGTAAAATCAAGACCGATTTCACACGAGTTGTCCCAGTCGACAGTCGCCGGATTGATCGAGAACGAGTATCACAACATCGACAAACTTTCAGGAACCTCATGGGAGGAACGAACCGATTTATTGAGCCAAGTCGGATATAACCGGTATCGCGAGCAGTGTGCCACGAATTTAGGTAATCTATCTGATTTTGTTTTGGCAAGATATGGTACGAAGTTCTTGTGTCGACATCTTCTCTGTTCTACGAGTTCCAAGTACTAATACCAAACCCTTAGATGGCGACCTCAACAACCTACTCGAGGCCGCTCATGAGAACCGCGAGGAAGTTCGATCCCGCATCAAAGAGATCAAGGGAGTAGGTGACCTGGGAGTAGAATTGTTCTTAGATAATGTTCAAAGTGTGTGGCCGTCCATGGCTCCCTTTGTCGATTCCCGGAGTCTTCATACGGCTGAGGAAATTGGACTAGGAAATGACGTACAGGCGATATATGCTCATCTGCAGAAGGATCCTGTGAGGATGAGTAAATTTGCTAATGGGTTGTCGGAGATTCGATTGGAGCATAAGCAGCATGAGATTGAGGAGATGTAAGAGGTCTAGCTAGGTAGCTTGGAGACTATGCTTCGAGTCTGTATAGTACTGAAGAATAACAAAACTACTTTCAATGGGAGGAGGGGAGGAGGAGTAAATGTGTGTATAAAATGAGCACATATCAAACTCTATCTGTCTATTCTTAAAATCATGGCTATCATATCAATCAGTCCTCCTTAGCCTCCGGCAAATGAAAAGCCCATCAACTTCCCTTCCTGGAGCTTGGCCACGCCAACAAGGGCCCAAAGCGGCTTAGCACCTCCGTTGCGCCCCATGGCCCCTCACGTGACACGTCAGCGGCGTCGCTGTCTCGCCCGTAAGCCTGCTGATTCAGCCAATTGCGGCTTGGCGACCCGCTGCTTGCGACAACGAAGCAGCTCACTTGCGCTCCACGCTTTCATTTCTCTCTCCATCAGCCCCCCTGTTCTGCTTCAAACCAAGCCTTCTCAAAAGCGCATTGCTTCTTGGCTTCTCTGCATCAAACCGAATATCTTGTACGTCGCTCCCTTTGACTCCTGTTCGTCCCCACAGCGAGCTGGAACGAGCTGAAGCCTCCTGGCGCTCCGTTCCCCCCGGAACTCGAGTCCACAGCTACTACCGAGCGCTGGGACCATTGCTGGACAACTAAAGTGAAACAATTGTCGCGAGAGTGCCGGATAAACTAACAAAGCAACTAGTGATACTCCTCCGAACTATTCTACCTCGCACGCTCCTCCTGTCCTCCGTTGTCTGTTACCTAGTGGCTGGGACGACTCCTTTGACCTTGTGGCCCCGAGAATTGCTTGCATTTGAGTGGAAATAACGTCAAACGTCATCAAAATGGACTTCTCTAACATCTTGTATGTTTTCGCCGTTATTGCCGTTCCCCGGATCCCATCTGGTTTTCTCAGGCGGAGGTGGTGAGTTCAAGCTAATCCATGTGTCTAGCCGGCTCGTCAACATCGCGGTGGGTGTGGTTATGGTGCTGGGTGGTATCAGCCAGTTCTTCCCGCCATCCATGAGCTCCGTCATCGTCGGCGCATACGTGATTGTCTTCGGTCTGAGTAAGTCTTGTCGTTGTTCCTGGCCCCTCGCTCCCCAGTGCCTTTGACCAAGCTGCTAACCTTGACTTCCAGTTGTTGCCGGTCTGGAATTCCTCCCCAATGTCCCCGATTACGCCTACCGCTACGCTTCGTTCCTCTTCTCCTTCCTGGGCCGTGGTATCTGTAAGTTAAGCCATTCGAACCATGGACTTCCTTTGAAAGCCCTGCCTATGATTGCATGGGATGTCAACTGATCCTGTCCCAGTCTACATCTTCGTCGGCAGCATCATCCTACACGGCCACGTCCTGCGCGAGATTGCCGCTTCGATTGTCGGAATCACCGGTCTTGCCTACCTGGTTCTGGAGTTCATTCCGTCCATTGAGCCCCCTTCCAACATGCGCGAGTCCGACCAGGGCTGGGGTGCTGAGCAGGTCTAAATTCAAGACCGCAATCTGACTTGATCTGGTTTGATCTGATGTGATTGGTGGTGCATCCGAGCGGATGAACCTCCGAGCACTGCATCAGAGCTCATACTGATTGGACTCTATGCAGTGGAAGAGGTGGTCTTGCGCTGCCTTGACCTCGTTCGTGATGCATGACTTGCTCGTGGATAAGTTTTTTTATTCTGCGATGTGATATACGATGAACGACGAGAGCGATGACGTGTGAGCCCCTTTCGGTGGAATGGTGGATGTGACTGATTAATGGTTCCTGGATGCCTTGGTGCCTTGGTGCCTTGTCCTGGCCTCAGCCTCACCATAACTCCATTTGAAGGATTTGCACGTCATTGCGAGAAGCTGAGAATATTTAGTGTTACACTTTCCCCCTTTTTTTTTTTTTTTTCTTTCTTTTGCTATGAATTGCCATTTCCTTTTCTTGTGATACCTGTGGATGAGAAGTCATGGACAGATTCTGTACTATAAGTTCTCTTTTGAAGGGTCGCCTCGACCTGACTCGGGCACGCAGGGAAACGTGTTTATGAATGGAGAGTTCTGGGTCTATGATTGGCTGATTCTGGAAGTTGTCACCGTAAGGGTAATCATCGTCGCAGTAGTAGTGAGGGAATGATCATTCTCCAGAGAATGATGAATTGCCTGACCAGAGTACCAAGTCCGCACGACGACTGTCGTAGGTAACCAGGAATTATCGGAGACTTGATCGTTTGATGTGTTGTCCCGTCGGTCGGGATTAGTGTCAATGTAAAGTTTGTCACTTTTTTTCTTTTCTTTTTCCCTCTCTTTGTTTCTTCTCGGTCTGAGGTATGACCGGAGGAGTCCGACCAGGATACGGAGGAGTGACATTCCCGAAGGCTGTGAGAGGCTCGAGCGGATTTACAGAAACGAGTCACAACGAGTAACGACGAGTAACGAGGGTCCAATTACTAACGAATACCGGGCCTCCTGGCGCGGGCGGGGACTGGTCGACCCTGACTAAGCCACGATGACTAAGGATCCGTTCGCCAGGAGTCCGCCACTGCCGCCCAACGAGAGGCGAATGATTGCTGCTGACCGGCTGGCGCGGGCCTCCTCCACCAATCAGCCGAGCGGCAAATCTGCTTGCCCGAGCAAAAAAACCCGCCCACGCCTCTCTTGGGAAGGTGGTTTCCTTCTGATTCGCCCCTAAACTTCATCAGGCCTACGGTGGAGCCCGCGCAACATTGTGATCTGGGGGAAAGTCAAGGTCCAAGAAAAAAAACTGGTCGATCGCGAAACAGAGATTTCGTCGGAAGTGTCCTGACGAGAGTTGGATAACCTGATACCCGTCTCAAAAAGTCCACATGTTACGATGCACTGTATTACAGGGAGATGCGAAGGGTATGGGAGAGACCCGAAAGAACGAGAGACCCAAGAGATTAGATGAGATAGCGATCCTCGGCACTGGGCGATTAGACCGATAGATTGATAGCCTCGTCGATCTGTCCCCCCTTCGTAGATCGATAACCTCCTTGCCCGTCATCCCTGGGCCTTGTGGTTTCCCTGACGGTCGATAAGCGAATTTCCTCATTCTTCCTTGGACCTTCGTCTCTTCTCTTCCTCCCCTCTGTACAGAGTACACCTTTCACCTTTCACCTTGGCTGAGCACATCACCTCGCACCACGCCATCTGCCCACCTCCTCCTTATCTTCTTCTCTTTCGCCCTCCTCTTTCTCCTCTACCTTCCGCTACTCTCTCTTCCCTCCTTCCCCCTCTCAAACTGTGATCAACATCGTGCAGGCCCCTAGCGAACTTGGCTCCAATCCTAGTCCTCTTTAGCTTTGTCGACCAGCGCGACCCCGAGAGGCCCTTTCTCTTCTTCCAGATAGTCCAACGGGGCGTTCCTGTTGAGCTGTCAGCTGTCGCGTCCATCACCTGACCGTCCCAGACCACTCGCCACACTCTTTTTTTTTTTTTTTTGATATCGACCTGCGGCGGTCTCCTTTCGACCCAGACGCCCACGCCGATCGCCGTGATTATCGGCCTGTCACTCCATCGCTGGTTCCTGCGCTTCCTCCTGCTACCATCCCCCGTCACCTACCTCCCTGGAACCCCATTTCGTTTTCTGATCCCCCTTTGATAGTCATCTATCTGCTCGCCTGGTCTGCCGCGTTCCAACAGGCCCTGGCCGACATTTAGATATTTGGCTCTTTCGTGGCGTGGGTGATACGGTGAATTCGGCTTTCGACTGTGGTGCGACATCGCCCTCACATCACACCAAGCATACTCCCCCTTCTCCTCGCTTCCGCCGTTTCGTTCCTGAATACTTCTTTTTGAGCGATTCCCTTCCTCTGCCAGCGAGCTATATCTCTCAACACCTCCACCACCTCTCTCCTCCTACGCCTTCGTCTCCTCTTCGTCCACGTCCTCTCTCCGCCTTCCTTCTGGTCCGACGCTCGGCCGATCAACATCCCCCAGCCGGACGACGAGGTGGTTATGTTAAGATCTATTCCACAGATGGAAACGGTACGCTCGTTCCCTCGGGACCCTGGTGCTCCCTCGAAACAACCATCGGCGGAGGATTTGGACGCTGCGCAGCAGCTGATTTCGTCTGCACAGGCGGGTCGCGAACGTTTGGCACAATATGGGAATGGCCCAGGCATTAAAGTCTCGGGAAGCCCTCCTCCTAATAATCATGGACCACCCTCTGCACCGAGCCAATTGATGGATGGCCACTCTAATGACCACCGGGATGGAACGTCTCCCAAGGCTCAAAAGGATACCTCGTTTCTGGGACACTCCTGCAGGTGAGCTACCATCTCGACCCGAGCTTTGCCTGGACTAGACTAATATGAACTGTGTATAGCAATTGCGGGACACAACACACTCCTCTCTGGCGTCGCTCTCCAACGGGAGCTATGATTTGCAACGCCTGTGGCCTCTACTTGAAAGCTCGCAATGTCGCTCGCCCTACGAAACGAAATCGCATGCAGCAAGGTGCGGATGGTGCCGATAAACCAAACGCCCCGGTTGCTTCTCGTCCCGAAGCCACGGGCACCTCAGGAGGTGGTTGCAAGGGTTCCTGCCCGGGAGGCGGAAGTTGCAATGGCACTGGTGGTGCAGAGGGATGCGATGGCTGCCCGGCTTACAACAACCGTATCTACAAGGCTGCGAACCGTGCTCCTTCCGGCGTCGTACAGGGCTCCTGGGGCCGCACTTCGGCTCCTGATACCGAGCCTGCTTCCGTACCTCAAGAAGCGGAGGCACCGGCTAAGCCTACACCTTCTGATGGGGGTTCATCCACGCTGGTTGCCTGTCAAAATTGTGGGACAACGGTCACTCCGCTTTGGCGCCGGGATGAGCATGGACACCCCATCTGCAACGCTTGTGGTACGTCTAGCCTCCCCTCCTGTTTCTTTCATCCGTTTATCAAGCCTATGGCTAACACACAACAGGTCTGTATTACAAGCTTCACGGTTGCTATCGCCCTACCACCATGAAAAAGTCCATCATTAAGCGCCGCAAACGCGTGGTTCCCGCTCTTCGCGATCAATCTCCCACGGCTGCTACTCACTCATCCAACGGTTCATCGGCCTCTCCTGAAGCATCCCCCGCTGCTCTAGCCCAGGATCACCATCGATATATGAGCAATGAGCCCATGGATGGCCCTCGGCAGCTACCATTTGCACCGCCTCCTGTGGACTTTACCGGCTTTCATATCAGCCCTGCCCCCTTGCATCACAACGGACTGCCCATCCTTCTCAATCCGGAGCGATTGGGTCATTCACCGGTCTCTCAATACGGCCGCCGATCTGTGTCTCCAAATATCCTCTCGAAGAAACGCACACTGGCGGAAACCGAGGCGGAAAGTCTTCCTATTCCCACGACCCTGGAATCTGGCTCCAATCAGTTGCCGCCTATTATGACCTCTGCCAACCCCTCGCCTCCAGGCCGCCTGAGTTCAATCTCTTCCATTTTGAATCATGCGGATCCACGCAATGATTCTCCTCTGGGCCGACCCCAGGCCTTCCAACCTCCCATGCAGCCTGCACCATCCCAATCGCAGCAACTTCCCGGCATCTCCTCGTTCTCAGATCCCGCAGCCGAACGCCGCGCTCAACTGGAGCGTGAAGCTGAGCAGATGCGCGAGGCACTGCGGGCCAAGGAACGGGAACTTGCTGCAATGGGCCGTTAATTTTTCCTCCTACTCGATCATTTGTCAGCCATCCTTACCGGCTCCAAAAAATGTGTCCAAGTTGTGACGACAGTAATGAGATTCAAACTACAAAGATTTCCCAGGTTTTCTTTTATTGTTTTATTTCTTCGCGGTGGAGAGGTCTCCACATTGATACACGGCGCAAATACTCGGAGATTTGCACATGATACCACTGAATTGCTTTGCTGGGATGTCATATCCCTGACTGTGCTACTATTTTCCTTACTTTCTGATTACCCAAAAGTTCGCAGAGATGAACTGTATTCTAAAATAATGGAATTGCTATTCTTTCAGACTACCTTGTCTTGTGCTCTGTAGATTGGGCTTTAAATATTTGGGTTCTCGGCTGCTCCCGAGGGTAGGTTTCGATGTCATGATGACTTGAAATCCATTCCAACCTTCCTGACTGTCGACGACCGACCGTACACCTAGCCTCTAAGCTCATATATGACATTAACGATCATGACAGAATCTACTGCCTCTTTCACCTTATCATTCGTCGGCGACGTAATGCTCGGCCGTCTCGTCGACCAACTCTTCCCCGAACACGTCAACAGCGACGACGATCGCCACAACGCCAACTACTTCATCAAAATGTATCCATCCATCCTCGCAAACGGCAATTACACCCCCTCCTCACCATGGGGAACAACTCTCCCCCTCCTCCGCACCTCAGACCTCTTCCTCATCAATCTCGAAACATCTGTAACGACCACACCCGACCCCTGGCCAAATAAAGTATTCAACTACCGCATGCACCCATCCAACCTCGCACCGATCTTGCACGCCGCGCACGTAGACTATACAAGTCTCGCCAATAATCACACACTGGACTTCGGGAACGACGGACTTGTCGAGACAGCATGGACACTCCGCCGCGCCGCAATCGCATTCACAGGCGCTGGCGAGTCTCCAGATCAAGCATTCAAACCTGCCACGCTATACCTGCCCCGACAAACACAAGAGACCAGAACGAGACGCGTGGACGGAGCAAAGAAGACCCCCCTTCCAACCGCGGAAGAAAAAAACGCTGCTGAACGGGCAGGATATCTCATCCATGTATATTCCGCCGCGGACCATCCACGCGAATGGGGATCCATCCCAGCATTCCATTTAATAGATTACTCTCCCGCAACACGGACACGTCTCCGAACTCTGCTCCTATCAAATGGATCACGAACCCATCCCCCCGAAAGAGCGGGACAAGTGGAACCAGGCTACGAAGATGAATCCGATATATACCACCACACCGCGCATCACCACCACAATATCGCCCCGGACCCGGACGCACGTCCATCACTGAAGATATTCTCCGTACACTGGGGTCCTAATTACTGCTGGCATCCGGCGGATAAAATCCGGTCGTTGGCACATTTCCTGATCGACGAGTGTGAAGTTGATATTGTGCATGGACATTCGTCGCATCATGTGCAGGGTGTGGAGGTTTATCGAGGAGGGGTTATTATTTACGGCTGTGGGGATTTTGTGGATGATTATGCTGTGAGTATGGAGTTTAGGAATGATTTGAGTGCTGTGTGGAGGGTTATTGTTAAGGAGAAAGAGAGAGGGAAAGGGCTTGTGCTGGATCGATTGGAGATTTTTCCGACGAGAGTTGAGAAGTTTAGGGCTATGTTGCTTGACAAAGGGGATAGGGATCATACGTGGGTTACAGAAAGGATAGAGGAGCTTAGTGCGGATTTGGGGACGAGGGTGAAAGAGGGATTGGGGGAACAGGGCCAGATTGTTGTTGATATAAATGGGTAGGTCTACGGAAGGACAGGAGGGAGTCGTAGGTAGAAAACAGAAAAATACGGACTTTGCTTGATATCTAATGTACGCACTAAAAATTCAGAGGTGGGCAGTTTGTATTAGCGCGAGGAGGTCGAATTGCAGCTGGGGCAGCTGCATTTCTGAGAGAAGATGGCCCACTTGTCCCCAAGGACGTATTCCCAGAATCGGTAGATGCGTTCACTCGCTCAGCATTATTGTGTACTGGGCGACTGGATGGATTTCCCAGATCGGGGCCAGCATTTCGACCTGGGATAGAAGCATCTAAGGGTCTAGATGAAGTGCCGTTGGGTGGATGAGAGATCATGCTTGGCTCCGAGACGGATGGAATTGTGTGTGCATCTACTTCACCGACATCCAGATCCATATGATGAGATTGCTCGATGAGCCGGACTGCTTCTTCGATGAAATCCCTTTCAACGGAACCCTCTTCGAAATGAGCATACGCCGTGCAAAGTGGACGGATGATCTTCACAACCGGGGGATTCGGTCAGCCTCTGGAAGAAATATGCGACGCTGCGAGCAATCCAGGTAGCATACTCGTATGCTCCCTATTGATCGTGCTAAGTCTTTACTGGCTTCATATCAAAGAGCTTTAAGCAGATTGTGCTGTAAAGGCAGAGACCCAAGGCAAGCGTAGAATTCGGATAGAGTATTTGGATCTTTCACGACGATTGCAGTCCTGTCGGTGTTCCAACCTCGGAAGACGAGGCTGTTGTCGATCGTGCGAGGGGCTCGGAATTCAATGCTTAAAGGGAAGTCAGAGGCAAACTCGTGTTTCCAACACAGAAGTTTCTCACAATAGGGCTGCAAAAAGCCTTCCTCGAGTTCGTCGTTATCGTCGTCATAGAAATTTTGTCCCGCAACGTTGACCGCAATATCAAGCAGTTGCTGGAGTGAGTCTTTTATTATCGAAATCGAGCTCTAGTCCTTCACCGGGTTAGTCAAGGATATTTTCCTATATTCGTCGTAGTCTTGCTATAGAGTAGAATCTCTCCTTAACGCCTTAATTATAAGACACTCTTCGTATAATAAAGGTGGCACGATTATCCGCTAGGCTATAACCATAACTCTCCCGGAGAAGGCCCAATACACTATTCTAGGAGGGACGCGTGTCCCTATATATATCTAAACCAGGGCCACTAGAGCCTGGTGCTATTGTGGTATTAGACGGGTCTCCGAAGAGGACGGGTCCATCCTAGCGGGGAACGAGACTAACCGCCTATGTACCGGATTTCCTATGCCACCTCTTGGCTTTCCCTTTCCGGATTGGTGCTCACCCCCTCGCCGCTTTTGCTCACTGAGTAGAACTGAGCACGCCTCTGAGCACCCTGAGCCGATCCCAGAGCATTATGTAAGCTTAGTGGACACCCCTAATCTGCCTACCGAGGGCTCTGATTTGCTCACTGAGCATAGCCCTGAGTAGGGTACCCTAATAAAACGCAACATGCTAGCCCTATCCAAGTGAAACCCTTGTACCTAGATTGCCCCCATGTGAAAAACTATGGGCATCAATAAACTGGCGTTGATTTTGGTAGATTTACTGGTACCCATTGCGCCTCGATAGAGCTTAGTCGTTAATTACCCAATCAGTCAATCAATAAACCTATATGCTCCTAGGAACCTTTGCCTACTAGTTCCACGGTCTCCTGGATAGGCATAGAAGAAGTGCAAATCTTAGAGCAATTACGTGAATCCACCGGGAGATTGCAAGTCTTACCCTAGGCAAAACTCTACTAGGAGAAGAATATTCTGGATGTAAAGGCGAAGCACAACTTCTCTCCACATAGAGCCCGCGCACCGGAACGCGTTTTGAATAACCGCTATCTACCCTTGGCCGAGAAACCCCCGAAAGGGACTGCTCCTGGGAACCCACTAGACAATTGATTAGACTACCCTAGCCGACGAACGCACTAGGTAGTCCTAGGAGCTCATCAAGCTCTATACCATTCTGTGACGCCTGTAAGCTGTCTTCACAAATCCTCTCAGAATCATCATTTAGATTCACTTAGATTCCTAGGAACTCAAAACGCAGCTAGTACTCCTGATGACGTGCCAGAGGCATCCCGTTGACATGTGATATGACATGCCCTGTGTGATGAAATGCCTACCAGGTACCTGCATATTCCCTTACAGGTCCCAGGAAGTCATGGCTATTCAAATTGTTCAGAGTGTCCCGGGAGCATGAATTCCACATCGCCGTGGTTATCAGTGAGCTATATTCTAGGGATGAAGGGAATTATTCAAGATATAGAATATCCTGTCTTGTGAGTTCAGGTCTATATTCATCACCCTCTTCAAAACTTGTCTTCATCTACTTTCATCTCCGCATTACTCGGTATTGACCACGCCAAACTACTAGTAGTTCTCTAAAACTTCAGAACTCGCTGTTATGGCTGATTGCGAGCCATTAGGTTTATGTAATCCAGAATCAGTTATCAGCGATAATGAACTTTACGATCTTGGCCTATCGGATGAATAAAGTTCGAATGGAGACACTATTCGGATGAGTTCACCTAAATTCTAGAGTAGTGTAAACGCGGAGAATCTCTATATTATACCGAACAGCCTAATACTCAGGGAATCCACTCCTGTTTCAACATTTACGAATTACCCTAGTTACCAGCGTTTCGACTGTACCCGCTTTGATCAATACCTAGCAACGACGTGCCTTTAGCCGGAAAAGGGAGAGATTGAAAAAAACAGCATCGAACCAAGTACGTCAAATCTACTAACTAGTATATTTCAATAGTAATCAAACTAAAGTCGCAGGTTTTATAGGATCTAATAGAAGTTATTAATCTTGTGGTGACGGTTCAAATTTTGCGGAATATCCACTCCTGTCCTACGAAACGTTCTAGAGTCTCGAAGGGTTACATCAAGAGCAATATTTTAATAGGGTGTCTAGAGATTCTTCTACTTAGAAAGCTTTCGAGAACTTATGTCTACGTATTGATATAATGGTTTTCCAGCACTATAAGATCAACAATCGCCTAACTCTCACTGAGCAGGAGGCGGTATATTCACTACAAGAACATATCGAACAAAATTAGAGCTTATTAAAAATAACTATCCCTAAGCCAGATTGGCGATACGCATCCCGAAACATGAGCGAATAAATTCGCTAGTACGATGATGATCTTCGATAGAACTCCGTGAATTCGCGTTTTGAATTCGAGCATCCTCAAAGCTCTCTATCGACTCCTTAGTCGTTAGACGATTTTCGGAGGTCAATTCGTCTGCGCGGATTATACAATTCACATATCTTCTCCTCTCCTCTTGTACCGCCTCAACATTCTTGCTAGAGAGCTTAAAGAACTTACAAGTGATCATTACTATACAAAGGGTTCTTAGGATATAACTTTTCATCACCTAGACGGTGATAGTATCCTACACCTATAGGGGGGAGGAGCGCCTATCACATAGGTGATTGAGACACTTGGGATTTCCAATATGGTTAAATGCGTTCAACTGCTTCGAGTATGTAGGTCTCTCGGGAGTGGTTCCACTTCCACTATAACTGCAAAAGACATCTCGTGGCGTCGACTTTAGCTCAGTAACGATCAGTATCGACTTTTCCTGCCAGGGATATCAACGAAGGTCTTTAACCCCTAGGCGTAAAATATAAGAACACCAGTACAGGTAAGGTAGCAATATGTGGTACGATCTAAAAGGGCCACCGGCGGCCTCAATCTTCCTAGAAAGACACACTTTGAGCTGGAATGATGAAGTATAGTCGGTTTAAATAGAGTAACTTACAGTATATCTAACTTCGAACAAGAGATTAATGCGTAGAATGTTGATAAACAAATATGAACTCCACTCAGTCCAGAAATAGACCCAATTCTTCCGTAATGATCATGCCTCCACTACCCTGGCAAACATTGACAATAACACTTCTAGTGTTCAACATGCCCAATAAGTTCTGCAGGCTTCTGTCCCTGAGAGCTGAAATCAGTCGCAGGCAGCTCGGTTATGAAATATGTCGGTGTGGGCAGCTCAGCAAGCTGCTGATCAGGAGCTGCACTGACTTCCGTCATGATTTTAGGTTTGCTCGTGCTATCAGCCCCCGTCACATTCTCCGCCTCGTCCGAACCCCGCGGCGGACTGTCGCGTCTTTTGCGTCGGAAGTAAAAGAATCCCAGAGCTGCGCCGAGACCAAGAATTACGCCAAGAGTAACACCCACTCCGATTCCTGCTTTCGCTCCTGTTGTCAACCCTAAGTGTGTTTTCGCTGGTACTTCAGGCAAACTGGCGGAGGTTGACTTCGTGTTCGTAGTAGCAGCCGTGGGCGTTGTCGTGGAAGTCGTAGTGATGGGAGTTAAGACGAAGTCCGTTGACTGCCACCGAATAGAAACAGCCTTTGCATAAAGTACTCCCTCGATATTTCCTTCTTGATCGACTGCATAGCCTTGGCAGAGTGCCCCTGTTTGGCTGGGATCCGCGTTCAGTTGTCTGTCAATTGTCATTAAATTAGCTCCGAGTTTCGCTTGCAAGTATGACCGAAGCAGATATATAATACGCGTCACTTACGTAGGACAACATGATGCGCGAGTTTCTGTAATGGTATTGATAATGACTGAGGAATTGAATGCAATGACATAGCCGCTGGGACATAGGCCCGGCGAAAAAAAGAACTTGAACTCCAACCGGATGGAACACACTGAGGGCACTGGTCGTGGGCCCTTCTGTGTAATAGATACTAGCAGTGCTCACATCGCTGCCCCCAGAAGCACTGTATTCGGAGAATGTTTCGACAGCATTGATAACAAAGCACGAGGAGGGTGGGGTGAATGTAGTCGTCAATGGAATAACAGCCGCCGCTGCTGACATGTTGTAGATGTTGTTTCAATCATTGCGGAGAGTTGAGCAAAATGCCCACGGGTTTTCGGCATATATCTAAGCACAAAATGAAAAGGGGTAAACAGCTGGCAAAAGTACGATCATCGCGGTATTGAGCCTTCGAAAATTACTTGCAGGGATTCGCAGGTAGGTCAGTCGCTCCCGAGACGCTAAATATGCAAGTGAAAGACCTAGGAGAGATAAAATCTGCTCAACTCCCTTCGTCCGCGTGGGTTACGATTAGGCTAATAGAACGAACTAATCATGGGCGAATCACATGGCACACCAGAGGCTTAGCGTTAGGACCCTAGATGCACTAACTTGCCGTCTGATCGCCTTCCTTTTAGGGTATCGACTTTGAAGCTACATGGTTTCATGAATGAGTCATAAGCATAGCAGGCATTTTGCGCTACGAAATCTGGGTTTTGGATTTTGAGCTCTTAAGAACGCGTCCCAGTGGCGCATCAGTGGGAACGGTGAGAGAAAAATCGAAGTAGTTATTGTGAGGTGGTGACGGTAGCTAAGTAATTATGTAGCAACTGATCTGGAAAAGGGGGAAACGCTAAGCCACTAAGCGGAAAGGGGTATAGTAGATGCTATCGCTCTAACAGTAGTGAGGCAGACCTGTATACCACCCTGCGACTACAATTAAGCTGCATTAGGATGCCTCCTATTAAACTGCGAACAGATGCTAGGATCGCGTTTCTAGCGGCAACTCCGATGTTTCTCTACAAAGGTCCGAGGGCCTTCCAATGTCTTCTCTTTCTTTGTGACTTAAGGGCGGATCATGCGAGAAGACGGCTACTATCTGTGTCAGAGTGACGGCCTCTATCTATCGATTTACTCTTGACATTCCAAAATGGAGACGCCAGTCTTAGCTTTTACGGGTGCATATCAAGGGAAGAGGTCTAACTGGTTCATGGTCAGAGAAACTGTAGTTAGTACTTCCACGAGTTAACTAACGTAATTCACAGCCGATCTGGCCCCACAGCCGTCCTGGCCACCCCAAAACACCATACTAAATGCGATAAATTACAACTTCATAACTCAACAACCATACATATTTAAGATAGGATATCAAGGGTACGTAAACTGGAGAGCATGAATAACCTATTCAAACAGTAGGACAATATAGATGTACGTAGTAAGAAAGATATATATATTTGAATCTGAAACATAAAAATTACGCTGTATCTAGGGTAAAGTATTAAAATGATGGTCTGAAAGGTCTAAAAGTTATTTATGTTCTTCCTATACCTATATTTATGTATATCCTAAAGGTCTGACTAAAATAAATCTGTGCTGGTTGAAATACAGAGGAATCAATATTGAACATCTAGTATGGTGTTTTGGGGTGGCCAGGACGGCTGTGGGGCCAGATTGGCTGTGAATTACGTTAGTTAACTAACTTAGTTAACTAACACACACTATCGTAATAACTTAGTTATGGTGAATATCTGAGTAATCAGTGCTGGCTCAGTGAGCAGCCAATCAGACTCAGTGAGTGCTCAGTGAGTGCTCATTGGACCTCACTGATCATCACGTGAGGATGCTGAGCAGCTCAATGAGTCTGATTCCCGGACTGAAATTTACTCAGTGAGTCTGACTCTGAGCGCCCTCATAAAAGCGGCGGCAGCTAAAATAGGAAAGGCCCACATGGCATAGGAAAAATGTTACGTATAGTGTCCTAGGAACAGCACTCTCCACGCCAGGTGCAGGGACCACGAGGACGATCGCTATCACATAAAGTCAATACCCGTTGAATGTTAATGGGATAACCCGGAAGAAGTTAAGAAACCAAACGATAATTCAAGGTTAATATCCGATTCGCTTACTAGGCGGATGCGACACTGCTCTCAGGGCTCGTCTAGAGGAGATGATACGCGTCGGCGCTTTCTTGATTGGCGATTAGCGGGTCTAGTGGAAGATGATTACTGAGGCATATCAAACGTTTAGCAATGTCACGCCTCGAATCACAATGAAAGTGCTGTAGTAGCTCGAAGACGTGTGCCGTGTTCATATACAAAGGTGTCTGTTCTCGCTATGCTAACACTGTTGGGGTTTCCTTGCGTCAAGGCTTCAGTTATCCCACGAAAAATAAATGCTTACAAGACGCATCGATCGGGCTACCCCAGCACTACCTACAAGCCGGAACGATATACTATCATTGTGAATTAATGATGCGCTTTATTTATGTAAAGAGATCAAAGTATTGACTGAATATCTTAAACACCAGGTAGCCTCCCAAAATCACCCATACACCCATAGAAATAATAGTATTCAAAAGGAGGTGTGCCATCGCAATGCAATCATAAAATCAAAGGCGGTTGCATGTATCGCCTAATAAAAAAGATCAAGTGATGAAAGAAAGAATGTAAGTAGATGTCATGAAGGGTCAATCACGAGCCGCCGTTCGCTAACAGCCTCGTCATGGCTGCTCTCTTGCATGACAGTCATCTCTGTTGTAACTTCAATGCCACCGAAAGAGCTGCGACTTGAACGATCACCACGCCTGACATTTATTGAATACATATCGAAATCTTTGTCCTTGTTCTGGCTGAACAGTTCAGTCTGTGGCGAGCGAGCGGCGGTGATGTTGCGGGCAGTGCTACGCCCTGGATTCGTAGTATAACGATTATAACTGTTGGTGGAAAGAAGCTTGGGGAAGATGCAGCTGACAATGGGTCGAAGGAAGGGCAGGCATGCGCAGATAATGGCCACATTGCATTCTGCTGCGGTCCAGTAAGCAGCGTCAACATTGCTGTCTGTGGAAGTTGTTAGTGGTTGCATGAGAGTTGGAGGTGTCTATAGCACATACAAGATGTGTCTGCACTTTTAGCAACAACTCGAAGACTTGAAAGACGCAAGATACTTGTGATCACAACACTGAAACTCAGTTAGTACTTAGATGTCTCGTAAAGTTTTCATTCTCCACATACAGAATTCCCATTGCGAAAACGCCGATCAAGGCAACCTTTTGCATCTTTGGTAGTTGTAGCTTGATAAGTGATGGCATCGGCATCAGAAGTAGGGTCACATCAGTTGCAATGTTCATGGATGCATTGAAGAACCACACGGCCTCGAAGCTCAGACAGCTGCCAGGCAAGTCATGGTTCCAGAACTTAGCCACGGGTACACAGTTTACGTAGCCACTAACAATGGCCCAAGTTGAATAAGTTGCAACAACAGCCATCATAAAATAGCATAGAAGTCGAAAGGAGCGCGCAGGGAAAATACGGAGATATTGGAAAAGAATGGAGAATTTGGTGAATGCCAGGCTCGCATTGTACATGGGAATGGCCGCCCAGAGACACTAGAAGCACGATATTAGCACGAAAATGGCCATTAAGGGTGTTTCTGACCATACCTTGAGTTGAGACTGGAGTGTGGTAGTAGAAAGTTGGTCTTGGTGAATGCCCATACCAAAATAAAATTCTGGATGTATCGTTACTCAAGCTGCATATCGGTCATCTTGCAGGGTTGAAGCACGTACGAGCAGCGACGAGGGAGAGGTAGATAATAGAGAAAGTCTGTTAAATAGAACATTCAAATTAGTTGAGATCTTGACAACCATACAAGACCACTTATACGTACCAAAGAGACTAAAATCGCCCAGTCTTCAGGCCCGGTGACTTTTATCAAGCCGAGACGTGCGAATAACCGCATCCCCACAATGAGGGTAGCGATACTCGTCAACACAGCTGTGACGACCAAAGCTTGTCGGCCGTGAGAGTAACCATTGTCTTCCCCCCGGGGCAAAAGCTCATGCAAGACGTTCTCCATAGCTGGATTTATGTTGTCCGAGGTCGAATTAGTTAGGTGTAAAGGAGTGAAGCGATCAATATCGTCAAAAGGAGTGTGAGCATTTCAACCCGATCATATCAATGCAATTGATGCCAGATAGACCCTAGTATTACGTGAATGCTCTACTCTTCAAATGGTGAAGGTCTGGACCAGAAAGAAAAAGAGCTTTTTGGTCGAAGGAAGGATATAGGATGAGCGGGGGTACTGTTTTTGAACTCGACCTAATGACTAGAGTAAATGTCGTGGTTTGTGGCGTAGATCTGTGCGTTCATGCACTACATCATCTCACTGGAAGGATCCTGTTCGCATTGGTCTAGCTTAGTCTTGGGATCTTCGGGGAGTTTGAATAGTCTCCCAAATAGTGCATGAACGCGCAACGATCTTGAGGGCAGACCCATGTGCACGGCTTGCTGCTGGCTTCCAGCTTGACTATTCCGACTCGAGAATGCGCCATGTGGACCCCACATGGAGACTCATTTCATGCACCGAACCAACCCACATCGAAGACTTTAGCGTGGAGCCAGTCGTTTATACCCCCACAGGGATCGTCATCTCTAGTTGGTCCCTTAACACATGAAACCCAGGGTTTTGTGGCTGCCGATTATCCATGGAATGCTGGATACGATGCTACAGTCTCAGTAATCGTGCTTGATTTTTGGTTTGAAGGGTTGATGCATCATGCAAGGTTCTGCAGTTTAGGGCCGTACTATGCTCCGTTGAGTCCGTCTCAGGGCAACATATTTTCCGAGGCGGTCGTGAGCGGCTGGGTGTGTGCTCGGTTTCCCGCAGACAGGCACAGGTTGAATAACTCCGTTCCAGAAGCCAATTCGATGCCGGTGTGCACATGCAAAAATGCATTGAACCGTACAAGAGAATGTAACCTTGGCGTCCGTACCTTCCAAAGTCCTGGATTTTAACTCCGATCGCTTCCTGTTTGGGGCTATGTTCAAGACGAGATGCAGGCCCCTGACTTGTTGAAGGCCCACTGAAGCCCTGGTGAAAACAACCCCGCCCTATTTACGGAGTCATTGTCTTCAGAGTTCAGACCATTGACCGCTACGCCGACCAAGGACAAGCGTTGATGATCATAATGGAGCCGCCCAGCCCCACACAGGATCGCCGCCTGCATCCAATAACGCCCTCGAATTCTCCACTTCGGAGGTCCATCGCTAGAGACTCCGCGTCCATGGAAAGCAGAAATTAGACGTTGTTCTGAAAGGCTTGAACGTGGTGGACTTGACAGGGTTGAACATCTACTTGGACAGGGATAACACTGTAGACGCAAGGTCAGGTTCATGCTGTCTCGTTACCTTGGAGCCGTTCCGTCGTTTAACACGTTCTCTGGGTGTTTCACTAATGCCCATTGCCTAATTGATGATCCACATATTCTAAGGGGCACAGGCATCGCTAGTTCAGTTATTAATTTTCGTCCAATGGGCTTGTGTCACTCTTTACGCGAAAAGATTAGGTGAATAGCACTAGAATCGGTGGCGTCTTGTTTATCAAATCATGCGAGCGTCGCTGATTTCCGCGAACATTTATCATAGATCTACGGAATAGTCTAAGCTCATTTACAAATCAGATTTAAGAAATTACACAAAAGTTCGAATAGCTTCGGAGCGGAACTTTTTGACTGGGTTAGGCTGCTAGGAACTTTAAGATACGGAGCGATAGGCTCGAATCGCGGCTATAACTGAACAAATCGCTTCGGCAACATGGGCACCATCCAGACTGGCTATAGGGGGACCTTTTTTGATAGTATCTTCAATAATCCACGAGGCCTACTGGGCCATTGCAAGCTGCACCCAAAAAACTGTCTGGGGATGACCCTGGCAATTCGGTATTGTGAACTTGGGCAAAGTCTACATTAAACGAAGAATCTCTGGCCTTACTGTCACTACGAAGGCCTCGAGATGTGTCTACAGCTGTCCTGCAATATCCTCTCAACATATTCTCTTTGATTCCGGTTCATACACAAAATTTGTCGCATTGAATCTGTAAATAACAGGATCAAGATTCAGATTCGGCCAATCTCTTAAAACATAAATAGATCAAACTAGATACCCAGAGTAGATCATTAACATACCCAAGCAATTTTAGCCGCAATCCAAGACAGGAGCATCATTAGGGTAGTCCAAATCATCAGCAAAATGCAACGTGACAAAACTGATATTCGACTTCTGACCGACAAGCCGAGCGAGCTTGGTCTTTGTCAACACTGGTGAATAAATGACCCCAGCAACAATAACCACTCTCATCAAAGATTCGATCAGCATACTGTGTTTCTCCATGAGATCCATCAAGAACGTCTCATCAATGATCACTGATTTAACGAGAAATAGTACCCGTGTTGTCATCAGTATCCTGCGGCTGTGCTTTCCTGGTTCCTTCAAAGTATCGGGTGGCAGCAGTTGGGAGCCGACGAATTCGCTTTGAATGCCAAATGCCATTGGCATGTTGCAAGGGGTGGCTGCCAGAATTGAGATGTTCGTTGAGAACAGGAAATCACCATTTGATCGAACCTTCTGGTTGGTGATGATTTCTTTCAAATATCGGGCTGCGAGGAATGATCCAATTTCGCGATGAGTAGATTTCCAGAGTGGATATGTGGGACTGCCCTCGGGCTCGAAAGACATGATGATCTCAGATGGTTTATCCAAGGAGACATAAGAGATCCGAAGACGGCGGGCGAAAATCTTTGCAACCAACTTTTTGCCCAGCAGCCGCATATCTTGAGGTTTATATTGAAGGGCCAAGGGGCCGTTGGTGGAAAGAATGACCTCGTGTAACTGCGGGCACGTCCGTCTAAGAGAATCTTTCCAAGCCGGACTAATGTTCTGAGTTAGCCAGGTCTCTGAATCAATGATGAAAACAGCTTGATCGGCCTTCATCAACATGATCGCATCCACTTGACCACTGCCAAATGCCCAGACATCTGCATAGCATTTCTCTTGGAGAACAGTGACCAGCCATCCCTTGACTTCAGGTGTCATAATAGCGAGGTCCTCATGACGACCACCCCCAATCACATTCACAGTTTCAAACATCCCAACTCTTTTCAGAACATTCTCCCAGACCAGACGCGGTCCACCAGTCAGAATTATTGGTAGCGTGTGCGGTGTCTCGACAGCTCGGCGCAAGAGAGCTAGCATATCAGGATACAAGCGAATATCCCCGGCAATATCCTCGCAAGCAGCAGCGAATGCCTTCTCATCGAAAACCTCCTCATGCAGCAACACCATCTGGAGGTAGTCCTTATAGGTAGAACTTAGTTGACATAGCGTCTCCTTTGAAGGGGTGTAAAGAAGCCCCAGCGGCATGGAGGGACAAGGAACTCGGCACCAGAGCAGGTACTCGCTGTCTTGGGGTGAAAGAGTTCCATCTGCATCAAACAAAAGTACAGTTTCCACCGACTTTGCGCGAGGAGTCCCCATGATTTGTATTAACTGTTCTTCAGCATACCTTCTATTATCCCAATCGGTCAACACCCGAAAGTCCCGCAAAAGACTGGAAACTTTAGGTACTGTGCCCAGATGAGGTGTCAGTACCGTAAAGGTAATGTCCTTCTTTCGACAGAAGCGACGCAAATAGCATATCTCGCTTTTCTGCCAACAGTCCCAATGCTTGAAAGTTGCGTCCGCCTCCTCACCTTCGTGAATATCTCCCCAATATTGGGGAAAGTGAGCAAATGGCAGTTCCAGGTAAAGGATATGAGTGTGTGCTTTCAGATCTGCGACAGGAGCGACGGAGAAGCATTCGCTGTCTTCGTTCCAGAATGCCAAGTAGCGAACCACCACTCCGATGACGTCCTTTCTCACACACTCATTCTCGAGTGCGGTAATAGTCACATCGCGATATCGGGCCCTCTTGACTGCACCGAGGGCGTTGTACGCCATCAGCCCACCAGGACAAATGGCTGTAAGAGCTTCGTTGCCGTCGTTGAATGCAAATCCATCTTCTTTCATCTCTTCTCTCAGCTCTTCCAGGAGGAACGACGTTCCAGTCCCAGATAGGCCGAAGAGGCCGATGATTTTTGGCTTTCGAGGAGGGAGGCCAGGCAAAGTTTTGGTGGTAGGTTTGGTCTTGTCACGGTCCGGTCGTTTCGAGGGCGGCCCATGTCGTTTCAACGGCATTTTCCAACTCTTGTTCAAATTGATCGACAGGAATCTTGTCAAATGGGGATGAGTCACGTAAAGATGATAAAGATAAGTGCTGTCATGGGGGCAGAAGCGAGAAGGCAATCGTGAAGTAAGAGCTTTAAGACTGGAACCGGAAGTTGAGAACAACAGAAGAGAGAAAGCTTTAGGGAAAGGAGAGGAAGAGATAGAGGAAGGGTGTTTGGCGGTGCTGCAGGAAATCTCCGTATCAGACTGACCCTTCCAATCAGAGAAAGGCAAACAAAGCAAGACGTTCGTTATGTTCTACTCTATATGATATCGCATCCGTCTATTAACAAGCCAACCTCATACTATCAGGTGACATGCTCCTTCTCCTCCTCTTTTGGAATTCTAACCCAAATAATCGTGACAAGAGCTGCAGTCAACTGCGCAGCCAAAGCGAACCACCAGATGGCGCGTAGTCCCTCAAGGCCTATCTGTCCATCTGGCCCTCTATCGACCCTCGTGCCAATGGCATCGGCAATACTGGTCATGATTGCCGAAGAAAGGTTCTGATTCGTAACTAGCAGACTTCCAGCACTGCCTTGATATGAACGAGCGACGTTACTGGTGATGAATATGGAAGCTGCTGCAAAGGCCAGATCGGGACCGAAAGTGACGAGAGCAACTCCAGGAAAGGAAAGCTTCCAATATATCGTGTTGGCTGTCTGAGGGATAAAGAAGGCGGGGCCGAGGGTGAACGCCAGCATAGAAACGGCGTAGATATAATGGCCGGGGACGATATGAATGGTGCGACTCACAACCCATGTCGCGAGGACTCCCACAATGGCATTCGGAATGTGATAGAGTGCAACGTCGAGTGGTGTGGCACCTTGGATACGAAGCCAAAACTGAATGGCATAGAATTGCCAGGCGCCGAAGAACGACCCGAAGCCCAGGAAGTACGCGACCATCAGAGGGGTGAACCCAGGCGTTCGCCACAGTCGATTAGGGATCAATGGGCGGATAGCTGCTCGCTCGGCGAAGAAGAGCCCAACCAAGAGAAGCAACCCCACGATGATGAGGGCGTAAGTGTATGGAGACCAAGCTGTAACGGGTCCCTGGGTTAAGCCGAACAGCAAGCAAACGCAGCCGCCGGCTGCGCAGCCTCCGCCGATGTAGTCAAACTGCCGCATAGTTGGAGCTTCAGTCCCCGCAACATCAGCCTCGAGTCGCAGCTTCGGGATACTGAAATAAGCAGCCATACAGCACAAGGCACAGATGACCGCATTGGTTCCAAAGATCCATTCAAGATGACCATTCAATGCACCGCCCTGAAGCGCACCAAGCGAAAAGCCAAACGGCGCAGTCGCAGCCATAGCGGAAAACACCCGATTCTTGCGAATGCCTGGCTTATATACCCGTCCAAGGATACTCATGCTGCCGGAGACCAGGACGCCAATGGCCAGTCCTTGCATTGCTCGCATGACAAAGAACAGAACATAGCGAGATGGCTGCAGAGAGAAAACTCCGACAATGTTCCACACTGACAGCCAGGCAAACGCACCAACCATCAGACTCTTTGGAGGAGCGAGATCAGATAGTGACCCGGAAATTACCACAGACAAGCCGTTCGCGGTGTTGAAGGCACCCACAACCCATGGAAGCTGGGTGTTGTTGATGCCAAGAGCACGCTTCAATTGCTCTTGTGGTGCTAGCATATCTCCCAGAAGGAAGGAGAATAACATCAGTCCCGCAGAACACACCATAATTAGCACAATTTCGGCAGTGAAGCTCGAAATCTCAGGCGGAATACCTTGCTTCCTTCGGGTCGGCGAGGCCGATTCATCGGTTTCATTTCGACATCGGGATACCGAGGGTTTTCGGTTAGTCAAGCGATGGCCAAGAGAGTCGAGTTCATGACCGTCGTCAGCAGCCTGACTAAGACTAGTGATGGTCTCCGATACTTTTAGTGCTTGCTTATCGAAAACATTCTTGTTCCCCAGCAGAGGATCTGGGGTTTGAGCGCCGGTCGCTGGAGTCGAATAGGATCTGGTGTAGTCAAAGGATGACCGGTTTGACGTAGGAGCTGAATCGCCCAAGACTTGAGAAGATTCTCCCAGGCCTGTCGGGCCCGTCAAAATTGGATTTGTTAGAATTTGTGGAGGGGCTTTTGGAAGACCCTCCGGGACGGATTGCGGCTGCCCAATTGGCATCCTGAATCTTTCGTTAACAGCACGTCCAAGATGGCAAAAGTAACAATAAAATCCCGAAATTTTCAAGGGAAGGGAGACAATATATAGCAGATGACTCGAACGATAGAAAACCCAATCGTGGGGGCGCGCACACCATCGTGGCAAATCGGGCGAAATATTTTGTCTGACGATTGAAGCCGAGTGGAGTTGAGTGGAGCTGCTCCGGTTAAATGGCGGACAAAAATAAGGTCGCTGCCCTGCGAGATAAGAAACAACAGGCTGGTCCTCGGGAGAACTCCGGAATGCTCTGATCGACTCAATTCGAGGATTGTAGATTTCAGAGCCCTTCCTGCCGATTGCGTGCATTCTCAGATGGTGGGATCTGTTGACCGGGGCGTGTCTGGCGAGATTCTTGGCAACGATGATGATTCCTGCTTGACGGAGTAAACAGAGCTATGGGTGCATGCTTATCAGTCCCTATTCTAGGCCTCGTACCGGTTATGCTAGCGCTGCTGATGACGATGCATGCAGGGAGTCAAATGACTGTCAATCTGATAGACAATCATTGCACTGAAACTCCCAAAATAGTTGGGCCTAGGGCTTCTAGGGGAAAGTATCGCGACAAAGCTTGGTTGTATGAGGAATGCAGGTTCACTTGGAGGTAGGATCATCATCTCCGATCAGCTTAACTCGATTGAATAATCTCCCATGAATGAATATTGAGGAACTGAAATACCATTTTTATCCTGCACGCATGCGCATCGAAATGCGGCTCGAGAAGCATAAGCTCAACCAACTTATGCAAGCAAGTACCAGCTCCATTATGCATCCATCACTCTAGGTTTTATTTCACGTCATGATAGTTTGAAGTTTATGCACCTTATATTATTTTTCTATGACTTGACAAAGCCGTTGAGCTTTACAACAAACTGCTTCTTCAGTCTAGATTTTGACTTGACCACATAGAACAACGTCTTCTCCAAATGGGTACCACTGAACATTCTTCAACCTCGCGGCAGACATCGAATTCCCTTCGCCATCAAATCTTCTCGCTGGAGAGACAACCACGCCCCCTTGACCAAGCCACGTTGGTGCAATTGTCACAATCACTCGATCAATAAGACCCATATAAGTCGGTTCCAACAATGAGTTGATGACATGGCCTCCACCTTCGATCATAACACTTCGAAGGCCATTCGAGCGTAAAGTGGCCAGCAATTGAGTCCAATCAATCCGGTGAGTACCAGACTCTGAAGTTGGAATATTGAGCGAAATGAATTGACCTCCGTATTTCTTGAGCAGAGAAACTTTCTCGGCTGGTGGCTCGTGCACAGTAGTCACAATCCATGGACCACGGCCACGGCCTTCCCTGCAAAGTTGAAACAACTTGCTATCGTCAGAAAAATCCCATCTTAATGTTGGATCAATGACAATGGGTCGTGGTTGACAATCCAAGCCTTCACCGCCGTACCCTCCAACCCCATCAAGACGACAATTTAGGCCTGGATCATCAGCCAGAGCCGTGCCGACACCGATGAGAATGCCATCATGGCGAGACCGCAAATAATGAGTCATTGCCTTGGACTGGGGCCCTGATAGTGCGGTGCGTGTTCCAGGGGACAGCGCAAGCGAAGAATCGAGAGACGTTGCGAACGTCAGAGTCGTGAAGGGCATATCAGGACGTGAGGTCGAGCCATCTCGCGGTGGTAGTTGAGGCTCCAGGAAAGCCCTGTCTGATTCTGGAAATTCTAAGGCGTCTCTAGGGGCTGCAGACATGATGAAATGACTGTCAGATTTTGGTGTGTCGTGCAAGTCTGTTTTTGAATAGAGAGGATGGAAAAGTGAGATGGCGGGGCCTCCTGTGTGTGCCTGAGGCATTAATCGCTAGGATGAAGCACATCTATGGTTAGTTACTGATCGTCATCCTTGTGCTCTTACTCGTTCTAGATTTCTTCTAAACTTACTATTGTCTGCATACCTTAGCTTGTATTCTGGTCAGTAGATCACAGACCCTAACATCACAGGACACTCAAGATATTGTTACCCGCGCCAATATCAGCAACATACATCGCCCGTCCATTCCAAATATCCTTGCCATTCTCAAAAGCATGGAAAACAATGTTTGAACCATCGCCGTTAAAATCCGCCCCACCAGGGCCACTCAATTCACCCACGTTGCTCGAAGCTCCGGTCACCAGCAGAGGGGCATCTGGGGCATGAGCCTTTGTGTAGGATCCAGCGATAGCACTGGCAGTCGCGTAGCTCACATCATACTTGGTGGTGTCATACATATTGGAGGGGAAGGAAAGGTAGTAAGTTCCTCCAACTTTGGTAATACTCGATGCCTCGATGAGTGGACCATCGTTGTCATCACGGTCAAGGAGTTACGTCGCGCCACCATTAGGGGAGATAGCATCTGAGTTTAGGCCATGCAGCATGATGGGAGTTGAGTGGGTCGTACCGTCACCATCAAGGCTGTTGCCATCCACCTTGTACACAACATAGTAGGTATCTCCATCCTTGTAGCCATTGGCGTCGATCGCACCGTCCTGGTCAAGAGGGCAAGCATGTGGGTTTCGCTCGAGAGTGTACGGTCCAGTAATGCTGGACGAGGTAGCAGCCCCGATACAGTGCTTGCTTGCATCCTGACTAGAAGAGGCGGAGAAGTACATCACAAACGTACCGTTATCCTAATAGAGATAAGCGTCCTAGTTTCAGTGTCAGGGAAGTTCGGAGTGGAACTTACACCTTGAATGACACCGGGGGCCCAGATAGCTGGCGCCCCAGCAACCCATGCCGGGAAGGGCCTAGGCATCGCGTCGGTGCCAGACATAAGCTCCTAAGTTGCGAAGTCAGAAGAAGAAGCGACCTGAACATTTACACCATTGCCACCCGTAGCAAACGCGTAGCAAACGCGTAGTAGCCATCGCCGACTTGGATAACGCAGGGGTCGGCAAAATCCGCATCGATCTCGCGAATTGCTTGTACAATGACAAGTTTACTTATGAAAAGTGCCGAGGCAAAAGCATATAATAACTTGGAAGTCATCTTCGTCAAGTATAGCTAGCGAGGAAGTTTGCATGGAGACGTTGTTATCTTGTCAGGGTCTTGAATAGGTCCGATCAAGGGGGCCTCTTAGCCTTTATATGGCATTCTTTCTCAGAGCGCAGATCATCACTTGCTCCAAAGAAACATTTATTCTCACTTATAGTATAATTCAATTCTCGTCCAAGCAAGGATGAAACGCTTTCACCGGAGTGTTTATGACCCCCAGATTCTCCGCATCTACGGACGATCGTCGACGGGACTTAACCAAGGATATAAAATGGCCCTTGTTATTTTCAAAACGCGACCACAAGCAGCAAATCATTGAAAGAATCTTCAAGTTTAGTCGCAGCCGCATACCCGATGTAGAAAATCCCATGGTTAGTCGACTTGAGGGTTCTACTAGTTCCCCCTAGGCCCTACGGGTATATATATTCACCTCTTTCCTAGATCGGGGCGGGTCTACCTGTGACCGAACTCTAACAGCTTCCAACTGAGACAGCGCCACTTCGAAATGGAGGAATTCCGACCTCACCTGTCAAGAGCGGCCAGTTGAGAGAATGTTTCGCTAGCCAGCGGAGTAGTCATCTTGCAATTAATAGAACCAACCAATCCATTGAACTGGCCTTTCTCCAGGAACGCATCATGATCTATCTAGTCTTCATTCTATATCAACTCAAATGATATTTCGTAATCAATTAGACTTGGTTGTATCCCAGCTCGTTCCTTCGGAAGCCAAATACGCCTGTCCCTTTTCAAGTATCTTGCTATTCTCAGTTCCCAGCCAAAGTGGTTCCAGGTTTTTCATCTCATCCTCAATCTCATAGCTCTGCCCACCGGCCACATGCAGCATCTTTCCTGCAAATGGCAGACGAGCACCTGTATGAGTTTTTCCATCACTGCCTCTGTTTGCGGTGGCACAAATCAAGATAGACCGACCGACATCTTCGGGTTCATTGACAGGCAAGTTCTGCTCGTACCAGCCCTTCTCGATTCCGTGAACCATACGCGTTCCTGCTTATAATCAACATCCGTGAACCAGCGTGGTCATACAACAATCACAGACTTACTGGTCATCCATGGACATATAACATTAACCCTAATATTCTCCGGGGTCGCTGTTAGATGGAGGCCCCGCATAATCCCCACGACACCATGCTTGCTCGCTGTATAAGTGACCAAGCCCCCACATTCCTTCCACCCGGCAATGCTGCTGACGAGAACGAGGTCTCCACCCCCACTCCGACGGAGGTAATGCATGCCGATACGCGCGGTAAAGATGTCTCCCACGAGATTGATGTCGATTTCTTTCATCGAGGGTTCTTGGGTAACATCGCTATTCGCGTCAAAGGGGTCTTGAGGGATTGAAATGCCAGCGTTTGCGACGACGATGTCTACTCGACCGTATTTATCAAATGCGGTTTTGAATAGATTCAATTGGTCGGAATAGTTTGATGAATCGCATTTCACGAATTGGGCATTGGGGTTAAGTTCGGCTTCAAGTTCTCGAGACGCTTTTTCGACAATGTCCCCAAAGACTACATGGGCACCGTTCTCTGATTCCGTGTGAGCAGAGAGACAGAAAAGCTCAATTACAGGCACTCACTGCAAAGTTGTTGAATAGTTGCTCGCCCGATTCCAGTCGCGCCTCCGGTGAGTACCACGACCTTATCGGACAAAGTCCCAAGCAGTGAAGGGTCAAGTTGAATATGTGCCATTTTCTGAAGGGTTCAAATTAAGAAAAGAAGCTGTTAGATCTGGCTAGATTTGATTTGTTAGGAAAGTCCATTGCCTTTAAACAAAAGCTCCTCCCCGGGCTTGAAGTTTGACCCCACATATGCCGCCGAGATTCCATATGGCGAAGAACGGAGTTAATTCCGAAAAATCCATGCTGGCCTTCAAATCGCAATCGAGTTTGATATCAATTGTTTGGATTTTCGATAGATGATGTTTTATTTTTGCCTCTCAAGGCTTACCGAGGAAAGATATCTTACGCAATTGCCAGTGTGCATATGGCTGACCAGCTCATGGGGCAGCGTGTCTCCATGAAACCAGCGGAATCGGTAAAGTTTATCAATTCCCTTGAAGTTTAAGTTACAATTCCTGCAGGAAACTCTTTCAATTTTCAGTCATTCTAATAGGTTGTTGCTTATTACATGACGATCGACTCTGATTGGCGTGTTTCTGAGTTTTTTCCTTCGATCGTCCTATCGCCTCGAAATTGACTACATATGTAAATACCTGTTTTACAAAAGCACGCGGAGAATTGGGTTCTGTAGGGCTTCAGTAGTCATTTCTTATAGCTGACTTCAAACCTGAAAACTGACATAGACACGTCTATGTCCATGTTAGGGTTAGAGACCAGTGCGCTGAAAGATGAAGATGGAAATCGAGCAAAACGAAGTAAACACAAGAAAAATACATACATGGTGGATGGACACGACGTTTAGCAACGGAAACCCAGTTTTAGTAGGCTGCCTTTGAAGTGTGCTCGCTGAGGTACTCTCAGATTTGATCCGACTCAAATCGGAGTACTGGGTGAGTTGCGCTTGAATGCGTAATGCTGTCTGTAAATAGAAGCTCAATGAAAGTGGTGAAAAGAGTTCCTAAACTCGACGGTGGTCTCAGACAGACGCAGATCCTGGGTACCTGCATGCCACTGGCTTCCCGTTTGTATGTTCCTAAACATCATCTGAAACTGTCATGGACTGTCGAAGAGGAGATGGTGGAAGCCGACCCCAGGTGTTTTTCTTGGGCAATGATGAGCGTTTCCGAGATTTTGCGATTTCATGATAAGCCGATTGCCAGTTCAATATATTGGGGATCAAACTGGGGCTCACAAAATCGTTTCCAATTGCGAAGTGAGGACTGAGGTATACACCCACGACACCTGTATCCACGCATAACCTCTCAGAGCCGGAGGAGTGTGAATCTACAATCCACCGCCCATGAGGTGTGTAGAACTTGAAGACGTGACCCGTTGCTGCGTTTTGTAAGCTAGAGCCTCGATACTGGAACAGACCTTTACTAGTTCTCTCCAAACTTACCATGACAGGGTCAATGTATCGGTAGGCCCGACGGAGAATGCTAGTAATTCGCAGATTGTCGTTCTCTTTTGGAACTTTGGGACCACTGAAAATGATAGCAAGCGATTCGGCGGCGGTTGTTGAGCTTGATTTGTACACAGGATATCCAGACCAGTTATAGTGATGAATATTTTCGTCACGAGCCACGGCGGACTCACGTCCACGAAATTCCTCGGTGACTCCTTGACGAAGCTGTTCCACCGGACTAACTTCCCCGGTTGGTGGAATGCTTACAACAGTTACATCAGTCTCGACAGAATCGTCCTCGGTGACGGACTCGGCATCCTCCGTAGATTCGTCTTCACTTGAACTATCAATTGAATCATCCAAGAGCTCACTGCTAGGGAGTTCCTCGGAGTCGTGGCACAGGTCCCAGTCATCGGATACTTGGTTTTGAAGCTCATTCTCGACGTCCTCGGCCCAGTCAAAGTCGAAGAGGAATTCCTCCGGTGGGGACACAGCAGTTTTCGTTGCAGGCATTGTGGAGTGTGGTCCGTCAAAGGTATCACATTCAGCAAGGGGCTTAAGCAAGGTGCGAGTGACAGGAATCGGTGATGACTGGCAGAGAGAAGTCATCGGATGTCTTCAAGGTGAGGTAAGGCTTAATAGTCTGGGAAGGATGAGAATGTCCTCGACAGGGCCTAAGGCATGTGATGTGATTTATAGACGTCAACGTTGCGATATCTTGTTTGTCCTTGTTGGCTTCCAGGAATAACGCCACAATATAATTATAAAGGTCTTTGTCTGCCAAAGAGACAAAGAAACACGTTGAATGATAATATAGTTACTTCAATGGCGTTTCAATTTTGATAGGAACAATGCTCTTCATGTTCCTTTGTACAAGTCACTCTGGATCCGGTTAGGGGCGAGTCCAAACTTTGACGCAATGAATTGTCCTCTTTCAGCTTATTTTAGAGCGTGTTTCAAGATGCTGCAAAAATTCAATAGAATAATCGCTTTATTGTTTCCCTCAGGGTTGATTTTGGTCCTACAAGGCATGTTTGGGAAAGAAACACGCAATGGTATGGCGCAAAACTGCATATCAAATCACCAACAGTATCTAGAGGAGTGAGGAAGAAGGAGAAAGGGCAAGAGGAGGCCCTCTTATACGCCAAAAATAGGCAAACAACACAGGACGTGGACAAACAAGGAATTTTCCGAAGGGAAATCTCTAGGGAAATCTCCATATCTCCATCACAATGTAGTCCAGCCAAACGGCGTGATGCCGAGTGGTTCGAAGTTCGGCGTGAAGGCCGAAGAACCGCCGCAACGTTTAGCCGCTTACATAACCGGATATTGCGCGAGCGCTCCAATCCCCGCACGTCGCGGGGGTTTCTTTCTTTTGATTTCTTCCCAATTCGCCCTGACTTGATTATTCACATCCATGAGCATATTCCGAACCTGTGGTAGATCAATCCAATTCCTCCAACAGCTATCCCACCACCTCCCCGCACCGTCGACCTCAGCAAGGACCAAGACTCCCTTCAATCTAGCCGTTCAACCCGCGATTATCCGACGAACCATGGCGTCCGCAATGGCCAAGCGCCTCGAAGGCAAGACTATCCTCGTCACTGGTGCTTCTTCCGGTATTGGCAAGAGCACTGCCAAGGAGTTTGCGCGCTCCTCGCCCAACAACCTCAAGATCATCGTGACTGCGCGCCGTCTTGAAGCGCTGAATGAGCTCGCGGCGGAAATTAAGGCGGAGGTCGGCGAGGGCGTCAAGGTTCTCCCCGTGAAGCTGGATGTCAGCAACCCGGAGGAAATCAAGAACTTTGTTCCATCTCTGCCCGCCGAGTTCAAGGAGATTGATGTGCTTGTCAACAATGCGTGAGTCCCCAACAACTAAGAGTGGGGCTATAAGTCGTAGCATGGAGACGAGATACTGACGATCGCTATTTATGCAGTGGCCTCGTCAAGGGTGTTGCGCAGGCTCCCGATATCGCGACCGAAGATATGAGCATCATGTTCAACACCAACGTCACCGGTCTGATCAACATGACTCAGGCCATCCTGCCTATCTTCAAGAAGCGCGACGAGGGCGGCCGCGGTGATATCATCAACATTGGAAGTATCGCTGGTCGTGAGCCCTACGCCGGTGGCGCCATTTACTGCGCCACCAAGGCTGCCGTTCGCTCTTTCACCGACTCGCTGCGCAAGGAGCTCATCGCGACGAGAATCCGTGTCATTGAGATCGACCCCGGTCAAGTTGAGACTGTACGCATGCTGTCCATCTCGATTTTCTCATGCTTGCAATGGCTAATATAAAATTAGGAATTCTCCGTCGTGCGATTCTATGGTGATAAGTCCAAGGCCGACGCTGTCTACAAGTAAGTCTTCACTGGGTGGACCGATTAGATTTCTCCCAAGCAGAGCTGATATATAACTCGTAGGGGTGTTGAGCCTCTTACCGGCGACGACATTGCCGAAGTTGTCGTCTTCGCTGCCAGCCGTCGTGAGAACGTCGTCATTGCCGATACCCTAGTCTTCCCTAGCCACCAGGTATGTACTTGGTCCTCCTACATCGCTGCCGACCAAAGGTTTACTTTAACTAACAACTTCAAGGCCGCCGCTGGTGTTATGCACCGCAAGTCCTGATAAATTCCCTGTGCTGCGAAATGGAACATATAATATAGATAGACATCCATTTATTGTACATGGTTACAGAATGTATGAATTCATACAGAGCCCGTGTCACCCTATGCAGGCCATTGCCATCATGGGAAATGATGTAGATTTCACCGAGAGGGCTATGAGTATGACAAAACAACCTTATTTAGTAGCCTACTTGACTTGCCGTGCCAATCGTACCAACTACTAAGTAAAGCTTTCCAGGAACATCTTCGGGAAAAATCAGAAAAAATTCCACAGGCAGATCTCCTGGGGGCTAATATTTTGCTCGTCCTTTGGTATCGAAGTGGTGATTACACCTGGTTCAAGTAGATTTTCATGTCCAAAGTTGCAGCATCAGGACGGATCAACTGGAGGTTGAGTAGTATGCGCTTAAGCTATCACGATACTGCCGTTGCGTCTAGAAGATGAAGCAAAAGCGTGCGTAGTCAGCCGGCAAGTTCACGAAACGGGCAGGGGCTAGGTCTGCATAATGGTCTATGGAAAGTCCTTAGTTCCAACTAACCACGTTGTCGATGCTGCGCTGTACCTGCATGCGCCGTCGGACGTGCAGAATATGCAGGTTTGTAGTGATGTGTCGGGCATTTTGTGGATAATTGAGTTGACAAGGCTATATATAGAGATTCCTTTCAGGCTTTTTCTTTCACTTTTATAGATTTGAAATTGAATTAGCAAACTCCTGAATTGTGTAGATTCTGAAGCAATGATTTCTCGGTGATTTGCCCTGTGTTGTTGAAGATCTACGGGGTAAACATTCTACTGTAATGTACTGTAGTCAGGCCTCGATAGTTCAAGCCTGTGGAGATTGTCAACAAGAGAGTTAATTACCTACTCAAAGCGTCCATTATAGCCAGGAGTTTACCATTAGATAATACCCCTAAGGAAAATTACCCGTACAAAAGGAACCACAAGTAACTAGAAGTGCAGACGTGATTACAACGTTCAGGCCGTGAATTGAGGTACAGCCTAGCCTAACGGTTTTGACGTGGTGCTTTGTATTTCCACATTTGATATCAGTAGAGATTGAGAATGTAGTAGAATTCTTGTGGCTAAGTTGGCTGCTTCTCCATAGCAAGGCGATGTTCAAATTTGGAATTGGATGGATGACCTCTTGGGCGAGCATAGATACCCGAAGGATAGCATGTTTGCTTATAGCGGAGCTAGAAGGATTAGACCACTAGTCAGCCACATTTGGGTGTCAATGGATCAATCGCATGGACTTGTCGAGGAAAGTGTGAGTTTCTTATATTCCCGTTATTGAAGAGGATCTCTTCCACAAACACGGGATGGCTTGTTTACTATGTTGACAGGCGAAGACCAAAATTAAGCCTAAGATTGCAGGTTCTCCAATGAGCATATTTCTCCTCTCCAGAACCATGATAATGCCAGGACTGGGCATGAACAGCTCAATTCCTGATCCTATCTCATAGTCCATTCTAAAACCAAACGCATCCATGCCCGTTGAGCTATGTTCTGGATGAACCGGGCTTCCTACCGTATTCCGACACTGCAGGAGCGTGAGGTGTCACCGACCGTGCGTGTAATGTGGCGTGTCGGGAGTTTTGATCGATCATATCAAGGACACCGATCTGCTGTACATACATGAATGAGTCCACTCTGCAAGGCTGAGCATCTCCGCTGCAGCCCAGCCTCGGTATGCAAACACGGCCAGTTCAGCGATGAAGCCGACCGGGTCCCAAACAAAGGGGGCCATTTACTGTTCCTGCATCGCCAACTCACCAAGGAGACAAGCAAAGATAAAGTAAGTCTTGCCGACTATGGAACTTCCAGAATGCGGGCAGGACAAAGAATTAACTTTGTAACGTCCATGGGAAAACAGCCGCTTTGTCCTCTCGTTAAGGGCAGTCTAGGATCAGAGGGGCATCGTGCCCGAGGCGGAAACCTTGGATCCTCGTCTGGTTCCATGTGAGAAACGGGTCAGTCGATCCTCTCGTAATTTCCAGCGATTCCACTTCACCATCCACCACGGGAGGAAGCTATACGAGCGATAGTTATGTATCCAAACTATCATGGAAAGTGGTGGAAATGAGTGAAATTGAGAGGGAAGGGGAAGTACAGTATGATCAGGATTCCTACGTCCGTGGTAGGTGATTGTCACTCAGCCGAATGCCCGCGTATCTAGTTAGAATGGATGGAAAAGATACTCGATGCAGAATTGCAGACCTGAATCCTGATTGTGACTCTGCACGCAGCAAGGATCCCGGGTCCCGACGAGTCGTAGACGTGCAGGCGGGGTGGCGGGCCCTGCAAGCCAAAGAGATCAACAGCTCCATCTCCGACTGTCAATGGACGACATCGTGCATCGTCACTATCCTGCAGGTCATTCTGTTTTCGTCTTTTCCATCTACGGTGTGACTTGTAGTAAGTGCTGCTCTCTGCGTGAGAGGAGAACCTGCGGATTGCGGGATTTGTGGAGGAGACGGAGATGGGGAAGTTTACAAAAGAAAAGTGGGATGAATCGAATCCTTTGTTTTCAGCTGATCTGCGGTTTGCGCAGATGTCTAGCGGCGTGATCCGGGTTTCAGGTGGCATGGCGATCATTGGGAGCAATGGATTTGACTAAAGATGACGGAAATCTCCGGTTGATCTTCCAGGGCAGGTTCTTGAGTTGATGCATTTGTGGAGGGGCAGGGGCAAGGGGGCGTAATGATGGATTGAGGGCCAGCAAAAAGGGAGTATAGAGCATCGCTTCGGAATGATGCAATTGGGCTGCAAAGTGTCAACCTGCAAGCCATCCGGGGGTTCAACTCTGAGTACTAAGTATTGTTAAAGAACTGTTCAATCATTATTGAGCGGTCCCCTGTAGTGCTTCTCCACTAGAGAGCTATGGTCGTATTCTATCGTATATGCTCCATCGTTGGAGTTAATATACTCCCTACATGGAGTATACATCTTCATCAATTCGCAGCTTGATAGTGGCTCCTTCTCCTGTGCTACCTGATTAGCGAACTTACCCAAAGCCTCCACCCACGGCTTGCTCGAATCCTCCGAACCAGCGGATTCTGGACTGTGTGCCCCGTCACAACATCACGGCGCTAGGCGTGCGAACTAAACCCGATACCCTAAAGCGCCTCGCAGCCCCCACCAGGAGGGTGCTCCACCAAAGTCTGGAGGGCAAGGAGAAAGAGGGAAATATGGAGTCGACGATTAGTCTCCTCCAGCGGGTACAGGACCATTGTCTTGGGAATCTGCAAGTCCAGTAGACAATAACCCTCCATCTTGTTCAACAACACGAGAGTATATCTATCGGGGGTCGTGAACTCGTGTGTGTTTTTGGGTTGGTCCTTACCGAGGGGTAGTTTGGAGGGCCCCAATCATAAAGAACTAATATCGCCTGGTCCGTTCCCAACGGGAGGGGGGAGAAAAAAAAACCAAGGCTAGGGCCAATCAACCTGGACGACGAGGAGTAGTGTACCAAACCTGGACCATATAGGAGCACCTGCTCGCGCTACTCTTCGTAGTTAGTAGCTTTGGGCCTCTTCCATTAAGATAATCGCCTGCGAGCACGAGAGAAAAAGAAGAAGAAGAAGCAAAAGAAAGGAGACATGCCACCCTCAAAAGAAGTTATCCCACCATGCTAGGCACCGAAGATCGAAGAAGGATAGAATCATCTGATAGAACGTACGCAACCCTGAAGAAAAATCAAAATCAGGAAATTTCCGAGACGAAATGCAGAAGAACCTTCTGTTGGCCCCCCCCTTTCGATGGTGAAATGCTCCACCACCCTTTACGATCTCCTGAATTGAACCCAGACTCCCCCCTTCTTTTGTGTCCTAACTTGGAGGCATCCTGGTTGCCATATTCGCTGTCTTTGTTTTTATTTCCTGTAGCTTACCCCGGGTGACCTGCTATCAAGATTAGCATTGTCATATTCTAGTAATGTAATAATAAGAATCATAATAATAATAATCATAATGTATGGGACTATGATGGTGGTTAGAGTTCCCCCCCTATGCGTTGATAATGATCCCATTTGCTCCGCATGGGCTTTAATCTAAATGGTTGGGCCTCATCTGATTGATCCAGTAATCAATTCATAATCAGAAAGGAAAGAATAATCATGACAGTCGACAGTATTATGTCCAACATCAGCGAGATAGCATACGCCCAGCCCAGCCCCGGCTTCCTTGGGAGGACTCCACCAGGCAAAAGAAGCTCCCCCGTTTGGTTTCCCCCCGTCAAACTGTCCAACTGCCCCTAATCGCCCGCTGCAACTCGAACCTCCCTCTCGACTCGCCTCCTCCTCCTTCTCCTCTTCCCCATCTTTTTTTCTGGAACTACTATATTCTTTTCCCTCCCCCAATTCTTGCAAGATTCTAGAGCCCGTCCCAACTTGCTCAACTAGAGTATTTCCTATCTCTCTCTCCTCCTCCTCCCCCCTTCCTACCGCCTTTTCCTCTCTTCCCGGCACAATTTTCGGTTGCTCCTGAATCCCTGCGATCGCAAAACATAACTCGGATCGCGAACCCCTCTCGATCTTCCGATCCTCCTCCTTGAATCGTCCTTGGTCTCGATCCTCGGTTCTTTTTTTTAGCCACTCGCATCGATTGTTCGCCAGAATGGCCTCCAAGGTGAGTCCCAGCGTGTTGCCTGTGCCTGACCGCCAGGTTCCTTCCAGCCAGCCCCCCCTCGGGATCGTGACATCAAACCTTCGCTTCGGTTGGAGGCCCTGGAGGCATAGACTGCTTGCCGACGGCTGGACTTTTAGTCCGCCGTGACTATAATGCACCAGGAAACAATTTCAATGACTGACGCCGTCCTTCGCCCTAGTTCCTGCGAGAGTATAAGTTGGTGGTTGTTGGTGGTGGTGGTGTCGGAAAATCGTGCTTGACCATCCAACTGATCCAGAGCCACTTCGTGGACGAGTACGACCCGACAATTGAAGGTAAGCTTGCCTAATTCCCGATCCAGCCGGACGAGTCCTTGGCCATCGGGTCAAATCGCTCACCGTCGTCTCTTTTCCAGACTCCTACCGCAAGCAGTGTGTTATCGACGATGAGGTTGCTCTCTTAGACGTTCTCGATACGGCAGGCCAGGAGGAGTATTCGGCAATGCGGGAACAGTACATGCGCACCGGCGAGGGCTTCCTGCTCATCTACTCGATCACATCGCGTCAATCCTTTGAAGAAATCATGACCTTCCAACAGCAGATCCTGCGCGTCAAGGACAAGGACTATTTCCCCATCATTGTTGTCGGCAACAAGTGCGATTTGGACCGGGAGCGTGTTGTCTCGGAGCAAGGTACTTGGCTTCATCCATTCACATCTCCCTGAGGCCCGTGTTTCCAAAACACGGGATATCTCCTCTCAAAGCGATCAAAACTAACCGAATCTCCTTTTCCTTGCATACAGAGGGTGAAGCCCTGGCCCGACAGTTCGGTTGCAAGTTCATCGAGACCTCCGCCAAGTCCCGCATCCACGTCGAAGACGCTTTCTACGACCTCGTCCGCGAGATCCGCCGCTACAACAAGGAAATGTCGTCCTACCCCTCCGGCTCCGGAGCCTTCGGCGCTCGCGCCCCGGACAACAAGATGGACGTGAGCGAGCCCGGTGAGAGCGCTGGTTGCTGCTCCAAGTGTGTCATCATGTAAACGGGCCGATTCTCCCCAAAAGCCCACGCGTGATGACCTCTGTTCCACATGCTCAAAAAGAAGAAAAAAAAGAAATTTTAATATACACACACCACACGCACCAAATTCCAACTACAGCATCTTTTTCCCCCTCGCAATACGATATGGAGGGCGTACAAGGGTTCGGGAGGGCAGCACAGCACACGTCGGAAAATGAGTTCATATGAACGGGTAATGGGAATTGTTGGAGGTATTTTCTGGTGCAGGAGTCGGGGGGGAGCTGGAGTTGATTATTCTCAGCTCGCTTTTTGACGCTTTACCTCTACTTATGGAAGAAGGTCGGACTGGACGGAAGGAAAAGGGACAGGGAAGATTCTCCCCTTGGAAAAGCAGGGGCAAAAACCAGAGTGGGCTATTGATTTGTGCTGCGGCTTTGCTATTTGTGCCTGGGCATCTTTTGTTTTCTATGTTGGCCCCCTCGACACTCGATTGACTTGGAGCTGAGCTTTCGAGGGCCATTACTTATCGCCATCGCACGAGGACTTGCCGAACCCCCTCCCCTTGACGCCAACCTCGTCTCATGAACATATTGATTCCCCTTTTGTTTTCTTTTCTATCCCTCCGATTGCGTGTTTCAACCTCTTGCTTTGTTTTTGTTCATCATCTTTTGTTTTTTTCTCATCCTGTCTCGCGGAAGAATTGTTTTCCTGGTCTACCATGTTTTTTAAACTCTTGTCCATCATCTTGTTTTGGTCTCGGAGTGCGGGACGACATGATTGTCAATATATATTCCTCAACTGATGGGGTTTTCTATTTTAAATCTCTCTGAAATCTCTCCAAGCATGTATTATTCCTTGATTGCCGTCTGATTGTGGCGTGTATCGACCTAACGTACAGGTATACTTTGATATCGGTGTCTCGAAGGTAAGATCCACACGAAGGAATTGATAGCACCGGCAGTTTAAGGCTCGGCCACGCTGGACTTGAGCTCCAAAGGTCAAGCCAAGAGGCAAGTGTATAGAGTTACAAGATATATTGCTCTACAGGTGGCGGTTGAGATAAGATACCACACAGACTCACATGGCTATGATACAAATCACACAGGCCACCCAAGGTCTAGTTCAACGGAAAAGCGTACAGCCTACTGGCTATAGACATGCTCCGTATCCGAAGGAGGATCCAACTCATCCTCCTTGACAACCAACTTCCCTTCCACCCCAGCCTCAACCTCCGCAACCAACGACTCCAAAAACGCCCTATCACCACCCACCAGCGTAACCGTATTCCTCTTCTTCCCCCAGCGCGGATAACTGCCCACCTTAACCCCCCTCGGCTCCACCTTGGCCGCCAACTCCGTCAAAAACGGCGCAACCGCACTCTCCGGCAACGGCGTGCTGAACAAGAACCGGAACGTGCCTTTGCCCTCGGGATCCGCCAACCGCGGCACAAGAAGCGGCTTCAGGTTCAGCAGGAGTCGCTCGAAGAGCCGCGGTACGCCGGGGAGAATGTGCACGTTGCCGTTTACCACGGCGATGGGCACCCACATGTCATCTGCGACGAAGAGGGCTTGCGACTCGGCGGGGAGGGCGGGGTCGAAGGGGAGCTCGACCATGCGCAGTTTGGCGGTTAGGCCTGGGGAGGGGTGCTCCAGTCGAAGTTTGGTTGCATGGGGTGGGGTTTGGAGAGGCGCTTCATGCGTTCGAAGGCCGGTTCGTGGAGTTGCAGTTTCAGGTTGAACGCTTTCGCGATCGATTGGTAGGTTATGTCGTCGTGGCTGTTGTGAGAGGACAGGTGTTAGCGGTTGCATTGGAGGTATGCGTATAGCTATACCTGGGTTTTTACGATATAGCCCTAAGGTAGGTATAGCCCAAAGGACCGGGTTGAAGCTCATTCCGCGGCAAGCATCAACCTGTGCAAGGGAAGTACTAACGTGGGACCAATGCCTCCGCTAGTCACGACAAAGTCGTAGCGAGCGCTCATACGGCGCACTGCCTCGATGATATCCTCCTCATCGTCGGGGATGACCTCCACGCGCTTCAGCTGGATGCCGAGACCGAAGCAGAACTTTGCCAGGAATGGGGAATTGGTGTCGATGGTCTGAGAATCCGGGATTGAACATCGTTAGCACCATTATCATAGCTTCTGAACCAGTAGACTGGCGAGGGGTATACTAACCTTTCCACCGAGCACCTCATCCCCAATAATCAGGCATGCCGCCGTGTGAATGGGCTTGGAGTTCGCGACTGATGTCATCGCGGACGGAGCCGAGCACCGGGTCAGGGACGAGGTTTGAAGAGTTGGGGTAGCTGGGCGGATTGAAGCAAAGGGACGGGCAAAGTGGCGGGATAGGAGGCTGAGTCGGTTGAGCATGAAGAAGCTGGTCCGGAGGGGGGGAGGGAAGGAGGGTTAATAAGAGGAAAAGCAGCTTTGTCTGGAGATCAAACGGGGGGATCGATCGATCACGAAAGTCTGAAAGTGGGGGAGGAGGGGGAAAGACTACTCCGCCCGCATTCTTTCCAGCACATCGTCTTTCCCGCGTTTCTTCGTGCGACCAACTCCGTTTGAACAGTGGGCGCCCGGTGATATCTTGATCGTCAGGAAACCAAAAAAGCAGGTGTTGTCTTTCAAACAGTCTTCTGCGAATCCCCGCTGTGCGCTGTAACCGCACAGTTCTTCCGTCATGGTGAGATAGCAGACCCCAGCTCCCACGTGGACCACAGATCGGGTCCTACCAGATGTGTTTCATCTTGAGGTCTGGATTCGGGATAGCTGACAGTCATCCCATCGCAGCCCGGTCTATACTCGTTCTCCCCGGAGACAAAGGAGAAGCTGCGCAAGTTCCGCTTGAGCTCGTCGCGAGCCAAGGATCCCCAGGCTCAGATCTGTACGGTCCCTGATTCGGTTCCCTGAATGCTTCCCTTTGAGTTCCTGGCGACATGATATAACTCATCTGCTTTGATGTTTATGCATACCGCAAGGCCATCTCCCTCGGTGCTCAGGTAGTTGATCTCAAAGCGTATTCTAACGCCCATTCTTGCCAGATGAGATCGATAAGAACACTGGAGAGATCCGTCCCAAGAATGACGAGACATACACGAACATGATGGACCTGGCCGATGACCTGCCCGAGACCACGCCGCAGTTCATCGTTCTCAGCCATCCACTGACCTTGGTGAGTCGTCATCGTTGATCGCGCAGGACTTCAGTACACGGTGCTGATGCAGGTGTTCCCTTTTCTAGAAGGACGGCCGCCTCTCTGTCCCCTATGTCCTCCTATACTACAAGCCCGAGAACTGCAAGACCGATACCATGTACCAGTACGCCAATGCGGTAGAGTTGATGCGCACCACGGCGGGAGTCAACCGGCTCATTCCCGTCGAGAGTGAAGATGATGTCATCTCGATCGCGGCCAAGCTGGTCGGCGATGAGTAAACTCCATAACGGATATAAATGATTGCTGAGCTTGGACGAAGCTCCCGTCTCATTGGACAGTATCTATCAGGAGTGTATTGAGGACAGTAGGAGTCTTACATAGAGACGGGCGTTTGGCAGATTACGCGAGGATCACTTGGACATTCAGGACGACATGGAGGGAATGAAGGACCACTTGACAAATTAGGCGCAGATGCAAGCTGAACGACCGGCAATTTGAAATTCCAACATAAGCCAGGCGGTCCCACGAAGCCTAGTCTGCTTACGGGCAAAGACGGGTCCCCCTCTCGATCGATGCGATCTATCACAAAAGATGGTTTGCAACGGCGCCGCCTGCAGCGTTCTCGCTCGGCTCAGGTGTTCGCAAGGGGACTTGACAGCTCGAATGTTGAGTTCTATTTCCTTTTCCCGAGCGATATTTGCATGACTCCTACCTAATTCGATCAAGCCTGTTGTCTATAATGATCGACGTCGCGCAATTGCCGTGACAGCTGCTCTTCTATTACCTCTTTAGGAGCTTTTCAAGCATACATTCACTAGTTCCTAATCTGCCCCGAACCTGCCATGGCTGGCTCAGGTAGTCTATAATCCATATTTCCCAGCTGAACCCGACCCTGTGGGTAATAGATCTTGGTGGCTTCTTGCGAACTATAGGCTGATGCAGATCTCGGGGACCTCCCGGTCATCCACTCCATCGGGACGTAGAAGTTTCTCGGTTCGCCCATCACCAGCCACCATTCTCTCGTGATGTACTCCATACATGTAGATCTTTTCCGATGCACTTGTCAGATTTTCGCACAAGTCATAAGAAATCGATTTGGTGGTGTACAGTAGATCACGCTGCGATCGCCGTTGAAACCAGTTCACGTCCTCATCTTCCAAGCTTAGACTCGGGCTTCTCGTCCTTACTCCAAAGATCGAAGACACTGAACCTTCACCCCCACAGCAAGTCCATACAACACAGCAATAAATTGGTCTGGAGGTTGTCTGGAGGAAGTTGCAGCATGGATTTCAAATCGCACCACCACAGGCTTCCTGGAGTGCTGATAGGATATCTATAGAACCTGGTTTTTACATGACAGAGAGACGTCGCATCTAAAAAACTGATCAAGAAACGAACAGAAAACCCGGACCTAGAGGCGATGGATTTCGAATGGTAACGTGGGATACTGATTATCGAATATAATACGCCTGGCTGGCTGGCTGGCTGGCTGTGTGGCGACTGAGTCTATACTCTGGACGTTCGTACTCCGTTCTGTAGTACAACAAACAGTTAGTCTTGGCCGATGGTCGCTTGACATCCAATTTCCGATGTCTCAGTTGCCGTTGATGCTACGCAGAAGGCAACATAAGGGAGTGTCTGGTGGCAGCACTTGCATTTTCTCGAAAGTAATTGGAATGGATGGAATTTACAGATGGAACATGGGTGGAATGGTATGATTCTCGGCATGATTCACCATGCGTGTGAGAAGTACGTCGATTATCTTTAAGTGAAGCCAAAGATATTGTTCGACAAATTTCTTGCAGTAAGAAACGATGGTATCTCTTCTCGGGTTTCCATTCTATCTCATGATGTACTGTCTACGTTGTATTCTTCCAGACTCTGGGTCATTTTCTGGCGACTCCGAACCTTTGTCGTAGTACTCCTGCACTGACGAGGTCTGGCAATATTCGTACCACCTCCTCGTACAATCAGACACCAGATGCAGCGATGAACTCACACGATCAACCTGCACGAAGCGACCATCCTACGATTCAATAGCGCCGATCGAGAATCGCCATGTACAGAGTAGTTAACCGGAGCCACGACATTAGTCATAACAAAGCCAATGTCACATCAGCTGAAGAAAATCACCGAGTCATCAAATGGCCATTCAGCAATCATTCTGCTACGCACAAGATCCTCAACATCTCCTCTGTCATCGTATCGCGTACTCCATCCTTGTACAATCAGTGGCTCCACCAGGATCAGGCCAGCAAAACTCACTTCCACCAAGCTGGACCGACTGGGCAATCAACGCCCAGCACGAGGGCCCACCCAGTGGAGGAGCATCGCATCCTGCCCTCGCCCCGCTCGGATCGCGGCGATCGATGTCAAGACCCATCCGACGCTTTGTTTTTCCTCCTTTCTCATGTTGATTCCAGGAATTTGAGACGAAATTGGACGGTCGGATCCCGGTGATCTGGACCAGGCACTGACCACCTTTTTTTTTTTTTTGGGTCCGGCTTTGCTGGAACGAACCATCCTGCCGTTACGTTCCTGCTAGATTTGGGGTTACAAGGGATTGGGTTGCGTTGGAGGTGACGGGTTGGGCGGTGAATTGCAATTCGCGCATGGTGATTGTGGTTACAGTACAGGGTATTCCGTACTCTATGTTCAACACCGCATCAAATCCTTGCTAGCCTCAAAGTCATTGTCGCTAATCAACTCGCCACACGCCTGCCATGGCCATTGTTATCTTGCTTGGTTCGAGGTGCGAGACGGTTGAGCTACCACGAGTCCCCACTCCCCTCGCAAGGGTAATGACAGGGGTACTTCGCAAGCGAGGCCAGAAGAAACATCACCCGTGCTCTCATCGAATCGCTACACTTTCCGCAGTATAAATCCACATAGTCACTCCCAGAGCCCGAATCATGAATAGCCCTCACACAATACATAGTGACACGGCTGGACAACAACTACTACGTACGTTACCTCCAGTCCCGCCAGCAACGATCATCTTCACCCGCCACAGGCGTTCCTGTTCCTGGCTCTGCAGTAGTTCCCCCTTAGCACTACCACCGGCAAACTCAGATCCTACCGATCGATCCGCTTGCCAAATGGCAACCTGTTCAGGTCCAGGGATCATGCTCTGCATGGGACTTGGCCTTCACCACTAGCCCGGACTTGGTTTGGCTAGAGGATACCCCGGTTATACTAGAAGCCTTGGGAGGAGAATGATAATGATACAGCAGCGAATGGAGTCACTGTTGTAAGGAATATGGACAAGCTGGGGGGATGAACGTCTTAATTTCGCCTCTGATTCCGGACCGTGTCATGCATGATACATAGACGGTGGGCTTGATGTTGATTCGAGCTGGTTGTGTGATTGTACTGTGGTAGTAAATGGGCCTTGTTGGCATTTCGGAGTTATACACTTGATGGCCCTCGTGGAGGCTATAGATAACTTGAGACAACACAAAGTCAAATGCAAAGTTCTTGGCCTTTCAGAACGGACTTAACCAAGAAGTGTCGGCACTAAAGCATCCTTGGCTAAGGGGTTTACGCTGAGGAAATCTAGACTAGGCTCCGACGTTGATAATAGGATTGTTCAGCCTGGAGAAATTCATATCTAAACGAGGCTCCAAAAGAGACGACCTTTAAATCAAAATAAGGGGGGTGACGATGCAGAAAAGGAAACTAAATACATAACTACCAAGCGATGGAGATCATCTTCGGCAAATCGCCAACAAACCCACCCGTCTCCTTTTCTCCTTCCCGAGCTTGATCGTCGCTATCGCCCCGTTTCATAGTTCATACAGCCCAAGGCCCGGCTAGATCCATTGTATGGGTAGTAACCGATTCTGGAAACGCAGCCGAGCAACCAGCGGGTACATCCGCGTGGTTCAGACCGCCGCTGAGGACGGCTCACTCCACCCCCATCCCGCCATCTGGCGATCTGACGAGGCCGAGCAGTACAGGATGTAGCACGTAAAAGCCTAGAAGGAAGTGCGATGATGAAGACGCTAAACAGGTAGACCAGCACAAGGAGTCAGTCCTCTGTAGTATGTACTCCGCACATAACTCTGCGCCTGTGCATGCTGCAAGTGTGCATCAGGACGCGCTGAAAAAAGGCCCCCGGGAACCAATGACAATGTCTGAGAACGTCTGACATCCAGTTGCTGGACCTCGCCCCCTTCCCACGCCCCCTCGAGTGCCCAAGTCAACGGGACAACTCTACAGAATTGGTCCCAGAGCTCTGGGAGACTTTCTAGCCCGGCAAGCCGCACAGCAGCCAGCCACAGAGATAGAGTTTTGCTGGGAAGGCTGTGATGGACTAACTAGGTAGGAGTCTCTTCAGGAGGTGTTCCGAATGGGTGGTCACTGGAGCTTATTGTATCGGACGGGCAGTCCATAGTTTGATACAATCGTCACATCATGCGAGGCCTCAATCGTCTGAATGATTAATTGAGAATAGCCCATTGTCCATTCTTAGCCCACACTAAAGGGCCCCGGCCTCGACGGACGGACCATGTGCTGCTCGGGGATGGTTCCAGGATGAGCAGGAGTGGAGAGTCAAATGGACTGGACATTCATCATTGGCGGCTGGAGGGTGACCCACCTGCCAAAGGGAGAGCGACCACTGATGCTGAAGTGATGCGGTCTCTTTGGGTTTCTGCTCGTACCGTACAGAGACAGTCCCAGGGGATTTCGTTTGTTACCTGGTGGTCGGTACTCTCCTGCAGAGTGGTGCGTACGGAGATCCCGCATACCCTAGGCATACAGTAAACACACATATTGGCCAATACATCGGTACAGTGGTCTACAGTTAGTTATACTGCTGATGTAGCTCGATGCCCTAGTTTCAAGTACGACTACTGTTAGCCGGTTATTGCAAAAGTGCAAGTACTAGTCATACGAACTTGTATCAAATGTCTTATTTTTGCCATACTTACGCAGTAGACGATCACCCGTCAGGACTGCCCCCTGTCAGGATTGTCAGGATTGTCAGGATTGTCCAGTTTCTGCTGCGTTTCTGATTTTCTCGATCGCACGGGCGCCTGACGGAGAATTCAAGCCAGTGCAGCGCTGTGGACGGCTACAGCCGCTCGCTTTGCGCTGGCCATCCAGCACATACCAGCCCACTGGATCCGGGGTGTCGGGTTTTGGGCCTAAAGTTTGTGAGCAGCAGCAGCAGCAGCAGGTATGATTGCAGTATGGTACAGACAGGAACTGGATGACATCTCTTTTGTACTGGAGTTGTGGGCATCTTTACAATTACTCCTGTATAAGGGAATATAGGATTGGTGCTCATCTTCGATACGACTCCAGGACATGATACTTCAAACTGCATCCTGGGCGGTACCATGATCTCGGTATCGAGTCCCCTACACTGCAAACTGCGGCCCATGTGGTTGGGTCCAAAGCTTTGCCTCCACTACCCGGTCCCCTGGGAATACATACCAATGTACCGAGTACAGCGTACAGTACACTAAATTGTAATTCTTACTTACTGTACGGAGTAGTTACCTCTGTACGGAGCAGTCTAAGTTACTGACAGAGATTATCAATCGTGCTCACTACGGACAATCATATTCTGCTACTTGCCCGTCCTCTGGATCCTCCTCGTATTGTAAATCTCCCCCTTCCCCTTCCCTCTCGGTCTCCAGGAGACTTCTGCTCTTCTAGTCTTCGTATATTACTCCTCGCACCTCCCTCCTCCCGTTTCTTTTATTCTATTTATTTCTTGCGATCCAAGATTCAATCCAGTGTCCACTTTCCCCTGCTTTTTCTTCCCCATCTCTGTCTCTCTCCATCACCGAACTTCGACACCTCAGGTCTTCTTCCCTGTCAAGACCCGACCCTCCACGCCGGGTCCAAATCCCAACTCCACGGCGCGGGTTCTTCTGGACAACTCAACTGAAATCCATTTCCCTTCCTCAAAAACCCCAATCTGAAACCAACAACAACAACCTTCCGACCCTTGTGAATTCCCCCAAACAACTCTCAAGTCCCAACGATTCTGAATGTTCTGGATGGAATGAGCTGATCGCCCAACCACCCCTCAATCGACATCGACATCGATCTGCGACGGGGCATTCGCCATTGCATTCCTGCGCCACTTGTGATTTGCATGTGCCAGACCCCCAAATTCCCCTCCCCGTCATGTCACCGCAAGACACTCCTGGCCGTTCGGGTGAGGACAAGCCGGAAGGCTTGTCCAAGTACCTCAAGCGCATGAAGACGGTTCTGCGTACGCGCTCCAGTTCCAAGCGCCAGTCCATGGTCGCCGTCCCTGAAGCCGCCGAGGGATCATCAAGTACACCAGCGTATGTTAAACTCTAATTCTCCACTCACATATAGAATCCTCTCAATACTCCCGAGGAAATATCAATAAGCTAATAACCTTTTTCTTTCCCATCGCAACAGTCCGCCAGCCACAACCGCGCCCGAACCCGAGACCAATACTCCCGGCGCCGAACCAGCCATGGTCACCGACTACAGTGCCATCCAACAAGAGAAAGCGCGCGCCCTCTTCGCCAAATACGGCCTCACCCTCGAACCAGGCGAATGGAAATCCCCAGCGGACCTCCAATTTGCCCGAGTAACCAAACCCATCCGCATGCGCGTCCATCGCACCTGTCACCGCTGCGAAACCACCTTCGGTCCAGAGAAAGTCTGCGTCAACTGCCAGCACCCACGATGCAAGAAATGCCCCCGTTTCCCACCAACCCACGAACAGGGCGACGATGGGCACCCCCGTGTTCCCCGCTCCCGAATCGCCGAGATTCGCGCCCGTCAACCGGGTACTCTGCCGATTACTCCGCATCTCAAGTTTACTGGCAATCCGGCGGCGCCGTTGACTATGCCCTCGCGCACGGGCGGCCAGGATCTCGTGCGCAAACAGGTTGTCCAGCGGGTGCGAAGATGGTGTCACTCGTGCGAGACGATGTACGCTCCTGGCTCCAAGGTGTGCGCATCTTGTAGCCATGTGCGATGCAAGCGATGCCCGCGCGACCCGCATAAACCAGACAAGTATCCGGATGGATACCCCGGGGACGCCGAGCCGCCGAAGATCAAGCCGGAGCGGACGTATAGGAGGGTCCGGCAGAGGGTGCATTACATTTGCCATGTGTGTACTACGGGGTATAACGAGGGGGCGAACGTGTGTGCAAAGTGTGGACAGGCCAAGGGCGCGGAGACTATACGGATTCCGTAAGTTTTACTTTGTTGAGTGTGACAATGTGTTCTCTGTACTGACTGTTATCTTGCAGACCGAAGAAGGTTAAACGAGAGCCCGATCCGGCTGTTGTTCGGAGCGTTGAAGAGAAGATGGCATCCATGAAGATATCGGAGTGATGCTTATCTTGATATCCCCTCGAATACCTTTCCAACTCATTTACATCGCTCTTATACTCCCTACTATCGCATTGGAAATGATACTATTCCGTTTCTCCAGACTCACTCCCATCATAGTAAATACATCATGTGGTGCTTTGATTTCGCTCCGTGAAGAATGACATACTGTCGTTTAATCGGCACTCTAGACCTGTCTTTACTAGTATGCTGTGCCCAAGGTATCACTTAGCGCATTTAGTCCATATGTACACAAACCGTATCACCCGTTTCAAGTTACACCACCACAGCTGCATCTACGTCCTCCCATCTGACAATCGCAAGCTCCTCCCTCAACTTCTCCAGCCCCATTTCGGCCGGATACCAACTCCCCGAGCCTCTACCCCGGCGCGTATTCCCAACAAGGCAGGAACCTCAAGCTCCACAACGGGGGGAACTTAGTTCCGGTACATCCACAAACAGCTCCCCGGTCTCCAGGTGGTCACTGCGTGATGATCAGATTTCCACATTGAGCCTTGGATAGATTACTTCTCCAGTTCCTGGAAATGAGGCTGGATAGTGATACTGATTAATTAGGCTTTGGGCTAATTCTGGTAAAACAAGTATACTGTTGTACCGTACGTTATCGTTGAAACTGAACGATGTTAATCATATGCTTGGTATCGGTCCCCACCTAACGGCGTTGATGCCTACTTGTACAATATGCTACAAAATACAACGTTGAGCGGTACGTGGCCTCATCACACGATAAACTGCCCACTGTCGGAGGCGAGTGCCATTGCGGGAATAGAACGGTCCGAGCCGTTTGAAATGTGGGCTGGTTGGACCCAGCAAGAGGAGAGAGAGATCCTCCGCTGGATGAAGGAGATTAGATTTCCATTGTTCCAAGGATCTGATGGCATTATTCAAAATAATCGCCACTCTATGATGACTTGAATCACGTCAGTAACTATATAAGCGTAATAATAATAGTTAACTAAGTTACCATATAGTCTACAGTACAGTCTGACTGTACCCTCGGTACAAACAAAACACTCTGTAATCCTGTACCATACAAACAGACCCGGGAGACTGGAGATCCTGTTTTTGCGTATTGAAGTGGGGCGCTCGCAACAATAGCATTGACACCGCATGTTCACATTGCTAATTGGGTCGGGAGGATTCCCAGCGGTTCGGGACCGGCGCTTTGGCCTCGTGAAGACTGTTGCCTGTTTTGGAATAGATCTGGTGGAGAGTATGCGGGCTGGTGGTGGTGGCTTGACACGGTTCTAACGAAGTTCTGCGGGCGGGGCCGTCGGCGGAGATGGATTCCGATTCGTCGTGGTGTTTTAGAGATGGTTGATTGATGGGAGGATCAAAAAGTCGATGCTATTTATCTATAAATCAATTATTTGGTAGGGCAACGATCAGGAGCCAGAAGTCGTGTGATAGATAGCCTGTCAGACTCCGCTCGAGTCTGTAGAAGGCACGGAACGACATGATGTCTGTCGTAGCTGGTACTGTAGCGGGGCAAGACATGAATTGCCAACCATTTATCTGCACAAGAGAATCACATTTCCTCTGCTTCTCATCCCCGTTAGTTGCCTGGTACTAGGACTTCGTTTATGTCTATGCTACATCACTACTGCATCCTAGGCCATGGTATGCATCAGTAGCTTCTCCTTTGAAAAACTACTTAGAAAAACCCCAGCAAGTCAACATCAAGGATATCCCTCCGCCACGACGTGAACCCCTGCAGGCCAACGGATCCTAGGGCGCGGGTCACTGGAGTCGTGGAATCCTTTGACGGGACGGGCCCCGATGAGATCCACATCGAACATAAGTACAATTTCCAACAAGCTACAGTATCTCATCGTGGAATGCGTGTCGGCACTCTGTATGCTTCAGTCAGTTTGCCTTGGCTCTTCACTCTATCGTGTGCCAACTGTCATCCTTGCTCTGTTCCAGTAAAGCCACATTAGATTGACCCTGGATACCTTGCAAGGGTCATTGAAGCGCAAGGGGGGACTGGTCCCGCCCCGGGCGTTGGGAATTTTCTTGATATCCGGTTGGTCCGTCCGGATTACAATAGTTGCTGGGATATCTTAAAGTACAATGTATTTTTCTTTTCTTGGATGGGAGGGTCCCGGCCGAGGATAGATATGAATAATGGGTCCCAACGGTCGACTAACCTAATCAAGGAGACTAGACATGGGTCTATTCCAACTTATTTCGCTCCACTTGTCACGGCAGGATTTTGTAGACTGGGAACATGAATGCGTATACAGTATACAGTACTCCGTATGTTGGTCACTCCTGCGGTGCTGGTCCATTTCGGTGGTCGCTCGTGCATGTCCTGGTTTGCGATGGACTCGGAACTTTGTCGACGCGACTTCCAGGCAGTCGGACCACACCTTGAAGCTACCCGCCTGCATCACTGCGACGCACCCTCGAATAGGATTTATTTGCGAGCGAAGAATCTCCGATTGGCATGTCAGATGCCCCGTCAACATTCAAGTATTTCAACCACTTAAGATACAGCCACCCGTGACGCCACCATACACGTCGCCTGCTCCTCCCGAAGCTTGGCACGTCAACCCACAATGTTGGAATCCACTAGGATTGTTCCCTCGGAGGTCAGCTACTGTAGGTACGACCGTCGTCGTGTATTGAATCACAGGACAGTATCCATATGCCCTATCGAGATGCGCTGGGGCACGGACTATCTGAACCAAACAGCCGGATCAGGAAATTGGATCTATCAAGCCAGCCGGAGGAGCTTTAACTGTCAGTTCGCAGAGGCGACTGCCTATCATTTCTTTTAAGGTTTAGCACTTTAGTGCAACCTGTAGGGGGGCAGTAGTGAGAAGACCCTCTTGCCTTGGTAGGTAAAGTGAAGGGGATAAAGTTGTGGGTCTGACAGGAGCTGAGACCGGCGATCAACCAGATTCACGAAACACAGTGGATCTTTTGGAGGATAGAGAATCCCTTCGCGGCATGTAATATCTACTACTGTATTTTCAATTCGAGACATTCACATTCGGAACAGAGCAGAGTTCCGAGGCTAGGAGCGTCGATGAAAATAACTCATGGCCTCTGCATGTGTCATATTCGCCTTGGAAGTCAAGTCGACAGGGGTCTTTTGTCGACCTGGGCCTCCACTGTTGATATCGCTTGTTCAAGCGTGATAATATGACAACGTACTAGGTATAGTATTTCCTACCATTCATGTCTTGTGTGTGTATTGGATAAAGAGGTAAGAAAGGTCGGTTCTAGGCCTTTGAGAGAGTCAATGAGCCAAGACACTACCATTGAACATCCTTGGATATGTTGCGGATCACTTGATATCAAGAACTGTTTCATCCGCGATCTCCATATCTCACATCTTCTCTAAAGGACATGCCATTCCGTATTATGCCGTCTTCAGTCTTTGTGTACGTGTGACCGTATAGCTGCTTGGATGTCCTCAGTATAGATACATTCACTTCGATCGGCATCTATTGCAAACGAACAAAGTCTTTATTACAACCCATGGGACTCATAGGTAGTTGAAATAAATACTAATCACAAATTATGTACCTTTTCCCATTTTCAAACCTTGATCCTGCGACTCATCTGCTCCGTCCCAGCAGATTTCTCATAGTCAATATCCTTGACAAGATCCACACGACGACCCAATGCCCGACGAATAATCCAGTCCTTGCTATTGATCTCTTCCTCAACCTGGTCCTTCTCAATAGGAGGAATGAGCTCCGACCCTTCCAGTCTTCGAAGCATCACATCATCCTCAGGCCGTGCAAAATACACCAAACTGTACCGTGTTGAATCCCCCTGAATACCCGGTGGTGCAGCAACCCGATGAATATTGGACCGGAACAGGCCATTGGTAAATTTCACCATTGCGTCGCCGAGATTGACAATTGCATGACCGGGCAGTGGTCGAACATATACCCATTCTGCATCAGCGCCGGGAGGTAGGACTTGCAACCCGCCCAGACGGTTGAAGAGGACTGTCACGCTGCCGTAATCGGTGTGTTGGCCCAGTGCGGTCCGTCGGTCATCGACCGGTTGTGGCGGTGCCTTGATGAAGCGCACTTGGTCACCACTCACTGCTTGGAGTCGGTGGAGGTTGGATAGCGTGCCTTCTGGCAGGGAAAGCTTGTCGTTGAGGATCTTTAGAATCAGGATAACGATTGCGTGGGAGCCTTGCATAAAGGATTTTGTTAGATCACGGCTTTGATGCAGGACTTCTGGTGCTGGAAGTTGATCGCTGATGCCTATAATATCGTCTTTTGAGATCTAAGGAGATGTTCTTGGTTATTCTTGACCTTAACTTGTCAGTCTTAGCGTATAATGGGCACTCACATTGTAGAATTCATTTCTGTCCAGATTTCCGTGTTTATCAACTACTGCAACCCCCTGACCCTTATACCCGAAGTATGAGTTTTGCGCACTAAAATCATAGTTCTTCTTCTCGTCAAGGCTCAATTCGAAGAGCTCTTCGCCAACTTTGAATAGGCCATCTGCATCCTTAAGGAGAGATGTCCCATGTTCGCAGTCCTGAAGATCCAGGTAGAAGAACCCAATATCAACTGATGCTTCAAAAAGCCGTTCGAGCTCGGCTTTATCCCCGGCCATTAGTTGGCCCAAGGATAGCCGAAGAAGTGGTGCGGTGGGGACATCGTCTGGGAATGGCGGGAGTCCGGGGAAATTATTGACGATATCGTTGAAGTTCGCTTGGGAAGCCATTTCTAGATGTCTGAAAGACGGATATCTCAAAGAATAGGTAAAGAGGGTATGTTTTTCGGGCAAAGATTACAGGTAGAAGTGAAAGTCTGCGTCGAGGTCTCGGTTACATATCCGTGAAGAACATCATGCGGGGAAGCAGTTGTCAGCCGAGGAACAGCCCGAGAGACCAAATCTGAAGGTCGATGGTCGGAGGCAATTGAACGTCCGAGCTAGATATGGTATTTGAAAATTGGAGAAGCTGTTCAGGTCAATCTACTATGAAGTTACTTGTCCATAAGCCCTGGCCTATGTGTTTCTGCATAGCTCCCTTCACGTATGATGTCACCAGAAATAGTACCTCGCAGGGCTGCAGGTCAATATATTGATAGATACAAAGCTGTAAACGCTCTCACTCATGTTCTCACTTTTCAGATCTCTTATCATGCCGATTGAGTCACCTGTAAGGCGCAGGGCGCAGACTCCTAGTGGAGACTAACCCCGCTCAAGGTTGGAAGGCACATTGTCAGATTCTCAGCAAGTGCTTCAAACTACTTCGTTGCTTTGATACAGGGTTTAAAATGGGGGCTGAGAAGATCTTATGTATAGCAGATCTGGAAGAAGCAGCTTCAAAGATCCTCCCAACGTCGACTCGAGGTAAACGAATACTTCTCACTAATGAACCAGGCCAGGAGCCAGTGAGGGGTAACAAGATCTACAGATTTCTTCAACTCAGGCGCAACTAATCAAGTCACTGTTCGCGAGAATTCCTCAGCATACAAAAAGTATCGCATCTTGCCTCGTGTCCTCAAGGATGTCTCCAAGGTCAGCACCAAGGTCAATCTGTTCAACCGAGACATCACATTTCCTCTATGCGTATCTCCTGCTGGACTCCAATGCATGGCCCACCCGGATGGAGAGTTAGCAACCAGCAGAGCATGTGCTAGTATGGGCGTCAACATGGGTATATCCTCTTACGCTAACCACTCAGTGGAACAAATCACTTCGGTTGGGGCGGAGATCGGACCAATCCATCATGTCATGCAGCTATACTCCATGATCGACCGTGAGAAAGAAGCACGCATCATTCGACGAGCAGAAGCCTCCGGCTGCAAAGCGATATTCCTCACTGCAGATAGCCCTGTTTTGGGAGTCCGGTATAACGAGTGGAGGAATGGCTTTCAACCTCCGCCGGGCTTGGGGTACCCCATGATTGAAAAGACGTCTGAACAGATTCAACAAGAATCGCATGATGATGGCTTCAGCTCGTTCAACTCGGACTCGCACTCTTGGGCAAGAGAGATCCCCTGGCTTCGAAGCATCACGAAGATGGAGATTTGGATCAAAGGTGTCTTGACGCCTGAAGACGTTGAGACGGCGATTGAATACGGCTGCGATGGTGTGATTATCAGCAACCATGGGGGACGACAACTTGATGAGACACCAGCGACTATTGATGCTCTTCCTGCGTGTGCAAAGGCCGCTCGGGGTCGGATTAGAATTCATATCGACGGAGGTATCAGGTCTGGTACTGATATCTTCAAAGCGCTGGCGCTGGGAGCGGAGTGCTGCTGGGTCGGGCGACCTATGCTTTGGGGGTTGGCAGTAGGTATTCTGATTTTCACTGCTCGGGTACACGCTGACATTTCCTTCCAAGTATAACGGTCAGGAAGGTGTCGAGAAGATGCTTGAGATCCTTTATAACGAATTCAAACGATGCATGCAGTTGGCAGGATGCACGTCTGTATCTGAGATCAGCTCGCCAAGTCTTGGAATTGTTCGATCAGACGGGCCACTTGCACGACTTTGAGTTTAATTAGATCTTGCTTATAGAGAATTCTGTCCTTTAGTCATTCATATTTTGCGAAAACACGTCAAATATTAGAGAAGTCATGTTCATCTGTATACTCCGTAGCTAGCTCTAGCTTGGCGGGCCTATCTCTTATCAGCGCGGGTGACATCAATTTTTCTCAACTCCAACCCTCCGATCTCCATCTTCAACCACCTTAAGAGCTATCACACCCAACAACACTCTACTTTCCTTATAGCCTACGGGCTCAGAACCCACCAAAATGACTTCCTCACCCGCCCCAACAAATCACATCGCCCACACCCTCCTCGCCCGCGCACATTCCCCCGATACAGCCACCCAACAATTCACCGAGCGCATCAAACAGAAACCACTCTTCCTCCGCCCAACATCCCCCTCCGCAGCCGACAACCGCTCCCGCCGACGCCATCAACGCCTCCGCAAGAAAGAGTACTTCCTCAAACACCAGCGCCCGCAGCCCCTGTCCGCGCGCAAGAAGCGCTCCTCGGGCCTGTACGATCTACCCAAGGAGGAATGCAAACACGCCATTTTCAAGGGGCTGCATGCGCTCTGGGTTGGCTATATGCAGGAGATACTGGACCTTAAGGTCGGCGGGCGGAGTGGTCTGGTTACTCCTGCGTCGCATGGGGCGAAGCTGGTTAGCGCGGATTATCATGGTGCGGAGGTGGAGGTTGTGAGGAGTCAGTGTGCGAGTCGGGTGGGTGTTAAGGGGATTGTGGTGCGGGATACGAAGTTTACGTTTGTGGTTGTTACGGAGAAAGATGAAGTGAAGAGTGAGTTATACGGATGTCTAGATGATGACTCAATTCAGAATGTCGAAGCTGACATTGTGATTTCAGCGATACCGAAGGAACATACTGTCTTCCGATTTACAGTACCTCTACCAAGTCTTGCAGAAGCTGAAGCCGAGGGCAAAGTAGATCCCCAAGAAAAATCTACTGCGGAAAACCCCAAACCACTGGTTTTTGAGCTACATGGAAGCCAGTTCGAGAACCGACCCGTTGATCGAGCGAATAAGAAGTTCAAGTGGAGGAATATCGACTATGTATAGGCTGGCCCATACTAAATCAACGATGTTGAATGATTCATATTTGGCATATCATCAATGAGACAACTGCTCGATGGAGGACTTTGTAGCTTCACTGCCCTGAGATTGATCATAAATCTCATTGCATCTTACAATAAGGCCTAAATAAGTAAGACAAATGATACGTTGGAAATAGTAGACTGTAGATGATCGACGATCGATGGTAGATATTGATATTATGTGATATGTAAACCTAGACCTTTAGGTGTTGGTATGTCCAGTTTCAAAGATCTACAGCATGGCATTTTTCAGCCACGGCATCTGGTACGTGGACCAGTGGACGGATTGCCCCCAGACAAATAGGATGATGCCTATGCTGGTACGAGGACATGCATGTCGGCGCTGCATGAAGCAGTATCAGTCCGTAATTTCAGGAACGCAGAGCGGAGAATCCTTCAGGAATCAGGCATTGACGGTTCGACAGGCTCCAGACGAAGAGTTGCCAGACATGACGTGAGGTGAGACGGCGATAAGTGCGTCGACCGTAAAACATCGCAGTCGTTGAACGATATGCCCCGATTGAGCATCTTGTGCATAGTGGTGGATTGGTTGTACCCCGGTTGATTGGAATCAAATAAACGACCAGACCTAGTAGGGGATGATGGGCGTTTTCTCGATATCGCTCACATGCCAGCCCATTCAATGCTGAATGTACGAACGGTATCAACCCGATCCGCCTCAGACTCGACCTCATCTCGCCTCTTCTGGGGTCCACCCAAGAGGAAACCTTTCTTGACACCAGTGCCCAGTCGGCCACCATTGACGATATCCATCAAATCCATTTCTTGATCCCACTCTGCGGAAACGACCACGAAATGGGAATGGAATCGAAGAGGGTCTCCTGGGTAGGCCACATATTGACATCCAAAGCGTAGACCAGGGGAAAGGAAATAGCCGCGGGAGTGTAGATGGGCGAAGAGCGGATAGGACAATGGCACTTCTGGTTTCGGGAGGTATTGACTGGACGCGGAAACGGGATGAGGTAGCGGCGGGTAGGAAGTAGTCGGCGTGATACCCAAGGCCTGCTGAGGCGCCGGTGTGCTGATGCCAGTTGTGCGAGATAGAGACGAGGTCCCATCCTCTCCAGCGAAGATCGAGTTCGGTTCCTCCTTTTCAGTCGGAGCAGGGCTTGATTCAGGGGCGACTTGAGCATCGGCGGCGGCCTTCGCAGCCTTTGCCGCTTTAGCGGCCAGACCCTTAGCCTTTTTCTCGTCTATCTCCTTCAAGGATTGTTCTCGTTGCTGATCCTTGCGATCTGCCAGGATACGCATGGCAAGCTGGCCTTGGGATTCTAGGTCGCGGAGATACTGTCGGCGATCCTCTTCTAGGAGCGATCGCATGCCATCATGCGCTTTGGCTTCGTCTACAATGCAAGCTACATCCTTGTCCACCAAAACCCGCGCCTCCTCGGGCATCAATTCCAGCGGCAGACCCAGGAACACATTTTGTTGTGGGATTTGAGGGAGGGTCCCGATCAGCACGCCACAGATGTTGTGCTCGCGTCGCAAGTAGGTGACGGCGTCAACGGAGAACAGCAGGTATCTACCAGATACATAAGAGATCGGGATGGGAAGAGTAGGTGTGGACTCCATCGTCAAGGATTCATTCGATTCATGTGCAGCTGCAGAGAGGGCTTGATGTTAGCCATGGCTCAAGAACAGTGTCAAACTGATCAAAATGCAAAAAATGAAAATTTTCAAGGCAAGTCATTTTCGATACGTTTCTCAGTCACAGGTGCTCTTTTTTATTAAAGGAGCTTCAGGGGATTGACAGATTTGTAGATATATAATCATGCAAGGCGGGAGTGAAAGTGGAAAATCGCAAGAAAGACTTACCATTAACAAGAGCGAGCCCGTGGTTTGACCAGCAAAGCCAGAGACTCGGAAAGTGGGAAGAAGTCAAAAGAGTCCGGAAAGAAACGCGAAGCGAATTTTATGGAGAGCTCGGCCCGCGCTTATCCCTTTTGGGAAGATGGTCTTGGCGTTGCTACAGAATGCGGAAGACGCGGGCCTCAGCGCAGGACACGCTGCTCTAAGTCGCAAATCATCAACATGAACTTCCTGCTCCTGCTGTTTTTGGTCTTCTTCGCGCCATTGCTGCTTTTTGCTGGTGAGCCTCTTCGCCCTTATAATCCTCACAACTGTGGGGACTGTGCTTTGAAGGTGACTTTGGTCGCTGACATATCTACCAGTATGGCTCGCGGCTTCTTCATGTCTAGGAAATCGTCTTCGCACTCGAGGCGGTGGGTTTTCGGTGCGACCGAACCTTGATACATATGGGCAGAGCTATCTTCGAACCATGGCCAACTCCGGAGCAGCCATGTCAGAGCAGATCGAACTCGACGATATGCTAGCAGAACCGGGAACTCGCCGTCACTTTGATGAGGATGAGGATTGAACCCGGATTTCACAAAGGAGTATTCCCTTAGAACTCGAGGTCCGACTTCTTCGGCATGCCGCCAGTTGCCGACGCATCTTGTGCTTCCGTGTCGCCTTCAGCTGGCGGCAAACTGAACGGCTTAATCTCGAACCGCCGACGGCTGAGGATAAATGCCCAGTCTTGTCCCACATTCTGATCGCTCCCGCCACCACGCTCATGTAATACCGGAAGTCTATGCGTCTTCAGCATGCCTTGTGGTGGTTCCTCCACAGATGTCGCAGCGCCCGAGGTTGCTACCGCGTCAGCCGAATGAGGGAAGGGACAAAGCTCGATCACGCCGTCACTCAACAGTTCGATCCAGCGGACCAGACCCGATGAGCGTGGGAACAAGGACAGAGGGAGTGTGATCATGGCCGTCACTCGAGTGGTGTATGCGCTCATCATTGCCTTCAATGAGTGAAAGAACTGCAACACATGCTCGGGCTGGCAGGCGTTTGGCGGATACATGGTCGGGTTGAGCAAGGACGGGATGACGATGCGGTGGATGGTATTTGAAGGGCTTGAGCCAATCGTGGTTTGGAGCTGTTTCAGAATCGCGGCGAATGGAGATTCTCTCGAAGGCACGAGTGGGATAAAGGACATGTTGGTGATGGCGGGGTGGGTAAGACGCTTTGTAAGGTCAAAGGCGTGACAAAAGGCTGGCTTTGCGATTGCATCTTTCTCGCCAGCCGGCGCAGGGGCAGGCGCTGTAGTTGATGAGCATCTAGAAGCTATATTCATATCCAGAGTCAAGGTACTTACCATCTCGTGAGCCTGCGACGCCAGCACCAAATTCACCTAGCCGCTCGTATCGCCACGCAATCTTCATCTTTTCATCCTTGCGCTTGTCCCTCTTCTCTTCTAAAGATTCTGCTGTTCCGATCAAACCTGGAAGACTGCGTCCCCACTGTTCAGGGACTCCGACGACATGAATCTTTTGCTCTTGAACCACGCCCTCCGCCGCATAGTATCGGAGCAATGCACCCGCAAAATCCGTAGTGCCATTTTCCTCAATCAACAGTATTTTCCCCATAGGAAGTCCTGCATGGCCAGCGAGCAGGTTGTCCAGCGACGGCGATCCTGTAGAGGTAGTTGGTCGTCCATCATCGGGGGAGGGGCGTATGCCCGGACTTGATTCAGGCGGAGCTGGCTGAGTAGAGGCATTGGGGACAGCTGCACGGTCGACACCTGCAGACAGACCAATGTTTCGCTTGCGAAAGGACATGTTATCCAAGTGGGAAAGAGTGACGCGAGTATAAAATGTATAGAGTTGTGGAAGCTTCGCCGCAGTGGAAATCGTTATCGGCGGGGAACCAAAAACGGCAGAAAAAAAGAAAAGCTTCAAACTCCGCCGCAACTCGTCCGATTCCTACTCTCCTCCAACCACCCGCATCCCAACCCCAATTCGCCCGCCGCACACCCTTAAGTCGCCGGAATCTTGCAGTTCTTTCTATCGCGAAACGCATACTCTCCTTTTCAGTACTCAAAGAGCCACCGTGCTGCAGTAAAACGTCAAAATGTCCGACCCAGTCCTGTTCGAAGACACCTTCACGATCAACTCGATCAACGCTCAAAAATACGATCGCGTCTCGCGCCTCGAATGCGAAAACCGTGACAAGTCCATCACCTTCACCCTTGATGTGAACACCGAGCTCTACCCATGCGCCGTGGGTGAATCGGTGTCTATGGCTATTGCCTCGACTCTGTCTCTCGATGGCAAGGAGGACAACCGCACAAGCTGGCGCGAGGTCAGCAATGGCGAGCCAAGTCTCGCCGATGACTACGACTACGTCTGCCACGGCAAGGTTTACCGCTTTGCGGAGGGTCAAGAAAAGGATACAATGTGGGCTCTTTCCGAGACAGACACCTGATTCTAACAAGAAACGTATGCTGATGATTGCTGTTCAGGGCTGTCTTTGCTTCATTCGGTGGCCTCCTACTCTACCTGGTTGGTCCTTACAACAAGACCAACCCCCTGCGGATCGACCACGTTTACCTGCTCTTGAAGAAATAAGCGAGCGGTGGCCGCCATTTTGTTCCTCTTGCCTTGGTGAGAAGCTGTTGAATCTGGAGCTATTGTGTGCTCGAGATCAAAGGGAAAATTTCGAGATTTATTGGATTTGGGCAGAATTTCCTTCTGAATTATCTATCGGGTTGTGCAGCGCTGGCGTTTTTTGCATTCTGATTTGTGTGTACCATAGATGATCGTTAATAAAATTCGATCTTCACTTCAGGTAGTGTCACCCTCGGTCACATTTGGACATATAGAGGGTTATGTTATCAAGACTGTCTCTATCAGTCGTCAGTTTTCCTCCAGGATTTCCTCTATAGACCGATGGATGGTCCAAGCAGGGAATGAGCAGCAGTCTTGATCCACTTCTCCTCGGAGGGTATGGGATTGTACATATTATGCAAGCTGAAATTCTTGCTCTAAAGACTGTATGACTCAATGTTGCTTCCTTCGAAAGTATGAGATGAAAGAAGTCCAGGTCATAGTACTACCAAATCCATCATCACACCAAAGCCTATTGCCATGAGCAATCCCATTGAAGATGACTTGGTGGTGCCAACATTTGGTTTGGAGGTGCTCGAAGCTGCGGCTGTTTCTTGCAGTGCAGAGCTGGTTGAAGTAGCAATTATGCTGCTTGGCTGCGACGTAGTTGCCTCGGAGGATGTCGCAATTTGGGTTGTACTCGAACTCGAGGATGTCGAGGCAGGAGCGGCGATAACTGAAAGATCCAGGGCTTTGTATATACTGCTTTCTTGTGCGTCATCGATCGTAACCCTACAAGGGCTTGGTGCCGGGGTAGCAGATGCAGTGACTGGGCAAATGTTGGACCCGCCGACGACGGAGTAAGTCTCAACGGTGCTGTAACTGACGACGCCCAGGGGATCTGGACATGAACCCGCAAACTTGGGGCTTGGGGCACCATCCGCGATAGTAAACATGAAGGTTCCGTTGCTGATCGTCGTGAAGAAGGTTTCATCCACAAACATGCCGGCTTCCACACAAGTTCTGGCATTAGTCAAGGACCAACTCAGACTCCATTGTCCAACGTCCAACCCTGCTGTGTAATTTGTTTGAATATAGGGGTCTTGTAATGGCGGAGTGGTTTCTTCCACAACGAAGATATCTCCTTGTCCTTCAATGCCGAAAGCATACGGATCGGCAGGGGATATTAGCCATGAGAACCCGTACCCAAATTCAAATGCAGCAACCGTGTTCTGGATCGCGAGGACGACGGGGAAATGGTCTGTCCTTGCATAGCGTCCATTAGGGCGAGGAAACACAATGTCAACCTCTACTGATGTTGGTAATTGTGCTAGGGCAACGCTAAGCGAAGCGTTGACCAGCACCATCCACAATGAGATCGACCTGCCCGCGAACATGTTGGTAGTATGTCTAGATCAAATGAAGAATGAAGTCATGTGGCTCTCAAATGCACGGCGGGCATGGATTGATATAACCAGATAAAGAAAGAGCCGCAGCACAAGCGTACGACCTCGAGTAGGTCTTGCTCTCCTCGAGGAATCCCTGATATGGAAGGAGTTGAAGCCAGACTCTTTGATTACGAGCCCTCATTGGTAAGGCTTGCGTGAAGGTCCGGAAATACCACCAATCAGTTATGCTGTCTTCTCTAAGCTTAGCCCTCGAATGATGGCAGGCTCAAGCCTCAGATTTTGATAACTCTCGTATTAATTGCCAGACTGGTCCAATCATACCGAAATCTTGAAGTTTGCCTCAGTTAAGCGATCGGGGTGGCTTGAGGCTTGAACTTTGAATACGAGCCTTTGAATACGAGCCTTTGCGCGTTTTCTCTGGTCGCTAGATACAGTGAACGACGTCACTGCTTAGGAATCCAGATATCTATTAACAAAACATATGATCTTGGAATAGACTATGACATTTACAGAGGATTTGTGCAGCGGGAGCAGTTTTAGGCTGAATTCACCTTGGGCCGGGATATAGCGATAACTCGATGCGCTTGCCTTGGTGGACTTACAAATCCGGTTACCATTCTCAAATTTAGTCAAAAAGCTACCTACACATCTCTGAATTCTGTTTCTAGATAAACGTCTAACAGTGGTCCGTGCGTCCTACCAGGCTTAATGCAGGTAGATTCCAATTTCTTTCTTTATAACGCACTAATTCAGAGCTTGAAACAGGGCTTTTTGGTCGACTTCATTGTTCAGGCACACAGAACAAGACTTGGTCAAAATCTCAAAATTTGGCCTCGCTAACTGATACTTACGGACCCCCAGATACGTCGCGTAGTTCCAGTTCTTGCGCAAGATGTAGAACCCTTTGTATTCCGGGAACCAGGGACGATCTTTAGCCCATATAATAACCGACGGGTCAACCGGGATACGCGAAGTGCGGATATCTCCATGCTGGTCAAAGTTGGCTTGAAAGTGAGAGCTGTGATATTGCAGTGTCATTGTGCATAGGCAGTAGACGGCACCTTCATCCGTTAGACGGACGTAGGAAAGCGCCACTGGAGAAGTGCCTCCTTAGTGACGTTATCTCAGAAGTTGTGGATAGAAAAATGGAAGACTACCCAGCCAGACATCGTTACCATGTGGATCAGGGACACGTTTGATTCCACATCGGCTCGCCAATAAGGCAAGTCCACAAAGCTGGGTATTCCGTGTGTAGAAAGTGCATGTTTGGAAGTGATCCACAATGGATCACCTCATATAGGTTTCCCATATCCCAATTTCCTGCGTGTCCGGGCTCATTATGGTTGACAGTAGTGTGTAAGAAGGCCGAATCTGTCATTTTCGAACCACAATGCGCAGTTGGAAGGCCCACTGTTACGTATGAGTAGGTTTAGGTTGGCAGGTGATAAACTGAAACTTGAGTCACTCTCCAGGGCTGTGTCGCTGTGAAGATGACATCAGTGACATGTTTTCTGATTGTGAAGAGAGACTGCCTGACTCACAATGCGGTCTAGGTGGCCAGAACTATAGGTTGAGGGCGACAATCATTTTGCTGGGTGATTTTTCTTGGTATCTCCTGTGCCTCAGATGGAGCACAAACTCCTGAATATACACCAAGGTAGCCCAAGAGGTGATAGATGTAAATATATACCGATACCTATCTGGCTAGGGAACCTCAGGACTTCTTGAAACCATGTCTAGAAGGCGTTGATAGAATAGAGCCATATTTTGCATCCAAATCGACATGGAAGAAAGATGGTCATTGAGGCAAGAAGGCATCAATTTCAATGCCCTAAAAAAGGAAGATACCAAGCAAGGAAAGTGCCAGGACTGGCGAAAGTAGTGGGTTGAAGTGTTTTTATTGTTGCAAGTACCAGATCGGTGGTGGGGCAGGCATTGCCTGATTCGGCAATTTCCATATTTCTGGTGCAAGAAGGACTATTTTGAATCTACTGATCAAGGTTAAAAAGAAGTATTCCATTAAAAGTCGTCTATCACGTTTCCAGGCGAGGACCCTATTATAGAATGCATATCGTGGAAGATCGATGCACATTTACCAAGTTTGCCTATCAGATCCAAAAAATTTCCAATACCTGTTCGAAAGCTCTTTTCACAGGGGATATTACCCCTCTCTCGGTGCTTCACAATTTTCATTAATCATGATTTTACTAAGATCTACATCCTGCAGACCAGCTCGGACATTCTGACCTCTCGCGCATTAAGGATGTAGTAGCTTGACAGGTCAATGTCTACCAGCTTCTTCTGATATTAAGATGCATCGCCCTCTATGCTCAATCTTGTTTTTCGCTATTCACCGCCGGCTCTAAGAGTATGAAAGTAATCATTTTCTTTCTTACAGGACTACATTTTTACCTTGCACAATTCGAGATACATTCACATTTTTGCTAAGAGCTATCTTGGGACCCCAAAACGTGACAGAAGTCGATGAGAATTCATGTATCATCACTTACTCATGAGCCATAGGCTTCTCAAAATCAGTCGTTTCTCCCACACGGAACTGGCCAAACTTGTCAAGCACCTCCTGAATCTGCTGCGGACCCATGCCAGCCTGGTCTCTCACCCACAAGGAAGGGTAGTCATATGGCTCCCATTGCCACCAGGATCCTGCTACTTCTACATCCTCTTCATCTCTCACAAGGTCAAAGATACCCATCTTGTAATTTGTCCAAGCAAGCATCCCCCGGGAAAGCAAAGCTTCTCGGCTGAGAGGTAGGAAGCTCAGCATATCAGCATTGTATGGCTCCAGAGCACACTTTGAGGCAGGGTTGTCGCCAAATACCACAGACAGCCGAATAGACTCATTCGCATCATCGCTCTCAATGGCCAAAATGCTGATACGTATTGTGTTCAAGCCAACATACGTCCCGATGAAGTCCTTAGAAGCACCAATAAATCGCGCTGTATCACGTCCATGCTGCCAATCAGCCACCATTGTTTCATGAGCCCTGAGACAGCGGTCCCGAGCATCTCGTAATGGCTGAAGTGTACTGACTCGTGGCTTGAGTCTGAAAAGAGCCTGGAGCATGATTCGAGATGCTGTTTCGCCTGCGTCTCCGGCATTGGCAGCATTGCTCAGAGTAACGATGGCCGTGCGAGCCTCTGGAAATATGTAAGCTGTCGCGACGAAGCCATTGACAATACCATTATAGCCGTAGAGAGTACGCTTCTCAGAATCTTTACCGAGGATTGTCTTCGCGTCAAGGTAAGACTTTTCGACATCTGCGTGTCGATTGTATGAGCCAATGCCCAGGGCAGCAGTGGGCATGGTTGTACGGTGCCACCCCAGAGTGTACGCGGTGTCGTTCTCAAATCCGTCATTGACCGGACGTGTCCACCAGTAGTTCCACATAGGTCCAATCTGGTACAACGGATTTGTTGATCTGGCCTTGATAAGACGCTGTGGTACATCCACCTCACGTTCCTCGTCGTACTGGTTCATAACAGCCGCCATGAAGCTAAGCATATCGTTGACAGAGCTGCTCATTCCCATGCTGGCTAAGAATGGCCCGTGCTCTCTAGATGTCGGACAGTTCTCGATCTTGGACCATGTTCCATCAGACAGACGAACGTATGGGTGGGCGATATTTAAGTCAATACCTGACCCATTTCCCATAATATTTGTCTGGAACATTCGCAGCGGCTGAAAGATTCGCTTCTGTAGGAACTCAGAAAACGACATGCCTGAGACAGTCTCGATGATCTGTGCTAGCAGCCCAAATGCAGCATTGCTGTACCATCAGTTCTTTCGGAATCTCTGGCCGGAGCAGTCCGCTGTAGGAAGGGCATTGACGAGGGCAACATGGTCCTCGGCCGTGTTGAAGATCGTGCCACCGGGCCCTGCGAAAATCGGCGTGGGATTTCCGAGACCAGTGGAGTGTCGGCATACATCGATTATTGTTGCTTTCTCACCAATCTCTGGGTCTCTCAGAGGGCCAAAGGTAGGGAGGTGTTTGCGAATTGGATCGTCCCACGCCAGCTGCTTGTCTTCGACCAGCACCCCGATTGCAGCGCAGGTGATCATTTTGGAGGAGCCGCCAATAAAGTATGAGGTATCTGGGTCTGCTTGGAGGCCAGCTTCGAAGTTTCGCACACCGTAGCTCTTTCGAAATATCGGTTCCTGGTTTGGGCCATGAATGATCCCCACAGATATGGACGGAGCGTTTGCAATGTTCATAGCCTCCTCAACATCCTTCCAAGCGATTTCCAGACGCTCACGGCTTTTTGTACTTTGTTAGAAACACTCGGGTTATTGAATGAATCATACTGACATTTTCGAACGAGGCTCGGGGCCATCCATGATTTAGAATCTCTTTCCGTGTCCTCTGGGCACAGTGGGGAAGGAAGTATTTGCAGTGAGTATTACCACCTTTAGATGGGCAAAAGGATGGTCAAGGAGAGAACAGAAAGTAATAATGAAGAGGTGTTCCAGGACAAAATTTTCAAATAACAAAGAAGACTAGGTCGTTTGCTATGTTTATTATCCGCTGCAGAAGATGGAGGGGAAAGTCAGGTTTGACAGAAGCAAACATCTAGGAAAGAACTGCCTACAACCCAGAGAATGCGGCTTTCCTACCAAATGGTATTTAATCTTCAAGGCAAACCGACTAGACTGATATCCTCGGCCAGAGACTCCGTGATTTTGTGGTAGAAAAGAGGTCAAGCAGTGATTATTCTGGGCTTCTATCCAATTACTTCTTTTGGAGCCCCATAGCAAAAGTGCGAGGCACCCACCAACATAGCCAATTAACTCTCTTTCGCATCGAGAGGTAGTGATAATAGTAACTTATGAATGGATGAGGCATTCTGTTGGATGATAGGTTTGTATTTTCTGTAGATAAGGATTCGACCTAGTGGGTAATCTTGGTCCAACTTGTTCAGAGAGCACATAATAACAGCTCGCCATGCACTATTCCACAGCTCTAAAGTATATACTTAATTGAATCTGTGCGGGCGTAGGCCATGTCTGAGTAAATTACAAGGCCAGCCCTACACCCACTCTCTATTTCATGCAATGCGAAGCCGTTGGATGTTCCATACGACGATGCAAGCGGGCCATGATATCCAGATAATTTGGTTCGTTCTCGGCGGTCAAAATACCATGGCGAATGAAAAAGTCGATCATAATGATCGCACAGTTCGGCTTAAACTCGCCACGAGACAGGGCGTCCTTGACCTCCGATACAGACATCAGGTTGAATTCCTCGACCTCGTTGTCGCATGGTTCGGGAATAACCGAAGGATCGAGCTTCAGGTCATAAACATATTCCACCTCAGGTTGCAAGAGGCCGATTTCACCACCAGCGCGGGAGTCCCGCACATGAGTGTATGTAACGCATCCCACTGGGACAATGGAAGCACGTACAACAGACTCTGGTAGGGATGCTTCCTCCATAGCCTCGCGGACAATGCATTCGAATGGCTTCTCACCGGTACACATTCCTCCGGCGACGGTGTTATCCAACATACTGGGGTAGGTCTGCTTCGTCTTTGCGCGCCGAGGAACCCAAAACTTCAAGCCCGTCTCATCCTCGACGTATCCGGTCATATGGGCGCCGTAGGAGACAATGCCGAATAGCGGTGTTGCGCTGCGCTCCATCTCGAGCAGGTATTCACCGCCAGGTCCGTAGACGGGGTACTTCTCATTGCGCCAACCTTTCAACACCTCGAAGCATCCTACTTTCACAGCCTCGGCGATACTCTGCGCTACCAGCTCGCTGCGGTGTGCGGGATCGGCATCTGCCGATGTGACCAGGGTGACTGTCTGGGCTGCAGAATCGACTTCCCAGATCTCCTTCGGCCAAGGAAACTTCTCGACGACTGTGTTCAGGATATATCCTAGATTGACATCGTACCCCGAAACGCGGAACTCATGGTATTTCTTGAGGTTATCGGTGTACGCGACGCGGTTGTCCTCGTAATAGGGGAAGCTGAGCGGGGGATAAGACAAGATGTCGGGGGCAGGGCAGATATAAAAGATGGGTTCAGTACTTATCGCATTCGCGGATCAGATCCAGATTGGACTTGACCATCTTGTCAATCTGTTACCGGCCAATGTACCGAATGTATCGACCTTAAAAGATGCCCGATGGACGAACCAGCGGAGAATGTCCCTCCGCCGATGCCAAGCCCTTATCGCCCGATAAGGGCAGCTTCCCCTCCTTATGTCACCAGCTTCATCTGGAATCTGCCATTCCTGCCGAAGGCTTTCCTCGAACCTGCTAGAAAGCAGCCTCCTTACTCCTCCCTAGTCGACTCTCAATTCCTCTCAATTTTCACTATACAGCTCAGTCCTACCCTCTGGTAACCCGCGACCAATGTTCTCCGTCGTCATCCCCGGCCGGCCGTGTCTTACAGACATTGTCGCTGTGGACAGCCAACCAAACGGCCAAGCAACCAAGTTCGCCTTCACAATTCCCCTCAGCCCATCCTTCACCGAGATTGTCGTCTTCCTCCTACCTGGCACAGTCCTGCCACCAAACACTGGCGCTGCCATCTACATCCAGCTCCCAGACCCAAACACAGGCAACCCAACCGACTTCCGATTCATTGGCGCACTAGCAAACGAGAAACCCTCCGGCATCTTCAAGGTCCAGGCTCCGTCACAATCAAACAATGGCCTCGGCCGCACCGAAGCCGAACAAGAAGACGAGATGCTTGACGAGGGCTCCGCAGGCAGCGCAAACGGCATCGCAACCCTAGGAATCTCAATCGAACCAGTTCAGAACATCGCGCCACAACTATCAGCGCTAGAAGCAGAGAGCGCGTACACAGAACCCTCCATCTCAACCGCACTGGTCCAGCAAACCCCCGAGCAGCGCCAACAAAAGCAGATCACGACCAAAATGCTAGCGCAGCGCATCATCGGCAGCGCATTCAATTTCCTCGCCAGCTTTGCAGAGAGCGATCCCTCAAATAAGGGCCATGAAGTTGTACCGTTGAAAAGTTTCCGCGATTGGTGGACCAAGTTTGAGCGGCGCATTGATATGGATCCGTCGTTCTTGGAACGTGCAGATCCCAACGCAACGTAGATTGCGCAAAGTACTGGGTCTAGCTGAGCTGAGTATAATTAAGTGCAAGGTGTGGGCGCAGCTGAGACCCGCATATCCTACCGTGTCGGGATTGGCATCCCTGCTTGTGGGGTGTGTGCCTTGCATGTGGCAGTGTTTCAGGAGTACATGAATTTTTTGCATTGAGCGACTGGTATTTGATTTTTGACGTTCTTTTGGTCTCGTAATTTTCTGGGGTTCCTGTTGATAGGTGACATTGTATTGTGTCGTTATACGGGGTCGCGTGAGAGAGTCTTTTCATGTATGAGTAGGGAGATAGCTATAATCACATCGCAATACTTTGACGGCGAGTCGCACGATATCGAGGTCGATTCAAGTTGTGTTAGGTTCTCAATATATTCACAAAGAGAGTTTATATACAGGGCCTTCCATTCCAAAACACTGGCCAGTTGTGAGAAAGAAAAAGTGTACCGTAACGACATAAGGAAACATAAGTAGCAAATTGTGTCCAACCCAACCAGGGCATTTTCCCCTCCACCAACGCCGACGAAAGAAATCAAAAAAGGAGATATGAGATCATGACAATTGAGTATGGCGAGCCACTGCCATTGCGTGCAGCGACGAATCCGGCCGCAAACGAATGCCCGGCGCATAGCAGAGACTATACAACTCATCGACGTACGTCGCGGGAGTAGTAATAGCATCCCCAGCAGCAATGACCGCATCATGCGTATGTCCCACGTTTTGTGCAGCATTCTCATTAATCCGGGTGACATCGACGCGAACCTCTTTCTGGACGGTGATATCGCCCAGAACTGTGTTAGTCTCGACGAGCGACTCCTGGGAGTGACCGGAAGGAGGTGGTTGGTGTTTGCGCGTGGGCCAGAGTTTCAAGATAGTCGAGCGTGTGGCTGACATGACATCTGATTCGGTGACTGAGGAATTGGAGCGAACATCCGTGCAGAAGAATTCCTGGTTTAGCTCGCGCGAGAACCCGTCTCGATCAGCGATAACGTCGTTGACCTGTTGCTGTACACGGAAGAGGCGGAATGGGGTGAAGGTGAAGTCGGGATTGGGTACTTGGGTGTCGAGGGGTGCGACGACACAGAATGTAAGAAGGGTACATTGGGAAGCGTGCTGGTGTTCTTCGGATCGTCGAATGGCAGTCCGGCACGGCGCGAGAAGAGGTCTTGACGAGAAGGTTGCGGCTGAACGCATCTCCTCTGGGAAGGATTTGGCGAGCGTCATGATGCCGAGGACTAGCTGCTCACGGAATGCTTCCATGCTTTTATCAGTCTGTTGCGCGGCTTTCGATTGGAGGTATTTCAGACATGTAATCATGGACCAGCCATCCATGTGGGAAATCAGATCGAGATGCTGCACAGAGAGACGCTTAATTAGAAGTGTAGATGAAGGAAGTGGGTTTCCGGTTCCTTTGGTGGTGAGAATTTCAAAGTGATCTTGGACGGTTGGTCGCATCACATAAGAAATGAGATGCACACCTTCTCCGAAGCCACGACTCGAGCTTGCATAATCACGCATATCGCGAAGATGCTCCCCCAAAGTCGCTTCGGGGACGTGGATACGGCGGGACATGGTTGATGTGACATGTTCGATGGTTGCGAATCGGAATCCCAGCGAGGCAAAACGGTTGGCTTCATGCTTCTGCAATTGCCGAACACTAAATATCAATTGACCTTTACCAGTCCGCAGCGATGAGCGGCCCACAGCGCGTGATAGTCGAGAGACGGGAATAGCGGTGGACAGCACATTGTCATAGAGGGTTCCCAGGTCAGACAGAGGTTGGCGAAGTTCGTCTGAAAGCTCCTGGGCCGTGACACAGAAAAGTTGTTTGAACAAGGTATCGAAATCCGTTTGTAGCTCGGTCTCCTTATCCATGACAACTCCGCGGGATAACACATGTTTCTGGATGGCTTGCCCTTCGGATTCGAGGCGGTTTCGCATGAAAGGAATGAGGTCTTTGACAACAGGCCAATTACGGCTAGCCCTGAAAGCCCATAGGAAAGTGGGATGAGTGCGAGTGAGGTCGTCGTCTTTGAAGGTCTATATGGAATAATAAAATCAGTATTGACGCAGTCTGATCAACAGGTAAGGAACCATACTCGGCCGATATAGTGATCGACAATCTTTCGTGTCGGTAGAAGGGCATGCGGTGTAACCATCACACGTCCAGTTGGATCAAAGTAGGCGCAGGCCAAAACGAGTTGGTGCGCTCGAGTAGTCGATCGTCGTCGATTACCACCAGCAACGATTGCACAGGCGGACAAAATCACGCAGGAGACGCAGGCCTGTGAAAGCTTGTTAATGCCGATTCGCCACTATGCAATGTTATGGAAGACTCACTAGTACGGCGCAGATAATAACGACTTGGCTGCGAGATAATTGAGTGCCATGCTGAATCGACTCATCACGCTCTCGATACGAAGTGCCCCCCGCCGCCGTCCAGTGCATGCCCGACACAGCAGCCGAAAGGCAACAAGCACAGATCCCTCGTCGCCACCAGCTATCCGTCCAAGTCGCCCTCCATCGGAAGAAGATACCCAAAGCCACGGTGCTGGAGAATACAGCAATGATAGCAGATCCAACCACGTTGGCGACGGCATAAGAGCACTTATAATTTGCGATACCCAATTGTCCCACATAGTGCATACCGCACACAGCGCTTCCAGTCAACCAACCTCCAATCAAGATGCGCAAATAGCCGGCTTTTTCTTCAACACCAACGGAGTAGAATGCCGTCAGTAGCACGATGACGGGAAGCACAAATGATGTACCGGTGAAGGCGACGTTATAAAGGATCTGAATATCCTTCGCTCCATGCCCGAGGACAATAGCTCGGTTTCCAATGAAATGCATGCACCAGATACCAATACCGCCCATTGTAATCGATGAGGTTAGTAACAGATACCTTCCATTTCTGTCAGCCATGCCGAATACTTTGTGTAAAAATGGGTTATAGCATACCAGTTGTAGAATCCCGACCTTGATGTCCTTCGATGGAGCAATTCCAGTGTTGTAGCACATCCCATCGAACTAATCACATAGGAGAGGAAGATATACCCCGCGAGGTATGAGACATGCATGGTGGTCGCATTATGGGAGGTTGTTCCGGACATATTGGTGGATGGCGTTGAAAAACGAGTTACAACGCGAGCATTGGCTGAATAGTGTCGACCCTCTTGCAGCAGGACAAGGAGGCGCAATAGCCCCGACCGACTTTGAGAGGGAGATGGCAACTATATTATAACATGAAGAGAGGGAGAGGAGAAAATCGCAGCGAAATATCAAAGATAATAGCGGAAGAAGTAAAAGCCAAGGAAAGGAGCGACAATCATGTAGTGCCAATAATTTGGGGTAAATTTTAGACCAAACAGCCTGGCCAGTGGTATCTTATAATAATGGACTTGAAAACACGCCCTCCCAGATGCAGACCTCCACTACGCTGACCGGGATTATCTCTCGCATCCCAACTCAAGGCTGGACCCAGTGCCAAAAGCCTAAGCTAGCAAAATGCAATCGGACAAATAACTTCCACCGTGGGCCAGCGATATCCGATCTAGAAGGCAGAAACGGATCCACTCCTTGGTGGGTAGCCTGCACTTGTCCCCATGAGACCTTTTTCGCGTGGCACTACGGAAGTACCGCTGCAGGCATACATCCACATGCCTTTTCAGTAGTACTGACTGCTGCTGTCAGCAGAGTACCAAGGGCCGTCAAGAGGGTTTGTCAGGTGGAAAGGAAGATGAACAGAGTTTCGGACTGATCGATGTGATCTCCCATCCCGTAAGATTGACGTTCAGCATGGGCCAAGGAAAGGGACCTTTAGGGCCATGGAGGGGGGATAGAAACCAAGCCTTGAGAATGGAGCTTGCAAGCGAGGGCCATTTTCGTCGTACATGAGCCAGTCATCTTTCGCTGGACTGGTATGGTGCTGATCTAGATCGGATCGTAGTGGGCAAGGAACTATGGGGCGGGGTCTTGCCGACGAGCGTATCAGAAGGCCCCACGGTATTAAAAAGGACCCAGTGCTTGAGATGCAGTGTCTGTGCATCGCCGGCCATTTGACGAGAAAGGTTGTCTCCGGCGCCATAATGTGATTGTTGCATTTGGAGACTCCTGCAAACTCAAATCGACCAGATAGCGCGAGCTAGCAGGGATTTCTTTTGATGAACTGGTTTGATTGACGTCTAAGCGACGACGAGCATGAACTGCACACGCACACTCTGGCCGTGCTCCATCCGGGCCCTCCGATGAATTGATTAATTGGGACGGCTCGTTGGGGCAACATTAATTTACTCGCAGCGCAGCTTCAGCTGCGCCGTGCTCCCAAGCGCGAATTGGGTCGATGCATGGCGGGTCCACGCAAAGAAAGAGGGGACCGAATGGGAGGACTGCATTTCTCGCAATGGCAATTGCATGCTCTTCGAACAGCCCGGTTGTTCTCTCTCGCCTGCATTGTCATCTGGATATGCAGGTCAGCGCTGGCCGCGACGATCAGTCACAACGTCGGTAAAGCTCCCGCTTAGCGTGTCAAACCAGCGCGTAGAATCGAACATGTCGATCGGAAGAATGATTCCGGAGCGTGGAAGGTTTCCGACCGAGTCCCCGGGCTCCAGAGAGCCGCAGCGGGCGCGAATCCATGAGCCAGAGCCATTCGACCAAGGAAGCTGGATTCGGACGTGCCTCGGACCATTCGTTAGTGAAAAGTCAACACGGCCAAGCGCGATTTCAGTCGCAGTGCGAGCACTAATCAATCAGGAATACCCAGCAATCAATTACATAGCACTTTGGCCTACCCACTCAGAGCTCCTCTCATTCACAGAGACTGATAGGGCCAGTTTTGGTGGCGCAGGGTTCTGTTCATGATAACATAGATCTCTCCTCGCTAGCGTGCAACTGGCCGAGGTTGGTGGTGGAGGAGGTTTTGGCTGGCCCATGGCTTGACGCCCAATAGTTCGGGCTTGGTTTCCCATTCGATCACTCTGTACGCTGGAGCGACCGGATCTGATCCATCGTGTCGGGCCTCTTTGGTATGTTCTCTGACAAACAAGTCCTCATGCTTTGAGTTCTCGTCGAAGTCATGCGATGTTGATGAGTCCATGCCTCCATGCCCATGGAACAAACATGCTTTCTCGGCCCAAGCCGAGAACCAAGAACCCACTCGACCCGGTCGCGGATTGTCGGATCGTCGGACGTATTCCTGCGTCCGCCGCGTCGGTTATCCCTTTCAAGCACGGTCCACTCTTCTCTGCGTGATCAGCAGAACGTTTTCGCGTTTCAAGTCGATATGTAGCATTTTCGCCGGGGCAGAGGTGGAGTGTGGATGAGTGGATAGCTGCAAGCGAGAGACATCGGCGGGTCAAGTTGTCAACCACATGGCAACTGTCAACCGTCTCTCAGGTGCACTTGGTCCACGATGTTCGTTTGCATCCCTGGGATGTGTCAATTGGAACTATGGATCTCTTGGCTCTTTCCTAACAACACGCGATCGAGGATTGGTGCTTTTGTCTGCAGAAAGCTCCAGAATAGAAACCACTTCTTGCTGACGCCGCCACTGAAGATTTCGTGAGATTCTTACTTGATGTGTCTTTCAATTGATATCTCACTAAGCGACTGGTCTAGAATCTAGATTGAAATCGCGTCTCGACAGGCGACCTAGGTCGGCCATTTCTGTTTGTGCAAGTTCTTTGACATTCTTATTTGGATTAGCTACTTTCTCTCCGAAGAAAGCGGACTAGACATGTCCTGTAGTTTCTACTCTATCCTCTTACCAAAGAGGCCAATTGATTAAGATCAGATCTATATTAGGCCTGAATCTGTTCCAAATCATGAGTCCATTCATTCTTTGATTAAATCACAGCAGTATCACGTATCATTATGATGTTATGCAGCCTCGTGGTCTTGGCTTCGGCTCATAGATCAAGTGCATATGCAATACATTAGACAGAAAACGGTCGGAGGTCAATTCGAGAAGCTCCGGAGTTCTAATTTGGTGAGACTGTAGGCTCAAAGCAACTAGGCAGCCGGAGACTCGAGAGGGTCGGAGATTTTAGACTCGTGGCAAACCTTAGCTCCATATTGTCATTTGATCTAAGCTTATTCGACAGCTCATATGTGATGCACCCGATAGACATGCCATCATCCAACTCAGCAACGTTTCTCAACCTGCCAAGATTGACACAGAACCTGCGGAGAACATGTCAAGCGATCCGATAGGGATTGTGATCTCCGCCTGCAGGATGCAAGCCATCGCCTGTGTGACATGATGATTCTCCTGGAAGCAACTATACCAGATCCTATCACTACTATCAGTCTATGTTTGGAACCATATACTTGGAACCAGGAAAAGAAAGTATGATCAATATCCAAAATATGAATTGAGAAATTTCTAGGGTACAGAGGGCCCCAGGCCGGATATCATTTCCTCTTGTTTTTTCTCTTATAACGCATATTAAAAGGTCACTCATCTGGACCTTACCATTCATATCCCAATTTATGCGGAGATATCAGCGACGGCCTTCTGGATAGCGGGGGGTTGGCGCCGCGGACGGTCAGGTCGTCGCGCTTCTGGCCATCCTTGTAGAACAGGAAGGTGGGCATGGCGGAGATGCCGTTGTTGGCGGCAACATCAGAGAGCTCATCGACGTCAACCTTGTAGAACTTGACGGAGGTGACGCTGTCGCTCAGCTTCTCGACGAGTGGGGAGACGGCCTTGCAGGGACCGCACCAGGTGGCGAAGAAGTCGACAACGACGGGCTCGGTGCTGTCCTCAACAAGCTCCTTCCATTGCTGAGCACTATAGGTAGAAGAATTGATAGTCAGCAGATATTCTCTTATTTTGTGTAATCACATTTCGACACGTTGGACTGTGGACGCAGGGAAGAGCAGCGTGACTCACCTCTCGATCTTAGTGACGCCCATTTTGAAGGATGAGTTGGTAAAGTGACGTTGAGCGATAGGCAGGCGGAAAAACGGAGTAGATGTGCGAGACAGAGGGGCCGAAAGGCGAGTCAAGTGGAATGTGGAAGGTTTCTAAAAGAGTAAAGTACTGTGAGCTTTAAAATTCAAGGAGGGGCAAGCCAAAGAGGGGCGATCGGATTTTATAGGGCGATGACGTTCCGCCAACACTAGCTTAGCTAAGAGCCAGCGCGGCTGAATCAACCGCTCATGGAGCCATCTAGCAGTGTCTGGCGCAGCTTTGACTGGGCGATCTGGGCGGTGTACAACGACTCACAGGGAACATGCTGAATTTGTCACGGCCTGATGCAACTTTTCGAATCAATTCGTCCAATTGCAGTGCTCTTTGGGAGTCAGAACAGAAAGGAGGTTGGGCGGGCGTCGATGGCAGAATGTGGATGGCGTGCTTGCTTACGAATTAGAGCGGTTCTGGATCAGCACCCGTGACTGATATTTAGGATCAATAATCAACTGTACAGCCATGGAATAGCTTGGATATAGGGCAGAATCTAATCTAATAAGCTGGACATCCTCATACATATTAATAGACTGAGTAATTGTCAGTTCATATTGACTCATAAAATGATGCCATCGCGTTGGCCATGCATGGCGACTGAGGCACCCTCGGCTTTTCAAATGCCGAAATTCAACTCCAAACGCCGGAAGTAATATTTTGTTTCACAAGACAACAACAAGACTTCTACATACTGAAAGGAAAGTACTACTGTACCACAAGCAGGACTCCAAGATCATATTTTTATGCGCTAAGGGATCAGTGATTATTGTATTATGAGACACGAGGCAAGCCCTATACATCGACTATTCAAGTGCAAAAATCACAACAGCCGTCGAGAACATTACTGGCCTCCTTGATTTGCGCACCGATCAGAAGAGAGACTCTGTTCAAATCTTCATCTTCCGCCTGTAGAATCACCCCTATGTTTCTTGTCTCTCGTTCATGTTCCTCGTTATATGGATCACGCTTCAGGAGGTGCTGCACCATGCGGGTATGCCAGTAGCCCGTAAGGAATTCGATTAATGGAAGGCCAAGCTCGTCAAATGTTGCTTCAAACTCAAGCATTAGCTGCTCAAGCTCTTCAATCCCCTTCATACACTCTTCTCGGATCTCCGCAATTTCTTCCTCGTCTCGACCCTCTATTTCATCTGCAGTCTTCCTGTCGCGGGACCCAAGTACACCGTCAATTTCAGTACAACAAGTGTGCTTGAGACCCAGGGCATCGAATGTTAGACTTCTGATGACATTCTGCACCATGGTTCGGTCTAGATTCACCCATCCGATAATCGAGCATAGCAAGCGCCGAAGCCAATATGAAGGCACCGAAACCTGGAACCAATGATGCCACCCAAGCACTTGTCGCAGAGCCACTGAGATGACTGTGCATCCATAAGGGCAACAAGCACATCTGCAGTTGTCCGCGACATAAGGAGAACGAAAGAGGTCTTTTCTGTGCCTCAAAATCTTGTTTTCCCAGCTTGTCCAGTAACCGGGAATATCATCAGGTCGTTGAAATTCCAATGCACCGAGAAGAAAGCCGACGAGTTGCACCGTAACCAGATGTGCAGTCTTTGCATTGGAGAGGGGTAAATTGCGATCAATATCTGCGCCCTTGGAGAGAAGCCACAGCATCCTTTCAATACCTTCCTCTCCACCGACGTATGAATTATACACCTCCATCAATGGTGTGACCCCATGGGGGCTTGGCGAGTCAAAATTCGTGAAACCCACTTTCAATAATTCTTCCATTACTCTAGGCTGAAGTGACCGGTGGTCATAAACCGAGACATAGTTGCTCTTGACCATAAGAGAGGAGTCAACAGTTTTGCCACGGGCAGCCAGCGCTGCACAGATTCTCGAAGCATTCATGTCAGGGACTGCCTTCTCAGGTGCATGGAATGCTTGCAATTCATGTGCGGGAAGAGATGATTGAGCCAGTTTCCAGAGTCTCCATCGGCGCCTGGCAAGCTCATTCGCGAACAGTGACAGTAACTTTGGCGAAGCAGCAACTTGCAAGTCAGATATACTCAACCCACTGCCCTTCTCTAAGAGTAGTTTGTTGGAATAGTAAAACCTATTGAACTCCACGTCCTTCTCAATGAGGGAGCTGGGGCAGCCCCAGAATGAGATCAAGGTTCTCTTACCAATAGTCGCTCCTGCGTCAAGAAGAATCTTCATACCATCTGGCCATCCAAACGCCAGCTGAAGTAAAGAACATCCGCACACTTGGTCATTGGAAAGAATCCGACCAGATTCCAAGCCGGAAAGCAGCTTCTGCTCTAATTCTTGAAATATGATCTTTGCAACCTCGGGAACAACGAGTACTAAAGATCCGGTGAGCCTTTCAGTCAATGGGTATGAGGCAACAACGAGTGATACATACGCTCTCTGTCTCTGGAGAGGATATACTTTATGTTGTATCGTTCAATATGGTTCAAGGTCCCATTGTCCAGGGTACAAGGACCCCCATGAGCAACGAGATATGAAGCCAGCGCATATTCTTCCTCCTGAAACCTCGTAAACCGAAGCAATCCTCTTAAGGCTCCTTGACTAAACGTGTTATTAGGCCGCGAACCATTGTCGACAAGGAACCTCGTAAGCTTATGCAGCCCAGGAAGTTGTTCTCGCGTGGTTGCTATATCAAACGGAACCAACGCCTATGATATATTAGCTTTTTCTTGATCACAAAACCGAGTGCGTGCGTGCATACATCGACATAAGACACCATGTTGTAATCGCGGGGTGCATAGTCTAAGTAAAAGATATCCGACGGCTTCGACTTTCCAGCAGAAAATGCTTGTTGAACTTGGCGAATGCAGTTGTCGACAGTCTGGTCAAATTCAGAGATAGTCGTTCTTTTCAAGTCGAAAAATTGGGTGATTTGCAATTCGAGAGTGCTTCCGTTATAGTTCAACAGTGTTTGTACACTTAAGGATGGCGCGATAGAGAACCCCCCGGCACCTTTCGACAGTGAGAAGGACGCCGTGACGGCGACTCGAAGAAGAGTACTAAGATATTTGAATGATTTTGCTGTAGTTTCTGCTTTATTATTTGGCTTGGGGGTATAGGGCAAGATTTCATGGCCAGCAGAATCAGAGGACGTCGTAATAGCGAGTTCTGAGGTCGAAGTCCTTGTTGTAATTTGTGTCTCTGCAACTGACGTGTTGTCATGACCACAGTGGCTGTCACACCACGATTTAAGTAATGCTGGGGGTGGCATTCCCTCGGGATATTCCTGTAGAGTGATGCGCTAGACATCCAATCAGCAATGTAACCAGTACCCAGCATGTCTCGCTCGATAGATGACCGTACTATCTGCTGCACCTCCGCAAGAATAGCCTCTTGCATCAATCCCAACTGATTCATCTTCTGCGTTGAATGTCTAAAACCCCATAAGTCCCACATACACCACACAGCTTAACCCGATTATAACCACTTACATGCTCAAAGTAGTCTGCAGAGCATTATGAATCCCATCCAAATCATCAAACATCTCCTTCAACCCATCCCTCCGAAACGGATAAACAACCCTCTTCAACTGGCCCTTAATCTTCTCTGGAAGCCCATCCGAAATAACCGGTAAATGCCGCTCAATCGTCGCCTTGAGTCTATTCACCATCCGCTGCAAACCCAACGCCTTCTCCGAGAGGTCCTCTGCAAGCTCGGGGTTAGACACTTGTGCATCCTCGATGATGTCCCGGAGAGCCTTGAGCGGTCTTCGCAGACTCTCGGCTTTGGATTCGATTCTTTGCGCATCTTCGTCGTAGCTCTGGTACGCTTGGCAGAATGTTATTAGATGTTGGGCTATTTGGAGGCCCAGTGAGATTACTCCGATTGCGCTGCTGGCGGCGGAGAAGGGGTCGCCCATGTTTTGATTATAATGATATTTGGAAGGAATACAATGAGAACTAAAGAATTAAAACGCTCCATGACAAGGGGAACAAGGGTCTTCTTGTGTTCGGGGATTTGGGCTTAGCCGCCCAAGATGCACTGCCTGGCCAGACTAACTGGGTCCGTTGCACGGCGCCAATCACTGGCCAACGACTTGCATATCCCAGCGAAACGAACAGCAGTCGGCGGCTACTGAAAAATAAGTATTGGCTCTGGTTGGACTTGAGACTATTTGCTCAGTTGCAACTCAGAATGGCAAAGGGGGCTAAATAATAGGTCTAAAGAGGGCCAAACATGACAACTGAAACAAGCACAATTTCTATGAGGCTCTGCCTAGGGACATCGAATCTGCAATCCAATCCAGAAAAAAAGATGTATTAAAAACATCACCAACCGGGGCTGACAAGAGCGAGGAAAATCACTTGTCAATCGAACACGCAGGCTTTGCTAGACCAAGCTACATATGTGCGAAGGGTCAAGGCCATCCGGCAAGGCAGAAAGAGCAAGGGGCAGATACAGCCTTTATTCAATATCGGCAGATCCTGGGGCTATGGAAACACGGAAGATTGGATTTATGCCTGGGATAAGGACTTGAAGCAGAACAAACAGGGGGCAAGTTGGGGGGTATCAACAAAATCGAAGTGTAATGGTAACAACAACGGTACAAATTGACAGGCTCGGCAGGTCAAACGCGGAGATGGAGGGGGGTGGGATAGGGATGGGATGAGGGGAAGCGTGGTGAAAGGGTTCTATTACAAAAACAGGAAGCGTGATCGATGAACTCAGCGTCGCGTCGTAGATGATGGCGATCGCTGCGCCCGGATCACATCACAGAGCCGTAGCAGTCTTTGAACAAAAGAAATCAACAAAGCAAAGGACTAAAGGAGTGTGGGCTATGCAGGAAGCATGCAAAATTGGTGGACTCGATGGCCCGAATCTCCGTGTGGAGAGAAAGCAGATGCGAAACGATGCCGGAGAATTACTCATCCTCGGCATTGCAGATAACACCATGGACACTAGCCACGCGCTGCGGTTGAGGAGTAGTGGTCATCAACTTGTCTCCATCCTGGTCCTCTTCCACGTAGTCCTCCTCAGCAGAAATGGGAGACAACGAAGGGAAGGTCTTGAGTATGGCAGCCGTGGACTTGGGACGAGAACCGGGGTTGACCAGGATTGGCCGGCGGGCGACATCGCTGTGGTGCCAGGTCTCCGCGGTCTTGTTGGCGTCGTTCGCAGAAACATCATCGTTGTCTAGTAGCTCCGGCTCGCCCATGATGTTGCTGCTATCTCGACGGAAATCGATTGAGTCACGGACATCATCGTGTGTCTCGACCGGGCTGTCCATGGCGGCGCTAAACGAGGTCATGGGGCGGATGGGGCTGCTGGGGGCCTTTTGCGACATCCGGCGGAAGAACTGACCCGACATCCATGATCCTTCTGAATCGATAGATGCCAAGGACTGAGAAAGGGGAAGGTTGTCAGCTTCGTCGAAGCTATCGCCTAGGGAGAGATGGCGACGGTTCTTCGGGTTCACAATATCAACGCCCACAAAGGGAGGAGTTGGGCCGTGCAGGAAAGTGGTCCTTTCTTCGTTTTCTAGCGAGGACTCGGGCACCTGCTCAGGGATATCTGGCGATTGAAGACGCGAGTCTGGAGGGGACATGGGCTCGTCGCCAAAGTGTTCTGTGAATTTGGAATGCGGGCGATTCACGGTGCCAGTAGCAATGAAAGCTCGGGGAGGAATAATGGAGGGTGGTGGAGGCGAAGACTGGGTTTGAATGCGGTAGAAAGACTCGTGAGAAGCGTTAGAGACATCAGGACTCGAGTCTTGGAATCGTTCCTTGTATCGTCGCTTGATTCGGGATGAACCACGTCGGAAGAGGGAAGTGATGGTGTTTCCTCCTCGGCGACCGCTGGTGTCAGACGGGCGACGCTCGGAGATGTCGGAAGCAGAACCAACACCATAGGTTTGGGAATGGCTGGGACTGCTGATTCCATGTCGGAGAGATGACTGAGATGGAGAGAGGGTGGTTCGCGACATGCCCATCTCATGCGAGGGAGCAAAGCTGGGTCGGTTGGCCAGCTTGGGTTCCCGGATGGATCTGTCGTCAATGTTCCCAATTACATGGACACTCTCAAGCGACTCGCGCACGGCATCCTCACTCTCCTTCGACTCATCCTGTAGCCATGTACCCGACTGCTCTGCAGGTGCTGCATCTTCGGACTCTTCGGACTCTTCAGCTATGGGCTCCTCTACAATGATATCATGCTGCTCAACTGCAATTGCGTCGGGAGCTTCGATGGCGGGAGCTTCTTCGGGTTCAACCTCCTGGGTCTGCCGGGTCTCTTCAATCGCCTGCTGACGCTCTTCTGCGGCTTGCGCATCGGCGCGTTCCTGCAACTTGCGACGTAGCTTTTCTTGGTCTTCCAGCTGTTTCTTCTCCCGACGGCGACGGTCGCGTTCGAGTAATTCTCGCAGAGTACTAGCATCCAAAGAGTCCGCCAGTTCATTCACACGCCGCCTCGAGTAGTACAAATCGTCCCCGGAGGTGGTTCGGGTCGGGTGTCGCTCACTGTCCGGTCCTCCAGGGCCTGTTGTAGTATTGTTGCTTCGCGTGGTGGGTAGACGTGGTGTCTCGACATAACGGACCACGGGACGCGGAGTCAATGCAGCAAACGCGTTGACCTTGTAGGTGAAAGGATCGGAGACGTCCGAGATGGAAGATGCGGCCGAGTTGCGAATAGACAGACTGATATCTGACATATAGCGATCAGCGCGTCGCCCACGATGCCGGTGTTCATAGTCGCTGCCTACGGGTTGAGTTGATCGGCGTGGGATATCGATTGGGGTGGACGACAACAGCTTGATCTCACGCTCGCGCAAAATCTCATGGGTCTGTCGCTTGCTTTTGCGAAGCTTGTTAGGTCCGCTTTGGTTCTGCCTCTTCAACAGGGATCCTGCCCTTGACATCGGTCGCGGGTAGGTCTGTTCTGGACCGGCGCGATCATGGTCAGCCTCGGACAAGCGGCGGTGCTCGATAGAGGAAATCGGACGCTGCGACGAGGTTGTCTGGCCAGTTGCCCCCTGGCTGTCGGAGCCATCACCACTACGCGACCAGCGTCTGCTGTGGCGTTTGGAAACCCGGCGGGAAGGTTTACGGCCCAAGGTTGGTTCCGCGACGGGAGCGGGCGAATCGTGCTCGTGCTCGTGCTCGTCCAGGGCATGCTGAAGCACGCTGGCCTCATCGGCGCTCACTTGAATCGTGTGGCGCTTATTCTTGCGACCAAACGGCCATATCGCCATGGGGCGCGGTGGTGCAGCTCGCGGCCGCAGGGTCGATGTTGGTCGGAGAGATCGTGCAGACGGGCGACGGGATTCATCGAGGACACGAGGGAGCAAAGCGGGCCCGAGGGCAGTTTAGTGAACTGTGAGAGGTGCCGACTAAATGGGGTGGCAGCGCAGTCGATGCAGAACCACCGGCGTCATCAGTGGGTGTGGAGCTGGGGTGGGAGAGAGCGAAAAGCGCGAAAAGGGCAGCGATCGTAGACGGTGTGTAGACGGTGTGAGTGTGGTCTGGGCGAAGGGGGGCAGGGTGGGTGGGAGGAGAGAAGAAGCACTAGTTGGGCGATAGTCTGTACTACCTAGCAAGGTTCGATAGAAGAAAGTTTTTTTTGAAGGTAATGGGATGAAGAGGAAGAAAGAAAGAAAATAAGAAGAGGGACGAGGTATGTAGGAGTCGAAGCGGGTTGGCTGTGAATGGCAAACTCACTACCAAGTTGGGTAGGAATGGTGGCGAAGAACGGAGAATAGAGGACACCAGAGCATGGGAAGATGCCCCAAAATAATAAGAAGATGATCGGATTTGGGTCACGAAGAATAAAACCGTGAGTAATGAATCGTTAGTTAATTAATCGACAGAGTCGCTGGTTAACTAACTCGTCCTCCATCCGAATCAACAACGAGCGACCAGTCCATCGGCGGGCCAGACCCTTGGGTTGTTTTGGTTTTCCCTAAAAATAAACCCACTTGGACGCTCCTTCTTCCTCTCACGAACCCACTCGAACCAACAAATTATTATTATTCATCCAGTACGACTGGACTGTACTTTCTTCAACCCTGCAGCCCATCAACATCAGATTGGACTCTGTCACACAGGTACCTGGTACCTGCTGGATCGATGCACGACAGCCCCCTTCGATACATCTCTCCTACCAGATCCAGACCGACCAGGATATCCAGTGCCGAGAACGCAGCGATACCTGTCACTTGTTGCACGAGAGAACCACCAAGAAATACTGCCCAAATACCCAGATGACCGAAAAAAAAAAGCCTTAGCGGGCCAGAGGATCACCGTCGACATCACCGTGGGAAATTTGCGGTCTCCAGGACCCATCATTCCTGGGGGGAGATCCACTCCAAATACACCTTCAGTGACCATTCACACTGTTCATGGCCAACGCTCTCCATTGAGTCCGTTAATTAGCGACAAGCTGGTCCCTATGCAGAAAATAATCGAGAGCAGACCGCCAAAAAAGGAACAACGAAAATCGGATCCAACTCCGATCACACACCAAGGCCGATCCGATCGTGAAAAGGTTCGGCAAGCTCGAAGAAGCTCGTGGCTAAACCTGCACGTTCGTCCTCGGACCGCTTCCTTCGTCTTGCTCTCGCCCACACTCGATGCTCCGGATACCCGTTCGCTTTCTTCATTAATTCTCCCCTCCACACGCCTAGGGCCGCGGCAAAGCCCCCCGGTTCAAGGTGGGCTGGGTTGGATCTCGTGCCATGCGCGCGTGCCCTCAGGGACGGCCAAGGCACCCCGTTGGACGCCCGGTGGAGTCCTGCCTTCCACCGCCAGTCCAGAAGCCCGCATTCCGTGGGTTGACACGCGGGAATGGAGTCGATCTTACGCATCCCCCAATAAACTGCCAACAACTGCCACCTGTCTTTACCCGCCGAGACGGTTCAGAGCGGGAGGCCGTACCGTGGGAGCGAAGAGACCGGTGACCACTTATCACCTCCAGGTATATTATTTGGAAATCTGTCCGGCTATATCCATTCCGCAACCTGAGGTTCTCAGGTTAGGATCGCGTTAGTCAGACCCTCCAAGTTCCAACCCTGGACCCCAAACTTGGGGCCGAGTGCTACATCTTCAGGCACTGCCCGGACTACTGCAGAGCCATCGTCCCGGTGGAATCCTGCAGGGACAAAGGTGCAAGTAACAACTAAGAAAGCCAGTTGTCCCAAAGTGGACCCGATCAGCAAAAATTGACCACTTTAGTCAGAGCTAACGGGCGGGCTAGCGATGATGGTGAGTCGTCGGACGGTCTGTGTGCTCTGCTCCCCTCCACTTCTTTCGCCATTCAATCACTCGCGACGTACGGAGCATATTCTCCGTCAAGATTGACTGGCCCTGTGTAGAGAGCAGTCCACACCAGAGCATCGCGCAGTGCGATCGGCAAAAACCTTCAACTAAGGTTTTTGTACATCGCGGGGGCAGATCAAGATCATCAACAAAGGTATTTGGTTGGCACAATGGTCCAAAGGAAGCGTGGCCAAGATGACGGCAAATCTGTGAACGGCAAAGAATGCCGTGGCTGAGTGGCGCGAGTTATTCATGCCGCCACCAAACTGAAATTAAGTATCCAGCAGCATAGGCGATGGAGATGAGAACTACATAGATTGCGACCAGGGGCCGATTGGCTTGTCCGTCGGCAATTTTAAATGGCCGCGCAGGACGGAGTGAGCACTCAAACTACGGAGTAACCAGTTCAAAATCGAACTGTCACACTTGATACTACTAACTGCATACTCCCAGGGAACAAGTCGGCCACGAGTCAGCCAGACACCGCTGCCCCGATACACCGATTCGAGAGGCTCTCAAGGCCCTCCGACTTCCCCAGCTAGAACAAGACATTCTCAGCTAGTGCCATGAGGTCTGCAGGTTCATTGGCAGGGTTCCGTATGCTACTCAAACGCCTTGTTCCACAATTACTCCCCAAAGCCCTGTTCCGCTACAAATCCTCCACGTCTGCCATGTAATCCAAATCAGGGTCCTGATCTAATCAGGCAACTGGAGACCTTGGGCATCAGACGGATACAGTACTACTGTAGTCGGAAATCCGTACTTTGTACTGCCGTTCTCCCATTGCCGAAGTATCCGACGCATCCTTTGCCTAGTAGCCTAACCCGTTCGGATCCTAACATCGATATCGCTAGCGCGGAGTCAGGCCAACCGTTAACCCAATTAAGTTATCTTATCACGGCGCGGGGGAGAGATGTCGGCCGTTACAGGATTTTGTTGCTTCTTATCTAGCAGGTACTGAATACATATGTCCATACTCGATCCAGGGCAGACGTGGACAAACGGGGCGTTCGGATCGGCAACCCACTGCGTGATCCCCTTTCTAGATCGCGAATCAGGGCTGGTGGGGACAGGGATTGTGGAATACAAGCCATAAGGCACTTGCCACGATAGCCGGGACATGTGGGAGGCCGACCTGGTCAAGTCAAGTGGGTGGATGGCCAAGGATTGGCGGTCGTGACGGTTTGATGCCTCGAGTGCGATCATAGGGAAACAAGGTGCACAATATACACAATACTCCTAGGAAGAAATGATCAGATTGGAGAGAGATAACAAAAAATATGACAAGTGTTCATCGCCCCCGCCTCGCGCCTTCTAAATGTAAACGCCGTACGGGATGCAAGCTCGTCTGTGATAGATGTCAAGCCGAGAACCAAATCATCGAAGAAGTCATCCCCGGAAAGAGAGATCAAAAAGGAAGAAAGAGACCAAGCAACCATCTCCATAGCCTGGACCCCTCGGAGGCTAGCATGCAATTCCGCCATAACAATGTCCATGACTCGTCTAGTAGAGAGTGGTGTCCGTATATCTTCATCTTGAAGGATGTATATCAGACCCACCCCGACCAGTCACTCCAGCAAGAGTCTTCAGAGTCATTAAGTAGGTCAGGGCCTCTCCATCATGTAAACTCACACACGCACTTTCCGTAGACCAAATCGTCGAGATATCCCCCATTCATACACCTCCATACCCCCCATTGCAACTATCCACCCCCAATGCACACCCATCACACTCTCACGCAGCAACACGTTTCCTCAACCGATTCGGCTCCCGCTCCAACACACGATATCGGCGGCTCCCGCGCCCGCTAAGTAACCTCTTCAGTGACCATGACCGGCGGACTTGGGGTTCGGACTCGGGCTCGGTGGGATGTATGGCTTGCTGGGGGTGTGCGTGGAGGGCGTTGGGTGTGTTGGAACGGGGGAGGGAAGTTGACGTGGTGAGTGGTTGGGCATCCATTATGCTGGTGAGGTGGGGAGGGGAGAGTGTCTCGGATAAATAATGGTTTGTTCCTCAGGAGGATGCGGTATCTGCACAGCGTGGACAGGGTGTGTTGCTGCACGGATGTATAGTGTATGAGTTAGGTCTGGCAAATGGGTCTCGATGCGGTTCTGATGGCGTTGAGGATAGACAGATAGACAGTTTATCTTGGGTGCTGGGCCAGATTGTCCTTGCGCTTATGATCTTGCTCGGGTATAGTAAGTAGGCAGATGAAGTAGTCAGCTTTGTCACTCTTCTTTCTTCCGTGGTTCTCGGAGATACTGTAGTTGGTTCAGGAACCGGAGAGCGGGGTTGAAGTGGTGGGGCTCATGACGAGGGCCATTCCTCGGGCTGAAGTCGATCTTGGTCGCTTTTTTCCTCGGGTCTTGCATTTACTGAGTAGAAGTCATGGGTTGTGGTCATGTGGTTCTGTGCCTGTACCCAAGGTCGAGTCTTCCGCAAACCGTCCGCCCCGTGATCGAACCCTCGATCTCTCGGTCCATACAAACGATCTCGCGACACACTCAGATGCTCAAGTACATCACCGCGATGCTCGCCTTCCAGATATCACAGCCAAATACCACCAAAACCCTTTTAGATCTTATAAAATATCTCTGAAAATATAATTAATATATTCTTATTCTCATAATAGTCATTACTATCTAAGAATCATGATTCAATAAGGGCAAAAATTGGACCGTGGTGGTGGTATCTATGTCTTGGTAGCATAAAAAAGAAGTAACCCTCCACCTTAGAGGACCCCATTCGTTTCCCCGGGAATTTACCCACGCCTCATGGACGTCGAACCCCGATGAGACGTCCAGTGGTAATACCACTAGGCTATTAAGGGGGGGAGGGTTACTGGGGGAAACTGGAACTTGGTGATAACCTCAATTTCCTTTACATTTCCTGTATATCATACGAGTCCGAACACTAGATTTTCCTTTCCCGTTCCGTACTTTGTAGAGCTCGTAGAGGCTGGAATATAGATATACTAAGCCCCATCGGGATCGTGCGGCTGTCGAGACTTGATAGCAGAGTCCATTGGGGGTTGAATGGAGAGAGTCATTGATTCCAGGGTGGAAAGATATAGCTGTATAACTATTCTCTGTGCTTCGTTGGCTGGAAGATTCTTGTCCGTACAAAAGGTTACAAGCAATGGTCTTTGTTCTCCGATCGTCTGGAAAATGGAAGATTTCTAAGGTTGTTAATTAAAATTTAACAGTTTTGATGTATATAATACAAATAAGTGTTGGCATACCAAGTCAAAAATGTATATCTCGATCTGGTTCAAAATAGAACTCGTGTTTGACTATGGGGAGTTATATGGCAGATGCTCAGTCTCGAGTAATACACAGAGTTGAAAAGCACCTCAGTCCCAATACCCCGAAAAAATCAAGTCTCCCGTCGTTTCAAATTGACGATACTCTGGACCCTGATTGATGGAGGTTCCAATGATCCCTGCCCACATTGAACCCACCTCACGCGACCGACCGCGGGGGAGTCGATCTATACCCCAGTCGAATCAGTCTTTGGCACATCGCTTAGCGATAGGCCCTTCAGAGTAAACTTTCACATCTTTGCCCTACAGTCGACAAGACGAAGGCCCGATTAGGGTAGCAGAACGCGCACAGAACGGAACAAAAAACCCCGCATCACTCGGAATGAGCAGGAAACCTAGGGCATCACCTCGTCTTCTCTATTGGGTGGAACATCTCGGAGATGTTAGTGCTCTAGACCTGTCGGTTGGCCTCAACTTGTCGGTCTGGTTGTTTTTTAAACCCCCGATGGGGTCTTCGCGCATGGAATGCGCTGGGTTCTTTTTCTTTCGTCTCGGCCATTTATGTTCCTAAACTACCGCTGGCGGTCTGGTACTGTGTCCTACACTCCTACACCTCTTGAGTATTTGAAGAACAGACATTCCCAGTTCAGTCTGGAGAATTTTGGCCTGTGGCTATTTCCTTGCTTCCCTTTTTCTCAGTCGACATCGGCCCAGTATATACTTCCGCCCGCTCCACCGTCCGTTTTCGCACAGCGACCACCTCTACACCGACATTCTGCAGGTTGAGTGCTACACGGAACTATTCAAAAGGGACCCAGAACTTGCTGCACTGGATATGGCCCCACTGTGGATATTCGTTGCCCTCGGATATCTCCTTCTCTATGCCTTTGCCTCGCTACAAACGCGAGAATGGCGCGTTGTCATCGCGAGCCGGCTCTCACCCTGATAGAAGTCAAGGTCTTTTCCGAGATTGGGCGCGCGACTGAACAGTATATCAAACCTGTTCTCTAGTGCGGAGGTTCGACTTGCAAACAAAGCAGCAAAAAGCTTGACCTCCGGTGGACGATTGTTCACCGATCCCGAAAACTGCCTCCATCCACGAGGATTCTCGACCTCGTCGAGGATTTTTTTACTATGAGTTATGACGATCTGATTTCACGATACGATACCCAACGAAAGTGTTGTTTACACTCTATGCAATCTGATTTTTTGAAATGGCCTGTTCGTAATTAAATGTGGTCTTGCTGTCTGGCACAACTTCGGATAACTCAACAGGAAGTTTTGGCCGCGCTCACGGCCTGTGGCACGAGCTATTCCATTAGAGAGGCTCCCAAGAATGGCAAAAACTTGGAATCATACCCAGTTGGCTACGTATAAACTAGAGAGAAAGGTGTGACGGGTTCAAGCGCTGCTATAGAGCGGAACCACTCCAGGCTCCCTATACCCGACTCTGCTTTTAGGCTCGCTAGATTATATATCAGCCCTGGCTAAAGGATCCTACTAAGGTAGACTAGTATCATGTGTTACTCGTCTTGCTACAATTTCGGAACAGAATGCACCTCCTTCCCATTTTCTTTGTTTGTATTGAGTCTATCAAAATGGTAAGAGAGAAGGCTAGCTATTCGTCATGGCCTCGAGATATGTCTTGTGTAGGTGTAAGGCAAGAAGAGGTGAATTCCCTCCCATCTTACCAGCAGGTAAATTGATTTGAGCGATGACCGTATCAACTCAACCACACCCAGGGTAAGACCCTAGAGCGTGGGACACCCTCGTTAGGTGTGAATCAGGCCAACCTACCACCGGGCGACATCCATTCGAGATAAGCCTGAGCATGGGCTTGGGAAAGGATATTCCACGAGCGTGGTTTCCATCATTTCATCAACGTCGTGAAGACTGTGAGCCTGAAAAGCTAGAAACACACAAAAACTCGAACAGCAGACCCAGCACTTAGGCAAGGGTGCATACGATTTCTTCGGTAACAGCACTCCAAACGCAGAGCTTTTTTTTTTTTGTTTAGAACCAGATCTTGATCAGCTCCTCGCTGACAGCACTGGGAGTCAAGACACCGCTATCGGTGATCAGCGCAGAGATCAAGTGTGGTGGTGTGAAATCGACCGAGTCAGAGAGAGGCAGCTCGATCGGCTTGTCGCCATTAGCGTCCGCCGACAAGTTCTGCTTCCTCTTTTTCTCTTCAGCAATATCATCCGCAGACTTGAAGTCGACGACGTGCTGTTCAATTGGCAGGTCGTACTGGCCCAGCGGGAAGAGACGGACGAATTTGTGGCTCTCGGCCACCACATAGAACGGCTTGCCAATCGCCTTGGCAAGCAAGCCGATTTGATAAGTGCCCATACGGGACACAATTCCTCCATTCTCCACGACACCCTCAGCGCCAACAATGACCATGTCAGCCTTTCCAAGGGCATAGGCCACCGCCGACTCCGGGATGGTGGAAACCGGTACACCCTTGGCACGCAGAGCGCGTACCGTCTCCATACCCTCGGGCTCTCCAGATGGCTCCTCGATGTTCTGACTGATTGAAGACAAGACGTAGATCACCCGGAAGCGCACTGCAGATGGACCACCCTCCTCGTCCGCCGCTTTCTGAAGTAGCGATGCTACTGCTCTGGAACCACCATTAGTGAGTACCGTGCAGCCATCGCGAATGAAGCCGCGGCCGAACGCAGCGATTTTCTGTCGGCTCTCCTTCGCACGTCGGATGAATAATCGACCATTTGACAGAAGATGTGTGCGAATGGCCTTGAAGTCCCCAGCAGGGCCCAGTTGGCCCGGCCGTTGTAATGTGGTAATGAGATAGCGCTGGAAGAGATCTGTGCCGGCCGACAAACCGATGGGGTTGGGAATCGACCGTTTCAGGTGGGCAGTGGATTTTTCTAGGAGATCGAGAGTTTCGGAGATCGTCGAGGAGGGTGAGTGTGTGAGGACATGCACGAGCGCTTCAATAGCAGCGATAGGCATGGTGATGTCGGGGTCGGAGTGTAGGAGCTCATTGTATGTCGCAACGATGCTAGGGGCGACGGGGTCAGCGTAGGGTCTTGGGATCTCGAAAATCTTGAATACTCACTCAAATGGCTTCGAGCCGGCCGCAGCCGTCTCCTCTGTAGTCGTCGCCATGGTGTTGCCTGGAGCTATGAGATGAGTTGAGTCGTGAAAGAGTCACGATTTCTTTGGGCGATGGGCAGTGTTTGTCTTGTTTGCTTCGTGCCCCTCAGCGTTGAACTAGCCTAATGCGGTCGGGTGTGCGGGCTTCCTCTCCAAAGTAAACAATTGGTCGCAAAACCATAACAACGCTCAACCCCGACACCTCACCACCCTGCTCCTGGACAGTCTTCCCAAAGCTCAAGTGCATACCGGCCGCTGTGGTCTTGGGACACTATGGCGTACAACCATCGAATGAGCATGGCTGGCTCCCAACAGCACCAGAATCGGACCCGCAAGAAGGAAGACGACAATGACGCATTGATGCGCCTGGTGAGTCGCGATTGAATTCGACCCTGATGGGTATTGTTGGATTACTGGAGTTACCACTGACGCGATTACAGCCTGATAAAGAGATTGCAGGATGTATCAACGACATTGGAATCCCCTTTACCGCGGCCGACCTGATGAAACCCAATGCCCAACAAATTCAGATGGTGTTCGAATGGTTCGCAGAGCTTCTTATGAACATTACACGCGAGACGGTAGAACCAGCGATGCACGCAGCCGCCGAAGATCTCTGCGGCGACTACCCCGACATCATTCCCAATGACACGCGCAATCTCATGGGATTCTTTATGAGCATTCGGACATTACTGGCGGAGGTAATTGATCAATCCCCTACCGGCGACGCAAACCTATTGCTAACAGCTCATGTTTCCGTCAAGTGCGGAGTTAATGACTTCGCCTTCACCGATCTGACAAGACCAACTCACGATCGACTCATCAAAATCTTTTCTTACCTTATCAACTTTGTCCGTTTCCGCGAGTCGCAAACCCTGGTGATCGATGAACACTTCAACAAGACCGAGAAGACTAAAGCGCGAATCGATCAGCTCCTGGCCGAGAATCAAGAGATGCAGCAACGCTTGGCCGAGATGCGACGAGGTCAGCAGGCCAACGAGATTCAAGTTCGAGAGAAAGTTGCCCGAAATGATGCGCTCAAGGCACGGCTTCGTGAATTGGGGGCTGAGCAGTCACGGGTAGCTGAGACCCTCGATCGAGTCAAGGGTGACAGGGCGCGGCGGCAACAACAGTTGGAGGAGAAGACTGAGAGGACAGTGAGGAGTCGGCAAGAAGCAGAGAAGCTACGACCTTACGTACTTGAATCGCCCGCCACCCTGCAATCTTCCCTGACTGAGCTGGCCGAGAATTTGATGCGCGAGAAGGCACAGATTGACGCCATGGAACGGCGTGCTCGGGCTCTTCAGACATCATCCGATACGTTTACTGTGGTTTCAAATGACGTTCAGGGATGCGTCAGGCTGCTCGAAGATATTTCCACCGAGCTACAGAAAGAGGATGAAGAAGAGGCTCGTGCCGCGCGGAACAAGGATGCTATCTCTGACAAGGGAAATACCGTGCGGGAAGTTGAGCAGACAGAAAAGCTTCTGCAACGCCAATTGGTACGGTGGCAGGAACGCATTGAATCGCTGCGCAAGACGGCACAGGAAAAAGCAGAGGTAGCGCAGATCCGAATGGAGGAGCTCCGAAATGTGCAAAAACAGCTTCGAGAAGAGCGTGCAGAGAAGCAACGGGATATGGAGCGGAGACGCATTCGGATCGAGCAGACAGAGAAGAAGGTGAGTCTCGCATACACGGCGGCAGACATCAACTACGTACTGACTTAATACCTAGATGGTTGATCTCAAAGAGAAGATCGAGAGCGAGATTCAAGCGGCCCATGACCAGTATCTCAAGTTGGAGTCCCACATCAAGCTCTACATCACCGAGATGGAGAAGTCGTTGTGAGCCCTTCACCTTTCGTGGATTTTACGTATGGATCAGGAGTTCAGCGGTCGGCACCAGGATACCCGGACAGTGCGGATTCATTTATCTTTTCATGGAGTTTCATCACACTTGCAGTTTTGGCTTGTATTTTTGGCTTGTATTTTTGGCACCACCGATCAATATCATATCTCTTCATGCATGCCTCGGTCGAATTCGAACCAGCGTTGTGCAACTTGCTTTATGGGCACACCCCGTCCACCCCAGGTCCCTTCTTCGCCGCGCAAACGGACTGAGCCGTTCAGTAGAGGCACTTGCGTATCCCATAGTTTGTCTCCCCAGTAGGGGCTCATAGTGTCCACGGCATTGGTACACTCGCAGAGCATCAGGTCCACGTTGGCCCGTGAAGCAGACTCGACCGAAGCTGCAAATGACCTCGACAGTCCCTGCGCAGAGAACTCTATAGTGGGGACATGCAAGGCTACCATGTCGAGGATGACGAGCAACGGGTTGCTTCGGCTTCTTTCTGGCTCAGAATCATAGTGTGGAGTATCGACTGGTCTGAGAACTGCAAGGTATGCTCGGAGACTTTCGACAGATGGACAGAACGCCAGTTGAATTCTGCTTGAGTTTGCTAGTAGTCCAATGGTCTTGGTGAGCAGATCATGGCGCGGTGCGGCATTTGAATCAGCATGTTGTGCCCGTATAGCCCAAGATAATTGTATGAGCAACTCGGCCTTGGTCCCACACACAATCAGGCGAGTGTCTGCGCCGGCATCGATAAGTTGTTGAAGTAGATCGGTCACCAACCCGAAAGAAGCGACGGATCGTGTCAAACCCATGACGTTACTATCAGCTGCGGCAGGTCGGCGAGAATCTGCAGGTCGCACGCGCGGTCACCAGTCTCGAGAAGCGATCCTTCCGGCCTGGAATCATGGCTGTCTGATGTCTGCAGCCATACAAGCTCTTGGGAGTGGGGATTGAGTGACTCTGAAATTGGAGAGCGATTGAGTCCGTTCTCCCCGTGCCGCGGAGGTCATGCTCTCCTCCGCCTTTGGTTTCCCCCACCTCTCTTCTCCAACCTCACCCAGTCAATTCTCACATTGTTTGGACTGGGCCCCTCAGAGGCTGGAATTAGAATGGAGACTATTTCCAGAATATCCTCGATGCTGGAAACAGGTAAGTCTAGCTCCTCAACGTCCAAAGCGCCCCTCGCCGAACCGGAAAGCTGACCGTGGCACGTCACTGTGCGCATAGCTCGAGAGCTCACCCTAGAAGCCGCCCAGTCCGCTGCAAGCAATCGCAGCTCGAATATCGACTATAGCTCGCGTACATACAGCGTGCCACATATCAAGAAGCTTCTGGACAGTCGCCATGAGCGGGAGGTGCTGGATGGGATGCGGAGGGTCATTTCGGTATGAGACGGGACGATCGGGGGGTCTCTTGCATGAGGATGTATCGGCTAACATGAATCTCTCCATGGCTTCTCTAGTTGATGTACCGCTCCGAACCTTCTCTTACGTTCTTCTCCGCCGTGGTCAAGAATGCTGCCAGCGCCAACCTCGAAGTCAAAAAATTGGTTTACATTTACCTCGTTCACCATGCGGAGGCCGAGCCGGACCTGGCGTTGCTATCCATCAACGCGATCCAGAAGTCCCTGACGGACCAGAATCCTCAAGTACGAACACTGGCTTTGCGAACTATGTCGGGTATTCGAGTTCCGGTCATCAGCCAGATCGTCTCGTTAGCTATCAAGCGAGGATGCGGCGATATGAGCCCACATGTACGGAAGGCAGCAGCGTTAGCTATTCCCAAATGCTATCGTTTGGACCCGAATACGCTGCCACAGTTGACAGGATGTATTTCCACTCTACTTGGAGACCCTCAATATTTTGTCGTGGGCCCCGCGGTCTCTGCGTTTTTGGAAGTCTGTCCGGATCAAATCGACTTGATCCACAAGCATTACCGCAGCCTGGTCAAGAAGCTGGTCGATATGGATGAATGGGGTCAACTTGCGACCCTGCGTCTCTTGACCGTCTACGCACGAAAATGTTTCCCCCGCCGGACCCAGAAGATCAAACAAGCCGTCACCACAAAATCATTCTACGATGATGATGATGATGATGCTCATGACACGAACGACCAGGGTGACGGACCCGAGTACGAAGTCCCGATCCTTGATCAGGATCTCGAGCTTCTTCTACGGGCATGCAAGCTACTGCTGCAAAATCGCAATTCTGCCGTCATTGTCAGCGTCGTCCGTTGTTTCTTCTATCTCGGAACGCCCGAATATCTCAATTCGGCCATCGGCCCCCTGGTGGCACTTCTCAGAAGTCCCCAGGATATGCAACTCATCGCTCTATATAACATTGTGACAGTTGCTCTGAGGGATCCCAAGCCGTTTACTAAGTATATTGCCCGCTTCCTGGTTCATGCGAATGATCCACCGCACATCTGGCGTTTGAAGCTGGAAATCTTGACCATCATCTTCCCCTACTGCGGAAAGCATTGGAAGGGTGTCGTTATTAGTGAACTGGAGCATTTCTCCAAAGGCACCGACCCTGAACTAGTTCGAGAGAGCGTGCGGGCCATTGGACGCTGTGCCCAAGGAGATGCCTCCACTGCAGATATGTGTCTGCGTATTCTTCTCAACCAGATCTCTAGTTTGGATGGTAATCTGGTGTCCGAGTCTCTGACAGTGATCCGCCACCTGATTCAGCAAGACCCGTCCACGCATAAACAGACTGTCATGAGACTCGTCACGCATCTTGGCACAACGACCAACCCTGACGCTCGAGCTACTATTATCTGGCTGGTGGGAGAATTTGCAGGTGCGGATCCAGGACATAACATTGCACCCGATGTGCTCCGTATCCTGATCCAGGGATTCGCCGACGAGACCGAGGTTGTCAAGCAGCAGATTGTGCTTCTCGGAGCCAAAGTGTATCTTCACCATCTTCTTCAAACCTCCCCTCCGGAATCATCAGAGCCTGTCTCCTCCAACCCAGAGACTGCAACCAACCTGGGACAGGCAATCCACAACGAGTGGACAGAGGAACAAAATGAGGAAAGAAAGGTCTCAGATGAGCTTCAACAACCCGAGGATGCCAAGGAAGAAAGCGAAGACCGCATTACTCTTCTTTGGCGCTACATCCTACTCCTTGCACGCTACGATACCTCATACGACCTCCGCGATCGCGCCCGTTTGTATAAGGCGCTTTTGGCCACCCCGTCGTCTACGCAGTTAGCCAACCTGCTACTCCTCGCTCCTAAGCCTGTCCCGCACGCCCCGAGCCCCTCCGAAACACGCAAAGACCTAATCCTCGGCACCGCCACACTGGTCGTTGGCCAAGATGCCGGTTACCATGGCCTTCGAGGTTATTCTAATCTTCCCGATTGGGTAGAGTCAGGCAAAGAGCCCGACTCTAACCTTAGAACCGAAGATGTCAAGCCAGAGTCGACAACCCTCCAGAGCGCTATGACTGCCGGCGCGCGACTTGACAAGGCGCTCCGCGAACACGAGAACATCGCGCCGCCCCGGCGAGATGGCACCTCAGCGGCAGGAGGGCCATCTGGCAAGAAGACTTTAGACCAGTGGCTCGATGAGGAGGAGGAAGAGACCGAATCTGAATCTGAGACTGAGGGGGAGACTGACTCAGAGGAGGAAACCGACTCTGAAGAGGACTCTGAGGATGAGGATGATGAGGACTCGGAAGAAGAGGAAACTGATTCCGAGACCGAAGCGGTGCATATGGAGGCTCAGCAGCTGCTTGGTTAGACTGGTCCCTGTCATCTGGAGGCTTTTCGTTTTCTTGCATGCATAGCAGGGGTCTCGATTGGGTTGATTTAAATGCATTAGAGTTGATATCGTATCTACATCTGGAAAATATGTCCCACATACTTGACTTTGTCTGATTGGGTAGGCAGGCTGTGTAGACTCATCTAGAAGAGAGCAAATTAATATGACAGACTTGGCATTCACACTGTTATATGTAGCGTTATGCCGTATAAGAATGCTGGTAGAATGTCTCGGGGCTCCTTCTGTGGTCCAGTGGTTCCGCCGATCTAGCGAGGAACTACGGAATAGGAAGCCGATCACGTGCAAAGTACCGAAGTTGGACGATGACCCGGAAGGCGGTATTGTCTGGCAGAACTCGCCAGGCGATCAGGTCGGAGAGCCGCCAACATGTTGACGACCTGTCTGAACAGAGCAGATCCAGCGCAATTGTTGCAGTGGTGAATTTGTTTCGTGGCCATGATGCATGTTGTCCACCATCCGTTCACATCTATTTCTCGTTGATCCCGCTCTTTACAATCTCGTCCCATCTCTTCTCGGCCTCCCCTCTCTTCGGCCCGGCAGAGCATACCGAGTCGTTCGTCTGCTGCTACGTTCTGGAAGTCTTGCGTTTGGCTTGAACCCTTCTGGCCCCGGGGCTGAGGTCTCGTTCGTTTTGAGTACTCGTTTGGATTGTGCACATAGCACGTCGCCACAATGCCTGGTCTACCTAGTAAGTGCTTCGATGGGAGTAATGCGACATCGGCCCGAGGTTATATGTTCTAACGTTGGTCTTAGCTAGTATCGACCTGGATGAGTGCATTGCACGGCTTTACCGGAAAGAGTTGCTCGCCGAGTCGGTTATCGAGGCTGTCTGTGCCAAGGCGAAAGAGCTCTTGATGAAGGAGAGTAATGTGGTTCATATCAAGGCCCCGGTTACCGTTGTGGGAGATATTCATGGCCAGTTTTTTGATTTGCTGGAGATATTTCGGATTGGTGGATTCTGCCCTGATACGAATTATCTGTTTCTGGGTTAGTAGTCGCGGCCTCGTGTACCGATCGTTCAGGGTGTCTGGCGAGAATGCTGACAGTGATTCTTGTACAGGAGATTACGTGGACCGCGGTCTTTTCAGTGTCGAAACTATATCCCTCCTCGTCTGTTTGAAGCTTCGATACCCGGATCGAGTCCACCTTATACGCGGTAATCACGAATCTCGGGGTGTCACCCAGTCCTACGGCTTCTATACGGAGTGTGCGCGCAAATACGGCAATGCCAATGTATGGCATTATTTCACCGATATGTTCGACTACCTGACGCTAAGCGTGGTGATCAACGATGAGATTTTCTGTGTGCACGGTGGACTGTCTCCTTCAATCCACTCTATCGATCAAATCAAGATTATCGATCGATTCCGCGAAATCCCCCACGAAGGACCGATGGCTGACTTGGTTTGGTCTGATCCGGACCCTGACCGTGATGAATTTTCGTTATCTCCACGAGGTGCTGGCTATACATTCGGAGCACAAGTTGTTCGAAAGTTTTTGGAGGTCAACAACATGTCGCATATTTTGCGAGCCCACCAGCTCTGTAATGAGGGGTACCAAGTCCTTTTTGACGACCGTCTGAGTACGGTCTGGAGTGCTCCTAATTATTGCTACCGCTGCGGTAATTTAGCCAGTGTCCTTGAGGTGGGCGATAACATGGAGCGTTTCTTTAATATCTTTGATGCTGCCCCGGAGAACGACATTCACCGCAGTGAGCAGCAGGCACAGCAGAGCAGGGATTCTCAGCCAGTGATTGACTATTTCTTGTGATACCCCTGGGTTTTTTTTTCAATTGCTTTGTTATTTTGTTCATGCTTGGCTACATATGGGTTTCTTGCACCGTACAGGAGTTTGGGGGGGGGGGGGGCAAATAGAAAATTTGATTTGACTGCACGCTCACAGATGTCAAGACTTTGCTATTTCGTACTTGAAGTAGAAACATGTCATATCTCAGACATCGCACATTCGCAGAAAATAAAAATAGACAAGGAACAAAAAAAGAATACAGCCCGACATCCTATAAGGCTCAGAGCGTTCGGTTTAAGAAACGGTGCGGTATCAAAGACAAGGCCGGCCCAGAGCATGGGCCATCTCTACCAGGCTTTTGGTATCAAGGAAATTCGTCACGCTTGGAAAAAACAATGGGCCGCTCAAGAACTCAACGCAGTTTAACATTCCAAGAGATGGAGAGGAGAAGGTCCTGATTTACCAGTCCTTGGCAATATCGAAAGACCACTCGAACAGCAGGTGAGTGTGGTCATCATCGTCGACGAACTTGGAGACGGCATTGTAGTGACCGCGGGCAAGCATGCCGGAGGGGGCCTCTTCCTCATTGACTGGAAAAGACAGAGATTAGCGGAAATTCTTCATTCACAGTGACAAAAAAGGATTTTGAATACTTACACTCCTTGGTGTAGGAAGGCTTGTCGGTAGTGTTGGGAGCATAGCTGCCAAGCATCTCCTGGTCCTTGCTGACACGGATACCCTTGCGCTTAACGGCCTGGATGTACTTGAGGCCACTGAGCACATCGTGGTGAACCTGGAAGACAACCTTGATGTGGAACTTGGCACCCTCCTTGATGGTGAAGGGCTTGTCCTTGAGGCTGTTCACGGCACCGGGGGCTGACAGCTCGATCACGACGTCGGGGCGGCCCTCGGTGACCAAGGCCAGGGACTTGATCACGCACTTGGGGTCGTTGGGCTTGCCGATGGGCTCGCCGGAGTTAAGGCCCAGCGAGGCCTTCCAGCGGTTCATGGCTTCATCGTCCTTGTCTGGGGAGGGCGGAAAACATGTTAGTGAGGCGGGTACGCAACGGAGGTTAACCGTCCACTATGGGGAGACCGATCGGCCAGGGCAATTGCAGCATCGAGAGATCACGACTTACCAAGCTCCTGGTACTCCTGAAGAGTCTTCTTCTCGCCAATCTTGAAGCCCTCGGTCTTCTGGGCGGCGAGATCGTCGTCGTGGTGGTCGGTCATTTTTGAGATTGATAGAGGGGGCGGGGTATGGGACCCAAACAATGGATGCGGAGCGATAAGGGGGGTTAGAGAAGAAGGTACGCTGTCAACAATGGGAATTGTACGGCGAAAAAAGGCTGGGAACGAAGAATGATGACGAGAAGAAAAACACAATGAGGGGAAAAGAAGAGGAGAAACTGGTCAGGAAGGGTTGTCTCCTGATTGCGTCTGGTGGGGTCGTGGAAAGGCGGTGGACGAGCAAGAAAGAGGGGCGAGGCTATTCGGATCACCATCGGGTCCTGTTGTACATGTCCCGGTGGGTATGCAGATACGGAGTACACGAAATGCAAGGTAAGTTTTCTGTCTATGCGAGGTTATTTCTACACCAGAACTTAACTATAGTATGAACTATGAAGGAGAAACATAAAGCGCGTTTCTCTGAAGATGCCCCTCTATACTTGTCTCCCGGTAAGGACAGGCTCCATAACCATGAGAATGTACCGTAATAATGTAAACACTCTCGTCCCGGCTGTACACGTAGGTGCTTACTGCCACTCTGATCTAGGCCCCAAGACCACCCATTTTTGAGACTCAGATTCGATCGTTGCCATTGGAGTGTGGCCAATGGCTCCACTTGAACGCACGTAGAGACGGCCCGACTTGGGGCATGAGGATCGTTTGAAGTAAATAGAAAGCCACGGTTATCTAGGTGGAATCGCCGACAAAAAATAATCGGCATAGCGAAAAAAACTCGCCTCCAAAGACAGTTGCCAGCTTGCATGTCCATAGTCAACTGTGGAATATGTATAGAGAGATACGTGGAAGAGAGTTACTACTGTAGTACAGTAGTCGTAGCTTTTGTATACTCCAAACACGGAGAATGCGTTTATGCGTGAGGCATGAAAATATATATGCCTTACTGCCTGGGAAATGGGGAATCCCAGATCACGGGGTCACGGGGCCAACGCCCGCCCAACAAGAGTGGAAATATGAATACGCGGGATAGACTGCATTGACCAATCATATCTTCCCAATATCCCGAGTACAATACCTGTACCATCCTCAAACCGGCCCTTACCGGAAACAGCCAAGAGCCAATACTGCTGGAAAGTGCCTCTCATTCCCCGTTCCCCCCGTCGCGAAAGGGTGCCTTTTCTCCCCTGACTATTGCCTTCCCCTTATCCTGCTGTCGTCTCCTTTTTTTTCGGTGTCGGTCAATCTTATTGTTTGACTTGGTTGTGGCGCGTTGATCTCTGGCCTCCCGCATCCATCTGTCCCCTCGGTGGACTGCTCCGATCCCGTCAATTCTCCCCCCCCCCCTCCAGCGACGCGCCTGCTACGTGGCCGCCGTGGGCGCATTCTCTCGTCCTCGTTCGCATCCCACCTGCCACCTCCCACCTCCCCTCCCCAATCTGATTAATCAGTTTCCATTCTGTTCATCATGTCGCGATCCCTACCGAAGAAGAACAACCCGCTGATCCTCACTGATGTGGCTCCGCCATGTAAGTTTTCCACGAGACGCGCGTGTGGTCGCGCGACTGCGCATGTACCCATTAGCCCGTCCTGTCGTGCACCCGAAACCCCCCATCACCACTTGTCGCTAATCCATCCCCTTTGTTCTGTGCGACTGCAGATGAGGATCTTCTTGCGCGCCGCCGTCTGGGCAAGACCAATCTCTCCGTCAAGCCTACCCAAATCGGCACATCCAATGCGACAAAGCCTGAGAACCTAGGCCTGTTCGAGTATGCCCACCTTCGGGCTCCTCTGCCCAAGGACTTGCAGGGCTCAGAGATCTTCCCATCACACTCTCCCGCACAGCACCCCGAGACTTACTTTTTGATGGTAAGAAGCCACCTCAATCGCCCGCGCCATGTCGCAAAGTACGGCTTTGCTAACATTCCGTGTGGGGAAATAGCGGAGGAGTAAAGATGGGTTTGTCAGCGCGACAGGAATGTTCAAGATCGCATTCCCTTGGGCCAAGACCGAAGAGGAGAAGAATGAGAGAGAGTATCTGAAGTCGCGCGAGTACACAAGCCAGGAAGAAGTTGCTGGCAATGTATGGATCTCTCCTGAATTCGGTAAGCCAACCTGCACGTCATCAGCCGTCAAACAACTCTCTAATTGACTTTTTTTTCTTTCAGCGCTGGAGCTTTCCAGGGAATACAAGATGTACGATTGGGTCCGCGCCCTATTGGATCCTACCGATATCGTCCAGAGCCCGACAAGCGCGAAGAAGCAAATCACTCCTCCACCCAAATTCGAACTGCCCATGGATGAGCCAACCTCAATGCGCCGGAGCCGCCGGTCAGTCTCCCCGAGCAAGAAGTCTACGTCTCCGCGCAAGTCTCGGACAGCCCGCTCTGCCAAGGATGTCATGAGCACCCCGTCTACAGCCGCTGCCAACAGTAACCTCCAAGAGGCTCTCGAGATGACCGCTTCAATGGAGGCTTCAGCAAACAGCCCCATCCGTCCGGTTGTGCTAGAAGAGGTGGAAGTGAAGGAAGTCACGGTGCAAGGATCACCGGAGAAGAAGAAGGGACGCAAGCCTAAGAAGGCCGCTGCGGAGACTGAGGAGGGCAAGCAAGAGGAAGATGAGGAGCAGAAGGACAAAAAGAAGGCCGAAAAGAAGGAGAAGAAGAAGACCGAAAAGCCAGAGAAGAAAAAGAAGGAGACCAAGGAAGAGACTGAGATTGAGGTCACCGTAGCTGCTCCGGCCACGGACGATGCCCAAAAGACCACTTTCACTCTCGATATGCCTATTTCTCTTCCGGAGGTACCATCTGCCGCCGAAACCCAGGAGATGATCGCTAAAGCTAAGGAGATGGTGGAGGATGCCATCAAGAGCCAGGCCGACGGCGCTGTGGCCGGGTCATCATCTGTCAAGGTGACCAAGAAGCGCAAGCCCGTGGAGGAAGATGACGAGGAGACTGCGGCCGAGGCAGCTCAACGGGCCAAGAAGGCCAAGGTGCTTGAGGACAAGTTGAAGCGCGAGCGGGTGCGCAACCGCGCTCTCTTTGGTGTCTCGGCAGCTTTTGCTCTTGCGTATGTGCTGATTTCCTTGGCTATCGACTGAACAATCTGTTTACTAACCAGGCTTCTAGTGCAACCATTCCCTATTTCTTCTAGATCTATTCTGCCCTCCGGCCTGGATCAGCCGGCTTGCTTTGATTACCCTGCTCGAGCTTCCAGTCTTGAATATTCGCTTTTGTTGACTCCCGACCTCCCCCTGTGTTGTCTTGTGATGAATCGTTGAATAGCTTCTTCAGATTTCGGAGACACAGCTACCATTCATTCATGTCCTGCTCGCTCGTTCTGCTTGCCATAAGCTGAGCAGCATCTCCACCCTTTACCAAATTTCTCTATTCCTGATCTTCCTTTTCATTCCCCTTGTCGTTATGATAAATATATTCCTTTCCAGTCATGATGGATTTCACTAGTCCAGAACCCTCTATATTTTCTAATATTCGCCCCTCCACTTGCCCGGTGAAATCCCAATCCTCCCTTGCAATCACCTGAAACGCAAAAGAGAACTGCACCATTCAGTCTCTAATTCTCTTGCGCCCCTATCTTACAATACCTGACGAGTGGCTCTCTCGATACCACTTCCCTGATTCCCGCCTATGCTGTTTGCCGTTTGAATGCGGCTGTAGTCAAGAGCTGTTAGCTTAGTGATGGCTTTGAAGTCTGTTCAAAATTCAATTCATGTGAAAATAATATTCATCCAAGCATAGACAAGATGGAGGCTGCAACTAAAAGAATCAATTTAAGCCTCGAAGCGCTGCCTAGCAAACGACGTAACCATCTGGGCTAACTGCGTGGAGGCAGCTTTGCGGGCGAGGGCCAGTGCAAACAGTTAAAACACGGCGGAGTCGGTCGAGCTCCATGATCTTTGTGCATCTCTCCGCAATTCCGATTGAACCCAATTCCTGAGCTTTTCCTCTCCTACCTTCGTCGCTCTTAGCTTAACTTGCGCAAAGAGACTTTGGCGAGGAAATGTCTCTCCCGGGCTTGGAGCTGACGCAGCCGTCGGAGAGGGTGTTGGCTGTCGCTCCGCCGTCGCAAATCGCCTTGAAGGCTGGGTCTGAATGGCGCTTCGAAGTTGCATTTGGACATATCGTGAGGGTCAAAGTACGTGATATTCCTTATATCCCGATATCGCAGGTGGCAGGCGAATCTGAATTGCGAAATATATGGCATTGCTAACCTCACCGTTGCTGTAGCTTCTCACCGGCACCGCCGAGCTCTTCGGCACTGAGCTCGCCGAGTCGCAAACTTATACCTTTTCCGGCACCAAGGCGGCAATCTACACATGGTATGGATGTGAATTGGAGGTCAGCGCTGGGGATACTGGTACTGTTACGTCTGATGGAGTGACACCCGTGGCTGGTCATGGCGCAGGCGGCTGCCAGAGCGAGTACACCGCGGAAGAGACGCCCATGATTGAGTACGCCAATCTCCACTTCGCGCTGGAGACAATGCGCCAGGAAGCGCAAGGGTCGGGCAAGGACGGCCCTCGTGTCTTATTGCTGGGACCTGATGATGCGGGCAAGACGAGTCTCGCGAAGATCTTGACGGCCTATGCGACAAAAGTTGGTCGGCAGCCATTGGTCGTGAACCTGGACCCGACTGAAGGCATACTCAGTGTTCCGGGTACTCTCACTGCAACCGCTTTTCGGACGATGCTGGACATCGAGGATGGCTGGGGCAGTAGTCCCATGTCTGGACCGAGCCCGGTCCCTGTGAAGCTTCCGCTCGTCTACAGCTACCCACTGGCTAACCCTCTCGACGCCGAGGGCTCAGTTTACCGACCCATTGTGTCACGTCTAGCCTTGTCGGTAACGGGCCGCTTGGCGGAAGACGAAGAAGGTCGCGAAACGGGCATCATCGTTGATGCTCCCGGCATTCTCAGCTCCGGCAAACCAGGGAGTCTAGAGCTGATCAACCACATTGTGACTGAGTTCGCCATTACAACCATCGTCGTCCTCGGATCAGAGCGTCTCTACAGTACCATGGTCAAGCAATATGACAACAAGCCCAGCGCCAGCGCCTCGGCCACCATCTTCGACGAGCGCATTTCCGTCCTGAAGTTATCTAAATCAGGCGGCTGCGTTGATCGTGACGACGCATTCCGCAAAGCTACCCGCGAGTCACAGATCCGTTCTTACTTCTTCGGCAATCCAATGCCTACCACCGCATCAGCGGCTCTCTCCCTCTCAGCATCATCCACATCCGGCGTGACTCTCTCCCCACACGCCCAGGTAATGGACTTTGCCTCGCTATCAATCTTCAATTACACCGTCGTCTCGGCCGAAGACGAAGACGAGGATGAATACGACCCTTCGACCCTCGGCATGGGTGGCTCATTCCTGCCCCCAGGTAAAGACGATTCTACCCCCCAGCATTCAGAACCAGATCGTGCCGCCCCACTGCCAGGTATCATCGGCCTCTCAAATGATGTACATAACCCATCCACCTCCAATTCCTCAAGTAACGTCCCGCTCAAAAAGGTACTGCCACCCGCACCCTCGGCTTTGGCGAATACCTTGATCGCAGTCACCCACGCTTCGACTACCGCTCCGCCAGCCCAGGTCTGCGATGCGAGTATCATGGGATTCCTCTACGTTGCGGATGTTGATGCGGAGAAGGGAAAGATTCGGGTTCTTGCACCTGTGGGTGGGAGACTTCCGCCGCGAGCGATGATTTGGGCTAGGCGTTGGCCTACAGAGGTTGTTGGGCTGGTTGGTTGATGCTTTTTCCTTGCATTCGGGGAGGCTATGTCCCTTTTTTTGCATTGATTGGCTCTGGTTTCCGGGGTCGGCGTTATGGATGGATGGGTCCGAAGTTTTTATTCGAGGCCAGGTCTGCATAATTTAGCAGGTGTATATAAGCGGGTGTATTTAGAGCATCGAAGATATCTACTTCATTGAATGTTGAACTCGTAGATTCTGAAACCCAGCACCAGGCCCCGTACATGGGCAAGTCTCGATGGCTAGACGTGAAAGGATCTCGCAGGGTACTGGAGGATACATACGGCAGCTATCAGATGATCATGAACGACGGGCCATCATCATCCCGAACTCATGACTCGCATCAGCCAAACATGAGAGACTTGTATTGAGTGAATTATTACCATGTAAGTGTCATTTCCAAGGAAGGGTAGTTATAGTTTACAGAATATCTCTCAAGAGTGAAAGAGCCATTATAGAAGATTCCCTGAGGGTCGAAGTTCCCACATTAGTTTATGACTTCTTGAACCAAAGCCCATGCCGCATCATCCGTAGAAAGAAGCTCTCGAATCTCCGACAATATCGTCCTCGAGAGGCCATGTATAAACCAAATTCCGCATTTTTCAGCCCGTTCAACCAGAGTAGCGGCCCAATAGGCTAGCACAACAAGTGCAGCCGAGTTCTGGAGCGAGACCATACGGTTGAAATGATCCGTTGTCCTGGTCAACCATCCAGCCATGCATTGCCACGCTCTTGACAAAGCGTCAGATTCAAAACTGCTGGTACAGCATTCGGACAAGGCTTTGATGGCAAGTAGAATTGCTGGAGCGTCTTCTTCATGATCCGGTTTTCCGAATATCTCTGCCATGCGATACGGAAGGGTGTGAATGTGGTTGAGTAGCATAGTCCTTGCATTGTCGTTTTCCAGAGGGCCATTCTTATCCAAGGCTCTCTGAGGGATCTCATCCCGGCTCTGATACGTGCATGATGACATGGCCGATTCAGGAGACACAAAACTTCGCATGTCTTGTAGGAAAGAATCTAGTTGAGGAAAAGTCGCAGGAACCGGGGTAGTCTCTTGGTTGATAGTAAATCCATTGAACGTCCATTGTGCGCAGGTCACAACGCTCTTGATGTGTATTCCTGCCCTTTTCACTTTCCAGTAAGTCTCGGTGGTCATTCGATTCATTTCATCATTGGTGGGTTTGAAGCCGACACAAAAATCCGAATAAAACTTTGTCGCCCGCTTACAGTGAAGTGTTCGCGCTGTTGCCCTGTCCTCCAATGTGGCTGAATAGTACGCGGAAATGGCCAGTAATCCACACATTAGCCACTGCCGTTGTAGAGCTAGTGGAATGACCTCTTTCTCCCAGTATTGCGGTGGCGAGAGAGAATCCTCAGCTCCAGGAAGTGACAGACTTGCTGTCGTGATGAAATGATGAAAATATGTTAATGTTTCTAGGTCTACCGCAGGACAAGGCGTGGGATTTGGCGTCAAATGTGCTGGCGATGTTGCGGCATTCAATTTCAAGCCCCCTCTGCCATGTCCACTCTTGTCATCTGAAATCCTTGGCTCTGGATAGCTGCTCGTCGCCGCAACCTCAAAATACTTGAGTTTGGTACCACGGAAGAATGTCTGAAGCTTTACTGAGCGTTCAAGCGAGGACATATTATCCGATCCATTGACTCCATGGGCGTCGCTCCAGTGGCGTCTCATGCGTTTAGAGCTAGCACAGAGATATCCACATCCAGTCACAGTACAGCCATGCCCAGACATCACAGGTAGAGCAGCCACCGGTAGTGTATCTGGGGTGGGCAGAAGAAGGTCATCTGGTTCAACGATGTCCAGCTCGTTAATAGCGGACAATAAGCGTTGCCTTTCTTCACGGTAAATTTTGTGCCGGAGCAAATGGCTTCCCAGTGCATTTTTCTGGATGGCGTATTGACAATCTCGGCAGATTAGTACTCTGTATCCTGCATTGTACTCGAGCAGATCGTGTGGACCTAGCCGCATAGTGGCTAGCAATGATTTATCACTGAAGACGAGGTTAAGCTGGATGTTAGAAGGTTGCGAACAATGACGTGACGACGTGTAGAGAATAATTTGGGGGCCAAAAGGCCATGTACTACCGTTGCTAGAATATCTAACGTCCATCGTAAACCTATTAATAGAAATAATGTGACGCCTTGGACCAGTTGAATTATTTAAGACGGTATTAACTCGGATTTAATCGTTAGAACGGGTGATGTGGTTCCAAGTAGGAACGGCACATGCGGTTCTCTCAGGCTGTCTGGTTTCGGCATCAGATAATCCCGACGTGCCCTAGACTTTGGATACTTTGTTTGTGTAAAACTACCAAGCTGCTTTGAAATAATTATTTTAATTTGAAATCAATTCAAATCAATTGCTTATTCTGACTATTGACTCCCGTTCCCCCTTGGCTGTGATCAGAGATGCCAAAGCATATATAACACTCCAGGTTCTGCTCAAATGGTGCTTGTTCTTCCTTATCATCTACTGAACGAATTGATTAACTGTCTTGATCGACATCAGGTTCTTTTCGCCCCATTTCGTCTCAGACAAAGATTTCTACACTTACTTCTTGTCTATCGCAATGTCAGTTCCTCAAAACCAAGCTGCATGGCTCGTTAAAGCGGGTTCTCCTTTGGAAGTGGGAGATGCTCCGCTGCCCACAGCTGGCCCAGGTGAACTAGTCGTTAAGAATGCTGCCATCGCCATCAACCCTCTCGACTGCCATATGCAAGACTCTGGTGTTTTTGTCCAGCAGTGGCCCGCCATTCTCGGCTGTGATGTCGCCGGTGAGGTCCATGAAGTAGGAAAAGATGTAGCAAGGTTTAAGGCAGGAGACCGTGTTATCGGGTATGTTGCTTAGGAATTAATCTTTTGAAATCAAGATAACTCAACCTAATGTTCTCTTCTTTCCACAGACATGCTATCAATCTGACAAGTGGCCGCCCTCAAGATGGCGCTTTCGCTCTGTATACTGTCATCCCCGCAGACAAAGCGGCCATCCTCCCTGATGAAATCTCCTTTACGAATGGTGTCGTCGTGCCGTTCGCACTGGAGGCGGCTGTTTGTGCGCTTTCCCTCAAGGAGCCCGGCGTGGCCATGCCCGGTGTTGCTACACCAGCTTTGGGCCTTCCGTACCCCTCGCTACATGATGTGCCATCTTCAGGCAAGACACTTGTCGTATACGGCGGCTCATCTTCTGTCGGATCGATGACAATCCAGCTTGCTATAGCAGCCGGGATCCATGTTATCGCCATCTCTGGTGCGCACAATTTTGACTTCTGCAAGCGATCCGGAGCAGCTCAAGTTTTCAGTCACAAGGATATCTCCCTTGCAGAAAAGGTTGTCGAAGCAGTTCGAGAGAATGGCAATGAGTTCATTGGCATCTTCGATGCCATAGCTACTCCCGAGACTTACGCCAACGATATTGCGATACTTGGGCAGCTGGAAGGAGGATACCTCGCTTGCGTGCATCCACCTCCCCCTAGTGCTGATCTCCCTGCAAATGTCACAGCTGGTATGATATTCGCTGTTAACGATGTCGTGACACCTGTTTGGAAAGACTATGTTACGCCTGCGTTGCAATCTGGGAAGCTTCAATGCCTCCCGCCTGCATTCGTCGTCGGTAAAGGACTGGAGCATATTCAATCTGCATTGGAAAAGTCCAAGGCGGGAGTCAGTGCCACGAAGCTAGTTGTCGAACTGTAGAAACCATTCTACAGTGAAGCTTCGTATGCATATGCGGGGGTTCACTTCCATGCCGGTGCAGCAAGATATCTGAATACGGTTATAGAAACCGTAGGCTAATCTACATACCGGAGGCCTAGATCAATACTACTTTCTACGAAATACCGTATTTAGCCGAATACTGAAATCCAGGGAATTGCTAAAACGACACCCTAAATTACTAATTCGACATTATATAGTTAGTTAACTGACGTTAACTTCTGCTTAGTAAATGTGTTTACTCTTCAAAGCCAATGACATTACTCAATAAGAAATTCTAGCATGTTTAGCCAAGGGGTTGTGGATATCATGTTCGGTCTAACTGCCCTACTTAGTCAAGAAGTATGCAGCAGACGGCCTCTAAAATAGCTAACTACCGAAGGTACACAAAACTTGAAAACACGTAGATATATATACACAGGTATCAGGCAAAAGCAAACACAAATGAAATTGCCAATCTAATCCACACAAGTACATCAATATACACACATTCCCACCAAAACCTCCCCCCCCCTTCCACTCACTCCCATCTCCTCCACTCCTCAACCGCCTTCTTCATCTCAACATCACAATCATACCCCTTCCCCTGAGCAACAAGCAACTCATCCCTCCGATCCCGGAACCTCCTCTCAGCCTCAAACCTCCTCAACGCAAAATCTCTCAAACCAGGAAAATCATCCTTCACAACGGCTTCCCTGAACCGCGCCCGCATTCGACCCGAGTATAACTGGCAGCTCGCCTCGCGGCAGCGGTTCGGCCCGTCACCGGGTAAATAGCGCAAAGAGGTTGAGAAGGATCGCGCAAGGGGGTGGTGCATTTTTGCCAGAGGCCAGACAACTTCGTCGTAGCAGTCTTCGCAAACGCTTAGTTCTGGTAGCTCGGGCATGTAGTGCCAGCTGCTGAGAACGGGTCTGTCGCGTAGACAATCGCGTAGGACGACCTTGCGCTTTGCGTAGGCGAGGAACTCGCGCGGGTCGGGGCGGCGTGACGGGTCCGAGTCTGCGCGGGATGCGGCGTCGTCGAGAAGGTCGATGTACTTGACGAAGCGGGGGCTGCTTGTGACGAGATCGCAGGCGCGCTCTTGGACTTCCGGGCAGTGCTGGAATGTGTCTCGGTGTGCGGGCATGAGAACACGTACATTGCGCGTGCAACTGCCGCAGATGTGGAAGCTGGGGAGGTACGAGCCCGTGTCTGCGTTGATGATGCGGTACCAGGTTTGTTCGGACGCGGCACGGCCGGGGCAGAGACGGGTTCCTGGGGGCGGGCGAGTCATTTGGTACAGCATTTCGAGGCTTTCGTGCTGTTGTTTGATCATCTGCGTCCAGGCGAGTCTGGTCCAGGGGTTGCTGAAGGCGCAGCGGGTTTTCTGGGTTGGGGGTTTGGCTAAGCTGGGGATGAAGAGGTCGCGGAAGCGCGAGTGTCCAATTTGCTTCATGCAGCTTGGGCAGATGTCGAGGTGTGTCAGACCCTTGAGGGTGTACCAGTCATTGTGGCCGGCTACGGGAAGAGACCGCGGGCACAGGGTGATGCATAGTCCAGATGGGTTGGACGGCCGTTGTGAGAGATTGGTCTGCTTGGTAGCAGGGGCTTTAGGTGGACTCTGTCTTTGCCCGGGTTGATCTTGGAATTTGACGGAAGTCGCAGGGCGTGAGGGTCGGGCATCATCGGACGAAATAGATCTTGAATGGCCTCGGGTCTTGGGTTTTGATCGAACCAGCGATGGTGCAATGGAGGGCACGATGGTGGGCACTGATGAACGGGGGTTCGTGGAAGCTTGCGTTGACTCACGAGACCGGCGGCTCATGGTGCAATTAGCCTCCCTCGAAGGCGAATGAGGCGCGGACGTCGGAACAGAGGGGTGCAAAATCGTACTGATAGGCCTCAACTTTTCGGTCCTCGGACGAGTCTCGGTATCAGACGAAGATGCAGCCTCGCGAAGCTCCTGGCGTTGGCGCAGCTTCTCTTCAATTCTTTCAGCAAGTGTTCGGCCGTTTGCTACTTTTCCAATCGGTGCTTTCCCCGGCGCGGTAGGGGGAGGTGCATAAGCGGCTGGCCGAGCTCGAGCGGTCGCCGTGTCCGATTGATAGCCAAGTGGTGACTCCTGCCGTGGACGGGACTTAACAGGCCGCGAGGTAACATATTTTGCGCTGTTAGAACGGCCAATGGATGACTTGGGTGTCTCCACGAAGGTCCTATCATAGCCAGGACCTCGAGAGCGAGACCGCGCCGAACGCATGCCATATGAGCTATGAGGGATAATATGCACCGGTGCCTCGTGCCTGATAGAATCACCACGTTGCGGCGAATGCGAAGATGGACGAGCCTGTTGAGGAATACCCAGTTCACGAGGAGTTTCCTGATAGACCTGTGGTGGTTGTGCGCGGCCACGGGACATGGTCGACGTTGCCAAATGATTGAGTATAGGCGAAGGCGGACGAGCCAGACGATGTGACCTGGTTTCACGCATCGGCTGCTGGGAGATATCCACCGATGATCGATCACGACCTCTGTAGTTCTCTTCTCGTGTGACTGATGGTGGACGAGATTGGCGAGACATCCTCACCTCGCGCATAGGCTGTGGAGGGTATACTTCCGAGTACGATCGGTCACGACCACGGGTAGGCACGTCGTCATCTCGTGCGAGGGACCGTGGACGAGGCGGTCGGGACGTGACGGTCTCGCGAGCCGATTGTGACTGGACCGGGGGCAATGGTCGTTCTCGAGGCTTGCTCGAAGAGGACGACATGGATGCCGGAGGAGGCCACGGCCGGGAAGTCGCTTGAGATCCGGATCTTGGGCGCAGACTAGGCTCTGCCATCCTGGGAGGAGGTGTGGCTGGTCCGCTGCTATCGTCCGAAGAGAAATTTCCCATGCCGGGCATGCTGTTGACGCCTGGAGGGGCTTCAGGCTGCGAGGAATTCATATTCATAATGACTGGGTATTGATCAACAGTGCCTCTCACACGAGCGCCCTCAATGCCGGGCTTTTCACTCAAGTTCGAGAGGCCGTGCAATTCTCGAGCGAGTGAGGCTGGCTCCTCCTCGACACAAGGTGGTGGCGGATACCGGGACCGCATAGTTCGCGAAGACCCGGTAGACGGCATGGTGTTGGTAAAATGCCTGGTCATGCACAGTCAATCTGTGATTTATAGATGTGATTTAGTATGCTAGCCGGCAGCAATGACGCCTCGTGGTGAAGATAGTTGAGGTGAATGGCTCATAGTCTTAAATAAGAAGACACAGTTGGGCAGTCAAAAAAAAGTAAGAAGACCGTCGTACAATGAGTCTTCCCGTGAAAATTTTTTCCAATCGAGTCAACAAAGCTATGCAGCAGGTCAAGGGGTGTGCGCGTATCCGGGAGACAGGGTATATAACCGTTGGTCAATCGGGCATCATCCTGGAGACCCGACAACGCTGATAGGGCCGCCATGGGGGGCTTTGGGCGAAGAAGGGGCGAATCACCGCGGTCCCCAGAATAGCATCAGGCCGAAGAACAACAGAATCACGAGAGCCCCACGTCATTGAAACCAGGGGATGCAGTCAGGGAACTGGTCTGAAGATGGAGGGGCCATCCCATACCACGCCATTTGCGAGAAAAAGGACGATGGTCAAAGGACGTGGCTTAGAGGATGCAGGGAAACCCATGTTGACGATTGGATGGTTGGGCATTCAAGGCGTACACAAGTCGAATGGGGCGCATAGTCTTCCTTTGTTTCAGAAGGGTGGTGTCTTGACTGACAAAAATATGTATCGATGGCGGTTGATCACGGATGATTCCCTCAAAGGCTGACCAGATATTTCATGTTGTTGACTGTGGCCTTGTCTTAAGGGGATGTTGTTTGAGGATCCTCGGGCGGAAGATCGACCAAAGGCCAACTGTGGGCCTCTGCAGTGTCTCAACTGCTGCACTGGGGGGCAGCCGCGGTGATTCTCGGCCTTCTGGTGGTCAGCAAATGGATGCAGAAGCGCCACTGTGGCTCTTGGCCCAACAGACATCGCAGCATGCAGGGCGCTCGTCCCGATTCTGCCCAGCCTTCGACGCGGAGGCCACGAGGGACAGTCTTGTGGGGCCAGTCTGGCACGCATTGCCTGGTTTTGGTGTGTTGGAGAGGCTCAAGTGTGAATGCAGGCGTCGGCTCTGACCACCGGGCAACCAAAGAGGCCAAGGAGGGCCACTTTTGCCCTGGACATGATGGGTCCCTCATTGTCTGGAGATGCTGTCAGCGGCTGTGATGGTTGGAGCTGTGTTGTTTATACTGTAGGTAAGCAATGATGGGCGCCTCCAGAGCAGCGCGTAGTATTTCTATAATGCGACTGGGTAAGTCGCATCAAGCGCCGTGGAAGCATTTTGGATGGTTCGATGTTTTTTGAATATGACCTCGAGGGACCATCATTGTCACAGCAAAGCGCTTGTCAACGTACACAGTTGGATCCCTGCGTGTTCGGGAGAGGAATAGTTCGGCAGAGCTCCGACGGCTCTGGACACCCGACGGAATGGCGTCACCCCCCACACTCGGATGGCCCCGAGCGAGTCGGCAGGAAAACCGTGAGAAAGCAGTGAGATTGAGGGTGATAATTGAACAGAAAAGATCTGGAGAATGAAAAGCGGTACAGTTTATACCCAAAGTAGATAGTTAACGGTATGGTCATCGGCTTATCAACCTAATCAATCCTGCAGGAGCAAAAGTGGGATAATCCTAGTTCCGCGCCTCGGGTAATGCGGGGAATGCGATTACAAATGAACCCATTGACTTTCGAGAGAGGAGGGGGCTGACGTCTTCATATTTGACCAGCTTCATCCTCCTCTTTCAACCCTGTCCATGTCAATCCCAACTCTCCGGCGAAGTACTCTCCGTCTAGCATCCTTGCACAACCACATTACCCGTCCTCATCTGCTCATCAACAACCGTCCAGTCCAATTCACCTCCTCCTTCACCACCTCCATCCACACCATGTCTCTCCCCACAACCATGAAGGCCGTCGTGATCGAACGAACTGGCGGCCCCGAAGTCCTCCAGTTCAAAACCGACCAGCCGGTCCCTACACCCCAGGAAGGCGAAGTCCTCGTGAACAACAAAATCTCCGGCGTCAACTATATCGACACCTACTTCCGCACGGGTCTCTATCCCTCACCTAAGCCGGAGATTCTAGGCCGCGAAGGCGCTGGTATCGTCGCAGCCGTGGGACCGAATGTCTCTGGCTTTGAAGTCGGGGATCGCGTCGCATGGCTCGAGACCAGCGGTTACGCAGAGTACACTGCCGTGCGAGCTGCGAGGACCGTGAAGATCCCTGACGGTCTCAGTGATGAGGACGTTATGGCTTCGTTCCTGAGCGGACTGACCGTTCTGTCTTTTGCGAAGGAGACGTACCCGGTGCAGAAGGGCGATTGGGTGCTTCTGCATGCTGCGGCTGGTGGTGCGGGCTTTTTGATGACGCAGATTCTCAAGTCGATTGGTGCCAAGGTTATTGGTACCGCTGGGGGTGCGGAGAAGTGTGCGCTTGTGAAGAGTCTGGGTGCGGATGTGGTGATTGATTATCGGAGTGAGGAGGGTAAGGATTGGGTTAAGCTGGTGAAGGAGGCTACGGGTGGTCGGGGTGTGGATGTTGTTTATGACTCTGTGGGTAAGGATACGTGGGAAGGTAGTTTGGAGGCTGTGAAGCGCAAGGGTACTATTGTCTGGTTTGGTAATGCCAGTGGTCCGGTGCCTCCGCTTCCTCTGAGGTATGTTTTACCTGCGTTCCTGACGTGTTTTTGATCGTCATGCTGACTACTATTATACAGCAAACTCAGTCCCAAGTGTGTCAAGGTTGCTCGCCCGACCCTCTTCGGCTATATTGACACCCGTGAGGAGTTCGAGTACTACACCAACGAGCTGTTCAGTCTGCTCAAGTCTGGCCAGTTGAAGACCAAGATCCACAAGATCTATCCTATGGAGGACATTGCTCAGGTCCACAAGGTGAGCATCATATTCTCATACGGCTTTGTTTCGATGTACTGACACTGGCATGACAGGACCTTGAGGGTCGCAAGACCATGGGTAAGCCTCTTCTAAAGCCTTAGATCAGGCAAGGAATGGAAATAAGTATATAGATCGAACTTTACGACTGTGTTGATTACAAAAGTGACATCAGTTGATTGACTTTTGATGGTAATCTCATTTGCGCGAATGCCAAGTCAAACCCATTTAGGAGATCACATTCACGTAGTCCAGGGAACAAGCAGGGCCTTGTGTGGTGTGACAATCGAGATCACCCTTTACCAACGTTCTCTGCCTCCTTGTCAAGTCCACTGGCCCTGAGAGCTGCCTTGACCGCTTCAGTAATATCATCCAGCTTCTTCTCTTCATCATCCTCGTGGTCCTCCGGCTCTGGTAGCGGCACGTCCTCAGCCTGTGCATCCAGAACATTGGGCTTCTCACCAACAATTTCTTTGGGTGTCTTCCAGCGGAGCATCAAATCATTCGCAAGAACCAAGTGGAACGAAGGATATGCCGAGATGATCTCATCAAAGTAGTACACTCCGCAATTGATTTCCCAGATAGCAGACGCGATTCGCAAGCCAGGGTAACAATGCTGAAGAAGATCTTCCTCGAGGAAGAACTCAAAGTCATACTCGGGGCCCTTGCCCTCTTGCCAAGCTTTACGCTCTTTGGGGCTCATGTCAATTTCCGGCTTAGCTGGGTTGAGGAATGATCTGGCTTTGATTTTCCCAACGATGGGCAGGTCTGGAGCAAATCCGTGGTAGAAATCACGGACATCAGCCTCGGGCTTGCTGACGGAGATCACTTCGAAGCCGTCGATGTCTGGGATTTGCTTGGCTGAGAGTTCGCCCTTGGTCGCCAACTCCTGGAACCGACTAGCCTGCCCGTGGGATGCAATACCAGCAATCGCAAACTTGACGACCTTGCGAGCGGCGTCGGGGGTGAGATTGCGGTCTGCCCAACTCTGTGCTGGAACCCAATCGTTGGTTTCCTCGCCACTTCCATGGTATCTACCTCCGAAAAGCAGGGAGCAGCTTTGGTTAAAGCTCCCAGGACCTTGCTGAATCAGTTGGACATTCTTCCAAAGTTCTACCGAGGCGATATCGCAGATCTGCCGTGCCTTGATTATGTTGTCCTTGTACTCGGGACACACATCATGGAAGAGAAGATACGTAAGGAGGTTTCGAATAGTCCCAGTCGCAAGCTTGATACTCTCTTGGCTGTCTGGGTTGTAGTGGTTGGCATAATAACAGCTCCTGGGTTAAACATTAGCCGGGTTCCTGGAAAAGAAAGGCTCCTTTCTATACATACAGGAAACCCCGAACCACCTCTTCAAAGTTGACCTCCTGTTTCTGCCGGTCCCGTGGGATCATGGTCTGGCTACGAGCCTGGCGCGCCTCGTCATTTGACATTTGCTTCAACTCCTTGGGGGAAACTCCAGTCCCGTAATTCTGGCTGGCATCCACTCCGCCGTACTGCAGGTACTTGAAGAAAATGGCTCGTCGGTCATTTTCCATGCGGCGCTTCCATTGAAAGCGGGTAAGAGCTTCTTGGATACGCCTGAACAAGGAATTGTAAGTACTGGTGGTCTGGATGTTTGACGGGAAATATGCCACTACTTACTGTTCGAATGGGTACGACCTAATATTTGAAGATTAGTAATTCTGTAAGAGAATGAGTGGAGAGCTCATACTTACGGGTCGTATAGCTGACGGGTTTCTTCATGCTCCTCCGGCGTAAGGGGACCATCGGCACAGTATTCTTCAAATCCAGTGGGCTTGCCTTGGCCACGCTTGCTCTTAGGCTTTTGGCGTCTGGACTTCTTGGCCGTAGTTGCCATGATCTCGCCTGCTCTGAGGGCAATCTCATCATCCAGTTTGGTTTGAGGTTCACTGACCTTGGCCCTGGGTTTGGCTGGGTCGTCTTCTGGGACTTCTTCAATTCTGACTGACTTGCATGGACCTGAGGACTCTTGGGAGGGACCATTCTCGATCTTTGCTGAAGTAGACGGCTCCATCGGCTTACCACTGCGGATGGGAAGATCTCCAGAGATGGCCGTTGAATGAGTTGGAGGGTTTGAATCCATGATGAAAATGTGGAGCTGATAATGAGTTGAGCTATTGGAGAGTTGTTGGATTGGAATGAGGAAAAGAGAAAGAGGGGATGATGTTCAGAAGAAGTGATGGGAAAGAGCCAGGTGGAGATGCTGAGTGTAAAGGTGAGTGAGTGGTTGGATAGTAAGGAGCTCAGAAAGGTGAGTAGGATGTAGATTCCACTATAGAAAGACACAAAAGAAAAAGAGGAGAGGAAATTACCGTTTTAGGAAATATAGTTTGCTAACCGTTTTGACTTTTAGAGTTTGAGGACTAAATAAACTCCAGTATCGAGCCGGTAGAGAGAGAGATCGCAAATAAAAGACAGATACGATTTCCCATCTTCCTTCTGTCTCTCTTTTCTTTCAAAGGGTACTTACTCCATACTCCAGACTGTAAGGTAGTTTCTGTATACTCAACCCCCGCGAATTTAGCCCCAGCTGCGTTGGGCTTCGTTGGCTCCGGTGGCCCCTGCCCACCTCTCAAAAGCGATGGCTCCGCCGATCATGATGTTTTTTTGCCTTTCCCTCCCCCCCGGACCTTTTTCCCTGCGTTCATTTCTTTTTCTTCTACCCCAGCTTCCCTACTCCGTACTGCTTTTGCTTCTGTCCCTGACCGTGACCCAAGCCCCCTACTTTATCCCTGTTACGACCCATTGGGGTCCGTTTTCTTGGTTGAGTCATCCGGAATGCCCTGAGAGACACCCCGCCTCGCTGTCGCACCATTCTCCCAATCAACGATGCCCTCCTCCAAATCGGATAGCCGGAAAACGCCACAGCTAGGCAGCGATGACCTAGTTCCCTTCGATCATGTTGCCGCAGGACAGTAAGTTCACTTTCCTGGCCCTCCTGCCTGAGATTCCCACACCCTCACCCTTCCGGCGCAGCTCCCGCTGGGCGCATTTCTGCAGGTGATCCCGTGGGGTGGATTAAGGGGATCGCAGGCATATGTCAACCTCATGGGCCTTGGAATGTCACTGACTGTCATGCGCTGCGCTATAGCGACGGGGTCCGCTGTACTCTGTCCGGCTCGTTGATCGCCAAACCCTGTACGCGCCAGGAAGTCGAATTCTACGAGTCGAGCGCCCTCCATCCAGGTTTCCAGGAGTTTATGCCCCTATTCATCGGTTCCCTCTCATCCGCGGAGCAGCAGCAACCGCTGGCGATTGCTGCCGCTCAACAGTCCGGTGCGGTCTTTCTCCCCGCCCTCGGAGACGCAACCCCGGCCCAGGAGGCCTCAACATCACAAGCGAGCGATGTGGCTCGGGAGGGAGAGCCTGCCAAAGTGGCAGAGTCTACCTGGGTGCCATCCGGAGGAAAGAAACTAGATACGGGACTGTCGATCGTGCTGGAAAATGTCGCTGCTGGGTTTCGGCGACCGAACGTACTGGACGTTAAACTCGGCGCGCGACTCTGGGCTGACGACGCACCACCTACGAAGCGCAACAAGCTAGATGCCGTGGCTAAAGAAACGACTAGCTCAAGTTTGGGCTACCGGATCGCCGGGATGAAAGTGTGGACGGGCAAGAATGGCGATACGGATGAAGGCTCACTCACGGATCCCTATGCCACCAAACACGAAGGCAAAGAGGGTGCAAAGGGCGAGGTGATCGAGAAAGATGGCTATCGCCGTTACGACAAGTGGTATGGGCGATCTTTCACCGAACAGACCGTCAAGCAAGGCTTTGAGACCTTTCTCGCTGGCGCCATGGCGGGGAAGGTTGACCGCTCGAAGATGATTGCCCAACGACTTGTGGAGGAGTTACAAAATGTGCAGCAACTACTTGAGTCCGAGGAGAGTCGCATGTACTCCTCGAGTGTGTTGATCATCTATGAAGGTGACCCGGAAGCGATGGAGCATGCTTTGGAAGAAGAAAAGAAGATACCCGACCCAAGGGATCAAGATAGGGACGAAGGAGAAGATGATGAGGACGACCAAGTGGAGTTTGAGATTACCGAGGAATCTCTCGAGCTAGTTGATGTTCAATTAGGGGATGGGATTCCTCAAAAAGCCATCAACATCAGTATCGACCCTTCTACAGCACAATTCCCCGCACTTGGCGATGACGACGACGAAGAGGAAGAAACACCCAAAGTCCATGATCTCCGTCTGATCGATTTCGCGCACGCGGCATGGACCCCAGGCGCGGGCCCAGATGAGAACGTTCTCATGGGTATTCGAAGCCTCATCAAGGTCTTCCAGGAACTGGCTGTGTGAGCCGATGACCTGTCCAGACCCGATTGCTTTGATCATTAGGATTGTCGGCCTTGAAGCGGTTGCTGGCAACTGCCCAAGGCTGAGTTCTTTGTCATGGCTCTTTAGTTAGCCCACATTCTTATATTCATGATTTAGCGTGAATTAGCCTGTTCAATGCATTTACAACCATCACAATTATCATATTATACATGTTGTATAGGAACCTCTTATGCAGGAAAGTACTGTACAGCGATCCCGGACTCTAGGGAAGGAGCAGAGATCGCAACCTAATGCGACACCGACAGGAAATAGCGAAAGTTGAACCCTATATATTCAGTCAGAAGCTTGAAGCATCTACCGAGCCAGAAAATAATGGACAAGCTATAGTTGATGCATCCTTATCATTGGATCCTCCGTTGGTTCGTGGCTGTCCGCATACAAATGCTGACTCAGCCACCAAGTGCTGGACCATCTTTTCAACTTCCCCGATCTTTCGGAAAGCTTCAGAAAGTTGCACGCCATCATGTTTCCCACGCGCGCCCTGCTAGGCCGCTCGGTCTGGAAAGGTAAGCCTTGTGACTCAATCCCAATCCTACAGCGCTTTCAATTGGAATAATCCCCCCGCTAACGCCGACTCACAGGCCCGAATATCGTCCCGTATGTGAAATCCACCTCGAACCCAAGCACAACTCCCTCGCTCCATCACGACCACCAATCTCTCTCGGAAGAAGGAATTGCAGCACGATACTGATAGTACTGGATATACAGTCTCCCCCTCCCGCGGACATTCCCCCTCCCGTCAACACGCCGCCAATCCGGACGCAGAAGCGCGCCGCAACCATTCTGCCCAACTTTGTCGGTCTGCGCTTCGCTGTCCACAACGGCAAGACATACCAAGAGATCCAGATTACCGAGGAGATGGTTGGTCGGAAACTTGGAGAATATGTTGCGTATGTGAACCTCGTCGCACCCGTGGATCTGCGAGTGGTATCGCTGGGACCATGGACCTGGATGGGCGTTAGCTAACGTGGTGATTTTGACAGGACTCGCAAGCGTTTCACCTATAAGCAGTCCAAGAACAAATAATCGAAATACGTGACTTTCTTTTCGATATGGATGAGGGTACTTCTTCCATATACCCTTTCAATCCGGTGGGCGCCCGCGACTTGTCCCTCCGAGTCCGTCTCCGGCAGTCGCCTGTCTTCTACCGCCCTAGCCTGCCATCTGCGGCTCTCTGGAAGGGGTTAGAGGATAGGTCTGCAGATACCCTGGAGATGGAACTGGAAAATGGCTAGTCGTGGATACATAGCCTATGCTTCCATTGAAGCATATTTCCCATTTGATTTGGCCATGTTGCCGTGTACAGATACATCAATGGTTTCCCTTGTGACATTAGCTACGTGTGGGATGGAGTTAGCCGTGGAATTTATTCAATATCATTCATAACTGGTCTTCAACAATACTCGACACCTTTTTTGTCTATCGGAAGAAGTGTGGTATAATCGTGTATGGGGAAAGAGCCTTTTTGTGGCACTCAGTCAACCCCATACATAAATGTCACAAGACAAGGATAAAATGGATAAAACGGAAACTCCATTTTCTAGCAAAAAACAAACTCCCTCGCAGCCCATTTGGATATGTGCACAAGGACCCCTTGTGACTGATGTACGCCCAGCGCCAGGAACCCATCCCCCAAAAGAGAAACAAAAAAAAAATGACCAAAAACCAAGGTCCTCGAGCTCGCAAGCTCAACACTCCCAATGCTAATGCCCATTAACGATAGAACTCGCCCCTCTTCACAGTAACGCCATACTCAGAAACAGCCATGCCCAGATCCTCCATCGTAAGCACCGTCCGTCCCTGCCCCGAACCACCAGAACCACCACCACCAAATCCAGGACGCTGAATACCCAGATGCGTACTACCCTTGCCGCCCTTCGTGCCATCGCCACCTGCAACACCGCCAGGCGCGGCGCCCGCACCGGCCGGACCACCCACGGCGGTGGTCAAACTGCCCATGGGGTTATTGGCGGAGGAAGAGTTGGAGGCGCGGATGCGGGCAAACTGATATGAATCGGCAGCAATGTCAGAGACGAACTTTTGGGTTGCGAGAGCGAGCAGGCGGGCGAGGTGAGGTGGTGTTTGGTTGGGGCCCGTGCCGGGGGGTGGGAGACCGGCCAGAGTGAGGTAGTGCGCGGTGACGGCGTCGGGGATCTGGACGATTCAGTTAGCTTTTGTTTCTCGTTTACCACGGTGACTTCCGCTGTCTATTGAACAATGTTTGCGATTATCAGATTCCTCCCAAGCCGAGGGCTGTAGAAGTGTAGATGGCGCAAACAGCTAGACGCGATGTATAAAAATAGAGAGACAAAGACAATCTCAGGGATTCACTTACAATCGGCGCATATTCATCCATCTTGCTCAGGAATTCGCGCAGACTCGTCTCCTTCTTGCTAGGCTGAGACGACTCGGCCAGCTGGTCGACTTCCGTGGTGAGCGCGGCAGCGGCGCTCTCCTCGGCACCCGCGCCAGTCTGTTCGGCGTTCATATCGATATCCTGCTCGATGGAAGCGTCCAGGTCTGGCTCGGGTTTAATAGTCGAATCCGTCGTCTCTAGAGATGATTGTGGTTGCGCAGAGGAAGGTGGGATGGAAGATTGCTGCTCTTGTGACCCGTTCGCAGGTTGCTGGGAGGTGGAAGAAGGTTGAGGGTCGCTCATGGCGGGCAAGTCATTAGAGGTCCTGCCTTTATTTGTTGTTCTGCCGCGCCGAGTTTGTTGGTCTGAGAATGGATTGGGCTGCAGGGACTGGGTGTGACAAAAGGTCCAATCACTGCGAATTCGGGGAGGAGGGGATTGAATTGGTCGGAGAGTCGAGGGGGTCCAGAGTCAGGCCAGTCACACGCGGAGGTTCCGTGCACAGACCACTTTCGACATATCAAGATGACTGGATTATACAATTACTTCGTATACAAGGTCCTCGTTCCAAAGGTGGAATCATCGCATATATGGGATTTCTTGGACATTGTTCAATTCAGATAACTATGTACTCATACAGTTTAACTGAGGGAACTCCCCCAGTCCTCAGACCGTGCTTTTGGAATTCAACTATCCCCATACATATGTGCACATCCCATAGTACAACCCCATGACTCCGAGCAAAATGGCGCAGAAAAACATAACAAGAAGAGCAAAGTAGATCCGGCTAAACTCCTTCCATGTAGACGTGATGAAATAAGAATGCGTGGTCAACCGAAGGTACAGCGTAGATGTCGTCGCATCATCTACTGTCCTAATTGCATGTGAGGATCAATGTGATGGTCTGGAGTGGGTTGACCGTGCTGCTGCGGGTATTGACTGCCGTGAACCTCCTGGCTCAGAGTCTGCATCAGATTCTGCTCCGCAGTCTGGTCGAACATGGACTGGGCGTTGGCATCCGGAGGCAAACTAGGTGAAGCGGACATCTCATGGCCCCCAACTGGGGATGCATGGGCCCCAGCTAGGGCCATCATGCCCTTGATGCCCTCAACATGGGCCTTGTCTTCTTCGCCTTGCTTCTTCTGTCGCTCACGAGCCTCACGCTTGGCAGCCTGGGCGGGAGCCCGAGTTTTGAGCTCACCAGTAACGAACTTCAGATAGTACGGCACCTCGATCCCGCTTTTCAGGAAGAAAAGCTTCAGGTTGCGAGCTTTGTCCTTGAGCTGGACTTGATTACGGTCCTTCAAAGCCTCGCTGATGGTTCCTCCCGGACCGAACATGGCTAGAATCTGACTCCAATGGGGTCCCTTCACACGGTCCAAGCCCGCCATCAATGCATTCTCTTCCTCAGTGGTCCAAGGGCGACGTTGACTGGGCAAACCGGTCTTTCGGCTAGTTGGGGAGGACTTTGCAGATGCCGCCATGCGAGCTCTTTCGTATAAGACTTGGGTTGGCTGAGATTGGGAATAGTGAGGGATCCCTGGCATGTACCCGTGATTACCTGGCGACATCCCATTGGCACGTGCCTGCATGGCCTGTGCGGCATTAGGATTGTACTGCTGGAAATTGGCCTGCAGTGGGCTCTGCTGGAATGACAAGCCTCCGGGAGACTGTTGGTATCCCCCGGGTGGGGTAGGGCTATGGTGGTACTGCTGCTGTTGGGGAGGCTGCCCCGACTGCTGGGCGGCACCATAGCCGTGAAGATACTGATTATCACCCTGAGCAGTGTGCTGCGACTGAGGTTGAGGTTGAGGCTGGGTCAGTTGTTGGTGCTGTTGCGGTTGCTGCTGTTGCTGTTGTGGCTGCTGGTGGGTAGACAGAGCGGCAGGCTGAGAAGGTGATGGGCTTGCCTGAGACGGTGGTTGTGGCTGTTGTTGTTGGTGTTGCATCTGCGATTGTTGTTGGGACCGCCGAAGGCCATGGCCTTGAAGAGCAATCTGGGCAGCACGAGCCGCGCGCGCTACCAGATCACCGTGCATGTTGCGGTCTACCGGGACTTCGACTGGCTGATTGACAGGGAATTGTCCCTGGTGGGTGGTGCTTGGTGCCTCCTGTGCGTCGCCATTAGAGCTGGAGGGTTGACGGCCCTTGATAGGCTTCTTTCCCTGGATAATCTATTAGCATGTGTTGTTCGGTGACATGTGATTGTCCAAACCAACCTGTTGGGTGTTAATCGCATCGAAATTCTTCGCGATGTAAGAGCTCAAGTCACGAAGGAAATCTTCCCAGTGGTATTTGTCTGGAAGTGCCTTCAAGGCTTCCTCATTGTTGATGTCATTGAGGAGAATGTCACGGCGAGAGGTAAGGCGATTGACAAAATCCGTTTCACTGGGCGCCAGCTGCCGAGTGCCAGGACGTCTTGCTAGCAGCCGCTGCTCCATATCGTCCGGGAACAGTTCATACAACAACTGGGTGCGAGTACGCGACTTGGTGTTCATGGCAGCGATGAATGCCTGGGTCTTCAGCTCCAGATACAGAGCAGCCTGAACTTTCAGTAAGCGGCCACCTTCAGGAACAAATACGTCCAAGAAGTGCTCATTCAGCTCTGCGAACCCGATTTCCTGAGAGCCAAAGATGCTTGAGACGAAAGAGGCGAGGTTCGCCTTGCGAATGACATCGAGCTGGGATGATTCGGTAATTTCGAGGTCGGTTGATTGGAGGAAAGAGCGCTTGATGGTGTAGACTCTCTTGGTATGATCGAACAAGGACCGCATAGTCGCATACGCCTGGCCATTCTCGGAATCGGGTTCAGAGACCATCGCAGTGAGATCTTGGTAGCTGTTCTTGGACAGGAAAGAAAGGATTTGGGTCGACTGGGAAAAGGTACAGAGTCAGAACATGCGACGGAATAGCATAATATAAGGCACACTTACCAGATTGTCCAAGATAGGCAAACTCTGAATCTTAAGGTGAGAATTGGCCTTGAGGTTCAAGAACGCGTAGCCTTTGGCGCCCGGAAAGTCCCCAGAAGGAGGGATTTCCTGGGGGCCCATGGCGACAGTCTCCTCCTGGCGTTCGGTATGGTCGAGAATGTCTGTGATCATTGAGTTCACATCGGGGTTGGAGTTGGTAGCTCCGTCCTGGGTGACTGCAGCAGTTGCCAAGGGATCTGATCCGAGGCTCTCGTGAGAGCCGTTGGTCGGCGGCAGGTCATTAGCATTGCCTTCAGCCAGAGCAGTCGCCAGCTCCTCTTCGATTTTATGACCGGGGCCATGTTGGTCAGAACCAGGGAATTGAGGATCGATCGAGATCTCATCGTCGGAGCCGCCGGCGTCCGTCCGGCGCTTTTTCGTAGCCGGAGGTGAGCCATGCTCGTCCTCATCGAGTAGGTGAGTAGATTTTGTGTCTAGTTTCAGTGCCATTAAACAATGTCAGCAGTCTGTACAGTAAGTCTGATGCCAATCGTCGAGTCTTGGCTGTCATGCCGAAGCTTGGGGCGGGTCGTTGCTGGCACCGGCAGCAGGATGAACGGCAGGTCCGGAATTACAAAACTCACCAAAGTGACCTTCATCGTCAGGGAAAGGAGGGAGAGCAGAGGCCTCGTCGAAAGACGGGCGCTCACCTCGAGATTCGGCCATCTGGGGCGCAAGAGGGAGGGAGGGTCAAGCCTGTCAACTTCCAAGAGCAGAAATGAGGGCTTAGGGGTAGGGCGCAAGTGTAGGGCTTTGCTGGAGGTGAGAATTAGCCCCGGCTGGAGGATTTTTCTGCCGGGAGGGTAGGGTGCTGATTGGCCTGGAGGGATGACCGTTTTCCATCCGAGGAAGTATGAGGGGTCGCGGTCTGCATAAAGGACTTAATTGTTATAAAATTATTGGTAATTCAGGCATTGTCTGCCAAAGTTGCAGGTTTGAGTTGAATCACAAGAGTCTTAACAATATGGTGACGCTTTCCGTCCCTGTAAGGTAGCTTCGACTTTGACTCGATTCCTTGCGGGGCTCCAGGCCAACAACTTTGGCTGCCTGAGGCCACCATGGTTGTCGAACACAGACGGGGCATAATACCGCTAGACTAAAAATGCTCCATGGGCGACATTCTTAGTCATACGGGCTGTTTCTTGTTCCGACAATGGTTTCCCCTGCCTTCCGTTCCCGCTTTTGGCCATCTTCGGCCTTTATAAACGAAATCCAGCTACACAAGGGTGGGCGTGTAAAAAGTTGTGAGTCCGACCTCTTGAGATTAAAATGGTCGATATCGCGCTATTTGACATGACCAAAGGACCAAAAGTCTCACACAAGCATAGCCGCCTGAAACTACTGTAATTTATGGAACGGTTAGCGGTAATCTAGGATCATGCCAACTCCTCAAACGTCAGGGTAGTAGGGCAACACCTTTTCTTCCTCTCTCATTCATATTTGCTTTTCTTTGCGAGAAACAATCCTAAGGCGGGTTCTAAATGGTTCACCCTAGCCAATCTATTCTATCAATCATACTCGGTCAACAAATGACCTTCCGAATAGCTACCTGTGTGCCACGCTTGCAGAGTCCCCTATTAGGAAAAGCATGGAGAAGGAGAACCTGCGGCCATTCTCGATTCCCAGTGGCAACCATCTTCCAACAGACAAAATGCATTCATTCTACCTGTCATATGGCAGAGGGTCAGAGATATCGACGGCTGCGACTAGGACTTGAGGACGATCTTGAAAACGCGTTTCAAACCTTATTGTTGTTCATCAAAAACCCAGCACTCGCTGGTCAGCTTCGCCACCTCGAAGTGCATGGGAGTCGGTATACAGCGTATGGCCGAGATCTCGATTTCAATATCCCACCCGAGGAGCCGCAGCAGCTATGGCTCGATGATCTTGACAGATTGAAAATGGCTATCAACAAGGCTGGGTTCACAGAGGGCAATGAGCCACAAAGGTTGTTGCATATACTGCTACAAAACCCTACCGGACGAGATTTGTAGGTGGTTTTCCTTTTTTTTATTTCCCTACTTTTTACTTTCCTGCTTGACTAGTGAGTAATTGGCTAACAGACCTGTCAAGACGTACGTCATGCCACTTAGGCCATATGGCGTTTAAGCAAGCCGTTGCAGCACTGTTGATTGCTATTTCACCCCACCTGGAGTCCCTGGCTGTCTTTCATGTTGGGGAACCTAGCTCCAATATCGAAGATTTTGCTCTACTCTCACTGCTCCGTCGTGCAAATACGGCCCGAGGCGCAATTACTTATCTTCAGAACCTCAAAAATATCATTTTCCTTCCCGACGACTACTCAGCGGGCAATGATGGCTTTTATTACAACATATCTGAAGATTACCATGCACGACTCAATCTTGTCCGGCGACTTCCCGCCCTGGAATCTGTGTCATTCATGTTAGCCTCATGGAACAATGAGGCCGGGAGACCTCCCCCACCGAAATCCGCGAATTATAATGATATCAGCTTCGTTCACTCGAATTTAGCAGAAATGGAACCTGATATGTGTTACATTATTGATTCTTCCAAAGGCACTGCGCAAATTCACCTACACTGTTGGTGGGCGTGCGCAGCCAGAGGGCGGTAAGTTCAGTATTGACCTTTCATCAATTGTGAAATCACTCTGGAGACATCGTCATACTTTGGAAGAGCTTGATCTTGATGTTGAAGATAATGTTTCCTGGGGTGAAATCTACGGAGAGGATGGCTTAAAGTCTTCTGAGCAAATATACGCGGACGAGGATCCGGTATATGAACAATTATGGGAGGGCGAGATGGACGAACTCGATGGCCTCGAAATGCCACCTTCCGATATTTCTCTGGCCGACTTCCCTAAACTGAAGTGTCTGGGTCTAGGTGTTCATACACTTTGTTTCCTGGCAAGGGGCATAGGTCCAAATCGACTTGGTGCGGAATCAATTTCCCTTGCGGACAGGTTGCCGCGCTCGTTACAAAGTATACGGCTTTATGGGAAAGGAGAAGCAGGAGACTCGACGCTTGACTGTGGAACACATCAGCCCGACCTGGATGTTGATGTTCTCTTGGAGAAGCTGGTCGCCGAGAAAGGCGAGAGGTTGCCGGGATTGGTCACTATTGAAGGATTTGACCCTGTCATCCTACGCGCAAAAGAGGTCCCTGAGCATGCTTATTTGGATGGGGATCATCCATTTCTTTGGAAACAACCTGAGGGTTGGTTGTGTTGAGTGTTCGGTTCGGAGTGTTCTTTTCTACATAGTCAAGCAAATAATCAATTCCAGGCATCAAGGCCTCCGCGAATCCTTTGTAGGGCTGCAGAATACCGGAAATACAGTACTATAGACACCATATTTGTTGGGTCAGAGGAAAGTCAAGCTAATTTTCTATCGCGGGGGAATCCCGTGTGATATTGGGCCATCGCCTAGCCGCGTAGTACGCGAAGAAGCAGCCACATGATGAAGATGATATTGTTTCAGGGCTTTAGAACTTCGAAGAAATATTAAAAATCATATGAAATCTGAGAATATATGATGTTGCACATCTCGGAAGGAATTCGTGAGAATAGGAGTATTAAATGGAAAAAATTGTATCGAGGCCAAGCTGGCTGGCGTATCGCGTTGTCGGGGTTTTCTGAAGCGGGCCGCCAGGCGCTGAGCTTTGTAAGCAATCAGGTGCCCACCGATTAACTAGCTAACTAGTTAGTTACCAGTGATTAGTTACATCAGTATATTCTAGAGAGCTGGGTGGTAGTTCAATTATGCAATGAACACTGATCAGCTCAAGTCTTTCTACGGTATTGAGCATTAAGCAAAAGCAGCGAGACATGAGCACTAGAACGGAACCTGGGGAACGCCAGGAGTTGCCTGATAGTATTAGCCGATATGCATAAAGTAGCGTATAAGACACACACCAGAGGTGATGACGGCCATGAGGTGGACTTTCCATCTGTACAATCACGGTGGTACGTGGATATGGTTAGGTATAATATGAACGCAGGCGTTGTAGCAGATTGGGTTGTCCCCATCTTGCCCCTGCCTCGCTCCGGCGGTGGACATCTATTGTGCGCGTCATCGACCCCCAGATTCTATGGAACTTCCCCTCTCTACGCGTGTAACCTCCCTACCACCCTTGATGTACAGGGTCCGCATCGTTATTTGGAACTAAAAGTCTTTCCAAGTATGACGATAAAATTTTGGTTGAATGGAAAACCTCAGCCTATTGGAGTTGCTCAGTGTATACACCTCAGCTTCTTTTTTGTCTGTCATTAACAAGCCAGGTGAATAACTTTTTTTACGATGCAAATTTTATAGCTTTCTGGCCGAGAAGATCAAGATTTGAAGAGCCGGTTATAAGCTCGGTATATCCATGGATTCTCTCCAGGATAGAAGCTGTCACCAAGCTTCTTCGCCGGCGGATCCGAGCCCTACGTCTCTTAAGCTTAAACCGGCCACTACTGCCATACCCTTGCTCACGCTTCTTTCTTCCATAGCATGACAGGTTTCCGAAAGCAGCCATTTCCCTGGGTAGATTCCGTCATCCTTGAATCCATTGAATATGTGCCAGGGGTCTGGCCCAGACATGCGACCTACTCTAGAATCCAGAATTGGACCTCGCAAGTCCCTTTAATTGCGAGCTGCCCCTCCGAATCTTCCGTAACCTGTTTTTGCTTGTCAAAATAGCTTGTTGATCTTTACAAGGGCTCTATAGAGCACATTCCAATTGACCCTCGCTCGGCGTTCCGCGAGTTTCGGTATCTCAGACGCCATCATGTTCAGCGACCCCTACCTCGCTCTGGTCACGCTCTGGCTACAGGCCACTGTCCCTGTGATAGCCCAGGAATATACAGAGACAGTCTGGGGAGTGTTCTCATACACTATACATGGGGACAGTACCCCCAATATTCTCGCCGATGCCGACCCCAGGTTCTTATCGGACTATGGAGCTAACCAGCTCGCTGACGCTGGCACAGCCTTTCGGGAGCGCTACCTGTCGTCCGGGGAAAGCATCGATGTCACCGAGTCTGCGATCCAATACCTGTCGGCAACTGTTCTAGACTCGAAAGATGTCGATGTATTCGCAACGACGGCCCAATTCGTGATTGCTTCAGCGCAAGCTTTCATGCAGGGTCTCTATCCGCCGCTTGGTCAATCGGGATTGGCCCCTTCAGATACTGGAGGCAGCAGCTCGTCTACTTTGTCGCCGCTAGATGGATATCAGTATCCTCGGATTGTCACGCTCGGAAATGGTGATCCGCAGTCCATCATGGTGGCAGGGCAAGCGGATTGCAGCATGCACCAAATTGCAGAATCTGTGTACCGAAATGGAGACGACGCACAAGAAATCACGCAAATAACGGATGCATTCTACGTGAGACTCTGGAATGAAGTACTATCTGGGGTCTATGCCGAATCATCGGCCACCTACAATAATGCGGTTGATATATCCGACTATATCGAGTACGAGGCGGTGCACAACAGTACTGTCCAAACCCAACTCACCGAGGACGAGATCAGACAGGCACGCTGGTGGGCGGATCATTACACGTACGCTACAAATGGTCAAAACGATTCCAACAGCCAATCTACAATAAGTGCCGTCAACCCTATTGCAGGTCAAACCCTGGCAACCAGCATTCTGCGTGCCTTCGACATGAACATCGCTGGATTCGGCACAGGTCAGAAGATGACCCTACTGTTCGGCAGCGACGAGCCTGCTGTAGCTCTGGCGTCCTTGTTGGGACTAGCATCGGAGCAACGACCCAACTTCTATTCCCGTCCAGCCCGCGGCGCCTCGCTGGTCTTTGAGCTGTACAGCTTTGAGGCTGACGAAGTGTATCCCACGTACCCGGGCATAGACAACCTGTACGTGCGTTTCTTCCTGCACAATGGCACAGACGCCACCGACTTCACTCCATACCCATTGTTCGGATATGGCCCGAGCCACGAGTACATCCCGTACTCGGATTTCCGGTCGGAAGTAGAGAGTTTTGCCGTGCAATCCACACAAGAGTGGTGTCTCCGGTGCAATTCGGCTGCGGTCTTCTGCACGGGAGTCTTGGGTGACAGCGCATCGAACTCCTCGAAGAAGAAGAAAGGAATGGCTCCTGCCGTGGGTGGTGTCATTGGGGCTGTGGTGACGCTCGTGGTTATCGGCTTACTCGCGGCGTTGGGTTTCTTCATCTGGGGCAGGCGCAATCGTCAGGGTAACCACAAACCGAGCCTCGGAGGGTTCAAGGGAACGGGTAAGCTTGCGAGTGACACTGATGTCACGTTCAGAAGCCCTATCTGGGGCGCTTCCAAGTCTGGACACACAGAGCAAAACGATGACATCGTTGGCGGTGTTGTCGTGCGTGGAGACGAGCGATTGGGGAGCTGGGAGATGGGACAGCAGAAAAAGGAGATCGAAGATGTGGATTCGACAAGTCAGCGCCATATGTCGACCCTGGAGGACGATAATGAAGACGAATGGCACATCCATAGTGGTCTTCAGCCTGTAAAGATTCGGGAGAGTGTCTGATATCATGCTCATTGCATTGATCAGGAAGAGAATAATAGATTTGTTTCCTCCTCATTCCCAGTCCTCGATAGGATCGTATAGGATCATTTGCTTCATCTTGATGGGGTTCGTCCACAATCGATAGGCCTTATCGCTCTTGCTAGCTTTATCGGCTGGTCGCCCTCGAGATCCAGCCGAATAGCTTCGCCTTCCCATTTCCGTTCGACCCATCTTCTTTCCATCTTCCCGTCGTGCCTCCAGTTCCTCTCCCCTTTCCATCGTTCCTACCCCTGACCCCATCTCGAAGTTGCCGGGAGCTTTTTTCTCTTCTTCCAAAGCTTTCGTTCTTTCTTCTCGGTAAGTTCTCCATCACTCGCTCATCAAGATGAAGTACACCATTCCAACGCTGATGGCTCTTAGCCAGGTGACAGACGTGGTCTGCAACTGGACATCCAACGCTCGAGACTGTAAGTGGCTCACTCCCCCGCAACTAGATACGAGAAGAACGCGAAGAAGAGCGCGTCTCCCTTGCCCCAGATCATCATGTTCTCTTTCCACTCAGTCATGGTCATGAGTTGGGCCTTGCAGGGTGTGTTTCTGTACTCTGTGCTTGTTCGGTGAGCATGGACAGAGTCAGAACACACATCTCTTGGCCTGGCCCATAAAATCCCCCCAAGTTCAGATGGTGCATGACTCTGACCTTCGGGTTGTGCACTCATCCAGACTGGGGTCCATGGCATCCATCACAACTCGAACTATTGTCGGTCCAGAGTTTCTCCTTGCGCATTCCATACACACCATAGACCAGACTCACGCCATTTATGAAGCCATGAGAGTTTCTAACACTGTATGTAGGCAATCTGCTTCGTCCTGGCCTGAGCCAGAGACCGACACTCAGAGAGAATTCTCCAAACATTGACACTGTCAGCTCGGCCGCAGCCCAACAGTCACGCAAAGGCGGTCGCTCAAAAGCAGAGTCGCACTGTCCACCAAGCACGACCACACATACACCTTCGAAACCTTCTTTCACTCCAACAGACGCGGGCTTTGCTCGCTTCTTGCAAGAACATTCTTCGCCCACTCACCAACGAGTCACAGCTGGAGGTCGTATTGTCGCAATGAGCCACCCAGCCAGGCCATCACAAATGATTGCCGAAATGTCCGAAGATGGCTTGGATCCTCCTGGAAATTTCATGGAAGCGGTCGAAAATGGCCACGGTATGGCAAACGACTACACTATGATGAACGGAAACCCTATGATCGACGGCCACGACATGGCAAACGGCCACGGCATGATGAATGGTCACCCTATGGTGAACGGGCACGGCATGATGACTGGTCACCCTATGGTGAACGGTCACAACATGATGAACAATCACGGCATGCTCTTTGAAGAACCTAGGCTCTTTGAACAAGTTAGGCTCTATGACCTGGGCTGGCCCGATGACCGACACTTGATCAATTACCAAGACATGGCAAACGAAGACCAAATCCAGACTGCCCCTGTGTCTGCTCCTGTGTCTGCTCCTGTGTCTGCTCCTGTGTCTGCCCCTGCACCTACGCCCACACCAGCCCTGCCATCTTTGAATCCCGAGGCGCCAGCGTTCTTGCTCCATGGCGGTGAGATCCCCACTGTCAATGCAGCTCGCACGAACGCCGAGCACTATCCGGGCGAGGCAGTGAACATCGCCCGAAATGTCAACCAGCCAATCGCTGCGGCTGGCCCAGATTTTGAGAACTCGGCTCTGATTTGGCCACCCTTTTCTCAGAACGATATGTCTGATAACGACCGTCAGGCATTCATACAAATCCGAACGCAGCTCGCAGCGCAATTCATCGTCTCACCTGTTCGCGTGTCCGACCTGCCAACAGGCGCTATACTGCGCGGAAATCCTGTTCTGCCTTTCCGGCCCCGCCAGCCTATCCCTGTTGTTTTCGTTGACGCTGAGCTGCGCCATCCGGAATTCATCACCCCTCTGGGCTTGTACTGGGCCCTCCTCACTGAGATCTTCCGTGTGACCAATGAGGGTCAATCTCAGCCTCCGGACCACGTGCAGTATTGCACCAACCTGAACACCTTGGTGTGGCTTGTTCACGATCCGCGGGATGCATATGAGGCATTCATCTTGCTTCATGCCTTAGAGTGGGTCAAGTACCATCGCCGGCTGTTTGACGACTTGATTGCGTCGGTGGACCGTCGCCGGGCGACTATGGAGGGTCCCGATCGCCTTCTCACAAATGAGCGGGTGAACTATGTGAACTTGAGGGCCCATGTCATGGAGGCCATCGGACGGCTCGAGCAGGCGTTGGAAAACGCACATCATTCCCAGGGCTGCCCCTTCTGGCGCACTTTAATCTCCCTGGCCTTGGGCGGTCGCGTCGTGGTGGACCCAGAGCACAGTCCAGCTCGTTATGGCCCGAGTGACGCGCCAAGTGAGGATGGGCGTCACGAGGGCCCAGAGGACGTGTTTCCTGGCGATGACGAAGCTCCGGAAGATGAGGACTTTTCGGAGTCTGCATCCTCCCGCAACAATTCCGCACCGGGAGACGACCCCGCCGGCGCAATCGGCCAGGCGGACTCAGAGGTGGACCGCACCGAATCTGGCCCCGTAGTCAACAGCGGGACCTCTCAGTCGGACGAGACTGAGAGCCAGCCTGTTCGGGGACCAGCCGAGGGTGGTCTGGAGGGCGTTGCCAACGCCGCAGGGCGGTTGGCGGAGGCAGGTGGCGGCGGCGAGTCCTCGTCGCAATCGGCAGATGTCGAGGTCAGGCCCGATGAGGGCGAGCAGGAAGTCCTCCCTGCAGAATTGAGGTAAGAATGAGCATAGCTTTCAAGATGACTGAAGGCAAAGCTGATGAGATTTGACAGGGAGTTGAGCGTTGAACGCGACGCTCCTGTCGCCCTGAAGGAGCCTTCGGGCTCAGAGGTAGTCGAAAACTACCTTAACGAGTCGGTCATCACGCCGGCCAGGATTACGGCGGCCGTGAGCCGCATCGATGCCCACGCCGACAAGGGCAGATTGTCGGATGTCGAGACGGAGCTGGCCCGGTTGCGGGGTTGAAGGGGGGGAGAGGGTTCGGGAAGGGGAGTGGTGGCCTGGGGGAATTTTGAGAAGGTTGTATGATTAGCAACCCCGACCAGAATGGAACCCCCCGATTCCCAAATGGTTGTGTCAATGAATGTAGTTGCAATGGTTGCAATGTAGTTGGCATGGTCCACATAACATGGGTCGTATCGATAAGCGGCTCATCACGTGGATCCAACGCGCTTCCACAGTTTCGCAATGAACGGTTTACTGGCGGAGTCCAACCAAGTCCCGAGGACTCCAGCCTGCAGTGATGCACCAATGAAAGCAAAATTGCAGATTTCAAGTATTGAAAATCCGCCACTGTTCCTGACAAAATTATAGACCCGGGGTCCATTGGGTTGGTATAGATCGGTATACTTGGGTGGACGTGAGTCTTTACAGTCAATACCTCTCGCTCATGCCCTAAGTCGTCGAGAACGGGGACGTAATGAAACTTATAATTTTGATTCAAATAGTTATCGCCACATTTCTACCTCAATTAAGATTGCAATTATTCGCCGTAGTTCTGACAGTCGCCTCTGGGAGTTGATAACCTTGAAGGCGACCCAACTTATCGGGGGCGGCCTGACTAAGCCGTGGCCTCCTCGCCCTTCTCCACTCGCTGGTCCGATTCCCCTTCGTCTCCTTCGCCCTTCTCCAACCTGTCCTGCATTATCCTGAAAAACCCCCCTCCCTGCCTCTCTCTTTTCTGTGGGATTTCTACCATGCAGATACTTTCATGAGCACTGCTATCGTCATCTTGGTCTTTCCATTCGTTCTGGGTCGATAGCCCTTGTTTTTCTGTATCCTGATTGCTTGCTAATCATCTCCCCATCCCCTCCCCGCGATTCCAATCCCCATCGCTATCTCTTGGCCTCGCACGCCCCGCCACCGCCTTCGCCTTTCCTTGCGCAACCTTCTCCGGAGCAGCCAATTCTTCTCTTGGTAGAAGAGTTCGCACATCAGTTCGACTTGCCGAATCCCTATAGACATGACGCAGCTGTTTGCGTCCAGTCCGTCGGCCATGACAAATACCGAAAAGCGTGGCAATTTCCCCGGCTTGTCGTTGCCGTCCCGAAAACACTCGAACGAGTCGAGTCACCTCCCTACCAAGATCAAGAACTTTTTCCGGATCAACAGTTCCAGCAGTCATTCCTCTTCCCATGGCGGGAGCCCGGTCAGTAATGACCGCGAGCGCGAGAAGGATAGCCCTGCGAAGAATGAAAAACCCCCTTCCGACAATCTCGGTTCCTCCCTACGATCGGTCGTAACCGTTCAACAACCGTTGCGAGTGAAGGCAACCCTCTAGATGATGGTGTCTCTCCTACCGCCTCGGCGAATCCCTACTTTGCTCACCAGGGCCAACCTGCATTGCGACATCGGAATGACGGGTCCGTCCCCTCGTCCCCGCCCGATACCCCCGAGTTGCAGGTCACTGGGGTCTCGGCGGTGGAACAGGCCACTACTGCCAACAAGGAGGAACTCGCTCGCAAACTACGCCGTGTGGCATCTGCCCCCAATGCCCAGGGTCTCTTCAACGGCCAGGGCGATGGTCGTCCCCAGACAGCTGAAATGGGCAAAGAGCCTCTTGTGGAAGTTCCTGGCTCCGATGGGTCAGTGGGTCTTGCTAGCTCAATGTCTGAAAAGGACTCTGCGCTTTCGGTACCCACAGTTGGCATGAACAGCAAAATCGATAGCAATAATGCCTCCTTCCGTCGCACTTACAGTTCCAATTCGATCAAGGTTCGCAATGTGGAAGTTGGTCCCGCCAGTTTCGATAAGATCAAGTTGATCGGTAAGGGTGATGTGGGAAAGGTCTATTTGGTTCGCGAGAAGAAGTCAAGTCGTCTCTATGCCATGAAAGGTGAGTTGAATATCTCCACGGTCCAATTGAAAATTGCTGACTTGGCTACTAGTCCTGAGTAAGAAGGAAATGATCAAACGTAACAAGATCAAGCGCGCTCTGGCTGAGCAGGAAATCTTGGCCACGAGCAATCACCCATTCATCGTTACCCTGTATCACTCGTTCCAGTCTGAGGACTATCTGTATCTGTGCATGGAGTACTGCAGTGGTGGTGAATTTTTCCGAAGTACGTATCTAATTCCGAAACCCTGGCTCATAGGCTCTTTCTGATTGCCAATTACTCCAGCACTGCAAACTCGACCTGGGAAATGCATCTCTGAAGATGCTGCCCGTTTCTACGCCGCCGAGGTGACTGCTGCCCTCGAGTACCTTCACCTGATGGGCTTTATCTACCGAGACCTAAAGCCAGAAAGTATGTATCCCGGTGGCGCAAGATTGCTTCCTGCTATACTTGACAGGGTAATAACTTTCTATTGCCAGATATTCTCCTTCACCAATCTGGTCACATCATGCTTTCAGACTTTGATTTGTCCAAGCAGTCTGGGCCCGGTGGTGCTCCAACCATGATTCCCGGACGCAGTGGGGGTACCTCTGGAACGTCCTTGCCCACTATTGATACCAAGTCTTGCATTGCCGATTTCCGTACAAACTCGTTCGTTGGAACCGAGGAGTACATCGCTCCCGAGGTGATCAAGGGATGCGGCCATACTAGCGCGGTTGATTGGTGGACCCTTGGTATCCTGATCTACGAGATGCTTTACGGAACTACCCCGTTCAAGGGCAAGAATCGCAACGCAACCTTTGCCAGCATCTTGCGGGATGAGGTGTCATTCCCTGAGCACTCTGGTGCCCAGCAGACTTCCACCTTGTGCAAGTCTTTGATTCGCAAGCTTTTGATCAAGGATGAAACGAAACGTCTTGGAGCTCGCGCTGGCGCATCTGATGTCAAGACTCATCCCTTCTTCCGGACGACCCAATGGGCCCTTATCCGCCATATGAAGCCGCCTATGATTCCCCACCAGGGCCGTGCAGGCACCGATACTGTCAACTTCCGCAATGTCAAGGAGAGTGCCAGTGTGGATATTGGCGGCACAAACTCCAATAAGATGAAGGGCGTTCCCATGGACTCTGGGTTGGCCACCCCGAACGGTGAATTGAACGATCCTTTTGAGGAATTCAACAGCGTGACCCTCCACCACGAGGGAGACCACTAAAATGTGCTCTTTTCATCTCTGCCCAACTTGTATTTTGTTTCATCCCTTTTTCTTCCGTTCCTCTCCCTATATATGAGGGAGGCAACCGCCGGGGCATCGGCTCGTTGACGACCATGATGCATTGACGACTGCATTTTGACTGTTTCTTCTCATCACTCCCATTGCAATCCGCCCATCGGGGGAAAGAGAGCTTCAAGGCCTCTTGTACCAATTTTTGTACGTTTCTGCTTCATGCAGGTTATTGCTTTTTGACTTGGCCATCTCATGCTTGCATTTCGCATTCTCCATCATTCGCTGAAGGCCTTGAAAAACTTTCCGGTTTCATGACCCAAGTACCTCCCTCTTCTTTGCGTGTATCACTCCTTATGTCACGATCCCATGTGCGCTTTGGTTTCTTGTTTCTCGCCGGCAGTTGCGTTATACATTTGGTTCACTTCCTGTTTTATGCAGCGGGCGGCGTTCATGGTTTTTTCTCTCTTGTTTCCTTGGGGGCTCGTGGTACTTTTTGGATTCATAGGCTTTTGGCTATTTCATCAACTATTCGTCTTTTGCAGATTACAAGTTCTTCGTGTCTGATCCCAGAGCGCAGTACGATCTATTTCCGAGCTCGGCTCAATCTAGGCCATGCTATCTGTATGTTCTGGACTATAGGCTCGCCCGTATTAAACAAAATGGCGCTCGCATCGTTTCCAATTAATTTTGAGACCGAGTATAGTAGATTCTGTAGAACCTCCAGGTTCAATCGCAATATGCTGGAGTATAGTTCAGTGAGTTGTGTAGTTCCTAGCTTGTCATCAAGTGGGACGCTTCTGCTCCAAAAAAACACGGCCCCGCCGAATCAACAAACCACCGCGTCCAACTCCGCACCTCATCTCTGGCCCCCTGCTCTGCTGTCCACTCCCGCGAAAGCTTCAATCTTGCTCTCGAGAAACCAAACCCCATAACATGTCCGCCTTCGCAGCCTCCGATGATCCAGACGTCCTGGACTACTCCTACGCAGAGCCCGACCCCACGACCACCACCCCTCCCATCGGCCCCCCCGAGCAGTCCATGAGCACGCCCGAAACCACCCACAGTCGCAGCCGCTCCAACAACCCCCTCCTCGGCGGCGACAATCCACTCGTCTCCGAGCTAGAGCAGGAAGTGCTGGATGAATACTCCCGACTACTACGGAATGTAAACCAGGTGAGTCGAGCAGTAGCGGGGCCGCGTGGCAGCCGCGCAACAAACCCTCCTGACCACTACGCTTCTGTCAAGCAAATACTAATTACTCGCTACTCGTTCAGCTCTCCGAGAAAATTGGCGATCTCGCCGGCTCCCCGGCCTCAATGACCCTTGACGGCCTGCGTTTGCTCGAGCGGAAGACTGCTACTGTATGCACGCTGCTCAAGGCTAGTGTGTATAGCATTGTATTGCAGCAGCAGATTTGGAACGAGAGTGAGGAGCAGGAGAAGCAACAGCAGCAACAGCAGGGTGAGGAGCAAGAGGGGCAGTTCCAGGATCAGGAGTATCAGCACGGTGGGGGTTATGACAGGGAGGGTGATGAGACTTTTCAATGAGTGGTGGTGCTGGGTTGTGATGAATAGCTTCTCCTTTTTTTTCTGATTCTGCATTTTGTGGGGTTTGGTATTGGGCTGGGGCTTGTTGGTTCTGTTTTCTTGCTACATATACCCATGTTTATTCGTTAGATGGATCGGCGTGATATTGGAGATACCTTATATGGGTGGGACTTGTGTTGGAGGAATGATAGACTTCCCTGTTTCAAGGACCATGTTCCGATCTACTTTATTGTTCTGCTTGGATACAAGATGGGTGTGACTGAGGTTGAAAATTAGATTTCTTTCCAGGATAAAATCGCCACAGCCGTGAATCGAAACCATGATTTCCGTGCCACCATACAAATATTTCGCGACACTTGATGATGCTCAAGTACATCGCCATGATGCTGATACCTAACAAAAAGCTACACTTACACCACCCTCACGAGGATCAGAGGGCTTTAAAAAGAGAATATTGTACTCGCCTAAACTTCAGGATTATTTTGATGTAAGTAAAATATGGAAAATATACAAAAGTCTAGCCGTGGTGGTGGCCTCTACGTCCGGCCAGTATAAAAAAGAAGTAACCCTCCACCCTAGTGGGCCCCATTCGTTTCCCCGGGGATTTACCGACGCCTCATAGAGGTCGAACCCCGATGAGACATCCAGTGGTGATACCACTAGGTTATTGGGGGGGGAGGGTTACTCGGGGAAACTGGAACTGGGTGATAACCCCTTCCGGGTTCGCATTTAATATGCTGGTTTTGCTATGCCTGATTGTCGAGCTGCGCGCTTCCAATCCATAGATCCTGTTCGTCGATCAGAGGCTTTGAAGTAGGATTTGGCTCTAGCTGCTCCATCGATATGAGAATTGTTTGATTGATCCTTTTTGATGATGACCACAGGAGTACAGATACAAATACATGCAAAAGACACAATGAGAAGAGAAAAGAAAGACACCCATTATATACACGCCGAGAGAAAATGCACGGCTCGATCAGTTGTCAAAACACTCGCGTCTAGACCTTTCCAGCGTAATAGACCTTGCGCACGTCGACCATCTTGCGGCCACGAGCGCGGGCAACTTCCTCGGGGTCCCGCTGGCTCATGAGTGCCTCGTACGCAGCCTTGACAGTGTTCATCTTGTTGCGGGAGCGGCTGACTCGTGCAGCAAGGTCGTGGATACCGGCGGCACGGCACATTTCGTAGATCAGGTACTGAACACGGAGACCGAAGCCTGGCATCATGTTAGTGTTGGGTCACATGGGCAAGCAAGCCGATTCGAACATACCTGGGGGACGGTGCATCAACTGCAGCTCCACGGCTCCAACCTTGCCGGTCACATCGCCAAAGATGGTGCGGTTCTCATAGCGGGGGATTGGCTGCATGTTGCGAATGGCACGGTACTGGGACTGGGTCTTTGCATCGGAGGCTTCGTCGGACTTGCCCTCACCGACACCCAGCAGGCCATTGCCATTACCGGCAATCGACAGACGATACGCACGACGAACCTTGCCCAGGCGGGTCTGGTTCACAACCGAGTGGGAAACCAGAGTCTTCAGCCGGAAGTCGCGAATCTGGTTCGCAGTGTAACCCGTAGCGAGGAGAAGGCTCTTCAGAGCGTCGGTCATCTCCTCAGCTTGCAAAGAACGTTCTTTCTCGCCCTTCTCAGCAGCAGTCTTCCGCTCCTCAATACGGGGCTCGTCGATGGTCTCGCCGGGCCCGAAGAGATCGGGGACGAGAGCGCTGTGGGGGTTCAGCTCGTTCGACTCCTTGCCGTGTGTCAAGCGCAGCTCGTCCGTGAATCGAACAAAGTCCGCGCCTGTTGCATCGTCTGGCATCTCCGCGACGAAACGGCCAAAGTCCTTGACAAAGTCCTCCTCGTTCTTGAGCTTGAAGTTGTAGTCCGAGTTCGATTCCGGCGCGCGCACGTGTCGGTCGATACCAGGCTCAATGACGGAGAAGTCATCAACGTAGTTGATTTTCATAGGGTCGTCACGTTCGTTCAACTGCTCAGCCAGGTCCTTGGGGTCAATGGCAGCCTCGCCAGCCTTGACGGCTTCCAACTGCGCGGCCGAGTACTCCTTGGCCAAATAGGCCTTCTCCTCCTCCGTGTACGGCTTGAAGTCCTCTGGCTTGGGAGTCCCAGGAGCCTTGATGTTCGGGAACTTGGGTTTCCGGTTCGTCAATTGGGCAGGCGATGGGTGGAACTGGCGACGGGGGACTCGCGTGCTTTGCGTGGCAGCACGGGAGAAGCTGCAGAACAGACATCTTGCTGGCCTGGCAAGACTCATTGTGAAAAGGTGAACTGGCACGTTGACTAGCAAGACCGCTAGCCACGGGCTCTGTAAAGAAAGGAACGAATCAACAAATGACGAGCACAACGACGGCTGGCGAAGAAACGGGCGGAGGTCCAAGTCGGGAGGAATTTCTTGCTCGCCGGGCGGTCAGCACGGAGCCAATCAGCGGCTCTGCAGATGTGTTTCTAATAAATTTCCAGAATTTCGAGTCTTCAACTTTTGCAAATTCGTCGCTGCTTGACTTTCAGGATTTACATGTTTGCAGTGCGGTCGCCGATTTACCGATTGTCGTATAGCTGGCCTGTCCTGGCTCGATCCTACTTTCGAGCCCAGCCCACCTCGTTTGCCTCCTTCCAGCGCTATTCAAACATTGCGACGACGCCCGCCGCGAGAATGCCGAACAATCCCAAGAAGCAGTTTGGGGGCAATTTTCGCAAGAAAGCCAAGTTTGACAAGAAAAAGAAGAGCAGTGAACATGATGAGGTCCTGCTAGCGGACGTTGACGAACTGATCAAGCGCAATCGCCCCGAAGAGGACCAGTCCAACAGCGACAATGACACTCCGCCTCCCACTCTCCCCGAGACTTTTACCGAGATCGAATTGACGGTCTCTGATATCTCCTCGACCGGTGATGGACTTGCGCTCTCTGAGAATAAAGATCATGTCTATGTTGTGCCCTTTACGGTTCCTGGCGACAAGGTGCGCGCGAAAGTCATTCGACACTGTCCCGCTCAGTCTTACACTATCACCGATTTCTTGAGCGTGATTGAGCCGGGTCCGAAACGAAACAATTCCCTTATCAAGTGTCAATACTTTGCCAAGTGTTCTGGATGTCAATTGCAGATGATGTCGTACGAGGACCAATTGGCGCATAAGCGGCGCATTGTGGAGAAGGCCTACGCCAACTTCTCTGGTTTGATCCCGGAATTGGTCCCCTCAGTCGGCGAAACATTCCCATCGCCTATGCAATACGGATATCGCACGAAGCTCACGCCACACTTTGCCCAGGGAGGCGCAAAGAAGAAGTCGAATGACGAATCGCAGGAGGTCAAGGTTCCACCAATTGGCTTCTGCTACAAGAACCGAAGAGCAGATATGGATATCGAGGATTGCCCATTGGGAACGGACATCGTGCGCCAAGGGCTTAAGAGCGAGCGAAAACGGGTTGCTGAGAACATTCGCTCGTACAAGAGGGGCGCCACTCTTCTAATGCGGGAAAGCACCTCTCGCATTGCAAAGGATGCATCCGGAGCTGAGACTGATGTCAAAGATATCAACGGTCTTACATCAACCTCTGGTGCCGACACAGGTGACGTGATCCGCATCGATCGTGGGAGCTATATTGAGGAAAAGCGTTGTATCACCGATAACAACGCTACGACGGTCGAGTATGTCGATGACTTCATTTTCAGCAACAAAGCCGGCGCCTTCTTCCAGAACAACAACTCAATTCTCTCAGGATTCACCGAGTTCATCCGCTCGCACGCTCTCCCTCCCAACAATGATCAAGACCCCACCCCCATCAAGTATCTCCTCGACGCCTACTCGGGCTCTGGCCTGTTCACAATCACCCTATCAACAATCTTCAAGTCCAGTCTAGGTGTTGATGTCGCTGGCGACTCTATCGTCTCCGCTCGCGAGAACGCCAAGGCTAATAATCTCCCCAACACGGGATTCGCCGCCGCGGATGCTGCCGTCCTCTTCAAGGACGTTCCCTACCCGCCGGACCAGACTCTGCTTGTTATTGACCCTCCGCGCAAGGGCTGTTCGGAGGACTTCCTCCAGCAACTTCTGGCCTTCAAGCCCCGTCGTGTTGTCTACGTTAGTTGCAATGTCCATACCCAGGCCCGGGATGTGGCCGTCATGGTACAAGGCGACGAAAAGCAAGACGTGCGATACGAGATTGAGAGCGTTCGTGGATTCGATTTCTTCCCTCAAACTGGCCATGTGGAGGGTGTTGCTATCTTGAACCGTACCTTATTCCCCAAAAATGACTCCGTTTGATGTTCGGAAATATGCATATAGTACTTTGTTCTCTGGGGTTATAGGGGTAGCCTGTATTTGCTTTTACTTGTTTGATACTGTATATTATTCTTGGCGTTGAGTCCGAAGGTGAATACCAAAAAGCAAGGTTAGGCGAAGGAGATTTTTGCATTTTTTTTAACACGCTTCTGGTAATATCAAAGAATTCAACGACAATCTCCTTCTATCTACTCGGGAGCCAGATATAGCAAGCTGAGGACCCAGCGCCATGCCGCCCGCTTTGGATACAAAAAGAAAACAAGAAGAAGCACCAAAGAAAGCATGTGGAGGAAAAGAAATGAAAAACTAACGGACTATGAACAAGAGCGTCCAGCTACACCGGCTGACAAAGGACATGATAAAAAAAATAGACTGTGATACCCACCCTAGGAGCTTCCGGGTCCACCGAGCAGAGCGAATCTCCGCACGATGCTGGGACCGATCTCGTCGTATTCGGCCTTGGTGTGGCAGTAGCTCCGGAACTCGGGCGTCTGACCCAGCAGGCTGCCTCCGAACCAGGGACCGTGGCGCTGGCGCTTATGTGTGACGACCGCAACATCCAGACCACCACTGCGGGCACCGCCGCTACGAGCCTCAGATGCACGAATGCGAGCATCCACGAGATGGCGGATATCACGCTGTAGACGACGGCCAAAGTCCTTGTACAAGGTGGAGCCACCGGACAGCACAATGTTCTTGTAGAGACCTCGTCGCACATCAATGGGGGAGGACTGGATAACACCATCGACAACGTTGGGAAGAGGGGTCAGGAAGTCGGACGAGTAGATTTCAGGGTTGAAGAAGATCTCGGGGGCCAGGAAACGCTCGTAGCCAACGTCGATGGACACGCTGCGGCCATTCGGCGAGGTGACGGTGTGCTTCAGGAAGCGATCGGGCTCGCGGTCGTAGCGCGCAAACTCCTTCACAATATCCGGGCTGACGTAGCAGTACTCCTCCTTGACCTTCTCGGCAGTCTTCAAGCTGCTGTCAGGCTCACCGCGGTCACGCAACAAGCTTTGTACGAAATATGTAATGTCTCGACCGGCAATGGGGATACTCTTGATAGAAGATCCAATGACGTAGCCCTCGGCTACCGGGATAACGTGGGTGACACCATCACCAGAATCAATCACAGTACCGGTAAGTGATCGATCAGTGACCTTGGAGGACGTCCATGATGCGGCGAGGGCAAGTACGGCTTGCACGGCAATGTAAAGACCAGCGCAGTTGAAGGACTCGAACATGATCTCGGCGGTGTTTTCACGGTTCTCGGGGGGTTCAGAGGCTATATTAAATTCCATGTTAGCGGCTCTTCTTTCGTGTGTACCATATGCGGGGAAGCCGCAAATAAACAATCCGTCTTACCGGCTCAGTCAGGAGGAAGTAGTGGTCTTCAGGCTCAACACGGAGGTATTTGAAAATCGAGTTTGACCAGAATCGCTCCATATGGTCCCAGTTCTCAATCTGACCATGGCGGATGGGGTAGTTGACACCGTAGCCAGGGCCGGCACCCGCTGCCAGAGCCTCATCACCAATGAAGAAGTCCAGATCTTCTGTACCGCGCTTTGCAGACAAGTGGGAGCTGCCACCGCCGCCACCACCCAGGAAAGATGGCTTGTTCGCAACAGCAGGCCGCGAACCAGCGGAGCTCCCAGCGCTCCCAGCACCAGCCTTGGTCGCAATTGCAGTTGGGAAGACGAAGGAGGGCGAATCGTTACCGGCAAATCCTGCATTTGAAGAGAGGGAAACTGTTAGTATCCTGCTGCAAGGTCCGGCCCTGGTATTATGGTAACAGGCTCCCGCGTGAGGCACCTACCAAGCTTGGAGTAACCGGTACCGCTAGGAGGAGGGTGTGCGGTCAGCATAGGTTCAATTTCCGAAATGTCAGCGCAACTTACTTGTCCATGACAACGGCTGGAGTTTGAGAGGCCATGGCGAATACTGGGTCACAATGCCAATCCGGATCACAAAAGAGTGCGTATTGCCCAGCGCTTTAGAAGGGGGAGGGGAATGAGGTCAACCGTGGCGGAGCTCAGGCAGACAAGGCGGGGAGGAGAGTTACGTAAGCACCAGTCAGTCACAGACCTAGCCAGATCATGTGCCTCTAAAATATGGAGTTAACTATAGAAAGGAACTACACCGTGTACATGATCTCTTGTTATTGATACTCCCCTCGATGGTCTTGCTTGTATACAGAGGAATTTTTGGAACATAGTGTATCCTATATGGGCTCCAGTACTTTGTTGCCGCGGCGTTCACATCAACGTTGATGCGATGGAAGGAGAAGGAGCCACTGGCAGCATTGGAGGGCTTTTATCAGAGAAGATTCCGGCAATCCTGGATTTTGTGCATTTGCCAGTCTTAGCCATTGATCAATCGTGATCATCGCAAACGCTTCTTATTCTTAGAGGGGGAGTCTCCCCGGACACGCTCTTTATTCTTTCTCCTCCATTCCTATTCTTTTCCATCACAAACGCCCCTCCGTTTCGTCGGATCTCCTCTCTCGCTTGACCCCCATCTACCAAGACTCTCCGCCTTTGCAGTACTGCTCTTCCAGTACTGCAGAGTCACACACATCCACCTTGCTCCTTCAATTTCATCGATTCGTTCCTTTTCTGAGACGGCAATCGCTGGGTCTCAATTCGCCTTGCTCTCCAGCCTGGTTAAACGGGGCTCAACTCGCGTGACTGGTCGATTGACCTCACTTAACCTGACCAGTCAGCTTCCTTCAACGACAAGAACTTTCTCAAACGTGGCACTTCATACGATCTGAAGACTCAATCGCTCACTAGATCATCAAAATGGAGTCTGAGAAGCAGAAGCAAGGTTTCTATGCCATCTTTGCGCATGCTGGTGCTGGCTATCACTCCCGCGAGAACGAAACTGCGCATCTCGAGGCTTGCCAACGGTATTTATAGCCACCCTTTTTCTCTGACAGACCTGAACCTTGGCTAATCTTATACTCAGTGCACTTAAGGCTGGAATGAACTTCCTGCGCAATGGTGCCACCGCAGTGGATGCCGTGGAAGTGGCCATCATGATGATGGAGGACGCAGTCATCACCAACGCTGGCTACGGAAGTAATCTGAACGTCAAGGGTGTGGTTGAGTGTGATGCCTCAATCGTCGACCATTTCGGTCGCAGTGGTGCTTGCGGTGCCGTTCCATGTAAGATATTTGAACCACTTACGACTCCTCAGCTAGCTTCAACTTTGGCTGACTCCATTGTATAGCTGTCAAGAATCCTATCATGGTTGCTCGCAAGATCTATGATCAGGCCTACAAGTCTCCTGGCTTGTCCCGTGTCCCGCCAAATTTCATTGCTGGAGAAGGTGCCGCTGACTTCGCTTGGAACAACGGGATCGTTATTGTTCCAGACAATGATCTCATTTCGCCTTGTGCAAGGGAGCGCTACGAGTCTTGGCGCAAGGAAATTCTTGAGTGGGAAGCTGAGTGCCCTGAGGAAGCTGCGAGAGATCCGTTTGCTTCTTGGCTTCGTCGTCCGGGCGTGCCACATCCCATCACTCGTATGGAAGTTGACATTCAGGCTAAGTTCAACGAGGCGGTACCCCCAATCCCCGGGTCTGACGATGGAATCATGTATCCCACCCAACTGAAGAGTGGAGATTCGACCGATGGTTCTCGCTCAATGCCGCAGTCGGACACTGTATGGCCGGGCTCTTCCATTTCCAACCAGGCTGCTCCCACTGGCTATGATCGATCGGCTCAGGATGGAACCTGTGAAGAGCCGTCTCGAGATACCAAAGAACCTGCACAGGGTCGCAGTGGAAAGATGGACACAATCACAGATACTGTGGGCGTCATTGCGGTTGACATGTTTGGTCACATCGCTGCGGGATCCTCGTCCGGAGGTATTGGTATGAAGCATCGAGGCAGAGTGGGACCTGCGGCCTTGATTGGTATTGGTACTCATGTCATTCCGGTCGATCCAACTGATCCTGAAGAGACCACTGTGGCTGCTGTTACTTCCGGGACTGGCGAGCACATTGCCTCCTCCTTCGGTGCCAGTACCTGTGCCAGCCGTCTCTACTACAGCCAACGAATGGGTCGTGCTGGTTGCTTTGACAACGTGGGCGACGAAGAGGCGATCAGTGCAATGATCAAGAAAGAATTTGCAGGTAAGTTGGCGCCTTCATTTATCAAATTGTTCTGTTACAATAGATACCAATGGGAATATGACTAGGCCACCCTGCAGTGCTCAACAGCGAGTTCCCCGGCTCAATTGGAATCTTGTGTGTGAAGAAGAATGTAGACGGCATCGCTTTCCACTTCGCTCACAACACCGAGTCCTTTGTGAGTTTGTCTATGAGAGTCCCCTTCCTTGAACACCCAGCTAACCTGCCTTCCAGGCTGTCGGGTCGATGTCGTGTTACGACACCGCGCCATCTTGCCTCATGTCTCGCAACTCTCGGCGTAGCGGTGTCGCGCAGGGAGGAGTCATGATTCGACCTCGAGAGTAGGTGGCGTCTGCGCTACTATTCTATTTCGTTGTGGCTACTGATGTCTCTTCCCTCGTCAGATCGAAGGATAAGGCAGAGGACAAGAACAGGAAGCGAAAGGTGGACAGAGTCTCCTAAGTGCTTGAATGCCAACCTCACAAGCACACCTGCTGGATTTCTATTGCATAGGCACCCTTTTGCATACACCCGCTGCATTCTGTGCTTGAAAACTGCCCTACCCTTGACCATTGCCCGCTCTCATGCCCCCGGAGTTTTCTTTATGTCTTGGCCTCTCAGCATTTCTGGCGTTCTCTCCCTGCATAGCGACCAGGGTTGACCCTTTTTTTCTCGGTGGCATCGTCCCTTTTTTGCCCTGCACATGTTCTGGTCGTTCTTTTGTTCCCCTTTCTCGAGCAGTGAATACCCGGCTGGTGGCCAGCGTGTTTGTGTATCAAGTTTATAGGCCTTGGGCGTTAAGACAAATTTGCCTTGATTTCCTAGATAGCCTAGAAAATTCAAAATCATCTCCACTCAAATTCTTTCTTTTTTGATCTTATTGCAGCGTATAACTGACTTCTCGAGTCCAGCGAGAACGACAGCTACATAAATTATTTTCTTCTTTAGATTCTAGGTAGATCCAATTCCATCATCCAGGACCAGGAGTTGGCGTCCCTGTTGACATTGGTGTCCCAACCGTCGAAGTCCCGTTCGCTCTCTTCTTCTTTTTCTTCTTTCTCGGGATAAGAGCCGGCTTGGAGCCAAAGTCACCCACGTCCAGGGGAGTGCCGCACGTCAAACACTCGTTCCCTGGAGGCGGCTCGCAGAAAATACTGAGACAGATGGAGCAGACGTAACCAATATCCACCACACGCCGGTGACAGAAGCAGGCCGCGCGGAAATCCACATCCACCCGTGTCGGAAGAACCAAGTGTCTGCGCGAGCGCTGATCTGGCAAAAACGCCATCATCAGATACTGCAGCAGCCCGCGCGGCTCGGAGAGGGCCATATACACGCCCTTGGTAGCGTCGCAGGCCTGCTGCAGGAAGACCGCATCGCCGCTGAGCTTGCACACGTCGATGGGGATGTGTAAGCGTTGGCAGGCGAATATACTGTTCATCACGGGGATATACTGGTGCGCCGAGTCGCTGGACCCGCTAACCGAGACGATCAGAATCCGACTCTGGAGGCGCTCGTCGTCGTTTGAGGCGGAGTACCGGCCGGGTCCGGTTCCTGCTGCTGTGGCCCCTGCGCCTCCACCGCCGCCATCTCCGGCCGCGTCTTCCAGATCTGCACCGCCGTGTTCCTCGGCCCAGGCGATGGTGCGCCGGTTGATATTGCTCAGTGCTAGTGTCAGAGCACCGGCGAGCATGGTTGAAGTGTTCCCGCGGAGGTCATCGCTGCTTGTCGAATCCATGAGTTCTTTCAGTTTCCTCGTGACTTGCTCCTCCACCATGCGGAATGGACGGTATTTGTTGGTTTGTGGAGCAGCTCCGCCCGTCCCGTTCATGGAGACGTCCCCGTCTGTATCTGCGGGTTGTTGCGAGGTGGTATCATTATGAACGGGGTACAGCCAAATTGCTGTTGTAGTATGGGAAGCGACCACGGCGACTTCATTTGCGTAATTACAGGCGAGATGGGCGTTGATGAAAACGAGCAGGTTCGCGACGGCCTTTGAAAGTGGGAGGGAGTCTTCAAGTGCTGCCCAGGCGTGCGGGTTCGTATCGAGGATGACAGTGAGAAGAGAGGGTGCGAGATCTGAGTGCTCGGTCAGTCTTGAATTCAGATGAAAGGCTAGTAACGAGAAAGACACCGACCTGTCGCGCCGAGCTCATAATGCTCGGAGGCATCGACGGAATTCATGGTGGTAGGAGATCAATGAGGGCGGAAGATCATGATGATGTAGCCAACGCCTTGGGGGAGGCAGTGAGAGAGCAAGCCAGTAAAGAATGATTGTAACCGTTGCTTGATGAACTCTCGACTAGGGATCTCGAATAGCGGAATGTAGATGAAGCAACCGACAAAGAACTAGCTCCGCGATAAGGCCGGTCACGAGATGATAACGCCGATCGCTGGCCAGACACCCCGGGGTCTGGGCTTTCTCTGTTGCTTTGTTCTTGAACTGGAATTAATGATGAGCTATTGAAGCTGCAGTGGAATAGGTAGTGTTAACCTAGCTGATTCAATTCTACCACGAAGCTTTTCCTGGTTCTATCTACGGTAAGATTCCACGGCAACCTCTTTCTTCTCAAGCAGGTGGTCATAGTGCCCGACACGAAGTATATATTTCGGCGAGTGCCATGGGTTCGAGCGAGTTGACAACTGACTATCTTTCTCCAGGTCTGATAACTCATGGCGCTCGTGGTAACTAACTTAGTTAAATAGTTAGTTAGTTAGCGCCGCTGACATATTACACATGGCCCGTAAGCTCTCCTTTTTTTTTTTTTTAACCTTTTCGGAGCTTCAGGATCTTCCGGAGTGGGCGGCGTTGATCTCGGGAACCCACTGTAGCTTATGACAGCGTATACTCAGTATGCAGGAGACCAGCTGGATTCAAGGAGGGTGCTCTGCTACAAGCTTCCTCGAATCACAAGCAAAGTAAACAGAGATATGCGTTCCACATACTCGGCCTTGGCCGACTCCTGGAGATTGTACTGCGTTTAGTCCATCCTGTTGGGATGTAGAATCTCGAAAGCCCCCCCCTTTTGGCACGCCCCTTGAGCTATTGATAGTCCGGTAATTTTGCAACGGAACAAAGAGCTCATACCGCAACAGACAAGGATATCTGCATCACCGACCGTGCCAGAAGTTCAAAACCGAGTATCTCTGCCAGCGTCAAAATCCGGGTTATCAGCAACGTGATCGGATTCGGCGATGTGGTTGGTCTTATCAGCACGATTGATAATGAGCATTCGTGGCCGAAATGGCGTTACACGGTCACCAATACCAGAGATACGGCGGGACAAGCATGGACATAGTGGACTGCCATACTTTATATGCTTTCTATGCCCCGCCGGGAGTAGTGGGGGACACCACGCCGGTATCCAGTGGTAATGGGAATACCGTATAGTCCGTCAACAGCCAGAGGTATACTTGTCTGCACCTCAACAGCCAAGCAGGCCAAGGGCAAATAATTCAATGATCGCCGAGAGCCTCCACGACTACTTCGTATTGCTTTTTTCTCCTTTCTCCTCATCCATTTGACGTGGCTCTTACGCTCTCACCTTTCTATTCCGTTCGTGTTGCGCCGTGGATCTGATAAATCCGCGGTCGCCCACTTATCTCCTTCCCTCCGCCTACCCGCCGTGCCCCCTCCGCTCCAAAAAGAAAAAAAAAGGCTCCCGCTGCCTGCTTGGGGTTTTCCCTCTCCCTCGACGCGATTACTTGATAACAACCTACCGACATTCGGAATCTCCTTCTTGCTGCAGCGTGCTGCTCTCCAGCATCCCTGCAATGGTTCAGGCAACGGGCGAAGAGCGCGCTGTTCACCTGGCACGGGAGGCTGTCGAGCTGTTTGACGCTGGCCACCGCGAGGTAAGTAATAACACTGCTACCAACACCACGCCATTTGATGAAACCAAGCAAGACTCTAATGGGTATAAATCTATACTAGGCTGCAGCTCGCAATCTGAAAGAGGCGCTCTCGATTGCGAATGACAACCCCGACGTGAAAGCCGCTTTTCTGAAAATCCAGCACGAAGAGGAAAGTGGCCACCCGCTCCTCGACCTCTGCTGGCGTTACACAGCCCGTAAGGACGAGACTGCCGGAAAGGAAGCCGCCGCATATCTCCGCACAGATGGCTTGAAGCCACCAGAGAATGTCGCGCTTGAGTCGCTGAATCTCTTGTTGGACCAGCGGGCGCAGGCCCTTTCAGAGTTTCAGGATGAGATTATCTCGGGGCTCGTGCGCCAGAACGTGAGTGTGCGCCAACACTTTTCCAACCAGCTCCAGGTATCCGTGACGACTTTCTTCGACGAGATCTACGACCGTGGTGATGGTGCAGCAGTGTGTCTGGACACGGTGGTTTTGGACCCCAATGTGTGGCCGTCCGAGGACACGCGGTCACACTGTGAGAGTGAGCTCTTCCAGCTATTCTTGGCTAAATTGATGGAATCTGGCCATGATCTCGATGGTCGGGCTTTGAAAGGAATCACTCGATTGCTCGCGGTGGATGCGGGCCGCCTACAGCATTTGGTCGATGACGAAGGATTCGAAGTCATTTTGACGTCGCTCGACAACCGACTTCCGCTCGAACTGCGTAGCCAAGCTACTTTGGCAACGGCGAAATACCTAGAGGTGGCGAAGGAAACTGGCGAGAAGCAATTCTCGGCATTGATTACCGCGATGATTGGCAAGGGTCGCTTGAACGATCTGATCATTGCGTTCTCTGCGGTGGCCGCTGTTTTCCCAGTGGTTCCCACTGCAGCGGCTTCCATCTTCTTATCCGACGACTTCATGAATGCATTGACTCCGCTGGCGACCCGAGACGCGACGCGGAAGAAGGTGGAAGTCTCTATATTGGAGCTGCTGAACGCAGCATGCATCGATCGTCCCTGCCGGGAAGCGGTTGCCAAAAACTTCTCTGAATGGCTTTCACACACCTTGACCAACGGCAGCGATGAAGGCTCAGAGCTGGCAGCGGTGGTTTTGGCGAAGATTCGTGCGTCCGAAACCACCCAGTCCTCTGCCAAGAACGGTGAGGCCCAAGAGGAGTACACGGGAGTCACCGACTTGGTGCAACGATTCAAGGGACTAATGTCTGAACCCAAGGTTGAAAACATCTCTCATGCGATTGAGGGCTTGGCTTATTCGTCGGTGCAGCCTGCTGTCAAGGAGCAGCTAGCCAAGGACCCTACGTTTATGCGCGATCTGATCAGCATTTTGAAACAACACACGACCGACTCCTCCGTGCTCTACGGTGGCTTGATGATCCTTCTGAACCTCACTAAATTCCTTCCTAATCTTTCCGACGAACAAAAGAAGATGTCGCAGCTGAAGAACTATGCGGACGCTTCTACTGGCAAGGCCCGAGCTTCTACCGACCCCCGAGATGAGGATGACGCAGTCTTGGAGCGCTGTGGTATTGTTATTGACGCGGATGCCATGGCACTCCTGGTTGAATGTGGCCGAGTTGCCCTGCCTTCGACCAATGACCTCACCGCTAAGATACTGCTGGCCCTGGCACGGCGGTCGAAGTCACGGGGAACTCTGGCCCAGCAAGGTGCCATCAAACTGCTGTTGGCGCTATCGATCCCCAAACAGGGCCAAGCTGTCGGCCACTCAGAGACGACCCAAAATGCATCTCATGCGCTGGCTCGAGTTCTCATCTCCGTCGATCCTTCACATGTCTTCCCGTCGACTGGGTTCCCGCAGGCGACTTCTCCCGTACGCCCTTTGCTTTCTCTCCTAGCCTCCCCCGAGGGTGCCACGATTTCTGTGGACCAGCCCCGCGACCTCTTGCCCGTTTTTGAAAGCTTGCTTGCCCTGACCAATCTTGCGTCCTATCCACGTGATGATTCCCCAGCCGAACTGATTGTCCGGGAAGGCTGGTCGGTCATCGAAGAACTCCTCCTGTCCAGTAACTCTCGTGTGCAGCGGGCTGCCTGTGAACTGGTCTGTAACTTGATGACCTGTGAATCGGGAATCATCAAATTTGCCGACGCTACCAAGCGCGCTTCGCAGCGTCTTCACATCATGCTCGCGCTTACCGATGCAGACGACTTGGCCACCCGGCAGGCAGCGGGCGGCGCTATTGCCATGCTGACCGAGTACGATGCGGCTGTGGCGGCAGTGTTGGAGCGACCGCGCGGGGTGGAGTTACTGCTGGGCCTGTGCCAGGAAGAGGACGACGCTCTGGTTCACCGGGGGGTTGTTTGCGTGCACAACCTCACCACGGCATCTGGTGACATCGGAGCTCGCGCCAAAGCCGCCGTACAAGCTGCCGGGGGCATCGAGGTCTTGACCACGTGCCTCAAGAAAACGTCCAACCCGGCGGTGCTACAGACTGGCGTGGAAGCATTGAAGCCGCTTGTGCAACCGCAGTCGTGATAACCATTCCGCGACTGTATCTTTTGTCCACCGGGGCTCTCTGGCAGAGCGTTGACAGGGCCAGCATTGCATTGACTATTCGCATACACGGGGGATTCGGAATATTCGGGAAAGAATGCCCACTGGAGTTCATTGGTTCATTGCCTTTTTTTTCGCGGTATTTTTGCTTTTTGGGGTCTCGATACCCACCGTTTGGATCACGAGCACCATTACCGAGTTTAGCGATCGGTTTTTTCTTTCTTACTTTCTTCTTCGTTTTCTTCTTTACTCTGTTTTCTCATTTCTGCTCTGTCTTTCCGCCAGGATTGTCCTGGACAAGGGGGCGTTGGTTGTGTCCCCGGACGGCACGCACTTGTCTTTATCCATCACGGCCGCCATAGAGAACTTGAACCGCCAGATCCATTCTGGTGTTATGAATCATAAACCATGAACTATGTTTTCAAGACCCGAGGTAGATTGTCTTCCCTGTCGTAGACCTGGTGACGGGCACGATCTTCCTATTGCGTTAGCATCATCATCTGCGGCGGGGTGCGTATGCAAGGAAACCGTCTGTACGAGGATGGAGGACTTGGGCTGAAGTATACCACGATGGTCCTTTGGGCAGGAATGAGTTTCTGCCTCCCCCTCAAGTCGGCTCTTTTTCCCCCTCCTCATCCCCATCTTTTCTTTTCCTGCGCCATTCTCCCCCTCCCTTTTTGCTCTTATCATGCTTCCCAACCGATGGGAGAGTATGCGCCAGAGCCCGCCAAGAGGAGTGTGCTATTGGTCCCTACGGTCCCGTTGCAGCTGCGAGCTCCGGGGGGTCAGAGTCAGACTAGGAATGTCAAGTATAGCCCAAATCAGAGGGCGTGGCGCACCACCCCGACTCCTTTGGCGGGTCACATGAGATGATTGATACCCTCCGTCGAATGCATTTGACTTCATTTTATGAGAAGATATCCAGGGATCCCCGTTCGGAGCGGCGGGTCTGATTTGCCGACTCCTTTCGAAGGAACTATGTGCTTGGCTATGTAGGGACTTTCCACGGAGTCGTTCTCCGTCTACAGGATGGGCCGGCGATCGGGCTGGTCACGGGGCCCATCGGGAAGCCACTGCAGATCTCGCGAGGGATGGGGGGGATCGAAGGGGTACAGAGGATCCGGAAGTCTATCCAGAAGAAAAAAAGGGAAATGGCATCTTTTACTACCCAAAGATTGATCCTGAGTGGGCGTGACTCATGCTCTAGGAGTTCCGATCAGAATCCATGATTCTTATGAGTGTCTTCTGCTGCAAGGCGTGCAAACCTGACGGATATAAAAAGCGGCCCGGAACCATGGAGCTGGCCCCCGCGGATCGACAAATCAACGCCGCTGCAGCACGCACACCTCGCGCCCGTTCGACCTCGTGCTTCTCGCCCTTGACTGACTGCTGTACGACGGAGTTACTGCTTCTTCACTGATCGCCCTCTGCCATCGGGTCCACTCGTTAGCTCAACGCTTGAATTGCCTCTTCAACGGCCTCGTGCCCCTCAGCCTTGCTCCCTCTGGCATCCAGACATTTCTCCCACTTCGATCGGTCCTTTGCTTCGTTCTTCACCGCTCCACTGACTAGCCCGTCCGTCCCCACTCAAACCAGGTACTGTACAGTCGCTCTTTGAGCTCACTATCTCCACACCTCTTTTTATTCCCTTTCACCCTCTTTCTCTCCACTCACCTTTTCCTGCTTCCCTCCCTTCCTCATGGCGCCATTATCCTTCTTCGCCTGTGTGCGTCCACTCACCTGATTCCCTCCCTGCGATTCTCAGGTTGGACAAGTCCTCAAAAGAATACATCGCATCGACGTCGGTGTGGGGACTTTCTGTGCCTCGGTGGCAAAATAATCTCCGGCGGATTTGAGATTACGAAATACGACACACAAAACAGATTTTGCATCGTTGGACGGAGCAATTGGCCTGGACAGACAGTGTCTGGCGTCGCCAAGATGAAGTTTGGCCGCAATTTGCCCCAATTCACGGTGCCCGAATGGAGCGCCTCGTACATCAAGTACAAGGCGCTGAAGAAACTGATCAAGTCTGCGGCTGAGCAAGTCAAGGCGGGCCAAGAGGCGGATCTGGCTGGTGAGCGCGATACCATTGTTGTTGTGAAACGTCCCTGGTGATTGTTACTCCCTCGAGCACGTCACTAACTAGGATCCCCTTGTTTTGGGATGTTCCACATGATTAGGTTTCTTCTATTCCCTGGACCGAAATGTCGAGGACGTTGATTACTTCTACAACAAGAAATATGCCGAGTATGCGCGTCGCTTGAAGCTGCTGGAGGATCGATATGGCTATTCGATGGAGGGTCGCCATCCGTTGGAACCCGAGGACCGGCATGACCTCCGCGAGGCTCTCCTGGACTTGCGCTATCACCTGCGACGCTTACAATGGTATGGAGAGGTCAATCGCCGTGGATTTGTTAAAATCACCAAGAAATTGGACAAAAAAATCGGGGCTCAGGCCCAGAAGCGTTATCTGGAGACCAAGGTGGACCCGGCTCCATTTGCCTCGAATGCGCGGGCGGTCAAGGCCCAGGATCGTATCAATTCGTGGATGGCGGTGATTACGGAACAGTCCAAGGCGGAGGAGAAGCTGGCAGACGATGCCAGTTCAACCCACTCTTCTTTGTCGCTCAAGCGCGGTCCTGCTCGGCCGTACTTGAACCTGCCCACGAGTGTCGTGACCGCAGTGGACGATGCTTTGCGCAAGGATGATATCCACGTTTTGCTTGAACTTCTCGAGACATTGAAGGCTGCCGCCGATGAGGCAGGTGAAGGACTTTTTCCCAAGGTGCTCAAGACTCTGATCCAGCGAGCCATCGTCCACCGTGCTCGGTTGTGTTTGTCTGCGCTTTTGCCGCGGGTCGACACTCTTGAGGAGGACGATGATATCAACCGGCGCAACTGTTTGCACCGCCTGGTCATCTCAATGGGTCGAGTGCAATCGACCGACGACTCTGAGGCCGCGGCTTCTCTGGTGCTAGATTTCCCTCTAGAAACCAGCCGCTACATCACTCCGGCGGCACCCCCGACTCTACAACCTCCGCGGTCTGTGATCAAGGAGGCAAATCTGCCTCAGCAGCTCGGCCGTGAGGATCCAGCGGTGTCCCTCCTACAGCACCTGCTGGATGGACTGCGGCCTAACCAGCGTGAAGCGTTGATGGCCAAGGATCTCTCTGGACGCACCCCGCTGCACTATGCTGCCCAGTATGGATTCAAGGATGTCTGCGAATTGATACTTGAGCATCTCAAGGCTTGGGATATGTTTGATGTGAGCGAGGGAATTGACGGTGCTCTGTGGCAAGACAATGACGGCTGGGCGCCGCTGCATTTGAGTGTCGTTGGCGGCCACCCAAAGACTACCCGTTGTCTCCTGGATGCTGAAAACTGGAAGGAAACTCACAGCCCTGGCGACCGGGTCCGCAAGCAGGTTTCCAAGTCCTCCGCCGTGCTCGCCCTTGCTACAAAAGCCAACTTTGTGGATATCGTTCAGCTGCTGGTGGATGCTGGTGTCGACATCAACTACCAGGACGAGCAGGGTGAGACTGCATTGCACGTTGCAGCCCGCTTTGGCCATGATGAATGTGCTCGGATTCTCCTGGAGGGCACTGAGGATCAAAAAGCCAATACAGAACTCGCGGAAAACACTTATGCGTGGACTCCGCTGTTTATTGCCTGCGTCGACGGCTCCCTGAGCGTGACTAAGCTGCTTGTGGAAGCTGGAGCCGATCTGGAGCGCTTTGATTCCTCTGGCTGGACAGCAAAGGAACATGCTGCCCTGCGAGGCCATTTAGCTATCGCTCGGTGTCTTGCTGAGGTCAGCCCCGGACCTCCCTCAACTGAGCCTGAACCAATTCCTGTTCCCGTCGACCGGACTTCCCCACCGGCCTCGTCGCCGCCGGGCCAGTCATCCTTGACGGATCGGCGGTCGAATACTCCCGGACCCTCTGGGAATTATGTACGTAGCGCAGAGCCTATCAAGACTTTTGGACATCGGTATCTCACCGATGAGACCATGGTCTTGGTAAGTCTGGGCACCATGGATATGAGAAAGCCCTTGGAGACGGTCAACCTGGATCGTATTCCCATGGAGAATGCGCACGCGACGCAGCTGGACACGGCTTTGTCTATGGTGGTCACCGCCAGCGGTGCATATGGCGAGCCCGAAGTCATTGACTTGCCCGTGCAAGACAATATTTCGACTGAGCCGATTGTCTTCCACACGACCGATGTGAGCAAGGTCCGTCTTCTCTTTGACCTAGTGCCGACCTACTCGGGATCTAAGGATCGGATTGTTGGTCGAGGTGTCGCCCTTCTGTCCCGCATCAAGCAAGAAGTGGGCTCCCAACGCATCAACCTCAAGGGCGATTCCACCATTCCCATTGTTGCTGCCAATACCTTGGAAGTGATTGGGTCAGTGACGTTTAACTTTCTCATTATTACCCCTTTCAAGCACCCAAACATGTCGATTACCGGCAACCAGACCTACTGGCGATCCATGAGCTCTACCATGGTCATCGGTCACCGTGGTCTGGGCAAGAACATGGCTAGCCGTAGGTCTCTCCAGCTCGGTGAAAACACTGTCCAGTCGTTCATCGCTGCGGCAAACTTGGGTGCTGCCTACGTCGAATTTGACGTCCAGCTTACCAAGGACCATGTCCCGGTCATTTACCACGACTTCCTGGTCAGCGAGACGGGCATCGACGCCCCCGTGCATACTCTCACGCTTGACCAGTTCCTGGAGCTGGGTAAAGGCCGACACAGAAATGTGCTGCCCCAAAGTGTGGACGTTCATGGTGCAACTACTCTCAGCCCTCGTCAACGGTCCATGTCCGTCGGCTACTCCGACTACGACCCTGCCGAATTGACCGAGAGGATCAAGCACACGCGTGATTACAAGAAGAAAGGATTCAAGGGCAACACCCGCGGCGAGCACATCCAAGCGCCCTTTGCTACTTTGGAGGAGCTGTTTAAGAAGGTCCCGAACTCTGTAGGCTTCAACATTGAACTGAGTGAGTAATCGCAGCAACCCAAAGAGCAGTTACATTTCGACGATCTAACCAAGGTCGCCAGAGTACCCCATGCTCCACGAGAGCGAGGAGGAGGAGATGGACACATACGCCGTTGAATTGAACTCGTTCGTCGACACCGTCCTCACCAAGGTCTACGACCTGGGCCGTGGCCGTGACGTGCTCTTCTCCAGTTTCAACCCGGACATCTGCCTCCTTCTGTCCTTCAAGCAGCCTTCCATCCCCGTTCTTTTCCTTACTGACGCCGGTGCGTCCCCTGTCGGTGATATCCGTGCCAGCAGTCTGCAGGAGGCTATCCGATTTGCCTCGCGGTGGCATCTGCTCGGTATTGTCACCCAGGCAGAGCCACTGGTCCTCTGCCCCCGTCTTGTGCGTATCGTCAAGGAATCTGGTCTCGTCTGTGTATCCTACGGTACACTCAATAATGACGGCGCAAATGTGGACGTAAGTTTTTATTCCTTTCACACCACGCACGTTTCAAGGATTCGGCTAACCCCTCACAGTACCAAGTCGCCGAAGGCATTGACGCTGTTATTGTCGACTCCGTTCTTGGTATTACCAACGGCCTGATCCAGCGTCAGAACAAGGGGGAGCGCACACCCGGCCCCTCACCGATCCCGGCGCCTGTCGCGGATAAAGCCGCCATCCGAGTACCGGTCCTGGAGCAGGTGAAGCCTAACAACACCGTTCCGAACCCGGACCCCGGTGCCAACATTTAGACCTGGTGCATGCATCATTTTTGTGTTTTTGGCGGTGGCTATTGTGTTGTCTTTGGATTGGGATGTGGGAGGCTTGCGCTTTGTTTATTCTCCCACTCATGATTCTTTAACTGACTTGTTTTGTCGGTGCTACATACATTAATGCATTCCTTGTTTATACCTGCATTACGCTTGTAGCCTGCTTCAACAGCAAATATCATTTGTGTTTTGTGCCTGATACTCTGCTATGCAGAAAGCACGTTCCATCAAGGTCAATTCGTTGGTGTAATATAGCTGCCGTTTCATATTCTTGGTTGGTAGCCTCCGGGTCAAGTTCAAGGTGGTCGTTTGCAAGGTTGCGTCAAAGTAGGACTATGCACGCGGCATGGCGCATATACTGTGCAGCAATATAGCGAGAAGGTCCTTCCTATATGTGCGATTCCTTGTAGCGGCCAGTTGACTTCGGAATGAAAAGGCTTTATTGGACATTGTTTATCAGTAGATATGTGTGAAGAAGGATTTATGCGAGAGTGGATAGGCGGCGCTTTGCTTAGATGGAAGCTTCCATCTCCTCACTCTGTCTAAACGAAGTCCTACTTCTGTTCCTCTCTCGTCTCGTCCTCCCTCTTCACATTCACCCAGCCATTACTCATTTCCTTTTCCTTTTCGTCATTCTCACGTGAACATCCCATTCATCCTCGCACCAAAATGGCTGGCACGTGGCTTCCCATGGAGCTCTGCTTCCAAATTATCGAAAACGTATTCGACCCTAGCGCTCTCTTCTCTTTCCGCCTGGTCAATCGTGCTTGGAACCAGGCTGCTTCAAAGCAACTCGAGAACGTCGCTTACCTATCTCTCGACCCACAATCGCAAGATGACATCGAGAAGAGACTGTCACGCAAAGAAACCAGACAGTCTACCAAAGGCATCGTGATCTGTGTGCCAGAGAGCGACTACTTCATCGTAAGTATTCCGCGCTCTTTCTATTATATCAAGTCCCCTTCAACGATATATATCCATTAACCCGCCTCGCATTATCCAGACCCGAGACTCCTTTGGCAAAATCCTAAAAACCGACGAAACCCTCGAGTACAGATGGGAATTGAAAAAGATGTTTGGACAGAGAATCCGCGAATTCCCTAATCTCGTTCATATCGCGGTACACTTTCGGCCTCCGCCGAAAAGACTGGGTCCATACGAGACCACCTCGGATTTCAAAGGGCTGATGATTCATCATATGATGGTTGATCTTTTTCAGGCTCTTTACGGGCGTCGGAATCGGCTCGAGGAGCTTTCTCTTCATTGTCTGCCTGCTCAGGCCATGTTGCCTTCGACCAGTCATGGGTTGGACCCGGAACCGTATGAGAATACACAAAAGGTTTTGGAGGACTTGAAGTTGAAGTCGTTGAAGCTTGCGTATGTGGGACCTGGTGTGTGGCCACCGACTGATGTAAGTCATTCAGACGTATCCCTACAGTGGCTTCTTGATTGGATCTCTTGATTTTCTAAGAGTGGACTTCTGATGCAGACTGACAACATGTCTTCTACAGGTGCCCCAGTGGAAAATATTCGAACCGCCGAATTGCTGGATTGAGCCGGCCCAGGCTACCCTCCGCCATCTATCCATTACCTGCTGGGGGTTCTACATCGTGGAGTGGAGTCGATTTGGCTACAGTCGAGGCGACATGATTCCACACTTGGAAAGTCTGGAGCTGCGCGGCTGCACCTTCACGAGCGACCTGGAATTAAAATGGATCCTGGAACACAAGAATACCCTCCGCTCACTTAAGTTCGACGACTGTGCCATTCTCCACTGTTTACAGATGGACATTGGCAATTCCTTTGACTCCCGATCCCGGGCACAAAAGGTAGAAAAGAAGGACGGGTTGAAAATGCAACTCTGCCAGATTCGATGGCAGGAGTGGTTCCACAAGATTCGCGCTGGTTTGCCGCACTTGAATGACTTCCAGTTTGGAAGTAGTCGCATTCGTGCTCCCGGAGAAGAAGGGCCTGTCTTTAAGTCTGAGCGAGTGAAGGGACCTCGTTTCGAGCAGAAACCTAAGTTCTTGTTTGGCCTCTTTCCGGATCGATATCTGGAGATGAAACAGGCGCTGGAAAGAGCTCCGTGGATTTTGGACCCGCCAGTGAGGAAGTACAAAAAGAGACCGCAGTGCGATAAGGCTGATGTGGTGGCGCTTCGCTTGCTTGTTAAGCATACTAGACAGCATGTGGAGGAGAACTCTACCTCTGATCATGCAGGGTATGTTGAGGATTTGCTGGGGCATGTAAAGCCACGAGAGAATGTGTAGCGCATGTCGCATGGAGACCGCTTGAGTACTGGTTTGTGAATACGCGTTGTGATTATTCTGGCGCGGACGACTCTGAATTACTCTACTCAATCCTGTGTTGATTATTTGAATGAATATCCGTGTTTTCTAGCAATATTCCACTTTTGAGGCCATCATTCTTTTAACTAGCAGAGGTATGAGACACAAAGGCTTGTACAGAGATCAGATCGCGGTGCTTCCGCTGGTGGACATTGATTTTCATTTACCATCTAGAATTCTGTCCTTTGGGCATATGCCGCAAGACGCTGAGCCAGAAGCGATTCACGCTCTTCCACAGTCACATAGCGAGTCTCGCTCGGAAGAACAGACGCGAGTTCAGAGAGAGGAACAACCTGAATATCAACAGCAGGAGAGGTAGTGGATGATGTAGACGAAGAAGAAGTAGTCGGCAAACCCTGCCAGCGGACCATAATCGTTCCCTCGTGAAGACCAGTCGTATTCAACCAGTTATAAACGCCAGGATCCTCCACAGAAATCACGAAAGTATAAGTCCCGTTCTCGTTGGCGACGGCTTGTTTATTATTCAAACTGACTTGACTAGCCGGGTCCGTCGTAATTATCCATGGATTCGTCAAAGGAAAAACGAAGTAATCTGCATCACCCTGTGTGACGGTCGCAACGAGAGCCTCATCGTCGGATAGGTCGAAATGTCCAAAGGAGCTCGCTTGCGTCGTCAATGTGCCTAGGGTACTCGATTGACTCGGAGCTGAAAGTGTGTTCACTTTATTGATAGACGTCTTGATCCCCAATGCGCCGACCCCGTAGTCCACGATGGATTCTTGCAGGTTCCAGCTTGCTGCGAGAATAATCTCCGCCTCAGTCAGAGCAGATTGACTCGAGTTGTCGTCCACAAGATCCACGGTCAGATTGTCGGGTTTCTCTGTTGCCCAGTTTCCGAGATTGTTGCGAATGAGTAGTTGTTTTGCTAGCAGCGTCGACTGGATGTGATTTGTTTGGTTGTCCCCCGAGCTGCTATTGACAGTAATGGTATACGAGCCATCGCTGTCAACGACCAAGTCACTGCCCGACAGGTATGCCACCGTGTTCTGGGAGTTCGGATCGCTGATCAGCGAAAAAGTCACATCAGTTGGCCCGGATCCATGTCGATAACCGGTGATGATATAACTGAGGCTGCTGTCGATGGGAATAGTTCGGTAGATGCAGTCCGGGTTGTCGTACGAGTACCGTCCGCCAGGAACATCCAGGCCAAACCAATTGCGCGGACCAGCATCGACCCAGTAGACTTTGGGAAAGTACGTGTCGCCGTTGACGGCTTTTTGAATGGAGCTGAAAGCGAGTTCGTCAATGGCTGCATCGATACTTGACGAGGCTTCATCGCTGATTGGAAGGCCGTGGGCTGTCTGGTAGGCGGCTTTTGCCTCGGCCTTCAATACGGTAAAGTTGTCGTCCTGGCTGATCTTGATTGCGAGGGCATCAAGCGTCTGCTGATCCGGGGTCGCTAATGGATTCCCGTCCAGTGTCGCATTCGCGCTCACTGCTAGGACAGCGATCACAGAGGCGATACGGCCCAGGGGCTGATTGCGAAAGGTGAATCTCATTGCGGGGAGACTAGTTTCAGGAAATGAGAAAAAAGATTTTACGATACTTTCTAGCGAGAAGCCAGATAGAACCGTATCAGTTAGACCTTAAATATTGCATGCTAAAAGTGATGCTTTCGCCTGTCATAATGGCGCGAGACGATCGCGGCATCACATGGATGTCCTCAATGGGTTGTGCCTGAGCACAACTGCCAATGTCGATCAAAATTCAGGGACATAAGGGACGATCAATTCCGCGTTGAGGGATAAATCTAGGAATGGCGTCAGCACGAGGCGCTATTATGGGACTATCTACTCTAAGCGAGGGCTCGGTAGTACAATAGGAACGGTTTTCATTGGCTCGACATAACCGAATGTCACTGGCTGCATGCAACATCTAACAATGGGATGACCATGATTAACATTTCCTGCATAGTTCCGTGGTATGCTGGCCAGAGAACATCAAACTGATTCTCCCCGTCACTGCGACATATCTCTGCAGTGAAATCGCTCAGCGGCGGCGGCGTCCCGATCTGGTTTCAACACACCCGATGAGGCTGTCCACGCTGCTGGCATGGCTGGACTTATCATTCTCCTGAACTACCTGTCCAGTGTGTTCAAGGAGACGGCGCAGCATCGCAAGGTCAGGTTCGTCGGCCACGGGGGGCTCCTTGTAGTAGGGTCGCTGTCCTCGAGTCTTGAGAATCCATGGCGCCCTAACCGAGCCATCTTTCATTTCGAGGTATCGATCAGGAAAAAGGCCGAAGAGGAACTTGTTGACTCGGCCGAATTTCGGGCCCTCGCTGGCCTCAGACTTGAACTTGGGACCTTCTTCGCCAAGTGCTCGGACTCTGCTGCTGCCAAAGTCGAACCGCTTAAGATGGGGCAAACCATACGCCAATGCTTGAAACCAGATGTCCCAGCGTAGCCAGTAGCGCTGGTAGACCCGACCTCCCTCGTTTTCGGTGGAGATGCAGACAGAATTGGGTTCGGCTTTGCTTGTCACAGCTAATTCCATGCAGTAAATGATCGCACAGTCATCGAATTTCAGCGAGAGCAATGTACTCCCATGCTTTATGATCCCGTTCAGGGTATCATTGCATGTAAATCCACAGCTACGAAGCTCGAGGCTTTCCAAAAGGGGAAGATGAATATCTAGAGCCATGGCTCCTGGAGGATTCTTCATGTAGAATCCCCAATATGAAAGAGACAAATGGCGAAGTGTGAACCGGACGGGTTTGATAAGCAGGTGATTTGAACCTATTGGAAGTTCTCTTGCATCCTAAGGGGTATAGTTTCAGTAAAGTCTGATAACAAGATAGAAATTAGAATTTCCAGCCATCACTTACAGTCGAATACTTAAACTGCCACACTTTGGGCCCCAAAAAGCTCAGCCGCAAAGTTTGTAAACGAAAGTTGCTCAGAATTCGTGACACTAACATCCAGGTATTGACAGACGCGATAGTAGTCCATCCAGGGATGGAGAGATCAATGGGTATGTTCAGAATAGATAGCTCACCTAGGCCATGGAGACCCTCAAACCCTGCGAAAATGTGTTTGAAAGTGCTCTTGAGATGATCACTTCTCTCATAAGCTGAACAAACCCATTGGACCCCAGCAACAGGAGGAGGACGGAAGTGAATGGCAATGTGGGCCAAGTTAGAAAACGGAAAGGCACCGTCCTCTAAGGTGCAGTTCTTGAGACTGTTCGATAATTTCTTCATACGATCAAGTGCTCTAGTCATTTGGTCGCGCATTATCATCCGGTTCCCGATTTGTGTGCCTGGGTCCCCGAAGTACTGAACGGCTTGGTGTGAGGGCTTCCTCTTTTCAAAAGTATGCTGAAGCAACAAGAGGGATAGTGGGTACCTACACTCGATACAGGACGATCTGGAATGATCCAAATGAGAGTCCTGAGTAGCTTGTTGAGCTCCTTTGATTTGGAAACCTGATCATCGAAGCGATCCAGGTTTTTGCTCAGCAGGTCGACGTACAGATAGTGCGTGTCAAAGCGACTGACAGCGTTGTACCACATTCGGCTCACCAGACGAAGGGCAAACAAGGATTCAATGTCGAAGATGAAGGAGATAATAACCCCCAGGATCTCCACAGGCACGAACGAAGGCATGGTGATGGTTGCTGTTCTGGAGAGCTGATGAGCGAGGAAGGTAAAGGTCGAGAAGCGAAAAGATGATAGATGAGAGTTGATGAAGAAGGAGGACGAGAAGAAGAAAAGAAGAAGACGGAGGAGAAGGTCAAGGCGGTCATGATATTGTCCTGTACATCTGCAGAATGGAAGCATATCTCACCAGCTTTGTGATGGCTGAAGAAACCTTCGGTAGCTTATCGATACGTATCGACGATATGCTTTGAATCGATATTGATGGTATGGGGTATCTCGATAAGGAGGGTATATATGACGCTGTGAATGCATCGAAAGTGGCTTGTCCTGGCATCTACCTAAGACCATATGTTTTCAGAAAGAATCTTTTCCTGGTGAACATAGAGATACATTGACCAAATAGATGTAAACAACGCTGAGCTCCATCGGTAGTCCTGTATGGGGCTGCTAGACCCGATACTAGTGGCCCGAACCAATGCAGTCCTAATCATGGATAAGGAGACCTTGGGAATTCTGATTGAGTTTATTTATATGCTAGAACCATTCCAGGGGATGACTTCTTCTCATGAACAAGAAGCCGAGACGACTTCCGCTCTGTAGAACTAAGCAGATCAAGCGGTGGTAATTGAGACTTGAGTAGTGAATTTTCAGTTGAACGCCAGGAAGCTGTAGATGTTAAAATAACTATTGAAATATGAGTACTATGCTTAATCCCGGGAACTCTTGATCCATAGGAACAATCTGAAAGCATGTTGATCGAGTGTTAAGCATAAAGGACCTTCGCTTTCGGAGTCAACACTGCCGTTAGAGGCTGTCATTGTTCGAACTGTCCGATTCAGAGGACAGAGGACGAAGTCGTGTCGGAGCAGGGTGAGTCCGGCTCGTTCGAGCTAGAAGTTGCTTCAGAACTAGAATCGTCCCAGCAATGGGATTCTCCCGCCCGAACACGTCCCATCAATCCTCGGACATACCCAGCATGCCCGGAGTCGGCGTCCTCTTGTACTGACTGCCCAATCTTCTCGAGTAACCCACGTAAGGCATCCCGATCAGAATTGTCCAGGATCAGTCCCTGTCGTTTTGGCCGTTCCTGTGGTTTATTTTGAAGCACCCAAGAGCAGCACGCACATCCAGATGCATCGCCCATTTTAAGATAACGATCTGGAAAGAGGCCGAATAAGAATGTTGACGGTTTATGGAAGGAGGGCCCAGAATACCGTTCCGACTGGAAACATGGCCCTTCTTCCCCAGGGGCGCGGGCCCGGCTACTGCCAATCTCAAAGTGTTTGAGGCGTGGCATTTTTTCCTTTATCTTGTCAAAGTACTGCGCCCACCGAGTATTGTATAGGCGGACCTGGTCTTTCGGTCCGTCATCAACAACGTGTAAAGACGCATGTGCTCTATCAGCAATGGTGACACCTCGAGGTGGACGCCACAGAACAAGGCGATTAATAATTGCGCAGTCATCGAATTTCAAGGAGTGCAGAGTACGCCCATGTCTGACTATGCAATCCAGCTGAAAGTCCGCTGTGAACCCACAGCCACGCAGCTCCAGGGATTCCAGCATTGGGACAAAGAAGCCTCCGTAGGAGCATGCCCCTGCAACGTTCTTCATGTAGAATCCCCAACAAGTGATAGAGAGATGTCGCAGGGTCTGAATTGTTGGTCCTACCCAAATCCATGGTGGATCACCAATTGGCTGATTTTCCAGGGACTGACCAATTGTAGTTGACAAGGTTAGTTTACGATATCACGAAAGAAGGAGTATCGAGTATTCACTCACCCATTCTAGATCATGATTCCACACCGTCGAGCTCACTAAACCTATTTTCAGTGCCTTCAAACCGAGCTTTGTGAGCGCCCTCTGGTTGGGTTCTGTCTCTCCCTGGTCGGACCCCGGGAAGCGAGCTTGGACTGGTAGGGATTGAATGGAAATCTCATTCAAGCTGTTACCCTTTTTGATCTTTCCAAGTCTTCTGAGAGCCTTGAGAAAATCACGCATTGCCTCCCACAGTATTTCCTCTCTATCATAAGAAAGATAGGGGAAGGGAGCATGGCCGCTTGGTGGTCGAAGGTGCAAAGCCAGATAATCCAAGTTAGGGAACTGGCCAACCTTGGCTCTCAAAAAAAAGACAGACGTTCCCAATTTCTTATTTTCCCCAGGATTCTCACTCGCTCGTTGACGTCCCGCAAAAGACCCTGCAGGTTCTTAGCAGCAGGCCATCATGCTGTAGACATGGATTGGGCTTGTTCACGTACCCGCCAGTAGTCGCCATCGGGACAGTTCACGACCACACCACGGACCAGCTCCCGGGTGCGAGCGGTCTTCCGTTTCTTCTCGATGATATCTTGGGTTACTTTGTTCATGTTGAGGAGTAGGAAACCCCGATCCAGCTGCGAGACTGCGGCGGCCGACCAATCCTTGCTCACGAGTTGCAGTGATACCAGGGTCTCAGGATCGTGTATATAAGAGGTGATGATCAACAGAATTTCGGGAGGCAGCCAGGGCATCGCGGTAAAATTTTGTGAGGTGATCCAGATGGGCTGAGGGTAACTCTGGATGAGTAACGAACGATGGAAGGAGGGGAGTGGAAAGAGGAAAGAGGAGAGAGAGGAAGCAATGTGAGAGCAGGAACGAAGGCGGAGGGTTCTGAGGATAATCATCAAAGTAGGCACGAGGTATCCAGTTGGCGCAGAATATAGTTCCCATTTGGGAAGGTACCAAACACTCGCTGTGTATCGCTCTGGAGAGCTCCACAAGATCTGTGGAAAGGTCATTGTGCTTTCCATGCTTCCAAACCTGGAATCAACCATAAGACAAAGGAGTCAGCAAAGTCTAAATGATTGATGGATGATGAAAGCCCAGATCGAGGGGAAGAGCGGTACAAGAACGTGGTTAATTCGCAAAGCTTTTAAAAAATTTCAGCTGGGGAAGCTATCCGTGGGCTTATTAGATTTATTAGCTGAATTTGCGGTTCAGCTTCAAGAATCATCTCGCCAAGGGATCCGCACTATGCTAATTCAAGTCGCAGTAGTAATGACTATGTCCCATGAGACAGGCATTATCTGGCATCCAAAACTGAATGGAGAGATACCTGAGGTGGGCGAACGTGAGACTTAGCGTCGCCTAGTAAGATGTAGAATACAAGAGATTCTTGATTTGGATCGCTCCAGGACCCATTTATGACTGTTGCAAAAGCCATGTCAAGGTGGGCTATTTTCAGGATTTCAGCCGCTTTATAAATGCCATATTGCGACATAAAGACATCAGCCCAAGCTCAGCAGACGTTGTAGGCGGCAGCATGACAGGTTGGAAGGTACTTTTCAGGGAAGCCCTGATTCGTACCTGGTCACCACGCGCGAGAAGTTCTCTGAAGACTTTCAAAAGTCCCGAATTCAGACATCAAAATTCCCTTGCCCGTCGTGGTGCTTACCACTGATTGGATTGATGAAGGCACAGCACACCGCCAAACATAATTGGGATCCCCTGTCGTCTCATCACTTTGGCTCTTGTGTTCCTATTTGTGGTTCACTTCCTAACAAGCCATATTTAAGCTCATATGGAAATCGAAGCCACACCTCTCAGATATACGTAGCTGGATAAGCCAATCATAGTAAAGGTTGCTATTCAACTACTCTGTAATTTAACCACTTCAGCTAAACTAGGCTAGATCACATAACTAGTAAACATCTACCAATTTCTTGCTTGGCCTTACACCGGCTAACTAGGCCACTTAATGTGTACGATCTCATACTGTAATTGCTTGCTCTGAAAATATTTATTTTCCACATGTTTACGGAGTACAGTGAGAGTAATAGCGCCAGGGAGAGCTTAACTATGATATTAAATAATAAATATAAAAGTACTGCTGGCAGTGATCGCTTACATCAGATCTCTCGATTTTCGCCCATTTAATTTTTTAATACCGTGTGAAATCTCGCACGTCGCGAATCTAGTTACAGAGCCTGTAGTAAACACGACATGTTCTGTTATTACAGCTAGCTAGCTCACTATCTATAGAATCTTCGGTTATATCGTCGTCCATAGTGGAGAAATCTATTGAATCGATTGAAGACGGACTATAGGGTGGAAGGCATATTAAATACCCTTCCCAGTAGAGAACCGAGGGCAGTTCGATGCCTCTGTAATGTACCCTGGATGTCACATCGGAAGAGAAGGCTACCTTCGAGTGACTTGAAAGAGTAGTTGCATGTCCCCAAGATTACATAAAACACACCATAAACGTGGCAGGGCGTCAGCACCGAAAGGAGTTAGCGGCAATTATTGACACACTTTTCTTCAACAAATATAGACACATAGAATAGTATGTTTTACATAGCTTAGAGATATTCGAACAAAGCCGAGAACAATCTCCCAGCCACGCTAACGGATAGGTATAAAAAATGCTCTGTCCCCCCCCGGTGAATGGAGATATCACTAAAGTATTCAAATTCTCAATCCTGTTCCTCCAGTCCTTCATCCGGATCTGTCACTTCTCTATTCAGCCACTATGATTTCCACATTTCTCGTCAGCATCTTAGCTACCACGGCTTCTGACTTCAACCCAGTCGTGAGACGCAATGATGACAGTACTGCCAACAATCAAACCTTGATCAGTCAATTGATTACCGCTGCGACGGCGGTCGATCGTCAAGCGCTCATGCCGGACGATGCCCAATATGTCTATGATTTCCAGCACCCCCCGGTTGAAGATGTTATAACCAAAGGATTGGGTGGAATGACGGTTAAGGCTGACCGTAAAGCATTCCCCCTACTAATTGGTAATGGTGTGAGCATGACTGTCGGCTTCCTGGGTCCCTGTGGATTCAATACTCCCCATGTTCATCCGCGGTCCGCCGAAATCAACATTGCTGTGCAAGGCCATTTCGCCACCGAATACACACTGGAGAATGGTGCCCGTTCCATCCTCAATACACTCGAACAGTACCAAATGACCGTCTTCCCTCAGGGTGCCTTGCACGCGGAGTGGAATCCGGATTGCACAAATGCGGTCTTCGTCGCGGGCTTTGCTAGTGAGGATCCTGGTGTACAACAGGCTGCCCAGACGCTGCTTGGCTTCAGCGAAGAATTCGTCAGCCCTGTATTTGGGTCCAACAACATCACCTTTGACGGAAAGGACGTTGATACCTTCCGAGCCATACTTCCAAAAAACGTGGCGCTGGGCATCGACACTTGTCTCGCAAAGTGTGGTATCCAGAAAAGCGCAAAGCAGGCCCTCGTGGAGGTTTGAGAGAGGAGATCAATACTGGGATTGATTTTGAGGAGTTAGACATTGCTGTTACTTCTATTATCAGGGATTACTAATTCTAGTTTATTCAAGAATGTGACCTTGTGCCCTGAAACGAACCAAGTGAGAGGAAGGGGAAACTATTGCACGTGACTCGACCTATATATTTCGTGACTCGACAAACTGCCAAAAGCCCATACAAAACTGTGGCGAAATTTGTCTAAAATTACGATGATTGGCTTACGTTCTTCACTGTCATTAGATTTTGGGTTCTGCGTTATTGGTTCTGCCTTGTGCTTCTGCCTTACCCTCACGTGCAAGATTGTCTACTTTCAGCCCAAGTTCGTTTACCGTCTCACGTGCGGCCTTTCCGCACGTGTTTGCTTTCTGTTTCTCTCTGCGTCTCATTTCCCCTAGCTTTACAAGGTCCATCCTGGTATATTGCCCTAGTACTCCTGGCATCACGATGTCAGTCTGAATCAAGTTAAAAATACCGTTGCATGCGTCCCACCTCCACGGCTGTTCCCATTATACACTCTCCCCTCTCGTCCCGGGTAAGGAAGGCCTGTCTCAAGATGACTGATCAAAATGTGTTCGAGCGGATGATAAGAACGGCCAAGAACGGGGCTAGGACCACGTTAGTATACATGATCGTTCTTCCCTTGATCGGCTCTGCATGGACAGCCTGGGGTGTTGGGAAAATCTTCAAACTCATTAAACGATACAACCCAAAGAGTATCCTGGATAGGAGACGAAGGCTCGCAAACTGGGAGCTGGAACCATTCACCCGTCCTCGCGCCCTCACAAATCCCCTGAGCGGGAATGTTACGCAGCGCAACTTCAGCCAACTACAGTCGAACTTCTTCAAACTGCCTCTCGAGATTCGGCAGCGAATCTACCGCGAGTCCATTGAGCACACGCGGCCAATCCACGTTTGGCGAACCAATGAGCGGTTATGCAGTTTCGACTGTGTCGCTACGAATCCAGGTCGGATCGATGGCAACGTTGTCCATTGGCGTTGCTCTCCACCTCTTGACCGGAATGGCTTAGTAGCAGCGCTTCCTCGGAAATGCCGTTCGTATCGATTCCAGGGACTGTTATGCTCATGTCGTAGCATGTAAGTACAATCCACTGTTCCCCTGATTATGATCCGGTAGGTGAAGTGAATGACGCCGGACAGATACTCTGAAGCACTTGATGCTCTCTATGGTGGTAATGCTCTTCACTTCGACGACCCGTATAACCTTCACAAGCTAGCCGAATCTGCGCCCCCGCAAAGGTTGGCCTCTATTCAGTGTGTGCATCTAGAGGTACTCGCTTTCCACAATGGTCAGGCGCTTTCCGGGGTCCTCACGGACTGGAAGAAGGCCTGCATTGTTTTAGTGTGGATGACGGGTCTGCAAAGGCTACGTGTGGCATTGGGCGCGGATCATCCGGAGACAGACACTCCCAATCCCCGTGTGGGGCCTTTTCTAGAGATATTGAGAAAGGTAGAGGCCCCTGAATTTCTGGTGGAGATTCCGTCCAATGCAACTCTGGATGGTATGACGGTTGAAGATGGATTTCCTTTTGTTCTGGTGCGCAGAGAGTGGTCTTATGGGGAATGGACGCAAGGAGGTCAGCATGATGATCCTCGGGTTCGACAGCCATGTTTCAGCATCCTTCCCCCAAGTAGGTAGCCTGCCAGTTGATTGCAAGTCTAGAGAAATATCATTTGAACGGGATCGTAAACGGTGTGAGAAATAGAATACTATGTCCTGCTAGATATATAACTTGTAGTTCTCTCAGAGTGACTACCGCAAATAATATGTAGGGAACTCCTTCGTATAATTACTGCGTAGCACTTTGTGATCAATCACACCTGCGACTTGGATATGTACTGCATTTGGATCTTATTGACAATTCACTGTTGTTGACAACCTATCCTACAAATGGAGGAGCTACCTCCGTCCTGACCTGCTTGGCACTCTACCTGGAATTGTTCCCTATAACTCTAGAGACCCGAGGTTGTGTAAGCCCTGACAGACAAAGCGACAGTATGATCGTGAGACAGATCGTTGACGAGACTTGGGAATCACACAAGTATTCCCGCTCTACTAACAGTGACCGAGTAGCATTGCGTAGCAAACATAGTCTCAAGCGGCTCTAATCGTGAATCCGCCTCCAGTAGTAAGTATAAAACTGACATTAATGCCCTGAAACGAAGGAACGGAGTGAAGGGTTCACTGCCCCGCGACCTGCCCGCGAACTTTGCTCTGCTCCCACTACCAAAGCCGTCGCCGATGGCAACGTTGGTTGGTCCACTTTATTGCTCTGCTGTTTCTTTTTGCTAGAATTCTCCTCCTCTCACATGTTGTGTTCCGTCACGCATACTCTCGTTTCAGGGCAACAGCGTGCGACAGTGCGCGTCACCAGTTACCAATCCCACGGCTGCGCGACGCCGACGTTGACACATCCGAAAGCACATCGAGAAACACGTACCCTTACTCTCCCGCCAAGCCTCTCTCTCATTGGTGCTTGGTTGGATTCCAGGTCACGTTTCTTCCTTCTCGTGTTCGGTTGTCTCTGTTCGTCTCTTTACTCTCTTGTCCTAAGTTACTACCTGCTTTGCATGCTTGCAAGGTTCATCCTCGTATATTGTGCTGTATACCCTTTCTGCCCGCTATTGCAATAATCTGTCTATGCCAGTGCTGCCTCCTCATCATACTGTCTGCCTGCTGTACCTTTCTTGCTATCCACCTGTCATTCTGCCTCGCCTACGTACCCGTCCTTTGCCTAATACGTTCGTGTGCCTCCATCGTTTTATTTTATTTCTATTCTTTTCTTCTAGACTTTGGGCCTTCCATGTTCGCCGCCGCCCTTTGAGAATTTCTATATACAAAATGTTTTTCTCGTATTGACTCGCCTAGCTCTTGACTCGCTTATGTCGTCACAGTTAGTCGCCTCAAGGTATAAGACGGATGCAGCAGGCCAGTCGGTGGATAGAACTCGTCGCCAATATAGACAAACCCGAGCTTCTGCAGTAGGTGACGTGAAGCCTTGTTTTGTGGATTGTGACCTGCAAATAGTTCTGTAGCATGCAGATGCGCGAATGCATAATCAATAGCGGCACGGCCAGCTTCGGCAGCCAGCCCAGAACCCCAATAATCACGCCGCAAATGAACGCCAAACTCCATAACGCCGTTGCTAATGTCCTTAGGACGTACTCCACAGCAGCCAACATGCTCACCATTCTCTTTCAGAAAAATTGGCCAGTACTGTATACCGTACTCGGCTTGCGATTGCAACTCAGCATTTAACTTTTGCTTCACCTCGGCCACATTCAGTACACCACGTGAGTCAATGAAACGAGAGACTTCTGGGTCGCCCCACAATGCTGATGCCAAGCCGATATCATTCTCAGTCCAAAGACGAAAGCCAACACGTGTTGTAGTGAGGAAGTAGTTCGGGGCGTTGGAACTGCCAGATTCTGCCATGCTAGCCGCCACTAACAATCGGGATCGGCCTGAGTCGGCTGTAGTTGCTGCGAGAGGAGGGACTGGTAACACGGATGTGTCCTGCCTAAGGCGACCCTTCGACACATGTGCTTTGAGGATCGAAAAAGAAAAGTGACAAAATGTCTTTTGGTCACCCTCGAAATTTTTGGGTGCCTACCCCTCGTCCTGTTGCGATTCACAAGGGTTGGCTGGTGTTGGGGTTAAAGCACGACAGAAGGGAACAGGAAGACAGCCAATTCTACCTTCCGCTGGAGTGCCACCTGTCCAGTAACGTAATCCATAGCCATTCGGAATACCACCATCCAAATCACGTCTTCCTACCTGCCTACTTTAACTATCTACTATGCCACCAATTCGCTCTAAATCTCTGCATAAATCGGCCAATCAAGAGGGGAAGATCTTATTAGCCCTTAATGATATTAAAAATGGCCGCGTTAAATCTCTCCGCGAAGCAGCAAAGCTATACGAAATGCCGCTTATAACTCTATATTCGCGCTCACACTGTCAAACTTCACGCGTAGATAAACGCCTACCTTGCCATAAACTGACTTAATACAAAGAGAATTCGCTTGTTGAATGGATTCTCTCTACGGATTCGTGTGGAGCAGCGCCTAGGCCCGCTATTGGGAGAAATGGCTAATATCCTTCTTGCTGCGCATCGAATAACCTCTCCGCCTACCGCTGGTGTTAATTGGCTATCAAATTTCATCAAACGCCGCGATGAGCTTCGCACACGCTTCTCAAGACGTTATGAATACAAGCGAGCCCTAAACGAAGACCCGAAATCACTACGAGAGTGGTTTGCGACCGTAGAACGTTTATCGATCAGAACGGTATCTACTATACCTGCTTGATGTTGGGTGTTTTGCTGTGCTTAAGCGCGCGTACGGTCGCCACGTAAGCGATCTAGCGCATAGAGGACACAACCATATCGAAAATTTCGATTTCTTGATTGACTACTAACGCGCGCGCCTAGAAGCCTTTTAACACAGTACTATTCGAAACAGCTTCGTGGCTACTGGTCTAGTGCCGATCGATGCAGAGAGAGTGCTTTCGAAGCTTAATATCTCTACAAACACCTACGCCACCAAGCAGCCGGCTAAGTAGCAGATCTAGCTAATTACACCATACGCCGATATATACTTGCACAATGGAAATACAGTAACTAATTAGCAAATTCCTGATTTTTCTGTTTTCTAAGCTGTTTCGGCTATTAGCCACACTATCTGCCTGGTCATTGGTCAACGCTCTTTTGCATCGTGAAGTATCAGAAGCAAAACAAACGTCCCGTTTTCCAGATTTACTCGTCCCTGCTCTTCGTTTTCATCGTTTTAGGGCCACAGCGTGCGCAGCGCGCGTGACCAGTTTCATTATGTGTACTCAGGATTAGTTGAACCCCTATGTCACCTGACTGGGCTTTATTGTCACCCACAAGCCCAGTCAGGTGACACCCTACCCCGATTTTGTATGCATTTTGCCTGTATTTACGGGGATTCCGACATCATCAGTCAAGTCACTCGATTACTCGGCTATATCGCCTAGGGATAGCTCAACCTGCACCGATCTCGCTTGTTTTGCTTCGTTCCCTTTTAGTCTAATAATTAATACATCTTTTTATCCAATTCTGTTATCTAATTCCTGCCCCTAGGCGTATAATCTTGTACCGTATTTCAGAGCTTTAATACAGTACAGGTAGTAATAGGCCTGGTCATGTGACTTACTCAGTATACTTCGCAATAGCCAAGTGGCTAATAAATCGTCCGTGGATTTAATGAAGAGGGTGTGCGCAATGAAGGAGATTACCAATCGGTATGGTCTTGGCATATAACTAGGCCGTAAAAGGGCGAAAATTACTAAATGCGTTTAGAAGAAAGGTGCCCAGTAGAAGCGAGCATAGGCGGCGGCAGCACGACCCATAACATTTTAGCCTTGGCAGCCCCTGTAGGGAATTTAGCGCTATCTATAATAGAGGATTCAGCCTCGGTAGCCCTAAGTGAGCTAGTAGGCCTATTAAAGAGGTAAATATAGGCTTCTTCCTCCATTTGCTAGAGCTAGCGAAGGGTGCGTTGGAAGATATAGGGGAGTGTGCTAAAGGGAAGGGGGAGAGGGATTCAAATCGCTTATAATTTAATTTAATTCGAATACAAATCAAATCGTATACAAAATCAAATCATAGTTTATGTCGATTTAAATTTGTTTAAATTGATTCAAATCCCATAAGAGATAGGCCATCCAAATTATGGGCCCTAAGTAGCTATATCAGAATTTCTCCTGGTTAACATTAGCCGTGGGTAGCCTAATCTTTCAGGTTTACAGGCAGTAATGCGGCTTAATTCGAGATTCTGATGTTGAAATCAATATAAAACACCACTTACAGTTCGTGGTACTTATCTGCTGCCGCAGGCGTCTTTCTGCGCCCAATGCAAGCACGGTGTTATCATGCAATTGCATTATATTTACTATTCTAGTTTTCTTCTTATCAATGCCTCGAATTAAAAAAATTGATCGTGAAGCACGTAATTAGGAACCTCGACCAATGTCAATGAAGCTATTAACAAGAGCCGGGTTATGGCATACACTGGCTCATAGATGAAAATATCTAGTAGATAAAATGTACTCAATGTCGTTCAAAAATAGTAACGTCAAAAGCTAACCACCATAATATTCGTATCAGTGGGCAAACCGGAAGTCTAATCTACCACTTCCCTCATCCTTGGTGGTTTCTAAGTAATGTACTTTCTCCTGATGTGACATGGCATTCCACTTCTTATCACGGCTTTTGTTTCGCCAGACATAGTATGCCTTTGTCATCACATAGATAGCAATATTTGTGACCACCAGAGCCACAAGTACTCGATTGCCTCGTCGGTAGCGGGGAGCATCATCTATGGAAACACATTAGCAATCGGGATTAGACTTTGTGGACCACTATCAGTTGACAAACCGGCACGATAGATGTTGGATGCAATAATCCCAGATGCTTGGACACACATGTTGTACATGGCGGCCGAGACCGTCCGAGATCGGACAGTGTTTGAATTACGAGAGTTCCAACCGACCTGGATGGGATGTGCTTTACTTTTCGTCAGAAAGGATACGAATTCGTCTTTTCAACACACATACCGTTCGGGAAACCTAAGAGCAATGTGACAATTGCCCAGACGACCCATTTGTTCGCGGTGGTTGTATCCACAACATACAGATACACCACGAAAGGCAATGTCCATATCTGACCGAGAAGGGATACCCAGGTCAATTGTCCAGTGACCTCCGCGAGATACGTGATGAATAGCATGAGGATTATAGAAATAACCGTGTTCGGGATGGCAAGAAGATTCGAAACAAAGGTATTGAAACCCATGTTGCGCAATGTTAGAGTCAGGTATTGCTTAGGTGTTGTCATCGGTGTCTCGAAAGTGAGGCCAATAATGTATAGAGGCCAGAGATCAAAATCACAGAGACTCTTCCAAAGCAATTTTGGTGTGATAGGTTGCCGATTATGCATGGTACCCTTACTGGGATCGTCGCGGATCACGCGGTTAACTATGATTGTTTCCTCTCTAGTAGACTGTTAGCTGATAGTTGCGAATGGTCCTCAGATGACGTCTTTACCGAGGGGTGAACCAGCCGTCTTTCCCGCGTGACCAATTTGCAGTTTGGCAGGGTCCCGGAGGCATTAATATGTAAGCTGAAAGCCCAAATAGGAGAGTGATAAGACCCTGATTTGACTGGATGTCAGCTTACAGAGAACCTGGATGTGACGGGGAGAGGCAATTTACCTCGATTAGAAACAACCATCTCCAGCCGGATTGACCCTGTACGCCACGGAGGTGTAAAAGCCCAAAGGCTAGAAATCCCGCAATAATATCGGCAATGTTCATAGCAGTCCAAAAGAACCCCAATCTCAGGGATAACTCATGGTGCTTGTAGAAATACGAGAGATAGAGGATGACCTGGTCGCGATGAGGGAAAAAATCACTTTTGAACAACGATATGGGATGAAATACTTACATCTGGAATGAACCCACCTTGCAAAACACCGAGAAGAGCTCGACAGACAAGGAATCCAGTTTTACCACGAAGGCCATACTGACCCATGGCCACTGCCGACCAAAGGACCATTTGAGTGGGGATCCATCTGTCGGGACCAACCCACTTGCTGACCAGTTGAGACGGCAGCTCTGCACAGAGGAATGCAAGTTTGAAGACAGTGTTTCCAAGGTTGTAGTCTAGCGAGCAAGTTAGCAGCGTTGTAAGAATATCATCAATCTTCAGCAATTATGGACGTACCATTTGTGTTCATGTGCAGATCCTTGAGAAAATTGTCTGTCAGGGCCTGCTGTAAATTGGAACGGTCTAATTCCAGAGCCATGAACATCAAACAGGCAAAAACCATAATCCTCAAGTCGATCTTCCGAATCAAGCTATATTCTTCGCCGGATGTCCATCGTGCATTAGGATCAAAACGATGAAGGTTTTCCCAATCAGCTCGAGGCTGGTACTCTTTTGCAGTCTCTGGGTCGTCGAAGACAGATGGCAGTGTAGCAATCGCATCTGGGTTATAACCCGCCCTACGCTGAAACCAGAACCGGCGCTCATTCTGAGGTTTACCAAGAGGTGGGATGTCGGTGTCTGAGAAATCTGTCGCATGAAGTACTGATGACACCGAGGATTCGGCTGTCTTCTTTGAGAGTGATTCAGAGATCACTGTAGGCATGTTGTATAATCGGAACTGGACAATTAAAGCGATCCTAGAGGGCAGCCTTATGCACTGAACGAAAGGGTTTGAGGTGGGATTTATCTATTTGCTCTTCGGCAAAGTACCGCTCGCGTCGGCGAACCTCGACAGAGATCGTGCTGTGGCAGTGGCTTGCCAGTCATTGACACCATTTGGCCAAGCATGAGATAATTTCTGATTCAAGTTAGACATTTCAAATGTCTTACAGGCATTGGACCGATAAGACCCCCTTTGAGCAGCAGGGCTTTCCTTAGTGGAAATGACATCTTGCGGGAGGGCGATCACATCTTGCGGAAGGGCGATCACATCATGCCGTCAAAACAAAGCTGCTGCACCAACCTGAAGACCTGCAAATTATACTGCGCAACCATCTTTAGGGAGTGATTTGGTTGGTTGGTCTATTATTTTGCTCATGCCAGATCCTCATTGTGCCGAGATGCCAGAGGACTTGACGAAGATGGGAGGCAGGCTGCGGAGAAGGAAAGAGGGTGGGGGTGAGTGAGACTAAGTTGTATGTAGTCTGCCTACGGCGTCTGTCGAATCGATCGAAACCACTAACTGCCGCGCCAAGACTTCACCATCACTTCACTTCATCTTTCTTTTAACACCGCGGCATCTACCGTCAGCACAGCCTTCAACAGGGTCTATAATGACGGCTATTTATATCAAGAACCGGTTCTTTCTCACGCTATCCCAACCCGAAACGGTGCCGAGCATAGCCCACCGACTAGAGGGGCCGAAGAAGACGGCTCCTGGCGGAATGTCTATTGGGCGATTTTGGGGATCCCCACACGATAAATCCAGAGCCAAGATGTCACAAGTGCAGGACGATTGTTAGCAGGGCTGCAGAGCTTGAGATATTGAGATGACGCTAACAATCGCTTTCGCAGTCTACTCGTTCCAAGAGCATCCTAATGTACCGGCCGCTTCTAACCCTCACAAGAGGCCAAAACTGGAAGGATGCAGATCGTTGCCTCTTAATTTCACTGTGAATTACTTTGACTGACTCGCTGGTTAGATTGCCCCGTATTTTGCCCCCTCGCGAGGCGAGAAAGAAGGAACAGAAAACACATTGAGTATTTTTCTTCTGGTTTATATGCGAGCCCAGACCAGCTGGACGCTGAAATAGTGTTAACTCCGAAGACCAACCCAAACATCGGAGGAAAAGGCCGATCTCTGGCAGGCTCACAAGGCACATACTCGTCATCGCCCGCTTCTTTATGATTTAGGGTTCTTACACCAAGCGGCAAAGCTCCACCTCTGGTTCGACGGTCGACCAGGAAGGGGCGTGCGATGATGGCCGAGTGGGCTAAGCTTCCATTCATGGGACGAGAAGCTCTGGGTCGAATAATAATTAATAATAACTTTGATTCCAGCCCGTTAAAATTTGGAAGAATCATCATTCACTATGGCTCTGTACCGCAAAGGATACGGAACTGTTTTCGCAGACCTAGCACCTGTCGCTATGGTCATGGGCGCTCAGGGGGAAACGCACGATTGGTAGATCTGAGTCAGAGTGGCCTCAACACGCAGTATCGTGACAGAGCTGATGGATTATTCAGCCTCCTCGGGCTTTCAAGACAGAAGTACATAGCCTCCCACTATCCCTATATTTTCTCATTGGTTATCGAGTTTCAGGGATTGTGAAGGTCGCAGCGCGACCAGGAACGCCACTGCAAACAGCAAATCATACTGTACCTTCGGCGCCCCACAGGCATACTCGCTTATTGTAGCGTCGCGCTTCGCTGCCACGTACCCGATCTTGGCCAATTCAAAGCCAGTAATGGTGAATCTGGTGGTCGATGGTTTGTGGTCGGTGCTGCCAGCATCCAAACTGTCGCAGATCACCCTCGAGGGAGAAAAGAGTCCACTGTGATATCCAATCAGGAGCACTACAGGTCTCCACTATGCATCTACAGAACGCCCACAGCTCACGCTAACTGGAGCACAGTCAAAAATTGTCCCTGGGTTGAGCGCCTCTCCGCCATATGGCCTGTGGTTGGCTACATGCGAGAACTAATCTGTAAGCTTGGGCCTGGCTATCAAGAACAGATGACAGGCATATTTCACCCGCACCCTCGCGGCTTGCCATGTGGGTGCTTTGGGGGTATTCCTTGCTTGAGAGCATGCCATCGCGAGGTCTTAATTGCCCCACGTATTGTGTTTGCTCACAATCGCCCAAGCCCTGGCGGCATTTCAGTATGAAGCTATCGAGGGCCTTTCCTTTCTAAAATTGCCTAACTTGATAGGCATGCGATCAAGGCTCGGCCGTCGGCCCGCATCCTCGTGAGGATCAATCGCCCCACCGTGCACCAATAGAGAAAAAGTTGGTCCGGCCCTCCCACGCTGGTGTTGGAACGGCGTGATCTGTTTGTCATCTGGATTTCCTAAACGGAAGTCTCTTGCGTTGGCCGGAGACACCGGGGCATTCGGTTTGGAGTGGTAGAAAGTGGTTGGACTGGCAGAGGGATCGCTCGGATGAGATTCGAAATTATACGCCTTCGCTCCGCTTCACGGCCCGACGTCCAATCATCGATCGATCCGATAGGCTTTGTGTCTGGGCCCCGCTTGCATTGACTGGGGCACGAGAGTCCAACGGCGCTAGTTTGCAGGATCGGCCAGCAACTCAGGATACCCAACAACAGCCTGTAACGACATTCATGATAACGAATGCGAAGACCAGCTATACATCCAGACAGTAGACTCGATTTTCAATGTATTGGGAACCTTGGAACCATGTTCATGTCGATTAGCGGTGGTAGAGCAGAGACAGAACTGGTCTTTAAGGGCTGTGGATGCCATCGATCGACTAGCATCTCCCCCGGCCGAACGCTAATCTTTAGTCGTTCGGCCTTGCGTGTTTCACGTTTGCCTTTATTATTATTCCAAATTCTGAATCTCTCTAATTTCCATTATTTTGACCAACCCCATCGTGGTCTGGCCCCTTCAAATTGCCCTGCCGCTAATCAGCCCAACTCTATTGATCCGCCCAGCAGATCGGGGGATTTATAGAAGCCACCAACCCAGCCAAAGCGTCTTGAAAAAGTCCGGCCGTTTTTCTTCAGCTACTCCGCAGAAGGAGCCCTTTTTTTAGAGGTCTACTTTCCTGCACGATAATTGCAACCCTTCCAACGCAACACGTGTAAGGTGTCTCGAAGGAAGAAGCTGCTTCCTTTATCCTGTGGTTCTCCTTGACAGAAGGGTCTCCGCTGGGTCACTTGAAAATGTCTATCAGCTACAGTCTCCCCCAGCTTCCAAGCCACTTCATAGCCCCTATATCATCATATCCGGATTCGCCGCCGTCACAAACACAGTATATCTCTCACAGTTTCACTTCGAGTACATCACTGGACGACTTTCAGCAATCTGACCCCGAGAGTATGAACTGGCGGACAACGCGGTCGTCTCCCTCGTCCACAGCAGGCACCAAAAACGGGGTCAGCAAGGCCAAGAAAGGGAAGCGCGTGCATGCGTGCGAATACCCCGGATGTACTAAGGTTCGTGATCTAACACCTACGGGCTTAACCCCCTTGGCTTGCCTAACGGGCTTTTGCTTCACCAGATTTTTACCCGCGCCGAGCACAGGAGACGACATGAATTGAGTCACAAGAACAAGAAATCTCATGCCTGCACATATATTGGATGCCAAAAATCATTCCACCGCGCAGACTATTTGGCCCAGCACATGGCCCGACAGTAAGTGGTTGACAGAATCTACCGAGTAGAACCACTAATCTAAGTGGGTTTTCCTGACAGTGCTGGTGAACCGAATTTACCAAGAAAGAAGCAATCTTCGTTGATCAAGTCGGGGCCTGCAGCATATTCCCTACCCAGCCCTTCACTCTCCCAGTCATATTCATCAAAGTCGCCCATTATGCATGACTTCGAGTCTGTTGAGAGCAGTTGCAACGAGACATCGAGAACGATCGGACATCCCATAATGGCCTGCTTACAGTGCTTCAACTGTCAGAACAACCAACAATGTCAAGCCCACGGCGTATACTATAACCATTACTCAAATTCCATCAATCAATGCCCCCTCTCCGTTGTCTCGAGTGCCCGAGGGCCTATTGCAACTCATGGTCCGAATACGCCAATTTTTCCAGCAGGTTTCGACTTCGTTATAGAGAATTATATGAGGAGTATGCTTCGACCGGAAGCATTTATCACGCCTCCACAACCCCTGTCCTCACCTGCGCAAGGATCAGAGCCAATGCCCCCTGCTTTTTGGGATGCCAACATTGACCCTAATCTACCCCCACTGGATCTCACAGTAAGTGATACTGTCTCTATTGTCGCGCACATGGGGCAGGCTCACTGATAAGTTACCATCAGGTCTTCAACAAAAACGCTCCCTTTTCAACCTGGCCCGCTAGCAATGGGGACATTTCGCCCAGCATACAAACACATCAAGCAAAGCAATATCCAGCTGCAGAGCCTACTTTCTAGCCCGGTCAAGATTGAAAATAAAATCTATTCGATATTAGTGACTTTTTTGGACGATCTGTGGCTAAAAGAAGTATATCCATGCTTTTGCCCTGCCCTTGTCTTCCCGATCTTTCATGCTTGAGAATGATAGGTCATAGCCGAATTTGGTACCACATTCGCATTTCTTCCAGTAAAACCAGAGTGTCAAGTATGTAGTTGGGTAGATCATCGTCTCCGATACGCGTTCGACCTTAAAATAGTACAACGTCGGCTGTGCGACAAATCGCTTTGAGTTTGACTAAAGAGACGTCAACAATTGAGGATTATAAAATGTTTGCACCAAAATGAGGTGCTTCAAACCTTCTGAATTCGCAAGGCTGCCACAAGGCAGTTTATAATACCACACGTTGGGTTAGACTACTATTTTTACCTAGGTTAGGCCCTGGCTGGCTCTGACATCGAAAGTAGGCGCCTCCGTGCTGATCGTCTTGGCGCTTGCTGGAAGGGGCTGAAACGATCGCCCTTGAAAGCCAGCCCCCAAACCAAGGTTCATTATGCGGTAGTTTACTTGCTCTGAGTTGATATAAGAGAATAGTTCATTTTAAGTAGAGCAACGCATGTTATACCCCGATAAGGTTGTAATATTTAAAACTCCACTCGCGGCATCAATAATGGTTATATAGAGAGAATTATCATAGGCATGGCAACCCAGCTCCAAGTCTATGGCCCATAGTCTTGCGATTAACTGTTCAGCAGTGAATGATCCGGTAAAGACCTGATCAATTAAGCAAGATGGGATAACAGCGTGCTCAAGTGGTTGGTGAACACAATTACCTTACAAGACACACCGCAGATTAATTCATCTCAACCTCTCCAAAGAAGCGACAGCCATTGGCATGCGAGGCTACTCATAACCTTGTACAACAAAGAAAACCATGCGAATGCTATTGTTGACCTGAATATCAGGGATTGATCCAATTATCATTCTTACGAATGTATCGCAGGCCACGAGCCAAGGAGTGGCAACTGAGCAGACCTCACAGTCGAAGAAGGTCCTTTTAGTCATTGGGCTGCTTTCGTAAAAAATGTTCAAATTAAATTGACCAAGACCAACGCGATTGTGGCCTTTTAGAACATTAATACGAATGCTATTTTCTACACAGTCAATTTACTTCCATTGTTGCTCTCATCAACATCTACGTTTATCTAGTCGATTTCCACGATCGGACCGTCGTACACCTTTCTAGCCCGGAGGCCGTAGTAGACGAGGCTGAGGAGGATCACACCAACAGTTCCAACCACGCTGAAGTTCATTGTCTGAACCGTGACAACCCAAGAGGGGGGCCAGAAACTGAAGAACACAGCAATTGTCATGTAGACGAGCGCAAAGGCGTTGACCAATATGCCCCAAATACCCGAAAGATGAAATGGGCCCCACACAAGCTTCGCACCGACAGTGTTAACGACCGCTGAATCACTGCTTCGGGCATTGCTGATGCCACCTGTGCAGCGTCGGTAGAGGAGAAGCCCAGCGACGACCATGTATGAAAGATAAAGCCCAGAAATCGACATGGCGACAAGATCATTGAAGGCGACTGATGAGCCAATAGGAATCAGAGCAAGGAGGCAGACGACGCAGGTCGTAAGAAGGACCGAGTAGATAGGCACGCCGGTACTACCATGAACCTATTAAAACTTAGAATAAGGCAAGATTGTACAGGGGATGATTTAGGGACTACACATACCTGGCTCCAGATTCGCCAACCCGGAATACCTCGGTCACGAGCGAATGACCAAAATTGGCGTGATGCAGAGGCTAACATGCCGACGGAGGTGGTGATACCCATAGTGGTGACAATAGAGCTCATCACAGCGGTACCAGGTACAGATCCAGTGGCCTGTAAGAAAATCGCCATAAAAGGATAGCCAGTGGGCGACCCTAGTGCGGCTTCAATATCTCCCAGGCAGAATAGCATAGCCAGTAGCATGCCAAATCCCAGGGATCCGTTGATTAAGACGCTGAGCATGATGGATGTTGGAACGGCCGTTGCTGCATTGGTGATTTCTTCGGACATCTTGTTGGATGGGATAGTTTTAGTCACCCTCCGACAGGCTATATTTCCATGAGATGAAGATTTCACTTACGTGCACTGCAGCATCACCACCGGCAAATGAAAATATGCAGCCAACCATGCCAACAAAGAAAGAAAGTCCCTGGGATGGAAATCCGCCCATGTTCAAAAACTGGGTGAACACATCATGCGCCGATCCATGATCCGCCATGTAGGTTAGCGGAATTAGGATAGCGAAGAAGCCGAGGATGTGTAGGATAAGAATGAATCCCTCAAATCGTGGTAGTAGTTTTCCTCCGACCGAGTTGATGCCAACTGAAAATAATGCAACTGCCCAGAAAAGCAGAGTACTATGCCAATTCTTCGGTTCGTAGCTACTCTGTGTGAGGATGATCAATCCCTGGATAAGAGTCCCACATAAAAAGCACGAGGTTGCATATGTTGCTTGCCATCCGATGACAGTAAGCCAGCCTAAACACAAATAACTAATTGTCAGAGTCAAACCTCTTCTTTCCTCAGCGACCAGGCCGTACCAGTTATATAGCTAAAGAGCTTCATCACGGATCGTGGGGCAAGCATCGAGCACCAATGATACTGACCCCCAGACGTTGGTGCCCTAGTTATTGATCAGTCCACACGATCTATTTGAAAGGACTCGAAAATAAACCATACATGGATGCCAGCTCGGAAAGTACGACAAAAGTCGACGCGACTCCGACCCAGACGAAAATAAAGCCGTATACCGCACCAGCAGGGCCGCCACTGTGCATTGTTTGTCAGTTTCACTCCCGTAGAGGAAAAGGCTGAGCTGGAAGAAGTTTCTTACTTGGCATAAGCTTGCAGAAACAGACTGCAGAGCAATCAATGATCAGTAAAGGAATCAACACGAGCTTCGGTCACAGATACTGCTTACACAACGATTCCCTCCCAAGTGATCAGAATGGTACAACTAAACCCTAACATCGACATCAATCCGAAGTTTCGCTAGGTTAACTTAGCGAATAATTCATCTCAAAATCCTTGAATCATAGACTCTACCTTTAGGACTGGCCGTTTCCCCATACGTGCCAGGTTGGCATCATCGAGCTCCATGCTCGAGGGGCTGCCGATCTCGTGCATACCAGTAGTGCTTGTCTGCTTCATCTGATGAGAAGACATAGTGAGCTCAAGTGGAAGAAAGGCGAGATAAAAAGTCAAAAATCGAAATGAGCAAGGGGGATACCTCTGTTTTGATTCAACAGGGGCAGAGGAGATGCGAAGAGCTAATGCGGCCAATGCTGGGAAAATTGCATGTCTAGACAGTTCTTTGTTCTTACCCACTCACGCTAAAACGGAGAAAATTAGTTACTGTCTCTGAATATGCAGAGTGGGCTCACAGGGCGGAAGCTACCGAAGGTGTTACCTCTTTTTAAAGCATAGCGCCAGATTTCGGCATTGGTCGCCCGGAGTAAAGCACGACAATAACAATCTTGCAAGGGGGTTCGAGTCAATTGTGCGCGCTTGTTGGTCACTTCCACTTCCACATGGAATCTGGAACATCCCTAGCTGAGAGAGCCTTGGCATTTCATGGTTAGCGGCGTCTCCACCCTCGAGGCTAAATTTTGATCACTTTCTTTGGTGGATGTTCATTGTCTTGTGTTACAACGCTAAAAGATCAGCTCCACCGTCGGCTGCCCTCGCGAGATCATAAAGTTTCCGTGTACAACCAGATGCCCCAAAGTGGGCAATGATAGACCCACTTGACCATTTTGAGTAGGTAGTATTCTTGGTTTGATCTCGTCTTTCTCCTTGGCTTGTTTTGTTTCAGTACAATACTTAGTAGCCCATCAAGCACAAGCACACCGTCCTTGTGGGTGTATCCTTCCAACCCCCTTTTCGTAGAGAATCATTACGTACAAATCAAATCAAAATAGACAAAAATTAGGTAAACTGAAATCTGTTCTAGGCAGATTACAGTCGAGTCTCCGTGACAGTCCATGTACGGACCTCGCGAATGATCTGCGACTGGCTCGTCTGACTTTCGGCGTCACAATCTGGCGAGGAAGTCACAATAGTCTGGTTGACAGTATCTCCTGGCATTGTGACAAGCTCATGCGTCTCACTAGGAGTCTCTCCAGTGCGACGACCACGCGATATTTTGTAGATAGTTCCAGCATAGGTCCTCTGTCGGCTCCCATAGCTTGTTCCTCCGAGACTCATTCCTGATGACCGAAGACTGTCGAGGAAAGGTTTGAACTGAGGAGAACAGGCAGTGACGATGCTCAATGCCTGGGTCATCTGTGTGGAAACCACCACGGTCCATGTATCCCATGATGGATCATCTGATCCTTTTGTATCTTTCGCGTAGGCCAATTGGCATATAATGGCAATTACCACGCTTTGTAGATCCCGTCAGCTTGAATTATAGAAAATCCGACAAAGTTATGAGCCACATACACAACTCTGAAAAGAAAGACGCTCGACAAAACAATCTTTTTGTGGATATCTGCTTGGACACGGATAATCACCAACAGTGCCTGAGCAATAATTCCTCCCTCGGATATGATGTTGGTGACTCCAAGATAATTCCACCATGCCACCTGAAAACCTTGTGAGTGACGTCTTCCAATATTGTCCGGTGACACCACGCACCAAATCAAAACATTTGCCATTTATGTAATCCCAAGTAGCAGGGACACGACACTGAAAGGCGGCGGTGAAAACGCCAGAAATAGCCCAAAGGACGATGAATATACCCAGGCCAAGAGCAAATTGCCGATCGAGCGAAGCGGGTGATAAGTTTCGAATGAACATCATCAGAGCGAGCTTGGAACAGCACATGCTGACAACGAAGAGGATGTTTGCGGTGTATTGAGACTAGGGATCAAGAAGACGTTTTCAGTATTCGTTTAGCTGCATACAAGGACTGGATAGAGTCGCTTCAAGGAACGCAATCTCACTTTCATCATTTTTTCCACATTAGATGCATCCAATGGAAGAAAATGCTGTCCAAGCCCACCTTCAGTGGCCATGGAGACTGCAACAGACTGACCAACACAAGCTATCAGAGCCGCAATACTTAAGACATCGTCGATTGTCAATTTGCGAAAGATCCAGTACTTTGTACCCAATCGAGTAAAGACACTCAGAATGGAAGTCACCAGCATGAACCATGTCAGGACGTTGATGGCGGGGGTCCAGGTCTCTCGCAATTCTGGCTTCATCGTATCCAAAGGTCAGAATAAAGAGAGTTAGAAACTATCTTCGAGGACATGTGTGACATGGGTTCAAAGGTTATGGAAAACCAGAGCTCAAGATATCAGTATACTGGTGGCTCCTATCGCTCTGGGCGTTCCTCCGGCTGGACCACGGTCCAAGGGCGCGATGGCGTACAAGATCGTGACTAGTAGCCATTTAATGGTCCGTTGTGCTGAAACCACGACCCACGCAAGAGCTAGTCAAGGTAGGTATCTCGCAACTTCAACTGATTTCAGGCCAAACGTAGCCTTCAATGGTTGGTTCTGGATAGTCACAAAATGCACAATAATGCAGCCCCGTGGGGCCATTGGAGGCGCGCATCCTTCGCCTTGGCGCAAAGGCTGATCTCCTCTTGTTCCTCTTTGATTGGCCTTCTAGCCCACTGGCCCACTGGCCCACCGTACCGAAGCCGGGAGATCCTTGCTCCCAATCGCAGGCTCCCAATTCGACGAAGCAGACGATGCGGTATTTTCTGATCCCTGTACCAATCCTGGTCATCTTCTTCACGAAAATCATTATCCCACCTTCACTTATCTGTAACAAAACATCAATGGTCCGTATCAGTAGATCTAGTCTCTGCTCGAAATCTGTTCAATGGAATATTAGCGACAATCCCACGCATGTGAAGTGGGGACTCCGGATACTCGGACTTTCAATAAGCAGCTACCCCCGACAGACACCTTCTACTTTTCTCGAACAGCTTGGACCAAAGAGTATTCGTTTTGGCATGACAGGGCTACATATGCGACATGATCTCAAGTGCGTTACGCACGTTATTTCTTGGAACAAAGCCAATCAGATGACGACCTCGCGGCACTAGCGATTTCTGATTCCTTTTCAAAATGACAAGAACTTAAATGTAAATTCAAACCATTGATTTTGGAATACCATAATACTACTTCGCTGTCGGTGTTGCCGTCTCATCATGGTTCATGGGGGCCAAACTCTATCGTGGAATTTTGATCCATTACTACCACAATTGTACCCCATTGTCACTCTATCACACCTCAAGACTTGGTCCGTCAAGTCGACGGGCCCTCAAGCACCGCCCAGGGACGGCTTGATAGGTGGGAAATATAGCTGACTGCAAATATAGCTGACTGCAGTATTGATTGGTGAAAAGAAAGCCTCGCAACATGGGTTTATGACTCATTCAGTCAATTGCCACTCCCTGAGAACCTGATCAATCACATAAACCCTGTTCCCCCTTTATTTTCAAGATCTGATATAGAGAAATTGGTCCATTAAATGCACCTGTATCGGAAAGTCATTTCCTCTGATGGCTTTGTTGTCCGGACAGCAATAAATTTGGAATCTGTCTGATATATGGGAATCCTTTGCGTCAGTTTTTGATAACCACGTAGTGGCTCACTTTGAAAAATTGTACATTGATCATCAGTTTCAAATGTGCCTGTTTGATGATTCGTTCTCTAAACCTAGCTTCGCTCCTTATCAGTCCACGGACTTGATCAGGGTCCTTGCAAGAAAGTTCCAATATTAAATTCGAAGTGTAAGTTGAGTAACCCTTGTAGCTCTTGCATTTGGGGAGTCTTAATAATGATAGAGACGATCTCATGTCGTTCGGAATACAGTCAGTCTATCTCCGCTTGAGCGTCATTGGTCGGAACATCTCAGTTTAATAATTCAAGTAGCCTGGACCAATTCAGCTACAATCTGAAATAAGTACTCCGGTTCGTACCCAGAGCAGGAACAAAAACATACATAACCCAGCGGACTGTGTTCCCACAACCAACTACGGAGTAAGCTATGCGGCTTAGTGCAGCAGGATAAGGATTATTTTCCAATGCCACTTAAAAATTCCCATCTGTAAACTTGTCAGTTTTTGCAGAAATTCAATCTATATTTGATTCATTTCTATCCCTATTCATAGATTTAGTTCAGTCTCTGTGTTCATCCATCGTCAGAACCTTAAGAAGGGCTATTTGAGTACGCGCCATAGTAAAGGTGACGAGTCATGTAAGTTCAACTCAGTTGCGCTACATAATATGTGCGTAGAAATATCATTTGATAAGAGAGGTCCCAAAGCTGAGCCATACTTGTATCAACAAGAGAATCTTAAATCGCCCCGGTTTACGCTAGTATGAAGGGGGGGTTTCGAACCAACCAGTGGATCCTTGTCAGGCTAGGGAAAGCTGTCAGATGAGGGCTTGGTTGGCTATAGATGACGTCGGCTGTTTGCACAATCTGACATACCATTAGACATGTGAAGATGTTTCTCTACGTCTACGTACAGAAAGCAGGCAGGCCTGGGAAGAAAGTTTGGTCATTACCAAGTAATCTAGGAGATCCTGAAGAAATACATGAAGCTGAGAGAAAACTAGGGCCTATATAAGCCATTGAACAAAGGTGGTAACCTGTAACCTGCAGAGAAGTAGTAGGAAGAAGCCAGAAAGGCCTGCAGAGGATCAAGGCAATCGAGGACGAAGTAGGAATCTCCATCAACATGCTTTACGAATGTCAGAAGTCTTATTACATGGACTAACCCTCTCGACTACACTAAAATATAATATCAAGATTTTTGTCACTTATTCATTTTGGAATTTCCTCCCCAGTCATCATGTGAGGTGGCTATCTTTCAAAAGTCCGCGAGGACTTTACTTGATTCTGGCCCCTTGCGGTTTCGTAAAGTGCTTATCGGTCTGTACTTATCAACTATGTTAAGACATATTGTAAAAAGGATCGAACCTGGTCGGTATATTTATCTATATTCAGAGATCGCCCACTAGTGTGAACTGTTAAACTCATGTTTTCAAACATTATACAGCTAAATTACAGCTTGAAAGCAGCAGCAATGAAAGCAACAATGAAAGTTACAAAGGCAGAGTACGGCGAGATCGAACCAGCAGCAGAAACAGTGGCAGACGCAGAAGCAGAAGCGCTGGCAGAACTGGAGACCGAGGACTTGGCAGATGACGAGCTGGAAGCAGAAGCCGCCTTGACGGAGCTAGAGCTGGAAGCCAAGTTGGTAGAAGTGGTGCCGTTGGTGGCCTTGATGCTGGTATAGGCACCAGTCTTATCGGTGTACTTGTACGCAGACGCAGGGTTGTAGTTGATGACCTTGACGGACTCGACATACATGGAGAAAGGGCCGGCAGTATAGTCAGTCTCGCCACCAGCCCATTCGATGGTGCCCTCGGAGTTGTCAGGGTCGCCACCAGCCCAGATACCAATCTTGATACGCATGGGAGTCTGGGGGTAGTTCTTGCCGCTCAGAGCATCGGCATACTCCAGAGTGCGGACCACCTCACCATCCAGGATCCACTCAATGCGGCTAGAGGTCCAGTCAACAGTGTAGGTATGGAAGGTCTCTTCGGGAGTGGTCACATCCACAGTAGTGGCGCGGTCGTAGGAAGTTGTGTTGCCCTTGCCGAAGTAGTCAGTCTCGATAGACGAGTCGTAGGTGCTGATTTGCTCCTGTTAAAAATAAGCCTTGAGAATCTTTGTACTCTCTACACGTCATCAAGAATGAATCTTACCCAGTCAATCTCGTCAAGGTCATCGGATTCCATCACTGTAGTGCTGATGATACCAGTGCCGTTAGCAGCTCTCATCTTAACTTCGACCCGGCCGAAGAAGATGTAGAAGTCACTCTCGATGGTTGGGGCATCACCCTGTTCAGAGATAGTGAACTTGGCGCCAAGGGAAGTACTGTCAACAGTGCCAGAAGTGGTGTTCCACTTGCTGAATGCTGACGAGCCCGAGGTGAAGTCGGTGTTAAACTCCCATCTGGCAAGACCCGTATCGGCAGGACAGGTCTCTGTACACCTTCGGTTAGCTATCATAATCTTGCCCTACACGTTGACCGAATTGACTGACTCTTCAGCGGGTTACAGCTGGTGTAGGTCTGAGCAGCACCGAGCTGGGCGGTGGCCAAGCTGAATGCAGCCCACTTGAGGTATGAAGAGATTGCCATATCAAAGTGAGATTAGCAGTAACGGGTATCAAAAGAAAGAACCGATTTCAACGAATGTGACTCCAAGATGGATGAAACAAGTTGAGGAGACAACAGGCGAAGCCACCAGTATTATAGATTCAAGCGAGTGTATGGGGCTGAGGCCGCGAGGACAACAATCCAGTCCGTCTATTTATATTAGCTTGATCCATATGTTGCGAACTAAGTACGCCGTGACGCCCCAGCTTTAGGGCATCATCCCCACCGAATGGGACGACGGATCAGGTCGTTAAAGAGCCCTCAGTAGCAATTGGCTCAATGGCAGGAAATGTGGATATACTCAGCCAGGCAAAGATACCAAAATGCATAGAGATGTAGTTTGGGTCAATAAAGGGTGGCTCCACTTAAAAAGCTTGGGTTGGTTGATGACGGCAGCGCTTGCGTGGTTGGTTCTTGACTATGACGGACCTAGCCGGCCGACTACGTACGCCGTGTGAAATATTTTCCCCGTTGCGGCACTCTTCACCGAGGTCTATAAAGCCGATCGGACACATTACGGGTCCATTATACTAGGCTGAATTTTGAACTTCAAATATATACCAGCCTATGCAGTAGCAGAGTGGTCAAGAAGTTCGTGAGCTTTTATGAAATGAATTGATCGATGTGGCCCGTCTTCAGTCCACCAGTTCACATCTCCAGTTGAGATCAATGAGGACCCACTTGCCACGACGCAACCAACCCACCTAAGCCTCGTACCGAATATAACTATTATTGATTTCATATTGCGTACCTTTGCTTATTCAACTGACAAACGCCAAATCTATCTTTGAGATGCAGTGGTCAGGGTAGAAAGACCGCGGCTCATCCTACATTAGTACCAACAAACGAGGTCACGTATCTCCGTACAGTACTCCGTAGTCGAGCTTCATTCATGGACGTCAACGTATTCAGGTCTAAATGGATCCCTTGGGCCCACTTCCCGGGAAGTGATTCTATCTGGAAACTACGAAGTGTTGCCACATTATGCTACAGTAATCCTTATTCCTTCATAGGGCCTGTCCAACAATCGTTCCCCAATAGATCTCCCAAGAGATCTTCTAAGAAGGTCGTGGAAGCATCACCTTAGACTCAAACTCTTCGTGTCGCACTGTGTTTTCCTCCTATTAGCTATGTCATGTTGAATTGGCTGTTTAAGTAGCTCGTCATATAATGTATATCCAAATTGAATCAACCTAGAGACTCATTACCTCTATGATCTGTATCGTGAAGCGTGTTTTCTCCGTAACGATAACTTCAGTTGAACATTTATCTCTATTTAGTTAAATCATGACCATTGTAAGAGCTTTGGAGATGTATGGAAGGGAATCGGGAGTTCAAATTGAGGTGAACGACGAAGATACACCCTCAATCCGTGATAGGGTGAGGCTGATCTACTGCTACCATCTCTCTACGCAAGGTACTGGGCTTTATCCTGTCCACCCGCTACCCCAGTGCTAAGTACAACAAAATTTCCCCCTTGGTAGACTGCGAAAACGAATTTATAGTGGGCCCATAGTAACATGCTCATATAGCCTCTTGATTGGCTGGACAGGAAGCTATCATCGAGAGCACGAGAGATCATTACCAATTGTCCATTAATGCTACAGCGATTTCCCAGATCGATTATACTATAAATTCCTTTTGATTTGGCACTTTCATGAAGAACTTTTCCATCTGCAGATGTTGTGCTTCCGTCATCTTCTCACAGTCAAGGCAACCAGCCAATATGGACAAAAATGGATCACAAGGCTGTAATACTGGCTTAGAAATCAAGAGCTTCAAATTACAGATCACTGCGACTCGTTGGCAGCGATGATTCATCAGTTAAACATCATCTTGGCGGTCTGCAATTTGTTGTTACTTATCAAAGTGTTTCCCCTGAGCTGAACCTCCGCTCAGGATCATCCACCATAAATCGAGACGCTCAGCACCATGACTTCTATATAGAACTAAGCAGCTTGGCTCCAGTTTGCCAAAGCAAACCGTTCCAAGTCGGAACCGCGCGACGAGACCCAGCGCATTCCTCACGGAGGTCGTCATCAAGGCTACTTATATTGTTGTCAAGGCGGTAGACCACAAGATATGACCATAGGCAAGTGTAAGGTCAGATTCAATTTACTAAAAATGATGTTTCAGATGCAAGGCACCCCTGATTCTGAGCTCCCGCATCCTTCTATACTTGGACAAGATGTCATCGGAACTATTGTAAATGTCGGTTGTCTCATAGTGGGCCACAGAGTGATCGGGTATGTCGTGAACCCCTGTTGCACTAGATCACTGTTTGACCAAACCAAATAGACACTACCAGGGCATAATCAGCGGTAAATCTACCAACAGTGGGTTTCAACTTCATAGCACCTGTTTAGATATTTTGATCGCGCCGGTCCCAGACTCTCTGCCTTTTCCAAAGCAGTTGTCCCCTCGAAATCTCTACTGCAGCCTGTGCGCTTTACGTCCAGCCTCAGCTCTCGCTCCGAGCTTTTGCATCTCTCTCACTTGGGAAAAGGATTTTATTATGGGGTGGAAGTTCTTCTGTTGGCTGTTCAAGTATCCCAACCCGCGGTCGCGTCGGGCCTTGAGGTTGTGGCCACCGCTAGTGAGGCTAATTACGCGTTGCTGGAAATCCTCGGAGCTACGCAAGGCTTTGAATATAATAGTTCCACCACTATTGATGATCTTGTCGATATATTTGAGAAGGCGATCTCGTGGTCGACTGCATAAGCAGTCCGAAGACACAGAGTCAGTGTAGTGAAATTCTAGGAAGAATTGGAGGGGGAAGCTGCCTGTGATGCGTTTCCCACGCGGAAAATTCCCAAGAAAATGTCAATTCAGGATTTGGTACGCTCAAGATATACCTATGAAATGCGAGTAGTGTTGCTAAAGCTCCCAAACAGTTAATGGTTTAGAACTAGGTTTGGTCAACCTCGACGTTGGAAATGCCATTTGGGGCGGATATATCCCAACAGCATTGGCGACAGCAAAGTTTCAGGTCAAGCCAGATCACTCATTATTAGCGGAGGTCTTAAAGGTTCAGGAAAGCGTTGACCTTATTTCAAAAGGTATGTCGGCAACGAAGATTCTTGTCGAAATATCGCAAGATGATGATCTGGCAAAGAAAGCTAGAAGACAGGCTTGCAAACTAAATGTTGTTTGATAGAAAACTCGTTGATGGAAATTATTACCCTTTTTCACTCGTGCCTCACGTCGATCTATTCATGCAAGAATCTCGGACCTGTTCCATTACCTAAGACTTAAAATGATCATCATCTTCCTCTTCGATTATAGAATTTGTCCGACCAATAAATTGGCCACCCTTCTCCGTGGATTTGCCAGATTTATGCGCAGCCTGCTTCAAGCTGTCATCAAATTCCTTCCACACGCCAAGCACCATTTCAATGTGCTCTAGCCGAAGAGGCTCATTTTCAAATCTGGCAATTGTTCGAGCAGTATTAACTGCATTGGCAATCTCTCTACCATTTAGCTTGGCAGCCACGAAATTATCAACGGCATCATCGAGATCGATGTCAATCTCTTGCCGAGGAATGGTTCCTAGGATTTGTTCCCAAAGTTGTTGGCGTGTTTCAATACTGGGCGGTGTATATTCGAGAGCAAGGTGAACGCGAGACTTCATGGCTCGGTCAAATGACTTGATGCGATTAGTTGTCAGGAACACAATTCCACTAAAATATTCCAACTCTTTCAAGAAAACTGAGAGTGATACTTGTTAGCTTAGATAGATAATTTCAAAGGAAGACCGAAACCAACCAGCTACAAGAGCGTTTCGTGTGTTGCTATCACCGTGGTCATCTCTTGCTTCTAGGAATACATCCGCTTCATCCATCAGCACGACTGCTTTCCATAGAGTCGCATATCTCAGAAGTAGCCGTAAACGAGTTTCGAAGGCCCAGGCACTACCAAATGTCAACATAATCCAACTCCAAGTTGAAGAGAATCAAACATACCTATCTTCCTTGTTGAGCTCCCCGAGAGATGTCATTATGAGCGCCTTTCCAGAGCCTTCGGCTGCAGTCTCTGCCGTTAAAGTCTTTCCAGACCCCGGAGTCCCGTAGAGTAGAACAACTAGGCCCTTGCCTTTCTGTCGCATTTGATCACGAGCATCGTCGGGATAGGAATGTGAAGTGACCAAGGACTGAAGTACCAATTTTTGGCGGTCGCCAACAATCAAGGAATCCCACACGTTCTCGGCCCAATGTACCTCATCAAGACAATCGACTAAGAATTGTGCCCATTCTTTTCGCGCCAAAGAAAAGCCATACTCATATGGAGGACACAGCATTGGGTCTAATTCTTGTGCCTGCACACTAACCGCATTCGCAATTTGTTCCTGCTGGAAAGTCTTGCGGTCCACGACGACTCGTCCGAGCTCGGTGTAAGGCAACCAAACTCCAGGCCAGTCAGCCATGCCCGGATCATACAGGCGGTGATATGGCTCCTTGAGGTATTTTGCTGGTCCATCATACTCCTTGACCAACATGCCTTTAAGGGAGAGAAATCTGCGACCGCGCTCAATAAGCCGCACTTCTAATCCCTCCTGTCCCCGGACAAACTTCCGTGCATAGACTGGAAGCTCAGTGATGGTCGCGGGATTTTCCGCGCCAAAGCTCTCTTTCTGGTATATTGTGAAGACCTTTTTAGCTTGTCCTTCAACAATACCATTATGATCACAGAAAACGCAATGAACTTCCAAATAGGGGCCTTTTTTAACGGTCTGCTCGTAGGCCGTCTTCTGGCATCTCAGCAACCACGGATGCCCCATGAACGACGTGTAAACTAAGTCACCCGGGCGGAAGATAGACCATGCGGTTTTGAATGTGATCTGATTCTTCCGCATCATGCCCAATAAGCGCTCTCTCTCAGAGCCGAGTTCATTCTTCAAGAAATCGAACAACAAATTCAGATGCATCCGTTCCTCGGCATTCTGAGTAGTCTGCCGGCGCTGATCCAGATCTTCCCAGTGGTGAAGCAGTATCTGGAATGGACTTTCAAGTTGGAAAGGGGTGTTGAAATCGGCAGGGACTGTAGGGTAGGAACCAATCACTTCTCTAAACACGGTAACAAGCCAACTCGAGTTGACGTCCAGCGTGGTCTTCTCGTGTTGGTTCTTTTCGCCAAAGTATCGGTTGATGACAAGAGCATATGGACTGTTTTGTTCGTCAAGTATCTGATCGTCGAAGGGTTTGGAAAGGACTTCAACAACTCGTTTGCCTTCTTTCTTGGTATTATGGCGATATACTTTAAACTCGCACTTTTTCCCGACAAGGTCGACAAGGTCACCGTCCATAGTGGTAACAATCCTCGGTATAATCGAGCGCGTCTTGTAGCCTAACAGTGGAGTTTTTTTGGCTAGAAGGAACCTAGCTCTTTTTCTTAATGGGCGGAGACTTCGCGCTGTCGGGGTGCTTAGGCCTTTATACTCGAAATAAGAGCCTCTGCGGCAATTTTGGGGCTCAAAAAGCGAGCATGTGCAGTTGCGCACAGCCTTAGTTGTCTTAATTGGACCCCACTAAGCTGGCCCTCTGATCATCAGCCCTTTTTACGACAACGCCTGTCAGGATGCATTATCGCCGCCCCCACTCCTATCCTGCATAAACTAGTGCGCCCAGACCCTTCCCGATGCAAAGCTCGCTCATTCACAGCCCAATCTGAACAGGCCAGATGTGGGCTTCGCAAGCGTCGCGACGCAATTTGAAGCGCGTAGCCTGGGCTGTGCTCTTGCGGAAAGCGCCACTCGCCTATCATAGCCAACTGCCGCAATCTGTAGAAGGCACCCCGGTACATAGTGTAGCTTAGAGAGCTAACCTGTTGATGATCGTCATTCACGGGTGATTGGACGTTCGATCAGCCTGCTGATGCGATGCTGGGACAAATCGCGGCCGCATAAAATGGATAAGCCTCCTCACCCCTCATCACTTGGTGCCATATCCCAAAATTTCTCTCTGACGCGTGGCATCATCATGCAGCCATCATCAAAGCTCTGTGGCCCTCTGGCTGAGGCTATCGATGAATTCCTGGAGGAGATGAAGGCTCGCGACCGGAAAGGTCGATTTTATGAGGAAGTTCTGAACTCACGGGCCGTCATGGCAGTCTCCGAAGGTCAAAGAGGAGTGAAAGAATGCACAGAAAAACTGAAGGAATTCGTCAAAGAGATCGAGCGCCGCAAATATTCATCAAAGATGATCAGAACTCTTGGCGCGATGGGCCCTTTTATCGACGGGTTGCAGAACATGATGTCGGCTTGCCAGACCATGATACAAGCGAGTCCATTCGCAGTGGGTGTGGTTTTTACAGGTGCACAGGTGGTTCTAGGAGTCAGTCACAAACACAAGGCTTAAATAGGCCAGAGGGAATTGATCTAACATTTTCTGTAGCTGGCACAAAAGATGAGTAAGGCGTTCGATGTTGTCACTGAAACGATGGTTGAGATTGGTGCTTTGCTCAAGTGTTACGCCAAGTTCGCGGTTGCATATGAAACTTCCGATGAAGTTCGTGAGCGACTAGTGGCCTCATATAAAAACATTGTGAAGTTTTGGGCCACAGTAACGAAGCTTCTCGATCAGAACCGTGTGTTTCCTCTATCTATCCCGGACGTTTCCTTTTCTCTCTTGTCACTAATTCTCCGCAGTCATTATTACCGCAGTTAAAAGCATCATCAATCCTTTGGCAGATGAGATTCAGAGTACCCTGGAGTCTTTGCGTCGAGATTGTAGTAAGGTGGAGTCAATAGCTCAAGCCGAAGAGGCTGTTCGAATCAACGAAGGCAGGAAAATGTTGAAAGCAGAAAATGAAGGTATTTATTTTTCCTGGAACACTCAGGAACCTTGTCTACAATCATACATTAACTAACGAGTGGAACCTATAGAGAGATTGAGAAATGGCATTCGTGAGTGGATTAGCGCGGGTGATGACCTTGACGTCCGCGGGGACCTTCAATTCCACTCCGAGCGTAGGCATGGCACGACATGTTCCTGGATATTTGAAGATGGGAAATTTCAACATTGGCGCGACGGTACATCGGACTCTGTCTTATGGTACAATGCCCCTCCAGGCTCAGGAAAGACTGTTCTGTCATCTGCCGTGGTCAAGCACCTAACTGAGAGAGGCTTGCCCTCTGCATACTTCTTCTACTCGTTCAGTGACTTCACCAAACGCAAGCCCCTATCGGGTTTGAGAGCTCTGGCACTTCAACTGATGAATATTCTGAAAACCGGCATTCCCGACCGAGTTGTGGAGCTGTACCGACAGGAGATGGCAACTAACGCGAGACATCTACGACTCCGAGGTCATGTGTTGGAAGTTCTACATGAGTTTTTAAAGCAATGTCCTCTCGTCTACGTCATTTTTGATGGGCTAGATGAAAGCCTAGATGACGAGATATTGCGAGATATATTCACCTCTGTCGTCTCGGCTCCAGTCTACGGAACAGTGAGATGGTTCTTTGCGAGTCGGAAGGAGGGGGAGATCCAGAGCATGATGGAGAAGTTAAACGCGATATCCTTGTCGCCGACACCATCCATACTTTCGGCCCAAATCAAGCTGTTTTTGGTTGACGGTTTGCGTCCAACTGCGAAATCGCTAGAGCACGTCGATGACTACGTTGAGTACAGCGAAGGGAGCTTTCTTTACTCGAAATTTCTGCTTGACACCCTTCTCGGGAAGGGGGTTACGTGCGACAGAGATATTAAAGAAGCGCTTCATGAGTTTCCCCAAGGATTGACGGGATACTATATGCGCAGTTTGCTGAGACTAGCCTGTCGCAGTCCTCCTGAGCGTAACCTTGTGCGGTAATATTTCCCCAACTACTCATCACGTTTGGATTCACTTCTAAATTCCTTCTAGGCGTCTTTTCACGATCCTTGTCACAACGGTCCAATCCATCACCTGGAATGAATTGCGCAATGCCCTTGCGATTAGGTCAGGTGCTTCAGATTATTCAAACGACTCAATGCCAAAGGAGGACGCGATTAATGATTTATGTGGCTCACTGTTGCTATTTGATCGTTCCTCTGAACAGGATAAGACCAATCCTAAAGTGAAATTGTTTCACAAAACAATCCAGGACTTTTTGCTCCAAGATCCCCAAGATCTACCGATTGGCAAGTCGTTTAGCCATATGGAAGAGTTTAGACTCAAAGAGATGAAGAAGTTCTTTGTCGACCCTTTGGAGGGTTGCATGAGCGTCGGGTTGAATTGCATGACGCTTTTGCAGTATCGCCGCTATCGGTCATTTTCGGCAGCAAAAGCGATCTTGGACGACAGCAGTGCCGAAGACGCGTTCTTGAGATATGCCGCAGCGTTCTGGTTTCTACACTTTATGGATTCAAAGCATCATTCCGAAGAAGTTTTCCAGGTGGTGCGAGAATTCATGGAAAGCTCAAACTTTTGGACGTGTGTTGCCCTCCAGAGCTATCTCGTACCTTACAACTTTGGTTATTATGCGCGAACAGGACCGAAGAAATACAAAATGCGCGTCCGCCGAGCAGATTGGAGCAAGGCCGATTACTTTGCTGTTCCTCTCCCCAGTTGGCTTTGCCAGTACCCGTATGGAAAAAAACTGGACCAAGATTTCTGTTCATTCGTGAGTGACTGGCACGAGGTTCTTGCATCACGGCCGGGTAACTTGGACCAGTGCGTGTCGCTGAGCACTATGCAATCGAAGATTGGAGAGAATCTCCATCAATCGGAACGAATTAAGGTCTGGAGATTTAATGACAAGGTAGACCTTGAGAATATCGCGCAATTACGGGTCACCTCGATCTCCCTTTCAGATGGTAAGCTGTTCGCCGAGTTGGTCTGCAAGTATCGATCCGATCCTCCCGGACGTCTTCACTACCACCGCGTCTCCATTTTTTCCAAGGGAACAAAGATTCACGGAAGCTTTGAGACAAATCCTCAATTGATGGATCTCGAAAGTCTGGACACGGACTTTCAACTTGCGTGCAACGACTCCCAAACCCGACTCTTAAAGGTCGGGGGGTCTGATCTCCAACTGGAGCAGGCAATGCACGGTCTATCTCAGACTTTCTCGGCTCCAAGTGCCTGGAAAACGACTGATTCAAATCAATTTTGGCGTGCGAAGTGGAGATCTAATTCCCTCATGTCTCACCGGAAGCTCGCTCTCTTTCATATCGTCCTAGAGACAACTCAGCCAGTCAAAGAAAATCACGACGATTCAGAGTCCTCAGACTCGGATTCCGAGACCAATTCAGACTCCAGTTCTGAATCAGACTCTGACTCTGGCTCCGTCAATGATTCGCGCTACGACTCTGGGTACGAAGAAGGATCCTGTACCAAAGTTCGATCTACATTTCCAAACGACTGTGTGGTCCTTGTGGGGGAATCAAACAAGCCTTTATGGATTCCTATCACTCTCAACAAGCGGATTAGCAATGGGGTACCATATGCAGTCCATCCCTTTTTACCCATCGTCGTGCTGAAAGATCTCAATGGCCACGCTATCATTGCCAATTTGGAAACCGGTATCTGGCGTACTGAAAATGATTCGGACCACTTAGAAGATAAAGGACATCAAGGTGGGTGCAGGTCCTAAAAATTCTCTCACATTTTGTTCTAAGGTCTAATTTCCATACGATCAGAGATCCACTTCTCTCCATGCGGTCAGCTCCTCTATTCTTTGCGGACATGGTTTCGAGAACAGGAGCGACATGCAGAGTGTACAGTATCGTTTTCCACAAGTCGCTTCACTCCGAACGAAGCTGGTAACAGCTCACTGGATGATCCACGCATTCACCGACAGATAACGTATAAGATAAAGGAATCCGTGGATAGTCTCCCATCGGATCTTATTATTATGCACTGGAGCGACAAAGATGTCGTCGTCGCACTACCACCGCTCACATGCGAGCCAAAAATAGTGAGATTTAGTCTTCCGGAAGTACCTGAGATTGGACCCGATACCTTTTTGCGTGTTGAAACTTTACATACGCCAATCTTCTTCCCTTCTTCGGCCGTAGTGTCGAGCCCGATACTACTTTACCGACATAGGTCTTCATCAAAAGACCACGAAATGTTTCTGGCTCTCACTCAAAAGAAGTCGGCTTCTCACTCTACGGACTCTGATGAGCAGTTGCCCTCTTCTACGTCATCACCCGTGGTGATTCGATGGAAGATACCGCATGGAGATGGATGGAGAAAGTGGGATCCCGAAATTGATGAAGAATCGGAAGATCTAAAGAGAGGTGTTGACGACGCCCGCATTTTGCGTGGCGACTTCGTTGATGGCGAAAAGCGATTCTCCGTTCCTATTCGGAGCGGATTGGACTGGACACGGTTGGGGTTTTTGACATGTTGTTAGTTTCAACATTTGTTCCTCTATTTGTACAAACTATAATATCCCCTGTTAAATTCAATCGGTTGGTTCAACGAGTAATGTCAGGTAGAATTTGGGCAAGAAAGGCAGCTATGCGATATTGAAGTCTGCGGCCTAGGCCTTTAATGGAAGGCCCGACCCCTTACACCAATCAGCTTCCCCAAAGTACCAATGATGAGCCGGAAAATCAGTTGGTGAAAGCATCCCAGTTCCAGTGTTGCCATTCTAGTTGATCTCACCCCACAAAACTTGCACCTGGTTCGCAGAAACTGTAGCATTGTTGGGAGCGGTTACGTAGTATTCAGGGCTGACACGGACATATCCCATAGTCAATATGGGTAGCTTGGGTACCGGATCATTAGTGTGCGTGAAACGATAATTATTAGACTGAGCGGTGATATATTGGGCCAGAGCAGGGTTGGTGACACGGGGAGATGCGTATGCGTACAGCTCCGCAGAAGGATGGCCATTTCCACGGAGGTCGGCAGCAGCAGCCAGGCTATGGCCAACTACAGCAAGCTCATAATCAGGGTTTGCGTCAACAGCAGCGTTCGCAAATTCAATGATCTCCTCGCGAGCAAGCTCCCACGAGCTCCAGAAGCCTATTTCTGCTTCACAGCCATCACACAACTTGGGATCCGTGTAGGGAAATTCGCCATCGGCAATCCAGTTGCGAGCAGAGTACGACCCACGGAAAGCCAAATAATGGCCTTGTTCGTGTTATCAACAGCAAGAAAACCCGAGGTATCTGTTGTGGTTGTACTAAACCAGTGTCAGAGCACTATGTTTCCCTGCATGTTTATAGAAAATTCCTTACTTCGAGTAGTCGTAAGCAATGGAAGTGTCTGCAGCCTCGACGTCTGGACAATTCCCTGCCCAGCATGTCAACTTTTGGCCTGCCTTGGAGGCAAAGTTGTAATGGCAATATGCGGCAGCTGCATACTGAACCCAGAATTCAAACTGCGCCAACTCGGCAGCCAGTATATCTGTAATAATGATTAGCTTTTCATAAGATTCTCTCTCCGAAAGCACTCGTGCATATCACGAGTATGTAAGCCGCTTGGAGCAGCATTGCTCAGGCCTGTCACGGCCACAAGAAGGCTTAAAAGCGGGAGATGCATGGCGGCCAAATGTATAGTGTTTCTATGGGCCTCACTTGACGTACAAGGTTCAAGGCTAAGCCAGCAGGGCCTCTTATACCAAATATGTCCCGTCCATCTTCCAGCAGGAAGAAGACAATCATGCTGTTGATTTAATCCCATATTAAATCACTGGATGACGGCTCTGACCCGCCAGAGCCAAAACTCGGAGTTTCCCAAGGTATTATTCTGTGATCGTCGGTATCTTGTCCTGAATTGAATGATGGTACCTACAGTAGAAGGTTGTTGAGTGGAGTCTGATCGTTTGCCGCTTGGGCGCCAGCAACTACCGGTACCACCAAAAAACAAGCGTAAATCCTGCAGCAAACCACAGTCACAACATAGTCAACCCCTGGCCAACATGGGTAGTTCGTTCCACAGTCAGGAGGCCTCTAGCCTTGTATCATTGGAAAACAATGATCTACATCGCAACAGCCGTCATTTAGTCTTGTATTTTTCTTATGTCTGCTGTTTCTTGAAGAAAAGACTCAACCAGCCTTGATTTGACTTCTGCCGATCGGGGCCTGACGCTGATCCGCTGGTGGGATGTCAGCGAGAGATCGGCACCACATCGCTGAGCGAAAGAATCATAATGATCTTATATAGTGTTCTTACACAAGCTGGCATGTGTCAACAGTTTCCACTCCTTCCCTCTGATTGAGTTTGAAATTCAATTTTTGGTACATCATTGTTGGCTTAAGCGTACCAAAAAACATGCCTCAGGGCTGGCAACGCCTATATCTCTTCAGTGTCCGCAATGCAAATGATTATTTGCTAGAGTTTGTTGATCTTCAGTCCTCTTTTTAGGCGTCCCTTCGAGAACCGATAGGACTCTGCTCTCTGTTTCTCGGTTTGAAAACTTCGCATTTGTTTTGGTAGTGTACTTTTACTCCACACTGTGGGGTTCAATAGATCTGAACCCCCCTTGAGAGTTCAAAATCATCTCATCATTCATATTCTGCAAGAAAAATTGAGGGATAGTGGCTAGGCTATCTTGAAAGACGATTCAAAGGTCATTTGGGAAGGCCTTTCCAAGAAAAGAAAACTGAAAATTGAAGCTTATTTGAAAGGACCTCTCGGTCTCTAGGTTCAGACCCTTGAACTGCCATTGTATGCACACTGTACTTGGTCAGCTAGAGCTAGACCTGAATGGAAGAGAAGGCTAGTGACGGATACAAGGGCCGGAGGGTCCCTAACGCAGCAGCCGTCCAGGAGAAAGCCAACATTAACTACAGCTTCGCCTTCACCTGGTTAGAGCCGTCCGCAATCTTTTTCAAAGACTGCCAATATTTATCCTTCAACTGCAAGACCTCAAATGCTTGCTCGGCCCATCGATCTTCCCAGGCTGGCAACTCATACGCATCACTATCCTTCGCAGGCGGCCCGGCCAGGTCACGCAGGAAATCAAAATATTCTTTGAAGTCGGGTTTTATCTCATGGAACAGCGCTGTGGGGCCCTTGTACTTAAGCCTCTCAATCTCCCACAAGTCTTGCTGCTGGGAGCTGGGCAATTGTTTGCCATTTCGTCCTGCGAAGTACCTTGCCACGGCAACGGCCTGGTACTCATAGGCCCGGAAGCTGATAGCAGCCCGAACTTGTCCCACAAGTGCTAATGATGGGTCGCCTATTTTGAAGATATGTTGATAAAAACCGGCGACTCGGTTGTTCGGTGTCACAGGGTTAGGAGTGAGAAATGGGTAGGAAAGCTTGTACCCAGTTGCAAATATGATCTTGTCCACATCCGAGATATTTGAGCCATCCGCGAACTTCACATCGATGCCTCGAGAATTTCTTTCGATTGAGGAGATCACAGTCTTAGTTTGAACGTTGGGCAAATCCCATGCCGATTGTAGTGCCTCGTTGTGTCCTCGCTGAGAGAGATACAACGGGCCTTTGACGATAGCATGCAGGTCAACAACAAGATCGGCAGATGAGATATTTCCCCCAACCACGATAACCTTCTTATCCACATAATCATTTTGAGCGCGATAGGCCTTAGAATGTTCAAATCTTGTTGGATAGGCCGCGAAAGCGACTTCCAGCCCTGGGATATCTGGAACCAAAGGCACGCTGTAATGTCCAGAGGCCACGATGACCGCGTCAAACTCCTCCTGCCACCAATAGTCCTTCGATTTACCATCGCGAACGTGGCCCGATTGACGGAGAGTCAAAATCCACTTGCGATCTTGCTTCTCGACCTTTTCGACGGTAGTGTTGAAACTAGCGAGGTGGTGATAATCATTGAACAGGTCCTCCAAATAGCCCGTAATGACGCGAAAAGGATGAGTCGGATTTGAATGTCCGAACTGCTTAACAGATAATGCGGAGTTTATTTTAGGAAAGGGCTTGTGCGTGAAAGCCATGGCCTTGGAGCCTACATTGCTGTCAAGGGTGTCGTAAATCCCAGTTCGTGCCGTCGTATCTTCGAGGCTCGGAAATGCGAATTGAGGGAGCTTCTTGGGAATTGTGCTTCGGGAACCATCTGGCTCAGTACCGTTTGGAAACACATCTGGAGTGGAATCATAGTGCCAGATACCTCCGGGCTTATCACGGCGCTCGAATATCCGAATTTTCTCAAAGACTTTCTCTTCATGCAACGCTTTGACAGCCGAGATGCCTGAAGGTCCAGCGCCTATGACAGCAATATTGCGATAGCGAGGGGCCATTGTGTGGAGTAATGTATGTTTGAATTTGGGAAAACAAAGGACAATAGCAAGGCGGCTTATTTATTATGAACATTTTTCAACGACAAGGTTAAAAGGCCATTTTATAGGAAATCGAGCACAGGATAGAACAACATTGATAAGCAATCCATGGCGTGAAGGTACCTCACATTGTCGACATATGAGCTGCCAGCCCCGCAATTTGGTGTCACCTATGTATTTGGAACAACAGTGCTCGAGTGGATTCGCTTGAAATTTGCTGCCATGATCACGTCAACCTTGCATTGGCCAATGAGAACAATAGGCCAGCTCCATGACTCTCCATGAGAGAGTAGAGTTGTATACTCTTCAAGATATATGGCCATCAACTTAACTCGTAAGCACAAGCATCTAAGCATCTATATCGATTTTTTCGGCGCCGGTGATTTTTTTCCATTGACTGACGTGCAATCTTCTCATGACTTATTTTGATTTGATTACCATCATCACATCAAGCAGCCTTCCTTGATACTCGAATGCATTTCGCTCATGCCTACACGCACACGGCGATACCCTGTTTGGTTTGAGTTGCCGCCTTGTGGTTTCTGAGCGTTTTCGTTGCCCTTCAAACTATCCACACTCGGAGATCCGGAGCGGATACCAGTCATAGCAGGGGTAGCGAGGTTCATTACCGGTGCAGAGATGCGTTCAAGGGCATACACCTCCACCATCCATTCATACCAGACTTTCCGATCGTCGGTTTGACGGTACATGGTGACAACGACTTCACCATTATCGGGAACATTGAGAGGAGTCTGAAGAAGGGGCTATATTAGCACCTGGAAATGAAGAATAATGCGGTGGAAGATTATAGCAGCGTTAGATTCATTAGATTTTTCAGTCATGTCATACCTTCAGAGGGAAGTAAATAGGGAACCAGCTGATCATGGTGGCACTCTTGGCGTCCATTGTCACTGGATTCGTGGACAGCTCAACATCTCCGTAAAGGACCGTTTCAAAGTACCCAGCCAAGCCGTGGCACACACCCCGGTTCTGAGTGGGAAATGAAAGACGCGTCTGGCGGACATTGTGCGAGTTGGAGATGGTGGACTGTATCGGAGATGGAGGAGGAATGTTTCTGTTTGGGTGAGAGAAAGACCACGCGGTCTGAACGAAAGGCGTTGGGAACTCGGTAGCGAGAGTTGGGCTCGAGCTACCAGAGGCACGGTTTGTATTGTTCTGATTGAGGTTTTCCGTCGTTCCTGTGGATTCTGCGGTGGACAGGAAATCAATAGCGTGGAGCATAACGACATATGGGGTCTCCGGTGCTGCGTGGTTGGAGACGGTCTGGTTGACTACATCGCTGTGCAACTTTGGAGCAGAAATAGGCGTCAGATGAGCTGAGTATGATGCTGGAATTGAAATTCCGTGCACAGGGTTGATCAGATCGTTGATACCATCCAGGCACTCCGGCGAAAGTTCATTGTCAGCGAATGAGCCGAGTAGCTCCGACACCACAATATCTACGTAAGTGTACGTGCTGCCGGATACGGTGGGCGCAGAGAAATCGGACGCCCGACCGGGGTCATTGGTCCTTTTCGTTGGCGTGTAGAGCAAGGAGTCGTCGATACCTAGCGACTCGCCAACTGGGTCCTGAGCTCCGCTCTCGGTTGCCTGTCGTCGAACTCGAGGACCTTTCCAGCTCCGCATGTCAGACTGAACGAGCGTGACTTTGCTGTCCCAGATGGTCTCGTTGTGACGTTGTAGCAAGACAAATGCATTTTGATTCTTTTCGACAGCCCACAGATCAATATCCACCCCGGCTTCAGCACTAGCTCTCAACGCCCGAGTCACGAGGGGACCGCGGCCGGCACCAACAACCGCAAGAATAACCTTCCCATCGGGGTGAGAAGTAGGCTTTTTCTGATCTGCCCAGTCCCTCAGAGCCTTTGTAATAGCGCGCTCATACCACTCATATTTAATTGGATCTTTCTCGAAGACCTCGTAGGTAATGCTCTCCAAATTGACAGTCAGTGGTTGGAGGGGAGCTTGAAGGTAGTCCTGATAACCTGTGCCAAATCTTTCGATGGGGGTGCGCGGGGGCTGTCGCTGCTGCAAATTCCGTACATAGGAGAGGTGTGGAGTAGGATCATGGTGTTTTTGGAGGCACTTAGGCTCGGATATTCAGAGCTGGACAATTGGGATTGGTTTGTCTCAATCCCTTCAGCGCTCTCAAGACCTGGGATAGGCCCAACGTTGCAAAGCAAAATCCATGGAGGAGTCCGAAGGCGCATCAATTTTGCGATAAAGGCTTGATGAGCCTTTGACAATACTGGGTATCCTTTGGGATTCTTCAAGAACGATGAACCATCGATTGTGAGGAGATGTACTGGCTCTGAGTGCCAGCGCGATTGAACAGATAGAGCTGGAAGCTGCTTTGGCATCGCCAGGGCTGTGATGTAGTTAAGAGGATGCTCAAGATGAGGAAGAAGGGCAAGAGCCAGGAGGGGGAGGGGGTTCAACTTACCCACAAAGAGCCGTGTATGATATTTGCATGTTTTTCTTATCAAATCCCACGCATCCCAGGTTCCGAATGGATCGATTTTCGGCAAATTGCCTGCCTCCAGCTGTAGGTACTCTTGCCGGGCCAGCGGGGCCAAATCACCCATGCTATCGACTTCTAGCTCGGGGTTGTCCACCATCCGCAACCAAATATGAAACTGAATGTACGGGCCGAGATTCAACGCATCCTGAATAGCCCTCGCGTAATATACCACGCCTTCCGAGTGCATACCTCCGTGATGCAATTTCGGGCTAGGAATTAAAAGATATCCAATGCCACAGAAAGCAGCGTATGCTACCTCCAGCATGAGAACCTGGCGAGATAGATCCGCAATCAATGGATCTGGAGAGCAAAGGTCGATCCAGCTGCTAGTGACACCAACTAACTGGCTCGTGGCTTCATTGGGAGTGAGATTCGAGTCCAATTTGGTCAGAGGTGGAATAGTCAATGGACGCGTGTTTTGCGAGGTAGCCATAGTGCCAATTCGATCAAACGATGGCGGCTGCAAGTTGGAGAGATAAGAAGACAACAGTCCCAATACTCTGGAGTGGAAATGAGTCGTCGTAATTGGAACCGTCAACAAATCATACTATCATTGGACATATAAGTCAGCCATTGAAAAAGCAATTGATATCAAAAGTGGCAGGAGAACTAACGTTACTCTCATGGGCCCGACTGACCACCTGGGGAGTCACCATGAGTGTCCTGGTCGGCTCATGATGGCCAATGCAGAACGTCACCCCAGGATCGTCGGCAGCACCATAGTTATCCATGGCGACACGGCTGACTTTTTTGTCGGTGTGGTGGGGTCCAGAGAGGGTGAAGAGCTGTCTTTCAGGTCAGAATGCGGTAATAGCACCGCGAAGAAACACACTACTACTGGGGTAGCAAGTGGCCACGGATGGTAAACCACACTCAGAACCAGAATGGACGCGCACAGGAACACCCCTTCGTGGCTCGCGCGACCGCGTTCCCCTCGATCCCTTTGTGGGGAGACCGGCAGAATACCGGGGGCGGTGAACGAGATTGGCATCGGGGGATCGCCGCTCGATTTGCCTATCCGAGTTTTTTTTATCGACCGCCGAGTTTTGCACTCTCCAAGTCTCTCAACCCTCTCAACCACCTCATTCAGCCATGGTTGACCGCCGCTCAGACCCAGAAGACGGTGTGCGCGCAAAGCGCCAGAAGATGGACGCTGGTGATCCCAAGGATAACCCGTATCTGGCCCACATGTACGAGGATACAAACGGCGCAGTCAACAACTCGGTCCTGGCCAAGTTCAAGCGTCATCAAACAACAGCGGCCTTGGCCAAGAAGGCTGAAGATGGCGAGATCAACCCGTTCAGTGGCAAGCCCTTCTCTACTAAATATCTCTCAATCTTGAAGTCTCGTCGGGGTCTGCCCGTGCATGCGCAGCGGTAAGTTTTGGTCAATTCTTTTCGTCCCCGGCACAAGATGCTAATTCCTCGGTCTTCTGCAGCGATGAGTTCTTGCAGCTCTATCAGCAATCTCAGATTCTTGTCTTCGTCGGTGAGACCGGTTCCGGAAAGACCACTCAGATTCCACAGTTCGTTCTGTTCGATGACCTGCCCCAGACTCAGCGCAAAATGGTTGCTTGTACACAGCCCCGTCGTGTGGCCGCCATGTCCGTCGCCCAACGTGTCGCAGAGGAAATGGATGTAAAGCTTGGAGAAGAAGTCGGTTACAGCATTCGTTTTGAGGATAAGACGAGCTCGAAGACCATCTTGAAGTACATGACCGATGGTATGCTCTTGCGAGAGGCGATGCACGATCACAACCTGTCCCGATACAGCACTATCATGCTTGACGAGGCACACGAGAGAACAATGGCCACTGATGTCCTGATGGGTCTGCTGAAGGAGGTAGTGCAGCGCCGGCCAGACTTGAAAATTATCATCATGTCTGCTACTCTGGATGCGCAAAAGTTCCAACGGTACTTCATGGATGCACCTCTTCTCGCCGTTCCCGGACGCACCCACCCTGTCGAAGTTTTCTACACTCCTGAGCCGGAGCAAGACTACGTCGAAGCTGCTATCAGAACTGTGCTGCAGATTCATGCGACGGAAGATGAAGGAGACATTCTTGTGTTCTTGACTGGTGAGGAGGAGATTGAAGATGCGGCGCGAAAGATCGCAATGGAGGGCGATGAAATGGTCCGGGAGGCCGACGCTGGCCCGGTCAAGGTCTACCCACTGTACGGCAGTCTGCCACCCCATATGCAACAACGCATCTTTGATCCCGCACCACCCCCTCTTCGCAAGGGTGGTCGACCCGGTCGGAAGGTCATCATTTCTACCAACATTGCCGAAACGTCTCTGACCATCGATGGTATTGTTTATGTGGTAGATCCTGGATTCTCGAAGCAAAAGATCTACAATCCTCGTATCCGTGTGGAGTCTCTTCTGGTCTCTCCGATCTCCAAGGCTTCTGCCCAACAGCGAGCTGGTCGTGCTGGTCGTACACGCCCTGGAAAATGTTTCCGTTTGTACACAGAAGAGGCATTCAAGAAGGAGTTAATTGAGCAGACATATCCGGAAATTCTCCGATCAAATTTGTCATCAACCGTGCTTGAATTGAAGAAGCTGGGAATCGACGATCTCGTTCATTTCGACTTGATGGACCCTCCTGCTCCTGAGACTCTCATGCGAGCTCTTGAGGAGCTCAACTACCTAGCTTGCCTGGATGACGATGGTGAGCTGACCCAACTTGGTCGTCTGGCATCAGAATTCCCTCTCGACCCGGCTCTTGCCGTCATGTTGATAAGCTCTCCCGAGTTCTATTGCTCCAACGAAATTCTGTCTATCACAGCTCTGCTGTCCGTCCCACAGCTATTCGTTCGCCCCAACTCGCAGCGCAAACGTGCAGATGAGATGAAGAATCTCTTTGCTCACCAAGACGGCGATCATCTGACTATGCTGAACGTTTACCACGCTTTCAAGAGTCCTGAAGCTCAGGCGAACCCCAAGCAGTGGTGCCATGACCACTTCCTCTCCTTGCGGTCCCTTCAGTCAGCCGATAATGTCCGTATGCAACTGCTGCGAATCATGGAGCGCTCCGAACTCGAGATGATTTCGACTCCTTTCGAGGACAAGAAGTACTATGAGAACATTCGCCGCGCTCTCTGTGCTGGTTTCTTCATGCAAGTTGCCAAGAAGGAATCTCAGGGCAAGAGCGTTTACACGACCATCAAGGATAACCAGAACGTCCTGCTTCATCCTTCCACTGTACTTGCTCATGATGCGGAGTGGGTCTTGTATAACGAATTCGTCCTTACGACCAAGAACTACATTCGCACCGTGACCGCGGTCAAGCCTGAGTGGCTACTGGTACGTTCTTCTTGCTTATCCTTCTTATTGCCACGGTTGCTAACCCATAACAGGACATTGCGCCTACATACTATGACCCTTCTTCCTTCCCTAAGGGCGATATGCAGTCTGCGCTCCTCCGTGCTCGAGACAGACTGGCACGTAAGGAGAAGATGCGCGCTGAAAAGCGCCGGTAGATGGTTTTTGTTAGAATTTTCATGGATTAGTATTTTGGTTTAGATTCCCTTTTTCCGGGTCTAATGACCGTGCTCAAAAATAGAAGCTGCATTGCATTGGATATGGCATATACGCGTGGTTTTCCCTAAGAACCCTTTTCCTCCGCACTGGTTCTCTCTGGGATCCCTTCTTGCGAATATCTCCGGTTGGGTACGCTCCTGAAGTGTAGATAGTGATTTCATGAATATACTCTAGATATGAAGTGCACGAAGCGTCTTGGAAACCAAAGAGGGACCGAAAAGTCTCTGTCCAGTTGCCCAAAGGAATATACACTACGTAAATTACGACAGACATTGAACGTTGGATGGAGACATCCCATCAATTGGCAATTCATCCTCTACATACAAGAGGGCAACTATATATCATAATGTACAAGATTCTGTTGTCACAAAAGGAGGAAGAACACGGTCTCATGCCTGGCCAGCAGCGCGCTGAGAAGACGCAGCGATGATCTTTTTGCCTGGCCCCGAGATGGTTGTTGTGCTTGGTTCTGAGGAAGATCAATGGAATGGCCATGTTCCAGTGCGGGACCCTTCATAACTTGTGCGGGGCGAGAAGAAAGATTTGAATGTGATGTGTCATGCTCTTCACATTCTATCGGGCTCGGTATCCGTTCGAATTCGACACTCATGGAGGAGTCTTGAGGTTGAGAGGGCAGGCCGTGTGAGGTTGGATTAGGGTTTGATGGTTGTGAGAGTGAATCCTCGTACTCTAGATCATGGTGGATTTCCTCTTTGAACGAGGCCTCGATGTGGTGTTTGCGCAGTTCAAAGACAAGCTGACGTAGTTGGAAGACTTCGTCCTTCAAAGCGGCTATATCTTCGCTTTGGGTGGTCTGGGCTTGCGCAGCACCTGCAGGATCCGAGCTTGCTAGTGGTGATATTGCCTGTTCTGGGTGTCTGGGAAGGGTAGCAGATAAAGCATCATCTGCATGAACGGCAGCGAGGCGATTGAGCTTCCGCGCCATTAATTGATCTTCAGGCACTTCCAGCCTGCTCAATTGCTGTCCAAATACATTGGCAAAGTCATAGCACTTCTGCCAGAGGGGACGGGACAAGTTTTCCTGTGGCGTTGTTTCGGCGGCTTTTTTCCATCGCTGACCCTCTTGATCCACGATGGGCGCAATTTCGTTATGCTGTGATGGAATATTTGGATTGAAACCGCTGTGCACAGCAGCCGAGATCAGACTTTCGGATACGTCTTTCTGGCAACATGAGTCGCAGAGATGCACCATGTATAGGAGCAACCGCTCAACGAGTCTTGATTGTAGGTCAGTCGATGATACAAGATAAGTGACCGCTCTCTTCAAGGCGTGAATTCCCCTTTCCCAGTCCTGACGAATGCTGTAAAACCGGATATAGGTAAATAGGGTGTTAAAGTTGTCGAAGAAGCCGGATTTTCGTGCAGCCTGAAGCCAGGCGTCTGCTCGATCCGGCTGGTTGAATCGTAAGGCAGCTGAGATGAGCTCTGTATAGATGACGATGCTGCTGCCATACAAGGGCGGAATAACCGTAGTCAGTCCATTGATCTTTCGGCGCCGGAAAGGACTAAGGGCTCCCAGGTTTACTGTGTAGCCTTCGCCACTCAGCATTTGCAGAAACAAATCAAAGTCCTTGAGGTTTTTGGACTTGCGAAAAAAGGAGAGGATAGTGACGATGAGAGAGGTGCTCAAGTAGAATCGATTCGGCAACAATGACTGCAGTAGCAGGTCATTTAAGTCGTTTTGGCGGGATTGGGTGAAAGCAATGAGCAAAACTCGGAACGCTGTGGTGCGATCTGGGTCCGCTGATTGGATCAAGTTTCTGGAGATCCGCAGGAGGAGTTCCTGCAAGGACATCTGCTGGCTCATGAACGACTGAATGTACTCTTGGAGTTCATTATCAAGTCTCCGGTCGTTTCTCCTCGCCTCCTCAGATCGCATGGCATCGAAATCGGCAATCACATCAGTAAGGTCCACATTTTTATTATGCAACAGCCTGAGCATCTGGCGTCGTACGACGTTCAACTCATTGAGTAAGTTCTTGACATCGATCTGGGGGACGTCGAAATCCGCTCCGTAATTCATTCGGATCCCGGAATATTTGTGCGCGATAGTCGGTCGTAGAAGAATTCGAATTGCGAATTGTTTCAATGCAAGTTTCTGAACAGCTTTAATGCGAGCTGTATCTCCAACGACCCAGTCCGGTAATGCTTCATTCATAGCCGCGCGCAGCGCACTCGCTTCAGCTTCCTGGAGATCAAGATCCCCAAACTCCTCCGTCGACAAGTTCTCGTCAATATGTGCATCCTGATTACCATAGGACCGGCGCTCTGTGTGGAAGAATCTTGTTGACAGGCTGGGTGTGATTCGTTGGCGGATTCGGGGGAAGTTGCAACGGTGCCGAACCCTCTCTCTTGTAGCAATCGGGTTATCCCCCGGTTTTTCTTTCGTGACTGTAGAGACTCAAGAATTCGATGTTCCTCATCCACTAGCTCGTCTACTTCGGCTTTGACGGCCGCGATTTTCTCCTGGAGATCATGCCGACGCTGGGTCTTGGCTTTCGCGTCCGCGAGTGCAGCGGCCGCAAAGATACTGGTGTAGAGTGCCGTGACAGAGTTCCCTATCCTCAATTTCCTTTTGCTGGCAGCCGTCGCTGATCGTGAAGTGACGCCATTGGCAACTGTACTCAAACACGAGACGCACCGGCAGGTTGACTGCGACGGGGCGGCGCGGGACCACATGCTTTGCATTATCGGAACATCGCTGTCGAAGGGCTCGAGGGGATGGGATATTGAGGAGGAGGCAATTGGACTCCACACGGAGTTCGATGGGGCAAGATTCGGTTGACAATGTTGAAATCAGACCATCCGAGAGGATATCGTGAAATTCTGGCGCGGCTCAAATCTTTTGGTGCAAACACTGCAAACAAGCTCAGATCTCCGCCCGGATGCGTCTCCTATTGTTTCCATTTGACGGTTGAGGATACGCTGGCTTGTTTCTCTTCTCTACACTTCCTATTTTCTACAATGATATCTCGTTTAATTTTCGTCTTTGCTGGTGTCCTCGCTTTGGGCAGTGGCCTTGCTAGCGCCCATGGCTCACATTCAAGTGATGGGCAACCCCCTCCAGCGACTGGGCCACGAGACATATGATGGGTGAGTGTGGCTGACAGCGCTCGATAGAGTGCATTGGTTCACGCGACTTCTAACACACGATACAGAGGAGCACCATATTGAAGGTTTTGACGCGCCCTCGTTCTTCACCCTGCACGATTACGACTCCTCCGGCACATGGACTCCCGATGAAGTACGCAAGACATACGGTCTTGACGACGAATCCAACAGAGCCGCGAGCGAGTCTAGCAAGGAGTCCGCTATACGTGCGGTATTTGATCTTTTTGATCCGACGAACACGGGCTCTATCAGCCGCGAAAACTTCCTGAAGACTATTTCCGCTGGGACACGGTTGCCTGACCTCGGCTTTGGACCTGGACACCATGGTGACCTCGAGTATGAATACGAGATTCACCACTTTGAGAAATTCCACGGTGATGATGCTACAGAGGAGGAATTGACCCATCCTGAGGACATTGAGCATTTCAAGCTCCACGACGAGATGGAGGCTGCGCAGCAGCGACTCGAAAAGCTGGAGGACATGCAGGTCGTCGAAGCCAACATCCCTTCTAAATTCCGCCGAGCTGTTTAGATTGTGGGTTTCTTTGTGTGTTTCTGTTTCTTGCCCATGTAAATAGACACTACCATTTTGGGATTGATGACGTGTTATGTTCTCTTTGCTGTTGATGATATCCCGAGTGCCACCGAGGCAAGATATCTGTGATGTCTGCTGCCCTCTCTAATGATATGTACCCAGCGCATCATATATTGTCGCTGTGCGCTTATTGACGCCACCGATTCCCACTTCTTCCACATTGCAGTGCAGACCGGACGTGAAAACACCCCGTTGCGGTTGCCTTTCAAATTGGGCGACTGCGATGTCGAACACAAACTCGTTACATCAAGTTCATCCATGCCTCGACGTGCCCCACATGCAGAACTCGGTCAATCGCTTCTTCGCGACGGCCCATTGGTCAACAACAATATTTTGAGGCGCGTACTACACTCCACAACGTCCTTAAATCCTTCGATGATTCGATGGGTTTTCGTTGATGTCTACGTAAGGTCTGCGCTTTGTTTTGTAGATCAGGGATTCTGCAGGTATTGTTCCTACAACAGGTTCGTTTTGCGTAGGTTTACTACCCGCTACCAAGCGGATAGCCTGGATACATTTCTCTTGATATACGGCCGCGATTTGCGTAACAATTGTTCACTTTCATCAGGGTGCATCGGATTCATGCTCGCTCAGAGCTGGAGAGCTCCATGCCTATAGGTGACCGGAGTCGCGTGTTCTGGGTGGGTGTCTCGGCATATGGCACGAAGAGATCGAAGCGGGCCTACCTATGTAGGTACTCAAAACAATTTCAGTAGTTCTTCTGCAATCCAATCTATCAAAAATAAAATTGATCGTTAGGGATAGGCTTTTCTAGGTTTAACATAACCTTTGATCCGTGAGCCGTTGGGAGACTTTGGCGCATCTTTCCAGAAATATATATCGCTAGTCAAGTTCCCGCTCATTGAACGTCAATACTTGACCGAGTCCCTCATCAACACTAACGAGAAGACTCAAAAACAGGAACTAAGTAGCACTTCTATCATCATCACCTGATAGTTGACGATTACACGAACAAGACCGTTCCGAGTTTGCTTGCCTAATCAGTATCATCGCCAACAGTGACGCAGACCCGGGTTATTGTTAATTAGCTTGGGTAGCGAAGAAGGCTTAATCAAGTTGTGTGTAAGGATTACTGCTATGATTAATGTAGTAGGTAACATGAACACATAACGATGAATGGAACATCTATGTACCTCCGTCAGACATGATTAGCATAGTGGATTTAGGCAAAAAGAGGCGCACAACCTTGAGGGTTAGTCCTCCGCGGTATGAACAATAGTATATACAACAATTACCAATCCGCGTTATCATAATCCCTATCTTGGGCTTACTTATATCTAGAATTCATATTCATGGACGTTCAATGCTGAACAATGAATTCAAACTGATAGCTAGTTAGTAGCTATGGTCCTTTCCATGAACGATGAATAATGGTGGAATGTTTCACCACAAATGGAAACCGAGATAACATAAAACATAACATCCTCCGCAATGTTGATTGGCTCGGCGACCTGGACGCGGCGCCACTTCACCCCGAGAGGAACCTTGGAAAAGTTTGTCCCGCTGAGTCAGCAATCTGAGCCAATGACCATGCAGCTTGTTACGTTTTCGCCCTTCCAGACAAGCCAAGCATTGTCTCATCCTTGTCGGATCGCGTGCCTGAAACTCAAAATCTGACCACTATGGTCATAGCTTATCTGCCGCAGCATGCGCTTGATGCCAAGGAAGATCATCCGTATCTAGAACCGGCAATTGCTCCATTTGCCGGCCGACTTGGAGGTAATCAGGATTTTATCGTTGATCGGAATGATCCGAAAAATCTGGAAGTCCTGGAGCAGGTGCCCGATGCGGCTCCCTGCATGACGTTGGGCGAGATCTTCGATCTCAAGGGCTTTGCGAGTCTAGATCTGTGGAAATTCGCCATGCTTGAATGTGTCGGTAAGTCGCTGATTGAGTTGAGAACAACCATTACCATGGTCTTGGAAGAGAGCAGAGTTTTGCTTTTTTTGTGACAACGGATTCTAACATTCTTTCCGTATATAGCCAGTTTAATGAATGTTTCATTTCGTGCTGGGTTACGACGCATCCTCTTTCCAAGACCACTTCCCCGACTACCGAGGCTGGGGTCTATGCCACCGTCACCTTTTTCTCCCCTCTCTTCGGCGGCATTACCAATCTTCTTTTGACCCCGCTCTTGATCTATACCTTTTCGCCCTCCAGCGGAGGCCATATTAGCCCGACTATCACGCTGGCTACCTTCTTCGCCCGGATTATCTCCTTCCCACGCATGGTACTATACGTAGGAGGGCAAACATTAGGTGGGGCATTAGCTGGCTTTGCTCTGAACAGTGCCTACGGCAATCGAGAATTCACTGTGGGCGGATGCCATATTGATTCAACCATGGTGCCGGCCAAGGACGGTCTGGTCATTGAATTCTTGGCGTGTCTGGTTCTCATTTTCCTGGCGTTTGGCGTGGCTTTAGATCCTCGACAGGCTAAGGTGTTTGGTCCTGCGACGTCACCTTGGTTGGTGGGAATTGTCCTTGGAGTGGTTAGCTGGGGAACCGCTTTCACCCGGATGGGCTATATCGGAGCCAGTAAGTATATCCTCAATTCTAGCTTATGTACGCTGGGAATCTGGGGGAATTTAATAACCAATGCGTTCTGCAGGCCTCAATCCCGCACGGTGCTTGGGAGCTTATGTGGCGTCCTCATTTCCGACTTATCATTGGATCCACTGGGTGAGTTGATTTATGACACCGATCATTACGGACGAAGGTATTTAATTGATATCTGTAGGTTGGACCACTCGCGGCGGCTATCGGGCACGGCTTGGTCTACTTTGTTGACCCACTTTGGACCGAGACGCGGAGTTCGCCGTGAGGTCTTCCTCTTATCGCCCGGAGGCGGCCCCTGAGACTGAGGGGTCAATCTCTGTACATGAAGACCGCACATAAAAACACATTAGCATCAGTAACATCAGCGTTGCATAGATCTGCATATAGATTTTCGTATAGAAGAATAATGCACATATCACTTATAGGACACAGCATGGAGACAAATCAGAATACCGTCATGTCTTTTTCGTTACGTTATCCGAGTATAGCCGTTAATCACATGAATTCTGAGATGGCTTTCGGGTCTTCCAGCGATTCTGATGATTATCTGTCAGCTTGCTTGTATTATTACTACAATTCCCGCAACCATTTGGTACTCCGGGCCTGCCCAATGCGTTCTAGTCCTTCCTACCTGATTCCCCCATTCAGGCACATGGATTGTCAACTCCGTATCCCTGTACTGCCTGAAAGACTGCAGTAAGCAATAGACGCGGATGCAGACAAACTTCAAAGACATCTCGAGCTTGTAACGTTAGTAGTAAGAGACAGTAAGGCTTCTAAAATGGCAAATGACGGGAGTGAAAACTAGCTATTTTACATCTCATTTGATAGGTCCCTTGACGGTAATATACGGGGAGGATATGAAGAAGCTAGGTAATGAAGCCACGGGTCTTCCACCACAAGACATGGGAAAAGAAAGTTCATCAACCGAAATTTTATATTTGGCGAGCTGGCAGAGTCCATGCAAACAACTTGCCCCAACGGAGACCCGAAATCACAATGTCCGATCTCGTGCACTGGATCAAGATAATTGATGAACGCAATAAGGTCCTGGTGCTCAGAAAACTCGGTGTTCCTGAACACAAAGGTGTTGCCTCCCGGGAACACAAATCCCTGCATGGCAGAAACCGGGATGGTTTCCAGTTTGATAGATTGCAGTTGCTGCAATTGACTTTGAATACTCTCGGTGACTCTGTTGATTCCTGAAAAGGCATCGATAAAGCCATCCCTACCGGAGTGATTTGCCCTTTGCTCGAACTTTTCCGTTGCTTCTCCTATAATAAGCTCACCCTTAATAACGGTGATAGGATAAGTGTCTGTCTGAAGGTCATCCACGAGAACATCGTCATTCGATGTTGAGATGGCTTTAGCGTAATACCGCACCCAGACGTTCTGCGTGATGATGATGTTGGTTCCGACGAAATCCACATTCAATGCGTACTTGTACTTGATTTTGAGTGATCCGGCTTGGTTTGACAGAGAAGTTCAGGTCCGTGAGAGTCTTCGTAGAATTGCCCTTCTGTCGTGGGGCAACGGCACACCCCAACATTGACTCGCTCATGTCGCGCAGTTTCGCGACGTATTTGGACACAAAGAATCGATTGAGGATGGTTTCCAGGACTGACCCTGGTTCAACGCTATCGATCCGGGGGGCGCTGGACAAACCCGCGTTACTGTGATCAAACAGCAGCTGTTGGATGCTAAATGCCGAGCCCGACAGGTTGTTGATTCGGCCCTGGACGGTCTGAGGAAGCTGGGTATAGGCTGAGCCGGACACTTCGGCCATATGCAGATCGATCGTGGCAGAGTAAAACCATGGTTTGTTGGGATCCTGCGACTCCCGGAGCCAGGAGTAGGTTCCCCATTAATTCTGCAGAGCGGCGACGATGAAATCCTTGCAGATAAGATGGTAATCCACAGTTGCTGTACCGGCTCGCAATCCCACGATGTCCGGCACCTTGGCAGGATCGGCTCCAGCAGGAATTTCCATCTGAACTTTGAAGCCCGTCATGAATTTTTCTTTAATCAATTTCTCAAAATTTGGGTCCACCTCTGGGTTCGACGTTGAAATGTTCATGGTGAACTGATCAACTCCCTCAGTCAATTCGAGGAGCTTGGCATACGGGATCTCAGTGGGAACGACTTGTGATGTCGCGGGATCGACACCAGCGACATAACAGACCATCACCTCGGGCTCTGGGCAAGAGGCCAGGTAGGTTTTTATGGTGTCATTGATACTCGTCTAGTCACAGCTATGAAAAAGTCAAAATTGTACTTGGAAAGTTGTGATTGGTTGTATGAAGTCATTTTTGCTGTCAGATCGGATGCGATCCAAAAGGGCGACGAGAGCAGCAAATGAAGGCAGTAGTGATCTGGTTCTTGTCGATATGATACAACGTTCAATGCCAAGAAAAACGCAAAAAGAATCAATGCAAGAGTAGTCGAGGAACATATTGTGAAGTTTGTTGACCAAATTAGTGGATGGAGACTTGTCATCTACGACTTCAACACGTACATGCGGGCCGACGGCCCAGCTTAAGTAGGTGAGAATATTGGCAGAGCATTTCTGTCTGTCGCAAGAATCTCACAAGTCACAACACTGTCTCTCTTAGTCTGTCAACTTGATACCAATTCTCGAAATTTCGGACTGGCGGAGCTGGACTCAGTCGTGGCATGCGCGAGGGGCATCAGGACGACCCTGCGCCTCGACACCATTGTCGAAGTATGGCGTCGAGAACCATTAATCGGTGCGATGCTCTAAGCGACTGTGCTGCTACCTCCACTATTCTTCACGTGTTGTCTTGGCGCTGAATTGCACTCCTGAAGGTTCTGTTAGTTCACTCTGTGGCTGGCTGAAGCCGCTCAACATTGTCGAGACTCGAGAGACTCGAAAAGCGTCGACAAAGTAACATTCTCACAAGCATGCCGTACATGCCCAGCTAGCATGGCGGGTACGGCGGGCGAGATGAGGTACGACGAGGGCGATCAAGCGAAGCTCAACAATCGCAACGGCCAAGCAGGATCATCAACAATCTCCCTCAGAGACTCAGGTGATGCAATGCGCTCATGAAAATGGGGAGTCAAGATTCAAACTGCGAATAAGCTTCCGATATCTGACAGCCCGTGACACGTGTCTACTCAGCACTGTCCTTCTGCTGGCTGCACCAACATGCAGTTTGAGATGCCAATACAGTGCTGGCGAGGTTTATTTTCACCACCAACCAATCAGTTCGTGAGTCCGCAATTCTGAGACTCTTTACGCTGCATAACTGCGTCCCTAGGGAGCGTGCCTGCTTACTGCATATGCACTAGCTCAAGATCCGGACCCTGGCGATCGTTATATACGACTATATTGGAGTCTGTAGCCGACAAACTACTGTTCGCATCGGTCAATGGAACCAGTGGCTGGTCATACCAGAACAATAGCGTCCGTCCAGATGAGGAAGATCAATTCCTTGGGCTCCTGATGGCTTGAGCTGAATACAAACGATGGGGTCATTTCGTGAACTTTGATCTCGGATCGGATCTCACCCGAACCTCGGATTCGATCCTTTTCTGCACCTTGTGCATAAACATGACTACCATAGCCACTATCTCGCAGAATCTGATAGCGAACCACTCGCGTCGGCAACAATCCCGGTGATGCGTCTTCAAATTGAAATCTTCCAGGTTAGTTTGAAGCAGTTTTAGGAGTTCAGAGGGCGGAATCGAACTCTGGGTTGGAAGTCTGCTCTCCGTATTGGATTCATCACCAGAACCTTAACCACTCGTCGGGATGGGAATCCACATCTTGAGATTTTCTCGGATCAGATTTTATGGCAAAGTCTTCACACACAGCGTTCGTACATTAGCGGAGACACGGCCTCACCCAGCCAAGATTAACTTTTGTGAGCCTGGTGATACTCTGTACTCAAACTCATAACATATCAAGATGTGTGCTTCTTCGCCATTCACGAGTGCAGATTGGGATCTCAGACCAAATAGGATCTTTCAAACTTCTGAAAAGCCTATGCTGGTTGAAACAAATTGCTATTGCCATTTTCATGACGAATCCGAGCCGCCGTGAAGCTTTTTTTCACGTGTTAGCGTGGTTCACCACAGAGCTGGAAGGTGACAGGATGGCTTGATAGTCCAGTGAGAAATGGGTGCTCGCTTTGGAGCTTCTCGAAACACGGGGAATCTTTCTAGAGGTGCTTGTGGCTCTGGGTTAGAATTATCGAATCCAGATGTACACAAGCGGTTGCAAAGGCGTGGAATATGGATGTAAGTGAGATAGACTGCCTGTTTTCTCGTCACAGCTCGATACATTCTTTCTGAGATATCATCTCCATCGCCTCGTCGATCAACGGCCCTGGATTGGTCTCGTTTTGAAGAAGCCGGCTACACAGAGATTCAAGGCTGAATCCATCTTATCAATATAAGATTCAAGTCTGGGATGCAGACGGCAATGGTGCTGAAAGATAGCATACCTGTCTCTTGCTTTCTTGCCGTACTACATGTTGCAAGATTCTGCTCGGATTTCGGCTTTTGCATTGAAAGCCGACTCTAAACTAACAAGTGGGCCCACCAACCGTCGGGTCTCGGATTGCAAAGAAATCGGGAATCACGTCCCATCAATGTCGGGATCACTGGTGCACTCGGCGTGTAAAAATTTTCATGGCCTTAAGTGGATAAATTATTTCTTCAATTGAAGCTTTTTTTTGTTCATAACGCTTGAATTTCCCAAAGACAGCATAAACGTGTCGAGGACAACCACGCAGGACGGCTACGAAAGCCTATCATTATTGCCTGGAACTGTCATTGCTACCAACTTAGGTACGAGGAACTAACATTCGGGTCAAATTGAGTTTGAGTATGCTGATATTCCACAGGTAGCTCAAACTTTGTACCATGTCATCGAATCTGCCGATGCCTTGCGCAATTCGTAATCTTCCAAGTCAAATACCCGCCAAGCACGCCGCTCCTAGTGTGGCAATCGAGATCGATGGAGAGAAGGATGGACAGGAAAGGACATTTTCGACATTGGACCTCATAGAGGGCAATGTAGTTGTAAGGGTGACTCGGGAGACTGTTTTGAGTCACGTTGATATCACGTTTGAAGGTAAATGCCTGCCCTTACCTTTCAAGTCGGCCAGGCAAGTGTCAATTGAACTATCCGCTAACTGCTTCAAGGTCTCTCTACAACATCTGCCAGTCGAGCAGTCTCATTTGTACCGGGCCGAAGGAAAACTGCGCACAACTTCCTTCGTCTGAAGCAACCAATCGAACAGCTTGAGGAAACGCGGTTGGTACCTGGGCAACCATATAAATTCCCTTTCTCTTTCATGGTCCCTGAAAGCATCAGTCCACAACAATGCGACCATTCGACCAAAGACCCCGAAGTGGAGCAGGCGCACACACAACTACCGCCCACCTTTGAAAACCGTGCCTCTAGATTTTGGGAGTCTAGAGGAGGAAGTTGGGCCCCAAAGGCTTGCAGAATTTCCTACAACATCCGAGTTGTACTCTCAAAGAGGTCTCAAGCTGCCATCACATCCCGAAGCATGTTGTGTGATGTTTCCCGCTCTCTACGAATTATGCCGGCCGCCAAACTGGCAAGGTGTATCGACTTCCCGACTTACTATCTGGTCCAAGAGAAGCAGTCCAAATGTCACTCTTTGGGAAGAAACCTGGGAATTCTCCAAGTAGTAGCTGAGGAGCCGAGACCGCTTCAAATCTCATCTACCAGCCTGAACAACATTTTGACTTCTGTGATTCAACTTCACATTACTTTCGACCCCTTAACAAACACTCCGCCACCTCAACTATGCAAGCTTAGATATAGACTGGAGGTATCCACATACTATGGAACGAGCCCATGGGAAGACTACCCGACAACAGAAGATATGCAAGGCTCCCAGACGGACCGTGAGGCATACATTACGACAATCCCTCTTCAGTCATTGAACCTCACATCCAGCCGGTGGGAAAAGCTGCCATCGTTCTATTCAGCGGTTGAAAAGTCGACGGACTCTGCTTCAGAGTATTCGGTCAGCTCATCTAAGACCCATACTCAACATTCATACACCGCTTCTGTCACCGTACCGGTCAATCTACTTGATGAGCAAGCACTTGATGAGCAAGCACTTGTGCCAACCTTTCACTCATGTCTTGTGTCTCGCACTTACGCCATTGAGCTTGCCCTCTCATACCAAGTGCCGTCAGCGATCTGCAGATCTACTATTAATCTGCGTATTCCGATTGAAGTGGTGTTTGGTAGCAGGAAATCTGGACTTTTAAGAAAAGGTTTGGGGGGAGGACGTGAGTGAGGGATGGGCCAAATGTGCTAGACCGGCCTCAAGAGGTGGATTTTGTGAATCAGCGTGTTACATCCAGACCGCTTGTCAGAACATTTTAGCACATAGTGAATCTGTATTGAGGTTTTAAATAGCACAATTCAATCATTGTACATTATCGGAAAATAGTGCAACGTTTATCTCCTCCAACGAAGGCCACCAATGTGACCACATGCCTTGCTCATGAGCATATGTGCTGACTTCATTCAGTAAATCATTGAGAGGTGCATCGAGATCGAGTGATTCCGAAGCAGCAGTTGTCGCCGGGGTATCTTCAGATGCTGATGGACCTGTCCCACGCTCCGCGCCTTCAATTTCTTGAATGTATTGATGTGACCTATCCACTACGCGGAATTCATGTATGGATTGATGTAAGATGTCAAAGTCCTTTCTTGACTTTCCTTGATATCGTGCTTTGTCAGAGCTGGCCCGTTGGTAAAGCAGAGATGCATGTTTGATGGTGGTCATCTTCGTTTCAAAAGGTTAGCTGCACGGAGCAGATGATGAAATGTAGCGGGAAAAAGGTTGACTCACCCAACTCTCACCGAGCTTCCATTCTCGTCGAAACCCTTCAAGATACTCAAGGCAGTAGTTCAAGTTTTCTTCTGCCCGGGGACTGCGACCCAGATTCATCTGAGGAAAATGAGAGACATACAAGTTCATATATGCAGCAGAAAAAGCGCAAAATCCAACGAATGGAGTCAGCATTTCCGCCCCGCACTCGGAAGATTCATGCAGGATTTTCGCAATATGTTCGGTTGCGTTAAACATTTCGAGTGCGCTTGCATCCCACCAGCCAGGAGGGGCTTCAGCTTGCAGCTGAGGGTGATCCACTGGCCCCCGAGGGACGGTCTCTGACGTCGGCAAGAACGGGAAATATTCTCGGTGAAGCATAACGGTACTGCACATCACAGGATCAGTATCCTTGGAATTCGCATATTTGGTGGGTGCAGACCTACCAAAGGTAATATATCAAATTAATGTATGTGAAAGATTCCCCATAGGCTAGAGCTATGTGGGCCACCACGGAATTTTCTGGATAGTGAAGCCTGTGATGTTGATTTTGGCGCCATGCCTCTAGGCGACTTCGGGTATTTGACCAAGGTGATCCAGGTACCCAAGGGCAATTTCTGGGAGCACACATTTCCGGCGCTCGCCGACCGTCATTGAGCACAAATGTCATCACATGTGTCCAAATGTCGAATCCTGCCACCAGGACCTCGAACGCCTGAGTAATATCCAAAAGATTGGAGTTCCTGTTCGGCAAAGTCGCGAGGCTCTGTTCCATGCTGCTCCTTTGCGACGCCGAATCTGTGCCAAAGGCAAACTCGACGGCAGAGAAGGGACGCAGCACCTTGATCTTTTCCATTTCAGAGAGAGGAAGCATTGGCGGATTGTACGTCCCAGAACTGATCAACCGTTCCATGATAAAGCACGCCCACATGGTCCGATTCTGAACTGCGGTGGTAATGGCGTCTTGGCTCGTATCTTGGCTGCCAGAAGCTAATGGATCAGCTGGATAGGGAGCAATCTGAAGACTATTGATTGCCTGCATGATTCTAACCGCAATTCCTTTGAATAGTTAGTCCCGGAAACACTTGGAGATTTCAAACGTTCAAGCCCTACCGCAGTAGATCCAGGCTCGATGGAATTCGCGGGATCCCCATTCGAAGAGTCCCATAACAAGGAGAGCCTGAGCGACTTGAAGCCTTGGCGCTTGAAAAGAACTATGCGACAGCATTTCCCGAGCATAGGCCGCATATTGCTCTCTCGACAAGAGAGTATCCAGGCCGGTAAAGCTAGATCGAGAGTAATAACATTGAGTCACCGACAGGATCGCTGCAAGTAGCGTTTTGGTGTCATTATTGCATGAAGTCTGAAACTCTTGCATAAAACTTGGGAGATGTAGGATTCCAAGCTCGGGAAACTTGTTCGTGAAGATATTCAAAGCCTTCAGAACAATGGCCGGTGAAAGGCTTACAAGGTGGCTGTCAACATCAACCCTATCTTCGCCATATGTTGGGGCATGACGTGGTGAATGATCAGGCACCTCCGAGTGTTGCAAATGGGGAGATGCAGTGAAGTCATGTCCACCGGAGGGTTGAAGGTTGGATACTGGAGGATCTGCCCTCTGGACTCGACGAACAGAATGTTTGAGAGTTCTGCTCTGAGGCCGGCTCAGATTGCAGTCTGGAATGCCGCTCCTTTGGCATTTTCGACAAGGTGCCTTTCCTGTGTTAACGCATTTGATTTTTGATCGCCTAGGATCAAAAAATTAAGTAGACAGTTCGAGTTCGCATGGACAGCATGACAGCTCTTACCGGCAGAATTCACATGAGAGACTCGAACGCATGATGCAGTTTGCCCTTCCCGGAAATTGACCCTTGCTGAATCGCTTCTCTCGTGCACTCTGTCGGAATAACGAGGCCGGAATTCGTCGGGAATGATCTTCTTGTGCAGACTGGACCGAGGTCGTGAGCCCAGCATGCTGAGTCATCCATTCTATGCGCCAGCTGGGAACAGGCAAGTTCTGTTTAGATGCATATCTACAAGAGGTGGACTACTAACTTAGCACATAGATAAGCCTCGCTTGACATGTTCACGGTAAATATTAAATCAAATTTTCAAGCGAAAATGAAGCTAGAAAATGAGGGTCCGTGCTCCAGTCTGCTTGCCTTGAATATGTTCGCCATCATCGGGTATCGGTTCTGAGCTTTTGCATTTTCAAACCCGAACTATCTGCTTGATCGGAACAGCCTAGGCTTTGCCGTCCCCACTACAAGCGGCAGTTGTAGATAAGATTCAGGAGATGAACTATTTAAATTGTGTCTCCAGTGTTCCCAGGTTGGTTTATTCAGCGTATAATTTTTATCATTCTTGTTTCTCAAACACCCTCGCGCCCTCTGACAATGGCACCTTCTAAAATTGACATCACCCACTTACCGTCGACACAATATGTCAACACTAAATCAACTCTTGACTCCGAGGATAAGGATCATTTGCTCCATCGCTCCTTTATCGATCCCCCGTCTCTAGTTGAGCGAGCTGAGGGTGTGAACCTATTCCTTTCCGATGGAAGGAAGATCATCGACGCCTGTGCAGGCGCAGCGGTAGCTCTAATCGGGCATGGAAACAAGGAAGTCCATCAAGCTATCGTCAACCAGCTGCAAAAGGTCAGCTATGTCCATACACAATCTTATACTACCCAGCCCGCGGAAGACCTCGCAAATCTCATCCTACAAGGAAGCCCACATGGTCTTGAAAAAGCTTTCTTCGTGGGAAGTGGGAGCGAAGCTGTCGAATCCGCTTTGAAACTTGCACGTCAATATTATTTTGAAAAGAATGAACCAGAACGGTTACATATCATCTCGCGCCGACAGGGTTATCACGGAAATACAATGGCCACCATGACAATTTCCGGGAACCTTGGCCGGAAAGTTCCATTCGAAGGATTCTCGTACCCGCATACATCGCAAGTCTCGCCCGCCTTTGCCTATCGGTATATGCAAGAGGATGAGACGGAAATGGAATATACCCCACGGCTTCTGCGCGAGATTGAAGACGAGTTCCTCTGCGTGGGTCCTCACAAAGTCATGGCATTTATTGCCGAGCCAGTGGCTGGATCTGGCATTGGTAGTGCCACTCCGCCTGCGGGTTATCTGGCTGGACTTCGCGCGTTGTGTGATAAATACGGCGTCCTGCTCATATTCGACGAAATTATGTGTGGTGTAGGCCGAACGGGGACCTTCTTCGCCTTCGAACAAGAGGGCAATGCTGTACCTGATATCATGACCATCGCAAAAGGCCTTGGAGGTGGATATGCTCCTATCTCAGGTGTTCTTGTTCACAAGCGGGTTGTTGATGTCCTTCGGCACGGATCAAAAGCCTTCAATCATGGTCATACATATCAAGCCCATCCTACCTCTTGTGCGGCTGCATTGGCAGTCCAGAAAATTATCCTACGAGATGGACTGATTGCTAGATGCGCCGCCATGGGAAAGATTTTGGAATCGATGCTTCGAACCGAGTTGCGGGACTGCTGGTCTGTTGGAGACATCCGCGGACGAGGGCTATTCTGGACTGTTGAATTTGTCAAGGACAAGAAGACGAAGGAGACGTTCGACCCGAGGATTCACTTTGGAGCGCGCGTTCAACAAGCTGCATTCGACGAAGGGGTTGCTCTCTACCCTTGCAGTGGAACAGTAGATGGTAAACGGGGTGACCATGTGATGCTTGCACCGCCTTTTATAATAACTGAGGAAGAGCTCAGCACTGTCTGCAAGGTCTTGCGTGAGGCTATTGAATCTCAGCAGCAGCTGTTTTCGTGAGGAAGTTTCGATAGATTTAAGTAGAACTAACTGAAAAGCCGCCATGAAAATGAATATACAGTATTTTCCAACCGTTAGAAGCATACTGAGAATGCAACTATATCATACCTCGGATTAGAGTCGGGTTCCTTCCAGAATGATACGTATTCGACAGTATAGTTACCTATTTGTGCTTGCAGACCAAGGCTCCATCTCTCGTCTGCATATAAGCCCCATTTCTGATGGCACTTTCTCATAGTGTGTATTAGAACAGCCAACCACTGCGCAAGCAGATATGCTCAAAAGCACCATCTCATTTCGAGATAATGGATATATCATTAAAGTAAAGCTACCAGCCTCAAAGTAAAGAAACGACCGCCAACGGCCAGATACCAAAAGATCAAAAACATAATTGATGACGCCAGAATAGAGAATTTGGAACGCTAGCGCTTGCAACGAGGGGAATAGTGACGGTAAATGAGAGTAAGAGAAGAGAGTCAGAGCGATACATGGATGAATGATGGTTCGTGGTCCATGGGAAGAAATCAAACAAGAGTGGCATATGTTTGGGGAGAAGAGCCTTCTGATAGGGTTGTTGAGTACAGGCTCTCTCCTCTTTTGCGTTGGTGGAAAGTTGGCCTTCAATAGTTTTCCCAGCAGCACATCAAATGAGGTCTAGTGCACAACAAAACGGCGCAGGGCTACCGTGATGTCACCTCAGCTGCGAGATATTACAAGAGCCACCGGTAAAGACTTCCTAGACTTCCTCGTTGGAAAGCCAGGGAGAAGAGCCCTGTACTCAATAATCCACCGTGGAATATCCCAGTCTATCATTGGAATCGGTGACCCTGAGTTGAAGGTCAGTACGACTTGGACGATATTCTAGCTTGGCAAGAAACTTACGAGTATTGCTTGGTGAGAGTCCCCTCTCCACCTTTCGACAAGTCGATGTTGAAAACATAAAAGTTCCCATCGCTGGTGACGACCATCACCTGAGGCGTGTTGTTACTCATAGCTACAACGCTCCTAAGCGGACCGGTATTCCCGTTTCCACCCGCATTTTGATTTGACCGGGGCAGCTTGAACCACGCAAAGTCTCGTGTGGGCTCCCACATCTCGCTGACTCCCTTGGGGAGATACCCGCCCATCCGTGCCGCCACGGCCCCGCCAACATTTTGAGATGTCCGACGAATAATGCCCAGTAACGTGCCGTTGTGCTTTCTGGCTGCCAGCTCGGAGGTGCTTTCGCCACCGTAATCGTCCTCATCCTGATGGCCGAACGGGCTGGCGCCGGAGTGAGAGTCGCGACCGACTGGAGAGTGGGCGGATGAGCCATCTGGCGAAGGGCCTTGTTGGGTCAGCTTGAACAGATGGATGGTCTCGGTGGATGAGGAGACACAAAGTAAGGTGGAGGTCGTGTTGAAGGACATGCTGTAGATGCGGGAAGGCATGGATCCACGTCTGAACTGATATAGCTTGTGGCCATCCGGGACAGAGAAAACACGAATGATAGTGCCTTTGTCAGAGGCAGTTGCGAGCAGTGTGCCATCGCTGTTTAGAGTGATGCAGGCGAGTGGGGAACGATGGGCTTCGATAACGTTGATGGCTTCTAACTTTACCGCATCGAAGATCAGGACGTCTCCTGTAGTGGGGGAGACATGTGATGTGCCTGGGGGAGCATGTGCGGGTTGTTTGACCGTGGCAGGGGCCTTCTGGGGTAGAGGGTATGCCATGTAGCAGTTGTCCGATGACGGCGCCAAGGCACAGATAGCTAGTGTGCATGAGTCAACCTAATCTAACAAATATTCCGAGTGATATCATACCATGTGGGTTTGGTGATGTATCAATCGTGGACAATAGTCCCATTGTCTGAATATCATAGAGGTAAATTTGATCCTCGAGCACGATGACCAGGCGTTTTCGATTTAGTTTCACGGACAGAACAGTGGTCGGGAAAGTCAATTCGCATATCGTGCTTTGACGCTGTTCAAGAGACAAAAATTCATCAGACAGGCTGATCCAAGGTTTTCTTCCGCATAGTACTTATATAAGGGTTGCTGCCTTGCGGGTACAAGCATCGAACGAACCTTTGTGTTCGTGATCTGCAATCGTCGCGGAGACAAGATAAGGGCGACTAATGAGGTCGAAAAGAGCATCTCAATCACGGCGATATTCCCCTCCTTCGTTTCATAGCTCTTGGCGAAAGGGTCGGTCGTGAATATGCGGAAACCCTTCGAGGTGGCTGGTTGACGTCAGTAAAAGGCCTCGAACTCGCACATTCAGTTGACATGAACAGGGTGGCTGGGTTGCTCACCAACAGCTAGGTAGCTGTAGTCCTGATTAAAGGTCACGAAATTCATGGCCATCTTGGCTGAGAGGCGTAATGTCACCGGAGTTTAGATGGGAGGAGCCGCGGAGGGGGTGTACTGTACCCCGCTTGGAGGAAGCGTGCCGGAGGTTTAGGTCACTGTGCCAGCTAGGAGTCGGTCGCCCGTCGCCGATGAATGCGTATCATAGCTCACACGCTTTAGATCTATGCGCAGCAAGGAAATAGTGAGGGAGTAGCAGAAGATGTTTGGAAGAAGAACCTTCGTCGTCGCAACCGAGTTGGCCGAGGCGCTTGGGCCACACCTTGATTGCCCACCGCCTCCAACTTATCGCTTTCCCCTTATCGTCACTTTCTCTGGGTAGCAGCATTACATATGAGCTGGGCCCGATATTTGTGTAGAGAAAGAGTATTTCTGGGATAAGATGGAGGAGCAAAAGAGCGCAAAATAAATTACTGGGCAGCTATAGATAAATCAATAGATTTGATCTACTGCATTGTCAGCAACAAATCAGCATAGCTGACGTTCCTTGCTTACAGGCCATCAACGTATCGCACGCGAACACGCGTCGAGGTGCTCTCTATATTAAGATAACTGAGAACCTCAGCGAGAGGTCAGAATTAGTCTTAGGTCTCATTTACCTATCCAGATTTGTCCATAACGGGTAGACTCTTACCCGTCTAAAACCTCTAGCAATGGAGACGCTGGTGATCGCATAGCTCAGAAAAGTATAGATTAGTTTCTATAGTGGTACATGATTACCTCGACTAATCTCAAGACAGTTTGATTAAATCTGTCCTATTCTCTACGAGATATGGCCTTGTTTTGTGGCCTTAGGGTACACTGGAGAAGTAACCCATAGCTCCAGATATCGTCCGACCTCTTAGGAATAGTAGATTTTGGGTGCGTATCAAAGATATTCCCATGTACATCTCTGAATATTGAAGGAAGCAGCCGTAGCTAGTGATCCACATAGCCTAGTAAATCTACGTGACGGTCTTTAGTCGCTTAAGCTCCTTACCTTCGGATGAAAATAATGACCATCCACCCGGACATTATGTCGACCATCATCCACATGCTGAAAAATATAACTTCCATTCAACCTGTCGAGAAATGCGATTCCTTCACATCATCCCGCGAGACACCATCTACTTGATATCTCTATAGAACCCCGCCATGGCATCTCATCTTTACGATGACGAAAATAGTCATCTGCTCCCACAGTAAATACGCCGAGACACCACCTTTCGCCAGCTACTGGTTACACCAGTGATAAATGCCTTTCCTAAGTATACGCATTAATGTTTCAGGTACGGCGCCGCTGACGTCTCGCTTAGTTTGTTTCAGCAGCTACCTGGTCTGCGGAGGTGCGGAGGCAAATCCAAAGCCAACATCGTCCCGGTTTCCGCGTTGCTCTCAACGCCAATGAAAAGGGAGGACTGAAGTTTATTGATTTCATTGGGTCTAACCCCCGGTTGAGTCTATTTAACATGATTGGTGAAGGTTTACAAGAGTGTGTGCAGATGCTGGACGGATTATGGCTCGCTCCGTGGTTCCGGGTGACAGGTGACACAGAAATCATGATAGCAATATGGGAGGGACTATCTAAAGCCATTCAAGTTATCTACACTATACAGACTAATCGAATAACTGCCTGTAGGAGCGCTGTTGCTAGCCCCGCGCCGTTGCTTATTAGCCACGTCGCCGGTTCAACCAAATGATCATCTGCGTCGAGATCGAATGGCCTGAATATTCTTTTGGTATACATTACACTGAGAAGATATGGAACAGGGGGGTGTAGAAGCATATCAATTAGCCTAAATCTTCGATATCAACGCAATACGCCGCGAAGATCATAGGCTGGCGAAGACGGGCCACACGGCTGCTACCCGCATCACACAACACCGCGCGACAAGATGTCGTGGTGTAAGAAAGTGCTGGATTATGCTAGGGCGATATCAACATAGATTACTTCCAACCAGAATAGAAAAGGCTCCAATATACAGGTCTTAGGTGTAAAAGCAAAGATTCTTGACGCCATTCTCGACGACGTTCATGCAGCAGGCCGCTAGCGCCTTGGATCGATCTGATCAGAGCAGCCACCTGGCGCCGCAAGGTAGGTAGAGAATCTTTGTACGAAATAGTGCGATAAGGGAGAGTTTCGTGGGCTGCGAGCATATGACCCTTGAACATGGGATATGAATCGTTTGCCACAGCATTGGTTACAGTCTAATCTCTCTACGGTATTCTATATCGTCTCCAATCGCGCAGTGATAACGGATTGACGATCGCGACTTCCCCCTAGACGACGAAACACTGTAGATCAGTCAACTAGCCCAGGGTGCATTTTCAGACCGACACTGGATGGTTCCGTTCCGGGTGATGTGGCATACCCAGTCCAGTCTGGGACGGCAAACGGCCCCATATCCGGTTCCGGACGAGGGTATGTGCGAGCAAACACTATATGTATTACTGGGATCGACGCCGTACATGTCATGCCTGTCGCAGTATAACCAAGGATCGGCGGCGGGGTTACCAGGATACTGATGGCTCTCAACCAGGCAGCGCCCGCTTTTGGTATGTGATGGCGCAGGGGTTTGTGATGATCCAGCCAATAAGTATGTGGATTCACAGGGTTGGGAACATGGGTGGTTTGGATGAGGGGAAGAGGAGGGAAGGATAGTCAGAAAGAAATGATGGGCTTGGCAGGGCCTGGGAGATCAGCCGAACTGTGGTTAGGATAGTGAGCGCCATGTGAGGGGCGGCAAGTCAGAATGACAGACGAGAAATAATACGGAGGGGATCATTCCCTAACAGTTAGACATCGTGGGATACGGCAAGGGTTAAACAGACGTGTACAAAGTATATCGTGTTCTGGTTCATAGGTTGGCCCTATAAACCACCCCTCCTGCAGTGCCACTTGGGACGACAGGCAGGTGTGGAATTACCTTGGGCGGATAATGCAGACATGGCCCGTCACTATTCGAGACAACGGGCATTAATGTGCATATCCTCGTCAGATGAGGTTCGCATATTCTGAAATACCCTCCCGTAGCCTTCGAGCTCATCTATGTTCGACTCGAAACGCCCGGTCGGGAGACAAGACAAGACGTTGAAATAATTTGCCGCATATCACGACCCCCACTTTGGGGTAATGTGGATCGCGATGGCGATCCGGGGTGAGAGCCCCAGCTCCTTGGGTCCCATCTTGAACGTTGAAAACCGGTCTCGATCCCCGTGTGAAGTTGAGTTGAGTGAAGAGAGTTTTTGCCTCGATGGGTCATGTTACAGTATGTCGTAACGCCGGAGTATTTCCCCCATTTCCCCGGTCGCCGGAAGCATAACTCACTGACGAGAGAATTTGATTGCCCAGATCGGTACCCGCCTCCATTCATATCAGAACCCAGGATTTCCGATATCAGACCGTTATCGCCGTTGTTATCCGGTGAATCAGAAGCACGAGCGTAAGTTGAGTTTCACCTGCTATCCACGGGTCTCGGGGGGAAAGTATGTCCGCCATCGCGAGAGAGAGAGAGACAGAGAGTGAGAGTGAGAGAGTACCGAGGGTGTGTCAGATTTCCAAGGATGGTGGATCTTGGTCGAGGATGTCAGCGCCAGTGCCAGCTGCTCGGGGGACGCCAGTGGCCGCAGGACTAGCGCGGGGCTAGTTTGTGTGCGGGGGGTTATCTTTCCTTTGTTGGGGCCACGAGACGAGTGAAAAGAAGAGGAGAGATGAGCCAAAAAAAAAAAGTGGAGTGGGAGTGGCCTCGGACGCACAGACGGGACTGGGCAGGGCCGAGAGCGAAGGAGGGGAATGAGAAGGATGAGAATGATGGGAACTAGGATCCGGGGGGGGGGGAGGTGAGAACGGCCGGAAGTTAGCAATCTCAGCGTCATCGGGAAAGGAAGGGCAGATGATTGGCCACGGGCAAGGGAGGGGGGTCCATGGAGAGTTGGAGGGGGAAGAAGTTCGAAGAATAAGATTCGGGGCCACGGTACTTTGGGCCAGTCCAGTACGAGAGTACTCCATAGGGAAGTGTATACAGTACAGTGGGTTACGGTACCGATCGCTCTGGTTAGGACTCGGCCTTTGGTCAAACACTTCTGAAGACTGATACTTGGAATCGAGAACTAAAGCTACAGCTACAGCACTGCTGGAGCTACTGAGCTACTGCGGTGGCTGCTCCTGTCGAGGGGAGGTGTGTGGAGAGGAGTGGGGTCCTCTGAATGGAGCCATGGGCGGGACCTGGGGGCAGACGATGACGACGATGAGAAGTGGTGATGATGATGATGATGATAATCATAAGAATTCAACACGAGGGAGACGATACTAATCAGCGACAGTTGACTCGAAGCTTTGCGAGTCCTGTAGATAGGCCCCATCGAGGAGATCCTACAGTGATTGGGTACCTACATCACTCTGTGGAGGTACATCCCGCTGGGGTATCGTTGTACCTCAACACCCTGTCCACGGCGTCTACTTCCACCTTACCGACCTCTGGACGATTCTCTCCGCTCCTCCTCTCTCATCTCTCTCATCTCTCTCTCTCTTCCTTGCTGCTCAATCCATCACCATCGCTGTAAGTCCTTGCTCGTCTATGTGTTCCTTACTCTTGTTCTCTCTCCTCATTGTCCTATCCTTCCGACCCATTCCTCCCCCCCTTGCTGGACCCTTATCTACCGTCGTATGACTGTGGACTGTATCAACTACCACCGTTCGCATTCTCCCACCATTCCTCCTCTTCCCGCTACTTTCAAAACTCTGATTCTGTAATCCCCCCTGGTCCATCTCTAACAAGCCCCGATCGCAGAATCAAGTCCCTATCGTGCAACTCAACAGAGGTCCTTATCTCTCCCACTCGCTCATCCTCTAGTAGCTAGCACTCCCAAAGGATGTGATCGGTGCTCCACTCGATCTCCACGGCTGCCGATACCTGATACAACGAGACCCTCCACCCACTTGCGATCATCCACTGTGCGCCTTTGGCCAGCCCATCCATCATGGCGACCGTCGTGGTTCAGCAGCAGCATGCGCTGCAGCATTCAACCCCGCCGCCCTCACCCATTCCAACTGCGCTCGCCATCCACCGCCGAGCCAGCCCAATCCCGAACAAGCATCTGCCAGTCTGCCCAACGGGGCCCTCACCATCAGAGTCGGCCTCCCAGGAATCACTAGGGTTCCGATCGACCCATGACCAGACATCCTCCCTCCTACATCCTCCAGAGGGCTTTGTGCGTCTCTCGCGCCCGCCATCGCCAACGATATATGCCTTGGATGGCGAGACCCTGGCTGCCGCACTCAATCACCAGGCGGCGCAGCCTCTGCCAGATCCGTCCCAAATGTTCCCCTGGCTGCATGGTCTGCATCCAGACAACCACCTGCAGTCGGGCTTCTTCTCCAATCGCAAGCGCTCGCTGCGCCGATCGCCCAAATGTTGGCGCGGCATCACGGTGGTCAAGCTCGGCGGTGACCTGAGCAAGGCGCGCATCAAGGGTGCCGTGACTGCCCAAGAGGTGGTCACTCCCTCGGCACGCTTCTTGATGTCTGATCCCCCCGAGGGCTTCTCGGTCCGGAACTTCCAGATCCAGACGGCCAAATTGGCTGCGATGTCGGATATTGTGGTCTATGCCGAAGATGGAGCGAGTAGATCTGAATTGCTTGCGCTGGCGGAGGATTTTGCAACCGCCCAACAAGCCTGGAGACTGAAGAATGACCCTGCCCAGGAGCGCCCGGCATACCATACCTTTGTTCTGACCAGTGAGCTGCCCCTTTCGATAATGGATGAGAATCACTTGACTCATGTCCCCATAGGTAGCTTTGCCGAGTTCGAGAAGAAATGCCCCACGATGGTGGCCATCGACTCCAATGGCCATTGCACAGGCCAAGTCATGGACTTTTGTAAGAGATTCTTGCACAACACGATCTCGGAGGTTCCATACTTACCTTTCTGTCAGTCCAATGGGAGCGAATCGAAATGTGCACCATGTCCCGAGCGTCAGAAATATCCGCCAATGTCTTCCTGGGACCCACTCCAGAGTATATTCTGAGACCTGAGGCGTGCCAGCCGCCGAAAGATGAGGCCTACGACCTTCTGATCGAGGCCAGCGATTTGGCCAACATCCCTGGCCCCCGTTTCTTGGGCATGATTGACAAACAACTCGAAGACTGTACTCAGCGCATGGAGTTCCCCTCGTCGGGGTCGATCGTTCTTCCCTCGGGAAATACCCGTGAAGTGGAGGATATCGTCAACACGATCCGTTGGATCTATTATCTGGCGAATCCTGAACAACCCGCCGAGGTGGTTGATCACGAGGGCGATGTCGCCATGACTCACACTGGGAAAAAGGCTCGCCGAGTGTTGATTCACTGTGCTGATGGGTACACTGAGAGCTCACTGCTCGCAGTCGCATATTACATGTTTGCCGAGGGAGTTCCTGCACCAGAGGCTTGGCTTCAGCTGCATTGTAACAAAAAGCGCAATTTCTTTGCTTACCCGACGGACGTCGCGTTCCTGAGCCACATCCAGCCGCGTCTTTTGCAGGAAAGTCCTGCCGCGAGGTCCATAGATACATCGTGCATTTGGGATCCTGACTGGTTCTTGAAGATGGATGGGTCCCTCCCCAGCCGGATTTTGCCGTATCTGTATCTGGGGAATCTCAACCATGCAAATAACCCGGACTTGTTGCGGGAGCTCGGCATCCGACGTGTTTTGAGTATTGGGGAGGCTGTCAATTGGAGTCTTGAGGAACGCTCCAAGTGGGGCAGTGACAATTTGATGTTCATCCACAATGTGCAGGACAATGGCATTGACCCGTTGTCAGAGGAGATTGATCAGTGTCTGGAGTTCTTGGGTGAGTTTGACAGTTTCTTGAGCCTGGACCTGGCCTGGTCGTTTGTTGTGGGTATTGATAACTGACGGGGCGGCAGGTAAAGGGAAGAGCGATGGCACAGCGACCTTGGTTCATTGTCGCGTGGGTGTTTCCCGATCCGCCAGTATTTGCATCGCCGAGGTGATGGCCTCGCAGGGCATGTCCTTCCCTCGCGCTTAGTATGTTATCCCCTCCCTCTTGTCTGGTATAAAATCCCACATCTGACCTCACTTCTACCTAGTTGCTTTGTCCGGGCTAGACGCTTGAACGTAATCATCCAGCCTCACCTTCGATTTGTGTAAGTCTCCCACCTCTCACTTCGCGTTCCCATCACTAACAACACTCCAAAGCTACGAGTTACTACAGTGGGAACAGCTGCAAAAACAGAAGCGTGGCATTCCCTCAAAACGCGAGTTAGAATGGGCAACCGTCTCGCGTGAAATCGCCCTCCTCAACAAGCCGTACTCAAGAACCTGATTCAGGCACAACACTAGCATATTTCGCAGCACTTCCACCGGAGTCTTGCATACATTACTCGAAGCTCTGACTGGATATGCCCGGTCTCGATATCCTTGACCCGATGTTCGTTTACCCGAGGTGATTCTCACTCGCACCTCACGCATGGCCGATTTCCATCATACCTTTCCTCTTTCAATTCTTCCCCGGCTATGCGAGACTTTTATTCTTTTTCTATGTTTGAATGATTTGCGACACGACTTTTTGAATGAGGGATGACTTGTTGATTGATTTGTTGATTTGTACTCGAGTTTGGCGCTGGGCGTTGCGGGGATTTTATCAGATGGAATGACCAAGAATGCTTCCAGCAGCAATATGGATTGACGATGCGACGCTTTGTTTGACTTGGACCCTTTTTTCCCGCCATGATTGTCATTTTCTCCCTTGGCCATGGCCATTCTCATTTCTACCATGTCTGGGTCACCCACCCTTTTTAGCTTTTTCATTTCTCCTGGGGATTTCTCGATCCCATCACTTTCTACATCTTCTGACTGCGGATTATGGATTCGCTTTGTTTGTTCTCCGTTTTTCTTGTTCCTGTCTGAGGCTAAGAGTATCGGGCAATCATCCATATTGATTCGGGATGAGGCAAGTTTTTCATGGTCCATGGATCCTATGTGCCATAGCGACACCGCTTTTTGTTGACTTTTCTTTTTGTTATATCTCTTGTACTGGTTTAGGGACATGTGTTACAGAGTATGGGAAAGGACGGGCGTGGTCACGCACCACAATTACGAGATCTATCATGTTTTGAATTCTATCCAGGGGCCTTAAGAGATAAGTCTATGGTTCGTAACGGGTTGTATAGGATGATCAACATCGCTCAAAGACCCTATAAAGACCCTTCAGATCGGCAACCTCCACTACTCCCTTCAGCATCCGTGATGTAGCAACCAGTCGTGATCGTATAGCCGGGAATACAGCATACTCCAACATTCTCATCATCTGCGCACGGCGTGCCTGGATCAATGGATCCTCATTCCCTACAGCTGAACCCTCTTCATTAGGTGGGGGTCCCTCTTGCCCCGTCTCGGTAGTCAGACTGGCCAGCCGATCGTTTGATGGTGGCGACGGGAGAACGGGGAGTTGCTCCGGTGTATAAAAGGCAGCCAGCTCGCGCATAAACGTGCGAAAACACTCCTCCTCACCTGTCCAGTCCACATACGGGCCCAAACGGAGGAGGAAGCGCGGAAGCTTCGCCAGCGCTGGCACATAGCCCTTCAATAGTAGCGGGAGCGTAAGCAGCTCTCCCTCTTCACTGACCTTCATCGAAAAGTACTCATCAAGCATCTCTCGTCGCTCGATCAGGGTACGAGAGATTAGCTCCGCGGCATTAGCCAGAATGCTCGCTGCTTCCGGGTTATTCCCATCCGCTTGTTCCTCTTTTTCAGCGTCGACTGCAATTTGGAGTAGATCGACCAGCTTGGGCGGTGGATCTAGCTTGATCACGCCAAAGTTTCCAAAATCTGTTAGTCCGACTTGATAGAAGAACTCATTGCAGGCGAGCCCGTAGTCTACCAGGTAGAGTTTCACGCCGGACTGGATGGCGACGAGCCGGCGTCGCTCGTCCACCAGGCCGACGTATGTATGTGATGCAAACATTTCAGTTAATGTGTTATGCATGTCGGCGCGCACGGCGCTGCGGAGATTTTTAATGGATGTTAGGGCGATGCGGAGTGGCTGGCGATCTGTGATTTCGTACTGCAGCCCATCATCTTGTATGGGAGGCGGTGGGAGGCCAGGTTCAGCAGGAATACCCGGGCCAGAGGGAGAGTGGATGGGGGCGGGAGTGAGCATAGAGGTGATTTTGCGGATTTTGGAGTCCGTTCGAACCAGATTGTTTTCGTATGGGCGCTTGGTTGGTGCAGGGGTCTTGGGGGTAGCTGCTCCTTTCCCGTCTGTGGCGCCATCTTTGGATGATGGTTGAAGGGTTTCGATGGTTTGTACGCCCGGAAGAAGACTTTGCGTGAGGAAGGTACGACTAGAGTCAACTTGAGCTAGCTTAGATCTGATCTCGTCGCAGACCATCTCGATGATCTCATCTTCGTTCAAAAAGTTGACCTCCCTCTTCGTCGGGTGAACATTGACATCCACTCGGTTGGGCTCGATCTCAAGGTCGAGATAGATGAACGGATGGCCGCCTTTGGGCAGGAAGGCGGAGTATGTTTGTTCCACGGCTCGTTTGATAGCAGTCGATTCAACCGCACGGTGGTTAATGAAGAGCAGGATTGTGGTCTTTTTGACATGATAGTTGGCGTTTGTTGCCAGACCCGAGGCACGAAAGCCAAGTTTATCATCAGAGCTCTTGAAGTCGACCAACTCGTTGGCGACCGCGCTACCATGGATTTGGCGAATCCGGTCAATTGTATTGGCACTTGACGGAGTCGAGACGCTGACCCCTGAATCGCCATGCTTACGGCACGAGAACGCGACACCAGCGCAATGGACCGCATATCTACCCACGACGTCCAGGATTTTGGCATATTCTTCACTTGCCGAGCGAAAGGCGCGACGGCGAGTAGGGACATTGTAGAATAGATCTTCCACCTATTTAATTCGTCAGAACCAGAGTTCCTACCCAGTCTGTATGGCCAATACTCACGGTTATTTGTGTCCCTCCACGTCCAGCAGTAGCTTTCGGTGCAGCAGGCTGGCCTGGTTTCGCCGGGACCAGCTTGCCATCGCCATAATGGGCTCTCCAGGCACAGCTCGAGCCGGCCGTCTTTGTTGTGACCGTCAAGTGGGCAATATGACTGATGCTTGCCAGCGCTTCGCCACGAAAACCGTATGTCCCGATAGATGTGAGGTCCTCGAATTCCTTAAGTTTGGACGTCGTAAATCGCTCGCAGAGGATAGGAAGGTCATCACGCTGGATAGTGTCAGTATTCTTGATTTCTCTTGTGATGACTTTTGGTAAACACACATCAATGCCGTGTCCATTATCCGTAATTTGGAGAAGCTTCAGCCCACCATCCTTTACGAGAACCTCGATCGACGTAGATCCCGCATCAACAGAGTTTTCAATCAGCTCCTTCAGTGCATGCATGGGCGCAACAATAATCTCTCCAGCTGCAATTTTGTTGACCACATCGGGATCGAGGGCCTTTAAAGCTCGATTAGCCCAATAATGATCTCACATAGTGTTGGCAGGATGAGCAGCTGGCATTCTCCTACCTTGATTCGCTTCGGTTTAGGAGGCCCAGACAGATTTGTTTCGTCTACTGGGCGCTTTGTGCCCCGTTGTTCAGGCGCATCGACATCCATCTCGCCCTCCATGTTAAGGAAGCTGATGCGTCGCGTGTTGGCGTCGTGGCGTGGAGAAGACGCGGATTAGAGGACGGCGATAAGCCGATAAATACGATAAGCCGATAAGCGCTGCTGATATCATTGTGGGTGGATCCTTTCACTTAATTGATCCTCCCCCATCTCCTGGCCTACTCACGCTGGCGGCATCCTGAGTAGTTGACCTGGGGACGATCCTTTATATACATGCTACAGTCAAGGCCTCGGGATACTACGGCGCCTGTGTTTAAGCACTATGGCGCCTTCAAAGTTGCCCTTGCGGGCTGATGAAGAGCTCGGCAAGAAGGACGATGATCACCGATTATCCGACCAAACGCGCTTCCGTCTCCTTCAAAAGTCGAGGATTCCTCGTCCCCGGCGTCTTATAGTAGTTGTCATTGCTCTTTTCCTTGTCTACGAATTCTTCAAGCACATGCCCACAGACTTAACTCCCGCGGCCGAACGATACAATCCGAAGATCGCGGCGCTTAAACACCAGAGTCCCACATCACCTCAAGGATCAGTACAGTCGCCCACAGCGCCGAGGGTCCAGATTCCACCAAAGGCGGAGATTGACCGTAATGGACATGAGGAGCAAGTGTTATATGACGGGAAGATTCGTTTCTACGAGTTGGCCCAATCGCTCCCTCGCAAAACGCGTCCCGCAACGTTGGCTACTGAGGCAGTATTGTTCGCCGCAGCAAGCCTTCGTAGTGTTTCGGATATGCTGCCCTTGGCATGTGGAATGGCAGCGAGGCAGCTGAATCGCGTACATTTTGTTTTGATGGGGAAAGAGGAGGTTTCCATTGATGGCATTAAACAAGTGAATGGAATTAGTGATCCCGAATGCCCAATAACCTGGCATGGTACGTTGTTTATCCCCGTCAAGAGGTATAGATATCGAGAAATGCTGATACCTTCGAACAGACGGTCGGCCGGACCGCGCACCCGAATCCACCCATGCCCGCCTGGAAAGGTCCGTGGCTGGAGGCTTTGAGGTTCTTCAGGCGTTCATTGCCCCAGAGGTTATAATCACACAAAGCCAGGAATGGGAAGAACCCTTTTTCTGGAATGGTGTTGAAGCACATAAAAAGGCGTCGAATATCCCTCATATTGCGCTTCCTGCTCCTTCCATCAACCTCATGTGGATGGCGCATATTGATAGCACCGCCCTTCAAGGCAAGCCTCTCGGTTTCCCGATCACTTTGAAATACTGACTTTCTACCAGTCTGGAACAATGTCCGCGTTGACATGGTAGTCCATGCATCGGAATCATCCAGCTCCCTAATTCGACTCATTCGATCATTGGACGACGCCGATTATCTTGGCAGTGAACCCAGCTTGACTGTCGAGCTACCTCCCTGGGTCGACTTGGATCTGTTGGACAGCTTGCAAAATCTGCAAGGTTTATCAAGATTGGAAGGGCGTATCACCCTCAGGCGACGTATTCAACCCCACTACATGGACCCGGTTGAGGCATCCCTTCGCATGGTGGAAAGCTTTTACCCTTTGAATCCGAAGGTGTCCCACTTACTCCTGTTGTCTCCTCAGACGGAGCTCGCCCCATCATTCTATCACTACCTCAAGTACAGTATCCTGTTCTACAAGCAGTCTACTCGTGGACAGCGAGACGGGTCGAAGCTCTTGGGCATTTCTATAGACCTGCCATCTTTGAAGCCCAGTTCCGAGAGCGAGGTATTCACCCCTCCACTACCTCAGTCTTCAGATCGGACTCAAGGGCCTGGGAAGCGAAGCGTCCCTTCTTTTCTTTGGCAAGCGCCTAACAGCAATGCGGCACTTTACTTTGGAGACAAATGGGCCGAGTTTCACTCTTTTCTTTCCAGCCGGTTGGCTATCTCAGAGCCAGTTGCTACGATTGCCTCGCAAGACAAGATTATCTCCACTCAGTATCCAGCTTTTATGGAATATCTACTGGAGATGATGAGAGCCAAGGGATACTATATGGCCTATCCCTCTTTTCCAGGACGTATGGCCGCACCTCTGGCCACGATACATACCGACCTCTACCATCCTCCAGAGGAATTTGCGTACGGATCAGACTCCAAGAACCCTGACAATATTGAAGCGCTGTCGGCTGAAAAGCCAGTTGACCGAGCGCATACCATCATGCCTCTGCTCGACACATTTGAACTAGGGCATTCTCTCCTTGCGTCGATGCCTATGCTGTCGTATGATGCAGAGCAGTTAACAGATGAAATGCTTCAAGAGCGGACCGTGGACTATGCAAAACACTTCCGGGTTCGATACGGAGCCTGTTCTCAAGATAGTACCTCTGTTGATGATCCCTCCGCACATCTATTCTGTCTCAAAGATTGATTTATGGATTTTGGAGGTCTTTCCATCTTACGAGTTGTGTAATGCATGACTGGTGGCAACCTGACAGTCCATTTTGAAAGTATCGATAACTTAGACCAATCATTTCGCTGTGAATCACCTACAACTGTAGCATTCAAATCTGTAGAACAATTCAATCTCATCTTTCGCAATGCTGGGATGTTGGTCAACGGAGATCCCATCGAGGCAAAACAATGACGAGCTGGAGGGCTTGGCGGAATTACATAATCCGGGAGCTGCACCAGCCTGAGCTCTCTGCGCTTCCATCAACCAGCTCACAATCCACCACACCACCCGCCATCTGCAGGACTCTATCCCTTTCTGTCATTGAGTCGCTGCATACCTCGTTTCTTTACCCTTGAAATCTCGTCACGCCCCTCTGGTTTTACACACACCCGGTCGCCAGATACCGTCAGAGATGGCCAACGAGGGCGAACGGCCAACCTCCGCCGACAAGGGCAAGGGCAAAGCTGATAATGTCCGCGAGCTGAACGGCAAGAAGCCACAGAAGGATGAGAAGGCCCCTGCTGAGGGCAAGAAGAAGGATGAAGAGCCCCAAGAAGGTAGGTCATGGCAAGCCCGTTGCCCCGGGTTTCGAAGCGGAGAGCACGCGGCCGCTGCAGCACCTCTCTGGCATTCGGATCAAATACTGATTATCTTCCAGATGAGCTCAGTGAGGAGGATCAGCAACTGAAAGATGAGCTTGAGATGCTTGTTGAGCGGTTAAAGGTGGGATGAATCCCGTGTCCTAGCTTGATACTCGCGATGACGTGAGTGCTAACATATGCTTGCGATAGGAGCCGGACACCTCCCTTTACTCCCCTGCTCTAGACGCCATCAAGAATTTTATCAAGACCTCAACATCTTCTATGACCGCCGTTCCCAAGCCTCTCAAATTCCTCCGACCGTATTATGATGAGCTTGCAGAGCTGTACGAGAAGTGGGCAGCGGGCCCTGTCAAGGTATGGCCGAGTACTTTGGGACACATTCACGGATGACAAAAGCTAACAGCCCGTCTTCTTTGTCTAGGACTCGCTGGCCGATATGCTGTCTGTGCTTGGCATGACTTACGGTGACGAGGAGAAGCCGGAGACACTCAAGTACCGCCTGTTGGCCAAGTCCGAGGACCTTGGCTCATGGGGTCACGAATATATCCGCCACTTGGCGCTGGAGATTGGGCAAGAATATCAGAACCGGCTGAACGCAGAGAAGGAAACACAGGATTTGTTGGACCTTGCACTCTCGCTGATCCCCTACTTCCTGAGTCACAATGCTGAAGCCGATGCCGTCGACCTGCTGAGCGAGATGGAGATCATCGAGGAGATTCCGCGATTTGTGGACGAGAACACATACGCCCGTGTCTGCTTGTATATGGTCAGCATGGTCAATCTTCTCACCTACCCTGAGGACCAGCAGTTCCTCCGCACCGCTCACGAAATCTATGTTCGCTACAACAAACTCTCCCAAGCCATCGTGCTTGCTATCCGACTGAACGACATCGAGCTCATCAAGAGCGACATTAATGCTACTGATGACAAGGCTCTTAAGAAGCAGATGGCATTCCTGGTCTCACGGCAGCAGATCTGGCTTGACTTGCCCGCCGAAGATGAGGAGGACGAGGCTCTCAATGACTGTCTGAACAACACCTCTATCCCGAAGCATTTCAAGTCCCTTGGGAAGGAGCTCAACATTCTCGACCCGAAGATGCCTGAAGACATCTATAAGACACACTTGGAGAACAGTCGTGGTGCTGGTCTCACCAACCTCGATTCCGCACGACACAACTTGGCCAGTGCCTTCGTCAACTCGTTCGTCAACGCCGGTTTTGGCAACGATAAGATGATGCTTGTCGAAGGAGAGAAGGGTCCGTGGGTGTGGAAGACCAAGGATGATGGTATGCTCTCGACGACTGCGTCTCTGGGTATGCTACTGCACCGAGATGTTGAGGACGGACTCGATAAGATCGATAAGTTCACATACGCTCAGGAAGATCAGGTTAAGGCGGGTGCATTGCTGGCAATCGGTATCTTGAACTCAGGCGTTCGTCTCGACTCTGACCCTGCACTTGCCCTCTTGAGTGATCCAGACAACCTCGAGGCTAAGAATGTACCAATGCGGGTGGCTTCCATCATGGGTCTTGGTCTAGCATACGCCGGTTCCAACAAGGAGGAGCTTCTGGAGATCTTGCTACCAATTGTAGAAGATACGTCGCTAGACATGCAGCTTTCTGCCATGGCAGCAGTGTCTTTAGGTCTCATTTTCGTCGGATCATCAAATCACCAGGTTAGCGAGGCCATTGCTACGACGCTGATGGATGAGGAGCGCCAGAAGCAGCTCAAGGACAAGTGGACTCGCTTCATGGCTTTGGGTCTGGCACTGCTCTACTTTGGCCGTCAAGAGGAAGTCGATGTCATTCTTGACATCCTCAAGGCTGTTGACCACCCCATGGCCAAGCCTACTTCCGTCCTTGCCTCGGTTTGCGCCTGGGCCGGTACTGGCACCGTCCTCAAGCTGCAGGAGCTTCTTCACATTTGCAACGACATTATTGAAGAGAAGGAGGAGAACAAGGGCGATGAGCTCGTTCAATCGTACGCCGTTTTGGGTCTCTCCCTCATCGCCATGGGTGAGGATGTTGGCCAAGATATGATCCTCCGCCAGTTCGGCCATCTCATGCACTACGGCTCCAGCAACATCCGTCGGGCTGTCCCTCTTGCTATGGGTCTTATCAGCCCTAGCAACCCCCAGATGAAGGTTTACGATACCTTGTCTCGATACAGCCACGACAACGACAATGAGGTTGCCATGAACGCCATCTTTGCCATGGGTCTTTGCGGCGCCGGTACCAACAATGCTCGCCTGGCTCAGCTGCTGCGGCAATTGGCTAGTTACTATCACCGTGACCAGAACTCCCTGTTCATGGTGCGCATCGCCCAGGGTCTCCTGCACATGGGCAAGGGTACCATGACCCTCAACCCCTTCCACACCGACCGACAGGTTCTCTCACGGGTATCGGCCGCCGGTCTACTGACTGTTCTGGTGTCTTTGATTGACGCCAAGCAATTCATCTTGGCCGAACACCACTACCTTCTCTACTTCCTCATCACCGCCATGTTCCCTCGTTACCTTGTCACTCTGGACGAAGACCTGCAACCTGTCACCGTCAACGTTCGTGTTGGTCAGGCTGTGGATGTTGTCGGCCAGGCTGGTCGTCCCAAGACTATCACTGGTTGGCAGACCCAGAGCACACCAGTGCTCCTGTCTTACGGTGAGAGAGCCGAGTTGGAGGATGAGCAGTACCTTCCTCTCAGCAGCACCCTTGAGGGCTTGGTCATTCTGCGCAAGGTAAGCATTTTTCCCTCTTGGTGTCATTCGTGATCATCACGCTAACAAGACAATCAGAACCCTGACTGGGAAGCCCCCGAATAAACTAAATGAGATGTTTCCCGATCCACCTCCATGACCTGCCACCAGCGAGTCCAGTATAGTGGTCGGCTTATTGTCGGATCTAATGTATTCAGAACGACCGAGGAATAGCATGGAATTTTCTACCCTCTTGCATTTGGTTTTATCGGTATATCGGCCAGTTTGGATAGGCTGCGTCCACTAGGAATTCTTGTGTAGACTACGTCTTTTCGTTGATTGGGGGCTCGTACTTTTATCTTCTGGGCAGTTTAGATAAATGTAACATGAACGCTTATCTTTCATATAATCCTCCTTCATCTCATCTGATTGGGCTTGATGGAAGAATTTTCTACTGTACATACTGGAGGTACCCGAATCGTACAGATCTGTCCCAGATAGGAGATAGGGCTTAGGGCTATGAGCTTATCACTTTTTTCTATCTCCGCATTATCCTTCATGTCCAAGCCCAGCGGGTTTTCCTTGAAGGTTCAATCTCTCAATTTATCAGTGATTTGAAACGATTCCAAGATGAAGCTCGACGCCAAGGCTCTTCGTTATCTCACCTCTGAGGATTTCAGAGTGCTTCAAGGGGTACTTATCAACCCCTCCACCCCGCCATGATCCCGACAATGGGTCTCCGACGATCTGCTCAGCTGGCTAATTCGAGTCTGTCTTTTCTAGGTGGAAGCTGGAAGTCGTAACCATGAAGTCGTCCCCACTCCCCTCATCTCTCAGCTGTCGGGCCTCCGTGGAGGCAGTGGCGTGCATCGATCTATCTCGAACCTGGCCAAGACGAACCTGATCGCAAAGGTCAAGAATGCGAAGTGTACGCTTTTTTTTTACCACAGCGCATTGGAACCATGAACCAGAAGCTGATTTTTCCATTAAATCTACAGACGATGGCTATCGACTCACTTACGGCGGTCTCGACTATTTGGCGCTGAATGCGCACCAGAAACAAAAAGTGGTCTACTCAGTCGGTAACCAGATTGGTGTAGGCAAGGAGTCAGATATTGTCGTGGTTGCCCACAGCAGCGGATCTCAGCGCATCCTCAAAATCCACCGTCTCGGTCGTATTTCCTTCCGAACTGTCAAGACCAACCGCGATTACCTCCGACACCGAAGCTCAGGATCTTGGATGTACATGTCTCGGCTGGCAGCCATGAAGGAATTCGCATTCATGAAAGCGCTTAGGGAGAACGGCTTCTCGGTCCCCGAGCCTATCGCTCAGAACAGGCATACCATTGTCATGGAACTTATCGACGCTTTCCCGCTCCGTCAGATCTCCAAGGTGGCCCACCCGGAAGCACTATACTCCGAGTTGATGGATATTATTTTGGAACTGGCGCGATTTGGTCTCATCCACGGTGATTTCAACGAGTTCAACATCTTGATCAAGGAGATTGTAGAACCCAGCGACAAGGGAAAGGGAAAGGCTCCCGCGAATGCGGACGCTGAAGAGTCAGATGAAAACGTTCGGCTGGAACCAGTGATCATCGATTTCCCACAGATGGTTTCCATCGATCATGTCAATGCTGATATGTACTTTGATCGCGACGTCAACTGTATCAAGCGGTACTTCCAGCGGAAATTCCACTTTGTCAGCGACGTGCCTGGCCCGTTCTTTGCCGATGCCAAGAAGAACTTCCTGAAGAACCCTGGTAAGAGACTGGACGTTGAGGTTGAGGCGTCCGGTTTCTCAAGGAAGATGGCTCGCGAGCTGGAGACCTATATGAAGGAGGTTGGTGCTGATGGCGATGCTGGTGCTCGTCGCGATGATTTGGATGATGAGGAGGAGGACGAGGATGATGATGAGGAGGAGGGGGGCTCAGAAGAAGATGAGGAGGAAGAACAAGAGGAACAGCCCGGACAAAGCAGCACAGAAATGGATGAGAGCTCTCAACGGTTAGAGAAGCTGCAGGTCTCCGAGTCATCAGGGCAGTGAGCGGGATCCGAGATTGTGCTTTAATGACCATGAATGATGATGACCATAGACTGTAATATAAGCTCTTTGTTGTTGCATATTGACTACCTGGATGGCATTGTTATGTTGAGGATTGATCCCACGAGTACTTGGGTAGAGAGAAAGGATCACAGTTGAATAAAGTCCTAAATGCCATCAATAAGCCTAAGGCAAGCAAGCATGCAGTGGCATTTCAAAGATCTGAATCTATAGACCAAGAAAATGGACCATCTGAATACGCTTCCCTCTTCTGTTTGTTGAAAGGTCTTCTTGGATAGGCAATGTTTCTCAATTTAGCTTTTAAGATATCACTGATGAGATGATTCTGAAATCTCTTAGGTGTTTCAAACTGATGGAACCCTAGTGTATTCCTTAAATAGCCAGCACCTTCTCTTACTGTCCTGCACTAGTCTCCGTCACTGGACTCTTCCCATCTGTTCACAGCTACGCTTTATCGTGTCTGCTTCTGAGGGCCTTGTATCTTTCGGTTTCTACTGCTTTGGCTTCGTTACTGGTTTGGCAATTCCACTTTTCCACCAAAAATGGATGGAATATCGTGGAAAGCAAAAGGCAGAGCAGCAGCTAGCGCTACCATTGGTACGTCCAGCTAGCCCTTCATCCCCAAGGCCCAGTACTTGGGTACGTAATAATGGCCCTGCTACTCCATACCGGGAGCTGGATTCTCGTGGTCCTCGATATCAAGCTTGGCGTCCGAGTAATACACCACCAGGCGCAAAAGCTCAATAGCCAGGGTATCCCTTTTAATAGGCAGCCGAAATGCTTCGCGGGCAGAGTGATTACCGTGCTTTAGAAGGCCTTCCACAGGGCGTTGTCCACTGCGTCGTGATTTCGAGACTTTTTGTTTCTCACGACCTATTTTCTCCTTTTTGGTAGATCAAACCTTGATGTTAAGGAGTGTTTTAGAATTTTTCGCAGTATTACCTGATGTGTGTAGAGTGTATGGTATCGCGTGACCCCAAATATGTCTTCCAAACTCCAGGCTAGCCTCGTATCTAGATAGGCCGAACAAGCAAGGGTACAGTGTTCACCTCCATCAAATGATATTCTAAGCATATCTGACGCAAATAGGTATTATGAATGCATATCTTAAACCCTATAACAACGAAATGTTGCTACAAGTCTAGACATTTCGTGTCTCGATACTGAGTCTTGGCATGAGCGTACGGTCGGCGGTGCGGCCACTCGCGCAATTTGGACACCCGCAAAAGATACTCCAATGCTCCAACTGTCCGATCTCCGTCCACCACCAACAATCACACATCCTCACAATGGTGCGCCGAGCAGTCGCAATCCCCAAGGCGGCGAAGAACGCCTTAGTGCCGCCTGCCCAACGGAAACAGGTCTTCCTGTACGTTCAGTCCCTTCCGACTCTCCCCAAAGCCGCGCATCAAATTTCATTTCTCCGAGGGCCTTGAACCAGCACGGTCAAATCTGCGACTACGCCCTCATTCCCCTAACGAAGAGCCCCAATACTAACGTAATTGCGATCTACAGACCTGAATTCGTCATCGCCCTCGTCCGAACACCTTTCCTTTCCTCCCGCTATGCCCAATTCCGCGTCCCTCTGAACTTCAACAAGCTCGATCTCCGCGATTATCTCCAGAACCTGTACGGCGTTGGCGTGGTCAGCGTCCGAAGCTACGTCGAGCAGCAGCCCATCACCCGTATTACACGGGATGGACGCAACATTGGTCAATGGCGGCGGCCGCTAGCGCAGAAGCGAATGACCGTTGAACTGCGCGAGCCATTCGTGTACCCCGAGCAGCCCAAGGATCTCAGCCCGTACGTCTTTCCTCATTATCTCCTTTTACACGGTAGCTTTGTGCATGGTTGGCATGATTACCGACTCGCACATGCGGTTGGTGGTATCGAGTACATTGCTAACACCTCGTTTTCAATACAAACAGATGGGAGAAGAGCTCTTGGGATGCCAGCGAAAAGTGGCAAAACAAGATGCAGAAGAAGTCGCAGGATGGACCTCACAAGGCCGAGGAACCTGACTATGATTTGCGCAAGGCATTCGAGAAGCAGGCTAAGGAGATTAAGAAGAATCCCGAGGAGTGGCGGCCATCTTCGAAGGTATTGGGTTCGGACTTTGCGCACAAGGGATTCGCTAGGACAGGGAAGGCTCCGGCGCCGCCTAAGTGGATGTCGAAGTCGTGATTGGGTGTTTGGCTGTTTCGATTTGAAAATGGGTGTTTCTGTATTTTTTTTTCATACTCTCTTGGGGCACATCTTGTATTATATCACCTTGAGGTCGCATTATATAGATCTCAATATCTGAGCTCTTCTTTCATCTACGAAAGGAATTCGACTGTATTTTGAAGATGCAAACGGAGAATACCTTGTCGTATTGTTGTAATCTAAACAAAGAGTTGAATTGATGGATGTAGACATGAAAAGAACTTGACGACATAATAGCACCACAAAGTCGCAAGAAAAATTACAGTCAACGGTGGCCATGAGGGTCAACCACGCTATGCAAGAAGGACTAGAGGAGAGGGCTGGAAGAACGGGGGCAAAATTGACAGGAAACATGACACAGTGAACTTTGTTTCAAGGCCAAGTAATCTACAGGCGACTCTCAACAAAGTTCATGTGGTGCTGACCAGGCCAGTGCGCATCTGGCCAGATATGGCGAAGAGCTTCCCAAATGTACCTGCGAGAAGATGTTAGAATGGTGATGTCGGGGACAATTTGCGATACAACTTATAACTTACTGAACGTAAATAATCTCCAGGCCCTCGCTCACCTCCCGAGGGACATCCTTGACATCCTTCCGGTTAGGGTAGGGCAGCAATACAGTCTTCACGCCTGCACGCAGAGCCCCGATGAGCTTCTCCTTGATACCACCAACGGGCATCACACGACCCCGCAGCGAGATCTCGCCAGTCATGGCAATCTGTGGAGGAACAGCCTTGTTGGTGAACAAGGAGATGAGCGCCACAGTGTGAGCGAGACCGGCCGAGGGACCATCCTTGGGGATGGCACCTGAAGGACAGTGAACGTGGAGGCTGCGGCTTTTCATGATATCCTCGTTGGGATCGTGAGTGAGTCCCAGCTCAAACGAGTGGGCCTTCACCCAAGTAAGAGCCACCTCAACAGACTCCTTGAGGACATCACCCAGCTTTCCGGTGAGCTGGACACGTCCGTTACCAGGCATGTCAGCCACCTCAATGAAGAGGATGCTACCCTGGCCACCGCTGGAGTAGGCAACAAGGCCGGTCACCACACCAGGACGGCCATGCTTCTCGGCAATCTCCTCCTCGAAACGCTCGATACCTAGGATTTCCTCCAAGTCTTCTAGGGTCACGATCGGGTTATACTCGTCCAGACGACCGGTGTCGCCAGCATCAGCGTACTGGACAGCCTTGTAACGGCAGATCGAGCCAAGCTCACGCTCCAGATTACGAACACCCGCTTCACGAGTGTACGATGTGATGGTTTTGTCGATGACCTCGTCGGACAGATTAATTTGGCTATCTGACAAGCCGTTGGCGCGAACCTGCTTGGGGATGAGGTGGCGCTTGGCGATGTGCCGCTTCTCCACGGTGGTATATCCCGAGAGCGAGATGGTCTCCATACGGTCGAGCAGAGGCGCAGGAATAGTGTCCAATGAGTTGGCAGTGGCAAGGAAGAGAACCTTGCTCAGATCGATAGGAATATTGATGTAGTGATCGGTGAAGGTGTAGTTCTGTTCGGGATCCAAGACCTCCAGCATGGCCGCAGAAGGGTCACCCTGGAAGTTGGCACCGCCAATCTTGTCGATCTCGTCAAGCAAGAACACTGGATTGGCAACGCCAACCTTCTTCAAACCATTGACAATGAGACCGGGCATGGCGGCGACATAAGTCCGCCGGTGACCGCGGATCTCTGCTTCATCGCGAACACCACCAAGAGAGATCCGGTGGAACTTGCGACCAAGCGACGCAGCAACAGACCGAGCCAAGCTAGTCTTGCCAGTTCCGGGGGGACCAACGAGGAGCAGGGTGGGAGACTTGTCAGTCGTGCGCTTAGATTTCAAGATTTCTAGACGAGCCTCAAGCGCAACCCGATCAGCCTCCGAGATCAAAGGCACATCGTTCTCTAGATCTCCGTGAGAGGCGGCATCCAGGTCCTTTGTGAGCCCAGTAATTTGCCGCTCCACGTCCTCGTTGGTGTTCTGCTTCAACCGCAGCACAGCCAGATACTCCAACAGTCTCTTCTTGATGCGCTCCAGACCGTAGTGATCCTCATCGAGCTGCTTGCGAGCCCGCTTCAGCGTATCAGGGCCAAGTTGGTCTTCAGTGACCTTGGCCCATGGGATCTCAGCCAGGTTCTCCAAGTAAGTACGGCAAACACCGTATTCGGCGTTGGCCGGGTTCATCTTGCGCAGGCGCTTGAGTTCTTTATCCGCAACCTTCTGAGCTTCCGCACTGAGTTGTGCATCCTTCAGCTTCTGAGCCAGCTCGTCAATCTCATTCGGTTCCTTCTCTTCATTATCGTTGCCACGGCCGCCAGCCGGTCCAGGTGGCGTGAGACCTGACAATCCTTGCATCGCACGTCTTGCCAGAATCTCGCGCTCTCGTGGATCGATCTGGCTAATATCAACATTCGAGTTAGGGGGGAAGGAGGTTGTGGTAATAGATGTCACCTTCACGCTGCTCTTGATATGCTGAGCTTGGCGAGTCAGTATCTCCACCACGCGCTCCAATCGCACCTTAACATCGAATGAAGCTAATATCCGTAGCTTCTCCTCAAAGCTTGCATCAGATACGTCGGCCATGAAATCGGCGAGCTTTCCTGCCTGGCCTAGTTCCGACTTTGAAATATACAGTTCGAACTTCCGAGCCACGAGTGGCGACAAGCGAGTCGAGGCGGCAGAGAGCAACGAGGAGAGACGCAGGAGGGTAAGAAGCTCGCGAGAGAGCTGTCGCAACTGTTGGAACAGTTCAGTGGCCTCAGGATCGCCATGAATGGATGAGGCTGATGAATGGAGTATCAGTGATCTGCTTGTTGACTCATCAGAGTATACACCTCAGGGGGGATAGACATACTGCTCTCATCGTGAAGATAGACCTCGGCCTCAAAGAATGGGCGGTCCTTCAGGACCTTCTTGACCGTGAATCGCTGGGAGCCTTGGACCAGAAGGAATGGCTCGGCATAGGCCCGGCGCTGGACGCCGATCACCTTACCAACCGTACCATAACGGAAGAGGTCATCCTTGCGCGCCTGGCCCGCATCGACTGAGTCGTAATCATCCTTTCTCTCATCATCCGACTCATCGCCCTCCAGAAGCTGTTGTCCATCGCGACTGAGGAATGGCGAGCTCAAGGGAATACATCCGAAGGTGATTGAATTGCCGTCGCGCTTGGAAGGCCGGTCCACCAGAGAGGACAGCAGGTTGGTGAGGTCTGGACGGTTAGAGACCGGGATGCGTAGAGTCACACCGGGAAGCAGGACGGAGCCCTTGGCGAGAGGCACCAGAGGAAGCTTGGTGGCTCTACCGCTGTTAGATCCCATCTTGAACAGTGCTCGGGAATCGAACGGTGGCAAACACAGCGATAGGGCCTCACGGGCGGACGGAAAGAGACGATAGTGAGGTGTGGAAGTGGTAGGCAAGTGGAATTATCACGAAGTAGTGATTCAGGGAGAGGAGGATGAATGGGGAAGGGAATGAAGAGGAGATGGCCGAGGAAGAGAGGTGGTTCCAGAACCTACTGCAGGCCGGTCGAGTTAGTTAGCTTGCTTTGGGGGGAGAGTCCGGGGGAAGGCGATAAGGGCGAGTCGCATGTCTCGTAATCTCCACGTCCCGAAGCCGAGGTTAGTTTCCGTACCGTACGTCAGATCTGTTGATCATGGGGGTACTTGGAAAGTAGTCATAGATATAGGCACTTTAGCCATATTTATTGACAATATTTAGTTGGTATTGTACAGTAATCAGTATTTCTGGCTTTCTTGACTAGACATAGGTATAGACATAGCCCCCTCACCCCGCATCTGAGAGAATTATGGTGTGGTCCTTCGAACCACTGAGTACTGTCTGGCGTGATTCTCAGCGGCTGCGACCGTGTCCCGTGATCGGCCCCTCCACGGAATTATGCCTCCCTTCCGACCCTCCGCTTTCCAAGTCTCGCCTCTATTCGCGTTTTCCTCGGCCAAATCCCTCGGCTTGGTTTCCCTTTCACGAGTCATCGCTTGTCTGATTGGCACAATTGACGTGATTCGTCTAACCTTCGCCTCGTCTTAATCCCCTCTCTCGCTCCTCCCTTTCAAGATGGCTGCCTCCGCCCCCGCCTCCAAGACTTCCTTCACCATCGGCACGCGCAAATCCAAGCTCGCATTGGAACAGACAGAGCTGGTGGCCGCCGCCCTCAAGAAGACACACCCTGGCTATGAGTTCAAGATTTTTTCCAAGGAGACTGCGGGCGACCTCAACACAAAACTTGCGCTGCGCGAATTTACCACCAAGAATTTGTGGACCGAAGAGCTTGAGGAGTTGATGATCGATGGACAGGTTGACTTTATTGTCCACTCTCTCAAAGGTCAGAGCAATGGCGGTTTTCTGAAATTGCCCCGACTGGTCTGGTTCAATACGCTCATACAGTTTTTAATTTCATTAGATGTCCCCACCGTCCTCCCCGCCACTTGCACCCTAGGCCCGATGATGCCCCGCGAAGACAGCAGAGACGTGCTCGTCGTCAAGCAAGGGCTGCCATACAAGAGCTTGGCGGAGATTCCCGCTGGCTCCGTCGTTGGAACTTCCTCCATCCGCCGAACGGCCCAATTGGCCCGCAAATACCCTCATCTCAAGGTCCTCGATATTCGTGGAAATATCGGCACCCGTCTGGCTAAGCTGGATGCGGAAGACAGTCCTTACACCTGTGCCATCCTCGCAGCCGCGGGTTTGTTGCGCCTAGACCTGGCAGATCGCATCACGGAATATCTGGACTCGAAGAACAGTGGTATGCTCTACGCCGTCGGACAAGGTGCCTTGGGTATTGAGATTCGGAAGGAAGATGCCTTTATGCAGGAAATGTTGAGTAAGATTGGTCACAATGAAACCACCTACGCGTGTCTCGCTGAGCGCAGTCTGCTGCGGACTCTGGAAGGTGGCTGCAGTGCGCCATTGGGCGTCGAGACTGAGTGGGTTCAGACTGCGAAGGGATCCAAGAAGCTGCGAATGCGCTCTGTGGTTGTCAGCGTCGACGGCCAGCAATGCGCACAGGTCGAGATTGATGGCGATGTTGATTCCACTGAGAGTGCAGAGGCTTTCGGTGTCACCGTGGCTAAGGCTTTGGTGGGAGAAGGTGCGGGTGCGATCCTGGAGGAAATCCAGCGCAACAAGGTGGTCAAGGAGAACTTCTCCAGCTAAAAAAATATCCCGGTAGACTCAAGCCATGAATATTCTATGGTCGAGATGCCCTTTTTAAAATGAAGAAATTAATGAAAATCATGATTCGATCCTACGATCTAATCCAAGCACAGCATTGAATTTGGTGGATGCTTGGAATGAACCCACATGGTGGAACAGGGCCATGAATCATGTATTGGAGAATTACATCCTACTCCGACAACACCGTCTATACCAAAGCATCCAAAATGAGGATTAACCAACCAGAGTCTTACAATTCGCAGCAGTAGTAGAACCTCAGCCCCGGTTCAACGTGTTGCCCGACCCCTTGGGATTCGCCTCCACGTATTCGTCCCAGGCGCGTGCCTTCATAGTTTCTTCATCTGCCTTTTCCATGTCATCCTCGTCAACCTCTGGTTTCATACCAGACTGTTCGCCTCCCTGAAGTACATTTCCCATCCTATGCTCTTCTTCCAGATACTCCTCAATCGTCATGGTCGGGAGATTATGACCTGAGCGGAACACTCCTTGCTGCAGCTGCGTCCGACGATCCAGCAATGTAAAAGGCTGCATCGGTTTGCCTTTACTGTTCAAGAGGGGTCCATTCCTTCCCCGGCCCAGAAGTTGTGACAGAGACGGGTCCAGGCGATCTGAGTAGTTCGCTCCTCCCAGGTTACTTCGTTGTCTCGGGTCATCGGGGGTTGTTTGCGGCGGTGCGGGGGCATTCCGCATGGCAGATAGCATTGACAGTTCTTGAATCAAAAGATCCAGCGCTTGGAAGGACTGGTGTATATAGAGCTGCAGCTCCGCTAAATAGAGTCGTCGAGTATCGTCATCGTCGCTTTGGAGTCGAGCTTCATTGCGAGCAAGGTACTTCAGATCATGTCAGTCTGCAAGCCAGACACGACCAAAGCACACAACAGACGTACCTCCAATTTTTGCTTGAGCTCTTTCTCTTCCCGAAAGCGTCTCACTTTGACATCCCGCCGAGCTGCGGCATCATTCAAGGGAGCGAGAGTGAAAGTTGACGGATTAGCCATGTATTGTTCAAACAGCTTTTTGTCCACCGCTGACAGTAACTCGTATTCATCAAGTCGTGCAATAAATCGTTCATATTGTTCCAATGTGCGCCGAAGGGTAGCTTCGCGATCAGCAGTAGACCCTCGCTGGGTGAGTTCGGCAAGATGGTACTCCAACGTCATGTATCTAACAGGCAGGAATTAGCCCACTAGCAAGCATCTACCGCTTTCCCAAGAGACTCACTGAATATCTCCTGTTGACACATCGTCTAGCGACTCATTTGAACTGAATAGCGACAAAATGCTGACTTGTCGCTGGCATTCGTGGAACTTGGTGATTGCCGCATTGACTGCGTCCCGGTAGCTCTCGGTGTTGGTATCTCCCCTCGACTCTAGCGCTGCCTTGGCCTCCTTTGCGGATGTGAAAAGGGACCGGAGACTCTGGGATTCCTCCATGTTAGGTGGTGAAGCGAGGCAAGTGAGAAAGGAATAATCTCAGAGTGGCTCGTGTCCCCGCGATTTAGGCGGGAGTTTTGGCGAGGCGATAAGGCGCGATAAGTGGAGAGCTCAATCTTATCATTAGGAAAGAACTAAACGGTAGGTGATGTGAGTCGCTGCCATTAATAGAAAGACCCCAACCAATAAATATTAATGCGGATGAGAGAATGAGTTTCTCATTGGCCTCTCATTTGATCTGACCTGTTGGTCATCTGACCAGGGCTCTTCAGAAAGGAATATACCATCAAACACACCACTGGCTGCACAGTTCCTCTGCGTGTATAAATATGCAGCGCTTCTGACATCCTCTTCTAATTCTTTTCTCTCTCACAACTCATCCAACTCAACTCTTTCTTACTAACAGACTACATAGAGATCTACATCTTGCCAAGAAGATTGCAACTCAAATAATCTTTCTGAAAAATCCACCCCTATCACACTCTTCGCCAAAGGCTACAGAAAACAACCATGTCGCTTCTTGACGTCTATGAAGAGCCACCGGCAGCCTCCTTAGATGAGTCTGAGAGCGAGACAGAGAGCAAACTCACCCGGGATAGACGCTCTGAACGTCAAAAGCTTCAAGAGGCTCAGTTCCAATCACTGTATGTTTCCAATTGAATAAATACACTTTCCAAACATATATCTGACCAGTTAGCAGATTAGCCCAACATGCAAATCGTGACCATAGCACGAGCGAGAAGACCGAGAAGGTTCGGAGCTCAGCCTTCCCACGCGAGCACCTCAACATTTCCCAGCTACTCAAAAGACAAGAAATCGGTCGCGCCGATCTGGACCCTCGTGCGTACCAAATCGAGCTATTCGAGCGAGCAAAGGCCGAGAATACGATCGCAGTTCTTGACACAGGTTTGGAATACACGCTACTTGACTTGAGCAATGGAAGTTTACATAGTCAATAGGATCGGGAAAGACCTTGATTGCTGTCCTTCTGCTGAAGCATATCCTGCAGCAAGAGTTGATCAATCGTGCAGACGGCAAGGCTCCTCGAATTGCCTTTTTCTTGGTATATACTTAGATGGCTAGTCCCCAGAATGATCAATGACTGACAATAAGCAGGCCCATAGCGTGACTCTTGTGTTTCAGCAGTCCGCTGTATTGCAGAATAATCTTGACCAGAATGTGGCACACATCTTCGGTGCGATGGGCCCAGATCTCTGGGATCAAAAAATCTGGGATGACTACTTTGCCAAAAACATGGTCATCGTCTGCACAGGGGAGATTCTCAACCAATGCCTGCTGAATGGCTTCATCAAGATAAGTCAGATCAACATTTTAATCCTCGATGAAGCTCATCACGCGAAGAAAGATCACCCTTATGCACGGTGAGTTTTCAATCACGATATTGACTTCCAAGAATAAAACTGACAATCAAAAGCATCATTCGAGAGTCCTATCTCAAAGCCCCTTTGTCTGAACGCCCTAGAATATTTGGGATGACGGCTTCACCTGTCGATGGAAAGACCAAGATGACTGAAGCAGCAGCGTAAGTCGTTCCACCATTCATAGGAGACCAGAAGCGCCTGACAAAATTTTATAGTCAACTCGAGATCCTGCTTGGTAGTCGGATTGCCACCACTGCAAATATGGAGGCGCTCCGTCAGATCGTGAACCGACCGTTCGAGGAAACGTGGACATATTCGAAGCTTGGCTTACCTTTTGCAACAAAAATATACACTCAGCTGCAAGAGACGTTCGGAAAGGTGAAATCACTTGAGCCCGTTTTCAGATTCGCTTGGGCTGCCAGCTCAGAGCTAGGTGAATGGTGTGCGGATCAGGTGTGGATCCAAGCCCTGAGGGAGGATGTGATACCTCATCTCGAAAGTGGCACAGGAAAACACCCCGAGTCGGACCCTTATGGGACTGAGCAGACTCGGAAAGATCTCGTGAGTGCCAGAGATGTTTGCGACATGGTAAGAACCCATGAATTTCAGGACCCATGGGCCGAAGGCCAGCTCAGTTCGAAGGTTCGACTCCTTCTGGAGAGATTGGCACTTCATTTCGGTTCATCAGATAAGAAGAAGTGCATCGTCTTCGTTGAGCGACGCAATACCGCGAAGGTTCTGCTGCGCCTTTGCGAGGTGTTGAAAATTCAAAACCTTCGCCCCGGAATCCTGGTCGGAGTTCGAAAGTCCGATATCACTGGAAATGTTACATTTCGTCGTCAGTTTGAGGTCAGGGGCCAGTTTCAAGATGGGACAGTCAATTGTCTCTTTGCGACAGCAGTTGCGGAGGAAGGCCTCGATATCCCAGATTGTAATTTCGTCGTGAGATTCGATCTCTACGACACGCTCATCCAGTACATCCAGAGCCGCGGACGCGCACGGCACGCCAAATCGACCTATGTAACCATGGTTGAGGCAGACAATGAGAGTCATAAAAGAAAACTGCAACAAGTGCGCGAAGCAGAAGTTCTCATGAGATCCTTCTGTGAGACCCTCCCCAAAAATCGGTTGCTTTGTGGACATGACTTTGATGTCGACCTGAAAGCAGTTCTGGGAAAAGAAAAGGGAAAGAGAACTTACATCATCGAATCCTCTGGAGCAAAATTGACCTACGGGCATGCAATTGACGTTCTGGCCCGCTATGCAGCATCACTGCAGTATCAGGAGGAAGACGTTAATCAGAATCAGAATCAAACTCAAACTGACACAAGCACCTATGTGAACTACACCATGCTCCCTGTCGGAGACAAATTTATCTGCGAGGTCATGCTTCCTGACAAGTCTCCTGTCAGAGGCGTGCTAGGCACCTCGGAGTCAAGTAAAGCCATGGCCAAAGGTTCGGGAGCATTTGATGCTTGCATGATGCTCCGGAAGCTCAAACTTTTAGATAATCATTTCAGGCCGATGCTTCATCGGCACCTACCTGCCATGCGGAATGCCAAGCTGGCAATCGCTTCGAAGAAACAGGATAAGTATGACCGGCGCTGCAAGCCATCTCTCTGGAGCGATCGGATTGGGGCACTCCCAACATCGCTATATGTGACGTTGATCCGGTTCAGTCCATCAAAGCCGCTGACGCGACATCATGCCCCGTTGATATTGCTTACCCGTAAAAAGCTCCCGAGCTTTCCTAGTTTCCCGATTTTCCTGGATGATGACATAGAGACCTCAATCCAGACGGTGTGTTTCGAGAACCCTCTCGCTGTCAGCTCCCAGCAGCTAGGCTATTTCACAGACTTCACACTCTCTGCATTCCGTGATGTATTTCACAAGATTTTTGCCAAAACCCCAGAGGTATTTCCCTATTGGCTGGCCCCAGGGCGTTCGGGCACGGAAGTCATAAGTTCTCCTACTTTGTCGGATGCCATGATCGACTGGGGAGTCTTGCGTTTCGTTCAAGAGCACCGCGAGTGGAGGTGGTCAGAAGACATGGAGCCTGAATCTCTTCTAAATCGTTTCATTTACGACCCATGGACTGGCAGATATCGTTATTTTCCACTCAAGATTGACCCGGATTTGAGTCCATCAGACGCTCCACCTTCTTATGTGTCAGACCGCCCTGGACTCATGCAAAACATCATGAATTACTCCTCGAGCCTGGGCAAAAGATCGCGATCCCTTTTCCTGGAACGCTGCAACTGGGCTCAGCCAGTATTGCAAGTAGAGATTGTTTGCCTCCGCAGAAATTTCCTGGACAGAGCAACCGCGTCCGAGAAAGCCGGGAAAAGAAAATGTGTTATCTGCCCTGAAGCGGTGATGCTCTCTGCGGTGAGTTATGCAATTCATTCAGACTTGAATTTACATAGTTTGTTCTGACTCTCATTATAGATTCCTTTGTCAGTGGTTACATCCTGCCTGGCGTTTCCTGCTGTCATTAGCAGACTAGAGTCATATCTGATAGTGCTGGAGGGCTGCCAGCACATAGGTCTCGATCTCAGGCTGGATTACGCTTTGGAAGCCTTTACCAAGGACTCTGACAACACTGAAGAGCATCGTGAGGAGCAAATACATGTCCAGCGAGGCATGGGCAAGAACTACGAGCGTCTGGAGTTCCTGGGTGACAGCTTCCTCAAGATGGCCACATCAATTGCGCTTTACTGCCAGAGGCCGGACGACAACGAGTATGACTATCATGTCTACAGAATGTGCCTTATCTGCAACAAGAACCTTTTTGACGCGGCGATTAAGATCGAGCTCTACGAGTATATCAGAAGTCGTGCATTTTCTCGGTATGGCCTGGTCTATTATCTTTCCTCGAGATTGACTAACACAGAACACAGTCACACATGGTTCCCTCCAGGCATCCATCTTCTCCAAGGGCGCAACTTTACCAAAAGTCTTCAGACTGAAGCTAGTCACAACCTGGCCAAAAAGACAATTGCAGATGTCTGTGAGGCCCTGATTGCAGCTGCACTGTTAACGGGGGGAAAAGTCCATCGTTTCGATATGGCCGTCCGTGCTGTGACCCGCTTCGTCAAGAACGACACGCTCACAGTTTCCCATACTGCAACATCTTGGGCGGATTACTACTTGTCTTACACGAAGCCAAAGTGGCAAGACAATGTGCCGAATGGATACGAGTTGGATCTTGCTCAACAGGTTTTCAAGAAGCTCGGTTACCAATTCAAATATCCTGCCTTGCTTCGGTCTGCATTCACCCACTCCTCTCTCCCCCGCCAATTGGCCATTGTACCATGCTACCAGCGCCTTGAATTCCTAGGTGATGCACTTCTTGACATGGCGTGTGTTGAGTATCTGTTTCGTCGCTTTCCCGGCAAGGATCCCCAGTGGCTCACGGAGCACAAGGTAAGTGATCGACGTGCCTCTGGAAATATTCGCAATTGCTGAAATACTCTTCAAGATGGCAATCGTGTCGAACAAGTTTTTGGGTGCCCTAGTGGTGCATCTCGGACTACATCGACATCTCCAATTCGCTGACGGTCCCATCCAAGGGCAAGTCACTCGCTATGCGGAAGAAATGCAGAGGGCAGAGGCTCAGAGTGACGGTGCAATGGACTACTGGCTCCATACTACGGATGCTCCGAAGGTAATTCTGATCATCATGAATATCATGTCTCCTTACGAAGCTGATCAACACACCAATATAGTGCCTTCCCGACATGCTCGAAGCATACACTGCGGCAATTTTCGTGGACTCAGGGTTTGACTACGCTGTAGTCGAGGAATTCTTCGATGCACACATCTTACCGTACTTTGTGGACATTTCTTTGTATGACACCTTCGCCAACAGGCAGCCGACAGTAAGACATTTTCCCCTGTTAACAAAGTATTATTGGACGATCGCTGACCGGACCACAGACTTTCCTGTTTCACCAGCTGGCCACTGTCTACGAATGCAAAGACGCCTGTTTGAAGGTTGGAAAAATTCCTGGGTCAGATGCAGAGGAGTCGATGATGCTTGCTGCCGTGATGGTACACGGGCAACCCATAGGAGAAGCGTATGGAACCTCAAGCCGGTATGCCAAGGTCAGAGCGAGTGAGAACGCTATAGAGGCTCTCAAGATGCTGCTACCCATTGATTTCCGCCTCAAGTTTGCTTGTGACTGTCACTCGACGGACACCAATGCTGAAAATCAGATCGAGACTAAAGAAGAGAACCTCCTCGATCTGCGGTTTGAACAGAAAGGGGTTATTCCGGTGCTATGATTGACGCCATCTTTGATTTCACATTGCTTGTATAGTTGTCAAGACTGCAGGTGTTAGTTAAATCAATCAAACATGTATGATTACAAGATAGAAGGGCCTTGTAACACTCATTAAGACAATTCTGTACGGAGTATTGATATCGGCATGGGTGGAACGGCTCAGGAACCCGGTAGCCGTCACATGGTTGGGCGTGACACGCCTAACCTGATTGGGAAAGGTGCATCCCCTGAAGTACAACGAACAAACACCGCGTATCTGTTATCACCATTGACCGACACTTTTCTCTTCTTGCTCGACCCCCGACTGCTTTCTCCGAGAAGTATTTTTTAATTTAGATCTATTGCTCTTTTCATTCCGAATCTGCCTCGCAGTCCGTCGCCCGCACTCCGCCCAGTCCCATAAGACGCGAACCCTTGTCAACATTTAATTCTCTCGCTCCGATCGTGCTCCTCCAGCTCCTCTCATCGATGACCCCTACGACCTCGCTACAATAGAGTTGGAAATACGATGGAGGTCGCCACGCCGGGAATGTCGAATGGCGTGTCCACGCCAGATGCGACAGCTTCGGTGGATTCCGGTGCGGTCATTCAGTACCTAACGGAAGTGCTCCAGGTGACATTGGGCGCTCTGAAATCCGAGCTGGAGAGCGCCGGGAGCTTGCTCTCGGATGCTAGATATCATGAGACTGCGCAAAGATGCTTGCGTTTTGCCTCGGAGTCGCAAGTTGCGCTCTACGTGCAGAAAGATATTTCGGCCGCAGAGGAAACAAATGGCGACGCTGAAGGTGCAGGTAAGTCGATGAGCTCGGCAGTCTACTAGACCTCTCCGTCCAATCTGACAATATGGATGAAGAGTCGATTGTACAGTATTCCTACAGCCTCTCCTCGGAGATCTCCTCCGCCTCGACTACTGTCGCGTCAGTAGCCTTTATCAAACGTCCCGCTCCGATCGATCCTGGTCTCCCTATCGCCTCGCAGATTCAGGTGATGAACCTGCCCGGTGTTGCGTCCTTGAACAATGCCCAAACGCAGCAGGGAAACGCCATGTCGCCGTATCAGATCTTGCATCTGCTGCTCCACCACGGATTGAGTCCCTACTTCGAAGCCTACACCCGTAATCAGGAAGCGGCCGCTGGCGCAAAATCGAGAACGGACACCGAGGCAAAGACTGGTATTCCCGGGACAAAGAAGAAGTTTGCGGAGCTGGAGCTGGGTCTGATGCACCTGCAGCAGAATGTGGAAATTCCTGCGTTGAACCTTCCCCTCCATGAGGTGGTGCTGGCCGCTCTCAAGGAAGCTGAGGCTAGAGGCATCAAACCGACTGTGGAACTGATCCCCTCGGCAGTCTTGGATAGCAGTGCGTTCACAAACAGCATTCAGAACACCGTCAATGGATGGATTCGCTCAATTCAAACCATCACGAAGATGTCTCGAGACCCAGACAGTGATTCGGCCTCCCCAGAGGTGAACTTCTGGTTGTCCATGGAGACTGCGTTGGAGGGTATCGAGAACCAGCTGGCCAGCGATGGAGTTCGACTGACGATGGACATTCTCCGCCACGCGAAGCGATACCAGCCGACCCTGAGTTTTGTGGCGGATACTGGGCTGAAAGATGCCACCGAGTTGGTCCAGAAGTACAATCAACTAATGCGTGACTTTCCACTGGATGAGCTCCTCTCTGCCACCTCTCTGCAGAAAGTGCAAGAGTCTTTGGGTCTGATCTTCAACCATCTGAACAAGAAACTGAAGATCTGTCCGTATCCTATCAAGCGTGCCCTTTCCCTCGTCGAAGCTATCTCTGGTGACCTGGATAAGAAGATTCATGATCTCATCCAGGGTCGTGAGATCCTCCACCTGGACTACCGAGAGTTCCGGTCTTTGATGAAAATTACCCAGGCAATTTGGCGCTCCTGGGACGAGAACTTGAAGGAGTTCACTAATGTAGCCCGCGAGTCGACAAGACGCCGAAACGAGAAGTTTATCCCCATCAAGATCAATGCTCGACACGACAAAACCCGCGAACGGTTGAAGTATATTGATACATTCCGTGTCAACCACGAGCAGCTTCAGAAGACCATCATCAATGTTCTTGGCCCCAAGAACGCCTCCCCAACAGAGACCAGCGCTGGCGTTGACTCTGAGGAGACCGTTATCGTGGAGGAAATCGGCGATGTCGATGCTGTCGAAGAAGTCACGCACGCCTACGCTGCTTTGAAGAATGTGGACGTGCTGGATGTCTCTCCTGAAGGATCACGCATCTGGGAGCAGGCCGAGATTGGCTATAGCGAGCGTACCTCTCGGGTTGAAAACTCCATCATTGCTCGCCTGCGTGATCGCTTGGCTACCGCTAAAAATGCCAACGAGATGTTCCGTGTCTTCTCCAAGTTCAACGCTTTGCTCGTCCGCCCCAAAATTCGCGGTGCCATTGGCGAGTACCAGACACAGCTGATCGACAACGTCAAGCGCGATATTTCTGCGCTTCATGAGCGCTTCAAGCAGCAGTATGGCCATTCCGAGGCCCATGCTATGGCCCAGTTGCGCGATCTTCCTCCCGTCTCCGGTGCCATCATTTGGGCCCGGCAGATTGAGCGGCAGCTCGATGGCTACATGCGCAAGGTGGAAAATGTTCTTGGCGAGGACTGGCATCTTCACTCCGAGGGCCAAAAGCTGCAAGCGGAGGGCAACCTCTTCCGTAAGAAGCTTGACACCCGTCCTGTCTTCGAGTCTTGGCTCTATGATGTGCAAAGGCGGCATATCACCATCTCCGGACGACTGTTCAATATTGTGCGCAACCGCGCCGCCGGAAACAAGCTGGAGCTTACGGTCAACTTCGATGCCCAAATCATCGCATTGTTCAAGGAGGTGCGCAACCTTATTTGGTTGAACTTCCAAGTTCCTCATGCTGTCAGCAACATTTCGAAGGAGGCAAAGCGTGTTTACCCGTATGCCATTAGTCTGATGGAAAGTGTCCGAACACTGCTCCAGACGAACCGTACCATTGCCTCCATGTCTGATGTTGCCATTCTCCTCAACGGTTATGTGAATGATTCCCAGGCCATGGTCAACAAGGGAATCCCACTGAGATGGGAGTCTTTTGTGCACTCGTACGAGCTCCATGTTAAGCAGTCAGCTCTTGCTAATGGTTCTATCGACACCGCTATGCCCAATCGGACGGAGAGCAAGCACGTTCAATTCGTTCGTGAGTTTGCTGGCTCCGCATCCGTCCTCCAAACGAAGACCGCGGTTCTGTCCTCCATCAATGAAAACATTCAGAAGTCCATCCATGAGCTCAAAACTTGTCCATACGATGCTGCAGCGTTCAAGCAACGCCTGGACGTTATCCAAGTCGCAGTGGATAAGCTCAACCTGGAGAACTACGTGAACCTTGGGTACTGGGTTTCGGAGCTGAACGCAAAGATCGAGTCCATTCTCAGCGAAAGGCTTCATCGCGCTATTCGCGAGTGGATCAACACCTTCCAGGAGTCTCGCAACGGACAGATGACAATCCTGCCATCAGGTGAACCTGATGCTATGATTTACAATCTCTCGTTCCCCGAGCTGTTCCATGAGATTTCCATGAAGAACCAGGTTCTCCATCTCGATCCTCCCCTTCAGTTCGCTCGCGCAAGCTGGTTCTCGCAGTTTGACTCCTGGCTGGGAGTCATCTGCAACCTCGAGAAGATCAAGGCCTCGCGATACCAGATCTCCATCGATGTGCAGGCTGTTCGCCAGTCGGAAGCTTGCTTCGCAGACCTTCCTCAACGTTGTACAGAAGAGCTTAACCAGGTCTATGGAGTTGTTGAGAGTCGACTTAAGGACGTGTCTGAGTATGTTGACAAGTGGCTTCAATTCCAGTCGCTTTGGGACTTGCAATCTGAGCAGGTATATGATATCCTAGGTGATGATCTGTCTCAGTGGTTACAACTTCTCCAAGAGATCCGCAAGAGCCGTGCGACTTTTGATACTTCTGAAGTTAGCCGGTCTTTCGGCAACATCAGAATCGACTATGAACAGGTTCAGACCAAGGTGAACGCCAAGTATGACCAGTGGCAGCACGAAATTCTCCAGAAATTCGGAGCCAAGCTCGGTGGTCGTGTTAGGGAGGTTCACTCCGAGATTGCCTCTGCCCGCCGTGATCTCGAAGGTCAAACTTTGGAAGCCTCATCTACCGCACATGCAGTCTCTTTCATCACAATCGTTCAGCAATGTAAGCGCAAGACTCGCGTCTGGGAACCAGAGGTCGAACTCTTCCGCCAGGGTCAGACTACGCTCTCTCGCCAGCGATACCCATTCCCCAATGACTGGCTCCACGTTGAAAATGTCGATGGCGAATGGACTGCTTTGAACGAGCTGCTTGCCCGCAAGAGCAAGATTGTTCAGGATCAAACTGATGCCCTCCGTGCTAAGATTACTGCCGAGGATCGTGTTATCAGTGACAAGATTGCGGAAGTCATTGCTCAGTGGAATGATGAAAAGCCGGTTTCTGGTACTATTCCTCCCGATGAGGCATCTCGCACCCTCAGTTCCTTCCAGTCGCGACTTGAATCCCTCCAGTCTGAGTTTGAAATGGTCTCCAAGGCTAAGGAAGCCCTCGATCTTCCCACCAGCTCCGACTCGTCCCTTCCCGCAATTCTTGAGGAGGTTCAGGACTTTATGTCCGTTTGGGCAGCACTGTCTACGATCTGGAAGAGCCTTAATGACTTGCGTGAGGGTCTGTGGACCAGTGTCCAACCTAGAAAGCTCCGACAGGCTCTAGACGGACTTATCAAGATGACCAAAGAAATGCCCAGCCGAATGAGGCAATATGCTGCGTTTGAACACATCCAGAATGTCTTACGACAGCTGCTCAAGGTCAATTCTCTGTTGTCAGATATGAAGTCAGAGGCCGTTAAAGAACGACATTGGCAGAAGATCTACAAGTCTCTCAAGCCTGGAAAGCGGTTCTCCCTCGTCTCCCTCACACTTGGTGATGTATGGGACCTGCAGCTTGCGACCAGTGAAACGATTATCCGCAATATCATTGCTCAAGCCCAAGGTGAGATGGCGTTGGAAGAGTTCTTGAAGTCTGTTCGTGAGACCTGGCAGAACTACTCGCTGGATCTGGTCAACTACCAGAACAAGTGCCGCCTCATTCGTGGGTTCGACGATCTGTTTGCTAAGTGCAGCGAGAATTTGAACTCTCTCCAAGCTATGAGGCACTCTCCGTACTACAAAGAATTTGAAGAAGAAGCTACCTCCTGGGAAGACAAACTGAACCGGGTGCACGTCTTATTCGATGTTTGGATCGATGTTCAAAGACAATGGGTCTACCTGGAGGGTGTCTTCACCGGCAATGCTGATATCAAGCACCTCCTTCCTCTCGAGTCAAGCCGCTTCCAGAATATAAATTCCGAGTTCTTTGCGGTTATGAAGAAGGTTTACAAATCTCCATTTGTCTTGGATGTCCTTGGAATCAATGGGGTCCAGAAATCTTTGGAACGACTGGCTGAGCTGCTCAACAAGATCCAGAAGGCGCTGGGTGAATACCTAGAACGCGAACGCGTGTCATTTCCTCGCTTCTACTTTGTTGGTGACGAGGATCTCTTGGAAATTATCGGTAACAGCAATGACATCTTCCGTGTGGCCAAGCACTTCAAGAAGATGTTTGCCGGTCTGTCAGGTCTTCTAATGGATGATGACAATAACATTGTTGGCTTCACGTCCAAGGAGGGCGAAGAGGTCCGCCTCAAGCGCGAGGTCAACCTTGTCAAGACCCCAAGAATCAATGACTGGCTGTCTGCGTTGGAGAACAACATGAAGTTGACCTTGGCGGAGCTGCTTGGTGAGGCCGTTGAGCAATTCGAAACCCTCTACCATGCAACCGAGGTGGACCGCACCGCGTTCAATGATTTCCTAGCCAACTACCCGGCCCAAATTGTCGTCCTCGCTAGTCAAGTCGTTTGGACCAATGCAGTCCAGAAATCCCTGGAAGAGGGCGGTGTCAACCTGCCAGCATTGTATGAGGCTGAGGTCAGAATCCTTGAGCTACTAGCCGCTACTGTGCTCGGTGAACTGGATGCTATCACCCGCAAGAAGTGCGAACACATGATCACCGAATTCGTGCACCAGCGTGATGCCATCTCCAAACTCATCAAGTTCAACGCCACGACTCCCACCCACTACTTGTGGCTGCTGCAGATGCGATATGTCTACCAGCCAGATGGTGACTTCCTCCAGCGCCTGTATGTCCACATGGCCAATGCTAAGCTGAACTACGGCTTCGAGTACCTGGGTGTGCCCGAGCGTCTTGTCCGCACCCCCCTTACAGATCGTTGTTTCCTCACCCTCACCCAAGCCCTCTGTCAGCGACTGGGTGGCTCTCCCTATGGTCCCGCAGGTACTGGTAAAACTGAGTCGGTCAAAGCTCTTGGTCTGCAGCTCGGTCGTTTCACTCTTGTCTTCTGCTGTGACGATACATTCGATTTCCAGGCTATGGGCCGTATCTTCCTTGGTATTTGTCAAGTCGGTGCTTGGGGTTGCTTTGATGAGTTTAACCGTTTGGAGGAGAGGATTTTGTCTGCCGTTTCGCAACAAATTCAGAACATTCAAATTGGTCTGCGAAAGGGCGAGGAGGATGGCAAGTCGCAGATTGAGCTGGTTGGACGTCGCCTGGCTGTCAATTCCAACACCGGTATCTTTATCACGATGAACCCTGGATACGCCGGTCGTTCCAACTTGCCCGATAACTTGAAGAAGTTATTCCGCAGTGTCGCGATGTCAAAGCCCGACAAGGAGCTCATTGCAGAAGTTATGCTGTTCTCCCAGGGTTTCAAGCAAGCGAAGCCCCTATCTAAGCAGACGGTGCCATTCTTCGAACATTGTGCCTCTCAACTGTCCAAACAAGCGCACTACGACTTTGGTCTTCGTGCATTGAAGAGTGTCCTTGTCAGCTCCGGTGGTCTCAAGCGTGCTCGCCTTGCCAATTCCGAGCGCGATTTGGGCCCCGATGAAATTATTGAGCCACAGATTATCGTCCAGAGCTTGCGAGAGACCATCGCTCCTAAGCTCGTGCAAGAAGATGTTGACCGCATGCTCGAAATTCAGCTCCGAGACTTCCCCGGAGTTGAATACGTGCCCGCCAACTACGAAAAGCTTATCCAGGCGATCCGAGAGATCGCCAAGGAGCAACACTTTGTCGATAGTGAGATGTGGATCGCGAAGGCTTTGCAACTGTACCAGATTCAGAGCATCCACCATGGTGTCATGATGGTTGGTAAATCGGGATCAGGTAAATCAGCTGCTTGGAAAATTCTACTGCAAGCCATGCAACGCATTGAAGGCGTCGAAGGCGTCTCGCACATTATTGACTCGAAGGTCATGTCCAAGGAAGCTCTCTATGGTAACCTTGACAGTACGACCCGTGAATGGACTGACGGTCTTTTCACCGGTATTCTGCGAAAAATTGTCGATAATCTTCGTGGAGAGGACAGCAAGCGTCACTGGATTGTGTTCGATGGTGACGTCGACCCCGAGTGGGTTGAGAACTTGAACAGTGTTCTGGACGACAATAAGCTGCTCACACTACCCAATGGTGAACGTCTCAACCTGCCTCCAAATGTGCGCATCATGTTTGAGGTTGAGACTTTGAAGTACGCCACTTTGGCCACTGTCAGTCGTTGCGGTATGGTCTGGTTCAATGCCGATACTGTCACTCCTTCCATGATGATCAACAACTATGTGGAAGGACTGAAGACCAAGATTTTCGAGGACCTCGATGATGACAGTGTTCCTGCTGGAACATCCGCTGCTAAAACCCAGGATACCCAAGAAATGCTTTCCACGGTCCTCAAACAGCACCTGGAGACCGACGACCTGGTGCTCAAGGCGCTAGAGGAGGCGAAAAGGTACAACCACATCATGGACTTCACTGATATTCGTGCCCTCAACACTATGTTCAGCTTGCTGAACAAGGCATGCCGTAATGTCTTGGAGTACAACATACAACATGTCGACTTCCCGCTGGACTCGGAGCAAATTGAGTCCTATATCTCCAAGAAGCTTCTGCTCACCCTCGTCTGGTCCTTCACCGGTGACTGTCCTCTTACCGACCGCAAGGCCTTTGGTCAGTACGTCGCTGGAATGACAACCATTGACCTTCCGCCGGACGGTGACTCGTCTCTCATTGACTACGATGTCACCCTCCCGAAGTCAGAGTGGGCCAGCTGGCAGTCGCAGGTGCCTACAATCGACATCAACACCCACTCAATCACCCAGACGGACGTTATTATCCCCACCGTGGATACCGTACGTCATGAGGATGTGTTGTACTCCTGGCTTGCTGAGCACAAACCTCTCCTGCTGTGTGGTCCTCCTGGATCTGGTAAAACTATGACGCTGTTTGCTGCGTTGAGGAAACTGCCAAACATGGAGGTTGTCGGCCTCAACTTCTCTAGTGCTACCACTCCGGATCTTTTGATCAAGACTTTCGAGCAGTATTGTGAATACAAGAAGACTCTCAATGGTGTGGTGATGTCTCCCAACCAGATTGGTCGTTGGCTCGTCATATTCTGCGACGAGATTAATTTGCCCGCCCCCGATCGATACGGCACCCAGCGAGCCATCTCCTTCCTGCGCCAGCTTGTGGAACAGAATGGCTTCTGGCGCACTTCCGACAAGACCTGGGTCAGCCTTGATCGTATTCAGTTTGTTGGTGCCTGTAACCCGCCGACTGATGCAGGCCGTACACCAATGGGCGACCGATTCTTGCGCCATGCTCCTCTCATCATGGTTGATTACCCCGGTGAGATCTCGCTCAACCAAATCTACGGCACCTTCAATTCTGCTGTTCTCAAGATTCTGCCACTGCTCCGCGGATATTCCGAGGCCCTCACAAAGGCCATGGTGCAGTTCTACCTTGAGTCGCAAGCAAGATTCACGCCCAAGATTCAGCCCCACTATGTCTACTCTCCTCGTGAGCTGACTCGCTGGGTTCGTGGTCTCTACGAAGCGATCAAACCGCTCGAGTCTTTGCCCATTGAGGGCCTTGTCCGAATCTGGGCCCATGAGGCTCTGCGTCTGTTCCAGGATCGTTTGGTCGCTGAGGACGAGCGAGCTTGGACTGCGGATGCTGTTCGCCGCATTGCCCTGGAGCATTTCCCGACCATTGACCAAGAGGAGGCATTGAAGGGTCCCATCCTGTTCTCCAACTGGCTGTCCAAGCACTACGTACCCGTGGAGCAGGAGCGTCTGCGCGACTTTGTCAAGGCTCGTCTGAAGACATTCTGCGAAGAAGAGGTTGATGTTCCTTTGGTGCTGTTCAACGATGTCCTCGAGCACGCGCTTCGCATCGACAGAGTGTTCCGTCAGCCTCAAGGCCATCTCATTCTCATTGGTGTTAGCGGAAGTGGAAAGACGACATTGTCCCGCTTTGTTGCTTGGATGAACGGCTTGAAGGTCTTCCAGATCAAGGTGCACGGGAAATATTCGTCGGAAGACTTTGATGACGATCTGAGGAGCGTTCTTCGCCGGGCTGGTTGCAAGGGTGAGAAGATTTGTTTCATTATGGATGAAGCCAACGTTCTTGACTCTGGATTCTTGGAACGTATGAACACCTTGCTTGCCAACGCCGAGGTTCCTGGTCTCTTTGAGGGCGATGAATTCTCCTCGTTGATGACTGCCTGTAAAGAAGGAGCCCAGCGCCAAGGCCTTATTCTGGACTCTCAGGAGGAGCTGTACAAGTGGTTCACACAGCAAATCGTCAAGAACCTGCATGTGGTCTTTACAATGAACCCACCTGAGGAGGGACTGTCTTCCAAGGCCGCCACTAGTCCTGCGTTGTTCAATCGTTGCGTGCTCAACTGGATGGGTGACTGGTCCGATCAAGCCTTGTTCCAGGTTGGCTCCGAACTTACCCAGTCCGTGGACCTTGACAAGCCCAACTTCGTCGCTCCTGACAGTATACCCGTTGCCTACCGCGAATTGTCTCTGCCGGCTTCGCACAGAGACACTGTCATTAACGCAATGGTGTTCATCCATCACTCGTTGCACCGGTTCAACCAGCGCCTGCAAAAACAGCAAGGCCGGTCTACTTTCCTCACTCCTCGCCATTACCTTGACTTTGTTGCCCAATATGTCAAGCTGTTTAATGAGAAGCGCGAGGATCTCGAGGAGCAACAGCGTCACTTGAACGTCGGTCTTGAGAAGCTTCGCGACACAGTCGACAAGGTCAGCGATTTGAGGGCCAGCCTAGCCCAGAAGAAGACACAGCTGGAAAAGAAGGACACGGAGGCCAATGAGAAGCTGCAGCGCATGGTTGCCGACCAACAGGAAGCGGAGCAAAGGAAGCAGGTGTCTTTGGAGGTTCAGCAAGCTTTGGAGAAGCAGGAGAAGGAAGTAGCAACGAGAAAGGAGGTCGTCTTGAACGATTTGGCTCGTGCTGAACCTGCAGTCCTGGAGGCTCAGAAGAGTGTCAGCAACATCAAGCGCCAACACCTGACTGAGGTTCGTTCCATGGGTAACCCCCCAGCTAGCGTTCGACTTGCTCTTGAAGCCGTATGCACACTTCTCGGTCACAAGGTCGATAGCTGGAAGACAATTCAGGGTATCATCCGCAGGGAAGATTTCATTGCCAGCATCGTCAATTACGATAATGAGCGCCACATGACCCGCAACCATCGTGTCAAGATGCAGAACGAGTTCCTGTCCAAGGAAGACTTCACCTACGAGCGAGTGAACCGTGCCAGTAAGGCATGTGGTCCCTTGGTTCAATGGGTTGAGGCTCAAGTCAACTACTCAGCCATCCTGGACCGCGTCGGACCTTTGCGCGAGGAGGTCGACCAGCTTGAGGAGCAGGCTCTGCAAACTAAAGCAGAGGCACAGGCTATCGAGAATACCATTCAGGGCTTGGAGAGCAGTATCGCCACCTACAAGGTCGAGTACGCTGCCCTGATCAGCGAGACTCAGGCAATCAAGACCGAGATGTCCCGGGTCCAATTCAAGGTTGATCGCAGCGTACGTTTGCTCGACAGTCTGGCCTCTGAGCGTGAGCGTTGGGAAGAGGGCAGCAAATCGTTCGAGACTCAAATTAGCACCCTCGTTGGCGATGTACTTATCGCTGCTGCTTTCCTTGCCTATGCTGGTCTTTATGATCAGCAGTTCCGTAAAGCGATGATCGATGACTGGGTCCACCAGCTTGCTCAGTCTGGCATCAGTTTCAAGCCCCACAACCCGATCACGGAGTATCTTTCCAATGCCGACGAGCGTCTCACCTGGCAAGCAAACTCTCTCCCTGTCGACGATCTCTGCACGGAGAACGCCATCATCCTGAAGCGGTTCAACAGATACCCTCTGATTGTCGACCCATCCGGTCGTGTCACAGAATTCTTGCAAAGAGGAGAGCAAGGATCGCAAGCTCACCGTCACAAGCTTCCTAGACGACTCTTTCGTCAAGCAACTGGAGAGCGCGCTGCGTTTTGGAAACCCTATTCTTATCCAGGATGCAGAACATTTGGACCCGATTCTCAACCACGTCCTCAATAAAGAATACCAGAAAACTGGCGGTCGCGTTCTTATCCAGCTCGGCAAGCAAGAGATTGATTTCTCCCCATCGTTCAAGCTGTTCCTTTCGACCAGAGATCCTTCTGCGCAATTCCCACCGGATGTTTGCAGTCGGACCACCTTTGTCAACTTTACGGTCACACAGAGCAGTTTGCAGACGCAGTCGCTCAACGATGTTCTCAAGTTTGAGCGGCCCGACGTGGATGAACGTCGCAACAACCTGGTCAAGATGCAAGGCGAGTTCAAGGTCCATCTTCGACAGCTTGAGAAGCGCCTGCTACAGGCCCTGAACGAATCTCGTGGTAACATTCTTGATGACGACAATGTCATCGAAACGCTCGAGACTCTCAAGAAGGAGGCTGCCGAAATCTCGAAGAAGATGTCTGAGACGGAGGGCGTCATGTCTGAAGTCGAAAGCATTACTCACCAGTACAGCAGCATTGCCCGGGCATGCAGTGCCGTTTTTGCAGTCCTGGAGCAGCTTCACCATATCAACCACTTCTACCAGTTCTCGCTTCAGTACTTTGTCGACATCTTCAATGCTGTTCTCTACCAGAACAAGCGCCTTGCCCAAGAGAAGGACCACGCGGCTCGTGTGCAGATCATCATTCAGGATCTGTTTATTACCACCTATCAGCGGACCTCGCTGGGTCTCGTACAGAAGGACCGCATTACATTGGCGATTCTTCTTGCCCAGGCTACGCCTTTCCCCATGGATAGAGCCATATTAGACCGCATTCTGGATGAGTCCGTTGAGGATACTGATCTCTCGACAGCCTCCGACGCCCGCGAGCAGGTGATGAGCAAACTCCTCAATATCCCGCTCTTCAAGGAGCTCGTTCCCGAAATCCCTCAAGATCAGTGGGATCGCTTCTTCACTGAGGAAATTGCAGAGAACGCAGTTCCTGTCGTCTGGAAAGAGGATACCCCCAAACTGGACCAGTTGCTCCGATCATTGCTTCTTGTCAAGCTTTGCCGCATGGATCGATTTGTCCCGACTGCCGAGCGCTTCGTTGAGGCCGTGTTTGGCCGGGAACTCTACGAAGGCAGTAGTGATCTTAAGGACGTGGTCGACCAAGTCACAGCGACAACCCCTATCGCTCTCAGTTCCAGCCCTGGCTTCGATGCCAGTTACAAGGTAGATGCACTGGTTGAGCGCACGCATGCCACCTGCGCCAACATTGCCATGGGTTCAAATGAAGGTCTCGAAAGCGCAGACAAGGCAATCAGCAACGCCGCGGCAACAGGTAACTGGGTGCTTGTCAAGAACGTCCATCTGGCGCCTTCGTGGCTCCAGAGTCTGGAAAAGAGATTGGATTCTCTCAAGCCTCACAAGGAGTTCCGGCTCTTCTTGTCTATGGAATCCAGCCCCAAGATCCCGGTCAACCTCATCCGTGCCTCTCGCGTGTTGATGTACGAGCAGCCTGCTGGTGTCCGCGCCAACATGAAGGACTCTCTGTCTTCTTTGACTACTCGTGTCAGCAACGCCCCCGTGGAGAAGGCTCGTGTTTACCTTCTCCTCTGCTTCCTCCACGCTGTGGTCCAAGAACGTCTCCGCTACGCACCAAACCTCGGATGGAAGGGCTTCTGGGAGTTTAATGACAGCGACGTAAGTGGACCCCCCCCTTCAACACCCTTGTCCCTATAGTCACCACATATTTGCTAACATCTCTCATATAGTACGAATGTTCAGCTAATATCATCGATCACTGGGTCAACGTAGTGGCCCAAGGCCGTTCCAACGTCGCACCCCAGAAACTGCCCTGGGAGATGATCCGCACCCTCATCACAGAGATGTACGGTGGCAAGATTGACGACGCCGGCGACTTCCAGCAACTAGACGGCCTAGTCAACAACTTCCTCACCCCCGCCGCCTTCGAAGACGAGCACAAACTCGTTTCAGGCGTTGAGAACGACGAGCTCCTCACACTGCCTAGCGGCACTAGCATCCGCGACTTCATCAGCTGGGTGAACAATCTCCCCGAGCGCGAGCCGCCCACTTACTTGGGTCTCCCAGCCAATGCAGAAAAGCTCCTGCTTGTTGGCCATGGTCGCAAGATGATCTCGGACTTGTCTCGTATCACCACGCTTCTGGATGAAGGCGAGCAGCTGATGGTTGACAACTAGACTTTTTTTTCTGCGTCCTGCTTTCTTTTTTCTATTTGATATTTTATTCCGCGGTCTGGCGTTCTCTAGACTTGGGGTTGGCGAGAGAATGAATGGTTTTATACCCCAAGGCCGCTGGCGGATTGATTCGTGATGTTATTTGGGATGTACATCTACTCAGATTTATGACTGACTGTCTTTCTTTGTACAGCTTTTCATTTCTTGTTTATTACTGGACTTTAAATCGTGTCCTTTTTGCACAATCTTCTCCCAATGTTTTCTACAATTACTTTTCCTCTTGTGTTCGTTCTATCTTCACTGTAGAGTTTGCTTTACCAACGGTCATTTTCAATGTAACATAACGAGTGCATTTCTCATGATTAGAGAGGAATATGGTCAATAGCATTAAGGATCCAGTATACAATCTGTAAGATATCTGGCACGTATCGGGCAAGTCCATAGTGACTGCTCAACACATCATGTAGAGTTTCTTCAAAAACAAAACGCCAACGAGTGATGGTTCCTATGTACGGAAGAGGAGCAATGACTCGCATCACCATATTTAGGAGATGAAAGTCGACTCTGAGAACATAGTTCCCTCCTCCTCAGTCTCGGTGTCGCCCACCTTGACCTTCAGCTTCAGCTTCTCCTGTGGAGAGAACTGTTATTTTGGTTAGTATAAAGTATGGTGAGTGGGAAATGCGGGGCAAGGTTGGGAGGGTTGTACCTGGAAGATGTATGGCCGGGTCCCAGCAACGCTGCCAGCAATGGTCTTGATGAAGCCGGGGACCTCACCCATAACGTCAACGCGATCCTGGCGCTTGCCGAGAGGACCCTCGACGGCAGCGGTGAAGTCCTGACCGTCGGCAGTCTTGCCAGTCCACTCCCACTTGATGGAGGTGGGCTCGGGCCAGTCGCTCTCTGGGTCTTGTGTGGACGCGGTGTGGGTCACGGTGTTGGTGGCACCAGCGTAGACAATCTCACCATCCTTCAAGACACCGCCGACGTTGACCTTGGTCGAGCCATAGGAGGGAGGAGTGGTAAACTCCATCATGATGGCGGAGAAGGTGGGAGTCTGGAAGTTGATGAAGTTCCAGCGGGCGGCTACATAGGTGTTAGTTTCCGGTCTTTGACTGGTCATTCAGAGCTCCTACCAGCGTGGTGTGGCTTCATGCCCTGCAGAGCGGCGATGAACACTCCGCGGCCGGTCAAGTCGTAGGTCTTCTCCTTGGTAGTAAGGGTACCCTCGACGGCACAGCGGGGCCAGAACCCGTGGTACATGGAGCCCCAGGGGTTCTTGGGGTCGGTTCCAAAGTATGAGGTTCCATCCTTGCCGACAACGAAGCCCGGGGCCTGGCGGGTAACCTTGATGTCGACAATGCTGTCCCGGTTGACAGTGGACTTGATTTGGTAGGCGTCGCCTTCATCGTTCAGAGTGAGGGTCAGGTTATCAGCGCCGAAGGAGTGCATCTGCTCATCGAACATGCAGTTGGAGAGCGAATCGGTATGCCAGACGTGCGGCTTATCGCCTTTGACGTTGAAGATCTTGGTGTTGAAGTGCGCGGTGGTGTGGATACCCCTATAGACCCGCCAGAGCCGCAAGGCATGTCGTCAGTGATCTGGAATATGGGACCAGCAGATCTAATGGATCCCAGTGTGCTCCATCTGAAGAAAAAGAAGGATATGCTCACGCGATGTTGCTGTAGATGACCTGGACCATGAAGAGGTTTCCGTCGTCGGCCATGATGTAGAAGGTCTGAGTCTCCACATTGGTGTACTGGTATGCCTTCCAGCGCAACTTGTCCTTGGACAGAGCGGAATAGGGAGTCTCGCTGGCCTGCTGAGCGACCGACTGGATGGCTTCGGGGCCGTAGATGGGCTCTTGCGTGCCGACGGCCGCAGAGAGACTGCCCGCCATTGAAATTGGATCAGTCACCATCGTCACCACACAGCATCACAGAGCGAGAAACATACGTCGATTTGAGCCAGTTCATGATTAGAATATCGTTATGCGCAACCACGTCAAGGAAGTTCTGGAAGCGATCAAAGCAAATTAGAAAAAAATAAAAGGGAAAAGGGAGGTGAAGGAGAGAAGGGAGATCGACACGCGGGGCGAGTCTAGTTCGGATGCGAATGGCAAGCCCGGCGAGCTGATTTGTGACGAACCGCGCAACGACCGGATCAGCTCGGTCCACCACAGATCAAGTCGAACTGATGAGAACGCACCGATTGATGGAATTTCGGCTTTTGAGATTTGAGGTTTGAGCTTTGCAGGGAAAGCGAGAAGGAACAATGACGTTTGGCAGTCTTCAGCTGTTTCGCTTGGCGACCGAGCCAATCAGCGGCCGCGCCAGGAAAATCTGCCCGTCTTCAGCGGCTTCACTTTTGGTCCGGCGATTTCGGTGCTTTCCTCTTGATCCTTCTCCTTCCCAACCCTCCATCCCACATTCCTCATTATGGCCAGAAACGCGCTGCAGAAGGACCAATTCGTCAAGCTGATTGTCGGCGCTGGTCAGGCCAGCCCCAGTCCCCCAGTCGGTCCGGCGCTGGGTAGCAAGGGTGTCAAGAGTATGGACTTTTGCAAGGTGAGCTCCCCGGCTTCTTGTGTCCTGATATCTCTTGATCTCAACTGATATCTTGATAAATAGGAATTCAATGCCCGCACTGCTCACATCAACGTCGGTGTCCCTATCCCCTCGCGCGTCACCGTCCGCCCGGACCGCTCCTTTTTCTTCGACTTGCGCACGCCAACAACCACCTACCTCCTCCTGAACGCTGCCAATGTCGAGCCCCGGAAGAACCGTCTGCGCGGTGCCATGAACCCCGGCCACGAGATCTGCGGCAAGATCTCGCTCAAGCACGTCTACGAAATTGCCAAGATCAAGCAGAGCGAGACGCGGCTCTCGGGATTGAGTCTGCAGGGGTTGTGCAAGAGCGTCATTGCGCAAGCCAAGTCGATTGGCATCCAGGTTATTCCTTGAGGGACTACGCACGATGACCACTATGATTTCTTCGTTTTCCTGTATCACTACGATCGCATTGAGGGCCGGTGGTTCCGACCGACCGGCTGGCCACTTTGTCAGTGGGCATACCTTGGCAGAGTCCACTTCATTAGCCAGATGATCTTTTGTGCGATATACCTCCCGTGTCTTTTGAGGTTCTGTTTTCCCAGGGCGTTTATGTGCGGAGAGGCGAGATGGGGGCGCCTTCTTCTAGCTTGTATTATACACTTCACACTCCATACTCCATACTTCAAACCCCAGTTTGTCTGATTTCAATTACCCCAATGCATGCTGTTTGAGCGGTGTATATGTTGCGATTTCTAGGGAACACAAGCTAAAGTCTAGCCAAGGAATGTTGCAACTATCTTCTTACACACCTCAGACCTGCCCACAGCAATGGTCATCTGAGCATACTTGTGGACGGTCCTTGCGGCTCTCCTGGTGGTACTACAACATGAGCGATAGAAATACTCTCCGGTCTGGCCAGAATGAGGGAACTCAATCGAGTCATACTTAGATATGGTTGACCATCTTGCGTGTTTGAAGTGATTTTGCAGAGTATGGCCGGACTAGACCATGCTGTGCGACTATTCTTATTAGAGTACAATGTATATAAACTACTCCATACAAGGAAGACCACCTCCAAGTGCTTTGCAATCCAGCTGGCTTGGCGAGTATGACGGCCAAGAAGAGCGGTAATATGGGGCGATCAAACCGCCTTGGCTAGCATGGCGATGGCCATGACCAGCCTGGTCTAGGTGGTCTAGTCGAGACAGGGTGACATGGATTCACTCGCTAATATCTTGTATCTATGGGGATTTACAGACCGAGTCCAATTAACCTATCATTGTTGAGATCCCAAATGTCCCCTGGGACACCGCAGACGAGGGACTCGGGAGATCCTCGTGGAGACCCAGCGCCCATGGTCCGTGAGGGGCCATGCTTATGCTGTCCCACTCTGCCCAGTGCCTCCTCCGGGGTATCAAAGGCTAAGTAGATCGCGGTCGAGTACCGTATGTAGCACAAAAGTCCTCCCTCAATCTGCCTTCCGGGTGGGAGGGCCAATCACCAGCCCCTGGGGGAGCGTGACAGGCTCCAGCAGGTGAACAGGGCTCGATGCACGCTGCCAGCAGGGAATCGCCAGGAATCGCCAGGAATCGCCAGGAATCGCCAGGACTAGCCGGTTTGGGCAAAATTCCAGACGTCCGGAAGAATTGATCGTTGATTGAGTCTGATCCCTGGCCCGGTGCAGAAGGCCAGGAGCGAGCACATGCCCGAGGGAGCACCGTGAGTGGTGGCAGCCGCAATAAGCGATCATTAACTCTGGATCGGGTTACCTGCGTTAGTGGGAGTTCCAGTAGCTCAGGGCTAAGGCGAGAGGTCTGTGACTGCTGCTGCATGTCAAGAATACTGTAGTTAGTTAGTCGTTACTCATCATATCGTATCCGCCCAGTTCATGGGGGCCCGGGAAGTCGGCACGAGCACCAACTTAGTGTGACCTTCACGAGGGGTCATCGACATCGACATCATAGGCCACGCCCTCCGAGCTGGTCCCCAGCTCCGCGGACTTCCGACTTGAGTCATCCCCCTCCAAGGAGGAAATTTCAGAATGGGAGGAGAGGAGGACGTAGATCAAAAAGAAAGAACTGTTTCTTCAGGAACAGAACAATATCCTAAAGAGAAAGACAAAAGTAGTGGAATACTAATGCCAACTTGGTGAAGCTGTTCCAACATAAACCCCCCACTACAGTTTGGCCTCAATCCTCAGGCCCAGGATTCCCCCCCCAAAAACTCCAAATCCTCCAAAGTCGCTCTCGTCACCTTTCCGGCGCGTCCAATCCTGCCTCCTCCTCGTCCTCCTCCTCCTCCCTCTTCTCTCCCCCTCTCCTCCTCCGTATCTTTAATCTTCTTCTTCTTCCTCCTCTTATCCCCCCTTCGTGGTCTCCCTCAAGTCGAGGAAATATCCTTCACCCCCGCTTCGTCCCGTTGCAGTCGCACGGGCTAATCATACGGATTCGGCCCGCCGAAAAGTTAAAGGAAAAGATTTGCCTCACCCACGTAATCGACAACAGGCTGCTTTTCGCCCCGGAATCGCCATCCTCTTCTGGACCTGGTGCCTACCAAACCGTCAATCGTGAAGAATCGAAACAAAAGGCACCACAAGTTTCACCCTCCTTCCTAACCTTTCCCGTGATATCCTTCTTCCAGTCCGCGAGGGGCATGCGTCCCACCTGAGTCCCCCGAGTTGGTTCGTCGATGAGTATGACGTCTGAAACGGCTGAGTGCTCGACCCCAACCGCCAACTCTATGGAGTCAGGTATGTCTTGGCCCACTCGACCATTCTATTGCGATTAGCATCTCTGGCATTTCAGTACCCTGACTCTGCATGCTTGAATTGTTCCCTCCCCAGGTTTCCAGACACTTCAATCTCCCGCCAAGATGTCTGCCCAGCCGTCGGAGGCCGGTGACGCCGATGCCAAGTCGAAGTCACAGCCTGGCCAGGTGCGCTTTTCCTCCGTCACGCAGGAGATCGAACCTTCCCAGGCCATGCTGTCGCCTGTCTCAGAGGCTCCCCAGCAACCAGACCAGCCCAAACAGGCCCCTGATGAAGCGGAATTGCGGTCGCTTGCGATGAGCTTGCAGAGATCGCAGCTCCAGGAATCTCGTCTACGCAACTTTTCGTTCGAGCCAATGTCTCTTCCACCTTCCAGGGTATGTCTCTACAGTTTATCTTGTACCAATTCAGTCACGGGTGTGGAGCGTGCAGGAGACCCATGTATGATGGGAGTCAAGAGGGACTTATTCCCAAATCCCGCTTCCGTCGGGGTCTCCTGAAAGTCCGCCCAACTGTACTTTCCACATCACCTCGCATGCTAACTGCTTTTCCACTCAATCTAGGTTGGGTCTCGAGAATCGAGTGACCGCAGTGTCCACGGCACTGGTTCGTTCGTGGCTTCCCCTCACGATTCTCCCCCCGTTTCTGCAGTTCAGTCACCTCCCCTAACCCCGGCCGTCACCACCTCCCGCGAGGGCCGAGCTGGCGATAGCGTGACCGCCCTTCATGCCGTTGGCCGAGCCACTGGACACCATCCCGCAATCACACCTGAAACCTCCCCTCCGGTCACATCCGGCGACAAGAATGGGGTCCCACGAAGCGCCCCAACTTCGCGGCCCTCTTCCACCCATCAACTGTCCATGAAACAGAGCGGTTCCTCGGAACCTCCGCCTGAAATCAATACCTCCGTCCCGAGACACCGTGCTCAGTTCTTCACCGGGGCCGATGTGAGCTCCCAGGAAGAAAGCCCTCCAGCAACCCCGAGAGACTCCCACACGCCACCGGGCGCCATCACTCCCGTCGGCGAACCTAACGATCCGTATGCCCGCAGCAAGCGCCCACCACAGTCAAAGAACCTCGCCCAGCTCGACGCACGGTTTATCTTTGGCAGTCGGGATTCGAAGCGATCATTTCGTCCTGGTAATCCCCCGCGGTCGACTAGTGCCAGTGATCTGGGTAAACCCAACGACAAGCGGTCTAGCAAGAAGGAGTTGAATGATAAGATCGGGCATGGGCATCACCACCATGGCTCCATGTCCGAACTCAAGCGGTTCTTTAAGATGGGCCACCGTCACAAGCGGCCAGAGTCACCCACGTCGGCTAGCAAACGGTCCAGCCGCAATTCAGGGAAGAACACCCCTTATCAGATGGCACCCGACAATGTACCATTTGCCGATGATCACGGGTTGAATTCGAAGTACGGAAAGATGGGGCGTGTGCTAGGATCTGGCGCTGGAGGCTCGGTTAGACTTCTCAAGCGAAATAGCGACGGTGTGACGTTTGCTGTGAAGCAATTCCGGGATCGACACAGCTGGGAAAGCTTGAAGGAGTACTCGAAGAAGGTGACGGCTGAATTCTGTATCGGCTCGACCTTGCACCACGGCAACATTATCGAGACTCTTGATATCATTCAGGAAGGAAGCCATTGGTACGAGGTTATGGAGTACGCGCCATTCGATCTCTTCGCCATTGTCATGACCGGCAAGATGACCAAGGAAGAGGTTGCCTGTTCATTCAAACAAATTCTTAGCGGTGTGGCATACCTCCATGGGATGGGTTTGGCTCACCGGGATTTGAAGCTGGACAATGTTGTGGTTAACGATCGCGGTATCATGAAGCTGATTGACTTTGGAAGCGCGGTTGTCTTCCGCTATCCATTTGAGAATGATATCGTGCCTGCTTCAGGTATGGATCATCTTTGCGTTTCTCGAAAACAGCTTGAGTTAGTACTAATCATGTATCTTAGGCATCGTTGGTTCCGATCCGTACCTCGCACCTGAGGTCTATGACGAGAAGAAATATGACCCCCGTCCCACGGATGTTTGGTCGCTGGCGATCATCTTCTGTTGTATGACCCTGCGCCGCTTCCCGTGGAAGCAGCCGCGCACGACGGACAACTCTTACCGTCTGTTTGTGGCCACCCCGACCCCTGGCACTCCGGTTCCCGATCTCGATCCTCGCCGTCACCCCAAAGCCAAGTCTAACCCTGATCTACCTTCTACGGCCCATGAGCCCAAGCACCATGAGGCGTCCGACAAGCCCGCTCCCCTCGTACCTCCCCCGGCAGCCCCAGAACAGAACGGGACCAAGCCGCCCGACTCTCCTACCAAGGACAGCGACAAGTCCGGCGAAGCTGCACAGAAGCAGGTCAGCCAGACCAGCGTTAATAACAAACCTACGCGCACCACCAGCAAAGAGGCGCCGCCTCTTCCGCCAAATGCTCCGCCGCCGGCCCAGCGCCAGGAAGTTATCAAGGGTCCCTGGCGACTTCTCCGCATCTTGCCGCGGGAAAGTCGGTACATCATTGGCCGCATGTTGAAGGTCAACCCGAATGAGCGAGCAACCCTGGACGAGGTGCTGGCGGATGAATGGGTGCGCAATATCATGACCTGCCGACAGGAAGACTCGGGAGTGGTCATCAGTGCCTCCAACCATACTCACGTCCTCGAGCCACCTTCCCAAAGCCCCGCCGTTGCCAGCAAGGGCGCCAAGGCTAAATAAGTCTCCCCCATACCCCCAACTCTCCTTTCGTGTATCAATTTACTCGACTTGTGCATAATTTCCTCTTGGGCCTGGATAACGGGCGCTCACATCTTGTCCCCTTTATCCTCCTCCCTTTCTTCAACCCTCCCTGCTTTCAACCGTGATGCCCTTCGCTTTCATCTAGATGATTTTGCTTTGCTACGGCTAGCTCAGAAATTCATCTTGGAGTCTTCCATTGTTTTGAGTCAATCTGTCAGATGAATGATCAGTGTGATTCGTGTTGGTATTCTTGTTCTCGCTGACCTGGTTAGCCTTGGGGGGAATGCGGGGAGTGGGTTGAATAGAATGTGCTCTGGCGTTGCAGAGAAGCCCCAAGTCCTGGCTCAAGTATGCAGCGGTAGATGTCTCCTGTTAGATCGTCATTGAAATGTTTGGCAGGAGGTTTCGTTTGTCTTTCTTGCACTGAACATCCTTCGTTTCGTGTCCCTACGGGTCGCTGGGGTTTTGTTTTCGCGGCTTATCTTCCGGTGTATGCGGAACCCGTGGGGCAGTAGATACTTCGGGATATAAAGAATATAGTCTTTTTCCATCAGAATGGCAAAAATCATATAATTACCGCAATATTACTTTCTTCTCATCTTGTAATGTTTCGTTGAAGACTTGTATAGAAAGATATTCAAAGATAAGATTCGGGATCAACCTGACGTAAGTCCCGAATCGGCGATATCGGCTAGCTTGGCCGCGGAGCAAATCCTTCGATCTCCATCGGATTGCGGAGCTCTGTTCACACTACACCGACCGGATTGCATTGCGGTTGGCAGAACCTGTCTTCTCTAGCTGCTTCTGTTGATCATCCGGACACATTGGACGATACAGCATGTCATTGCACTAAAATACCTTTGGGCAATCGAACTCTTTCCCGCTCGTCATGACACAGCAAGCCGACAGGGAGCCATTGGTCTCCTCCCTGTGGACGAGGTCTCTCCTGGTATGACACACACCCTCTAGACAGGCTTCTTGCTTGGAATTTGAGCCAATTGCTTACAATCCTCCAGTCCGGCGCCGTCGCAGGTCTCACCGTTGACTGCTCCCTCTATCCCCTCGACACTATCAAAACTCGTCTCCAAAAAGCACGCGACACAACCGCACCCCAGGTCTCCCGCCTCTCTCTACGCCAAACAATCCGCGGCATCTACGCAGGTCTCCCCTCCGTCCTCTTCGGCTCCGCCCCATCCGCCGCATCCTTCTTCATCGTCTACGACGGCGTCAAACGCTCCCTCCTCCCGCCATCCTCTGCCTCCTCCGAACCCCCCTCCCGCGCCCATGTCTTCTTCACACACTCCCTCGCCTCCTCGCTCGGTGAGATCTCCGCCTGCGCCGTACGTGTACCAACAGAGGTGATCAAACAGCGAGCCCAGGCCGGTCTCTTCGGAGGCTCTACTTTGCTAGCGCTGAAGGATATCCTATCCCTGCGACACGCAGTGCCGGAAACGCAGAGCACTGCTGGTTCAGGCTCCGCCGCCCCCGTCAAGCGTGGCTATGGCCAAGTTATCCGCGAACTCTACCGCGGCGCTGGCATCACCATCGCCCGCGAGATCCCCTTCACCGTCCTCCAATTCACTATGTGGGAATCTATGAAAGCCACCTATGCGCAGCGGTACCTGCAGCGCACCGAGGGCACTGCCACGAAGGAGGCCCAAATTCCTGCATCCACGAGCGCAATGTTCGGTAGTGTGGCCGGTGCGATTGCGGCTGGTCTGACGACCCCGCTGGACGTCATCAAGACGCGGGTTATGCTTGCGCGCCGGGGGGACGGCGGGGTGGATGCCCCGGTGCGAGTGAAGGAGATTGTGCGGGGGATTGCGCAGGAGGGTCTTGGTGCGTTCTGGCGGGGGATTGGGCCACGGGTTGCGTGGATTGGAATTGGCGGGGCGGTATTCTTGGGGAGTTATCAGTGGGCGTGGAATACGCTTGAGGGGACGACGACGGAGGAGGATGATTGAGGAGAGTGTAGGGTGGTTGTGAATGGATGAGGGTCTTTGAGAGACCTGCTGCTGTATATTATCATGGGATTGTTTCTGTTTCTATAGTTTTGGTATGACATGCTATATAGAGGGGATCTGGAGCACAGAGTGGGAATGTCATCTCATAGATCGATAGAGAAGTCTGCTATTTCTTGGCCTATCTCACCTTTGTCGAAATGTATATGACTTAACCTTCTTCTTCCGAGGTCTTCAGCATCCAACTAAGCTCTCGTACTTGTTCTGCCGTCAGTAATTCCCCCATCTTGTCTCTGCATAGGAACTCGAGGTCCGCAAACTCGAAGCCCGGGACAACCACCTGGACAAATCAGTATCGTGTATTTGACCGAGTCTGAATATCAATAGATATAGAAAGAGAACCAACAAAGAACACCTACCTCACTAATCAATAATCCATTCGAACCCCCAACCTCTCCACCGTCCTGATTGGATCTCTCCGGCAGCAAATAACTCGCCTTATACTTCCCCGCGCCCACCACCCACTGTAAGCGCTCCCCACGCGCCACATCGGGTCCGACCACAAAGCTCTCCAGCCGTGCCTTGCCTGTGCCTTTACCCGCTCCTCGCTCGAATTCCCCCGAGCCCTCGTGGCTGCATGTAGCCTCATCTGCGTGGATGATCACGTACCGCCCGCGTCCGCGGTGCCAGCTATGGATGGTTCGGCCCCAGTGCCGGTGGAAAACACCTAGCGGGGCGGTTGGGGTCAGTAAATAGAAGATGCTGGAACTTGCGGCACGGAGGGAGGTTTCATTCTCTTGGTGATTTGGGTGTGTCTGGATTGGGTGTGGACTGCGATCGGTCTCGGCGAAGTAGCCGCCTTCGGGATGGGGGTGAAGGTTGAGGGTTTGGATAAGACTGGATGAGGTTTGTAGAGGGTGGTGGTTGTGAGGGTTGTATACTGGTTTGATTTGAGAGATGGGGATATCCATAGCTGATATAGGAGTGTGAATGATTGCCTCCAAATGGTATCTGTTGGTATAGTTTAGTTGTTGTCACTCGGGTATATACTAACCTGGGCTCATCGGCAAAAAAGATTACGTTGAATCGACCTCGACAGGAACCATGGAGGCGAATGACATCAGCCCATGCAAGTGTTTAGTTTATTCGAGTATTATCAATCACTCATACTCCGTTCCCAAAATGAATACCCAAGGGTGTCGAAAGGGGCCCCTTTCTCGGTGATCCGGACCAAGCCCGACCCCCAGAAAATGCGCTTTGGCGTCGCGCCTGCCCCCCTGGCGGCCTGTTTCTCTCCCCTCTCCCTCTCCCATCCTTTCCCCTCATGAAATCATCCTTCTTCTTCCCCCCGTCTTCTCTTGTGGAAACACCAATATCCCTCTCCGACCTTCCCTTCTTTACTTCCTCCGTCACAATCACTGACCTCCCTCCCCCTCCATTTTACACGTGGACTGTGTGGGTGAAGGCTTGTGACGTCGCTCTCCCCACCAAAACGAGTGATCGGCCCTTTAACCAGGCAGATAAGCTCCGCATCCCCTCCGCAATTCCCTTTCCCACGCCGCAACTGCATGTATGGCACGGAAACTAAGCCACCAGAGGGTCACGTATGGTAAGCGGCCTTTCTCTCAAATTGAAATCTCAACTGGTGATCGTCCACGCACGCTGACTCTTATCGACCAGTGCTCCCTCTGCCTGATGCCCCCGGTGGGCACCGGCTGGGGGTCAACGGCCTGACCGTCGACCGTCAGAACTCCATCCTGTAAGCAGAGCACCTCCCCCGGCTTTCCCCTTCTGTGGAAAGACCATACCAGGAAAAAGAAAATGCCCTCATATTCGATTGGTGTTTCTATCCCCGTACAACTCGGGTTGCTCTCTCGCAGCCGCTCTCCACGTGGGTTGCACAGCTTCTAATGTGACATCTGTTTCTGCCCGCTAGGTATTCCGCTGGTCGCGACGGTGTCATTTGCTCGTGGGACCTCGACTGCTCTCTAGCCTCGAACTCGTATTCCTCATCCAATCAAAAGCCGGGCCCGACTCGTTTCAAGACTCAGGTCCAGGCCCATAGTCACTGGATCAACGATATCGTCTTAACCCAAGATAACTCAGCCGTCGTCTCGGCCTCGTCCGATACCACCGTCCGACTATGGCGTCCACATTCGGAGTCAACGGATGTCCCTGAACGCATCGGAAAACATAGCGATTATGTCAAGGCGCTCGCGACTCCCGGCGGCCAGGCCAGTTGGGTTGCGTCCGGTGGTCTTGACCATAAGCTTTACTTGTGGGATCTGAATGGCGGCGGCGAGATTTTGAGCATCGATGCTGGTGGAGACGATACGACCGAAAAGGGCTCCGTCTATGCCTTGGGTGCGGTGAATTCTGTGCTTGCCAGCGGTGGGCCGGAGAACGTGGTCCGCGTGTGGGATCCCAAGTCTGGGAAACTCGTGACCAAGTTCGTTGGCCATACGGATAACGTTCGGGACATCCTGGTCAATGAGGCTGGTGATACGATCATTACCGCCTCGTCAGACCAGACCATCAAGGTCTGGTCGCTCACGGCGGGTCGCTGCATGAACACCCTAACCATGCATAACGATAGCGTTTGGTCGCTGTACTCGGACGAACCAGATCTATCTGTGTTCTACTCTAGTGATCGCTCTGGTTTGGTTGCCAAGACCGATACTCGTGGTTCTGCGGATGTCGAGCAAGGCACCTGCGTTGCGGCGTTGCAGGAACACGAGGGTGTCGTCAAGGTTGTGGCAGCTGGTGATTTTATCTGGACTGCTACACCCAAGTCCAGCATCAACCGCTGGAGAAACGTCGATACCACGCTGGAGATCGAAGCACCTCCAGACCCGGCACGGACTATTGATTCGGCCGCAGCTGCACCGGCAAAGTCGAATGGCCAAACACCGAAGATCCCCTTCAATGCGGTCCTGCAGCTGTCAGCTACTTCGGAGCTGCTGCGTCCTGCTTCGCCTTCCAGTGGACACTCCGGGGACACGGGGCTGGAACATGACCTTGGTCTGACCATCCCCGTGCACTCGTTGCCCGAAGAAACCATCGAAGGCCAGCATGGTCTCATCAAGTGCCTGATGCTGAACGATCGCAAGCGGACCCTGACGCAAGACTCAGCGGGTGAAGTCGTTCTGTGGGACTTGCTCAAGGTAAAAATTTGGGCACTCCGAACTCACTTTGTCAGTATTGAATTCGTCCTTGACTAACGACGATTTTAGTGTGTTCCTGTTCAAACATTCGGCAAGCGCCATATGGATGACGTAGCTTCCGAGATCAACACTACAGAGAGCATCTCCCACTGGTGCACAATCGACATCCGAACGGGCAGGTTGTCGGTGATCCTTGAACCTAATCGTTGCTTCGATGCCGAGGCCTATGCGGATGAGGCTGAGCTCCCTGCGTCTGACCTATCACAGTTCCGGGAGGATCAGAGAAGTATGTATTATTGTGATGAAACCTGTGCTGCTAGTCGTCAATTTACTCACACCTCCTGCAGTTAACCTTGGAAAGTGGATCCTGCGCTGGCTTTTCGCCCCCCTCGTGGATGAAGAGATTCGACGGGATAACGAGTATCGCGAGGCCGCCATCGCCAAAGCGGAGGAACTTGCCAAACTCAATCCCCCGATTACCTCCGCTCCTGGTGATGATGTCCCTCGTAGTATGGGTATCCCCATTCACAGCGATGCTTCTGCGACCACTTTGCGCCCTGGAATGGACTTCGCGGGGATCCCGGCGACTCCAGGTTTTGGCATCAACATCGGCACGCCATCATCCGCGACATACCTGAGCACCTCCACGCAGAGTAACTCTTTCTTCCCAGCGTTTGACGCCGAGACTCCAGATCCTCTGTCTTCAAACCATGCAGCACACGACGGACACCCGTCATCCTTCTCGGATAGATCTGATTACTTCTCTTCTCGGCAACCTCAGATCGAGAGTGACAAAATTCCAATGTCGCCTTCTGATGTCGCTTCCAACTCAGGGCTTCCGCAATCCCCGACCGAACCTGACAAGGAGGAGCGTAAGAAGGGCTCATTCTTTGGAAAGAAGTTGAACTTCCCAAAGAAGCTTGGCCGCACTTCTACCGACACCAAGCCCCAGATCCTGGAAGAGAAGCCCGAGGAGTCTGAGATTTCGTCTGTGAAGGAAGAGAAGGTTTACGAGGCTAACATTAGCGGTGTCATTGATCGCATCCATGATGATTATGAGGAGTTCTTGTCTAATAATCCCAGCCAAAACTTGGTGACGGCGATTACTCCCAGTGCAGAGAACGAGACTCCTCGACTGGATATTCCTCCTCGAACTGCGGTGTTTATTCAGGAAGAGACTGGTGATACTGCAGTGGCATCGGATCTTTACCGTGGTAGTGTTGGTCTTATTGGACAAGACATTGAACGGTTGGAGAAGGCTATTCCTCACTGGCTTGGGGAATTACTCCTGAAGGTGTGTATCTCGTCCTCTCTTGACTGTTTGTTCCCTTGACTCTTCCCTGCGAATCTTCTAACTCCTGTCTAGAACCAAATCCCCTTCAAGGAGCAGGTGAAGATAGCATTTGTTCTGAAACCGTTTGATGATTCTTTGCCACCAGTGGTCAAGCCCGAACTGTAAGTTCTTCTAGATTTGCCACCGAGTGTCGAATTTGAAAGCTAACAAGTCTGTGCTGAAGACCCAGCGCCACTACTGGCCCTGCGAATGTTGTTAACAACAGCTCCCGGCTGAATGCCAATCGTATGCTGCGCACTAAGAAGGTCCTGGCCTACGTGGCGGAGCGAATTGATCCCCCGAACCCCGACGAGCCCGAGGCTAACCAAATGCCACCTGAGGAGTACCTTGAGCTGTATTGCCAGAAGATGGTAGGTTTCATCTGATCCACTTTTGAAAGCTCCCACGCTGATCTTTCTCTACTAGCTGTGCCCGCCCAATATGACTTTGGCCACCATTCGCACGCACCTCTGGCGCACCTCTGGAGACATGATTTTACACTACAAGGCCAACGGCAAAAAACAGATCCGACCCCCGCAGTCCTTGATGAACACCGACGATACCCATCTGACTGCGGATGAAGCCAATGTCCCTAACGGTGACGGCAATGCACCCCCGGGAAGTATTCACTCCATGACCAACTCCGGATCTGTTGCCGGCTCTGTCACCACCTAGGGGGAAACGACTCCAAACTATATCCCTGAAAATGTGTGTTTCTATAAGTTTTTTTTTCTTCATTTCTTTTCCTGATTAATTGCGGCCTGCGTAGCTTGTTCTGAATTGCAAGCGACGATATGTTCGAGCATTTCCTTTACTTGAGTACGCGAAGCATAGGCCCTTGGTACATATGGAGATGCTCTCTGATTTCCCCTTGTATTTGCTTGATATGCTCTATTCCCATGTGCTCTTTTGCTTTGAACTTGTAATCCTCGTCATGTCAGCGCTTGTACGCTATGGGTTGTCCAGCCTGTGTGGTGCAGCGCGTACGCTTTGTACGTAGACTCGAGATACCTCTTGCATATAATTCTATTGTCGCTATCTCGTTGATCACGCTTACGTGTGAGATAAAGGGTTTTAAGGTTACATCGTAGATTGTTGCTGACTATTATAAAGCAATCGGGCTGACTTATGGAGCCTCAGCCCAAGCGTAACGATCCTGTCACGGGGTTAAGCACACCGCGGCTCTAATTATGGCATTTGCACTCCCCATCTGGATTGTTATTAGGCTCTACGTGGGGAAAGAGCAGAGTCTTCAGCCAATAAAGACCCTCGAATCTGGAAGCATTCTGTCTCAGCTGGGCTGCACCGTGGACACACGCGAACTTACGTGAGGTGAGGTTGGTTGTTTTGCGGTGTAAGCTGGAAAGTCGTGCGCACCACCTTCCCCTCATAAGGCCCCTCACCAATCCTATGCCCCTCACCTGGAATTACAACTTCATTCATGATCCAAACCTAACATGGCAGACGATACTTCCACCCAGAATGTGCCTGAATATGACTTCGATCTCGGTAACTTCGAACGAAAGGTCACTACCAACAGTCCCGCAGCTCAAATCTGGTTCAATCGCGGCCTAACCTGGGCCTATGCCTTCAATCACAACGAATCCGCTGCTTGCTTCGAGCAGGCCATCGATAACGATGAAAACTGCGCAATGGCATACTGGGGTCTGGCATTGACACTTGGACCAAACTATAACCAGCCATGGACGTTCATCGGCGCCGAACTCCCTGAAGTAGTGAAGCGCACTTATAAGGCTTCCCGCAAGGCAATGTCTCTCATCGCTACCGCAACCCCGGTGGAACAGGCGCTCATCACTGCCATCCAGTCTCGCTATCAAAGCGATGAAGTTGCACCGATGGAACAGTACTCACTCCAGGATAAGGCCTTTGCGGAGGCGATGGAAGTTGTATATCGTCAATACGGTGACGATCTCGACGTGGCTACTGTCTACGCCGAATCACTCGTCATCAACAAGCCTTGGAAATTATGGGACCTGGTCACCGGAGAGCCTAGCCCAGGAACACGAACTCTTGATGCTAAGCTGGTGCTCGAGAAAGCGCTAGCGCAGAAAGGAGGATATCAGCACCCTGGCCTGCTGCACAACTACACCCACCTGATCGAGATGTCACCCACTCCAGAGCTCGGCTTACTTCCTTCGGATAACTTGCGTGATCTCGTCCCAGACTCAGGACACATGTGCCACATGCCATCTCACTTAGACATTCTTGTCGGAGATTATCGAGCCGCCATCCTGAGTAACCAGCGCGCAGCACGCGCAGACGAGAAGTTCATGCGCAAGCGTGGTGTTTTCAACTTCTATACCGTTTACCGCATGCATAACTATCACACACTGATTTACGCCGCGATGTTCGCCGGGCAGAAAGCCGTCGCACTCGACGCTGTCGATCGCATGGAGAATACCCTGCCAGAGGAGGTCCTTAAGGAAATGGCCAACTACGCCGAGGTCTTCGTCTCTGTCCGATGGCATGTCATGGTCCGCTTCGGCATGTGGAAGGAAATTATCGAGCGGGCTCTCCCGCATGATCCAGAATTATACTGCGTTACAACAGCGCTGGCATACTACGCCAAGGGCGTCGCATACGCAGCAACCGGTCACGTCCCCGAAGCAGAAAGCCAGAGAGAACTATACCTCGAGGCTGCCAAGCGGATCCCAGACACGCGCCTCGACTGGCCAAATAAATGCATCGATATCCTGGGTGTTGCATCCGCCATGCTGGACGGAGAAATTGAATATCGCCGCCGAAACTATACAGAGGCCTTTGCCCATCTCCGTCGCTCTGTCGAGCTAGATGATGCTCTGCACTATGGTGAGCCGTGGAGCTGGATGCAGCCAGCGCGTCATGCTCTGGCTGCCCTGTTGTTGGAGCAGGGTGAAGTGGAGGAGGCCGCGGCTGTGTATCGCGCTGATTTGGGTCTGGATGAATCGGTGATTCGTTCCCGCCGGCATCCGAATAATGTGTGGGCTTTGCAGGGCTATCATGAGTGTCTGGTGAGGTTGGGACGAGAGGATGAGGCGAAGGTTATTAAGCCGCAGTTGACGACTGCGATTGCTTTGGCTGATGTGCCGGTTACTTCGTCTTGTTTCTGTCGGACCGATACTGCGACGGCGCCGAATGCGAACGGTAGCTGTTGTTCCAAAGGTACAAGCAATCTTTAAAGGTTGATGATGCTTTTGGTCGGGACAACCTTGAGAATGGAATCCTGCCTTTAAACAGGATAAGGGGTCCATTGAATGGTTGTTTGATGACATGCCCATTTTAACTTAACATTAGGAAATAACACTTAGTATAGGCCAGATATATGCATTCATTCCAAGCATATTTCTGGCATTTCTGATTCTTTGGCAATTCACAATTTGCACTTGATTATTCTCCAACGGGGGCTGGACGTGATCTCAACTCAGCGAATAAACTGATCTAGTAATATTGAAGCGAATCCCACCAAAGTTGACTCTTTTACTTCCCAATTTATGCTCACGATATTATCTAGCCATTATCATAAACAAAGTAATTTCTCCTCATGTCAGGGTACCACTTTGGAAGTTCCATTCGCAGGAGGATATTCGGTATTTGGTCCCGGTGTTTCAAATGCCGATGTCGCCCAAACGCCGGCTGTCGTCGGGAGTGGCGGGCCTTCAACGCCGAAAGAATCTGGGAATCGACTTCTTCACCACCACTCGTCACGGCTACACGCAATACAAGATACAAGAAGGCAAACAAGGCCCAGGCTGATTGAGACTCCTCAAAGTCTGAAGAACACCATTGGCTGCATCCAATCCTTGCAGGTAGCGACATATCGCCCCGCCCCTTGGGTCTGCGATTCGGCAACGCGGAATTCAGTAGATTTAACTGAATTGAATTTATACGCGAAGTTCGAGGTCCACGGCAGATCCGATAAGACCACGTCTTTGAAGGCCCTTGCGCCTCAACCTAACTCCAACCAGCGACCATGCCCCGCGCTGCAAAGCCACCCGTGAAAGCTGCATGCCTTGCCTGGTAAGAATACTGTCTATTGGCGCACCACTAAGAAGTTCAGAGTTTGACGAAAAAACAGTCGCTCATCAAAGACTCGTTGCGACGGGGAAAGACCGTGTAGAATTGTAAGTGTTGTAGACCCATAAACAAGAACAATGACGGAGCTAAAATCTGCACATATCAGTGTTTAACCAGAGGCCGAGAATGTAATTATCAGCCAAGTCGCCGCGGTGGGCCCCGAAGAGGAATCCGTTATGCAGAGCTACAACAGCAACATCGTCTTGTATCGGATGAGCAGGGTTCACAGCTTGGATCGTCGCCCTCTGATATCGACGAAAACTTTGGTAAGACCATTCTAGAATGGCAGTCAGTGAATGAAGCAGCATCGGTTCTCACAAATAGTAGAGCCATTGCTAGACAATATGCTCGGTCTTGTTTCGCCACTTGCCGGTGTCCATAATCTGGACATATCTCCAGATGCCCTTTCTGATACCAGTGGAACGCGGCAACTCTGGGGTCAACTCACTCCGAGTGCAGATGACCCGTTTTCGTCGGTGTCGATTCCAGAAGCAGAGCCATCCGCTGTTCGATCATACCGATGTGAAGAGGATATGTATGACAATGAATTGAAGAACTTGACCTCCAGAGCAGAATGCTGATGAGTTTGATAGTGCGAATGCCTACTATATCTACATACACCCATACCTTCCGTTGCTACCGCCTCCTGTGACAGCGCTACGTGAAGATCAGCCTACCCTTAGCCGACCATCAAAAGAGACCAATGAGGCTAAAAAGACCGATTTGCAAATTTGGCCACAATCGTCTCTAAGCCTTGCATTGTCTGCACTCCTTGTCCTGATACCACCTTCTCAGGGTCCATTCTCGATGACGGAGGCAAGTATTGTCCTCAGACGCACATACGCTCAACTCTTTGCACAAGCTGCTTTAGCAAGTGTAGAAAAGGAAATCGATGACATGGGACCTGCAATACACTTCAACGCACCTGGTGCATGCCTGTCTCAAGGACATAGCCCGTTGCATTCGCAGGTGCCTCTTCAAATTGAGCCTATTCTGGCGCTTGTCGTACTCGCGATCTATGAATACTGTCAGCGTGGTAACGTCTCAAGGATGCGAGGCCGGATCAATCAAGCTGTCACTACAGCCATGGATATGTCTCTTCATGAGCTTGGCTCGACGACTACAGTAGCCATCGAAGCACAGAGACGTGCGTGGTGGATAACAGTGAGTCTCGTCCACTCCACGTCGACCTAGGTTCTAACAAATTTTAGATGTTCGTCGCATATCTCTCTTCGAATCTCCACCTGGCGGTATGATGACAACCCTAGTTTATCTCCTATCACCAGCTGATATCATGTTTCTAGCCGCCGGTTGTCACAGCAGACGACCCTCGCATAACGACATCTTATCCCAGTTTCGGTGTACACTTGGAGGTATGAAAAATATCGCCAGTTAAATTAAAATGGTTCTGACTTAAGAAAGCCCTGGGCCCTTTTGATCAAAGCTCAACAAACTCTCTACGCATCCAACCAAATGGTCCAACGAATCGAGCGCATTACGGAGGAAACACCTGCTCCCGACCTTGGCACACAAATCAAAACCCTGGATGCAGTAATCACTACGTTGATGACCAAGTCTGATCAATACCTTCGATGTACGTTTGATGAAGACGGGGAAGGCCCCATAGCCGAGAATATGTGGAGGATCAGCAGAATCGTGATCTACACGTAAGTTGGTCTCCCATCGACGAGGCTGTCAAATGACTAACCGAGTAAATCATCCACAAGTGCTCGCGCCCGCTTGCATCGCTTCCGAGCCTTTATGGACTTTCCATTGTTCCTAGACAGATACTGTCACCTCACCTCTATCAACACCCAATACCCCAACTCATCACCCGTGCCATCTCCAACCTGGGTAACAGACCGTAATTCCTTCTTTCCATTCACCGAACAAGAATCTTCCAACATTTGTCTCAAATCGGCTCTTGTCGTTGCGACAGCCTTCCGAAACCTACCATACCCAAACCCCTACGGCACTCAAAATCGCGAAAGATCCCCAGCGACTTCAAGATCCATGATTTCATCAGTGGGACTTGTCCGAAAATCCCCTCATACCATTCCTTACTTTGCATGTTGTGCTATGCAAAGCTGCTATTCTTTGCTGATGATCCTTCACAAGATTCGTGCATGTTTGGCTACGGATCGTCTGGCGTCTTGCTACCATTTACTAAATAAGCCTGAGCCGGCCACGGAGGTTTCTGATTCCGAACGGTTGATTGAAGAGCTGCGACATGGAGTGGAGTTTTTGGGAATTTCTTTGAAATCTGATCTTATTTTTGAAGGAGTTGGGGGCATGGGGCGCGAGATTGAGCATGCTTATCTAGCGGCCTTTCCAGAATGCTCCGAGTTCTGAATGACCTTGCTCAGTTACTCGGGTAATGCTCACAATCCACTGAATAGTATTGCAAGTATAACGTGTGCTGCGGACTTATCAAGCGTTTCTTGACGAATACTTTCTTTTTCATTCGACCTAGAAGCCGATTCTTGTACTTCACATCCAAGATATCCACACATACAACCTTAATCTGCCCTTGGACTGGCGGCAGACACCAGCATCGGGTATACCTCCTTTAGCTTAATTCATCTGCATCGTGTAGCATATAAAAGTTTTTCTCTGGCCAGGGTTTTGGAAGCATCAATTACTAATATGTTTTCTAGATATCTAACGCACCACGGACGTTATGGATGCAATGAGTGAGATCCGCATGGTCGCAAAAATGATGTTAGAAAACCCGTGGATATCATCTCCCCGAGAAATTCTTGTTTTCGGGAGCCCTAGGGCATCAGTGGCGTTTCCCTCGCTGCCCGTGAATATGCTGCGGCCTTTATTGATGTTTGGAGTCGAAGTCGAAGAGGAAAAAGAAACAACTTGGGTTATATCCTGCATCAAATGCCGGGATCACAGCAGATGTCCACCAAAAAGTCATTCGGAGCTAAGATGAGACTAAACAGCGAGTGCCCTTTTCGCTACGTACTCCAGCATCCTCATAGCCCAAAAGCCTGGATTCTACAGTAGAGAATACGGTGCTAATACATAAAGGTGGTAGTAGTAGTTGTAGAGATATATCTAAAGGGGTGTTTTGGGAGATGGTAATTCAATTATAGCGCTTAACTAAATTTTGAAATGGGGGTGTCGTTTTAGCAATAACATGAGGCCGAAGAATGATAGAATATTAATAATAACGAAAACCCCACGTCATTAAAACCAAGGGAAGCAGTCGATGTTGGCATATGTATACTGTAGTATATTTTGCGGCTCAGGCAGGTCACTGCTCAGTCACCCTCTAACAGAACCAGAACATCCAAAACAAACCCCCATCAACTACCTGGACACACCTTTTGATATCTAGATAAACCAAACTTTTTGCTAAGTTAGAATTCAAACGAGCCAGCTCAAATTCATCCAACTTGCCTATCTTCCATGAATGCAACAGCGGAAAGTGCTATTGGCTGATGAATACCCCGGCCTCGGAATAACAGATTTGCCGGCACCGGACATGTCCATCGTCAACTGGTCGTCGAATAGCGTTCCAACTTCATGGCTGGCCAGAAAGCTATTTCGGTCTCGCAATTTGTCGAGCACTTCCGCCGTGCTTGGCTGAATACACAAGGAAAGTTCTATTCAGGGCAGAGTCTCGATCGGAATGACTTCAATCATCTTCCTCGCAGGATCGGTAAGAAACAAGACCGTGGCCCCAAACAGTCTCTATCAGCGGAAGTCGATGTTGATCATCTTCTACAGGCCTCGCCATCAGCGGCGGTGCCGACTCCATGGCACTTGCATTCTTATGTCGCCAACTAGAACGCTCGGCCTTAGCTGGGCCTATCTCATTCACCGCGTTCGTGGTTGACCATCGTGCGCGCGCAGAAAGCAGTCAAGAAGCACGGACTGTGGCTGGTTGGCTTGATGCAATGGGTAAGTGCTTTCTTTCCCCAATTAAGTTTCTCTTTGTTTAATTATTGTAAGCTCTCAAAATTGTGTATTAACCTAATCATAGGCCTCAAGACAAAAATTCTGGAGCTAGACTGGGCTCAATTCGCAAAGCAAGACGCTCCAGGCGAGGCCAAAGAAAAGTTGGCTTTGCCATCTGCCTTTGAAACGCACGCTCGCTTTCTGCGATTCCGAGCCCTTGGCACGGCTTGCCGAGAAAGAGGCATCACTGCCCTTCTAATGGGTCACCACCAGGATGACACAGTAGAGACCACCATCTGGCGACTTAGTTCTGGAGGAAGAGGCACTGGCCTTGCCGGAATTGCCGAAATTGCTCGAATCCCAGAGTGCCATGGTCTTTTCGGGGTCTCTGAGAGCGGCTCGTCGGTCCAATTATCTCAACATGGCAGGCATGGTCAGATGCCAATGCACGTCCAAGTCGACGACAAAAAATAAAGGCAGCATTTTTTTCAATTCAAAGTCAACCCAAAAAAGTCCCGAACACCATGCACCGAGCATTCCAACATCTGCCACAGCCAACAGACCCGTCTTGCCAGGTGTCTCCATCTCAACTGGCGGGATTCACATCTGTCGCCCTCTCCTGTCATTTCCTAAAGCTAGCTTACTGGAAACTTGCCACCAAAATAAGATACCCTACGTTTCCGATCCAACTAATTTCGACCCAACCTTGACCCCACGCAATGCCATTCGCAGCATGCTCGCTTCAGACTCTCTACCGCGGGCATTGCGGGCACCGTCTATCCTCTCCCTAATACGCTCCAGTCAAGCTTTCCTTCACTCATCAACTCACTTTTCAAATCAACTATTATCGTCAAGATGTCGCATTCTCGACCTGAATTTGAAAGCGGGTACAATGGTTCTTCAGGTCCTTGATATCCCTTCATTTTTGGACCCTCTGCGGTCCCAGTTGGACTCCTCGCGCCGCTTCCAGATTCAGTCGCTCACCCTCCGGCGTATCACCGAAATCGTTTCTCCATTTCATGGAAATTATTTTCCGGTCCGCAGCTACGAGCCGTTCGTTGCGGGAATATTCTCTCGGCAAGGACTCAACATTGGCGCGGGGAGTGAATCAAAGACCGAATCGGCCCTTATTCGGCGGAATTTCACTCTGGGGGGCGTCATGATTCAACCTCTTACTGTGAAAGATACCCAAGGCCAGATCCCTGGTGGCAATAACATATGGCTACTATCTCGCCAGCCATTCTTCAAGAACAAGGCCCCCGTCGCTCGGTTTGATATTACGCTTTCAGATACACCAATGCGCTGGCCTTATTCAGACTCCAGATCGCTTACTGGTTTCGCTCCATGGACTCTGTGGGATGATAGATATTGGTTCCGATTTCAAGTAACCTCCGCCGAGAAAGACAAAGATCAAAAGAATCGGCCTGCCAAGACACGCGCCCTGACACTGGTCATCCGTCCATTTGAAAGGTCTGATTTCTCCAAGATCAACCTTGACCCTTCACTGGTGCCAGAAATGAAACCCAAGAAGAAGAAGTTCGCGACAATCCTACGGAACTTGGTCAGAAGTCGCGTTTCCGAAGAAGCTCCAGGGTCGGCGCGTTTCACGCTTCCGGTGTTGGCGGTGGAAGGGCCCAGCGAAACGTCAAAGCCAGCAAACCATGAGACTGAGCAGCTTATAGCTTTACCGACTCTTGATTTCCCGTTGGATCCATTGGCAAAGAAAAGGGCAACAAATACATGGGAGTTCACTTATGCGGAAGAAAAATGGAAAGTGAAATGGGAATGGATGTACAAAAGGGTTGATGTCGAGGCAATCCGCCTTATGGGCGGGCCCGTCGAAGTCGAAGCTGAATCGGCTAGTGTACACAACAAGAAGGTATGAACCAGAAGTAAAGAGAAAGAAAGCCCTGCCAACATACTCTCCGGTGCTATGCATGATCCAAACCCATCTGTGCAGGTGGGTTGGGGGGTTGACAACAAATAAGAATAAAAGAAATATGCCGATCAATACACAGTAGAAACCCGACCTTGAAATGCCAGGAGAAAACAAAGGAGAGAATAGATGTGGTATCACAGAAAAGAAAAGAAGATCGACGAGTTGTCGAGATGAGTGGGTAGGAGAAATAAAATGAAGGAGTGTAATAGGGTGCTCAATGTTGTGAGCAAGGTTGCCGATCTATCAGAGATCATTGTTCACTGGCTCTGAGCAACGCAGCAGCGGCAGATTGGGCTCTAAGACCTCCAACTTCTCGTTTAAGACGGAAGTTCTCTTTCTTGAGGCGACCAATCTCTTCCAGGGCATTGCTCAACTGAGACTGCAACGCATCCTCTGCACTGCCGGAGCGGACATCTCTAGCAATCTTGCTGAGCTCCGTGTTGAACCGATCGTAGAGTGCCTCGTTCTCCGCACTAGCCTCTCGGTACAGTTCGTCAAGCTTTTTCACGCGCTTTTCGCTCACAATCAAAGAAGACTCCAAGTCTTTTTCAAGAGCTGACGTTCGGCCATTGTACTCGCCAGACATATAGTTGAAACGCTCCTCAAGACTCTCAAGACGGCTTTCGAGGGACAACGCAACGCCTGAAGACTGGCGGTCTTCCGAAGAACCCATGACCGGCTCCATGTAGGAATTTTTTGGTGCTTTGAGTCTGAGACTGTTCATCTCATCGCCAAGGGCTCTCAGATCGTCCCGGAATCCAACTTGACTGGTAGCCTGGGTCTTCTTTTCAGCTTGGACACGCTCGCGAAGCTATTCTAACATGTCAGTGTATTTCGAATAATCAAAAAACGAGGATGTATCGCGAACCTTCTGGGGACTTTGCATCCGCAGTTTCTGCGGCTTCTGGGATGAAGACGAGGATTGCGGACGCTTGGTTTCGGGGCCATTCACAGGAGCGCGTTCGCGAAGGCCCGGGGTCCGTTGAGGTATGCTGGTCGCGCGGGATCGCCGTTTTGTCTCCTGGCTTGGGGAATCGGGAATGTGGCTCTTGGACTTGGCCGACCGCTCTGTCTGGGGGACTTTGGGATCAATATTCTCCTTCCTACTAGGTGTAGAAGGGCGAGTCGGCGATGTCTGCCGAATGGGCGATCCCAGACGAGCAGGCGATGTTGCCTTGGCTGGCGATGTAGCCCTACTCGGTGATGTCAGGTAGCTGCTCTGGGGCCTGGGTTGACTGGTGGGCGTGGTTAACTCGGCTCGCGGCTGGTTCGATGGGGTCACGGGGCGCAAGTAGGGAGTTGAAGAGATATGCGATGCATCGGATGACGCTGTGTCAGGGCGAAAATCAGACAAGGAACTTCTTCTTTTTCTGCGAATTTTGACTACGCCATCGTGAGATATGCCTCGGATGGAGGACAAGGATGGCGGTTGTCCATACCCGGTGCCTGGCCTGGAAATTTGCTCCTCGGACGCGAATCCATAAGGACGATCACGAGAGTTTGGACGCAGGAATCCAAGGCGGGCGTCCACATCTGTAGATTTGGAGCGAAGCAAGGAACCCTTTGGAGTGGGAGGCTCCGAATCGCCTGGACTTTGTCTCTTGCTTAATGTCCGTAGGATCGATGCAACTTTGCTCTCTCCCTCAGCTTTCGAGCTCTCCTTGTGTAGGCTAAATCCAAAGCGCTTGCGGAATGAAGAACTATTCGAGCTCACAGAACCTGTGTTGGCATGTGAAGACTTGGTCTGATCGCAGCTGAGTGTTCCCTCAACCGAGGCTCCTCCAGGAATGAACTCCTCAAAGAGATTGTCAAAGTCGTCGACGAGGCGATCCAGAAGGGATACATGCTGAACAGGTTCTCCTTCTTCTGTGATGACCTCGGCAAATGCTACCGTCAGAGCGCCACGATCCCCATCATTTCCTGAAGCGTCTAGCAGCTCAGCAAGAAGACGAATGATCGCCGCCAGCGCCCGGCGATTCTGTGGGCTAATATCTACCAGGAACTTCCGGAAATGCTCCTCGAAATGGCGCGGAAACATAGTGTCAAACTGGTGCTGAAGAAGCTTGAGTGCAGATGGATCCAATACAGGACCCATGCTGGCTTTCCAGGCATTCTTCATGAAAGTTTCGAAAGCAACAAAGAGTGTATCGACTGGCACCTCCGCTGCTGCTTGTAACTTGCTCGGGCATTCCAGCAGGATATTGTAAAGCTCATTCACCGGTGCGCGGTCTGCATGCTCTCGGGCACGAAGCATTCGCCCAAGAATATTGCCGCTGCGAGATTGTAGAGAAAGCACGTAGGCGGCAAATGTTTGCTCTAGTGATCCAAGTTGGCCATCTGGTCCACGAGCGCCTGACGCTCCAACCACGGAGATCTTGTTCTGGGTATCTTCTCTTTCCCTCTCCTTCTCCTTGTCCTTGTCCTTTCCGGGGAAAGTTGAAGGAAGGGTATTAGATCTGGAAAGATTGGCCCTCGGTGGAGGAATCTTTGGGAATTCACCCAGCAAGGTCGCCGAGTTTGGCTGCTTGATGGTCGGCACATTCTCACGGCTGCCTCCGAGGAGGTTCGATATGAGTTTCGTGGGAGAAGGAGGTCGGAAGCTGCGTGATGATTTGACCTGCGTAGTTAAGCCACCTGCAATATACCGAAGGATCTCGAAGTTTGAGTGAACCAACGGCTTCATCAGCTTTGGGTTACGCGTACTATTCAGAGGCGAGAGGAGAGATTGCACTATATGGTAAATCGTCAATAACTTGATCTGGCCTTCATTAGTTGTAACACTTACGGCGTTTGGAGAGAGTAGGAACAAATGTTTCTGCAGACACAAGATCCAAAGACGGAGATCCGATGACAGAGTCAATCTCCAGCTTGAATTGGTCACCATTGGATGCGGTAATCGACAGCACAACATCCAGGTTAGATCCGTTCAGGATCTCAGTACACTTAGATTTTGGTGTGTCAAAGACCAGGCGAATCGATGATGACTGAGCGTGGTTCAGCGCGACACTTTGACCGTCTTCGCAGACGCATGCCAGAATGCCAGTGATATTCGGAGTGGTTAGGGGGCTGCGCAAGGTCCATTTTCCGCCTTCTCGCTCTTGTTCTGAGAACCTTCCTTCAATCCGAGCCTTCGTTATCTCTTCAATAAGTCGGCCGACCTTAGCTTCGTACATAGCAATGAGTTCCAAAGCAAGAAGGTCGTCGCTACCGTCCGCTGCACCGGAGCCCAGTGGGAGGGTTGCGGGTACAATGAAAAGAATCCGACCACAGGTAGACTGCATGCAGCGAATAGCATGGAGTTCAAGGACTTGAACGACCTTGAGCTCCGCCGGGGGCACGGAGCTTGAAGCATCGTTGGTGGGTGAGGCGGCATTATCAATGTCGGCTAGCAATCCACGCGCAGTGACTCGGCTTTCGGCAGGCTTTGCCAGCAGAACCAAACAGTTCTTGTAAAGAAGCAAAATCCCGGCCGCATATCCAGAAGCCTGGGCGTCCAGTTGGTACGGAGGTGGAATTTCGTTGACATCCACCGCGGTAATCAGACGACCATCTGGGAAGGTCTTGGCAGGCCATCCATCAACAAGCTCTCTTAACCGTCGTAGACTTTGTGCATGGCCATTCGGAGAGGCATTGTCCAGAGCGCAAATCTCTTTCACAATGTCCCGAGCTTTTAACAAAGGACGGACAGCGGGGTGAACCAGGGGTAGACTGTTTGTCATGGTGTCGATCAGAAGACTGTAACGAGGAAGACGCTGGACAGGTTCCATTAACAATGATCGAAGTCTCTGCTCCCCCGTCTCATAGACTCGCCGAGAAAAGCTGGACTGTTTGTCTCTCATGAAAGAGTTCAGCGTCTGTGTAAAACCGGTATGGGCTCGCATGTAATCCGCATACGGTTGCGAGAACTGGGGTAGCCAGTCCAGCAATGCCCTGGCAAACAAGGTTGCACCAATTGCATCCCTAGAGTCCCTCGATGAGCCGCGGTGTGTACCAGATGCGGGGAGTTCTGTGTCTTGGCTGATATCGTCGAGGGCATCCCTCTCTGTCTCTTCTAGTACGTGTCGGATCACATCAAGAAAACCGAGGTTGACTTCCAAAATCTCATTCAAACAGGGTGGAAAGAGTGCCTCCAACGCTCTCTCGTCCGGGCTAGTACTCGTGGGGTCTTTGCATTGAGCCTTTTGGCGAAATTCATCCGCCACTTCGTGAACTAGAGAGTAGACTTTCGCAACATAGCGCTCCTCGGTATCAACAAACTCACACATTGTCAATCGAAGAGCCTCTTTCTGGTTGCGTGTGAAGATCCTCGACTTGCTGACATTAGTCGGCTGTGAGGGGGCCCGCTTGAGTCTCGACGTGGGCAAAAACATTGGATCGCCCAATGCCTGGATGAGGGATGTATATGGGCCGTACTGAACAGTGGGGTTCTCTTCGATATCTGACCCAGTACTCTCCCGTCGCTGGGGGGCTTGAATGGTTCCCACAGGTAGGACAACGTCCATATCAACCCAAGGGACTTTGCGTTCCTGGCATGCACTCCGAATATCGCGCACAATGTCCGATGAGTCCTCAACCTTGACCATACGATTGGCCAATTCCGCAGCATGCATTTCATCAAATAACTTCGGGATCTTCTCACGCTGACTCGTCCGAGCGGTGTCTGTCAGCCGCTTCCTCAGCGGATCTGACAGTTCAGCAAAATATTTCAACATGCTGACCGCAAGGCCTCGAGCCACCGGATCGCCTTGTTTCTCGCGGGGTAGATGGTTGACCGCAGCGTATAACGGCGCAGCAGGTGAAATTGTGATTCGTGAATAGCTTTGCAAACCAGCAGGTGTGAAGATATGCGCCTGGATGCGCGAGCTGCTCACAGTAGCATTGGCTGTCGCAACCGGTCCGTAAAAGACTAGAACAGAGGAGAGGTAGGGATCGACAGTATGGTAAAGACTGAGGTATTCCAGTGGCAAGTCTGACACCGTGGTGCCCGCAGGCGCAGTCGCGTTGACCGCCATGGCGGGGGTCTGTAGCACTTGCCTCGTGCGAGTGGGCAAGTTAAAGTTGACGAGAACGTGGTCGCGGTCGATATTCATGCACCGCAAGCCGTGGTTTAGAAGGAGCGACGAAGTCAGTGGCGATGCGCAATCGCGCGCAGTCAAGAGTCAGCAAGTGAAGGTCGGGGAGCAACCGGAGGGGAAGCTGTTGTCATCGTCAAGACGAAGGGCGGTCGCAACACTCGAGACTCCCCTCCATAGAACCTGTTGAAGATCAAGCGTAGGTGAAGGGGCCATGCAACGAGCTGCAGGCGTATGGGAGGGTTGGTGAGCCACGGAGGATGAGGGGGAAGGGAAGAAAGAGAGTGTGATTGTTTTTGGGGCGGGGGAAATAGTCGATGGATGGAGATACCGGGCGATAGCGCGATAAAGTGGAGGACTAATAATAAATGGCTGGCCTGGGCTGTTTAGCGCCGGAGGCTCACTCACTCACTAGTACTCCGTACGGAGTACACATTGGAGGGCTAAAGGGCCCCCCGCGTCCCTTGTTTACTGTTTGTCGGGCCAACGCGGGCCAGCACCGTTGCTGCTCCCAACCAGCTGCAAGGTCGATCTGACCAGTCACATCGGCGCCAATAGTAGTTTCAATCTTGACCTTCTTGTGGGAGGGCAGCATTTACAATGTCTCAAATAGAAAGTGGAAGGGGGGATGCAGTTGGATGGGGTTGTTATCGATAGTTGACCGAGTACTCACGCCGAGCGCGAGACCAGGATCAACACTAAGGGAACCATTGCGAGACCACCACTAACAAGATCATGGGTTGACATTTAAGCATAAACTCCAAGTCAACGTGGTCTCGGCTCGACGTGGGAGAACAAAGCAATTATAACTCCGCATCCAGGATGGGGAACAGGTGAACAACTGTGGTCGGTCTTGGGGCTGGTCCCAAAGTAGATGAATGTAAACAAACCGGTGCTTGACTGCCTCGTCCTGTTTCGAAAGGCGATTCAAGGAAGCTGGGACACGGTACTGTCGAGGGTTGTCACTTTGAACGGACTGATACTGAGAATATCAATCCATGCTAAAACTATGAGGTCCTGCAGCTGCAGGTCATCGACCGAGTCATGTACGTATAGATCGTGAGTCGAGCTCGATCTGGTGTGGTGATGGGCAACCTGTGTGGAAGTGCGGCTGAATACCGGGAGAAACAGGCCCAGTTCCAAAATTACCATTTGACCGCAGTGTTTTCTTGCCAGAAACACCAGGCAGCCGGTATTGCACTGTATCGACCCCCTGACGAAGGCGGTGAGCAGGCGGGGAAGACGCTAACCCCGAAGAGGCAATCAGCAGCCCATGGAGAGACCAGCTGTTTGTTCGCCGAGTCAACGGTGACACCAACAGAGCGCATCTCCCGCTCGAGATGCTCGATTCCACCATGTCTGAACCTCTACCTATCGCCATTGACCCGGTGGCCCTGGTGACTACTGAATGTATCACCGTCACCTCGTCCATGCGAAAGCATGCCCGCTGGGCGCACTCCTCCGTCTCCGCCATCCTGGGCGGCAATGGGGGGACCCGGGTCTATGAACGGGATACCTCGGCGCCGCCTAGTCCACGCAAGAGCGGCCAGTTGTCAAGAATCGGCGAGGAGGACCATGCCTTGGCCAATCGATGGGGCCTGCGAGGGAAGAAAGGCAAGAGCATGCAGGACAACCCGTTGATATCAGCCTTCACCCGCTTGCGGAGTGATCTCAAGGGCTGCAAAGATATCCGAACTTTCGATACTCCAGCCCTCCTCCATCCCTTCCTGCAGGTCATCCGCTCCTCATCAACCTCTGCCGCGATCACCTCCCTCGCATTGGTCGCCATCACCAAGTTCTTCTCCTACAACATCATTAATCGAGACTCGCCCCGCTTGCCAATGGCCATGCAGCTTCTCTCGGCCGCAATTACACATTGTCGATTTGAAGCAAGCGATTCTTCGGCGGACGAGATTGTGTTACTCCGGATCTTGAAGTTGATGGAGGGCATGTTGTCCAGGCCAGAAGGAGAGCTTCTGGGAGATGAGAGTGTCTGTGAGATGATGGAGACGGGGCTGAGCATGTGCTGTCAAGGTCGCTTGTCGGAAGTGCTACGGAGGTCCGCTGAGATGGCTATGGTCAACATGTGCCAGGTTATATTTACGCGGCTGTCACATCTTGATCAAGAAGTACCCCCAGGGCCCGACCCGTTCGCAGATGAACGTGTCAAGAAGGACGTGTCAAATGTGAAGATGGACCCGTCTGTGGACGGTGATACGGTGACGTCTCAGCATCAGTCGGCAATGAGCTCGGACACGGCAGCCCCAGAGCGAGACAGCACCAGTCGAGAAGGTTCACCCGAACAAGCAGGCAATGGGGCTACGGCTGCGGCCACTGCCCCGCCCACTCTGCAAGACGATAGTGACAGCGAGATCCGGCCCTACTCTTTACCGTCAATTCGGGAGTTGTTCCGCGTCTTGATTGATCTCCTTGACCCCCACAACCGTCAACATACCGACACCATGAGAGTGATGGCCTTGCGCATCATTGATGTTGCCTTGGAAGTGGCCGGCCCGTCCATTGCTCGGCATCCCAGCTTGGCTGCTTTGGCTAAGGATGATCTCTGCCGCTACCTTTTCCAATTGGTCCGTTCGGAGCAGTTGGCTATTCTTACTGGTTCTTTGAGAGTTGCAGGCACATTATTGTCAACATGTCGATCTGTATTGAAGCTCCAGCAAGAGCTTTACCTTTCTTATTTGGTGGCTTGTCTTCATCCCCGTGTGGAAATTCCGCGGGAACCAGGCATCGACCCATCTCTTTACGAGGGAGTGCCACAGGCACCGAAGCTAGTCAAGCAGCCTTCCTCTCAGACCAACAGTGGCCGGTCCACTCCAGTTCCCGTGAAGGATCGCCAGAAGCTCGGTCTTGAAGGTGGCTCTCGAAAACCAGAAGCTCGGGAGGCCATGGTTGAAAGTATAGGAGTCCTGTCACGGATTCCTAGCTTCATGGTCGAACTCTTTGTCAATTATGATAGTGAAGTGGATCGGGCTGACCTGTGTGAAGATATGATCGGGTTGCTTTCTCGTAATGCCTTCCCAGATTCCGCAACATGGAGTACGACAAATGTGCCCCCGTTGTGTCTTGATGCTCTGCTCGGTTATGTGCAGTTCCTTCATGACCGGTTGGATGAGGAGCCGATACAAGGAAATTACCCTCCACTAGAGCGTCTTCGAAGTCAGCGGAAAACAAAGAAACTCATCATCAAGGGCGCCCAAATGTTCAATGAGGAACCCAAAGCCGGAATTGCTTACCTTGCAAACCATGGGATCATTGAAGACGCCAAAAACCCTGTGCAGGTTGCGCGTTTCCTCAAGGGGACGGGACGCTTGTCAAAGAAGGTGCTTGGTGACTTCATTTCCAAACGAGACAACGAAGAATTGCTGGGAGCATTCGTAGATCTCTTGGATTTCTCGGGGAGGAATGTCGTTGAGGCACTTCGAGAGTTGCTCAGTTCGTTCCGCTTGCCCGGCGAGTCACCTTTGATTGAGCGTATTGTGACCACTTTCTCGGAGCATTATACGGAGAAAGCGAAGCCGGATGGCATCGCCGACAAAGATGCACTCTATGTCTTGACTTACGCAATCATTATGTTGAATACCGAACTCTACAACCCCAACGTCAAGTCACAAAACCGGATGTCCTTCCCCGCCTTTGCCAGAAACCTACGTGGAGTCAATGCGGGCAGTGATTTTGCCGAGGAATTCCTTCAGGAAATCTATGATTCGATCAAGGCGAACGAGATCATTCTGCCAGATGAACATGAGAACAAACACGCGTTCGACTATGCTTGGAAAGAGCTCCTCCTGAAGTCATCTACCACTGGTGAAACGGTGGTGGGCGAAACCAACGTTTACGATGCGGAGATGTTTGAAGCGACGTGGAGACCGGTGGTGGCGACCCTTTCGTACGTTTTCATGTCCGCCTCTGACGATGCCGTTTATTCTCGTGTGGTCAATGGATTTGATCAGTGCGCTCAAATTGCTGCCCGCTATGGCTTGACGGATGCCTTTGATCGAATTGTCTCTTCTCTGGCCTCTATCAGCACCCTGGCGACGAGCAACCCTCCAAGCACTGCGCTCAACACGGAGGTACAGGCGGGGAAGAAGAGCGTGATGGTCAGCGAATTGGCTGTGAAGTTCGGAAGGGACTTCAGAGCACAGTTGGCTACTGTGGTCTTGTTCCGGGTCTTGGCAGGAAACGAAGCCACACCTAAGCAAGGCTGGGAGCACATCGTGCGCATTCTCAGCAACCTCTTCATAAACTCTCTGATTCCGCCATTCGACTCCAAGTTGACTGCTGAGCTGGATATTTCCCCCATCCCTTTGCAACCCGCATCCCAAGTGGTCGACCGAGATGGGCGGGGCAACGAGACCGGCTTGCTATCGGCCTTCACGTCTTATCTGTCGAGTTATGCAGCGGATGACCCCCCAGAGCCATCTGATGAAGAGCTCGACAATACTCTTTGTACCGTGGATTGCGTCACTGCATGCTCTATTCCTGAGATTTTGACCAACATCAAGTAAGTACCTCTCCAATCATAATGGCCCGCCACAGTGCTGAACTCCCCAGATCTCTACCATTGTCGTCACTGGAGTCGCTTGTACAGGCTCTTTTGTCTCAACTTCCGGAAGAGAACGTGCCCGCCGTCATCGTTGTCAAGCCAGAGCGCCCAAGTCCCGTGTCAAGACCTACCAGCGCTAGAGTCGACCCCAATCGGCCAAAGTACGATCCGTCTATGATTTTCCTCTTAGAATTGGCGACTATTCTCACTCTTCGTGATGACAAAACTCTCGAGAGTCTTGGTGAATCTTTGGCAACTACCCTTCAGACCCTCACTCGCGACGCCAAGAACCTTCATCCACTGACCGTGTCTCGGATCGTGTCCTACCTGCTTAACCTGCTCAGACTAAGCCACGTGTGTATCTACCAGGATGAGCTTACCATTTCCAAACTAACAAATCACCAGGATCAGCATTTCCTGCGAGTCCCTGTCGTGCTTCACGCAATCTCTGGGTATGATCAAGATGTCTTGGACACTGTCGCTGTGCCCACAGTGAAGGGCCTGTCCCGCTGCATCTCCCACACTGGTCACCTAAGAAATGAGATCACCATTTCTCCCGATTTCTGGTCCATCTTGCAACGGCTACACCAACACGAAGAGGCCGCTCCGCTGGTGTTTGAATTACTTGATAGCATTGTCCACTCGATGCCCGACATCATCACAGCCGATAACTACGAATCCGCTGTCGCTCTTGCAAATGACTTTGTCAGTGCGGGTCATGTGGGTTCTATCGATGAGCGTCAGAGGGATGCCCACGCTCGACGGAGCAAGGGTGTCAAACAGCCTAGGCCAAGGTACGACGATTCGTTTCTCTCATTGTGATGCAAGCAATATCTAACCCAGCCATAGTGAAAACCAAATCGTCTTCCGCGGCATTAAAGCCATGGGTTTGATATACCACCTGACGGGGCGGGTCCCCACGCTTATCAAGCAGTCTCACCTAGAAGAGCGTGAAGGTTGGTTCTCTCTGATGTTCGTTTTCTGAACCGATGCTGACTTTTTCGCTTTCGTTCAGCCTGGTCTGCGTACTGGTCTCCCATTTTTGAATCTCTCCGTGGTCAATGCACCAACCCGTGTCGTGACATCCGCCACCATGCCATCTCTACTTTGCAACGAGCCCTCCTCTCTGCTGAATTGATTTCTGGTGACGACAAGGAGTGGGCCACTATTTTTGATGAAGTCCTCTTCCCTCTCATCTTACGCCTGCTCAAACCAGAAGTCTACCACTCTGACCCCTTTGGAATGGGCGAGACCCGAGTCCAAGCTGCGACTTTGGTCTGCAAAATCTTCCTGCGCTTCCTCGATCAGCTTCCTAACCGGGAAGGCATGCTTCCTCTCTGGCTTCGGATCCTGGATATTCTTGACCGCATGATGAACAGTGGCCAGAGTGACAGTCTGGAAGAAGCCATTCCCGAGAGTCTGAAGAATATCCTCCTCGTCATGGCAGATGGTGGTTATTTGATACCTCCATCGCAAGACCCTAGCAAAGAGGAGATGTGGACGGAGACTCGCAAGCGCCTGGAACGATTCCTGCCAGGCCTTTTCATGGAGATCTTCCCTGATGCCGCCAAGGAGCCCGAAAAAGCCCAGCCAGGGTCCGCTGCTCCATCACCGCTCCAACCAAGTACCGATCCTGGAAAGAAGAGCGAGGAGGCAGCGCAGTCACCTCAAGAAACCGGCAATGATGACACGGCAGTCACACCTGCCGTCTCTCCCTCCGCTTCCGAGCAAGTGGCCTCATCCTAAGGCGAATCTCTGGTTTTTTTTCCTATCCTCCGGTCCCCGATATCACCCATTTTCAACCTTGTGCATTCATATATAGAAAAGCGGTGGGGTGGGGAGCTTCTGCGAACATGCCCCATGCCCGTGATATCATTTTGTTTGTTTTTTCTCTAATTTTCCTGTGTAGATATAGCGTTGTGTGATGGATTACATTTTCCTGGGACTGAGTTCATAATCCAAAGGGATTTCCATCTCTAAGACTGAATGAGATCAACTGAACCATAAACACAAATCACATTTGCGACAAAAATTGACGAGAATCACAGATGACAACCAATAGCGAGAGCAAATAAAAAAGAAGAAGAAGAAGAAGTAGACAGCGTTCTTCACCCGCCTGGCCAGAAAAGAGATCCTGGTGCTCCCACTTTCGGCGCTGGCGCTGGCTGTTGTGGGGGGACTGGGTCTGACCGTGTCAGATTTGGGGCCACTGGGATCAATGGAGGCGGATTCTTTGCTGGACCTCGAGGAGCCCCTGCAGAAGGACCCGCTGAAAGAGTCGTGAACGGAGCCCCAGGGTGTGGCGGTTGTTTGCCGGCTCTTTGAAAAATACGTGCTGCCTGCGCCGGGTTCCAACGAGGATCCTCCGCCGGTCTTGGGGCGGTGCCGATATTGTGAACCGTCGGCACTATCGCTCCCCAACCACCCTTTTGGTCGAATGCCCAGCCTCTGCCTGCACCATCGGGAGCCGACCCCATGTACAGCTTGTACCGTGGCCATGGACCAGAGAGCCTCTCGGGAGGCGGACCTCTTTGACTGACGGTATCATGTAAGACCACAGGGACCCAATCCCAACGGGTCATCATTTCACCAGTGCCATCAGCAGCCATGTTCACCTCCAAGGCCCGGATCTCAAATAGCGAGCCCTCACCACCCTCGAACCCCCGGATCCGTTCAGCTCCCAGAAGGGGCGGTGGTTGAGACCAACCTCCTCCTCCTGTAGATTGCAACCGCATAATGTCGACGTCGTACATACTCATGGTGGACGCGCCGGTGTCGTCAAGAAACCTGAACTGCATCTGTGTGCCGTGATTGTTAGGAAGTCGCACCGTCAGGTACATCTACTCCTGTCAGCAAAAACCGTTGCTCTACCGAGATGGATTGTCCTTTTTATAACTTACATCCCTAAGCCAATAATTACCGCCGGCTTTCAGTTCCTGGTACTTCAAAGTGAATTGCGGCTTAGGGCCCTGTGAGAAAAGCTAGGCACCAAAAAGAAAATGAGTAAGTCTCTCACAATCGAATTAATTCGCCTGCATCGTGGAAATTGAGTACTTACTCCTTCTACCCAAAAGCTTGCATGTCCATTATAAAGTTGATTGACCTGGAGGAACTCCTGATAGTGGAAAGGTCGAGGCTGGCAAATCTGAATTCCATTCGACCAGTACGTCACGAGGCCTGGATGCCAGTCTAACTGGCGTGTTCGATAGGCATTGATGAGGGCCGCTATATTCGGACCCAGTCCGGAAGGATCTTTTCCGCGAGCTCGGAGGTCTGCTTCCATCCCTTTGAGATCGTCGAGACGCTTGATGACATCCAGGCTGAGTCCGGGGAAGGCTTCCTCTGATTGGATCATCGCACTATAACAAACTTGTTATTAACACCCTGACAACCTCCATGGATGTTCTGCTGGAACAGTCGTTTCTTACTCTTGCTCCGCCTTCCGCTTCAAAAGATCTTTCTTCTTGTCCACGAACCAATCCGGTAAGATCTTATTGGCAATTCGCTCTTCAACTCGAATAAGTTGGGCGTCAAGATCACTGGTTATAACGTTGTTAGCCCATGGCCCATGGTCTGCAAATCGTACATGGAAACCCGCTCCTCCTGCAGAGGAACAAACTTACTCGGGATCAAGATCAACCTCCTCACAATGCCAGCCAGCAGGAACATTAGGATCATTGGGCCATGTAATGGTTTCTGCCGGAGTCGGCCATCTCTGCCGTGGAGGTCGTTGAGGAGACTCGGGGGCTTGTAATAACCCCACATAGGACTGAGTAAACGGCAGAGTAGGCCAAGGTTCAGGTTCTACCATGTCCGTTTCACCTCCGCTTCTGCGTTGCCCAGTACCATCGCCATGTGCTCGGCGTGACCTTGTGGATTCTGGAGGAGATACCACACTATTCCGCCGTGATGCAAGAAATCTCTCGTTGTAGAAACCGGTAGGTTTTCCGGCGCTATTGCGTGGGCTTCTGCGCACGGGTCGGCGAGGACCTATTCGAGGGCCTCTACCAGGAAGCAGGACTTCAGCCATGCTTGGAAAGTAGGCCGGCTATGAAACGAACAGACAAGTATCCTTCAATATGGATAATTTGAACGAACAAAAATGAAAATTGGCATTGGATGAAGGAGCACACAGGTCTATTTATGCTTAACAACATTCTGGCAACTCGCGGCTTCAACGCCTCAGGGAATGCTCGTTAACTGGCTCAGAAATTGTATCAGGGGTGTTCTTTCAAAGAAAGAATATTCCTACAACCCAAGGGTAGGATGTTCCCAGAAATTCCAAGCGGATTGAAGCTACGTGGAAACAAAGCAGACTAGTAGTACAGCCTCGAAAAAGAGGCGGAGCTGGTTGACCACCAAAAGGGAAGTTATTCGAAAGAGCAGCTTGAAATGATCCCAGTATGTGAATCACAGATAATGATCCGCCCCGTCAAGTCTTGTAGTTCATCAGAACTAATGTAGAATTCTGTTCCCAAAATAGATGCAAAATAAGTGTGTCTTCATAATCACTCTGCATCTCATCCCATACCAGGTTGACCCACAGCCCTGTCAATTTCTCAACTTCTAATTACAGAAGGGTTCTCTATTCAGAATTCATTGATCTTGGAATGTTTTGGTTTTCTTTACGCGGAAGTCCTTTCAAAAGGTTAGTCTGATTCCACATCCATTTTCATTGATTCATTCCCAAGTCCGGAGCTGCATGCCTGAGGTTCCCACGGCTTCAAAGAAACCACGCCTAGGAGCCCCAGGTAGTTCGAGTTCGGATGTCATGCTTACTCTTACTTGTTGAATGAAACTCTCCTTATATGAAAGCATACTTTGGGTACACATTCAGCCTAGTTGTCCTCACACGTTTGTACACTCGATCTTGAGATAGTTGGCAATGCCTGCCAGTATGATGAACAAAATTGATTAGAGGCCAACTACCAATTTTCGTGGACTTGGATGACATATACCTTGAGCAAATTCAAGATGATTCGTTGCGAAAGATGAGGGGAAGACTAGTTCACAGAGAAAAGGAAATGGAAGAAATTCTTTGTTCGGGGCTGGCAAGAGACCAATGCCTCGAGGATCGCGGCCTTACGGCTGCTGCCAGCACTTCCATTCTCTTTGCGCAGTTCCTTTGAGCTTCACGCTTGTCATTTGAATCCATTTTGTCTCTTGCATTCTCAATTCTATGCCTCCTTTGAAGTGGAGTGGACCAGGCATCAGTGTTTGAATATGGGACGGGAACACCAAAGTATTCGAGAACCCAGGCTCTCAGAAGACCATGGCTATCGAGTAGACAAAGAACGAACGATTGCTATCTCTTCTCCTTGATGACACGGTACTATGGCTTTTCGTGTGCTCATGTGGCCTCGCAGATCTAAGACAACAACACCGGTAGGCATGAAACAACCCCTCTTTCTTTGTTTAGCCCTAATGCTCCCAGTTTCCCATGGATGTAGAACAGCCATCGACTTCAAGTCCCCCGACCTTCTCAATCGTAAGACACCCTCGTGGGGCATTTTCGCCCGGAATAAGAAGCATATGTTGTTGAGTTGCTCATGTATGCTGTTGAATCTATTCTACCCCTACCTACCGTGAACTACGCTCACCTGGTGATCGCCACGTTCAATAGTAGGTGTAGTAGCGCTACGTGTTGCCACTGTTATGAAGGAGAATTTGAATGCTTATTGGTACTCTATACAAGAAACATGCCTTGGCAAGGGCAGGTATCGAAAGCGAAGAAACGGGTAGAGAAAAGTTAGTGACGAAGTTGTGGACATTCATTCTCAAGCACGATGCTCGAGTCAACAAAAGAGAAAAACCTTGAGAAGCAGACAAGAAAATGTGGCGCAGAACACCGGTGAGATAAAAGAAATCGGAGTGACATCCGTTGCAATGGTACTTATACGAGAGAAGAAAGGAAGGAATACTGGTGACAGAGGTCGAAAAGAACTGGGCGTCCAGTCTGGTGGTTGTAGTTTCCCATGGTCTATTTCCAAAGACACATTCGGATCTCCTACTCGTCCATCTCGTCGTCGAGGTCGATGGCATCCGGGTTGGCCGGTGCGGCGGGTTGTTCTTGGCCCGCAGGTGGAGGGCGATTGCCCCCTTCGGGTCCAGTGCTGGCGGCAACAAAGCCCACTGGGGCACGAGCCTCGCGCTCCAGTGCTGCCATGGCATCGGCACGCTCGAAAGCCTCGCCTTCGCCCTGCGCGCCGTCCTGAGGGCGCTGCTGACTGCGGGCAATAGCCTGCGAGGCGATGAAGTTGACGTCGGTGCTAGAAAACGAGGGGTCAGTAAAATATTCTCTGGGGGTAGGGTTTAAGGTGGATCATACTTGTATTGAGCCTGGACACTCCTCTTGATGCGAAGCATCTCCTTGAACGTGTCTTCGTTGCCGTGTTGCACTTCGAATGCCTCCCACTTCTGCCAAAACGGCGCATTGGTTCGAGGATCGCAGAATTGGGACGCATGACCGTAGATCGCACGTGCCCGATCAATCTCACCGAGTCGGCGTTCCATCTCGGCGAACTTGAGGCACATCTCCTTGGCCTCTTGATCTGGCAGAGCCGCGATGGCCCGCTCATAGATGGGTCTCGTGGAGGTAAGTCCGAAGTTCGAAGCTGACTTAGTGATATAGAACTCGAACATCTCGAATCGGTCCTCATCAGAAACATCCCTGGTCGCACGCTCATATATGCGCATCGCGTGTCGGGCGAGACCGCGCTCTTCTTCCAAGTTGCCATACATCAAGTACAGAGGCTTGGCAAACTTGGGCGGGCATCCATCCAAAGCTTGCTCGAAGAGATCTCGAAGTCTTTCAATGCCAATCTTACGATCCACGGCCTTGGTCAAGTACAAATTCCAAAGCTCAAAGGCCACTGGATAGCTGAAAAGATCCAAACCACGCTCGTACACCTTGAAGGAATCTTCGAAGTAGTTGTTTTCCTCCAAGAGGTTCGCGTAGTTAACCACTGTTTGAGGTGTCGCAATACGCAGTTCGAAGATCCGCTCATATACTTTCCTGGTCTCTTCCAGCGAGGACACACTTTCAACGAGATCAACATAGAAACTCCACAGCTTCCAGCTCTTGTGGACTCTTTGTTGTGGGGACAAGCTTTCGTCGAAATAGTCCACGGTAGACTTCTTGGGAGCTTGTGTTGCCTTGGCCATGATATCGACGGCTCGGTCAAAGTTCTCCGAGCGAAGTTCTATCTCCGCCCATTCACACCATGTCTCTGCGAGTTCAGCGACAGACTTGAAGGGAACCTTGACGGCCTTGTCGAAAATGACTCTAGCAGTCTCCAGATCCCCTCCGTCCTCATAGAGTTTGGCATAGTTGACCCACAACTCGGAGAACTTTCCGTGCGCTTTCTTGGGATTGATTGACGCAATAGCAGCTGTGTAGGTACTGACAGCTTCCTGCTTATTGTCACCCCACAAAGCCACTCTCTTCTCCCATTCAATGACATTGTGCGGGTTCTGTCGCAATAGAACATCATTGACCAAGAATGGTCGTCGGTCCATCAATTGTTCAAATCGTAGCATGCGAAGATCGAGGTCAAAATCAGCCTCTTCATCAATCTTGCCCTTTTCTGAACGGACAGCCGCAGCCTCCATCAAATTGCCGATGATAGACTCTTCAAACTCTACATACGAGTCAAAGATGAGCGTGAAATCCCGAACCGTCATCACGGTTGTGATCCCTTCTTCAAACACATCTCTTGCTTTCTCGAAGCTCCCCTTTGTGATCCAGTAAGTGGCCAAACCAGCCCAGAGTTTTCCTCTCTGATCAGCGAATCGCTCAATTCCACTACGGAGAATGGCATCAACGTCAATCCCCACTTGGGGACCGGTCTCGATCTTTTTGGCCTTTGAAACCAAGAGGTCTACCATCTGGGTCCAGAGCTGGAAATTGCTCTTGCCATTCTTGGATTGGAAGCGCTCGTTATTCAGAATCTCCATAAAGACCTTAATAGCTTCTGTGTACTTGCCCATCTCGATCAAGATCTCAATGTATTCTTCTGCGTTCTCCGGGTGAATCTGCATGTACCGAGCCCAAATCTTGACGGCGGTTGGCCCCGAAGCAGATCGCGCGAAGCCCTTGAGGAGTCTCCAGATTCGATTGTGTTGGGTGACCGGCAGGGCGCGTAGCGCGCGATCAAATGTCCGCCGGGTCTGGGTTACCAAAGGCTGTAGGAGCAAGAAGGAGAGGTACATCTCCCAGATGCGAGGCATCTTGTTCAAGAGGACCAAAGCTCGTTCGAAGAGAGCATTGACCTTGACGTACTCAGCGCGGTAGACGGTGGGATTCCGACCCTTTAAATGCTTCATCCGGAACTCCAGGTACTATAACGAATATAAGTCAGTCAATCTATCATGCTCCTTATTAAAATTGCAAGAGGAGTGTGTCTCACCATTTTCCATAGCTTGTATGATCGCGGCAACTTTCGACAAGCACGCTCCATGACCTGAAACCAGAGAAAGAATGTCAGTAACAATTTGAGGCCTATAAGACAAAGGGGCAGGGAACGACGTACAAAGGCTTGCTCATAAAGCGTGCCATTTTGCTTCTTGAACTCGATATAGGCAAGCCATGGCTTGACACTGCCGGCATCGCGCAGCAGATCCTGTTCGTATACTGTATCCTGGTCGGTCTATCAAGAAGTATCATTAGCATCGTAATCCAGCGAGATTCCACCGAGCACTCACAATCAGATAGAAGTCCGGCCGGGACGCAGATGTTCGATCCATCTGTGCGTGCTGCCGGTGTGATCTCGGGGTCAAAAGCGTCCCTGGCATTGCGCCACTCCGTTCGAGCGGGATCCGATCACACAAAGCAAAAGGTCAGCATGGAAGAATGGCTGAGGCGAAAGCACACGAGTCGGCGCGTATGTTTGAAAGATGAAACTGCGGCAATCGTCGTATGTAAGTCACGTGAGAGCAACCGCATCGAGTGGGCGGTGGAGCTTTAGTTATCGGGGCGGCGTCATATCAATGTGGCTGCATCCACGCTGATCGCCAACAACGGGAATTCCAAGCTGCCATCATGTCGGGTGCAGTAGTAAGTATACTCCCAGGTTTCTCCAAGCTCTAGCGATTAACTCGATACGATTCCCAGGGCCGAGAGCCAGTCTTCCCGACTCGCCAGTCGCTGGGGTTGATGAAGAGCAAGCTGAAGGGGGCAGAGACAGGCCACAGCTTGCTTAAGCGCAAAAGTGAAGCTTTGACAAAGTATGTATCTGGCGACTTAATCAACCTCAGTACTGGAGCTAATTCCCTGTGCTCTTGACTAGGCGTTTCCGAGGTATGATATACTAGAACCCATCTACCGCACTCCCCCACACCCCGCGGAAGCTAATTCCACTGGGCAGAAATCACACGGCGTATCGATGAGGCCAAACGAAAGATGGGCCGAGTGATGCAGATTGCTGCCTTCTCACTTGCCGAAGTCAGCTACGCCGTCGGTGGAGATATTGGATACCAGGTGCAGGAGTCCGCCAAGCAGGCTCGATTCCGTGTCCGGGCTAAGCAAGAGAACGTCTCGGGTGTATTCCTACCGCAATTCGAGAGCTATACTCAGGACGGTGTCAATGACTTTGCCTTGACTGGTCTTGGCAAGGGAGGACAACAAATCCAGCGATGCCGAGAGACATATGCGCGGGCCGTGGAGACATTGGTGGAGCTGGCTAGTCTACAGGTATGGAAGCTAGGACGTTGAGTGATAAGCTCTTTCTGACTATATTAGACTGCATTCTTGATTCTGGACGAGGTTATCAAGGTTGTCAACCGAAGAGGTAAGCAGAACTCCGCAATGGCGGTCGGTTAGATTCAACGCAGTTGCTAACATATCGTGAATATAGTAAACGCAATGTAAGTAACTCAGACTATGACACTCAACTACAGTACTAACGAAATCTAGCGAGCACGTCATCATTCCTCGTACCGAAAACACCATCAAATGTTTGTGCTCCCGTCCAATAGGTGATTGGTCAGAAACTGACAACTATACAGACATCAACTCTGAGCTCGACGAACTTGATCGAGAGGAGTTCTACCGCCTCAAAAAGGTCTCTGGCAAGAAGCAAAGAGACAATGCTGCTGCTGATGCCGAAATTCTCGCAGCGCGGAAAAAGGCTGAGGCGGAGGAAGCAGCGGGCGGTGTTGTTGCTGCAGAGCCCGAAACAGCTGATATTCTGGGCGAGCAGGAGGATAACGATGTCATTTTCTAGGTGCATTTTTCCCTCGTCTCTTGTTGGACCTCGGACTAGTCGCCCTTCTTTGCATTTTTCTTGTTGTTTGTACCATGTTGCCTTTAACCTTCCATGTATGCCTTATAAGCCTTGTTTACTGAGTCGACCGATCTTCCGGAAATATCATTCTACTACACTGGATATATCTTAAGCCAGCAACGACAAATTTGGGTCTTTTGAAATTGTAAGATGAATGAACATTGACTGAAGTCTCCATCAGACCCGCAAAGACGCCAACCAAAAAAACACGAGGAAGAAAAAGAAAGTGCACGATGCAACAACTACTGTCTCTGGTATGTAACGCGAATAGGTTTGTTCTGGTCGCCCATGGCCATGCCCGAAGTGGCCTCCTTGGCGCTGATAGCACCAGCCTCGGTCTCGTACTCGACGAACGCAATACCCTTGCGGCCAGGCACCAATCTGACTTCCTGGAAGCCTTCGAAACGGCCAAAGACTTCGGACAGGCCCTCCTGGCTCGCATCGTCGGGGAGATCGCGCAAGAACAGAATCTTGTTGGGGGGCAAGTATTCGTCTGGGACGACTGCAGCTGCAGCGCCTGTGGTAGGCTTGAGGCCGGCACCCTTTGTTGTCTTGGCTGGGCGGGCGCTGTCCACAGGAGGGGCGGGGCGCTTGAGTTTCTTCTGGGCTTCGAGAGCTTCGTGGGCTTGTTTCCGCTCTGTACACCATAATATATTAGTCAGTAAAGTTGGATTTCAGGACCCGAGTCTCGCAATAAGTTTACGGAAGAAGAAAGAGGCCTGTCACGCACCTTTCTCAGCTAGGCGCCTCCGCTTGTGAGCCTCCAGCTCATCGTTTCCACCTTCACGGAGGACGGTCGCGTCACTCTTTGTCTTTGCATATTCCAAGACCATAGGCTTATCGAAGAGATCGAAGCCATTCACATCTTCAATAGCGCGAGTCGCGGCATCCACACTATCGAAGACAATGAAGGCCTGGCCCTTCGCCTTGATATTCTTTTTGGCGACAATCTCAACCACATTGCCGAACTCGGAGAAGATCTCCTCCAAGGCGACTTTGAGTTGTTCAATCTTAATGCCCTCCTCTAGATTCCGGACCTATTCGATGTGCAATGAATATGTCAGTCTGTGGGTTGCGCGCGCATTGGAGATTGTAGCAGGAACGAGAACGAGGCCCTATGTAGGACGTACGTAGACACTGTGAAGCCAGGTTAGCAGTGAAGTGAGAGAAAGCCAAGGTATGGCCATGACTTACGTAGAGTTTGGAGGAACACTCCCTGTGGATTGACCTGTGGCTGCCATGGTCGCGATAGTTGGAGCTTTGACAATGGAGTGAGGTTGAGCTTGGATTCCCGTTCGGCACAGGGCCAGCAGGTCCGGATAAATATAAAATAGATTCATAATACTAAGTTTTGGTGGCTCTCATATCAAGAAGCATCATTGGTCTAGTGGTAGAATTCGTCGTTGCCATCGACGAGGCCCGTGTTCGATTCACGGATGATGCACATCTCTTCTTTTTACATTTTTTTCCTTTTGTGTCGGTCAACATCGCAAGTTTCTTGCGCTTCCCACTCTTCTTCAAAAGTCTCGTTCTTAATGTAATTCCATGGATTTCAAGTCATTTTCCTCGTGATATTGCTGTGATCTACATTCTAAGTTGTCGGCACCACAACCCCCCTCAGCTCCTCCACCTTCACCTTCAATTCCTTTGGCTGCGCGGACCAGTCCTCATACTTGACCGTCTCCGACTCGAGTACAACGTACAGATAATCTGCGGCACTTGCTCGGACCTAAAAAATATTAGTCAAGCTAGAATGAAGATAACTCAGAGTAAACATACCCTTGGGAACGGATGGAGGAGCAGCCCGGTCATCTTCTTCAATATATCATTTCGCAATGAGTCCAGCCTCGACAATGCTGCATAGACCTTAACGGCAGATTCCAAACGTTGGATGCTAGATGAACGGAAATGGGCCGTTTGCACCAAGGCGAATACTTTCCGGAAAGTAGGGTCCGAGTCTCCTTGGTTGGGAACTACAAAACTGTCTATCAGGAACGCCACAAGGTCGATGACTGGGATCGCGTAGCGATCATCGGGAAGATTGGCACTGAGAACAGCCGATAGGTCCTGCAAGATTTCGATCAGGACTGCCTGGCGCTGAGGAGGTTCTCGTGCGTTGAGGAACTGAATTAGAGCTGAACGTGATGAGCGCACAAGACCTTCGGCACCTGCAGTTGCCGAGGTCGCTAGACCCTGTAGCAATGGTTGGCGCAGCCACTCGATGGAGTACAGAGTGAGTAGTTGATCAAAGTACCCTTGTGAGGATACATTGCTGAAGTGCTCATATTTACTGCTCTTATTAGCCGCGTGTAGCCGAGGGTAGACAAGTGGGTGCCATTACCTTTGCATCGGAGGGAAGTCTACCGGCATGGATTCCCAGTAGACTTGCAAACAAATCCAAGCTTGCAACCTGACCTTGTCGAGTTTCTCGGATGCTAAGCGGCAAAGACAACCAAGCAGGCTTCGCACGACTGGCGAGCTTGGTGGCAGGTGCGAATCTGGCTTCAACAGGATACTGGCGGCCTGTACTGCTTCCACACGAATAAGGGATCCGATATCACCTCGTCTATCCGTGGTATAATCGTTGAGGAAGTTGAGCACGCTATTAGCAATCGTATCCACCGCGGCTATTATACTTGTCAGCGAGCTGAATTCGCATATGAGAGGATTGAGGAGACCGTACCAGTGTATGGCAAAATGCTCGTTGACAAGCATTTCACAGCAGCCACTCGTTTCTCAATGAGCTCTTCCTTTCCTGCGCAGCGAAGCAATTCCGTTACGATGCCTTCTTGCAGGGTCTTTTGCCTCTCAAGCTGCTTGTAGACCGCCCCAAGAGCTAGAATTTGACCACGACCACTAGGTAGCTTTGACGAGGTGTGCAAATGAGAAATCCAGGTCTCCACAGTTGCTCGCTGTTTCGCTAGCGATAGAAGTGGGAACAACGTGGACAGGGCCGTGGATGAGCTTTCGATGGATATATCATCACTTCGAGAGACACAGAGCGAAAGGATATGGAGTACACGGTCGAGCAATGTCTCCAAGGGAGGAGATAATCCCACAGTTCTGGTCGAACGAGAGAGAGACGAAATCAAACAAGCAGATGCCTCCGAGGTCAACTCCGGACGAGAATTTTGCGAAGTCAAGTCCCTATCGGTGGGACTTGATGGCGATTCGAACATATCCCACAACTTGGCGATCTGGGATAAAACCTCCTTTGCCTCCAGAGTATCTCGCGCTTCTGTTGAGACTTCCCACTCATGAGTGTAAGCATCTATTGTGGCAGCAATTGACAGGAAGCACCCGTGTCGTGACTCGACATCACTTCGAGGTATACGAGGGAGCTTGCGCAGCAATCTTTCCAGTACCACTTTGATAGTCTTGAAATTCTGCTGCGTGCTCAGAACACCAATGGCCCGTGCTGCTTGTCTCCTAGACTCGGCATCTGGAGAGCCAATGCCCCGCCATTGGATGAGGGCTTCTATCAACGGGCTCCAATACACTGGGTCCAGAGAAGCGGTAGCCTTGGCCACCTCAATCATTGCACGGGACCGCCGCGCAACCGCATGATAATCCACGACCTGAACAAGAGGGATTCCTTCAGTGATAATATTGGGGTGACGACCAATCAGCTCCTGCAGAGCTGCAGAGGCTCCGCGGCGAATATTTCCTGACGGGTCAACGCAGGCTGAGCAGACAAGTTCGACGGCAAGCTTCTGTAAGACATCGACCTCGGCAATTCCAGATATCGCAGGGATAGTCTGGCGCTGCAAGGCTTGCAGTTCTGCGGTTGCATATTTTCGAGACAAAGCCCAGATGCCGAAGCATGCAGCGTCCCGAACGCCCGTTCCCACAGAACTACCAGTCGATGATCTCTGCTCAAAATCAAGGCCTGAGACCAGTGATTGAAGAATGTCAGGCAATTGCTGAGTTGGGGGTGCGCGACGAAACAGCAAATGGGAGAGCGTGAGCATCAGACCCTGCCACCGCTGGGCATCAACGGCGCTTAAATTACGTTTGAGCAACCGAATGCCAGCATTCCGTGCTTCAAACGGCGTTATCAAAGTGCCGTCGTCTTTTTCAAAAAGTATGTTCTCCCCCAATGAGCTAATGACTGCCTCAATAATCTCCGCACCCATCTCCGGGTCAAGCTTAAAGGTGATAACGCTGAGTGCCTTACTGGCAGCAAACCGCACCGGGGTGTCCTTATCTGCCAGAGCAACCAGAAAATGGTCAATTGCTTCTTCCAGGATGCTTGACAGCTGGTCGTCGGTGATGCAACTGTCTTCTCTCTCACTCAGAGACAAAGCCATGACTGTGATATTGCGAAGGATCTTGACAACAGTTTTTCTAGCCAGTGCAGAGGATTGCATGGTTGCAGATACCTCCGAGTTACCTTGCACGATATGTAGAGTTTGATCAAACACATTTTTCAGCAAGGGAGCAAAATCTTCGACATGGCCGGACCCCGCCAGGCGAGCGATGAACGAAAGAATCCCAATGCACGAGTAGACAGTAGGCATTTCCGTGCCCTCGACAGGATTGGCCTTAGCAAAGGCCCAACTCGTCAGACCCGTTAGAAGACCAAGCGCTTGCATGTCTCCACGCAAGACGAGTCGTGAAAGAAGAGCGGTAGCTGCCTCGCGCTCCTTACCAGAAGCGTTGATATAATGAAGAGCCAGCGAAAGCAGCGATTTCGCAACCATCGGTGTTTGAGAAGAAATCTCACCCAGCTGTTTCAGGTTGTCATAGGGGACAGGGATATCATCAGATGACAATGAGGCCAAGTCAAACGGGGCCAGGAGAAGATGCGACAGCCAGACTAACATAACATACCGCTCTTCCCATTGCATTCTCTGTAGCTCGGGGCCTGTAATATCCTCGATAGAGTCTTTCTGACCTAGAGCATCCCATTCAACGAAAGCCCGCAGCATTAACTCCAGGTATTTGGGCTCATTATTCAAGAATCGACTGATGACTTTGACGCCACGGACTTTGCAGAAAGTGTAAAGCAATCTGCAAATAGCTCTCGGAATAGGATAGAGAGCACCATTCTGTGAACCTTTTGTGGGCTGAACGCCATACTGCCCGCGATGCTTCACTAAATACGCGAGGAACGCATCCACCAATGTTGGCAGCAGCTTCTGCAGATGCGGATCCAGGAGCTGAGGCCACTCTTGAAAAGGCTCGAGCTGTCAGATCCGTTAGCTATATGCCTCTCATATGATCCAGGTCATGTGCGGTCTTACAAGTGCGACGAGCTTCTCTGTCTTGGACACTTGTACCCATTTGCGTGGGGTACGGAGAGGGGTTCCAGGTTGAGACCTCCAAAGCAGCGTTGGCAGCTTGGCGGAGAACTCTGTCACCAGATCACTAGAAGCCCGCTGGAGCTTCAAGTCCCGGTCTTCTGCAGCATCCATTGCAGAATCTCTCGAACGTTGATGTATTTCTCTCCTGAATCGGCGAGTCGGGAAAAGCGTCAACAGCGGGTTGGTCATGTGACATTTGTCAAGATATCGATCGAAAGTGGGCTCGCCTTATATGGACGTGCTGGATTGGAGCACAAGTATTCACTAGAATTGCAATCTGAAATCATTATGTGTCTAGAAAGGCTTATTGTATACTAATGGATAAATGGAAATCAAGCAAGGTTCTTTTGGAGCACCGTGCGATATTTGCCCTGCTCCATACCCCAAGATATACTGCCCGTGCGTGCGTGGATATAGAAACCTACCACGTAGACCGAGCCTCTAGGTGTATTGGAAGCCCCACCACAATTTCTAAGTATACATGGAGGCAATAAGCCTGATATCTCGAAAATTCTCAGCTTCGTTTCAAACATAGAATTCCAGCTCTTCCGCAGATTCCCGAACACTGGCCCATCTGCAACACCGCAACACCACGAGAATGGAAAATAACATGAAAACAATAATCATACAACGTCCTTGCCGCACTGATTAGCAGAGAACATGGACAGTTGGGGAAAACCAGTCCCGTCAAGACATACAAGGTAAAAATCAAAGAACGGAAAAAAAAAATCGCACGCTGGAAGGTACAACGACATCGCTCCATCCCCAAACAGTATGAAATGCGACCACAACCCGAATTCTCATTCAGAATCACAAATCAACACTCACAAATCCTCATCATCCGTGGGATCTCCCTCTCTCCGCCGCTGAGCAACCTTCTCCATGTAAGGATAGTGATCAGCAAGTCGCGTCATAGTCCGCCTGATATGAATGACTGCGATTGCCAGAGCGAGCGAGTTCCAGACATCCTGGTCATCTTCCGACATATCAAACTGACCCATGTACTTGGCATGACAGGCAGAGTTTTCCTCCTTCCAAGTAGCAGATTCCGGGTCGGTATCCACAGAAAGAATAGTGACAATAGGCCCACAAAGACAAAATCCGACCAGAGTAGGCCAGTATGGGTCCTTAGTACCACTGTACATATCCTTATGTTTCTTCGCAAGGCGCTCTAGTCTGGAAATCACTCTATTGACAACTGGTAGAGTTGGCTCTTCTGGCGCCTGGGTGACAATTGTGTAAACGGACGTCGTCTTTCCTTTCTTCCTCAGGCCGGCATCGGTAATCGCCCAGCGCAGGTACCTCTTAATCGCCTTCTTAACCACGTCTTGCGGACGGACGGTGAGAAACCTGCAATCTCGCACGCGACCAGGGACCTTGAGAATCTCGTGCAAGGCTCTAATGGCATAGAAATTGGATGCCTTTTGTACTTTGAAGGCGAATTGGCTCTCGTCGATTTCTTCATCCCCCGTTGGAAACAGGGACTCTGGGAGTGTCGCAAAGTCCATCTTCCAGTGTGATGGTAGCACTGGATAACAGCCGCGGGTGGCAAGATCAAGATATAGACTCTTTTCCTCGTGCCCCATCTTCGTGTCCTGGGGTACCTTGACAGCCTGCGCCATGCGCTTCGCCTTCTCCCTGCTCAGAATGAAGACGATATCGTCGCGCTCCGACCTTTCGATAACGCCCGGGGTGTCGACGTCATAGTCACCATCATCACTGTTCTGATCATCAACATAATTCCGATCCATATCGGCTGACTCCCGAATTCTCTTCTTCTTCACTCGTCTTTTCGAAACGCGCTCGGCACTGGGAAACTCGTTCGGTGAAGGCATCAACGGTGGAAATAACGCTTGGCGCTTTGGATATGAGTCTGTTTCAGAGTACTCGCTCAGGGAGGGACTAAAGATCGAAGGCGTAGCGGACTGAAGCTCGCTGTCGCTATAGCCAGCGAATACGGATCCGTTGCGGGAATTGCTATTTTCGTGCTTTATCCGTTTCGGTTTGGGTGATTCCGTCTCGCATCGTTTCAAGGTGCTGCCAAACCAGGCCGGACATCCAGTCATATCTCGCGGGGAATACTCGTCGTTCCATGTACCTGGAAGTGGAAGGGGGCTCTCTGTTGACATCACCCATGCGGTTCGAGGTAGCCCGTTTGAGGGAGGGACGTCCTCGCTTGAAGCCTTCCTCTTGTGGTCCATGAAGTGAATGCCAAATTTAATAGCAAAGAGAAGACAGGAAAGCAGAAGATTGAAGCGATATCGCGAGAGAAAGATACAGACAGTAAGCTGTTGGGGACGCGCACTGAGCTGGTGAAGACTGTGAAGTTGGACTGGGCTTTGAGGAAGTTTGCGACAAGCTAAGATCGAACTGCGCGCAAAGGAGCGTGTGGTGCAAGAGAGGAAAAGAAAAGCATTGAAGGCGACGACGATCGAGGCGCGGTGTGCTTATGGACGAAAAAGGAGCCGCTATGGGAACAGAGGAGATGAATGAACAAAGGGCCAAGCCCACCACTCTCTCTATGGAAATAATGGAAAGAGTAGACCTTGATTTTGGAGTCCCGAGTTTCTCGAGTCAACCTCGAGTTCGGTTCATCAGGACTCGAGCGCATGGAAGCACAGGTCTGGAGGGCAACGGGGCCTGACGATTGGACGAGGGAATGAAAGAATGGGTGGGATGGGGAGCACAAAGAAACAGGTGGAGCTTAAAAATAGCTTCTGGAATATACAGCACGGGAAGAATGGATGGACGAACACTGACAGAAATTATGAAAGAAAGGAGTGGCTATCCACGGATCACCTTGGGGGCCACCTGAAGGGAACATACCATTTTGGTAGAGACGGATAGAGTCGTGGGATGGGGGTTGAATCGTATACTTCACCAGATACTAATGCCATTTATACAGTACTCGGTTCAACTCTACGATCGCAATACCTACCATCTGATGTAAATGAAGGAGGATGTATTAGTTCGTATTTGCATCTCTTGTTCACAGAGCCCGTGGGGAATCAGATACTCATGCAGCAAGATGACGGCAGCACCGGCGCCCTCGGATGAAAGGAAAAAAAGAAACAGGAAAAGAAGAAGAAGAAACGAAGAGAAAAGTGGACGAAAACACGCCAATCCTCAAATCCACCCATGAAACCACATCATCATCATCATCATCTCGACCTTTTTGTTGAAAAGGCGCATCACATCCATCCCTATTCGTGCACGCCCTTCGGTATCAGCTCGTCAATGGTTCCATTCCAGGGCAGACTGCTACGAGAAAGCCATCCAAGTCATCAGCTCGGGCCTCCAAAGCAGCGATCAACCCAGCAGAGCGTAGAACCGTGGTGGATCCGGCGTCGGAAAAGGAGAAGCAAAAAGAAAACGATTCGCCATTTAGAGATGGAAACATAGAGCAAGAAAGAACAAGCAATTTAGATAACCAGATAACAAGACGAACACAGAATTCAAAAGGAACAGCGTTGCTCCATTACTCATGTCATTCAGCAAACGAAGTATGCCTAGCGGGGACAATTGGTGTCGGCGTCTACGCCGATCACTCAACCAAACACAACTGCGATGGGTATGTAGAGCAGAGCGGTTTGTAGAGAAAATAGAAATATTGAGAGCGGAATTCGAAGCAGAGTACTCCGAAAGCAGATATGTGAATCCGGACGCGACGGGTTCAGGCCCCGTGAAACCGAATCGATGCCGAATGTGGTGAACAGGAACCCGAACAAAAGATGACATCGCAGCTTTCAACAACACACACAATCAAGAAAAATCGGCCGTGTAGGAGAAACCGCGGAACTCTTCCTGCATGGCCTGTGAGAGCACGGACTGCACGGGGGTCAGAACTGGAGTCACGCTGGTGAACTCCTGGTCGAAGTTGCTAGTATCCGTGGGGCTGCTGATAGTGGGGATGAAGGGAGGAGGAACCCGCTTGTGATAGATGTCATCCCAGTTGACGTTGCGGAAGAACGCGTGCGACATCACCTCCTGAGCATCAGTAGGGCCAGAGCCCAGGCGCAGCTCAGGCTCACGGGTCAGCAGCTTCTGCAGGATTGAGACAGAGTCACGAGGCATGTGGATGGGGTAGAGGGGCTCGTCTGCGAGAATGGCATCGTAAATTTCGTCCTCGTCCTCACCACGGAAGGGAGACTGCTGCAGTAGCATCTGGTATATGAGGACACCAAACGCCCACCAGTCAACAGCGCGACCATACTTCTTGTCCAGTAGAATCTAAGAATCTAACGTTAGTAATTATCTCTGAGTAAGTGATTTAATGGGAATTACGAACCTCGGGTGCCATGAACTCGGGAGTACCACAGAAGGTGCTGGTGGTGCAGCCGTACCACATATTCTCCTTGCAAAGACCGTAATCAGCAATCTTGATGTGACCATCAAGAGTCAGCAGAATGTTGTCCAGCTTCAAATCACGGTAGATGACGCCGTTCTCGTGGAAGTACTTGAGAGCCAGGCAGACCTCCGCAGCATAGAACCTAATGGCATAAAGTTAGTGGCTTGCACAGCAGCAGTGATTTGAGCGATGAAAAGAGCACGTACTGTGCCCTCTTGAGGCCGAATTGACCACGCTGAATGTGCAGCATGAGATCACCACCACTGATATACTCCATAACGAAGTATACACGAGTTTCTGTCTGGAAACAAGCGTGCAAGTTCAGCAGGAAGGGGTGCTGTTCCTTATTGGCAATCAGGAAGACACGCTTCTCAGACTTAGTGCTCTCCACCTCGTCATTCTCAATGATGAACTCCTTCTTCAGCACCTTGATGGCGTACAGCTTCCGAGTGCTCTTTGTTTCAGCCAACATGACCTTTCCGAAGTTACCCTTACCAAGCACAGCAAGGAAGTTGAAGTGATCCAACCCAATACGAGCCTTAGCCTGAGGCGTAGGAGGCTCCGGCTCCTTGTGCGGCGGGGGTATCTGGGGAGATATGACCTGCACCGGCTGCTGGGGCGGGGGCATCGGGTAAGAAGGTCCAGCAGGCTTCTGTATCTGCGGAGGCTGAGGTGCTTGCTGGAAATTAGCATAGTTGGATGGGACATAAGGGGTGTGTGAAGTAGGAGCTTGATGGTGTTGCTGCACTGGAGGACGAGCTGGTTCCGCTAGATCATGATTGTCAATATACCAAGAATGGATAAATGGATATCGGGCCGACAAGAAGACATACTTGGGGGTTGTGCAGGGATCCGCTGTCCTGTCGCAGTGATCGCCGCAAGCTGGGCAGGAGATCCGGAGGAGGGCGATTTCGGCGGCAATGGTAGGCGAGGAGCCTGTTTAGCAGCTATTGGTGACTGTGGAGTCATATAAGAGTTAGTCGCAGCGCTTACCGCTTCGGCTGACGGTAGTCTGGGAAGCGCCCCGAAGGGGCCGTTGGTGGGTTTTTGGGGGTAAGAGAGGGCGGTATTGTCAGGAGGGGGTTGCGGCGGACCGCCTGGTCGGAGGGTACGACCGCTGAGACCAGAACTGACAGATGTAGATTTGTTGTGATGCTTTGCGCGAATCTGAGCGTCAATGATCTGATTTGCAGCTTCCATCGACATGCCACAGAAATCAGGCACAAGATGTGTGCATTGAGCGTGGCAAGTAAGCGCACATTCTACAAAGCAAGGATACGAGATTAGTATGGTGCTTAGAGGGTAATATCAGAATCAGAATGATAAGCGTACCAGTACACCGTTTGGCATTCTTGCGTCCAAATGGCAGCAAGTAACCACAGTGGCAACACCAGTTGGCAGAGAGGTTGGAGAAGCCTTCGAAACGGTGGGGAATCCGGTGATTGATCTTCTCCTCGTCGGGGTCGGTCTCATAGTTGGCCTTGCTGATACACTTGGTGACAACCTTTGGATAGCATTTACGGTGGCAAGTGTACTTGCAGTCCGCGCATTGCATGCCCGCGGCATACTTGAGGAAATCTCCGCACAGCGCACAGCGCATGATGTTGTAGAACTGCTGGGTGACAAACTTGTGGCCCTGCTTTTCGTGAACCTCCTCCTTCTTCTGGCGCACGGCACCCTGTCGGTTGAGACCAATGTCGAAGGGACGACGATCCTTCAGTTGCTTGGCTATTTCGACAATTAGCGCGTCATTCAAATGACCATTACTTTCAGACGTTAATCTCTTACCAAAGCTCATCTGGAGCTGAATACGGCCAAATGGCTCCAAAGCAAACCATGAATCGATCATGACTGTCGGGGGCGCATTCGGGTTGTCTCCATGGGGGTTTCCGCCAGGAGGCACCATTGCACCGAAGCTGCCACCACCAGGTCCCCCGTGAGAGGTGCCTGGAGATCCTGGGTGGTAGTCGGATCGTGGAGCGCCCGATCCATCCATTTTGTCCGCCGAAACCCATCCCGAGGCGTTCAGCTCAGTTTCAATCTTCTTGCGACGCATTTCTTCGGCAATATCGGAAATGCGCACCCACAGCATACCGATGGGGGTGGGACGGTCTCCAGACTTGTCGTAAACGGTCAACTCGATCTCGTTCGCTTTATCGATGTCAATAGAGAACGATTCATCAAGCCATTTATCGTTTCGGGTAGCCTTTGTCCGTGCTTTGATTGCATCTTCCACCTTGACGATAACGAACGTCTCAGGGCCACGTGAGAATCGTGAGCTGGTGGCATGGTCGACATCTTGAACGGCATGAATTCGCATCGTAAGAAGACCGGTCAAGGGCTTGCGCATATTGGGGCTGCTGAGCGACTCATCTACACCAAGTAGAAAGGTTAGTTATATCGGAGCTCTCGCCACGACCATAATTTCCGCTTTGACACACCATCTGCACCATCGGCCGAGTCGATATCGACGTGAAGATCTTCGTATCGCTTCAGGGCCTGCTTTAGCAACTGGATCTTCTGGTTACTTTCCACGCGACGGCCTTCGGCATCGGCGCGGCTCTTCCGGTCACCCTCATCCTGGTACAGCCGGACCATCTTCTCGATACCCGCCTTGTATTGTTTCTCTACGCTCAACTTGAATTCGAGTTGAGACAGCATGAGCTGGATCTTCGGGCCGAGATACGGAGTGTCATATTTGATAAGATCTGAGACACATCGTTTCCAGTCAGCATTCCAATGTCCTCGGAGAATTTCCCTCGTGCCGGAATTTCCAGAACCAGACAGGGGAGGGGCTCCTGAACGCACCGAGCTTTGTGTAATTTGGCCGCGCCTTAGGGATCGGGGCGTAGGGGCGGGGGTCAGAGAATGGGGCGCCCGAAGGCATCGACCCCGCGCCGCCCTGAGGGTAATGCGCATCGCCTTCACCACCCGGGTATCCATAGTCCTTTGGGGGAAGCGGTGGTCCTCCACTTTGCGTGTGACGAGAGTCGTGGGGTGAGCCGCCGCCTTCCCGTTCCATTTGACGAAGCTGCAGCTCTCGCATCTTCTCCTCGAGGTAGGCGATATTTTTGCGACCATCGCGGATGTTGGCGTCGACGCGCTGTTGGACCAGAACATTGTCGGTGGACTGTCGCATGTTACTGGCGGCGGCGATGAGGGCTTTCTCCCGCTCGATCTTGCGGTAGACCGAGGCAATGAGCTCGTCGCCGTCCATGATGGGCGGAGGAGGAGGGGTAAACGAGCAAACAGATCCGAAGCGACGGGGAGTGGAAAAAAAACTTATGAGAGAGAGAGAGAAAGAGAGAGAGAGAGAGAGAGAGAGAGAGAGAGAGAGAGAGAGAGAGAGAGCCGGGGACCGTAAAGGTTGGGGATGTGGGTGTGGGTTGGGGGGGGGGAGAGAGTGGGAAGGAAGTGGTTAGGAGGAGTAGGAGGAGATGTTTGATGGAGAGGGATCGGGTTGGGAAGGGTGTTTCGCGGGGCTCGTTGTTGACAGGGGGAGGGGGTTTAGAACGGTAAGGATAATGCCACTTCGGAAAATGTAGTCAGACCAGCGCCCGATCACCCCCCCCCCCAAAACGATTAAAGACAATGAATAAGTGGGATTCAGTGATTGAGCGATCATAAACGGGTCATCTAGATACTTCCAAGGGCATTTTCTGAGTGTGGATGACCGGGGACCGAATGATAATGGAGCTAAATGGGACTACGTTACCACTTGGCCGGCCAAACAATGGACTTTGTGGCGAGAGCCCTGGAAGCCAGCGACATCGACCACCGATGACGGGCACGTGAGGCGATGCTGCCCTTTTACCCAAACCGGCCTCCTCTCTCATTCCGCTCTCTCTTTCTCGTCTTCGAGACATGGAACCCAGAAAACTTCATTTGTTCTCTGCCTGCTCCTGCTCCGCCTCAAAAGCAAACCCTAATAGATCCCAGGAGGCCCAATGAAACCCCCAAGGATCTCCCAGACAAAATCCACTCTATCAGTTCTGCGACATCCACTGTAGATCCATTCATTGATCATTGATCATTGATGACATATGACCCAAGCCTAAGATGTCGGCCTGTCTCGGAGTGCTTCCAAGAGGCTACGAGTAGCGTTGTGGAATCGTACTAACAGGATGACGACGATCGGATGGAAATGCCAGAGTATGATTGGAGGTTCTATTACATTCAATTCCTGGTCACCGCTATCGGCTCCTGGTTGAATCATAGTAATCATCATCATCTGTTGATAGGCATGCGACCGTGTCGGCTCAGATCTCCTTGCCGCGTACATGGGGGAGATCCATGAAGGGCTGAGTACCGTGGCTATGTCGCACACATTCTTCAACTGCAACCGTTTTGCCACCTGGATGCCATTTGGGGTTCCGATACAATTAGGCTGCTGGCTAGTACTGTAGCTGTTGTCGGGTAAATAGTACGAAACGGATTAAAGTTAGCCAGAACGGGGTCCAAAGTGGCGCCATCGTAACATCAATCCGAAAAACTAATATATAGCACGACCCGAAAACATTGGTGACTGCATGGAAATACATGCAGTTCTATAGCAATCCATTGGGCCATTTGTGGCTATATTGAGACAAGCTTTGATCGGACGAAACCTTGTAATGCCTCCAATCCCCTCTATTGTATATGGACCGATAAGCATGGCAGCGTTCCGGTGGTTGAACTCTCCAGCAGCCTCAAGTTCCAACCCCTCAATCCTTGTATTGAGTGATGAATCGAAAGACCATGCCGAGTTATCTAAGTGGACGATTCGAAAGAGATCCAGGCAGAAGTTTGAAAACGAAGAGAGTCAAATCATATCTGACCCGTCCTTTTTCCCTGCCCCATGACCCAGACTTTGGCGCTGCCAGTGGGATATGCAAGAGCACCTAACATGCCACACAAGCCGACAAGTACCAGGGCTCAAGCCCTCCCAACTGGCCGAGATGCTCATGCAGGCAGCACGTACATCCCCAGCCCAACGCTGATAAGATCTGATCTCCAATCAGCCACACGATCTGAGGTCGGACCAAATCGGGAGGTCCGCGCGACACGATGTACAGCAACCCCCACCAACCGCCCATCTCCACAGAACCCTTTCTTACTCGGATCGTTTGGAGATCTTCGGCAGCAGAAGCCAACCGGTTGCCATTACTCCGTACAACCCAATACAGATTGGATGCAGCACCATCGTCCCTACATGTTGGGCAAGTATTCCGGTAAAGAAGGGCGAGACAGCACCTCCACTGCTGCCAAGAGCACTAATGAAGCTGAGACTGGAGATGTGCATGTTTCGCGGCAGCAACTGCGTGAACACGGCCATGGAACTCGGATACACGGGGCCTAATAGTAGACCGAGAATCGCGACCGTCACGGCCTCCCCGACCACGTTCGGGATCAGCCAGGTCATCAATTGGAAAGCCACGGCGCCGGCCACCATGATCACAACCGCAATCCTGTGGCCCAGCTTGGCGGCCGGGTGGACCAACAGGAACCGGCCGGCGGTAATGCCAGCCCAGAAGCCTGCGCTGACATATCCGACACGCGAGGGGTCGCCGTTTCGGTAGCTAATGAGGAAAGATACAACCCAGCCAGAGGTGGACACCTCGGCACCTTGGTAAGCAAAGATGAAGAGGGCGCCGAGCAGGGTTGTGCGGTTGCGGATGGCTTTTTTAAGCAGCTGTTTCCTCGTCATGGGCTCACCCTCAGCCGCCGGACGTGAAGCCGTTGGCTGAACAAGCTCGACGGGGGTATCATTCTCAAAATCCAAGAATGCCCACCAGGCATAACCAAGATTGATTAAAGAAATCACCAAGGAAACGATATAGAAGAGGGACCAGCGAATCCCACTCGACACCATCGCCGTCGCGAACAGCGGTGCCACCGTGCCCCCAATACCATACGCTCCATGGGAACAGCTCAGCGCTGTTGTAGAATTCGGCAAATTGGCACAGTACACATTACTGAGAGCCAACCCCAGAGCAATCCCGGATCCAAGCAAGAAGAAACACGCTACGACCACGGGGAATGGCGGCTGACAGATGATAATCACATAACTGACGACCAGGAGCGACATGGCGAACGCATAGCTTTTGGACCGGCCCAGCTTGTGCTCAATGGCATGTGTAACGGGGGCCGCAGAGATGAAGCCCAATGCATTGGTCACGAAGATCAGCGAGACCACGGCGTATCCGATGCCGTAATGCTTCTCAATATACGGGATCAGCGCACCGGGGGCGCTGTCGTTCATACCATTCCCGAAACTCATCAGACAGCAGCTTAATAGTCGCCATTTGGTCTTCCACGACATTGCCGTGCGATCTGTAGCGAATTCAGTGACATCATTGGCGGGTGCAGATGATAGGCGATTTTCCAATACGCTGAGAGTGGGCATGGGAGTCGATGGACTGGTCGTAGGCGGTTTCACGAGGTTCGAACCCACTGTCGAGGTCTGTGGGTGAATCTCATTTAATTCGTAATTGGCCGAAGGCTGTGAGACAGCTCGATCGTCCTTGCGCACTGCGACGGGCGGACTCAAGATCTGAGAAGAGCTGTCAATATCGATAAAGGCTCCCAGTGTTGAAGGAGCCATGCTTGTAGACGGTTCGCTTAGAAGCCCTCCCAAACCGTCCGGATGTGAGTCTTGCAGAGACTTGGGTGGAGGAAATAGACAACTGAAGGTGCATTAATAGACATGAGGGGTGAAGATGGAGGTCTCTAGTTCAATTAACTAAGCATCCCATCTAAATCGGTCTCTCACCTGCATTATCAATCAACTCGGGGATTTTTCCGGGGAAGCAAGATCTGGCCCCGACAGCGGCTGTGCTCTTTTAGGAAGTTCGGGCCGCACTCTCAGGTAGGAATTTCCTATCCGATCAAGGAAGCTTCTTCGAATAGCAAATTTTTAGTATACGCGACTTAGCTATAAGTGAAGAATGTGAAATAAGAAATGAAAAAAAAGGACAGAAGAAAACCTCGCAATATAGCTCGATACCGGACTTTCATCTTATGACTCTAGCTACCTACCTAAGCCTCAGAACCTTGGAATAGAGACTTGAAAGATGGTTGAAATGTTTGAAACCAAAGATGCGACAAAACAATTCATGAAATACACCATGGAAGACAAAGGATACAATCGACAGTCCCTTATTCGCCTATCATTTCCCCTCTCTTAAAACCTTGCACTCTTCTTTCACCAGTAGCCATTAGCTAAAGTTGGACCTAGATGACTCTACCTATCAAAGATTCAAAATTCCTCATGTTGAAACTTCATGGCTCTAGATAATTCAAAGGGTCTTCCTAATAATATTTCCAATCTTGTTCTCAAGCAAACTACAGCTAACTACTTGTCGAAAAGGAGTACCGTGGCGTCAGGCTCAAAACTAGGGTAATAGCAGAGCGTTCTCCTTGACAGCACCGCATCGCATCTGAACGCGTCGTACCATGGATTTCTAGATTCGCATATAGCTAACTCGTATTTCCTTGGTGAATATGTCAATTTCTGAAGTTTCTCTAATTGAAAACACCTTATGGTAGGCCGTTATCAAACTTCTTTTTCCGTGTTCATACTGTGGCCGTACAGCAACACACCGCTCATGGCAGTTTTGACTGCGGCGGAACGCAATGCGGAGGCTGCCCTGCTGATAAGGAAAATTATTCTCCCACAATCAACGAGTTGGCAACCCAGCTACGCCACGAGACTGGTCACCTTCACTCAATTGTCACTCTACGGAATGGCTCCTCCTCGCAGAAAGGTCCTGGCTACGGCCGAAGGAACCATGTTCCCACCAGACGAGCTATCCAGCACCCAGCAGATTGTTCGAGCAATCAAGGCCACTGGCAACAACATCTACCTGATTGAACAAGCCGACAAGACTCAAATGCTTGTCGAGCTGCCTGCCCGATTCCGGTCAACGTTCTGGATTAAGCGTGGATCATATGTTGTCATTGATACCCAGGCACAGGAGGAGCGGGATAACAAAATTGGCGGAGAAATTATCAACATTGTGCGCGATGAGAAGGCCTGGAGGAAAGCTCGTTTCTGGTACGATCGAATTGATATCATGGCACTTATAAATTGCTAGCTAATTAGTATACTCTCCCTACAGGCCAAAGGAATTCGTCAAGCAGCCCGTGGCTGTCGTCGACTCCGACTCCGACGAAGAGGAATCTCGAGTTGGCAGGATGCCATCGTCTGATGAATCTGATGCATGAACAACTTCGCTAATTATAAATGAACCACATTCCCGGCTCCTATGGAGTGCGCAACTTCCTGCGTTCGTCAGGTCCACCGCGCTTATTCCCTACCTCGCCAAGCCCGTTGACCAACACACCAAACACTTGCAGGGCGAGCGACAAGACCACGACCACAGAACTAGCATTGGTGCTGGGATAGACGTTCCAAGCCCACTCCTGCAGTGCCCACACGGTATAAATCAGAATTGGATGGAGACCTGCCCGCCACAGGAGGAATGGGGTGGCCCATGCCAGATATGAGAAGAACTGATAATGCAATGACCTGGCGCACAGCAAGCCAATGGCTAGCGAGCTCAGCAATACGGTCATGATGAATGATTTTGAGAGTGCCACTGGTGGTTGGCGGCCCTGGATGCTGTCCAGGAGGAAGCGGACCACGTTGGTTCTGGATGGCTTCACCCATACAAGAGAGAAGATAGCCAGCAATGAAACGTGCAAACCTAGCAAAGCCAATGAGAACTCCTTTGAGAGGAAAGTTTCCTCGCCCACAAATCGCCAATTCACGGTCCACTTGAACATGAATTGCCGGGATAGTTCAAAGGCTTTAGATAGGTAGCCCACGGGGTTTTCCTGAAGGAAAGGAATTGCAAGCAAAATCTGTATAGTAGTGTTAGTAACCAGTCTGGTCCGCTGATCTGGATAAGATATCTAAGCCGGCTAGGTCATAGCAACTCACCTGAATCAGGACAGCCAGGGCACCAAGGACGACGCTTTGCAGCAGGCCCAAGCTCAGCAAAGTGATAATGGCAATCCCGGGGACGAGCAAGACCAATGTCATTTTGACACCCACACCCAACGACCAGATCGCAATACCAGCGGTCCATTTCTGCTTCATACACAAGTAAATCGCCAGCCACATCGCGAGTGTCGCAATGCCGTCATTGAACATGCGCAGCATGTAGATACTATGAAGTCGCTTGGACAGAACCAATAGCGGATAAAGGTAAGGGGGAACGTCGACCTGTCTGTAGCAAGCGATGACAACGATCAAGGTGGCCAGGTAGAAACCTGCAAAAAAGATCTGCCCCTGAAGGATATCGCGTCCTCCATCGGTTAGGTCGTAGAGCAGCGTGTAGATGTACACATGGGCTGCGGGGTAGACCAAAGGTCCGGTCGACCCCTTGATCGCAGTGTAGTCTCTTTCACCGGATATATAGAGTGATACTTGCTGCATATAGGTGGACCAGTCAATCTCGGTGTCTGTGGTGGTACGTTAGTGATGTAACTCAGTTAGATCTGGGCGGTACGCGCGCCGCGAACTTACAGGAGATCTTCCAGATGACCAGGGTGCAGAGAGCTGCATCGCCAAGGATGAGCAAAGCTACAATCCATGGCGTGTGCTTTGGGTGAGTTAGCGCGGTGTGTATAAATTTGATCCAAGGATTAGACATGGCGACGCAAGCTGGGGGTGGATAGGGAAATGTTCAAGGTGGCCTGAGGGGAAGCGGATTTAAGCTTATTGCGGCTCTGAACTTTTGGGCCGACAGCTCCATGGCCAGGCTACGCGGCTATTGTTGTCGCGATTGAACAGACGTGGATCTGTAGCATTATCGAATGTTTTGGCATTGAATCTCGAAGTATTTTCTGTTTATACATTTTATACATATACATGTAGGTGTGTTGAGCTTTAAGGTCGACACCATCAAGCCCATCTATCTGGGAGTGATCTCAACGAGCACACAACAGCCCAATCCAAACCCCCAGCCTCACAGCCAAATCCCGTGGTATCATTAAATAAGAAAAGAGAAGTATGACGCAAAAGATGACAAGACGTAGAGCCGCACAAAATAATGCACAGAGCCGATTCCCAAGACACTACCGGCCACCATCCGCCGTTCCACTGGCCTGTGTCTGGGAGGACTCACTCCCACGCGCATTGCGGAACCCAAGCAATTCCCCAATGACACCCTTGGGCTTTGGTACGGGACACTCGTGGCCGACGCGTGCCAGCTTTTCTGCTTCCTCTTCCATCTGGAAGAATGTAGACACCTCCTCGTCCACGGTGCCCGCTGGTGTCGGGTAGCCTGGGCGTGCAGATTCGGAGTCCAGCTCGACATCTTTCCGCCGGCGCCGCCGGATACGTGGTACTTGTTGCCCATCGGCTGTGATTGTCATTTCTGAATCGGCGAAGGTACGTCGTGGGGCGGGACAGGGGAAGAGGTGTGGCATGCCGACCACTACGAGCGATGCGAGGAGGGTTCCGGCGAAGAGGGTGCTCGTTGACCGAGACTTGGGATGTAGATGGGGCGGCATTGTGAAATATGGGCGCCGCGTATAAAGGAATTGAGGTTGCGCAAGAGGGTGTGTGGGCGTGGCCGACTGCTTCAACTTTTTTTGGCTCAGGCCATCGGAGGGCCTCGGGGGGTTGTGGATTGTTCGGCTGACCCGGGGCGGGATGGAGAGCGAAGGGCTCGACAGGGATATCAATTGGGTCGATTTCAACGAGATCCCTCCAATTCAATGATTCAACAGTGCCGACAGAGCAGATGCGGGGTGGAGGATGGCGTCGGTCGACGGAGAAGGAGAGTTGCGAAGGCTCTGGTGGGCATCTAATCTTATCTGCCTCCCGCGTGATTGGCCGTCGCGCAGAGTCAGAAACGGGCCTTCTTGACCCGATCGATCGACCTCGCTGCTCTCGAGCTTGTGACGGCGCAATAATGAGCTTGCATTTTTCGCGGGAGACTTATTGATTTTGATCTGGATTATCTGATTTCTGTGTCCCACGAGGGGATCCCCCTCCAAACCCACTGCACCTCTCCTCCTCGTTCCCTGCCGCCTCTTCCTCTCCTCCCTCTCCCCTCCTCCCACTCGACAAGATGAGCGACCTAGACCGGTACGACGCGTTTGCCTCTCCCATACCTGCGAGATCTACTCTAACTGCTTTCTCTCCCACAGGGCGATCGAGCAGCTGCGGGCCTGCCGCCTGATCCCCGAATCTCAGGTCCGCGAACTGTGTTACAAAGCGCGCGAGCTCTTAATCGAAGAGGGCAACGTCGTCTCCGTCGATGCGCCGGTCACCATCTGCGGCGACATCCATGGCCAGTTCCACGATCTGATGGAACTATTCCGCGTGGGCGGCGACGTCCCGGATACTAATTACCTGTTTATGGGCGACTTTGTCGATCGCGGATTCTATTCGCTCGAGTCCTTCCTCCTGCTTCTCTGTCTCAAAGTCCGCTATCCCGATCGGATCACCCTCATTCGAGGAAACCATGAGTCGCGCCAGATTACTACGGTGTACGGATTCTATGACGAGTGTATTCGCAAGTACGGCAGCGCCAATGTTTGGCGATACTGCTGCGAAGTCTTCGACTATCTCGCGCTGGGCGCTATCGTCCTCGGCGCTAGCTCTGAACTGGAGCCGAGCGGCTCGGGCGTGAACAATATGACACAGTCTACGATGCCAGTTGACGATGGCGAGCTGGAAACTGAGGTTCTGAATTCGCGCGGAGAAGTCACAATGAGCACATACCGCCCGCGACAGCGCTCCTCCTCAGACGCATCCACAGACTCCCGAAATATCTCACCGCCACGCGATATATCCGCCGCGCCAGGCCAAACGGCCGCACCCGCTCGCACCGGTGCCCCCGGAACGGGCGCCAGTGGAGACGGTAATGGCAGTGCAACGACCAGCCGTACCGGTGCCGTGCTCTGTGTCCACGGCGGCTTGTCACCCCTTATCGACTCAGTAGATAAAATTCGGCTGATTGACCGGAAACAAGAAGTGCCCCATGAAGGTGCAATGTGCGATCTCCTCTGGTCAGACCCCGACGAGATCGAGGGATGGGGCTTGAGCCCGCGTGGTGCCGGGTTCCTGTTTGGCGGAGACATCGTCAAGCAGTTCAATCACCTCAATGGCCTATCTCTAGTAGCGCGTGCCCACCAGCTCGTCATGGAAGGATACAAGGAGATGTTCGACGGAGGTATTGTTACGGTGTGGTCTGCACCGAACTACTGCTATCGCTGTGGTAATGTGGCCGCTATCTTGGAGCTGGGCGAAGATACAAGCAGTGGTGGCACTGTTGCACGCAGCAACGGAGAATACGGACGCAGTAATGGTGTTGTGGGCGCAGATAATACGGTCGTCAGTCCTGGGAGGAGATACCGCGTTTTCGAGGCCGCAGCGCAGGATACTAGGGGTATGCCTGCGAAGAAGCCCGTCGCTGATTATTTCCTGGTAAGATCGAGTTGCCCCAAGTGCAATGAACTCAAACTAATTTCTCTAATAGTGATACCAATACATGCATTCTGTCGTCTCTTCCTCGCTATACGGTTCTCAGAAGCTTTTCGATTCCCTTAGCATATTGTGCCTTGGTGTTTATGTCTTTGTTGCAACCCTAATGATCAACCATGACGGATACTTGACTCTTAGAAATTCAGAGTATTTTCAATTCTACTTCGCCTCTCTTTTATCAACTTAATTGTACCCGTACGTATATCATATAAGCCTCACCAACGCGACACTATAAACCAACTCCCGAGATGTAAGTCACGAAAAAAACAGCCTCCCAATTTCTGGTATCATAAAACAATCAAGTCATCAACAGAAATACAAGGCGAACACAAAAAGTAAGTCAAGAAAAGACATTGAACATCGCACTCGGAAAAAAGTTTAAACCAGTATTGATAAAAAAACACATATATCAAGAAGGTGATCGTAGATCATAGATCATTTCCATGGCTCGTCATAACCGGACGTGGCGTTCTCCGCTACGAGCCCGATATTATTCATCTCCACTGTGGCCTGTGGTTGACGACTCGAGACGGACGAAGAACTAGGTTGCTGAGCCATTGCCATGGCATAAGCGTGATTACCGTCATACTGCATAGCAGGCGTGGGCACCGACATCTCAGGGCTCCAGGGCCCGGGCCAGTTCTCAACGCCGATTGCATTGCGCGACCACCAGTCTTGGCTTTCCTCGACAAGGTGCTCTGTGCCCTCGAATCCGGAGACGGTCGAGTTCGAGCGCGGTGTGGTATTCTGGGCTGCGATCGGCGGACCTGAGGCGTCGTACCAGCCGGGTTGGTTTTGAGGCGCGGTGGATGATCCGGCGGAGGCGAGATTCGGTATCTGGAAAAGAGGTCGGAGGTATGTTGGTTCGGGGGGTGCGAACTCTGAGCGCTGAGCTAGGGCGCTTGGGATGCTGCGCGCTGCAGGCATTGCTGTCATTGCCGAGGGCATGGTGGCAGCCGGGTTCCTGGATGGGGCTACCATGTTGATGGGAGGGTTGGGTGCAATGGTCTCGGCTGAAGGTGCGATTGGTCGAACCTGATTGTTGGTTGGGGAGGTGGAATATCGGCTCGGGCTGGTCACTGAGGATTGGAAATTGCCGTGGGTAATCTGGGAATCATCGGATGTAGAGGGCGAAGCTACTTGGTCCCAGGATCCCCACGAGCCCCATTTCACATGGGTTCGCTCAAAGATAGTGGTTGCCTCTGGTGGTAGCTCGACTTGCCACTTGCTGGCCGAAATGTCGAGGATGCGTAATGTACGACGAGCGCATAGCCAACCCTCAGCCATCTCTTCGAGGTTCCGTAGACCGTGGATGATATCTCGTTGGGCGTTCTTCTCTGGGAGATTGAGGAGATGAATGGTACAAGCAGTGTGTGCAATATATACGACAATGTTGACAATCTGTTTCAATCCGTATGTTCGTTTGTACATTCTCATCAATTTCGAAATGGCCGAGGCAGCCTGGGTACATATTTTGCGCGGTGAGACGTGGGATGGAAGAGGTGTGTTGCTGCGGGTATATTTTAAGAAAGGTCGGTAGAGATGGATGAGGAGAAGTTGGTTGAACATGCTGCCATAACGTTAGCTAATGCCGCAAATGACGTTCACCACCAATGCGGGCTTACTTACTGCATGACAAGTACCTGGGGTAACTGGCCTTCTCTCGGGTCCAGTTCTTTTGGAAGCTCCTTTTTCCATGCCTCGAGACGAGTATGGACATCACTCAATCTCTTCAGCTCCAAGTGCTTCTGTTGAGTTTTCTCTAATTCAGCAGGATGGTAGAAGAAGACCAGTAGATCACTGCTAATTTCACACAGTTTCGAAATCTGGAACGCTACTGTCCTCGTTCTAGACGGCTGTGTGTGGTCATGACCCACGCCGGCATCTGTATAGGGAGACCAAAGCTCGCCTTCTTCTCTGGGTAGCACGTCAAATTTGGAAACATTTGTGTTAGATGAAGAAAGTTGTGGTTGACGACCAAGGTAATTTGACCAGCACCTGCTATTTGTTAGACACCGGGGTATTGAGAACGAGGGTTCAATAGTACATACTTGTCAACGAGGTGGCAGCCCCAGAAGGTGATTCGTCGTGCATCAACTTCCTCCTCGCTTAGGTTGTGGGACCCCATGTTCTTCGCGTCGACATTCAATCCCAGATCGAAGGCCATGCGGAAGCTCAGACCACTGTAAACCCAGCCTTTGCCCTCTCGACCACAACCGGCTTCGCGGACAGACATGAGGGCAAATGCTTGGACGGTGCAGAGCTTGGCGTTCTCGTGCTCATCATTTTCCAGGATCAAGCGCTTAGCTTCTTTGAAGAAATGATTCCCCGCCGTATTGGGGTTCACCGAGTCTGCAAATGCCCCTCTCCATGAGCTGAAATGACAGCCAAGTGCTAGCATGGCGTTAACCAATAGTGGGGAGCAGTATGGGCTAGAGACACCCCGGATATAATCCCGGTAGAACAGGTCTTTGGCGAGAAGAGTGAAGAAGGGATAGTGCCATGTAAAGTACATGGTCAGGAGATGGCTTATCAGCGAGTCATCTTCGGTGACCTGAGTCCATCGCCGGACTGGTTGCGAGTCATTGAGGGCAGGAGAATCGGTGGTCGACTCAGACTCCTGTATCTCCGAGCCCGGCGGAAGGAAAATGAGATTGGACGTGCCGCCAATGAACTTGCGAGTCCCATCAAGTACGAGTTCGCTCATTTTACCGGATAGCTCAGATTCGAACTGGTCAACCCCAGCAGTTTCATCGTTTGACTCTCTGCCGGCGTCAGCAGATGCGGCAGCGAGAAGTCCTTTCTCTCGAGCAATGACCGATTTGGCAACATCTTCCAGATCATCACAGGAACGAATCTGGCGGACCAAATCGAAGGCATCGTCTTCTTCATAGTTTAATAGTGCTTGTATCAAAGTTTGCAGTGTCGTGTGTCGAGTGCGAAGAGTATCAGCATCTTTCTTGTATACTCCTTTACGTCGATGATCGGAGTTTGGATCATAAACACCTAAAGAACGGTCAACTATGTTTTTCAATATAAAATTTGATAGCAAGGGTTACGCACATGGTGTATGATACACCGAGGAACATGCTGCACAGCTGGGCAGATTGCCATCACACTAAGAAGATGATCAGTCCGACCAATTCATATCCAGGCTTCTCAACACCGCTGGCTGGCTTACTTTGGACTTCCTCCGGCGACAGGCTATGCAAGCAGTACTCACACAGCGCCTTTTGGGCGCGCCTCGCTCTGCAGACATGGGAGTCGACTCCTGCGATAGGTGGGGTTCGAAATAGGTTGGAGGTGCTTTCTCCGCGGACGATTACTCCACGTCTTTAGCCTCGTGTCCACCGGTCAATGGTCCAGATTTCAGAGGCCGTGGGACATAGTCTGCCCATTGTACAAATCCCGAAAAAGTCGAGTAAGATAGGCAGGGTTCCACGGCCAGAAAGAAATGGGAGGAGGAAACAAGCGGAGATAAGTGGCCACACCCGCAATAGCTGATTACTAGCTATGGAAGGCGTTAAGTGTCCCCGGCGAGAAGAGCTCCGAGCTAATGGGTCGTTACTTGGGAACCAGTGAATCTGGGCCCTGGCGCAATCCGGGTCCCCCAGGTGTTCTTGGTGCGGTTCTATACACTCCGCCAGCAGTGCAAGTGGGTTGGAAATTTAGAACCCGGCGGGACACCCCACACGGGAGGCGGGGAGGGGTTTTGGATGATGAGATGGCAGGGGATTCCTCAAGAAAGCAGAGCGATAGCGATGAAAATACACCGGAGATGATTGGATCCAGCAGGGAGATTGCAGATGGGGGTTTATCGCCGGCTTCTGTCTGGCTGCCCTCTTCCGCAATTCAGCATCGGTTTTGGGCGGAGGGTGATCGCTGACTCAGCCATTATTTGATTTGGAAGCTGGAGCTCACGTGCCATCACATGATGGCTTAGTACACTGTGGAAGGACCCGAGAGATCTATCATGGAGTATGGAATATAGTCAACTAGAGACTGGAAAACTTGGAGGGAATATAGTTTAGAGGAAGAGGAAAGGTCGATCATGGGTAATTAACATATTATGGCCCGGCGAGGGATCTGAAGGAAATACAGGACGGAGTACCTCTCTTCACTGTACTGGGTAGATACCCAATAAGCGATCACGATCACCCCAACACATCGAGTTTCACCGCCAGGCGCTCGCGCATATATTGTATTTTGTATGTGTGGTGGAGAGAAACCAAGAAGGCCAAGAAGGGTTCGGGATTTCAGGCCCAACGCTGTATGTAAGTAGGTAATCACATTACCGCAGAAGCAGAGGCAAAAGCAAACAAATAGGAAAACAATAAAAAGGGGGGACTTGAGACTCAGCAAATAATAACATGCTGGATAATAATACTCCCAAGTAGTATACACCGCAAGTGTGCTCGCTTAGGCAGCTCCACTGGCCACGTCTCTCTCTTCGTCTTGACTTTTTGAGACGTCTGCAGCCACCCGCGACCCGACTGGTTCATGCGATCGCAGTAAGGCCGGCGACTCCCGAGATGTTTGCGATTGGCCCTCGGATAGTCCGGCCACACTCGATGATTATTATCAAAGCAAGAAGAATCATCGCATGGATCTAGTATGTCGACTATTTACCTTTTATTTCCCCTTTCTTTGGTGTTACAGGGTGATTATCTTTTGGCAGAAAATATGAATGAGCTTGGCGGTCATGGCTATCTGCAGGCACCACACTAAAACCCAACCTTAAACGGCCCACCCGGCGGAGTCGGAGCGGATCCCAGCACGCGACTGGAGGGGTCTTGGTCAGATAATTGGTGTCATAGTATTTGTCGGGTGGATTAAGGATTGCTGAGAAGAATCGGGGAACCAGCTGACTGCAAAGGTAGACAAATTTTCAGAGCGTTGCAACTTCCAGTCGAGGAGCCTTATTTAATTCGATATCAGAAAAGATAGATCGTAGTGATAGGTCACGAGTCGAACGTGACCTGGACCGAGTCACGGACGGAAAATACCACCAGGGTCCAATCTTATTCTTGAGCATTTCATAATGTACACTCCCTCCTCATCTTCAACCTCCAGTTTGTGTGTCCTCCGTAATGAACTCTGGAGTAAAGGAAAACAAAAAAGGAGAAGCGGATTAGTCCGATCTCAGGGCTTTGCTTCGATGACTCCACCAGTCGAACATTCCACCCCGACGGAAGACAAACAGAAGAAACTCCCAGAACGGCACGAATACCACCTTAAAACTCGCGCTAAACCTAAAAAAGGCAGGCCCATCCCTTTCCCGTCCCGAAAGTAATCATAATGTGAATTGCGGGACAAGATTAATTACAATACTGTACTGATACCGGAACTCGGGAGCCCGCCCCTGTCGTTGTTCGCCCAATCGAAGAATGCCGCCCCATAATTATCAGAATTACTGAACAATCCCACAATCTCAGCCACTGAGACAATCTCATAATTACCGTCACACGCGTACCTGCCCAATACATTCTTACGCCGCTTATCATCCGTCATCTCACTGAGATCACCACTTGCTTATCTTTCCCTCCCTTTCCCTCCTGCCTTCGTCAACTCCTCTTTCCCCTACGACTACACCTGGGAACTCCCTCGAGTCCCTGTTTCGAACTTTTCCTCACCGATCTTCAGTACCAATCCTACCGTCTACATCCCTCCTGCCGACACAATCTCTCACCCACACACACATTCCGTCCGCTAAACACCAGTTCACCCATACTGGTATATCTCCCGACATCAGTCCCGGGAGACACCCCGATCGTCATTTCTCCTACCCATGTATCTCGTCCAGACGCTCGACCAGAGTGCCTCCTCCGGCCAAGGCTATACAGGAAACTACCAGACTGGCATGATCCGTTAAGATGATGGTCCCGAGAGCCTTTCTCTTTACCTCAGCACCGCCCCAGAAAGCCATGCCGCCTTATGGCCTGAAAGACCACCACCCCTCCTCATTAGCCTTGGACCGACAAGGCCATCAATTCACCAAACATGCCGACCTCCCTGGCTCGACTATGACCACCCCGGTAGTAATCCCACCAAAACGTGGCTCACGTACCCCGGTGCACCGAGAGGCACGGTCCCGTACCCCATACAAACCCCCGGTCTCGTCTCGCAGATCCTCCTCGTCATCCTCTTCAAATGACCGTCTTTTACCGCTGTCAGTTGCCTCCATGTTGGACGCAACGGCGATTCCTGTACCACGCCGGTCGTGGTCCACCCGGAGGCCTCGGAAACTCCCGCGAGGCAACCACGTGGAAGAGTTTAGTCGGATGATGCAGGAAGGCCTCAAGTCGAAGGAAGACTATCTGATGGGCGGTACAATCAACTCACCTCTGGATATCTTATTGAGCCCGCCGGAGGAAGAGAACGAAAAGTATGCAACCACCACCGAGTCTGAGATGGAATGCCCGTTCTCCGTTCGCTCGGTCTCAAGCGACTCCATGCCATCCTTGGAGCCTGATATGGACTCTCCTCTTGGCTCACCTCAACCGCCGACACCCGGCAGTCATAAGAGCCCGTCTGAGAGGCGGCCGTTGCGATATTCACCCGCAGAAGACTGTGCTCTAGATCATCCTCTACTTGAGTCAGACATGGATGACTGTGAGATTGTGATGTTTGAGAGTTATCCCGAGCCGACCATTGAAGATACAGTTCCGTCAAACCGTACTGCATCCTCTCGATCATTCCCTAGTTTGAGATCGTCTTTCAAGTCGAATCTCACAGCGTCCCTCCGAGCCATCAAATTTGCCGCTCAGTCGGTTTCAACCTTTACCACGCCTTCTGTCCAACCAGAGGACTTCCTCACGCGGTCACTGTTCACAATCACCCCCGAAATGACCGATGACCGTCGTCCACCCCCTATGCAAGAACCACCATCTCCGGCTTTGCGACGTTACTTGAACCCTACCCCTATCTCTCCAGCCGAGATGTGCGTCTACCATGATCACCCTCATGACAAGTCCGAGGTGAACAGTACCTGTGCTGTCTCTATCCAAATGCAAACCTATCGCCGTTCTCGCGGCCGCGGCAACCGGCGCAGCCACTTCCACGTCGTTGCACCCAAAAATCGCGATCAGTACCATACGTTCGACCCGGAGGTACCGCCGATGTCGCGCCAGCGTGAACCCCGCGAGAACTGCGACTTCCTTCGCATGGTTGTTCTCGAGATGAACATGCGGCGCAGTGGCAAGCTCCGCGAGGATATTCCCACGCGAGCACGCATTATGCTCCCCCCTCGCAAGAGCAATCCCTATCGCTTGTCCGGGGACTACGAAGATGGGGACGACAACGACGCAGTTCCTGCCCGATGGGTGGGCATTTCAGCTTGAACCGCCACCACGGTGGACGGCAACCCCTTGGGAGAAGCCCATTCGGCAGCGCCGGGCGCAGCCGCTGTCAGGCTTTCCGTACATATCACATGACATCATTTTTCTATTTCTGATTACACCAGCGCGGCGTTGGATTCGGATACAAGTGTCCCAGCTTGACACCATTTTCCTTTCTCTTTTCTTGTGACATACCCCGCCTTGAACTTTTTTAACGGCCTTACGCCTAGCTATTTTTTCCTTTCCGGAACTTAGTTCCCAGAGGATATATCCATATATCCCCCACCAGATCAAACAAATCCCAAAACATTTCAAACCATACAATCCCATTATGCTTTATTAGTCTGGTACCGGTATTACTTAGTGCGCTCTCGAGCCGCCCAAGTCCGGTGGTGGTGGTCTCTTCCCCGCTGCATCGTGATATCATCCCCGAGATCACCTCCCCACGTTGATCGGTTGGCCTCAAACCCCGCCTGAGCGTTTTCCTCCCCCCCCCCCCCCCCCTGCTCCTTGGTGCAGTAGCGCAACGATTATTAGTATTCGTGGCATTTTAATATTAATGTGTGCCGTGAGCGAGTGAAGAAGCGATAGAAATGATCTCGATCGCAAGATCGACTACTCCATTCTGTTTGGTGAGTGTGGAAAATGTTTCCTATGACGACGTCATCTTGTAAATAGGTAATGGGTCGATCTGGGTGTTTTCCTTTCTGGCCATTCTTTTATTACGGTTGTTGTCGTAATTTTGTACTGCATCTGTGTATTCTTTTTGTACTTGATGACTTATCCTATACGGGGCATTTTCCTGGATGGATGGTTTAGCAGATGTTGGATTGTGCATGGCCTTGCTATCATTGGTGTCCTGGTATGACGACGACGTAGAAAGTCAGTCGTAAGAATTACAGCCGCTTCGGCGTGCTCTCAATGAAACCTGATCTCTAAAGATCCTCACTCATCTTTCATAAGAGCTCACGCATCAGCTGGCTTAATTACAATGAATGCTTTTCTTTCGAAAATGTTTGATAAAGACGGGATATATCATTCTACTACTAGACTCGAGACCTCAAACGGGCCGATTACCATCTCATCGCGGTACCTGGAATCCTATCACATAGATGTCAGCGGCATGACACAAGTGGAATTGCGGAGAGAAGAATAAATGTAGTAAAGCAAACATGAGGACTTACTCTCTTCATCCAACAGTGTCCCATGCTTCCAGCTCTCCTCCACCCAACCCAAACTCACAATATGAGGTATCTTCTTCCGCGAACCCGCCGCCAATGACTTTCTCAACGAGCTGATCTCCGCCGAGGAAACCTTTTCCGTATTGACAAGGACATGGGTGACACCAGGGGCTTTCAGGGAAGAGACGGTACCGGCTCCTCCAAACTGTGCCGTATTGAGTGCGATCGTTAGACGGATATCTTCCATCGTAGAGCTTGATGAATCTGAATCGCTGGCCGCGTCGCCGTTGACTTGGGAACTTGAGGGGAAGAAGAATGTCAGACCGCGGAAGAGCCATCCACAGGGCGCTGTGTAGCCTGAGTGGACCTTGTCTTGAATATGGGTCTCGATCTTCTGCATTGAATGAGGATCCAGGGGTCTCTGTGTTTGCTCCTCTGTTTTCTGCATTTGCTCGAGAATCTGCCAACACGATTAGTGGGTTGCAGGGGCTATGGAATTTCCGATGATGTACCTCTGTGAGTTCCTCAACCGTGGTGTCACGAGCATAGCTGTCCATGAATTGATCAACGTTCGGCTTGATGTCTTCATATTGGTCTTCCATAGTGAAAAACATATGTCTGTATCAGTCCATAGAGTTAGTTCATGTCTACAGAGCCATGAAGGTTCATCAAGACGTACCTTGGCTCGAAAGGTAAGAGGAGGTCCGGTAGACCAGCATCTTTCTCATTTTGTTTCACGCAGTCAATCAGCCAAGACGGGCGAACAATGTTAGTCTGCCCGCTTTTCTGTATCGATGCCACCTTGACGGTTCCTGCAAAGGATCAATATGATGTCGCCTGAATTTCTTCACAATCGATGGCACTTACTGCGTTCAGCGATGCAAATCGTGTTTGGAACAGCCGTGTTTGTCTGGTAGATCTTGCCTCCGTTGGCTTTGACAAGTTGTTCAAGCTCGGCCTTTGTCCTTTTCTCTGGAACAGTTGATTCTGTCATGACGACTACATCGACGCAGTTAGCAAATGAAATTGTGTGCGGGAGAGCTCGAAAGACAAACAAAAGTTGAGATGATCAAATATATGACCTGACGGTCCAAAGTATTGCACGTTCTCTTTCTCGTCGTATCCAGCGATGGTCAAAGGTTCCTTGACAGCCCTCTTCACACGCTTTTGCTTCCGAGAATTATCCACTGAGAACTCTTTTTCGCGATGTTCCTGTTCTGCATTCGACTTGAGATCCAAGAATTCTTGAATCGACAAGGCACTCTTCCAGTTCTTGTCTTTTCGCAGCTTCTTGAAGCGTGGAAAACGCAGTGTCAATCCCATGCGGAATTGATCACTCACAGATACCGAGGCTGCTTTAACGCATAGCACAACCGACTCTGAAGGTTTGATCCACATATCTGGTCTTTCGTGCTGAGCGTCTCCTCCCGCAAGCTCAATCAAGGCAGACGGGGGCTTCTTGGGATCCCATTCGTTCCACTTGCCATCTGTGTGATGGCGCACTTCCTGGTAGTCGGCAGCCGTGAAACCTCCGCCAACTTTGCAAAATGACCAGCATTTCATTGGATCTGAGCCCTGGGAAGAGTTCTGATCATCGACGCGAAGACCACACAGGAAGCTCGCTAGGTTACCTCCTCTATGACCGGAGCCATAGTATCCACCGATAACCACAAGATCGAGGGATTCACCGAATTCCGTCATGTATTCTGGCTTAACTTTCATCCAGTCATCGTGGCGCTCGTTCAACCGGTATGGTGAACGAGGGTTCTTCAATACCAGACCTTCTGAGGCCTCGGCTACAACTGTTCGCAGACATTTCTCAATATCTGCTACAGTAGTAGCTTCATGGTATTCGAGAATCTCGAAGCGGCGATGAACTGGGAGGACTGTCTTCTCCAATGCATTGCGACGGTCGCGAAGAGTGTACCTGGTAAGGTCGGTCCCATTAAGATATAGAATGTCAAAAACACGGAAGAGAGGCCTCGGTCCATCAGAAAATGGATTGCGCTGTTCCGCCAGGGCGGCAGTCTTCAATGTACCAAATGGAACAGGGGCATCTTGCTTTGGGTCCCATGTCACCATCTCGCCATCGAGAATGAGGCTCTGCACACCATCCGCAAAGGCATTTTCCAAATGTCTGGTTAAGGCTCCTTTCTCATCGTATATCCCTCCTCCATAGAGATATGTGTATTCTTTGGCTTTCCGTGACCAGAACCTGAACCTGCGACCGCCTGGAATCGACTCATCGGGGGCCATGTGAAGCTGCATACGCTCTCCGTCCATCTTCTCCTCAATCCAGAAGACCGGATCTTCCTCAGTTGGCCGCATCCGCGAAATCATTTTCTCAAACGAATGCATCTGGAACTGCGCCAACTGAGGCTGGAAGCACTGCATAAGCCCGATCCCACGATCTTCCGCCTCGAGCCGGATATTGGGATCGTGCAGCTCCCAGCAGACCCGGCGCAAGCTACTGGAGATACTGTAAAGATTTTCGGCATCGGGATGCCAAACGTTAAAGAGTGTACGCTCCGTAGCACCAACCTTCATCTGGCGAAGAATGATTCGAATGAGCCACGTCAATTCGTCCGGGTTCATGCGCCGGTAGAATTCTGCCAAAATGGGCACCTGCTGGTCCTCCTTGGACGCAGCGGAGAGCTCGTCCAGTTTCTTATTGACTTCTTCAATCGACATATCGCCTGGTTCTGTCCGCATAGGTCGCTTGGATATGACATCGTAACAGCGTCCGGCAAAGTCTCCCGCCATCCGCGCTGCAGAGACTCCTGGGAGCTTCCAGTTCAGCAGATTGGAAGCATCCTCGGATTCCTTGTTGATCTTCATGATTTTGACGAGCATCTTTCCAATGACCTTCTCTTTCATACCGTACATAGGTCGGTCTCTGTCCTTGTCTGGTAGAATTAACCGGAAGGCAGGGTAAATATCGTCCCCCACTTCCTTTCGCCATCGTGAAATGAACCGAGCGATGATGTCGCGTCGGAGTTCATACGGGTTCAAGCTCGTCGCACCCTTTCCATGAGGACCTGCCTTCCGTCTAGCCAAGCTAGGACCCTTTGGTTTCTTTCTGATATCACTGAGAGGATCGAAAAGGTTCAGATACAGATCATGGAATGGGAGTGTCGGGGCGCGATTATGCGGCCGATTCGGGTACCTGTGTTTTTGAGCGGTCAGTAGGGTTAACACGAGAGTGATTGATAAGCGAGTACTTTTCATCCAGGTCCTCCTCCTCAATTTGGGTGTTCTCTGGTACAATCTCGTCGGAATCCATGGTGTAAACAGTTGAAGATGTATGGAGGTGGAAGTTCCCCAGACGATTTTAGGCAGCTCCGCGATAAGATAACGAGCTCGGCGTGCACTGTGACATCACCCTTTCTGTACTGGCTAGTTATAAGCTATACAGTATCGCTATGGGTTTACAAGGTGTAACAGAATGGTATAAACATGGATTGAAAGATGTTGTACATTGAATTCTAAATTGGGGGTATTTCAGAATGATCTTCAAAGAAGTAAGAAAGTTTTTCAACAAGCATCCGTGTTTGGATTGCGGCTCTGTTCCCCTTGTGACACAAGATCCGCAAGACGAGTCAGAATCGAGACGAATTTCTTCGACTGACCCCAAGCAGTCAAACCCGAAAGAGTCTCACAGCCAACTCGCAAAATTCTCTCAGGGCCCTCGGGCGCACAAATATCTCCCACGCCCGTAACATTCCCTCTCATAGAGTGGCCTTCACGAACAAATAGCTGCACGAGCTCATCGTCACACGGCCGATCTAAATGGATAAAGCTTGGCTCCTGCAATGGCTCGTTTCGAGAAGCTTGAGTGTGCGGACTCGAGTCTTGGGGTGCGTGAGCATGGCAGGCCCCGTATGCCCAGAGGGTGAGAACTGCGAGGAATGCCGCGACTGGCTCATGAAATGCATTTGTAGAGTATCTCCTGACATGCCAGAGGGTCACTCCAGCATGGATCATCGACAGCCGAGCTTTGTACTGATCATGTTTAATCCAGCGCCAGATATACTGCCATTCAATGGCTTGATGTCTTTTGCTCCACCGTAGCTTGTCCGTCACGAGAGACGTTGCAAGCGAGCGAATCTCCCGGAACGGTGCCAACAGAACAAGTCGAGCGGCGTGGAGATGTAAAACGGTAGGATGTTCCAAGCCTGCAGCTTTGGCGATGGTGCTATTAGCCGTCCAGTGGAGGATATCCAAGCAATCGCAAGCGCTGTTGCGCCATTTAGAGTATGATGGGATTCCCGGGAGCCAAACAGAACCCGTGGGGATAGCAGTCTCCCGAGATTGCTTTTTCGCGGTTGGGTTCCAGAATGATAGAGGTCGGCGGAAGTAATCGCCCACTTCCCACATTCGATGGTACAGAGCGTGGATGAGCAGGATGTGACTGAATTCGCCAATACCACAGACAAGTCTCTTCTCAATATATAGGATATGTACGGAATCATAGAGCGATTCGTTCACTGCCAAAATTAGCGGATGACCTGATCTGATAGTAAGATTGGGGTAATCGGTACCGCTAGATTGGTTCCAAAGCTGCTTCCAATCTTCCATCGTGCTCGACTGCCAAAGTTTCTCATGCGCGGGCAATGCAGCTTGTCCGTCATCCAAGGAGAGGAGGGGTCGCTCATCAAGGTAATAAGCAAGCGTGCAATCCACAAGCTTTCATCCAATGATCAGCGTAATTCCAACTTCATTCTATTCCAGGCGAAGCTTACCCAGACACAGTAGCCAGTCCGCTTCCGAGTTTCATCATCGATCCATTTCTGCCATAAAACTTCTCCTGAGATCCTGCTTGATTCCTTCAATGGCTTGGAGGCGACCAGCAGCTTCTTATTTTGCACAAAGCTCACGAGTTCTTTGAAAGAGCTTAGAGCTAATAGCTTGTCTTTTTCAATCCCGCTGTGGAACAGTCCAAGACAGTTGAGCAGCATGGCCTGGAGCAGACTCAGAGGAGTCGATCCAGTTTGACGCTTTCCCTTCTATACACTATTAGTAAAGAAGAAGTTTATCCAAAGAGCGAAAGACTTACCTCGACGTGTATGGCCCTTCGGAGCATCTCATGAAAAGCAGCTGTGCACTGATCGGCATCATGGATACTAGAGCTATGACAGCCGATTGCTAGAATAGCCAAAGCCAGGATCCAATGGCACTGATTCACATCAAACGTGGGAACATGGAATATTGGGTAAACCGCCTGGAATGAATCAAAATAGCAGGCAATATATCGAGTGCATTCTTCCGGTCTTGGAAAGTTCTCGGTTTCGAACATTTCGAAGAACGGGTTATCATTTCGGCAGAGTAAGAGAAAATTGCGATATATTTCGTCGTAGGTTGTCGCTTCAATAGGTCGAATCGAACGGAGCACGTCTTCCGAGATATTCTCCAAATTAACCTCCTGTATGCCCGGGAAGCCGAATCGACGTGTGTTGTTTTCGCACACGGCTTGTCCCGTTGCGGTTGGCAGGTCGGTTGAGGAGGTAGACCAAGGGGTTTGTTTTTTTCTGTACCTCGGAAGCCTGGCGCCACCACCATCAACGTAGAAGTCGGCTGAACGCTTGCCAGAATCCACCGATTCCGCGTGCGGTGATGATTCACTCCCGACGTGCGAGTAGCGCCTCGGGCTTCCCATGTCAGTACCTAGAGAAAGAGGTCCGGACGGGGTATGGGTATTGTTTTCAGGAACCGATGAGCTTATATTGTCAGCGTTGATCACCGAAGGCTGCCAGAATCTTGGCCCATAGCTCTCCGGGAAGGTGCCTTGAGAGAAATGCTGTGGAACCCTGGAGGATTGGGATTGGTCATTTGTTGGGCCGGCAAAAAACTCATTCGGCAGCCAATTGATCGTAGAGAGCATCGATTGATCGAATATCGAGGGGTCAAAACCTAATGCCATTTCCGGGTTTCCGGTCATGTCGATATCCATATCAACTCCCGGGGCACTTATCCCAGCCTCGACCTCCCTCATTCCGGGAACGAGGTTGGCTGTAGTACCCACAGGGAGTATACCGGGATTTGAAAGTTCGCCATATCCCGGGTTGTACTCTCCATTCTGATAGACATTCGGCGGTAAGGTGGGGGCGTCGGCAGTGGGATTGGCAGATGGGGTATAGAGTTGAGGATTGGAAGGGCCTGCAACAGAACCCCGTCCTTCCGATGATTTGTTTTCCGATCGAGGATCTGTGGGGCTTGTAAAAGGGTGTATTGATGTCTTGGGTGAGCCTGGCGAATCATTTACTGCATTAATTGAGAATTGGCCGAGTTGATGGGAGGGAATATCGTGTGGATGAGCCACATTGTTTCCACTCGGCCGAGGTGACGAGATTCGAGGCGACTGGGGTTCTGACTCCAGAGGCTCCATAACTGACGGTCCCTTGAAACTTCCATTGCGTAGCCTTGCTTTAGACCTTCTCTCCGTCGGGTACTGACATTCGAGCGAGCGAGTATCGCAGCGTCCGCACGGCATGCCTCCGCTACATCGGACTCGGGCCGTCGCACAACTAAAGCATGCCCTGAATGTTTTAACGGTGATGCGATGCGGACGATCCTTTCCTCCTTCCCCTCCGGGGGTATGATGACTCAACTCATGCCGATGGAGGGTGTCGCTATATTCACCATTGTGCACGTTAGCATATTGCGAAGCTTGCTGCTGCCGCTTCGGCGCAGAAACGAAAAAAGAAGACCACCTACGTCCGGGAGAAGTGGCGGCCACATTGTGCGCACTCAAACGGCTTTTCCTTGGTATGACTGCGCAAATGGCGCTTCAGATGTTCCGGACGTCGAAAGGTGCTACTACACACAGAGCATTGCACCTGGCCAGCGCCTGCTCCTTGTTCCACTCGGTCTCCACTGGCGGAATGATTTGCGCCTTGCTCGCGATCCACCGAGTCCCTTGCGGGGGGATTTACGTCGGCTGTGAGATCGCCGTCGGCCGCATGGTCAGTCTCATTCTCCGAGAGCATGGCGGCTCCAGGGGGTGCATCCGGACACGATGCGGCATTTCCGAGACGACGAGGAATTCGATGCACCAAAAGGAGGGGAAGAGCCGAGGGACCTAGGGTTGGAGGGCTAGGGGGGCTACGTGACTATAAAGGTAAGAAATGTCTGATGTCCATTGCCAATTGGAGAGAGAGCGAGCGAGAGAGGGGGCAATTCGGGGATAATTTGGCCGGGGGCTCATCCACTTTTGGTCCAGAAAAGCTGGGCTTGTTGCGGAGAAGACACGGCGATTGGTTCTTGGGAGGATTTAAACGGGCCGGCTCGGTTAAATTTGGGGATGTTGGAAGAAGAATCTGGGGAAGAACAGGGTTGGGAAGTTGATTCTACTCCAGAGTAGAGTACTTCTAACAATCTGGTTAGGAATTGTGTGGTCCTATAGACCACTGACTGCTACTTGCACGGACTGATTGTACTCCATAGCCTGACAATACATCCATACGACCAAGGCCTCTCGGATAGTTGGATACTATGCTGAAGGTAAAACGGTAACTGGTTACTTTTAGGTGGCTCTATCCTAATGGAATATCCACAAGTAACCCGTGCTATGTATTGATCCTAATTAGCCTAGTATAAGAGGTCGTAGACCCATTCAACTAGGCCTATACTCCGTACTGTAGCTCCCCACTGTCCTACTTCGGCTGCACAGCTGAAGCTGACAAGGTGTCGTGCACGGTCGGCCTCCAAAGTGGGCCTGGGGCCAGCGTCATCTTTGTCGTTCTCATCAGCTGCAGTGCAACCTGGAGAGTTTAGACTTGGAGTCTTCCCCCATCCCTCCTATCCAACCCGCTCCTTTCCCTGACTTCCTCTCGCTGGATCGGAAGACGGGGGAAATGAACGGCGAGATCGCCGCCGCCAACCCGCGGTTGACTTCCCCGGCCTCCCGAGACAACTCCGCGCTGCTCGGCGCCACTATCGCCTTCTCGAACGCCAACCCATCATCCAATGTGGCCTCACCACCTTCCGCCGCAGCCAGAGCCGCAGTGGCCAGCACTTTGAATCGGCATGCCGAACGTCGCCTCGAAATGGAGTCTGATAACGGCCCCGAGGTGGGCTCCGTGAAGGAAAAGATCGGGCGGTTCACAGCCAACAACACCCTTCCGCCGCCCAGAGCCGTGTCGAGGGGACGAACAACGCCGCCATCCGTGTCGCCAGGGCAAATCGCAGCGCGTCTTGCTGTCGAGAGATCTCCTTCAAGGGTACAAGAAGCAACCGCCGCTGCCGCTGCCGCCAAGATCAGTGCTGCGCGCAGTGCAAGCAGAATGCAGTCCCAAGCAGCCGAGGAACGACGAGAGCTACGCTCACCCACTCCAATTCGACCCCGAGTCCTCACTAAACAGAACCCCGTGGACACCATGCTTCGAGATGATATGGCTACGTCCGAGCCCGAATTAGAGCCCGAATTCTACGAGAAACCCCCGTCCCTCCCACCTCGCGCAGCAAGTGTCCGTGTCCCAGCCCCCAGCCCCCATCTCTCTGTCAGCTCTCGAATGACCACAAGCTCTCTCAATGATTCCAAACCGAGACTTCCACTGCGGACTACCGCTTCGAGGGCGTCTATGCGAACCCCAGTTCTTACCGGCACTCCGTTCCTTCGCCCTTCCACGCCCAGTATAGCTTCAGTATCGGGTCTCTCGTACCATAGCAGCTCAAGCGCCACGAATGAGACGGGTGGCATAGATGAAGAAGCCCTCTCAAACGCGATTATCGCATCGTCCTTGGCATCCGCACGAGCATCTCCCGCGACAAAGCTACCCCCACCACCTCCCCCCTCACGACGAGGAGCGCAGTCCCGATCAATATTACAATTCGCACACTCGCCCCAGAGCGATCTATCACGGACACCGAGTCCATCCAAGGGCATGCCGATGACGCTCCGCAGCATTCCGAAGGCCGAGGAAGCCGACGCCCACCGCCGCCACAAGATGAACCTACTCCACAAACACCCCCACAAGCATCATGAGGGCGATCGCAAACGATGGAAGCGTGAAGTCACCGAGAAAGAGCGCAAACGCTACGAAGGCGTGTGGGCGTCCAATAAGGGACTGCTGATTCCACTTGACCGAAGGATACCCGGTCGTGGGCCGAACGGGACCGAGAAAGGGCCGCCCGCATCCGAAATGGTGTTGAATCTGGTGGTGCGAGAGATCTGGTCCCGCAGCCGACTGCCACCGGCGATGCTGGCGCAGGTGTGGGATCTGGTGGACAGCCAGCAGATTGGCCTTTTGACGAAAGAAGAATTCGTGGTTGGAATGTGGTTGATCGATCAGCAGCTGAAGGGTCACAAACTGCCCGTGAAGGTGCCCGACAACGTATGGGACAGCGTGCGGTATGTGACGGGCATTAAGCTTTCCTCCGCTGGGCCCAGAGGTTGAAGATCGACGCGTCGAGTCTTGTACGGCGTGGATATGACGGAACTCGGACGAGTACATATTGTTAGACTATATTTGGATTCATGTGCAGTGTGCGATGCACTTGACCATGCACTGTACCTTTGGCATGGAGTCTGATATCGGACTTTCTTCCCAAGTTGCTAGACTTGCTATAGTTGCTAGAGAACCCTGATGCGCAGGTCCGCAGTGGGGCTCTCGCAATGGGCTAATGAGTCTGACGAATCTGTTGAACACAGGTTGGGTATCTTCGAGAGGACTTATTTTCCTTATCCTGCAGTGCACTTGCGTCCTGATCCAGTAGAGCGATATACGGTACTTTGTTCCTTGTGCGGACCCGTACACATCCCACTTTGTGCATAACACGGACCAAAGGAATGTTATACATCTGCAGATTGTCCATAGCTACTCATTTAGTCAATGCAATTAGCTACAGAAGTAGCTAGTAGCTTTCTACAGTGGCCCCCTTCCCGACGACTCCACTTCCACAGCTGCCCAACAATGGACAAAGATACGCCGGGCAAGTCATCCATCCCGATCGATCTGCATCACCAGCAAAGATCTGAAGTCAGGGCTCACACCCAATGGCTCGGTTCCAGGGTTCTTGATGTATTTCTGAAGTAACAATGGCAGTGTGTGCATACTTGAGCTGGGACTTTTCAAGAAACTCGGCGAAAAGAACCCGCCACGTGACCCGAACGTGACAGGAACTTCTTCTTGGCCAAGGACAAGGCATTGAGAAGAAAGCCAAAAAAACGGAAGAAAAACATGCCACACTGAACTTCTCTTTGAGGCCGTCATTTCTGCCATGTCCGTCTCTATCTCTAGTAATCCGAGGCTCAACTTGAAAAGAAAACTTCCCCCCATACAGTGATAGTGACAAATTGGAAGCGGCCACCGTACCGCGAAGCAAATCCCGAATCTCCACGGCTCGGGATTTGGATCACGAACCATCAAGCAATCAGCGCACCGCTTGTATATCAGGGCTTTTCTTCACTTTCTCACTCGGGATTCTTCTGTGTCATCCGGGCTAAAATCCAACGACAAGCTATCAAAGAACAAGGCACCAGCCACCCCCTCCCCCCTGCCTTCTGGTCGCCAAACAAAAAGACAAAAAGAGGAAAAAGCAGCCAGCCCCAGATCCCGACAAAGAGGGCCTGGCGGGGGAGTTAGCGGAGGATCGCCCCATGCTATCCCGGCAGTGTGATTCGCCATGGTCGACACTTTTCAGAACGAGTCCGGGCTTGTCTCGACGGCGCCTCGGCCAATTCGCAAGAAATTCGCCAAACCGCCCGTCAAAGTAGCTTGTTTGCCTTGGTACGCCCTCAATGGCTCCCCGGCGACGTCGCTCAGTCGAGGATTTGTGCTAACGGTCATCCCTAGTCGCGCTTCCAGAACACGCTGTGGCGGGCAGGAACCTTGTTCCAATGTATGTCTTTGCAATCCTTTTTTTCGATTCCCAGCATCTCTCCTCTTGTTCTGGGCCACTTTATTCCTAGCGGTGGAGCTTGTGGCTCGCACAGATCCCGTCGGTAGATCGGACTACGTACTAATCCCTCTTTTAGTGTGTCGCCAAAGACCGAAAATGCTCGTATCTGCCCAGCAAACGGGGTGGGCCACGAAAGAAGAAGCAAAAGGCCTCGCCCTCTCCGGAAGAAGAGGCCCCGCATGAAGATGCACAGTATGCTGTGGATCCCTCCGCGGAGTTCGACGAACGTACGAATTGCCTGTCTAGCGATAATGCGCGTACCTGTGTCACTAACAATGCTATAGCGCCGGGGATGTTCACTCAAATCGACGTGCTGTCTCTACCGGGCGCTGGGTTGAGGCATATAGATTTCCCACAAGTGGGCTCTCTATTTCAGGGCTTCTATGCTGGAGATGAAAGTCCGTCTCATGTTCATATGGAGCCTATGCCGTCCCCCATGAGTACAACGTCATGTCTGGTGAGAACTTACGGGAGTGAACCAGAAATGTGAGTCCTACACTGTTCCTTTCAATCTCCATCCCGAGATTCTAACATGCACCGGCAAGTTTGAACGCCTATTATGATTTCATTCATTCATATTTCCCCATCTTGCCTCCCCGGGCATCGTCACAGTTTCAAGACCGCCCATTGCATTGTCCAGTCTCTCCTGGGCCGTCATCGGAGCCTCTTATGATGTATAGGCCTCGCTCGCCGCTGAGTCTGGCGATTTCAGCAATCCTGGCACTAATTCCACATCCTGATGATCCGGAACCATCTTCACCTGCGTCCGTTCTTCAGCGGAGGACGTACGCACATACATTTGCGCAACTAGCTAATTCAATCATCGAGACGGAATGTGATCTGGAGCTGTCCTCCACGGACCCTGGTCAAGCATTATCCAGTGCGCGGCCTTCAGTGAATCGAGAGAGGCTTCACCCTATGACTCCGGAAGATCTCGAGACTCTTCTAGCCCTGCTGATTCTCTCGGTATATGAGTACTCTCAAAGGGGAAATCTTCTCAAGATGAGATATCGCGCTGGCCAAGCTTTGGCGCTTGCTCTGGACAAGTCTCTTCATTCCTGCATGGACAACGATGAATGTTCTGAGGCTCGGCGAAGAGCTTGGTGGATGACGGTAAAAATTACCTTGTATTCTGCATCTTCTTCTTCATCTTGGCTAATTCTTTCATCTGATAGTACTATTGCGTCATTCAAGGCTCTATTGTGAGCACCACTGTGAGTACAATTGGCCCAAGGACAGACCCATTTTTCATCAATATTGATCTCTAATTGAGTGACAGCCCCCGACGATAGTCATCAATGACCCGCAATTTACGACTCCACACCCACGTTTCGAGTCGGATGCTGAGGTTTGTTCTCCTTCTGACCAAAATGCTTTAATTAAAATCACCGCTCTAACTTTTGTGCAGGGCTGGTCCATTCTTATCCAAGCACAACAAGTCTTGGTATCAGCGACTCAGTTCATCTCCGATCTGAACAAGAGTCTCACATCACAATCGGGTCTCCATTACATATTTGAACGCATGCAGCAACTCGATTCCTGGACAAACTCGGTGCTTGCGCAGACAGATATGCTTCCAATGGTTTCTCACGAGCCGGACTTTGACGATCGTCGCGAGACAATAACTGCTCAGAGCATACGGGCAATCTCCCGGATCAAGCTGTCAAGGTATGCACCGTCCTTTTGTTGTCTAACACAAGAAGCCATCCGCTAAGTCCACTCCAGTGCACAAATTAAAACTCATCGGTTCCGAGCATTCTCCGATATACCCATCTTCATCAAAAGACACTGCGACCTAACAGCCGCAAACGCAATCAACGCATCAACAGAGACAATCACAAAACCGACCATTCAAGGATCAACAATAAACAACGTCTCCTGCTCATGCAGTAATCTCGATCACTTCCAACGGGCTTCATCAACGGAATACATGACCCCATCCGACTCCTCAACTTCATCCGACATCCACCCATACATCCCCCAATACCCACAATACCCCTTTGCATCCGGTTTCCCATACAGCCCACAGCACTCTGCAAAGATTTGTCTGCAATCCGCACTCACTATTTCCCGCATGTTCGAGGCCTTGCCGTATCCCCAGCCACTGTCCGAAAACAGGCATCGGCAACAACATCAATCAGGACAACCCCTGCCTCGAACAATGCCCTCTTTTGCATGCTGTCTTATGCAAAGTAGCTATGCGATGTTCATGATTTTCTACAAGGCCCGTGTGGCGAAGCAACTATCGCCAGACGTGGAGAGTGTGCTTGCGAGTGATGCGACAGAACAGCTCGTGGAAGAGCTTAGACGGGGACTGGAGCGGATCATTGCGGCTGTTTCGAATTATTCGTTTGCTTTCGAGGCGTTGGATGGGATGCGAGGTTAGTATTTGCTTTCTTTTCCTGGTTCCCTGATTTGCGTTCTATTACTGACAATCTCGCAGACGAAATTCAGGGTGCATATCAAACGGCGTTCCCTTCTGCATCTGTTTAGCAGATGACTTTTTTTTTTTTCCTTCTGCATGTTTTGCGAAGAGGTTGCCTTCTTCTCACTCATCTCCACTACTTGCGACTTTGAGAAAGACTTTCTATGTACACGGCGCAATCTCCATTGTTCTTCTCTAAGGTTATAATACATATATCTATCTCGGAACGACCATAATAAAGACCGCATACACAAATTATCAAATCCCATATCTAGGTAGATTCCTGAGCAACGAAAGCAAAAAGGATTGACTGGGGGGAATAAAGCAGAGGCAACTGTGTATTTCCTCTAAATGCCGCTAAATTGAAAGAACGCTAAACCGGAAGGAAAAGGAAAACACCCATATTCATAACCCCGTCCATGATGGTAGCAAAGCCTTTAAATGCAACGAAGGCTACAGCTTCGACCGGATACCCTCGAGTCGAAACTTGACATCCTTCAAGACCTTACTCGAGGGCTTCCAGTCATCGAATTGGCGAAGGAGCTCCATGGTTTCTTCGTGCAGCTCGCGTCTGACATATTCTTCCTCGAGGAGACCGCGCATCGCGAAAGGCAAGATATACGGGTTCGGGGAAATGGCGGGGCTGGATCGTTTGATGTTTAGTTTAGCATCTGGGACGGAGGATGTTTCCAAAGCGAATTGGATAGCCATGCTAGTGATAAATGTGAGTATTGTCATTGTGACATCAGAACGGAATCGGCAGGTGAGTGGACACATACTAGTAGACTGCTTCATCGTCGTACAGACGGGAGTGTCCCTCGCCTGTGTATAGACTGCCAGCTAAAGGAGTGCTCAGTTCACGGATGAGGCCGTGATCTGGGATGCCGAGGTTGCGTAATTTCAGAGCAAAACCAACAAGGTGAGAGAGGCTAGTAAGATGTGTTAGTATCAAGACAAGGGTGATGTAGTGTCTTGCGCTTACAAGCTTGGTGCATGGACCCGCCCATCTACAAACACGGAGCGGTAGATGTATGGATGAGCTATTGTAGAGAATAAGGATGACTGCCAGCCATGGTTAGCAAAGCTTCAGCAGCGGTATATACATATCCCGGACATACCTCTAAGGAGACGAGCTGATCGTCGATGCTTCCAATATAAGAGATGCGAACGCCAAAGTCAAGAGCGCGCTTCAGAGCAGTCTCGTATTCTTTGGAGACCATGCTGAAGGGTAATTCAAAGTCGAACAGCTCTCCAGCAGACCCGCTGATCCACCTGGAACGATAAGCAGAGAATGGGCCCATGTTCACGCCAGCCATGGCACAAACTCCCACGCGCGAAGCATTGACACAGCCAAAGGAGATCAACTTCGCGACCAACATGATAGAGACTGGTACGCCTTGGCTGTGGCACGCCACCAAGATGAAATCGGCCTTGCGAATTTCTTCCATCCAATTCAAAAGGAGTTTCCACAACAAGTCAACCCTCTCTGAAATGCGGCCTTCGCCTTCCAGTGCGATCTTCTCTATCTCACAGGTGTAGCCGTGATCTGCCGTGTATTTTCGAATCGCCTCGGCGGCCATGTTGGAAAATCGAATCGACGTTCCAGTAGGCTGTCCAAGCACACTTCGAATCAGCGGAGCGGGAAAATACCCATGAACTCCAATAGTCAGGGCTCGTTTAATGCGAGGTGGTTCTTTGATGCGAGCCACATGATGATGCTCCGGGCCTTTGGTGTAATGCAACAACCGGCCCAGACTTTGCAATAATGATGGTGACTCCTCCATTGCAAAGGTGTCTTCGAATTTCGGAAGTACTTGGTTCGGGAGGACTTTTAGTAGTTGTTTCGATGCAGTAGCATCGGCGGGTTTCGGCACAACTGGTGGCATGGAAGTCGGTGTAGCTTCGACGGTGGACACTATGCCGTCCTTCACGCGGCTATCTTTGGATGGCTTAACTTTTAAGCTTCCTTTCTTCGTGATATTGACATTAGTTTCGGCGGTTGGATCCACTGACGTCGGTTTCGTTGGTGTATCTGAAGTGACTATAGCCTCCACGGCTTCGACTTCTTGGGGTTTGTCAGGTGCAGCATCCTTGGAGCTATCTTTGGACCAGAAGGACCAACCCGAGGATTTCGTAGTTCCAACAATATTTTGTGAGGCCGGTGGTACGTCTTCTGGACGGTCTGCAAAGTCCTTAGGCGCCATATTCGCGTCTTGATCCGTCGATGTACTAGTGTCTCCTGGAGGTGGCTGGGGTGGCTCCGTTGCACGCTGTTCCTCTTGTTTGTTTGATGGACCCAACCCGTACCACATCTGTAGCCACGACCGCTTCTGAGCCGTTGAAGTCGTTTCTATTGTGTCCCCTCCCTGGGCTGGGGTTTGCTCTTGTCCGTAATTATGTTCCACCTCTTGTCCACTGGTGTCGTTGGCGGTCGGATGGGGTTCAGCGTGCTTGGTAGGGTCGTTCTCGGCGGACCTCTCTACCTCTCCTGCACGTTCTGGGTCGGCTGAACTGTTCTTTCCTGCAGTTCCAGACTTATATATCCATGAGAACCATCCGCTGGGCTGATCAGCTGGCGCTTGAGCTGCTTCCAAAGTATTAGGCTCAACACCAACGTTCTCAACGTTCGACGCTTCCTCTTCCACTGATTTCTCTAAAGGTTTCAAAGTGGTCACTTCTGATGTCTCTTTATCCGGTGTTGGTTCTGCAGCTGCGGGTGCCTCGAGGGTATCCAACGCTGTTGTAGAAGCTGAACCATCTGACGCAATATTAACTCGAGTCGTAGTGACGTCCGCAGGAAGGGATCTAGTCGATGCGCCGGCTTTCTTGGTCAACTGAATCGATGGATGACGATTTTGTCTGGGCGTGTCGAGAAGGGAGGTCGAAGAGTTCACAAAGCTGCTAGCTACGTTTTGCGCAACCGATATGCTCTCACGGGCAACCTCGGTAACTGGAGCTGCCTTGGATGCACGCGAGATAGCCGACCAGGATCCAGGGTACCAACTCTATGGGGGAAGAAATGAGTGATTAGCTATATGGTCGACAGGTACCAGCTTCCTGATGAGCTTCGACATACCGAGCGGCTCTGAGTCTGTGAGTCTGAGCGGTCTCGGGCAGCATTGTTCGGAGACGCGGGGAACAGTGAGTCCGCGCCAGAGGGGCTGGCTTTCACTCTCTTGCGAGATCCCTTGCCGGTCATGGAGGCGGGGGTACTATCATCAGGAAATCTGTATCGCTATAGAGGAAGAATCCAAATCTCAAAAGACAGATCTTGTTGGGAAGCTACTACACAGCGCCACGGACCGGGGGGCCGATATCACGCACGTCACATGTTGGCCTTGTTGGCCTGGCCTGATCTGTTTGTGGCCTGAGGCCCCAACAACTCGCTGATGGTTGGAAGGCGGTGAGCGATAAGTTCGACTTTTTTTCTTTCCAGCAGCCGCCGGGGTAAACGTATACAACCGCCGAAGGTCTTTTTTCTCCGTTTGTTTTCAGGGTAGTCAGGTCTTGGATAAGACCGCCCGTGATTCAAAATGGCGATTCAGAAGAAGGTGAGTTCTAAGTGTGTCTTTCTTGCTGGCCACCTATACTAATTGGCTTCCAGAACGGAAAAGGTCGTTTGGATAAATGGTATCGCCTGGCAAAGGAGAAGGGCTACCGTGCTCGTGCTGCGTTCAAGTTGATTCAGTTGAACAAGAAGTATGGGTTTCTCGAGAAGAGCAAGGTCTTGCTTGATCTTTGTGCGGCCCCAGGTGTAAGTTTCTTTTCCTCCACTCAGTTCACCGGAGGCGGTCTCAATTCTAATAATGCCATAGTCATGGTGTCAAGTGGCAGCGGAATGCATGCCTGCACAGAGTCTCATTGTCGGCGTCGATCTTGCTCCCATCAAATCCATTCCTCGAGTCATTTCTTTCCAAAGCGACATCACCACCGAAAAGTGCCGTGCTACGATCCGGTCGCATTTGAAACACTGGAAAGCAGACACGGTTCTTCACGACGGTGCGCCCAACGTCGGCACAGCTTGGGTTCAGGATGCTTTCTCCCAGGCCGAGCTTGTGTTGCAGTCGTTGAAGTTGGCTACGGAGTTCTTGGCTGAGGGGGAAACTTTGTCACCAAGGTTTTCCGGTCTAAGGATTACAACCCTCTGCTGTGGGTCTTCAAACAGCTGTTCCAGTCTGTCGAGGCGACCAAGCCTCCTTCGTCGCGTAACGTTTCCGCCGAAATTTTCGTCGTCTGCCGTGGCTTCAAGGCGCCCAAGCACATCGATCCGAAGTTCCTTGACCCCAAGCATGTCTTTGCCGAATTGCAAGATGCGACTCCCAACCATGAAGCCAAGGTCTTCAACCCAGAGAAGAAGAAGCGAAAGCGTGAGGGTTACGAGGAGGGAGACTACACTCAGCACAAGGAAATCCCTGTCACCGAGTTTATCAATACCATTGACCCCATTGCGATCTTGGGTGGGTACAACAAACTGAGCTTCCAGCAGCCAATAGGTGGAGATCTTGCTATGTCTACTTTGAATAGGCTGGAGGAAACCACCGACGAGATCCGAACCTGCTGCGAGGATCTCAAGATTCTCGGTAAGAAGGAATTCCGTAACTTGCTTCGCTGGCGTTTGAAGGTGCGGGAGAAGTTCGGCCTAAGCGTCAAGAAGAAGCAGCAGGAGGATGGAGAGGGTGAGGAAGTGGCCGAGGTCGCCCCGATGGACGAGGAGTTGGCCATTCAAGAAGATCTCATGCGCATGCGCGAGAAGGAGACCGCTCGTAGCAAGAAAGAGCGACGCAAGGAGAACGAGAAGAAGCGCAAAGAGATAGTTCGATTGCAGATGCACATGACCACACCCATGGATATCGGCATGGAGCAAATTGGACCCGGAGGAGAAGACTCCACCTTTTCCCTCAAGCGCGTGGACCGACTAGGTGCCAGAGATGCTGTGGTCAGTGCCCGCGATGTGCCCGCTGAAAGCGAGAGCGAGGACGAGTCTGAATCGGAGGAGGATAGTGATGACGACGGCGACCGCCTGGAACGTGAACTCGACGGCATGTATGAGATTTACCAAGAGCGCATGGAGGATAGGGATTCGAAATTGCGCGCCAAGAAGGCTCGCAAGGACTACGAGGCCGACGAGTGGGAGGGCTTTTCCGAAGACAATAAGAGCGACGAAGAGGAGGAGGAGGAGGAGGAAGACGACTCCGACGCTGATCTTTCTGAGAATGCTGTGCCCAAGTCCGACAGCCTCTCAAATAATGCGTCCATGTTCTTTGATCAGGATCTCTTCCAAGGCATAGGAGAAGAAGAGGAAGAGGAGGAGGATGAGGAAGAGTCTGAAGATGAGGACGAGGAAGAGGAGGATGAAGAAGCAGAGGAAGAGGATAGCGAGGTGGAAGAAGAGGAAGAGGTCCCAGCCCCGACATCCAAGTCCAAGGCCAAGAAAGAACCCAAGAAGGAACCCAAGAAGAAGCAAGAGTCCGAATGGATCGACTCTGACGAGGAGATTGAGGAGCCCAAGGATCCACGCAAGGCCAATGGCCAGCTGGGTAAGCCCCTCTTCATTCCAAATCGAGATATATGTTGTCCATTTCTAACATCTACCTTGCAGATATCGACATTATCACTGCCGAGGCTATGGCTCTTGCACAGGCGATGGCTACTGGCGAGAAGAAGTCACAGGATGTTGTTGACGACGGCTGGCATCGCTATTCGTTCCGTGACGTTGATGGTCTGCCAGAATGGTTCCTTGACGACGAGGGCCAGCACAGCAAAATCCAACGACCTATTACCAAGGCCGCGGCGGCTGCTATCAAGGAAAAGTTGCGAGCTATCAACGCTCGTCCCATCAAGAAGGTGATGGAGGCCAAGGGGCGCAAGAAGTTCAAGGCTGCCCAGAAGTTGGAGAAGCTGCGCAAGAAGTCTGCCCTCCTGGCCGATGACGAGGCCCTAACTGAGCGCGACAAGGCGCAGGCCATCTCGAAGCTGATGGGCAAGGCTACCAAGAAGAAGCCCAAGCAGCAAGTCAAGCTGGTTGTGGCTCGTGGTGCCAACCGTGGTATCTCTGGCCGTCCTCGTGGCGTAAAGGGCAAGTACAAGATTGTGGACTCGCGTATGAAGAAGGATATCCGGGCGCAAAAGCGACTGGCGAAGAAGAAGTCATGATTGATTTGTTCATAGTGTATAGATTAGACCAAAATCTGGATGATACCCGTTTGCATGGGGTTCGAAGTATAGCAACGTGTGGAGAAAGTGCCAGTAATAGGATAGAGGAATGTAGATATAAGTTCCCAGTATGAACTGAAGAAGTGTGCCCAATCCCACAGCATAGTTAGTAGAGATCCTAGCTACTCCTGTGAGGGTACTTTAGTTACAGAAGTAGCGCGCGTGCCGTCGTCGGGCTAACAGTCCCACCCGCACTAATTTGCCAAGACGAACCGTGATTGCGGCGGTGGTTTCCCCCGAGTGGCGCCGCTTATCGATTAACTTGTCGAGTCGATCCAACTCTTCTCTTCTCTCCTCTCACCACTCGACACCTCTCGCGCATTTTCTGGGGCTTTTCTTTATTTATATACGGGCCTTCCCCACCCCTCATGTTCTTTACGTGCATACGTTAGTCGTTCCAGCATTCTTTTCCTGTCCATACTCGCCCTCTTTTTCGCATTTTTACCCCCCACAGCCCCGATGGGCTTTTTCGACCACCTCCAGAAAGGAGGGTCTTTTTCACTCCAGGCGAAGAAGACTCAAGTCCGCAAAGTCGTCCAGACAAAACCGGCTACCCCGACAAGGCCTTCCGCTCAAACTCTAGATTCAAGATCCCCTGGAGTCCAGTCCTCGTCGGAACGGAGCCGCAAGACACACGCGGTCAAAGCCCGATCGGTTTCGAATGATGCAGACGCTCGCTCCTCCAAACGACTATCCACCCCCAGCCGCCCGCGGAAACGACCGACCCCAGAGATACGCCTTTCGAGCGACGACGACGATGACAATGTCGGTGACAGTGATACTTCCTTTGAAGTACGCAAGCGCGCGCGGACAAGCGCCAGCGCGGAACCTGATCCGGAGCGGCGCATTCGCTCGGTAAAGGCCTTTTCGGATGAAGGAAGCCGGCCTTTCAAGATGGTACATGCTGCGGACATAACCTCGGGCCAGAAGGCAGGCAAATTTAAGCCGGCCTTTGGTGCCGCGAGTAAGCCGAAGGAAATTCTTTTGCAGTACCCCAGTGCTTCGCAAAAAGAAAGGTACGTGTGTAAAGGGACTAGTTCGAGATTACAAAGGCTAACTGGTTTGGTTATTTGATTAGATTCGATTGCATGGTACCGAAAGACAACGATGATTTCCGGCCTATCGACGATATCGTCCAGGCGATTGAGACCGTCATCGACAACTACATTCCGAGCGAAGAGGCAGAGGAATTTATTGACGAGACGACTGGCATTCGACGGAGGCTGCGCCGTGCGTTGGCAGTGACATCGGAGACACAGTTCCTTGAGGCTGTGGAGGATTATAATAAGGCGGTCGAGCGGCTGAGAATTAGCGGCAGTCTGGCCAAGACTTTGGATGCGACTCAGCGTATTGATCTACCATGGGTAGAACGGATTCTCAACCAAACCTATGCCCGTACGGTATCCCCTCGAGTCGAGTCTTTGCGGCAATATGAAAACGGCACAGACAACGTCTATGGTGAACTTCTCCCCCGGTTCATCAGCACCATTTTCAAGGAGACAAAGTTGAAATCGGGTCAAGTGTTCGTCGACCTTGGCTCCGGTGTGGGCAACGTTGTCTTGCAAGCCGCGCTTGAAATAGGCTGCGAGAGTTGGGGTTGTGAGATGATGGCCAATGCTTGTGATTTGGCAGAGTTGCAGCAGGCCGAGTTCAAGGCCCGTTGTCGACTTTGGGGAATTGCGCCTGGTAAGACACATCTTGTCCGGGGCGATTTCCTTGAGCAGGAGAGCATCGTCAATGTCTTGAAACGGGCCGATGTGGTGCTCATCAACAATCAGGCATTCACACCTCAACTTAACAATGAACTGATCAACCATTTCCTCGATATGAAGGAGGGGTGCAAGATTGTCTCATTGAAGTCATTCGTTCCTGCCGGCCACAAGATCCAGTCTCGCAATCTCAACTCTCCTATCAATCTCCTCAAAGTCCAGCAAAAGAACTACTGGTCTAACAGCGTCAGCTGGACCGACGTTGGTGGCACATATTTCATTGCCACCAAGGATAGTTCGCGCTTGAAAGCTTTCATTGACGACTCTTTTTGAATGACGAGGCAGCATTGATGTGCTGCGCTCTGCAGATGCATGACTTTAGATTCATGAACACTTGTTTGTAAATTGTGCCTTGGTTCTGTCCTGTACATTATCTTTTTTTTTCTTGGATATATCCCTTGGTTCATTGTATGATGCCAAGTCAAGTTGTACAAAGCTGTGTTTATCATGTTAGTCATGGCAGTATATAGACCTTTTTCAGTGTTTTGATCCAATGTACATCTATTCATAGTGATCTAGGGTATTAGAAAGCAAGTATCTTCGGTCATTTGGGCTCCTGCCCGGTGTGTGGCCAAGATTAGGAGAATTTGGATGCATTATTCATGGCATCGGCTTCTTGGCCCATCCGGGCCATCCAGCGGTCAACAAGCTCCTTGTTCTCTCGTTGAAGCTCTTTTGATTTCTTCTCGGCCATATTGAACTCGAGGTTTAGCGATGCTAATTCGGCTTGGAAATCCTGCGACATTCGAGTTAGATCGCGTCATCACGGTGTCGCATAGAGGCAGGCAGTCTTCTGATGCCACAAAATGTAGTCACCTACCTCCAATAGTTTTGTTTTCTCACGGAGCTCCTCGTCTCTATCTTTTAGACGTTTCACCAATATGTCTTTCTCACTTTCCAATGTATCGAGGCGCCGACCATCTCGGTTGCTCTTCTTACGCAACTTCTCGAGTTCAGTATTCAGTCGACTCAACTGGTCTTGTAAATCAGTGCGAGACCGTTGTGCCTCAGATAAGTCTGCTCGAGTACTCTTCAGCAGTTCTGTCAGAGATGGGCCGGGCTCAGTTGAAGGCTGTCTCTTTGGCGCTGTTCCAGGCAAGGACGAAACAGGGTGTTGGGATTCACTGAAGACGATCGAGGATCTCCGGCCAGGTGCAAAATTGGCGCCCGAATCTAAGGGAGTTGCCAGCTGGGCAGTGCGATCTGCGAGGCGAGTATCTACCGTCGTAGACGATATGTTAGTAACCAAAAACAGCTATAGGGAAACCTTCGCAGCTAGCACGAACAGGCATCGTAGAGCGCAGCGTTGGCCTTCTCCCTCTGATCCCGGACTGCCAGCGCGGCCAGATACTCCTCTCTCCAGTGGGGCATCGACCCGAGAGGTGAGGGGGACGATCGATCGATCAGGGAGTTGAGGAATGTTGGAATGCGATGATGTCGGGCGGAGCTGTAATCTGACTACTCTATCTCGTTATCAGCACTGCCCACCACCCACCGCCCCCCTCTCCACCGCCCGAGGATCATGCATCATTAGATCCCGCTGCAACCCAACTCCAACTCCAACTCCAACTCTCTTTTGGGACCTCTTGACCTCTGAACGCCCTCTATTTCCCCCTGTTTCTCACCCCTTCTTATAGCTCAGATCATTATCTCCGGACCATTCATCTTTCGGTGGTCTGTCTCCATTCTACTCCGCAGTCCCTGAACACACACCGCTGCCATGGCGTCACGGAAGAAGGTTCTCCTCAAGGTACGATCTCCGCAGCAGCTCCGCGTGACACCTGAAGGCTCCTTTGTGTCGACCCCAAGCTAACACGACAACGTCTACTACAGGTTATCATCCTTGGTGATAGCGGTGTCGGCAAAACAAGCTTGATGAATCAATATGTTCGTTCTCCCTCGGTTCCCCAACGCCGCCGTTGGCGCAAAATCACTCCAGCCTCACCCGTAGCAGCACCGCTAATACCACAGCTCCCGCCACGTATAGGTCAACAAGAAGTTCAGTGGAAGCTACAAGGCGACTATTGGTGCCGATTTCCTCACCAAGGAGGTCCTCGTCGATGACCGGCTGGTGACGATGCAGGTATGGATCGTCGAGGCGCTCGTGAAGCCAGCAGAAAGAGTTACTCACTAATCCGTTGCGCAGATTTGGGATACCGCCGGTCAGGAACGGTTCCAGTCTCTGGGTGTCGCATTCTATCGAGGAGCCGACTGCTGTGTTTTGGTCTACGATGTGAATAACTCGAAGAGTTTCGAGGCGCTGGACAGTTGGCGGGATGAATTTTTGATCCAGGCTAGCCCCCGTGACCCGGAGAGCTTCCCCTTTGTGAGTTTACCAAGTTCCCGTTCCTCTTGAGATGAGCGAATCCCTGTCTTTGTGGGATCAGTAAGGAAGCGGTTGATACTAACAGCTCGGGGCAGGTGGTTATTGGCAACAAGATCGATGTAGAGGAGAATAAGCGGATGATCTCTTCGAAACGGGCCATGACGTTCTGCCAGTCTAAGGGCAATATCCCGTACTTTGAGACTAGCGCCAAGGAGGCTCTTAACGTGGAGCAGGCTTTCGAAGGTAAGCTCTCACCGATCACCTATCTGATAACTTTGCGTCCGGTTTTGGGCTAACTTTATGTGTCTCTAGTGATCGCCCGCAGCGCCCTCGCGCAGGAAGAGGCTGAGGAGTTCAGTGGTGAATTCAGTGACCCGATCAACATCCATCTGGACAATGAGCGCGATGGCTGTGCCTGTTGATACCCTTACCCTATACTCCCATGACGTTTTGAGCGTTTGTTCCTCTGATTTTCTCCGGTCTTCTTTCTTCCTCTTTCCGACATACTTTGCCCTGGTGGTTTTCGTTCCTTGTTGGGTGTTCCTGCCTGTAGAGAAGGCCCTTGATTTCTGGCTCATTGGATTTGTTTCCTGTAGATGTTCTTAGTGCGACTTGCTTGTTGATTAGGGCAACAGTTGATTTCAGATTTGATCTGCTCGTCTCCATGATTTTTCGGGCCTCTGACTCTACTGCGGTTTCAGATATATAAATGCACCAATTAGTGATGTCTCCAAGCATTTCACCCACCGTAACCGACCACTTGAATCAAACTTGAGAGTTCCAGTCTCAACACTCAGTACCTGTCGTAATCGAAGGAACATGAAACTAAAAGAACAGACAGCGTGACCTGCAGGAGGGTTATATCCAGCCCTCGTGATGAATCCACTCCGGTCACGGACTCCGCGACGGGCGAGGGTCCCGCCCCCATCAAGGACGGGCTTCTTATCGCCGATCCTTGTCCGCACAATGCTTGGCAACTCTTCCCTCCCTGCTTACCCTCCTCCTGCTGGTCAGGACGTCGTTCCTTAACTTCCGACTCCTGCTTATGGCACATCTGATGCTCTGCAGATGTCCGTGATCCGCATTCCTTAGGCGACCTGGCGACACCGGGACGACTGTGCCGCAAGCTAACCGACTCGGACCGCGCTCACCATATCCCCTCGTGCCTCACGATAAATAACGTATAGCCTGTGAATATGGCGACAACGATCGACGCACCCGCACCTAAGGTGCTTGGGGTAGCCAGGCGCACCTTTGGTATGGCCTTGCTGCTGCTTGTGGTGGTGCTGTGGACAGCGTCGAATTTCTTAGGAAGTGTACGTTCCGCAATTTCTCCCTGGTGCCGACGACGGACCCGTCATCATTTGTAACGACGTTGTAAATTCTAACATTTGAACGTTAAACAGACCATCTTCGCCGATAAAACCTATCCCAAACCCTTCTTCGTGACCTACATCAATACTTCGCTCTTTACCCTGCCACTCTTCAGTACGCTTATCACTCGGACATGGGGCCTATGGCGCAGCAAGAAATTGTCCCAGGTTCACTCGTTCCGAAGCTGGTTGCGACACATGGACTCGGAGCATCCCAAGCATGAGGAGCAGCGTACGTTGCGCTCCGGTTCATTTGACGATGATACCGGGCGCGATCATGGAATCGAAGGCTCGCAGTATTCGCGGTCCAAATTGGACGATGGAAATGAGAAGTTGGGACTTCGAGCAACGGCTAAGCTTAGCTTAGAGTTTTGCCTTCTATGGGTATGTTTTTGTCTCGATCTTGGAAATTGATACACCGCTAACTTGATGTAGTTTGCTGTATGTCATGAATATGATACCCGTGGGGACCGGTTGAGGCCAAGGTTTGAATGAACTAACTGTTCTTCCGAATAGGCAAACTATTTTGCTATGGGATGCCTCCAGTTTACGACAGTTGGAAGCACGACTATTCTGACTTCTACTAGTGGTAAGGCTTTACAAGTACTCTGAAGACCACGGTTGTCGAATACGGGGCTAATGATGCTTCAGGTGTTTGGACGCTCGTTTTCGGTGCCATGATCGGAGTGGAGAGATTTACTCTGCGCAAATTCCTTGGAGTCATCGCTTCGCTGATGGGCATCATTCTCATCTCACGCGTTGATATCTCCAACCCAGAAACAGGCGATGCCACGGCCGCAGACAACGGGGGGAGCTCTTTCCCTCACAAGACTCCCACTGAGATTGCCATCGGCGATGCCATGGCTGCGTTCAGCGCAATCTTGTACGGCGTGTACACGATTGTGATGAAGAAGCAAGTGGGCGACGAGTCGCGAGTGAATATGCCACTTTTCTTTGGATTGGTGGGGTTCTTCAACCTTGTTCTCCTGTGGCCTGGATTCTTTATCTTGCACTGGACTGGGGTGGAGTCGTTTTCACTTCCAGATACGCAGCGAGTGTGGACTATCATTCTGGTATGGCAATTCCTGAAATATTGATTTTATGCCCTATGATCGCCATCCCATTCCTTTCTAAAGAATTCGTCACTAACTTCATTCTCAAGGTCAACTCGCTCTCGTCATTCATCTCCGACATTGCGTGGGCTTACGCAATGCTCCTCACAACGCCCCTCGTAGTGACTGTCGGTCTCAGTCTGACTATCCCACTGTCCTTGGTCGGACAGATGTTCCTGCAATCCCAGTATGCATCTCCAGTATACTGGCTAGGCGCTGTGATCGTGTTCCTGTCATTCCTGGTCGTCAACCACGAAAGCAAGACACAAGAAGAGACCGGCATCCCCAGAGAAACGAGTAGACCATCATCGGGGGAGTATGAGACCATCCCTCGAGAAGAAGAAATGCGATAGATTCTGTGACGGATATTATCATGATGGGAGTTTTCTTTGACACACACTTTTCGGTTCAAGATCATGGCACTGTTTTGTTTGATACAACACTCTGCATTTGCGTTTTCGTTCAATTTTTGAATTGCATGACTTGTAGACACTGATATTTTGACGTTGGGCGATTGCAATTCTCGGCGTGTGCATGTTGAGCATACATACCTACCTCTTATCTAGACTGTTAGAAATCCAACAAGACGTCGCAAGTTAACTCCGCCTCGGTACTTGTGTATGCATCAATCCTTGTGGGTTGCTTGTTTCCAGTTCATGGACGCAGGTGACGGGAAAGACTGAAAAGTGACGCATGGGCTATCTAGACATAATGGTTGGTAGTGTATATAGAATATCCAAGGATAATAAAGTCGAAGGACGTGTGCCCGAGAAGGAATTCTTGTCTCTGATTCCAATATTGGGATTGTCATAAAGTTTTTATTACAATTATAGCATAGTCAAGACGCAGAGAACATCAAACCAAATGCTTATGCCAATATCCACGTCCATTAAAATAGTCAGACAATCTGTCCAAATAAATCCGAGTAGGTTCGTACAAAAGAGACTGAAGAGTGAAGGTAAGATCTTGCCCTTGGAACGGACAAGACTGCTAAAAGGATTAAACGCCTGCACGCTCCAATAAGAACTCCGGCTTTTCACCTACCGGCGTGCAGATCATGATTGAGAAGCTGTCAAAAAAACCCTGGGTATATACTGAGCGGGATGGAGAAAGGAAATATTTGAACGAAAGACGGCGGATAGTGGGGAATGGATGAGAAGAGGTGGAAAAGAAAAAGAGAGAGAGAGAGAGAGAGGGGGGGGGATGCGGTGGAATGGCCAACGGAAAAGGGGAGATATGGCACCAGTCAGGTAGTTTGGGAGAATTATGCCGAACTTGACAAGAGAAGGGGGTTTCGTTGTCCTCAATTACGCCGCAGATGGCCCAGCTTCGAGCTTCTTGCGGGCAACAAGAATACTCTTCAGCGAGCCCAGCCATCGCGCAAGGGACTCTTCGTCCGGAGCACAAAGCCGATAGGTCTTCTCCTCCGCAATGATCTGCATGCAGAAGGTCTTGGACCGTGACATGGGATCTATTTCCGCCGCATCGATTACCTGGGACATGGAGATGATCTTGATCGCCGAGTATTCCTGGTCATCCTTGTAGAAAGCCAGGCTCTTCGACCGCAAGACCACCCACAGCCGCTTCCATTGACGCACCGTGCCCTTAATCCGCAGTCCCTGCAAATAGCCCTGGCAGACCACCCGCTCCGGGTCACGGAGGATAGCCAGATCGGACTGGCGGCTAGTATCTCGTGGCAGAGACATGGGTTTGTCCTCTGGTGCGGAGAGAGAAAGGGTGTGGATCGAGGGCATCGACCGGAGACGGCTGTTTCGGGTTGGAGGGGGTCCATTATCCGAGAGTTCTGAGTAGGAGGTAATCTCGTTGCCCGAGTAATCCTGTGTGTAAGGGGGTTTTGCGGGCGCGGGCACTCGATGACAATCCATGCCCAATTTCGGGCGAGCTGGCCCGGCCTGCCCCGGCGCTGGCGCCCTCGAAATCAGAATGCTCGGTGGTATCTTCAATCAATTGTTTATGGATGGCGGGCGGGTCTCGTTTTCTCGAGAGAGCGAGAAAGGCGGCTTCGTCTTCGTCGGCGGGGGTTTCACCGCGAATACGGTTAATCCAGTCTTCGGCGTCGCGTTCCGATAGGGCTTCGAAGCGGTAGTTTTTGGAAGGGGTGAAGATGCCAAAGACATGTTTGCGATTGGAGCGTGAGGACTTGACGGGAGCCACGGCCGTGACTTCAGAGAGGGAAATGGAGACGCGGAGACGGGTGGTTTCCTCATCTTTGTAGACGGACAAGAGATTCGGACGGAGGACGAGATAGGCGGGTTTCCACGAGGCCCGGAAGCTGTGCTTGTGCTTGACGCGCCGGGAGACCCGGCCGGTCTTCAAGACGCGATCGAATTCGAAGCTGCCATTCTCGTTGACGGGGGAGAAGGTGTCCACATTGATTTGGCCGTTGCGGGAGGGCGGCGGGCGGAGACGCGCGAGAGCGTTGGGAACTGGGACTGGGACGGCGGAGGATTTGGAGCTCTGCCCCTCCGGATCGGGGGGACGAGCAAGTATTTGACTCATGATGGCAGCGAGGGCCTCATGTATCTAGAGACAGGGGACGGATTGGAGCAGAGGAAGGGCCTTGGTTGTTCGAGATCAGGGCAGGAAGGAAAAGGGGGAGGAACCCCGCGGTGGTGCGGCCATGCAGTTTGGACGATCGTTCCCCATGGACCCAGGGTCAGCCCACGAACCCCTCGCCAGTCTGGTCTGGGTTTTCTAGATGAAGTTGGTCAGTTGAGAGCAGAATTTGGTATGGATTTGTTGGTTGAGTCCTGGACTGGTGCGGATCCGAAGTAAGAAAATAAGTCTGATGTCAACGCTAGCGCGGGCACGAGTCATTCCTGGCTGTCCCGCAAGCGAGTTCCAGAGCATGACCAAGTCATCGTCAAAAGTCACCCGTCGTCTATAAGACCAGAGGAACTAACTTATATAGTTCTAGATTCTTTGGAAATATATACTTTGGGGCGCATCGGATGGACCAGGCAGCACCTGGGAATGACGAACGGGTCAGATGGATTGCTTGTCATTTCAATGATATCATGGGAGCCTGCGGAATAGTCCTATATGATTATAGACAGTACGGACTCCGTCAGCATCAGCTTCCATCCAGAATCCCCGATCTCACGTCACCTATATAGATCCGCCCAGAATGTGACTGCCTGCCAGGATCCGATTTCGTTCTTCACCCTTTTCGAGTAATTAGACACACGAACAGGGTCCAGAGTCCAGACCGGCCCCTTTCAGGCCACATCGCCCGTACGAAGAAAAGTGGAGCCGTGAAATTGGCAGGACCCTCTCTGTATGGATGTAGTTATGGACCGAATAGATTGACGACTCCAGTCCACTTTATGAACTCGGTAGAATCTTGTCCACTAGGGGTCGCAGCCCACTTCTCCGGAGTATAGCCAACCTTTTGACCAAGGTACGCAGCAGTTATGCGACTGCCATCATCAGAAACCCCGCGATCAATCTTGCCTCTAAAGCATTCGTCACCAGTGAGATCCTTCTACAAAGTAAGCATTCAGATTTCAAGCTAACTTCGGGCGTAACGGCCCTGGGACCCTCGATCGCCATACGCTAGTTCCAGAACGACGGTCGGGAGATAAACCACGAGTATCGACGTCGCTGAGATAGTTTGCTACGAGAATCATAGACCTAATCATATTCCACTAATATTGTTAGTCCATGCCAATTTGGAAACGGTAAATGAATGAATCGGATCGACTTGAGATCTGTTTAACCGCGAATGTACTGAGTATAGGAGATAAGTAGATGGGAGTCCTAAGCGAGACAAGCATCGAGGACCACTAAGCCAAGACTTTTGCTAGGAGGCACCATACAACACTAATGCAATCTACTACTCGCATTGGATCTTAGAGGTAAATTATGAGCAATAGTTGCTCGGCGTGCATTGACCCTAAAGCGTACAGGAGCTCTCGGGATCACAGCACTCCGCAGGGGCGCAGGCCAGTAGCCCCGGGCCGAATTGGGATCTAGAAGACCGGCGGACTGGCTCGACGGAGGATAAAGATTGAAAATTAGAGATAATCGAAGCTACGTATGAAAACAAGGCCAAGTCAAGGAAGAACACCAAGTTTACCTCTCCTCCCCGCCGCCTACTCAGGGAACGCGTGGTACATAATTGGACAGAATTTGAAACGGAGGCAAGAAATCAAGAACCAAAAATACTGGAAACTAGAAAAAGCGGAAACGAAAATAAATTACGCCAAGTGACGGCTCATTACCTGGCGGTACGCCCGAGTGGCGGATCTCCCAGGGGCATTGGGATGGCAGATAGCAGGAACAAGATAGGATACAGTAGCAGAGGCAAACTCAGAGCAAGTCAGGGACAGTGATACCGCGAGGTTCCATTAGAAATAACGAAATTAACGGTGCGGGTGTAACATGGCAGTCCAGACGGTCGAAACCAAACGACAGACAGGCAAAAGAAAAAAAACCGACCAAAACGACCAAAACGACAAAAAGACGATTAATACGCTTGCGCCTCCCTGGTCTTGGCACGACTTCACCCATCCCCATCCCCGACCCTGCCCCTACTCAACTCTATCCTCCTACTCTCTTCCCCCCTCCCCTCCTCCTCCTCTCTTCCCCATCCATCTCCATCCATTCATGTCCTCCACCTCGCCTCTGTGGACCTTGTTGTGCACCACAGTCGTCTGCGTTGCTCCCGACGCCCTTCCCGTCCGCCATCTCGGCCTCTGAGAAGGAAAGTTGGGGGAGGAAAGGAGGCATTCCTCCGGTCACTCGTTTTTTTGTGGACTGAGATCTCGATCGCCCAAACCCCCCGTTTTCGTTTAGACTCCACCGTCCGAGGTCGGTGTTCTCGTCTAGACCTCTTCGCTCGTCGGTTCTCGACAGCGACTGGACAATCCTCGTTGAAACCACAACCCTCCGCTTCGACCGTCCCCTGATCTCGTCGCTGGGACCTCGACCACACGATTCCTGGCCCTCCTGCTCCGGGTCCGTTGATTTGACCATCGCGGGGTCTTCGACGTGTACCTTGCCAATCGCCCTCATGAGCTTCATTCAACGCATCACGAAACGGCTGCCCAGCGCGCCGAGCCTTCCGATCGACGATGCCCCCCGCGAGAAGGGCCACAATCCCTCCCGGTTTGCCTTCTTCCGCCGGCGCATTCGATTGAAGGGCAATTCGTCGATTTCTATACCCCTGGGATTTGTTTTACTATTTCCATGCCTTGTAATTGTCTTCATTTTACTTTTATTCGTCCGACACCCTTCGTCTCCCGGGGGTATCCTAATTCCAGCGGGCACGCCGCCCTCAATCCGGTTCGTGCGATCCCCTATGTTCCATTGATGGAGAAGTGAAGAAAGCATGAGTTACTGACCATGGTATCTCCTTTTTTTTTCTGCAGAAAAATTAGCGAAAAACATGACAAAGTCTTCGCGACGGGCTGTCTGCCCATAGACCAGGACAGTATCGACAAGGCACCTCGCGCCAATGCGGCCTTTGTCGTTCTGGCACGGAACAAGGAGTTGGAAGGTGTGATCCAGTCGCTCAAGTCGATTGAGCGTCACTTCAACCGCTGGTATCACTACCCGTACGTTTTCCTAAACGATGGCGACTTTGACGAGGAGTTCCGGGCCACCGTCAAGAACTACACCAGCGCCGCTGTGGAATTTGGCAAGATCGATAACACCATGTGGGGCTTCCCCGACTGGGTTGACCACGAGGTCGCCAAGGAAGGTATCCGGAAGCAGGGTGATGCTGCAATCATGTACGGTGGTATGGAGAGTTATCACCACATGTGCCGGTTCTACTCTGGGTATGTGATTGCTTTCTCCGAAAATGCCGCCCATGGGCCAAAAATACTGATTTGAATCAACAGACACTTCTACAAGCACCCTCTCCTGATGAAGTACGAGTGGTACTGGCGCCTGGAGCCCGAGATCAAGTACTTCTGTGATATCACCTAGTAAGCAGCACCTCTTTTGCCGTTGGATATCCGGTCGCTAACTTCAATGTGCAGTGATCCCTTCATCGAGATGGCAAAGGCAAACAAGACCTACGGCTTTACCATTGCAGTCAAGGAGCTTCGCGAGACCGTTCCCAACATTTTCCGCTACGCCGCGGCCTACAAGCGCAAGAACAACCTCAAGTCGAAGGGCCTGTGGGAAATGTTCTTGGAGCGCCCCGCGGAGGAGGAGACCCCGCCTGAGGGGGAGAAGAAGCAGGAGAAGCTTCCCGATGAAATCCTCCTGACCGAACCCGGTGACAAGAACCTTGACGATATCGACCCCGAGGCTATGGAAGGCGAGAGCTACAACATGTGCCATTTCTGGAGTAACTTTGAGATTGCACGCTTGGATTGGTTCCGCAGCAAGGCTTACGAGGATTTCTTCAACATGATGGACCGTAGCGGAGGATTCTGGAACGAACGAGTAAGTTAAAAGTCCGAATTCAGAACAGCCGGAAACCTGATTACTGACATACTCCGTCTTTAGTGGGGTGATGCTCCTATCCATTCCCTCGCCGCTGGTGCTCTTCTCGCCCCCAGCGATATCCATTACTTCCGTGACTTTGGATATCGGCACACCACCATCCAACATTGCCCTGCCAACGCCCCCGCTCGGCAATTGCCTCGCCAGCCCTACCTCGAGAAGACCACTGACGATGAGAAGAAGCGGATTGAAGAAGATGAGTACTGGGCCACTGCGGACCCAGTCAAGGAGAACGGCGTCGGCTGTCGCTGCCGCTGCGATACCGATATCGTCGATGTCGAGGGCAAGCAAGGCAGCTGTCTTGCTGAGTGGGTTGAGGTGGCTGGCGGCTGGGCCTCCCCATAAAGCCTTTCTTCACACAGACGAGTTCGCCTTTTCCCTGCATCGTTCTCTTTACCTGCTTCTCCATGCCTTCCCTTTCAGCCTTGAGCATCTCCTGGGATTTGTCTTGCCCGGGCGGAGTTTTCTGCTGAGATTCGCATGTTATGTTGAGGTTCTTTTCTAGGCGGCGTTTTAATGGATCTGACGGCTTGTTTTTTTTATTTGGAAGATGGCATGATCATTTTCCCACCATCCATGTTGACATATTCATCTAGCGTGCTGTCCGCGTCATTGGGAGTGGCTGTGTGTTTCTATTGTTTCCCTCCACCTTCTTCTTTTTGATCTTCTTTTTGATCGTTCGACAAGGGAGGCTCTTGTCAAGTGCACCCCGAGGCCGTCGACACTGCGGGATCTTCGATTCCTTGTCGCCGACGGGTATAAATACTTTGCCGCAATCGCCGGAATCCCGTCGTCTATCGTTCCTATCCGGTTTACTCCATAGTATACCCTTGGTTCTTTTCTGAGTGGTACGGAGTCAAGCGCTTGGCTGCAATGGACACAGTAGCCCAATCCCAGTGACCGCAGAGACCAACACCTATGTGGTGTATTAAGGGATGGGGTTTTCGGGAAGGACGGTGTCAGCACATCCCACCGTCTCTTGTTTTCGTGCCTCGTTGTTTTCGTTTCTGTTTCCAACACTTTCTTTCGCCCTCTTATCTGTCACTCCTACCATTCTTCCCGTTACCCTCAGCTCCCCTAGTACTCGCCCTTTGGTCGTCTTTCGCTTCCAGCATGCATTCATGAGATGTACATACGTTGTTCTCCTGTCCTCTCTAAACCGTCCTTTTGGGCTCATGACGCATGCTCATGGGCCTGTATCCCCCTTATCCCCCCCCTCGCATTGCCTGCAAACGTCGCAAATATCTGATTCGAGCATGGCTGTCTATAGAGTATGGAATAATCACCTGGTGAATTACGCGAAGAATGAGATCAGTATAATGCGTCATCTCTTTTCTACCTGCTAGATAGTACTTTTACCAAAGGTCCACATGGATAGACTGGGGCTTCTGGGATGGATCTACTGCCAAGGACCACTTAAGCAAACATGATGACCCCACGATCTTTTGTCTAGCTCATCATAACTCTATGGAGTGTTCAATATCATACCCTATCCCGTAATAACCTCACTCGAGCGGTTCATCACGGCTATACCCAACCAAGCCGTGTAAATGATATGACGAAAATGTGCCCGTCCACGTAACAAGATTCGTAGAGAACCATTTTGGAATTAATTACCCTAAATCAAATATTTATCCGAGACGAAGATCCCGGCTATTTGACATCATCAGACCCCACGCAGTGAGAAAGTACTGTAAGTACCGGCAAAACATCGGCATCACCCCCTCACTAAACCCCTATCAGATCTCCATTTCAAATACTACAGTTGCTTTCTGGTATCAAAACTCCTGCAGCGTTGGAGAACAAGGTAACATCCATGAGGGGAAAGTGCAGAGGGGGGTTGGAGGATGGGGGCAAGATTGTATACTTGCCGATCAATAAACAAACTTCAAAACGCTCCCCCTCTCCACCAACAAGACCAGCGACTCTCCACATCCCCCACATTGAACCAACCTTATGACTTGGTTGTTATTCTTCGTGTTGGGCCTGGCTGCGGCCTTTAATAACCCCCCGGCGTGGATATTTGGTGTGGAAAGGCTTACCGTGCTACGTACGTGATCCCAAGAAAAATCAATGATGTAGAGTCCGAGTCAAGGGGTGACGCTAATTGAGGATCTAGAAATGCTTCCTTTGAACCGGGTGGTTGGCTGGAAGAGCCAGACCGGTCTGCCGTGCCCCTCTTGGATTTACGTGTGTGGCCGCGTATGAGTTTGTATACCCCTGGCGATAATCAGGGGTCGTTTATCATCGACGCGGATATCTCGTATATCTACGGAGAGCCACTGCAGCAAACAGGAGGAGGACATAGCTCTCAAAGTCTCGAGGTGGAGATCCTCGTTGACGAGGTGCAATTGAAATTGCAACACACCGTCAAGGTGAACTCAACGTCGAACGAGTTGGATTTCCCTCTGCATAGCCTTGCTCCGCGCTCTCAGCCCTACAGCGTAACCCTCAAAGCTACGCGCTCGACCGGTGGCCGTGTATACACCGCGACCACGCAGGTGTATCGTCTCCCAGAGCGCACTGATGGAGGTAGCGTCACAAAGGTTGACAGCCTCTACGGCGGACTACTCGTTCAGAACAAGACCTCGAGCTCTTCTAAATGGAGTTCCCTCCTCCCATATTCCTTCTACGTGAGCTGGGATGGCTGGCTGGAGAAATCACTCAGCAATGTCCAAAAGTTCAAAGACCAGGGGTACAACATCATCCACATTGTTCCGAATGCTGGACTCGCCAACCAAGCCTTCAATTTCACCGAACTAAACCTGTTCCTGGATAAATGTGACGAGATCGGACTGTGGGTAATGTACGATATGCGCTGGACATATAAGAACCTGACCTCCGTACGCGAGCAGGTCAACATGCTCAAGACACGGAAGAGTATGCTCCTCTGGTACACCGGCGACGAACCCGATGGCCAAGGTGACCCATTGAACGCAACGAAAATCACATACGACCTCATCAAATCGTTAGATCCGTGGCACCCGGTCTCATTGTGTCTAAACTGCTACAATTTCTACTACGAAGAATACTCCTCCGGTGCTGACATCATCCTGTCAGACGTATACCCGATCGCGGTCAACACCAGTTGGTCCGTCGTCTACGACACAGCCTGCAACACCACCTACGGCTGCTGCGGCTGCGACGACTGCGAAGGAACACTAGACGATATCTCCGTCCGACTGGACCGTTTCACCGAGTACCAGTCCTGGATCGGATCCGCTCCCAAACCCCTCTGGGGCGTGCCGATGGCCTTTGGCAATGAGTCGTTCTGGACGCGGTATCCCACCGCGGACGAGGAGGTGAGCATGACCATGCTCAGTGTGAATCATAATGCCAAGGGCATTGTGATGTGGGATTATCCGACGAGTGTGGAACTTGCCCAGGTGACTAGTGAACTGAGTCGGGTTCTTGCTGATGAGGAGGTTGCCGGGTTCTTGTTGGGTGCGCCGACGGTTGCGTTGCGGGCGATAGGTCAGCAGAATATGGATGTTGCTGGGTGGAGGGTTGGTGCGAGGATGCTAGTTAGTATTTTGGCTTTGCAGACGCCTGCGTGGGATTCAAGTGTGACGATTGCGTTGCCGGAGGGTGCTCGGGGTGTTAGTAAGGTGCTTTGGGGATCGGGGGAGTGGAGGGTTGTTGGAGGGCAACTGGTGAAGAAAGGTGGACGTGGATTGGAGACGGATTTGGTGATTGTTGAGTTTGAGGGTGGGCATTAAATGTCGATATTTCATGTAGGTATTTCGAATATCTGGCTACCTCGACCGAGGCTGATATGGGTCAATTCGACTTGTGCAGATTGGCGTGATCTTCCCGACCAATGTGCATAGTATCCAGTCACAAGCTAACATTCCGTAGACTGGGGCTCTGATGTACTGTAGGTCGGCCTCATAGTCCAGTAAGATTAGGCAAAGTTCCGTCGACCAGTAGTAACTGAGGGCAATTAAACTCGAGACTACCATGGTGCCGTTCTCGTGGTTACACTTGGGAGTTGCGATAAGCCAATGCCGCGGCGTCATTCGCTGCAGATTACAACCGTAATCCCTCCAACGCGTGCTCACTTACCCAATTGGAATATTAGCAGGGATTACTCTCCGTACTGCATTACATATATCACCAGCATATTTCCTCCGTAAGCATTTGGGATTCCGTGTTTCTGATTTTTCCCCAACGTATCATCCTTAAAATCGTCCTTCAGACCACAACTCCCTCAACCCCAAGCGACCATGACAACTGTAAGCACAGTGACGACGACTATCATCCTCGAGTCCGAGAAACCACACTCCTCCGCCCCTCTCGAGACAGTAAAATACGCCGATCTTCTAGAAAAAGATGCCCTCGAAACCTCTAAACTCCTCCGATCCTGCCAAAGTCCCGGATTCTTCTACCTGGATATCTCCGGCACAAATTCCTACTTCAACGGCGACGCCTATCTGGAAAATATCCGATCGCTGTCCCAGCAACAAGAAGAGTACTTTTCGCAACCCTTCCATGCCAAGATGAAAGACTATCTCGACGTTTCCGCTGAAAAGGGTTACCGATATGCGCCGGACAGCGAGACATTCGACGTACCAGCCAGTTCCTTTCACGAGGAGGATATACCATCTCCTCTAGATGCTTTGTCGATATATTTCATGATGGCACATGCACACGCAATTGCGACCACACTGATTCGCAGTTTGTCACCATTTATCGGCAATGAAGATGTACGGAAATATGTAACGTCCGCCCATGATGAAAACGATGTATCGCTCTCCGGGTTGAGACTGGAGAATCTCCTGGCCGAGGAAAAGGAAAAGCAAGGGTATTATTATTCCCCAGGATGTACCGACGGAGGGTCAATCTCACTGCGCTATTGCGATGAGGCGATGATTGAATATTTAGACGTTGAGACGGGGGGTTGGGCATGTATTGAACCACGCAGGAATTGCCTGGTTGTAAACGTGGGGGATATGTTGCGCGCAGCTAGCCAGGGCCAGTTTCAGAGTCCGCTGCATCGTGTGGGACATCCGTTGGTTGGGGTTCAAGATCGTGGATGTGTAACGTATCATCTATGGCCTGCGGATGACTTGGGGTGGCGTGGGAGATGAGATTGACCGATTGACCGAGGTCGTCTTGATTCGATGTTTATTCGAAACATCGGTGAACATATTAAACAAAATAAATAAATTCATGATGATTGAATGGAGCCCAAAAACTGTATGAAAAGAAGATCAGACTGAGCGCCACGATCTTGGAGAATACAAAAGATTTTGTGCAGGAGAAGCAGTGACCAAGAGGAGAACAAAGGGAATATGAATCTTGGGCTCTAGGGCCGTAACAAGTATATGCTAAGTGAAAATTAACAGAGACAATCCAATGAGGGGCAAAACGTAAATAAGAAAAACAAGGTTGGGGGATATAATTCAAAAGCACCAAAGAGAATCAAAGGAAACCCAATAAACTCCACCATCTATACTTCCCCCCCCCCCCACCCATGATATCAACCAATACGATGAAAGTTGCGGAGGTGCTGCACAAGAGTATCTGCACGATTACAGATCTTATCGCAGTCGTCCACTGGGCAGGGATGGGCCCCTGGGGCAATATGCATCTTCCGTAGGTGGCGTATGAGAGAAGACTCGCATCCGAAAGACCCTGAATAACGGCACCCTGTCCACCTACAGTGCCAGATCCTGACGGTGGTGGTGGTGCTACGTGAGCTCCTTGAGCCGCTAGTCAGCTTTTGGTGCGAGGTCAAAAGTACGAGACGGGGAGAAAGTTGTTGGGCGGTGGATCTAATGTCTACAGGGGAGGGAGGAGGTGGATCGCTTCTGGTTGGAACATACTCAGAGACTTGAAGAGGCCTACGAGTGTCAATATTGGCCTGTTGATTTCGTCCTCCTGGACTAGTAGGGGTCATACAACCCGGGTGAGGTTCCTGGGGAGGCTGGGAAGTCGGTGTGAGCAGAGAGGGCAGTCATTGAATGATAATAAGACGGGGAAAACGCCTTGGGTGTGACGTAGAGATCAGACTTACAATTTGGATTAGTTGGTGGAGTCCATTAGGTGGCATGGCACCAGTCAAATCCCTGTCCGCAGTACGAGGTCTCCAGTGGGTTGTCAACCTCATTGCACCGCCCACGCTGGATTGGACAGGGGGGCTCGGGCGCGGAGTTGCCTCGTTGATGGCAATGAAGACTGGCTGTTGTTCCAGCCCAATAGTTGGGTTCCAGCCCTCCTTTGGAACGGGGACTGGTGCTGGCGTAGTTGGCAAAACATGAGAAGGATTGCTCTCGCGGTATCCCAAAGTACCTGAAACCTCTTGGTCCCATTCCCACTCGCGGAGACAGTCAAAGGGACTTGCCATGATTATTGTGGCTAATTGAAATCAAAAGCAATGGGGCTGGGACTGTTTAGAGAAGGATGGTAGAAGAAGGCGAGTTGGTATGGGTGATGATTGTCTTGATATGGGGAAGAGGGCCTGTTATATAGATAAAAGCATGAAACGGAGATCGCGGACAGGGGCCCAAAAGGTGACCCTGGACTAGTCACTTGGTGATATAACTACACACTATTGTGAGCTATTCCGAAATATCGGTGACCACCTACTGGAAGTCAAACTCCTGGCTCCAAATTATCCTGGGTTTGATTGGCAAAGCCCCACATCCTCTTATAAGCTCCTGGTTGGGCCCGCGAGTTCACTCCATTCAGGAGCAGGTCGTCGAGTGCTATTGTCGGCGAGGGTCGGGCCCCAAGAGGCTTATGCGTGACCATAGTGATGCCGCGTGCCGCGCCCGCATCTTCACTCTTGAGTTATTTTATCTCCGTGCTCTCAGCCAGGCTCCAGTCCTCCGTGCTTCTTCTAGTCATGCCGGCAGCTATCAAAACAATGTTGGCCTTGCGCCACTGCGACTGGTACAATCCAGGAAGTCCGGATTCGTAAATTGTTCTTAAGAATGTCACTGTCTCCCGGAGTCCCGGGATTTCTAGAAGGCGCCACACGGAGCCCCGTTTAGGGCAAACGACAAGTCATATCTGACCTGGTGGAGTCTGACATTCTCTCTTTTCATATTGTTTGGCGCTCTTGTCACCTCGTGCTAGAATCGGCAGATCCTTTTCCTGGTTCATCATCAATGCATCTCATAGCCCTCTTCTGTATCACATCCATGCCGCCACTACCACTAATTCTATCCTTGAACTGTCAACTCAAGAAAAACTAACTTATAATAATACATCATAAGTTTACTGTTAAGGTCTTGGGAGCTTTAGGCTCTGGGCCAAGCGCCTTTGGCCTCTTTAGGTTTGGCTTCTGGTTCGCTCAGCTCCTCTCCTCTATCATCTTTCCTACACATCTCCTGACACACACTTTTCTGTGTGCCTTTGATCCCTGCGTCTCATTCATAAAATATGTTGTTTAAACCTCGATCTGTTTAAATCCTAGATTTGTGGTCACATTAGCTGCTCAACTAACAGGCGTGTGATGCACATTGTATGGTCGGACGTCTGAGTCCAAATTCCATTTCCTCTTGAAGATGGTTGACGAAGGGAGCACCGCCGACCAATGTGAAGCAAATATTTTGTGACAATTTAGAGATCGGCTAGATTAAATACTCAATGACTACTGGCACTGTCTCCAATTAAGACCTCTGTCAAATAATGCCCCCGCCCTCGGGATCTCGGATAGCCCTAACTCATGGAGCATGCCACGGGACGATCACCCCGCCACTGAGACCCAGATCCGACTTTTTGTTTGGAGCAGTCTCGGAAACAAACAAGATGATATAGCAAATTTAGAGATACTTTTGTATCTTGGAGGATGAGCCCTCTCAGTTTCGTCGTGAGCTTCCTATCCTTCTCCCTCAACGGCAGCTATAGACAGATCTCTTTGCTAGATCCCACTCCACCTAGCTTGACTTCTGATCGTCATGTCGGATGGCCCTGCCGAAGAAAGGAAAAGATCTCAGACTAAAGCACTTCGCCTGCATTGACCAAAACATGAATCCGGGCCTCGGCGATCTCCAGTCAATTGCGATTTTTCTCTAAATATTCGGCAAGTACATAAGACTCGTCGCCTTCCCAAGACAACTTCACACGCCACAAGTGATATTCACCACTGCAATGTTGGGATTATTATATATCGGCGCCTTCTCATTCGCAACGTGCGTGAGCGCGAACTTGGCCTATAAGTCTCGACCAGATCTCGCTGTCCCTGTACTGAACATTACTGTTCCTGCCACTAACGAGGCCGCGGATGGACTCATCTTTTATACCCCAGAGAGCACTTACGCGGATAATACCAACCATGGGCCTGCTCAAAGTGGCCCGTATATATTCACCGATAAGGGTGAATTAGTGTGGTCGGGTTTTGGATTTATTGGTCCAAGGAGCGAGAACTTCCAGGTCCACACCTACAGAGGACAAAAAGTGCTGAGTATCTTCGAAGGTTCACACAACTCACCAATGGGTCATGGCCATGGACGGACCACTATCCTGGACAACCGATACCGGTACTTGAAACAGATCAAGGGAGGGGGTCATAAACTAGCTGATCAGCACGAGTTCCTATTCTTTGACGACAACTCTGCTGTCTTCACGATCTTTGACCCAGAAATCAGAGACCTAACTTCATACGGCGCAACGTCAGAGAGTCAGCAATGGATCCTCGACAACAAGATCCAAAAGGTTGATACAGATTCCAACCGAGTCTTATGGGAATGGAGCTCTCTTGACCACATCAACCCAGCTTATACAAACTTGACTTTACAAAGTGGGAACGCTGGCTTAGGCACAAATTCGAGTCAAGTATGGCACTACTTCTACATGAACGCATTTGATGTCGATCCCGAAACAAACACATATCTCATATCCGCTCGAAGTATGTGCACCATCTTCAAAATGGATGGAAATACCGGCAATATCATCTGGCAACTGGGCGGGCCAAATTCCAATTTTTCGCTTGGCGAAGGCGTGGATTTCTGCTGGCAACACGATACCCGCATGCACAAGAAATATCTGCACCACGAAACTAAGGGATCCAAGGAGATCATCTCATTCTTCGATAACTCTGCCCATGAGAATCTTGCAGGAGGACCCGATCTCCAGACTCGCGACTACAGCGCGGGCAAGGTGGTCGAACTCGATACGAAGACGCACAAAGCCACTTTGATCGCCAGTTTCCGGGCCCCTGGAGATCTCTCGGTTAGGTCGCAGGGAAACTTACAACTTCTTCCGAATGGAAACGCATTCATAAATTGGGGATACAACGGTGCAATTTCAGAGCATAAGCCAGATGGGACAACTATTTTCTTTTCCAAACTTGACTCTGGAAGACTTGGTCCTGGATCGGAGAACTATCGGGCCTTCAAGTTCGAATGGCACGCTGTTCCTTATGAAGAGCCAGCTTTGGTGGCTTTCAAAGAGTCAAATGGCACCTCTTGCTACGTTAGCTGGAATGGGGACACTGAGACAAAAGTGTGGAAATTCTTCGCACAGGCTCCCGGCAGACGGAGACTCCCCCTGGGAAGTGCGAACCGACGTGGATTTGAGACCAGCTTCCATACCGTGAGAAAGGTTGACTTCGTCATTGCTGAAGCGTACAATAGCCGAGGTGAGAAGTTGATGTCGTCTCCTGCCATTAAAGTTGTGAAGTACAAGGCACGACTAGTTTACCCCTAATGTAATCTAGCTTTTACATGAACTACAACCCAAACATGATCTCAATGGTACAGACATCTTCGGATTTTCACGGGTCGTATTTTGAGATCCCTCTGAATAATCCTTGATACATTCGGTAAATTTATCTGTCAAGGCCGCCGACCTCGGAAGTTGTGGAATCTTTTGACCTCTATGTATGAATTCAAACTGTTGATGATTTGATCCTGGAGACCGGAGAAGAGTTGTACTGATGTCGTCATCATCGGCCAGAGATTGATGCAAACTAAGCAAGTGAATGACTTTGAAACACCCGACCAAGGTGAATACTACTAGCCTTGCTCGCATGGTGGAACTCCCAAAGACTTGAACAAACAGAAGAAGGCAGCGGGGCAGTAACGGGGGAATTCAAAGTCAGTCACAAACGAATAATTTTCTCCCAGTGGATTTTGTGTTTGAAAACAGCCTGCTATATCGTCAAATACTTCCCCGCGTTAATCAAGAGGCCCCCGTTCCCCGCGAAGTAATATTTTGATTGTAAAAGAGAAAAGGAACACGCAATGTGTAACAAGTCAATACCCATGACGAACCAGGATTCCTTCTTGAAAGGGTAATTTGTGCCGTACTTGAGATTTCTCGATGCCTAGGATTGACGGCCGACTACATTCGTTGTCGTGAGTGGGTGGAGTAGCAGATCTTTACTGTATTTCGCGCAGAGCCGACTTGGCAATTAACCGTCCCTCATATCTGATCCTCTGCAGTGCTCGGTTTTACGCCCACCCTGTCGGACTTGTCTGCTGTTTATGGAGCCGCTGATGATGATCGGTGATGAAACACACGAAAGGAGACATAATCTCGCTTGCTATCCCACTGGAACATGGAAGGAAATTCCACCTCATTTGTCTAATGCTGTCCTCTATGGGACTAGTCCCTTTTCCCAGCAAGGGTAAGCCTGGAAGAAAGGACCTATAGAAATGGATACCATGCCAAGCATCGGGCTTTCGGCCAGTGACACCAGGTAAAGTAGTATTGCCAAGGCTTTATGGGTGAGTATTTCTCCGGGTTGAAGAGGATACAGATCCACGAGTACAAGGTCTTCAAGATACCTGATCCATTCGAAGATCCTCATATTGCCAGGATAATTCAGCGCCCAATTAGAGATCAAAAAATAGAGTTCATTGCTAACCATATCCATTGTGCCTGACGTGTTTCGACCGCAGCAGTTGCATACTGATGCAGAGAACATGTACTGCAAAAGCCAACGGCAGGTGGAATCATCCAATCCTCTTCATCAGATTAGATTGCCGTGAGGAATATGACACGGCAGCTTGTTTCTACATGGGTTCCCCACTTCTGCAGGTCAATGTACGGATGAAAGAGTGGAACTCAAACCACAGCATCTGACGGGCAATTTGCCCATAACAGGATACGATCGTTGTTCACCGAGGAGATTTCTCTCTGGAAATGGTAGGAATCTTCACTATAAAGATGCCCGGAGCACCGACTGTGGTCATTTAACTCAGGAATTTTTCCTACGTTTGAAGCAATTACACAATGGGTTCCTTCTGGGCCGGCATTACCCTGCTGGGTTTGAGCCTACAGCCAGCGCTGGCTCTCTGCCCATATGCGGCGGAGATGGGTGCAGACGCTAAACAGACATCCATGCCACATTCCCCTCATCCTCATGAACTCCGAGATGCACCCACGACAAATGGCAAGAAGGGTGTTTTCTATATGAACCGCATTACTCCCGGCACGTCTGAGCTCTATATCGCCAACGTCGATGGGTCCAACGAGCGCCCTCTCTTATCGAACCCTGTCTATGAATACCACGCCACCTTTTCCCCGGATGGAAAATGGATTACTTTCACTAGCGAGCGGGAAGGTGACGGCAATTCGGATATCTATCGTGTTAGGACGAATGGTTCTGATCTGGAGGAATTGGTCTCAACACCCGCAGTGGAAGACTCGGTGGTCATGTCTCCTAACGGAAAATACGTTGCTTATGTGTCCACAAGCAACGGATACAAAGCGAACATATGGGTGATGAATCTGAAGAGCGGCAAGAAATGGAACTTGACTGATACCGCCTCAACTGCTGCCAATGCGTCTTTGCCGAATGGTTACTTCCGTCCGTCGTGGTCGCCTGATGGCGAGTGGCTTGCTTTCTCGTCTGATCGCAATTCCGGATGGTATGGACACGGTGATCCGACTTTCTTGGGTCTGAGCGGCTGGGAACATACACAGGAATTGTCCATCTATGCTATCCGGCCTAATGGCTCGGATTTCCGGCAGATTGCTACAAAGAGTGGCTGGTCTTTAGGTTCCCCAAATTGGTCGCCAGATGGTAAGAGAATCATCTTTTACGAGATGACCCGCGAGAACACCTGGAACTCGCATCGTCCCGAGTCTATCGACTCGGCAAATTCGACCTTGGTTTCCGTCGACTTTGCAACTGGCAAAAACCGCCGGGTTGAGGTGCAAGGTGCTGGCGTGAAGGTCTTCCCTCAATATCTGACCGAAGATAATATTGCCTACTTCTACAAAGGGGGTACCAAAGAGGGATTCCATACCACAAGCGGCGCATACGTGAACACGTCCAGCGCAACCATCCGCTCCCCTTCATGGTCGCCGGATGGAAAGCAAGTCGTCTATGAAAAGACCACCTGGACCATTCGCCCTATGGCTAAGAAGCTGTGGAGCTGGGATTCTGACTGGGATTATCGCTTCACTGATGTATTTCCCCAGCTATCCAACCAGAACATGCTCGCCATCACTCAGAAGCAACTCGGAAACTCGTCTATTGTCTCCATGAACGCCAATGCAAGCAACGAGCATGTGGTGTATAATGATTTAAAGAGCGGTTTCCTGAGCTCGTCAATGGTTTCTCAAGGACTTGCCGGGGCTTTCCAGCCCTCGTGGTCCACTGATGGCGAGTGGTTGACTTTCGGAGTGGGCTTTTGGTTCCAGAGCCGCGCTGAGGGTGGTGGCTGGTTGGTTCGAGCTACAGCGAATGGCTCGTACTCTGAGGTCTTGACGGAAAGCAAGTCAACCCTCACAACCAACAGCTCCATCATCAACTCCGGGTTCCCTAGCTTCTCCCACGACGGGAAGAAGATTGTCTACCGAGTATGGGGTACCAATTCCACACAAGGCGACAAGTCCCAGCTCGGCCTCCGTATGCTAGATCTGGAGACCCGAAAAATCACCGTCTTGACAACGGAGTGGGATAACCTGCCATTCTTCTCGCCAGATGGTAGTCGCATTGTCTTCACCCGCAAGACAAGCGCCACAAATTACGACGTCTGCACGATGAAGCCCGATGGCACCGATATCAAGGTGCTGACCAGCAGTGGGGCAAATGATGCCCATGCCGTTTGGACCCATGATGGACGGATCATGTACTCTTCCGGCATGTTCGGTTTCCAATATGAGTGTGCCTTGTACGATCAGACTTTCCAGCCCTATGGGCAAATCGTCATTATGGATGCGGATGGATCTAACAAGCGGGTGCTGACCAACTCAATTTGGGAGGACTCCATGCCCTTGTTCGTGCCGAATTCTGCGCTGTAGAACAGCCCTGATTGAGCATCGCGAACCATAACTGGACAGCCTGGGTGCCGGTAGAGGTTGGCTAAGGGTAGACTAGGAGGCATTTTGTATATATGGCTCGAACGAAGCTTTCCTGTACTTATCCCAACCTGTCAAGTAGGAGGCTTATCGCACATGCAACGGAGATCTCTCGCGTGACCAAGTATCTAACCCGAGTGAATTAGGCAAATGTATACAAAAAGTAGACAATCTATTGTGGAGAGAAACAGCAATTTCAGCAGGAATTACAACGATCGGAACAGCCATCGTACACTTTCTAGGAACGTGATATCCAGAATTCATCTCAAAAGAAGAAGACGCGTTGAACTCACCAAACTATAATCGAATTGCCGAACATGGGACCAGACGGTTAGACCCGATAACAGCATAATATTAGGTTAATTGAACAAGTTCAAGAGTCGAAAAATGTGCTCCTCACGCTCCTCTCCAGCAAGCCTTGCCAATTGAATTCATGGGCAATGCAGGGTTGCCCGAGACACGAACCTGCCAGGTGGAGACGCGCCATGGCGATGCTCGGCGCTCGGCAGGGATGAAAGGCGGAAACCGCAAATCCGACCTGCGCAAGACTGCAGAACCTGCTTTCCCGGGTAAGATGTGGCTGGCTAAACCTAGATGATAGGAATTTATCATCATATATCAATATTCCCGGAGCCCGGGCCTGGACGCGCCAGATCGTAACACGCGAGCTGGGCGATCAGGACATTCTCCGACGCGAGTCACTTTCGAAGAAGACCCACTGCTGGTCCTAGTTTATGGGGTTGAAAGCTCCTTCATTCCTTTTAGAGCTGGGATCTTACAATCCATATCTTGGATCGTTGTTGCTCTGATATGAATTACAGTTTAGTTTGTGCTTTGCATAGCCTGACTGATCCCTCAAGTCGGTCTTTGCGTGATGCATGAAGGGGGCTGGGAATCCTCCATGGACAGCTCTGGGCCACGACGCAAACAACTGGGGATCCATGCAATAAAGACCCCATTGGACTCGTTGAATGGTTTCAATTCAAGCCTAGCCCCTCTAAAGTGCCAATGATATCCGTAAACCCGGGTTTCCCTGCTTTGTCGCGTCGTGCCAAGCGCGTGGGAGAAGACCCAGTGGCTTATCTGATCGTGCTTCAGCCTGCCCCAAGTGGAGCCTGATTACGTCGAGCTGAAAACTCTTTTTGGGGGAAAACGCGTTCTGGAACGCGTTGTTGTTGGTCCTAGCTTTCATGGCCCCGGTAGACAAGAAAATGGTTGTGGTTGTTGTGGATTGTAGCTATAGATGGGAGATTTTTGAAGTGTTTCATGTATGAAAGTACAGGGCAAAGCGGATATCAAATTCGACATAGCAAGCAATAATCTCGGTGGCAAACAGCAAGAGTATAACCTCGGAGATACTGGTCGAGGGGGCTACCACAGGCACGGCCATGGATCGACTGCCCTAGCGTCGGATGTTGCTGGAAAGGCAGTGGCATGAGAGCACGTCAAATTATTGTTCGTCGAATGTTTTTTGCTGGTCGACGCGCCTTGCGTCCGGACCCGATGGGCTGCTGAGGTAAGCGGGGCTGGGCGCGTGGTCACGTGCACCGTGACTTAGCCCGTCGCGCTAAAAGATTCACGTCCACCAACTACTTAACCGATTCTTCTCCCACTCCAACTTTCGCGCTTTCTCTTCCTCCTTCCCCAAACGTTTGCCTTTCCCTGTTTTGCGGTGCTTGTGTTGCATTCAGTTGTTCTTCAGTCATCACATTCCCTTCAACACATCTTCCAATGGCCACTCAAGTCACCCCTTCGAAGCAGGTACGTGATGTCACTACCGTCCCCTCTCGCGATAGACGCGTCGAGAGCATCACTTTGGCTAACGCGCGTGCTTTCTTAGGCTGCTTCCTCCTTCGAGAACCTCAAGATGAGCGACTTCCCCGTTAAGAAGCTCGACTTCCAGTCTGTCGGCAAGGAGAACGCGCCCGCGTCTCTCAAGCCCGTTGGCGCGACCACCACCAAGCCCGTTGAGAAGGCCCTCGAGGCCTCCAAGGTTGCTCCTGGCATCAAGGAGGCTGAGGCCAATGAGCCTCTCCTGCAGGAGAACCCCCACCGTTTCGTTCTCTTCCCCATCAAGTACCACGAGGTAAGTCACGTCGCCGACGCGTCTACGCGTAAAGTGGTTTGGACGTGCAGGACTCGACCTGCCGCACCACCTCAATTCGCCATGAACCATGTGCTGACAATTTCTTTTCTCTCGACAGATCTGGCAAATGTACAAGAAGGCCGAGGCCTCTTTCTGGACCGCTGAGGAAATTGATCTGTCCAAGGATCTGCACGACTGGCACAACCGCCTGAACGATGACGAGCGCTACTTTGTCTCCCACGTTCTGGCCTTCTTCGCCGCTTCTGACGGTATTGTCAACGAGAACCTGCTGGAGCGTTTCAGCGGTGAGGTCCAGGTCCCCGAGGCCCGTTGCTTCTACGGTTTCCAGATCATGATGGAGAACATCCACTCTGAGACCTACTCTCTGCTCATTGATACCTACATCAAGGAGCCCAAGCAGCGCACCTACCTCTTCGATGCCATTGACACCAGTATGTATAATCCCGCAATTCCATGTTCATCTCAAGATCTAGCGTGCTAACCAACCTGCAGTCCCCTGCATTAAGCGCAAGGCTGAGTGGGCCATGAGGTGGATCTCGGACCGCGAGTCTACATTCGCCCAGCGCCTGGTTGCCTTCGCCGCCGTTGAGGGTATCTTCTTCTCTGGCTCGTTCGCCTCCATCTTCTGGCTCAAGAAGCGTGGCCTCATGCCCGGTCTGACCTTCTCCAACGAGCTGATCTCTCGTGACGAGGGTCTGCACACCGACTTTGCCTGCCTGCTGTTCTCCCACCTGAACAATCGCCCCAGCAAGCAGGTTGTTGAGGATGTCATCGTCGAGGCTGTTGGTATCGAACAGGAGTTCCTGACTGATGCTCTGCCCTGCGCCCTCCTCGGCATGAACTCCAAGCTGATGTGCCAGTACATTGAGTTCGTGGCTGACCGTCTTCTGGTCGCTCTCGGTAACAAGAAGTACTACAACGCTACCAACCCCTTCGACTTCATGGAGTCTATCTCCCTGGCTGGCAAGACCAACTTCTTCGAGAAGCGTGTCGGCGACTACCAGAAGGCCGGTGTCATGGCCTCCACCAAGAAGGAAACCAGCGCCTCGGAGGGCGAGCAGGCCCCCAAGGACAACGGCCTCAGCTTCGATGAGGACTTCTAAATGCTGTCCCGTGTCATTAATATTCCCCCCTCCTTTCCTCACCACTCCGCTTCTCTTGTTTTATACCCCTCCAGTTGTGGGGGTTACCTCACGCTGCTCTCCACATGATATCACGCTGTTTCTCTTGTCTGTTTGTTCTTCTTCGCTTTTGATGGGATTCCTCCGAAGGCTACGCATGGATTAGGCGTTCTATCGTTTTCCTTTGTTTTTTTTACTTCTTGGTCTGTCCTAGACTTCTGACCACAATGTCTGATATTGGATGGATGGCGGATATGTGTATTTAACGTTTGAATCACTGTTCATTGTATCTCTGCTTTCGTAGCCGTGGATTTGTAAAAGAGATTTCCTTCTCAAGCTTGATACAAGCACACCAAGGGTTCCTCAATTAGGCAGCCTGCACAACGCCCACCCACGCACCTGGCTTCGGAGTGGTCGCAACCAAGAGGACTTGACTCGGATCCCACCATCTAAACATCGCGCTGTCCATTGCACAACCAGTCCATGAACCCGTAACATGTCATTATTCTCTGAACCAATCCATTCAACCCACTCTATCCTACCGTCAGTCATATCAACTCTCTTTCCCCCAAAGAAACACCTATCGCTTCCCCTTCCCACCCTTCTTCTTCCCCTTCCCAGCCTGACCCTGACCCTGACTCTTCCCACCCTGCCCCGCACTCACAGCAGCCGCAGGCACAGCAACACCCTCTTCAACCGGCGCATCAACCATCTCCACATCACCCCCGGCCAGACCAGCTCCCGCCGACAACCCGAGACTCGCGACGTCTGCGCCAGCGGCTAACTTGCCCAATCCCGTGATCAACCGGGTTACCTCGGCGATTTTGTTAGTTTGGTATTGCAGGACGATGCCCGTGGTGGGATTGTAGGTTTTGAGGGTGAGCGCGGCGACGGGGGCGGTAGTTTGGGTTTGGGGTTGTGTTGAGGGGGTTTGAGGTTCTGAGGGGGAGGTGGAGGAGGCGGCCTTTTTGGCTTGTGATTTTGCGCGTTTGGAGCGGGCGCCGGGCGTTTCGGTTGGGAAGTGGTATTTTGTTGTTATCCGGGTCTGATTAGGGGTGTTAGTTTGTTTTCTTATTTTTTCCGCTTTTGATATTCTTCAAAGAATGGCGGGATGAGTGGGAATATTGGTAGTGGCAGTGGGGGAGTTGCGGATGCGTGATGTGATTCAGACAGTAGAGTAGCTGTAGCTATCGGGATAGAGTTGCATATAGCTTCAACTTACAGTCTCCGGGTATGCCTCTAGAAGCTGAGCTGACTGCTCCAGGAAAGCCTGGGAGGTGGGGAGGTAAGGCATGGTGGTGTGTGGGCGAGAGCCGGTCTCGCTTTGAAGGCGATTGTGTGGATCGAGTAGAGAGGCTCAAGTAGCAGATTGAGTTGCTCTCAATTGGAAAAAGTGATGAGAAGGTCAAGTGCACCGGCAGACAAAGTGCTGTAGGAGGGTTGGGTGGAATTGAGAGAGGTGGAGGTGGTTGAGGACAGTCCGGGGTGGAAATGGAGGAGACCAGTTATGTTATCAGCGCCGGACTTTTTCCAGGTCTTGGCATCGGCGGCCGAAGACATGCTTGAGCTCGGCACTATACTGTGGATAGCATCATTCCGCACGACTTGATCTACAGGACTCGATGATGTATATAGTTGAAAAGATTCACAATTTTTGAATTTGTGCACTCTTCATTCTATCATGAAGAAAATTATCATTTTATGCACTGCACCTGAGGAGTATGTGCCCTCCAGCCATGCTCCTCCACCAAGTATATTCCATCCAATAGACAAATCCAAGCACATATGGCCAAAATAGTAGCAAGTAAAAGAAAAAGAAGACATAAATTACAAGGAATCAAATCCTGAATATCATAACCCTGCAGGAACCAATCCCCCAGCACCATCGCAAATTTAAAAAAACCCAAAGTCATCAACATAACCAAATCATACACATCTTTGCAGAGATCCAAATCTCAGCCTCCAAGATACTCCAAAAAATTATCATAAATATCCAAATGTCCAAAAGGGTTCCTCCAAATAAACCAAAAAGAAAATCACCAAGTAGGCCAAAAAAAATCCAAGTAACACACTCACTCAATAGCCCGATTACAATTCACACAAATCAACCTCTGACTCCCATCCCTCCCCTTCACGCCCCGAAAATTTGTCCCCCGACAATTCCTACATCGCATAATATCCTCCTCCCCCGCCGAGGAACCATAATCACTACTCAACGCACTCGGCGCAATACTCACCTTCCGCTCGATGCCGGACGGGATGCTATTAGGACTGAGCAGATTGTCCGATTTGCGCGATTTCATGGCCAGCGCGTCGTGCGTGATTTTGTTCCAGTAGGCGTAGCTGTGGTCGCCCTGCAGCCAGAGGGGGTTGTCTTTGGCTTTGCCGCTGGTGATGAGGTCGGCTGAGGAGGCGGGGAGGTTTCGTGGGTCTGGTTTGGCGGGGTGAGAGCCTGATGGGCCGCGGCCGTTTGTTGGAGTTGGATGTTCGTGGGAGGGGCGTGGGGAGGGCGGTGGGGACGTTGTTATTACAGAGAGAGACTCGTTTGGACCCAGACTGGAGGGTCGAGATGAGGAGAGGCGGAAGGTAGCTGAGCGGCGCTGTGGGGATGGAGTACGTGTGCGTAGGCCGGAGCGGGATCCTTCTGTGCTGGTACGGCCGTGGCGGACGACGGAGTTGCGCCAGGATATGATACGTTCGGAGGGAGTCTTGTGGGAGGATTCCTTGCCGGTGGACGATGCGATGCTGTTCCGGGCGGAGTTGGAGCGTCGTAGGATTCGTCGTGAGATTGTTGAATTGGCGTCCCAGTTCTCGTAGCGGCGTTTGTGGTATGCACAGTCTTGCCGGAGGACCTTGATCTTGCCGGAGTAGTCGGCGATGACGATGATGTTCCCGGCTGCATGTTTGGAGCGGGAGATGTAGGACGGTGATTCGTAGGCCATTTTGCTGACGATGGATAGCCGCGGTGCGGAGGAAGATCGATTGTGTTTGTTCTCCTGGTCTCGCGCTGGGCTTTCCTGCTTTGATGATTCTTCGGTGCTCATAAGAGCTACCGGGGGTGGATTGCAGATATCGTAGATCGGATCTTCGGACAGCCCTAACACCTGCTTGGTCTTTGTTGGCGCGGTGATTGCCACCGTCACTATGGCAGATTGCGTTTCAAATACCTCCACAGCTCGTTTATCTGTGTCTCGCTCGACAGTGCCTATGGGCCAGACATATGCTCTGCGATCCTCGCTTCCACAGATGACATGCTTGCCGTTGTCAGTAAATGTCGCGCGGATCTGGCTACACGTATTTTCGTTTCCGCGGAATTTGGCCTCCAGCGCTCGCTCACGGAAGTCGTACATGCGGATGCGGGAATCGTTGCTGGTGACCAGCAATTTGATATCGCCATTGGGATCGTCAGCCGGAAGTGTCATGGTGTCGATCCCAGTGATCTTATTCCCCTTTGAGTTGCGACCACGAGCAGACCGAACGTGGATCTGGCCCGAGACTTTCAAACCCTCGGTATCGTATATATTGAGCAATCCATTCAGACACCCGGCCATGGAATACCGTCCGTCAGGTGTAAAGCATACCGCGGTGATCATATCGGGCACGGTGGTGACGAAAGCGACATTCTTATCGGGGATGCTCCAAAGACGTAGTTTCGTATCGAGCGAACCAGCGAGGAAGAACCTATCGTCGCGAGGATGAAATTGAATTGACGTGACAAAGTCGCTATGCTGAAAGCAACAGAGACATTCACTCCGACTGGCATGCCACAATCGAACAGTTTTGTCCATCGACGAAGAGAGGAGAAAATTGTTCTATAATCCGATTAGCCTGTTTCCCAGGAGGATCCCTCTATTTCTAGGCCTGCCATACTTTACTCCAGCTCAAATCCAAAATACTACCCGTGTGTCCTTCAAAGGCTTGAACCGGTTTAGGGTGAAAGACAGGCGCCTTTAGCCGTGGTGGCTGATCAGCTGTCGGTGTCTCCTCGGACCCCTGCGTGGCGTTCGCGCGCTCGTCTGGGGTAGAAATCACCGCCCATACTCTGACTATTTTGTCCTGACCAGCTGCAGCAAGAAACTTGCCATCCCTGGAGAACGCCAGAGCCCAAATCGCATTTCCAGTTCCTTCGTCATTTGGAGTGCTGGCCGAGGTGGACCTTCTTCGATCGGCGGCTCGGGGCGGGGGGCGTGCACCGTCTAGTAATTCCTGCGCTAGGAATACTTTGTCAAAGACTTTGTCTTTTTTATAATGCACGCGAGTTCTGAGATATCTCGCAGGCGCTGGATGTCGTGGAATAAATCCTATCGGATTAGAAGTATCGACGGACATGCGGCTGGCATCTGGTTCTGAAATTTCATCTTCCGCCTCAGACAGCTGGTCCTTCTTTCTGGTGCCTATAAGGCGGCTTAGAAAAGAGACGCCCTTTCTAAAGGTAAAGCAAAGGGAAGAGGCGCAGGTCAGCCATCATGCAACCAGATATATAATATACGAAATGAAACCAGCCCAGTCGCTCGGTGTCCGGAGCCCGAGGGAAAGAGGGTTGTTCACGAGGAGGGGCGGAAGTATGCGGGAAGGGGGGACAAGTAGATCATGCACGAGACGTGGGACAGGCATCTGCGTGTGATCGGGGGTTTTGGGAATTCGGGGGGCTTTGAAGCTTCCACGACCTGACACTCACTTCTTTTCTTTGGGGAGGTTTGAGTTTGACGCTGCGTCTCCCCGAGCGGTGCTGGCCTCTGACAGGTTCAAGTCGGAGCTACCGGCCTCGGCCTCGTATGAAGCCCGCCCAAGGAGTTTCAAGGGAATTGACTTTTGAGTATTTGTCCGTTGGATGATATGCTAGAGAAATCGAAATGAGAGGATGATCAACCGGGGTTTCTTTGATAGTCTCGCCGCGCTCTCGGCCGTTCGCTTTGTCGGAAGACCCGGAAGTACATGGCATGATCCATGATCGACCTGCTTACCTGGGATAAAGGGTCGATGGCGCTGTTCTCTGTTCTCGTTTCGTGCAGCGTATAAGTCGAATTCCGAGCGACGGGCCCGCCGATCTGCTGTGGACGACGAGAATTCCGCTGCGCATCTTGTTGGCCAGGACTGGAGCCCGACGCGACGTCCGACGTGACCGACCCTGCGCCTATCGATGGTGATGATCGCCCGTCAGCGCTCCATCCTCTGATTTAACATTGGCCCGCCTGGAAGCCTGGCCATAGGCTCAAAGATCAAATGGGGGAAAGTAATCCCCAGATTTCCAAGCCAACTAGACCAGACTCCAATGCCTGCATTGCAGCGCTTGCACGTACCAATGGGAAAAGTTTGTGAGACGCTGAGTGGTCCTGATTTGGGCTCGACAGCTATCGCGGGGCTCGTCGAGCTGCGCGGTAATGCGCCATGCTGGTCGGCACTCCCCTCCATTTAGTCGCGTGTCCCCGTCGCATAGGGTGTGGTCGTGATTGGTGGGGGGGCGAGGCTGGAGGGATTAAGGATGGAGAGACGGTATTCTTGGGAGATTGGTATTGGGTGTTAGAGGAATTGGGCGATAGTTAAGAAGAGGAATGCGACTCTGGCTAGAAGCTCCCAGAAGCGTTGGAAGCGAGAGAGGCAAAAATGCAAATACGGACAACTGATAGGTTCGAGCGGCAACGGCCGGAGAGCGATGGATGACATCAAATGGCCCGAGACGCTGTGCAGAGTGGAGACGTGGACGACGACGGGACCCTGACTCTCGTTCTCATTGACTCGGATGCTCTGCTTATCGCTGACAAGCGTCGCTAAGACCTGGTGGGGTTGGAAATCTCTTTGTTCTAGAATTTCTAGAAGAGACAGTGTATAAAGTATGTCAAATAGGTACATATGTTCATCATCACATTCAAATTCATTGACGCTCGTATAGTTCAGACAGTATCATCATAGATCCATCAATCCACGTCCTCCGAGGACAGTTCTATCTTGGTTTTGTGGTTATTTCAGCGGCACTTTTCTTTAAATGCGCGCCTGCAGCTTTCGTGCACGATCCTTGGCAATGTCACACATGGCCTAATCTCCGAGTCAGTTGGGATCTACAGCGGCATGTCTCTGACTATTCCTGCACCGGCACGTACCTGAATAGCCTCTGTAATTTCCTTCTCCTTGTCCGCCCGGTCAATGCGCTGGCGCATCTCCTCCATAATCACGTCCCGACTGCGCCCATTGACAAACGTCCTGTTGTTGTAGAGAAGATCAGCATTCACGGAGCTAACAGAGGATCAATTCAACCAGGGGAAAACTTACACGAATCGCAGTCCAGGGAACTTCTCTTCGTACTCGGTGTTGAGCGCCAACAACTTCTCCGCCTGTTCCTCAGCGCCCGTGTTCAACTGCGCCTGCTCCTTCTTGCTCAGTTCGCTGAGATGTTCGGGGTTGGCGGGGGCCCGACCGAGCCGCGGGTGCGATCCCAAGATGCCAAACAGCACTTGTCGGTCGGCGTTGGGCGCAGCCAACGCAGAGATGCGACCTCCCACGGCGTCAATGAGGGCGGCATAGGAGTGGAAGGTCTGGTTTGCCAGGATTGGCAGCATTAACTGGTGGATCTCGGGCGAGGGCTCGAAGAGAGTGTCGAGCACGCGTAGCTGGGTCTCCTGCGCCTGGGAGGGCAGCGATGAAAGGGCGGGGAGATCGGCCATGGCTGTGACTGGTGGGGATTTTGGATGATCCGGTCGAGGGTTAAATGGTCGAGAGAGATTTCGTCAATTCCAAGCTTGACTTTATGGGGAGGGATCGGGTTGGTATAAGTAGGTTGTGTCCGCTGTCGGGGGTCGCCGAGTGAGTCGTTGTTCGGGGCGGGGACCAGCGGAGGTGAAGAACAGTCGGTACAGCAGTGCCGTCGTGGAGGGTACGGTGTCCTGGATCGAGTCAATAAATTTAGAATGGGAGATCAAAGCATTCAAGCCGGATTGAGATCTGGACTGAGGTGATTCGCCCTGGGGATGGCCGTGAAACTATGTCACGAACAGCCTGGATTAATGTACAGTTTGCATAGTACGTATGATAAAGTGCTGGTAGGGGAATGCTCGGCGGTACCTCCCTGGTAGACTCGAGGAGTACTGAGTGTGGAGTATGGAGTATAGACGAAGTACTTTAAATGCTTCGAGAACGCATTGGAATGGAACAGGGTGTGGAGCGGTACAATTTGTTTTTATCTACTTGGGGAAGGGCTATCATTCAAATGTCACTCTAGTTCTATCATTTACCTTGTTGAAGATAGTTCGTATACTTCGGGTATACTTCCAAGGCCGCGACCGGTCTAGTCCTGTCTGATCGACACCGATACATCGATGCATTGACACGTTGGCCACTGGAGAAGAACGAGATCATCGCATTCTTCGCCGTTTCGTCTTCGCTGTTCTCGGCACTGAGTATACGGAGATGTGACCTCGCGTTGTGCTTCGCCAATGTGATCGGTTCGGGTTTCTTCTCTGCTAACTACAGTATGTGCGACAGGCCCAGGTTTCGATGATCCAATGATCTAAAAATCCAATGATCCAAACGCCCACTGAACCAATGTCTCAAGGCTTCAATGGCCCCCCCTCGGCCCCCAGAACCAGCACGAGGGGCTAGCTATAACGAGCATTGACTCTGAACGAGCGTTTCAGAACCTCCACTGAAATGAGGATAGCCGCGAGTGGAGTCGACCAGCGAATTGGGAGCGGGTGTGCCCCTGAACCAGTCCGACGCCAGACGGGAAGTAAGCAGAGGTTTGCCCAGTCCATCGTCGTGTCTCCGTGGGTTCAAGGTTGACTCGCTCGGCCTATCAATTGGCTGTATCTCCCGTTCTGTCAATCGTCCTTCCTCGTCCTGATTGGGGTGATTCCCACTCCTCGATCTCGAGATCTCATCCGTGGCCCCAACTTGTTGCCCACTCTTCGAAGATTCGACAGGACAACTGGACTGTACAAGTGAACCCTTGAGACTACACTTGATTTCATATCCATCCTGTATTCTCATTGTTCGGTGCGACAGTGTGCCCGTTCATTGGGGAGGTTGCCCAATAGTTGGACCGTCCAAGTCCAGACTCTCCTCCCCCCTTCTTTCCCTTCTCTCTCCCCTCCTCCTTCTCACCTTCAACTTCTCCCAATTCCCAGATCGCGACTGGTCTTCCAAAGCCTCCCCGGCACGCTCCTCATGCCGTGCGAGCCATGTCTCTCAATGGGCTAGATACTCCCACCGTCGTCGAAGCCTACCAGAATGCCCTGGCCGACGCGGGCGGTTGGTAAGTTTGCCCTTGTCACTCGAGGAATGCTCGCGAATCTTGTCTCCCCTCCTCCCCCTTTGTCGCGCGCTCCGCAAATTAGCCCACTCTCGAAGACAACTTCTTGATTCTGACATTTGCCATCATTCAACCCGATCTAGGTTTCTATTACACTATACCGCACGGGATGAGGTCGCCCTCCTCGATCGAGGAACCGGTGGGGTGCCCGAGGTGCGCAATGCCATCGACAACTACAACGAGACTTCGCCGCTCTATGGCTTCTTGCACTATCGCAGGAGGAAGGTCATCCTGCGGTACATGCCCGAGGGTCTCTCGCGGCTCATACTAGGTACGACCCAGGCGAGTGTGCGACGAGGTCCTAGGATCTGTCACTAACCCGATGTCCCTCCTGTTCTTCTAGCGCGGAGTAATGTCCAGTTCCAGTCTGTCCTCGACAAGTTCACCCCCCACGATACGGTTCTTCCCCTAGCGCAGGCATCCGATTTGAACGAGAGCGCCTTATCATCCGCTTGTCTTCTCCATACGGCCTCCGGATCGATCACGTCTTCGTCCAGCTCGCTCCGGCGCCGTCGATTGATGGAGATCACCGAAGATGCGGAGGAAAACGGTACGAAGGAGGAAACAAAGGGTCAATCGGATTCGCAATCGCAACCGCAATCGCAACCTCCTCCCAGGCCAGAGACAAGACAACGATCGGGTAGCCAGAGGTCGGAAGCTACCATTGTACCACCACCACCACCCTCGACTACCTCCCCTGAAGTCGAGACATCCTCGCCCGATCTGAGGCCTCCACCTTCGCGAGCAAGTTCCCGTTCACCTCTCTCACACGGTAGTCAGAGTGAATCGCACTCTAGTGCCATGTCTCCAACATCCCCTCGATCTCCGGAATCCGTCACTTCGGAGTATTCACGATACAGGAACATCCTGGACGAGTTTCCTCGCCCGTCAGAGGAAGTTCGTATGTCAACCCAGTCTGCGCGACCCTCATTGCGTGATCTGGAGCGCGCGGCTGGATACACACCAAAAGTCAAGCTAGGTCCTCGTCCTGCAGTCGACCAAAGTGGACGGCCACGCACGTCAGGAAGCTCCCGTAACCCCGATCAACGACCAGTTGCCTCAATGCCAGCTGGCATGCGTCCGTCCTCCCTGCGGAAACCCCCCAGCATCACCGACGTCCCCCGTCCCCGATCTCAAGGAAGCTCATTTGCATCCAAACCCAGCAGTCGAGCACCTCCCATCCCGCCCTTGCTGGTTCCACCTCCGTCAATTCCCATTTCGAGACCGCCGCTCTCTCCAGGTGCCAAGTCCTTGGGTGCCCTCTCTACGTCGTCCGGCCTAACTCCCGAAAAAGAACGCTTGATGAAAGCGTTGCAGCAACGGAGAAAGCAAATGGCCAAGCGGGCGGAGCAAACGAAGAAGAAGCAGGCGATGCCTGATGTAAAGGAAGAGGTAAACACGACGACGAAGGAGTCTGTCCAGAGCGAAGAGGGAAATACGGAGAATATTGATCTGGCCCAGCCAGCGAAGAGCCCTAAAATTGAGGCTGAAACACTACCGAAGCTTGAAACTAAGCTCGACCCAGAGAAGACGCAAGAAAGTCAAGCTCATGGAAGCCTTGCAGAACCGCATGTGGTGGTTCCCGAGGCATCCGCAGCACTTGAGCAGCCTCGCGACCTGGCTCCAGGCAGGCCCGAAGAGGATGAACCTTCAGCTTCTTCCAAGGCACTAGTACCTCCAGCGCTTCATTATAAGGCAACTATCGAGTCTGAAGACAAGCAGGCCCAGGCCTCTCCCGAAACGTCAAGAGTTGACCCGGAATTGATTACCGATGGCCCGGTCTCTGATTCCGAATGCCCATCTTCTCATACCTCGGGCCCCAGCGCTGACACCACATTTTCTACTGATCGCGCCGAGACTCCTTCGGAGACTATCAAGTCCGAGACACCGCAGACCTTCGTTGAAAACGAGGTCCCTGAGGTTGAAACACGCGCGGAGCACGCGGTCTCCACAATTTCCGACCCTATTGAGTCTAAGGACGACCTAGTCCCACCTAGCGCCAACGTTCACGTCCCACTCAACAAGGAGGCCACCGACGTCCCAGACACGACGCCAGAACTGGAAAACGCGTCTCCTGCGCAACAGCCTGAGATCGTCCCGGTCCCGGTCGTTGACGAGCAATTAGAGCAGGCTGCCACCGAACAAGCTGCCACCGAACAAGCTGCCACCGAACAAGCTGCCACCGAACAAGCTGCTCCTGAACAAGCTGCCCCCGAAGAGGCTGCCCCCGAAGAGGCTGCCCCCGAAGAGGCTGCCCCCGAAGAGGCTGCCCCCGAAGAGGCTGCCCCCGAAGAGGCTGCCCCCGAAGAGGCTGCCCCCGAAGAGGCTGCCCCCGAAGAGATCCCCGAAACAGTCACCATCCCTATTCTTCCTCCGGTGGAGTCTTCCCCTAGCCCCCTAGTCGAGCCTCCGGCGGTCGCGCCCGTTTTGGTGTCTATCGAGCCTGTCCCTCAAGACGAGACCACGCCTGAGGAGCTACAAACATCGAGTCTGGCACCCGCTGTTCCCCCCTTGGACCAAAGACGCAGAAAACACTTGGAGCCGATCCAAATCCCAACGCAGGAGTTTTCAGACGACGACCCTCTCCTCTCGGATGATTCTTTTATGGAGGAATTAAGATCAGCCACCGTGCAGGAGGCCAGACCGGTTTCGGTCAAGCCTCCCAACGGTGGGGATCTGTCTTGGAAGGGTTCCCGGGCTGTCTCCAGCCCTTACATGGCTTCTCCATCGGCCATGCAAGCTTTGGCGGTGGGCCGATCTGTGTCGAGCTCATACATTGACAACGGGCCTCCGACTCCAGTGCTCATGGCCAAGAAGATCAATGTCTCTTCCGGCATTTCGAGCCGTATCAAGGCATTGGAAAAGTTCTCCAGCCGGGAAGGCACGTCTTCTGGTTCGACTCCGGTTCCTGGACCGTCCACTTCTTCCTCGTTTGAGGAGCTGCGCAAGCGCGCGTCTGTATCGTTCCCGAATGGTACTATTCCGGATTTCTCTCGAGCTCCCAGCGTGAATCATCATGAGACCCGCCCCGTCTCTGCCGCTAACCGCCGTACAAACTCGATCTCTGTAACGGCTCGCATTGTCCGTGATACCAGTGTCTCTCCAGGCTCCTCTGGTGTTGAGCCGTCTGAGTCTGATGTCCTTAACCTTCAGGCTAGTCCGCTCACAGTGGAGCAGTATGAATCAACGGACGATGTGGTGGCCAAAAGCCAGATTGTCGAGTCTACCGCCCCTCGAACGGAGGACCGCAGTATGTCCATGTCATCCGCTGGGTCGAACCGCCAAGCTACGCCAGTCTCTCGTCCTGCAAGTCGCCTGTCACTGTCTTCGCGCGCCAAGGCCGATGAAACTCTCCATTCCTCGCCACCCACAGACGAGAAAAAGGGCTCCCGCGCCTCTCGTTTGATGCGTCGCATGTCGTCCATCACCTCGAATTCCCGCCGCAGCATTATTGGAGCCTTGAGCCCGCCCGTGAAGGAAGAGTCTGCCGTTTCTCCTCTGAGTTACTCGACCATCTCGACATCCACGTCCCGTCACACCCTCTCCGAGCCCATCGAAATTGGCGAAGTTAACGTCCAGTTCCCTGAAACTCTCCTCTGGAAGCGCCGATTCATGCGCATCGATGAGGATGGCTACGTGGTTCTCACTCCCGGTACCAATGATGCTAGCGCTCGCAACATGACCAAGCGCTATCACTTGACCGAGTTCCGGACTCCTTGTCTCCCCGACGAGGATATGCAGGAGTTGCCCAACAGCATTCTGTTGGACTTCCTGGACGGCAGCACGCTACAGTGCGCGTGTGAGTCACGACAGGGGCAATCCTGGACCCTGCAGAGTAAGTTCGCTCTTTACTGTTCTTGTGTGGATAGTGGTATGACTGTTGAATTTACGCTAACAATCTATCGCAACAGCTCTTGTCGACGCTCACAACGCCTATCAGCGATGATTCCATCTAGTAGTGGCCTCTCTAGATAGGATTTCTCCGCTATCTGCATCCTTTCACTTTTCGCTTCTGACCTCATAGATTTGAGGCACACTTATCATCGCATCATCGTCGTCGTCTCTGCGTGCATTACCTGCCTTTCCTTGACTCTCAATTTCATTTTTCTTTGGCCAGCTGGCCCTTGTGTCTATCTGCAACCCACATATCATTTCCTATCTCTTCCCACCATCGTCATTTCCCCATTTTCCTGTTCTCACTTTCTCAGTCTCTGACCTCCAATCTCTCTGTATGTGCGTGTGATATATGTGACATGTTCTGTGGTATACCCCCCTTTCCAAGTCAAAAAGCTTCTTTCGACTTTTTTTCTTTTTCTTCATCTCTCCAATCCCTTCCTTGTTTTGAAGCTAAGCCCATCCTCCGTGGATGGTCAAATCAACTTCCTACATCTGGTGTACAGGTGAATACAACGCAATCCTCCTGGTCGTTGCAACATCTTGCATCCGCCATGACTGGCGCGGAGTTTGTGTTACCACCTCCTTTTCTCCTGGTGTGTTCTCAATAGCTGCATGGTATGTGCATAGAAACTCTGCATTGCATTTACTTTTCCATTTCCTATGCTCAAACGTAAGCTATTCGTGCGATGGGACTTGTCTTTTCGCCATCTCTATCAACCCAGGTTACACATTCTTCGACGTTGCCGACCTTGCATGCATGCGCCTCTTACGACTTGGGACACCAAGAGGTCTTTGATACCCCAAGCCGCGTATTGTACAACGTTGAGCGTGCAATAGATAATCACTCAGAGATTCGGGAATTCCCTCGCACAGAGCCCCTGACATGGTTTCTTAAGGAAGAGTAACTCCCGTATCGTACTATACCTACGTAAGAATCGCTTGACTCGTGAGATCATCAAACAATTTCTTGGATATTTTTCTACGAGCCTCCGCTCTTACACCCACCACAATGAATATGTCTATGGCTTATGGCAACTACACAAACGGCAAATCTCCTTTGACAGTGCCACTGTCCCACAAATCCGAGCTTCCGTGAACTTTAAAAGTAAAAATATAACGAGGAACAAGGTAGAAGGCACAACCTACTCTCGAACCCGGTAACTCGACACAGTGCCGCACACCCGTATGTCACGGGGCATGCTATCCCGTTGTACATTGTAATTGATCCGTAAAGGCTTGCCAATGAAGCAGTGTGCCGATGCCATTGCAACACTGCGCTATCGATCGAATCAAAACATCCATGTCGCAAGTATCGGGTTTCTGCGCCCTCATGGCTTGGTCCCGATGACGACACCTGGTGCCGAGGAGGGGAATCATTCGATGAACTCAGGACCGGCAATTGTGTGATGAGTACCTCTTTAATGGTATTTGTTGGATATGTGCTGGTAATTGATTAAAAGGGAGTCTTTTCGCTTGAGGGATGTATAAAGCGGCCCTGCGGTACCGACTTCATCGCTACATCATCTATCTACTACCAGCTAATAATGAGTGTATTGAGTCCTCCATCAGACTTGTAAATTGTCCCTGCAAAGCAATTCACTAATTCGATTCTCGGGGCTCACCATCAAATCCTACAATGTTAATTATCAGTCTTTTCTCGTCCCTTCTTCCTCTTGCGAGCATCGCCCTCGCTGGTCCAGTCAAGCGTGCCGAGTCTCTACACATTCGGAACTTTTTTGTCGAGTATGCCAATGACGGTACGGGGGCACTGCAATTTGCGCTACACAGTTCCGTGACGGGGCTCAATGATGAATGTGTCCTTACATGGTATGTTGTCCGTCCTATCTTCTTCCATCTTCCAGACACAATTTCCAATTCCTCATCAATCCTCTTTCACTACTTTGATCTCCTTCACTTTGAGAATCTAACCCATTCCCAATTTCAAATCCATGCCTTGAAAACAGCGGGTTGAAATAAACGCTGACCCACAAAATAGGAGTACCACAAGCGACATCCAGCCCGGCCTCGCGATGAATAAATGCCTCAACAACAACTACGAATTCGGCTTTCGCTACGGCATTGGTAATATCGAGAACTTTGTTCTAGCTATTCAGCGTGTGAATGGCACGCAGCGCGGATATGAAGTAATTAGTGCTTATGCAACGTATCCGACTTGGATTTGTACGAAGAATCCGGCACCGGGCTTGCAGGAGCGATGCAAGTGGATAAGGGTACTGAATATTGACTTTTAGAAATAACCATCGTTAATTAGCTGAAGATTTAGACAATATTAGTCCTTTGTTACCTGTCGGTTTGGATAGAGTCTTTCCAGACCTTAAGAGTCTGACTGGCCATAGTTTGACTTGCAAAATCTCCGGAGTGATCAATAAACAGCCGTAGATGGGCCAAACTAGTAGAGCTTTGGAAAACTGATCATTGACGATAACTGCAAGGGACGTGATAGTTTCTCTTGACCTTCTTGGACTGTGAGAATATTTCAGACTACCGATAGAGTACAATCCCTTTGGTTTACTCAGAAAGTGAGTCTTCGAGGGACTGGAGTATTGTACCTCTCAAACTTGCTTGCCTGCTCTCCTTCTCTTTTCTTCGCAAATCCCTCGGTGGTCCTTATATTATCTTTCTTTCCTACTTCCGGACTATCGACAGCGTTTTTGCAGTTCCTATCAGTCCCGTTGGTCTCACTGACAAAACAGGAGGCATGGGTAACTGGGAAGACCTTGACTTTGGTGAACCACAACCGCGGCAGGATAATATCGACAAATGGGAGCGAGCTGTCAACGATAATAACCCTTCAATTCTCACTATTAAAGATCGTCTAAGAATGCTTCGACGATGGCCCTTGCAAGACGCCAAGTATTTCTGCAATTTCTACGTCGGATTGACTATCGGTGAGCTAATTCAGAAGGCCGCCGGGACGGACGACATTACCGAGACTGAAGCGATTATAATTCTCAATACTCCTTTCGGCGATTGTATCCCCGAGGATCAGAAAGAAATGGCGAATCAGTCTCGATGGTCGCAAAATACAAAAAAGAAGTTCCATGATGCCTTTAACTTGGTTCTCACCGAGATGGACGCAGAGAGGAGAGCGCGTGCAAACGCCGAGGTCGCCTTTGAACGGGTCAAAACTATCAGGAGGGCTGAATTGAAGAATTTCCTCTAAAGATGATCTCAGAAATATTACGGGATGTAACAAGTTATCATGGGTCAAGGCGCTCGAGAAACACCTTAAGCAGCAACCCTCGTGGGGATTTGTGTGTATACGGACCTCATTCGGTGACGAATCGGCGTGGTTGAAGTTCAAAGAGTTTTTTATTCATGCTATAGAATCTGCACTAGTTTTTCCTCGAAATTTCCCGTCTATTGGGCCTCGATGGAAGATACAGTGGGTAGAGAACTCATCGACGGAAGGTGCCTCCGCAATTGATCTTTTTGGGTAAGTTTCCTCCCTATCAGAGCAGACTTTCTTTTTCTCCTCTTCTAGGGCAGATCTAGAGCACTTCGCTATAAGCACTACTAACTGGTCTTCTTAGCTTCTTTCGAAGCTTTCGTGGCGAGAATTAAGTTGAACCGAGCCTTCGCCATGATGCATTCCTATACGCCAACACTGAAGCCATAGACTCAGCGATCTCCTCTCCCATCATACCCTCCCCTGCATTCATAATGGCCGCAGAGGCAGCCTATGATGGAAGAGATATGGATCTTCCATTGCGGCACCGTGGCTACGCTGGTTCCGTTCGAATTGCCATCCCACATGTTTACACGACTTTTTGAGCGCGGTTAATCCCAGCAGAGGAGGATCAGCAGGGAAGGACATCGGAATCAAGCATGCGCCATACCTGGGGAGACGTTTTTGCAAAACCACAAATACCGCATGAGAAAACCTATCCAATAAAACCTTTTTTCATGGGGTTCGCACTAGGTTAACAGCTCCAAGAGTTCTTCAGAATCTTTGAACTTGAAATGCATCCGAACAAATAAAGTAGATCGAAATTATCTTCCGTATAATACAGATGATGCAATGCGCAGATGGTAGAATTTAATACCGCCGAGGTGAATTGAACAAAGCATTCGAGAGGTTACATACGGCAATCCACTTCGATGACTCTCTGAGATACACTGAGCATTGGGGCTGGATGGTTCCTACCAGACACGCGCATGGTGCCTTGGTGCTAGAACAGGGACATGAAGAGACAACTCCGACGTATGCTGAAGATCTCGGACTTGAGGGCACAACATCACTCGCGCACGCCAACATCGCAACAACGTGTGGGATCTCCCTGGCTATCACGAGTGCCTTGTTCACTTGGAATCGGTGGAGGTGATTAGTTCACCTTCTGTTCCGGGAGCTGGTCACTTCCCGAGGCGGCAATGTTACTGCCACCTAGATTACACTTCTACAAACTACAAGTCAAGCAAGGAGGTACTGAATCATCAAGCTCAAAGGCGAAGGTATCATTTCAGCATAAAGTATAAGGGTGTGGAAATCTGCAGACGTCGTTAGGACTGTATTCACCCCGAAGACGTGAAGAAGGTACATACAAATTCCAACATCAAAGTCAGCTTACCAAGCTAGCCTTCGGGCAGTATATTCGTGTGATGTCGTTTCGAAGTCGGTGCATCATGATCTTGAAGGCAAGTTCATGACCATCGTCTCAGGTAGTGTGACCATTTACGTCATGGTCCTGGTCCTCAGAGTGCTGACCATTGGGTAACGACACAGAATCTCCATTCTGAGTTATTTCGGAATGTTCTGTGGTCCCATTTTGTTCCCCATTCTCCGTACTTGTCGGATATTTTTCGGGGAAAGCAGAACGCATCTGCGCAACATGCTGGTTTAGGAGGTATTGCATGAGATTGGTGACGGGCATTGTGGTATGCATCCGTCGTTCAGCTTCAATGATCTCAATGCGCATCTGTGCCTCCCAGTCATGTTCGGTGGCATGTGCCTCGATATCTTCCTTGCGCTGGTCACCCTTGGTCGAGATAGTCTTAGAACACCCCGGCATGCGGCATGACCAGACATCTGAGATTTTATTCAACTCGGCCAGAGGGTGTGACGTGAGGATATCTCCTTTCATGTTGGTGATAAGGGATGGGGTCTGAGGAGGTTCAGACGAGAGAACGCTCTTTAACAGGGATGAAGCAGCGGAACCAGAACTGGGAAGAAGGGAGCGGCCCCGAGACTTTGCGGTGGCAAGAGGTGTTCTTATCAGCTCATGACCGCGGGACTTGCTAGGGGTATCGAGATCTTCCATATCTTCCATAGGCTCGTCCTCTTCCTCGGCGTCGCTAGCATCGGACTGTACGTCCTTGTTGATAACTGCGTTACGGTGTCGTTTCCCCATCACCTTCCCAGAGACAACAGAGTTCATCTTGGGACGCAGGACCGACTTTTGTGTGTGACCCAGGTGTTCATCGTCGCTAGAGTCCTCGATGGGCTGTAGTGGTGTAAGGAGCCCAGGAGAGAGTGTACTATCTTGGGTAGCAGCGTGTGTAAGCTCTCGGTGAATCACGTAGCGAGACCACCGGAAGCCAGGAGTATCCTCTTCATCTAGCCGCTCGACCACCGCACCCGCTCTAGCGGCAATAATCTTGCTCGCATTCTCCCGGCTGAAAGAATATCGATCAGCCAGACGTTCTGTTAACATATCGAGATGTAGTCGGCGCTTTGCTAGATGACCCTCTTCCCTCAGATCCGTTATCATCTGGTAGATAGCATCGATTTGTGATTTCGCTATCACAGCTGGATCATGCCGGGGCGTTGATGCTCCTGTCTCATTCTGCGCTTCTTCATCCTCGGACTTGTTTGATTGCTCTTCCATGAGCTCATTGTAGACATCCTGCGTAGACAGCGAGTCAGCAAGTCAAGTAGAGACCGATCGATTAATGCAGAGACTCACGCTAAATTGGCGACGAAGGTGAACGAATACATTTGTTTTCTTCCAGTCTACACCGCCATCATCCTCATCGGCTTCCATCATACAGCGAAGTAAGAATGGCGCGTGTTCGGCAAATACTTCCGCTGATTGCTCTCTAGTCTCACAATCGCCGTGCGTGTGAAAAACGTACTGGCCGGGATTAGTGGTCAGGACAGAACGCGCCGAGTCGGCCCCTGGAAGCAATATAGGAACCCACCTGCTCGCACAAATTCTTAAAAGACGGATTGAACTGCTTCTTGCCGTGCTGGTATCTATCCGTGAGAAAATACAGCATATCGACAGCCTGGACCATGCGGCTAAAGGTCGGCACATAGCCCTTGGCGGGCGAAATATTGTACCAGCCAGCCTTGCCAGCCACCCAGAGCTCAACACTGCGATCCTCAGTTTGTCCATAGGCGTAATGAGTGACATCATCAATAATGACACGTTTCGAAGCGGATTCGGGGTCGAGTACTAGACGAAAGACACCGCAAATGTGAGCAACACGTTCAACTCGAACTGATAGGACGCGCCTTGCGATAAGCAGCGCAAGCATGTAATCGAATACGCACGTAGGTGGCTCTGGTCCTCTCTAAGCTCCAGGCAGCCAATCACCTGGACCGGATTTCGATCTGTGGCATCGAGAAGATTCGCGTAGAGCATCTTCCCCGGCCGCAGGACCTTGACGTCGACCAGATCGAAATCCGGCCAGTCATTCTCGTCGGTGATGGAGGGATCGATGGGACGAAGGACGGTATCTTCGCGGGCGCTCATAATTGGGATGGCAGCGGGGGGATCATGGCGGTTCGATTCAAGGTGGGGGAGGTTGTCAAAAGGGACTTCGAGACCTCTTCGACACAGAACGTGAAGAACGTGAAAGCAGGTTGGGAATCTCACGGCATCAACAGTTGAAGGTCCCATTGATGGGCGGTAAGTTACCGATACCCGGTCATACCTTATCGATAACCCTCGATACCGCGATTAATTACTTGCGGGCTCGGAGCTCGACCCTTTTTTCCTCCTCCAGCTGCAACAGCGACAGATGCCATTCCCACGAAACTTTCGCTTGTTTCGCACCACGATGTCGGGAGAGAAAATCTTCGAGGGCTGTTTCGGTATGTTACAATGCGCAAGAATAATACAATCCGTGTTCGTCTCCAATTGACAATTGACCTCATTAGCCGTTCACAAGCCGCAAGGTATCACCTCGGCCGACGTCCTCCGCGACCTCCAGCGCCATTTCAACCCCTCCAAGCTTTTTCAACCATGGATTGAGGCTGAGAAAGCTATCCGCAAGAGAGAGAGCAACTTTCAGAAGAACCGCCGCCGCAATAAGAACAGGAAAATCGAAGTGAAGATTGGGCATGGCGGAACGCTAGATCCGCTCGCAACGGGCGTGCTGATCGCCGGTGTAGGCAAGGGCACCAAGTCGCTGAATGACTTCTTGGCGTGTACCAAGTCCTACGAGACGGTGGTTCTCTTCGGTGCGGAGACGGACACGTATGACCGCTTGGGCAAGATCGTGCGCCGGGCGCCATACGAGCATATTACCCGGGAGGCGGTTGAGAAGGCTCTGGACCAATTCCGCGGAAAGATCATGCAGCGTCCACCTATCTTTTCGGCTCTGCGAGTCGAGGGAAAGAGGCTATACGAGTATGCGCGCGAGGGCAAGATGCCACCGGTCGAGATCAAGGCACGGCCTGTGGAGACCGTGGAGTTAAAAATTGTGGAGTGGTATGAGCCCGGCACCCATGAGTACAAGTGGCCCGAGGAAGAGATGACTGGAGACGAGAGGATCATTGCCGAGAAGCTCCTCGACAAGGAGGCTGAGGTGCCGTTGGAAAGCGAAGCTGCAGACCAAGAAGCGTCTTCTGCTAAGCGGAAGACGCCGCCTGCAGCGGACTCGCCCAAAGAAGAAGATCAGGAAGCTGCTAAGAAGCAAAAGATCTCAGAGGATAGCGCCGCCCAAACAGCCGCACCTGAGCCTGCTGCTCCGGAACCTTCCACTGCAGATGCCCCCTCCGAGCAAACGGATCAGCCTCGTCCCCCGCCCGCCGCAGTCAAAATCCATATGACCGTCACCTCGGGCTTTTACGTTCGGTCTTTGGCACACGACCTAGGCAAAGCCGTCGGTAGCTGTGGTCTGATGAGCGAGCTCGTTCGAAGTCGCCAAGCTGAGTTTGATCTGAAGCCCGAAAATATCCTCGAATACAAGGACTTGGAGCAAGGCGAGGAGGTCTGGGGTCCCAAAGTCCAGAAGTTCCTTGAAAATTGGGAAAGCAAGAGGGCTGCTAAGGCGGAGGCGGAGGAAAAGGCGAATTCTCAATAATGAAAAGTTGTGATATCGTGAGGCAAAGCAAGGGAGCTTGGGTTTGTACAATAAAGTGCTGCATCATGCAGCTAGTCTTTCATGTGAATTAAAATAAGCCTCCGTATTCCTCTCGATTGGCTGTCCAAGCTCCATGCATGAAGAATTCGAATTCGCACAAGGATGAGGACGAGTTTCATTTCGCGTATTTAATCTAGACTTATATTATCCCCAGTCTCGAATTTCAGGCAAAAGACCATAAAAGGGTAATTCAATTGACCATGTGCAGATGCAGGGTAAAATTCTAGATATTACAGAAAGCCATGGCGGGACATCCACCAGTAAAATTTTTGTTGCGCCTGGCGCCATCATCATCCTCCCTTCTCAAAAAAAGACATAACTTGCACAGCCAGTCCACTCAGATCACATCCGAAAAAGACTAGCTTTAGGAACGACCCTTGGCCGCAGCCCGCTTGCTCTTACCGGGCCGCTTGGACGCGCCAGCCTTCATCTTCTTTTGAGAGAAGCCACGCAGGTCACCGGTGGACCCGGCATCACCGCTCTTGGAGAAGCGCTTCTTACCACCGAAGCCGTACTTCTGGTCGCGCTTCTGGCGCTTGGCGTTAGGGCCACCCTCGCGGTTGCGCCGCTCGGGCTTTCCTGATTCCTCGATGGCGACGTCGAAGAGATCATTAGCGTCGTCGGTAGGGGCAGACGAGTCAGCCTTGCGCTCTGTACAGCAAGAAACGATTAGTTATTGTTCCATAGTTCTGAAAAGTCTGGGGTGTGAAACGTACTTTTCTTCAAGGCAGTGATTTTCTCAAGGGTATCACGCTTCTCCTTCGCACGCTGCTGCAACTTGGCGACCTGCACCTGCTTGCCGAACTTCTTGAGATCACGCTGGCGGCGCGCCTCGGCAGCAGCCTTCTTGCCGGCTGCCTCCTCGTACAGCTTCTTCTTAATCTTGTCCATGTGCTCGTCGTTCTTGACCATTTCGGCGAAGTAGTCACCCGGGCGGGTGAACGGGACACCCTCCTTCTTAAGCAGACCACGGGCCTCGATAGCAGCGGCCTGACAGACCTTGTAGAAAGCCAGCTCACGGTTGAGGTCGTCATTGGGGTCAGTCACTTCAATCGGCTCTTGCGACACTAACGAGTTGTGCTCGGAGAATGGGGTGTTCTTGGTGATGAAGGAGATGCGCTTGAGGGAAGTCTTGATGGCGGCAGAATTGTTGATGGTAAGACGCTGGTGGATGATCACATCTTCGCGCTCGTCGTCCTCGAGGTCTGATAGTGGAATATCTTCCTCTTCATCTTCCTCGTCCTCGTCGTCGTTCTCGTTGGCTTCGTCTTCCTCGTCGTCGTCTTCCTTGACATCTTCAACCTCGTCCTCCTGCTCAACTTCCTCGTCGTCCTCATCCTCCTCAACAATTTCCTTCTCTTCAGGCTCCTTGCCGGCTTCTGTGCTGGTCTCGGTCTTCAAGGCTTTGCGCTTCTCAGCAGCCTTGACCATCTTCTTCTGCTTCTCAGCATTGTAGTCCCGGCCTCGGTGGGCATCGAGCGTTTGAAGGAGCTTGCTTCGCTTGACCATGGTGCCTGTTCTGAAGGGGAATGGGGGTTGGTAACGACGGTGAGGAAACCAGCTGGGTTGATGCTACGGGATTTTTTTGAACTCGGATCAGACCTAATCAGGTTAGCGCGACGATAAGGCACTAAACGGGGTTAGTGCGTGTCGGTGGCGGAATAATGGATTGATCCGGCCTTATCGACAGGCTGCTCCATGGTTGCTTGCGCCCGCATCCTATCCCGCAGGAAAGTGAGATCAATACGCTACTCCTGTTGTTGTTAGCTGCACATCATGGCTGAGGAAGCCTCTCCTGAGAAGATTACTGCTGAGGAGTCTTTTCTCTCACAGCCGGTAAATGCTGCATATCACTTCCAAACGCTGAAACCAAATCTCAGCTAACCAATTATAGAACTCCGATGCCCAGGGTCAACTCACTGCAGCCGTCGACGAGCTCCTCGACCAACTCCAAAGCAAATTCGATAATGTCTCGAAGGAGGTGTTTGGCAAACGTTCGTTTGTCCCTTATCGTCACAGTCCAAGTTAACTATTCCATGAGTGACTAACCTCCTGCCAGTGGATGACATGACCCGCCGTCTCGATGAACTCGAGGCCTCATTGACGGCATCGGGAACCGAGTCGGCATCCGCGACTCCCACCAAATAGCGGTCGACTCGTTTATTGTACACAATATGGCGTTGCATTCTGTTTCTCGGCTGCGCATACAAATGCTGCATCTTCTACTGCCACTGCTCGTATCCTTACCTGTCAGGCCAGCACTCGTCTACAGGCCCGTGCTGTCCCGGCTTTCGTTTGAATGTTTTACCAAGATACCCTACGTCTCAAGAATACAAAATTTTCCAGCAGAAATCCCATATCTTCAAGCTATGAATCTATTCTCGTATACAGATATCTAGGTCACCATGCAAAGAAAGACTCACCCGGCTGCATTCGACGTGTCTCATTTCATACAATACAGCGAAAGAAGATACATATAATTTTCGAACGATCCATCACAGGGTGCATAGCATAGAACGGGAATAGGGTTTCCAATCCCAATCCCCGCCATGCTCAACGATTCAAGACGAAACAAGCTTACAGCTCATCCTTGGGCTCGTCGCCAGCAAAGGCACGCAGGATGTTGCTGCGCGAAACAAGATCATCAAGCTTCTCAGGAGCAGAACCACCCTTGCTCAGGACCTTAACCAGACGAGCCAGCTCCTTGGAGGCATACTCCTGGTTCTCGCTCAGCTTGTCGGCAACTTTGACGTAGTACTGAGCGTACTTGTCCTGGAGATCCTTGGCAGCGTTCTTGATCTCGGTGGCGAGCTTCGCAAAGTCCTTGGCAGGCACGTACTCGGCAACCAGCTTATCCAGGACAGCAACGGTGCCAGCCTGACTGTTCAGACCACCGCCAACAGCGCGGTTGGAGCCAGTCTTTGTGTTCAGGAACTCGATGAAGCCCTCCTCCGAGCGGGCGCCGGAGTAGGCCTCGGGCTCGGTGGAACCCTTGGGGAAGAACTTGATAGTAGGGTAGCCGGTGATGCCCTGCTCCTTGGCCAGGGCGCGGGCGTTCTCAGCCTCGGCGTCGACCTTGGCGATCACAATGTCAGACTCGAGGGCGAAGTCATGGGCAACGGTTTCCCAGATAGGAGCGAGAGTCTTGCAGTCTAGACAGATAGAAAGCGCGAAATCAGTTAACAAGTACATCCAATGAGACGGAGGCAATAGACAGGAGCTACTCACGGCCACACCAGGGAGCAGTGAAAGCAACCAGGACATTCTTGTCACCACCAACAGCAGTCTTGAAGGTAGCGTCGTTCAGGAACTCAACCTGGCTGGCCTCCTTCTGAGCACCACGCGGCTTAATACCAGTCTTATCGGTAATCCACTTGGACAGGCTCTCGAGATCACGACCACCCTGGTACTCCTCCGGCTTGTCACTCTTGCCATCAAACCACTTCAGGGTAGGGAAGCCCTGGACGCCAAAGCGCTTGCCCAAATCGCGGTGCTCATCGGCATCGACCTTGGCGACGGTGACCTTGTCCTCAGCGAACGCAAAGGTAGCAGCGAGCTCCTCGTAGACGGGAGCAAGAGTCTTGCAGTGGCCGCACCATGGGGCGAAGAATTCGACGAGAGCGGGCTTGCCCGACTTCAGGACAACCTGGTCGAAGTTGCTGGGGATCAGGTCCGTAACGGCGGAGCTGGCGTTTGCGAAGCCGCTGAGCGCGGAGAGGGCGCCGAGCAGAAGGAAGCTCAGACGAGCCATTTTGAAGTGTGTTTTAGTAGCTTGGATTTAAGCAATTGAGGGTACGATCAACTTCCAGGAGGCGATAGGAGGGGAAGTTGAATGACGAGGTCCACGGGGGTTCTTTGGCGCTGATGACAAAACATCCCCGAAGAGGCCAAGTGGTTTCGACCCGCACGCAGATCACCGGCGGATTACAACTACGGGGTGCTCGGATCCATCTACTGTACAATTGACTCCTTCCTACGGACAGCGTAGTATTACACAGCACTTGAATGATCTCTTATTCCCCGTAAAGGAATATTTGCTTCTTTTCCTTTATTACTAGAGTAGTAATACAATAGAGAAATTCGCCGATGGCACATCCTCTCATGTAGCAATAGTTCCTGCAGGTCGAGCTGTCCTAAGAGAGGAAACTCAAAAGCGACCCGCATACATATAGGCCCGAAAGTTCCCTTTGATAATCATGAGTCTGATAACCGATGTAGCTCTGCTAGCAAAGTTCTCTTGTCTCTCATCGCCGTTCCGCTAACCACTTGTTAGCATCATCCCACAGCTTCGCCTCCTTGAACTCCTTGCTCGCGTTCTGCGTTCCCTTGTAGACCTGTATAGGAAGATTAGCTCACATTCAACAACTCCAAGAAATACAACAGGAGCTTACTGCATCCCACAGCTTGAAAGCCAGGTCCAGATTTCCGGTGAAGCTTTCGCTATGCTGGAACCATTCCTTGCCCTTAGACTTAACCTCCTGCCGAGCTTCGGGGGAGGTGGGGTTTGCTTGCAGAGGAAGATCATCCAGATAGGTACGCACAGCGATACCAAGACCACAGTCATTATCATCAATGAAGGGGAGCCTGGGACAGGATTAGTTGAATCTTGAAATTGTGACCAGGAGGGGTATACAACGGATACATACTTCACTGCCAGCTCGACCCAGTCCTTACGGTCTCGAGAAACCTCGCCACTCAGTAGTAGACTCGCCAGTACGATCTCAATGAGATTCCTCAACGAGGTGCGGACTTCAGAAACCAAGGAGCGGTAGCAAAGGAGTTGTCGGCTTAAAGGACCAGAGTATCCAATGGGCTTGTGCTGCAACTTCGCGATGCAGGCCACACGAGACACCAGCATATTGAAGGTCTTGTCCTCCTCTGCAGAAGCAAGTCAGTCTCATCGGCTAACATACCCTCGTGTATTCCAAAGAAAAACTTACCCGAGCCTCTCATTGGACCGCCGGAAACATGTGAGAACCAGTGCTTAGTGTTGAGAAGGTTCATACGAAGCATTTCGATGGCAATGAATATAGCATCCTCCAGATTGTCGGTAGGATCCACAGCCGACAGAGCTTGCTCCAGGCACTTGCCCCATGCAGTTAGGTTGTGCTTGTCGTCGACGTATCCGCGCAGCTGCAAGAATCGCCACATAACGTTTGAAAGTATATCCTCTTGCTTTGACAAGACCTGTAGGAGACTGTTAGCTACGTGAAGAGTCACAAATCTGCCTGGAAGTTCAACGTACGGGAGTCTCTCTGGTCGCGAATGTCTTTGCCACGAATTCGGAGTTGTTCAAACTCTGGATGGCGAATTTGAAGGATCCTCGGGGGGCCTGCAGCTTTTTCACATCCTCGGGGAACTTATCACTGGAAATTTTCCAAGCTTGAATGGTCTCTTTGACTGATGGGAGTTCCCTAAGGTTGATCTGCCTCTCTTCTGAGTTTTCATCAAACCAAGGTCGAATGGTGATGACTTTGGTCTGGTAGAATCTGTGGAGGCAATTGGCCAGGAGACCAATAGACTGTGCGCGGATTGGAGTCAGAGTATCGGCAACGAGTTGACGGTATACCTCGGTGTCTTCGGTGCCCAATGGGAGCGAGAGGCGTACTTCGCCCGATGTGAGGAAATTGGGAACATCCCGGCCAAGAACGCCCTTGGACAGGTAGAAGTACAACTCCTCGGGGAGGCGCAGGCCGATGAGCTCATGCATATCCGACGACGTATGTTCCTGGTCCATGGGACCAACGCGTCCCTCGATATCAATAAACACATGGTGCTTCACAACCAGGTACGCCTTCTTGTACCGCCTCGTATAGTCGAGTTCCTGCATACGACGTTCGTCCTCGAACTGAGCGCACAGGGTCAAAGCACTTCGGCCGGCGGCATTGAACATTGGCAACGCATCGCGAACGGTGGGGAGCTTTCCGGGGAAGGCAGGGTTCTCGAACAGCGGGAAGGATCGCAGGAAGGGTGATCCGAGGAGTAAGCAGAAATCTAGGAATTGTTCATTAGATAGACGGCCCAGTTCTTCCTGGAGAGTCTGCTTTGTGAGCCATGAGAATTGCGCGGGCTCGATCTCGATGCGAGTCACCAGCTTATCAATGTCAAACATCAGGGTTTCGGAAGGTCCGTAAACGGCATCGATCACGGGGTTGGCGCCACGAGCGAGGTAGGCGAGCTGCTCGGATACGCTGGGTCAGTTCCGGGTATCTCTCTGCGACTCTGACGAGGAAGAGTCGCAGCGTTTCACTGGAAACACTGAGTACTCACCTGCGCACAGGCGCTATAGGGTGCCACCATGAAGGAGATGCCATTCTGGAAGAGGATCCGCTGCAGGAACTTGTAGAGGGTTTCCGGGGGTGGCGTCCCTGAGGTATCATCGTCAGCGTCGACTAGGGCCATCGGCGGGGAGGCACAGAGAATCCTGGGCGGTAGCGAAGGGGACCAGATATCCGACATCTGGGCTAGGAGTGTGGTCATACCGGCATTGCTGAAGGCATCCACGACTTGATCCGCTTGTTGCTGGTCGTAGAGCTCCCAGGCCTGCTCAAAGGAGCGTACCATGGCGGACTGGTTGCGAGGCTTCTCATCCTGCTTGCCGAAATCCAGGCCATTGAAGACAAAAATGCATCCAACACCGAGACTCTTGAAGGTCTGCAGCTCCTTCTCGATGTTAGCTTTTAGGGCGAAGGGAAAGCCGCCTAGAGCGCCGAGCAGGGCCTCGCGGGTCGACTGGTTAACCAGGTGTTGTTGGATGTAGTGCGACGCATCAAGACCGATGACCGCACCCTTTAGCGCGGAGAGAGGGAGGGACTGGGTGCGGCCCACGGTCCATTCGTCGAGAGGACGGACTAGTGAAGAAGGTCCCAGTTAGCGACCTGGGTGGAGGTGGGATCGAGGGGGCTTTGGCGGCTGGCTTGGACTCACTCGGCATGATTGTGAAGCTGAAGGGCAGAAAGCGCGGCTAAACGCCGAGCATTGAGGCCCTTGAAAAAGCGTGAGAGGGGCGAGGGGGGAGGTTAGAAAGGACGAGCGGGCAGATCGGAGGGAGTTGAGGTCGCGACGGAGTTGCGAGATGACGAGGGGGAAAAGCGGAGGAGGCACAGCTGGCCAGTGTTTTTTTTTTCTGACAGCCAACATAGAAACTGCACCACCCTTTTTGCTTGTCACATCAAAGCGCTTAGTCCAAAATTGGATTGGAGATCTAAGCTAGTCTGGTTCCATCGACTTGTACTCATTTAGGCGCATACTATATCTGCTCTACGTAGTCTTAGTATTTGTTCCACCGCGCGGTGGGCCCATTCAAGCTCAAGTCTACCCCCTGGGCAGTTGATCGCATGCAGCATCAAAAATGTAGAAATTGATCCAGATTAGACTTTGTAGGACAACTATCACTGGTCGTCTATGAAAGGTTCAGGTCAAAATGCCAGGTCATAGTTTAAGCAACATCTCTTCAAGATTGAGTTCACCGACCTCCACCGCCAGATATATATCTCGTGGAAAACGGCTGGACTCGCACCAGATCTACCCCGCCTATACAACTTATTCTAGACTATGACATTTGAAGACTGTTCATGACTTGGAGCCCCTCCAGGGTGGAATTGGACAGCTCGACTGTTCCAGAGCTTAGTCGCATTGCCCTGACAACAACTTTGTCAATGTCGACTCTGCCCTATCTCCCTCAATTCCTTCATCGTGTTTACCCCAAGATTAAAAGAGATTAGAGGAAAGCAATGCCAATGGAGGTGTCATCAGACTATGGGCACCAACAGTCGCAAGCTATCATGAGATAGCTGAGATAGCCTAGGGCCGGCACTGTCTGTACCTACCAAACTGTGCCTAGTTCATGGCGGGGTTTCCTTCTGCACGTCGGATATCGCCTGTGGGCGGAATCCACCCTTGGAACCCAAGACCCATGGACAAATCGTCTTGGGCGACGCGATTAGTCGGTCGGTTAGTCCATTAATCGGGCCAGCGATAACCAATAATCTCCTTGGTAATGCGCTGATACGCGATGGGCCCGATTTTTTTCTCAGGTAACCGATATCTGCCCCCTCCGGGCTAGCGTAAACCGCCTTCCCCCCGCCCATCTATATAATCTCCGAATCTCCAAGACAGCTCCCCAACTCGCTCCACTCCACATTTCCGAATCTCATACATACTCCCATCACCTGGGTTGGTTTGGTATCAACTCCATAGTCAACATGGCAGATACTGCGATCCCGATTGAATTGCCCGTCATCGACATCTCCGATCCCCATGACCCCGCCGTGGGGAAGGCCATGCTCGATGCGGCAGCCAAGTATGGCTTTTTGTACGTGAACAGCAAGGGCACGGATTTCGCGACCGAGGACGTGGACCATGCTTTTGGTCTTGTATGTATTTCTCGTTTCAACTTGCAATGCAGAATTGGGATAGCATATCTAAAAGTCCTTATAGTCGAAAAAGTTCTTTGCGTCTCCTGCCGCGGAGAAGGAGGTTTGCCGCATCACGCCCAACGTTAGTAGTGGCCCTGATCCATGCCCATGTCCAGACCGTTCATAAACTGGCTGTTCAAGAATTACTAACTCTTCATACCATCTAGAACCGTGGCTGGTCTGGCATGCACACGGAGACCTTGGATCCCGAGCATCAGCGGGTACGTCAGAGAAATGCACCTGGGATCCATTGACTAGACTAATCATGTGGTACAGACCGGTGATTTCAAGGAGTATGTAAATCTGCACTCAGATGATTTGTCAAGGCACCCATTAACGACTATCACAGAGCCATGAACTTTGGCGACTTCAAAGATGGCAAAGCACAGCAGCCTCTCCCAGCATCGCTGGCACCCCATGAGTCAGAGATCTACGGCTTCGCCCAACTCTGCAACAAGACCTGCACCAGAATCTTGACCCTGCTCTCCCTGGGTCTGGAAGTGAGTTACCAAACCCTCTAAAACATCTTCGTCCAGAACGGTACAAGCATACTAACCATTGTCCACAGATGCCAAAAGACTTCTTCACCACCCGCCACGACCCCAGCATCGGACCCACAGGTAGCATCCTCCGCTACCTCTACTACCCATCCATCTTCTCCCCAGCAACAGCCTCCTACAAGCACGACAAAGACGTCCGAGCCGGCGCCCACTCCGACTACGGCAGCATCACCCTCCTCTTCCAACGGCCCGGCCAGCCGGGACTAGAGATCCTCACGCCAGAGGGATCCTGGGCGCCCGTGCCCATCATCCCCGGCAACAAGCCCGATGAATTCCCCTTCCCGCCCATCCTGGTCAATATCGGCGATTTACTGAGCTATTGGACCGATGGACTGCTCAAGTCCACCGTGCACCGGGTGGTGTTTCCGTTGGAGGAACAGCGGAGCCCGAACCCGCAGGATCGATATACGCTTGTGTATTTCTGCCATCCGGTTGATACGACGGAGTTGGTGCCGGTGCCGAGTGAGATTGTGGCCGCGCACCGGGAGAAGACTGGTGGTTTGAAGGGGGATGGGGCGGTTGGATTTGGAGGTGGTGCGGGGAGTTTGGAGCCTGGGAAGAGGCCGTTGACGGCGGCGGAGCATTTGGAGTCCCGGCTGGCCGCGACGTATGGGTTTACCAAGGAGGAATAGAGTAGAGTTGACGATGTGAGAGATCAGGAAAGAGAGATGGTGTTTACTTATTCTAAAGTGTATACTGGGAGGAAAGATCATATCAGATGCAAATGAGTTGATTCATTCAAAACGATGGTGCCAATGAGTGTAAGAAAAAACGCCGCTGCCGTGGAGGCAAAGTGCACATAAACAGAACAAAAGGACCCTCCAAAAGACGTAAATTGGCATCATAGATGGGACTGCACAAGGGCAATGCTTCGACTGGGAGTGGGACCCAGTCGAACCTTTCGGTAATGTTGCCCATCTACTGACATAGGAAACTCGTGACAGCACAATTAAGTATGAGGAAAGATGAGAACAACCGTAGAGTGAATGAGGCGGGTAAGCCTGGTAGATCTGAGGAAGGAGCCCCCCTGAAAGATTGGGATCCATCGTGAAACAATGTGAACAAAACAACCGATATACACTCATGACAGGCTGATGAAAAGATATGAGTAAGGATGCAGTGTGAGAGGAGCAGCTGTTTGATGTTGGTGGTGCCCCAATCATTAGCGCAAAGACAAAAAAAAAGTAGTCGCAATGGTCGAGGCAAGAGCTGTTTGAAGAGACGAAGTAAAGCAGATGAAAATTCAAAACATGTGGAAAAATAGGTATCTTAGGGGGTGATGTTTGTCGAATTGGAAACGCCACCGGATTTTGCAATGCCATGCGCAAGTGAGACGTAAGACCTTGAAACAAAACATAGGGGGAGAGACGCGATATGACGCTATGCGAGAGCCAATATGCATTTGCGAAAATCAAAAATGGAACTCGAACTTCGAGGTCGTTGGGAGGAAATATGGGTTATGGTATGTGGTGAGTGATTGATAGGAGCGGTGGGTTCAGGTCATGGATCAAGGAGTTGTATGGCACCAGTGGCGGTGGTAGACCCACGCAGCCTTTTGACAGTCTTTGCTGCAATACTTGGTGCGGCGGCAGCGACGGCATTTGGCGAACTGGCGCTGGAATTCCTCCCACTTGCCACACTTGTAGTAGGCGCATTGGCGGATGCCGCCTCGCGACTCATCCTTGCGGCAGAGGTTTCTCATGACAACGCAGGCCCAGTACTGCATGTCCTTCGAGTGGTGCCGAACGGTGAACTTCTCAACCAGCGGGAAGATATTAACATCATCAGGCAGCAAGTACTCGTCCTCCTCCTCGACCTCAACGGGAGAAGATGGCTCGGCATTCTCATCAAGAAGATGCAACTCCCGATCGATCTTCAGTTTTGGCACGAGGTGGGAGCGCTGGAAATACGAACGCAAATTGCAGTACTTGGATACATAAGCCAAGAGCTGCAGGGACATCAAGACGTCCTCATCCCGAGGCATGGTGGTGAGGACGCTTTGAGTCGCGGGTGTGTTTCGATCGCGGAGGTACATGGCATAGGGGCTAGGGGCAAGAGTTGGGGAGTTGGGGTTGTTCGGAGCTTGAGTGGGAGAAAGACCCAGTCCGCCGTTGGGTTGCGTGGTGCCGTTGTTGTTGATGATGCTGCCATCAACGGCAGACCGATGGGCGATGTTGAATGTCTCAGCATCCTGGCCCTCTTCTGAAGGGTCAGTCACTGTTAGGCCATGTGCGGGAGAAATATCGTCGATCATCGTCGTCTGTTGCCCATCAACACCGTCGATCTCCATTCGGTTAGGCAGTCCAACAATGGGCTCAGGATTCTGTCCCAAAACGGTATCATCCCCCATTGTCGAGTCCTCGCCATTTGCATCGTCGGATTCACCCGAGGCCGATGGTTGCTGCCGAATCGCAGGTCGCTGCCGTGCGGGTGCCGCTTGAGGAATGCTTCGGGACTGAGGCTGAATGAGTCCGCTTGGTGTTGTCGGTGAGTCGGGTTGTGAGATGATGCCGGTTTGCAGGCCAGGCAGCATGCTGGGGAGGCGCTCCGCGTCACGCACGGGACGTAAACCAAAGGCCTCGGCGGTATCGATCGGGGGAACGGCGGTCGCGAGGGGTTGCATTGCTCGCAGGCGGTGACTCGTCCGAGAGTACCGGCCATCGTGGGCTCGGTGGCTATGGACATCCTGTCGGAATGTACTTCGTTCGGGGGGTGATGTCATGGGCGCTTGGGGAGGGGAAGTGATATCCATCGCATCGGAGTCGGTTGGTTGGTTATCTTGGTAGTAAGGCTGAGGAATTTCGATGCTTGGGGGAGGAGCCTGTCGGCGGGAGGAGGGATGGGCTTCGGGGTGACTGCTTGAGTCCGCGGGGGCTGTCCGTCCAGAGGCCTCGCGACTTGAGGAGCCGGTCTTGACAGCCTGGCGGCTCGAGGCGTGCTTTTGTGCCTCGGGATCGGCGCGCGATCGCACTTTGTCCACCACCTTGATGTAGTTGTCCAGAATGGTGGCAATCACGGGGACCATGTCGGCTTCAACCACGCGGGTGCGCACACTTTCCGAGCCTCGTACTCCGATATTGACAACACATTGGAAGGCGAGACTCCATTTCCACATTTCCATCAAATCCTTACTCCTGCCCTCCTTCAGGATGCATACGAGTCGTTCGATGCCGCCATCGACGGTCAAAATGTCCCGAATCCTTGCCGACGAGGTTGTGAGGTATGCCAGGTGGTTGAGGGAATTGATGAGTGGAAGGGTCGATGTGCAATCAAGGGCACGACGGTCATAGAGGGTGGTGGTGATGTTGACCGAGGCCTTGTTCACATTGGGGATGCTGAAGTTGACTTCCCGCATGATGAACGGGGAGTAACGACTTGACGATCAAATGTTACGAGAAAAACAATGCAGGCGTGATGGATGTGATTCGCATCCAGGAGGCTTGGACAAAAAGAAACAGGCCCAGGTGATGAGAACCGTGACGATGCCCAAATGGGTGGTATTTCAGCCCCTAACCAGAGGGATGGCGCCCACGGCGACTTGATCGAGAAACCCTCACAAGAAGTGCTGAGATTCACCCAGAGACATCAAGAACACCGGATCAGGGGAGTATATACAGCGCCTGATGGATTCCCGAGAATGAGGGGAAGGGGAAGCGAGAGGGGGTTGGGGGGTTGGAGGGGAGAAGACTTGTGATGACTCCACGAGAATGAACCTGCGAAGGTGAGGATGGGGCGTCAACGAGATGGACGAGAGAGGAAGGGTTGCGAGTCGAATTAAAGAAGAATCAAGGAATGCAGAATCGATGGAAGGGTCGCGAATCCGAGGGGCTGTTGTTGGAAGGGGAGATAGGCGAAGTTGAAAAGCCTTTGAGGGCGAAAGCGGAGAGGCGTCAGGTGCCTCCTTAATATTACGGCACCCGAGGATTGGCTCCCGCCACCCTCGACGCAGACTCAGACCCCGACTTGGATTTTCTTTGCCTGGCGGTTTTTTACCGGATCAACTCTTCTTGCTCTCTCTTTCCGGACTGTGATTCACTATAGTCATAGTCAAAAATTTAGAAAATAGTAATGCAGTTGTCATCTCAAGTTTTACTTTCTCTTTCCCCTTTATTGCCTCTCAGAAAACCCCCCGACATGCACTGCAGGGCCTCTCCGATCCCTCGTGGCGGCTAATGCTCGGGCTCGGGATGACGGATAGGCCCAGGATGTGCCGTGGTCGAGACCAGTCAACACACTTAACAGAATGAATCACATCATTCTCCTGCTAACTACAAGCTCTCTCCAATTATGTGCTAGCCAATCTCATTCTTATCTTCATTCGACGATTCTTGAGTTTTCTGTGAGAATAATAATATGTCTCTTCTTCGCCTCTGTCCCTTGCAATGTCGAGTCCCCTATCGGGGCAACAATTTCCAATCCAATCAATGTACGAACTGACGACATACAATGCACTAAGGAATCACCGAGCTCGCCTAGGACATGCTGGTTCTCTTTAAGTCAAGTCAAACAGGGACATGTCAAACCCACCAAGGTAATTCGATGAACTGATAGTCGATAGTCTAGCTGGACCATCCCTCCCAAAGCACTATTTCTGACGAAGAAAAAGCAAGAAGACCCCCGCCGTATCTAGATTTAGGACCACAGAATATTCAAATTAAGGGTCCTTTCGAGTCAATCCCGAGGCACTCAGGACTTCTATCCTGAATAATTCGGTGACGGCGAATTACGCAAAAGAGTTTAGCGTGCCAGTTCGGGTTTAGCGCCTCTCTGTGCATCTGTATAAAGTCCCATTCATTGCCGCTTCTACTTCTGGCTGCCTCTTGCCTCTCGCCCTTCTGCTCTGCCTTTCTCTTCATTTCCCTGAAGCATTTTTGCCATTGATCCGGGTTGCCGAGCTCTGCATTATCAAGTATGCCTTGTCGCCGAAACCCCGTTGCGTTACGTGTATTAGTGGAAATAATAAGATGCACGGCTAGAAAAACATAGGGTTACTCGTGTGGCACGAGCCTTATACGGACTAGAGACGATAAGGGAGCTATTGTGAATGACTATAACAGAATTGATTCAAATGTACTGCGCCCACTTGCTGTTCACACTCTTGAAGAAGGGAAAGAAATCGGTCCCATCTCGGTAGTGAAATGAAGGAGGATATCGAGGAACAAGAGATTTTGCAGACCAATACCCATTTTAGAGCCTACTTAAGGAAGTCATTATACACCCTCTCTAAATACGATATCGTACCTAACCGATACCCTACAGAGTTTATGCGATCGTAGCCAACATATCAAGGAGATGCAACTCCACCTCAGCTCGCCACACTCATGCGGAGAAATATTTGTGCTCCTCCAGAAATAGCGAAGGAGAAAAGTACAATAGAGAATGCCCTGTTCAATTCGTTCATTGACCATTTACTCCATACATAGACATAGACACTGGCTACTGAAGATTGGGCAATCACATCGTTGGAAACTTGCCACGTAGAGCAGGGCCCCTCGACCACTGGCCGCTTCGGACTGTTTCTCTCCTAACTAATGTGTATACAGTCCAGCACACAGATCTTCAACTTGAATCGATGCTATGGTCCTAAGTTCTACTTGAAGCGATTTATTTACAGGATAGAGTTGAGTTCCCGCAGTAGTCCGGGCTGGCCCCAAGCGTCCAAGTGCCTTGTAATACCAGATCGTCTTAGCGACAGGATTGTTCATCGAGTACTCACATTTCTTTGGTCTTTTGGGTGTGATTAAGGGTATATATGGTTACAATCAACCCCGTTTGATATACTCTACAACCTGTATCAGGCGGCGCCACGGTGGGACTTCAGCCGCACCGTCACCCCGCTTGGGAACATGCTTATCCCTGCGTCGATCCACACGTTTTCTCTCCATTCGATCGTCTCCTACGCATGCATACATATTTCTGCTAGTTGGTCTGCTAGTCTCTCGAGGACTTCTAATCTTTCAAATTTGCTAGATAGGACGGCTCCACCTAGTATAGCAGCTTAAAATATTCTCCAAGCCCAGCGTAGGGTGTAGCAGTCCCTCCTAGCTGGTATATTCAATACACGCACCTCTCATCCCATGGGTTCCGTTCCGTGCTTAAATATATAGAAGTATATGACAGGAAATTTACGCAAATTAGGTCTCGGCGGGCAGTATATAGTAGGCAGAGTGGCCAAGATTAGCCCCTAGAAGCAGTATTGATGATATCCAATGTAAACAGCCACATAAGACTATCTGAATTTCAAGATTCCACAGCGTCAGGTAAGGTGCTTGACCTCGGAAGTAAAGTGCATCTGGTTCTACCGAGGCGGCCAGTCATCACCGCAGTGTATGGGATGCGAAGGAAAGACGCCTATGAAAGCATCTGGATGAATGAATTGTTGAAGATATATGTAGGTTGAAATAAATCCAGAATGGTTAGTACTTTACACAATACTCACCAAGAATACGATTTTCTGTGATCGGAAAAAGCAATATAAAATGGTCCTTCAATGATCTGCGGAAAGGCACCCAGTCCAAGCAGAGCTTTAGGACAGCCACTATCGGTAACAAGGCCGAGTCCTCAATACATAGGATCTCAATGCATAGAAGATCGACTAGATGGAAGCGGTGTAGTAAGTGTGACATGCTCGAGTTCATCCCATTTTGTGGAGAAGTCGTACATGAATAGCCCCTACTTAACCGTTCCAGCTGTGGAAAAAGGTTTCTTCAACCTCTTTAGTTTCCTACCTTGCCCATACCATATTCAAAATCTCTAAACACCAAAAGCTCTTCTATTTATTTCATTTTGAGATTTCTGCCAGTGTTCCTGCTTTATGCCTCCGTTGCGTACGCCTGCGGAGATAACGCATATAGATGCAAGAACCCTGATAATACCGTCGATGAAGATTGGAAGGCGACAAAAGCCATCTGTGACAAATTGGGCGCGGATGACTGCTATTGTAGTCACTGGGTCGAATATTACTGCGACCCTTATGGCGATAACATCGATAAATTCAAGAAGGAGTGTGAAGCCAAGGCGGCAATTGGTATTGGTCGGAATGTTAAGCAAGGTATAACTAGCTTTGACATGATTGAGAAAGTATAGGATGATGACAATTTTTAGGACGTCCAAAGTCTGAACTGGATGTCTTTATAACGTCGCTATCGAGGAGATAGACTCGTTTCGTCTACGTTTTAGTTCTCGCGATATCGCCTTGGATTCATTTCCGGATCGAATGACGGGAAAGATACAGAGTGAAAATGCATTCATTCCCTTTAGGTTGTGACCTCTGCGGAGCATTCTTGCGACCTTTCGTTTGCCTCGAAGTGATTTCTCACAGATGAGTTACGATGAAAGTCACTCATTTTCTACCTATTTCAGGCGACGGCCGAACCCTCACATCCGTAGTATATGTTATTCCTTCTCAGCCTGGTTAACTTTGCCATGCATGGGTCATGATGGGGTATATACACAATGTATTAATCCATCAAGGAAGCTTAGATCTCATAAACCTAAGAAGGGTTGGACGGCCTGGCTATTGTACAGAGTTAGGCTGACAGATTCGTCTACAGAGTTTCCCTTCTCAAGTTCGTCACCAATACTGAGTATAACAGTACTATCTATCCTTGGCGAATGATTCAACGGCTGACTTGTTGTGCACAGGCATGTAGTTCGCAATTGACACAGCCACGCAACCGTTCTCTCGTCCCCAGCGTTCATGCCAGACATCACGTGGAGATTGAAGCCGCGCCAGCACGGTCGTACATGGAGTGAATTTATTTACAGCGACCAGTGCAGCCTGCTCTACTTTGATATGCTTTGTAGATCTTCAACAACGAGTGGGGATCCTGGTGGAGAGGGGAGGAGGGGATTGGCAGGTTCAACAGTTAGTAGCGGGCCTGTGCAGAACCAGTTCGGGGGACAGTCCTCAGCAGTTCTATGGAGAAGATGCGGAAAACCAACAGTCCACAATGAAGTTCATTTATCTGCTGGTGGGCTGAATCATATTCTACCATTAGGAGAGTCGTCGCGAAAGTGTTCACTCTGCAGCTAGGAATTATCCTACCGTGATTTTAGTTGGTAAATAATGATCGGCCGCAACCATATCAAGCCGAGCTTTTGGGGGGCCGGGAAATAAAGGGGGGGGAACCCAGAAACCGTCGGGCAGTGGGGGAGCTCATCTTTCTGCAGCACCCAGGGACAAGAACGCGAGACCATTCGACGCTGCGTAATCTATTGAGATTGAAGGCTCTCTGACAGGATTCAACGGCTAGACCCGCCGGGACAGGGGGCCATCATGCCGATTTGCCAACTCTAAGCGTCCAAGGCTGTTCAATTGCAAGTTATAGAAGGTTCCAAGGCAGGACTGGCGGT